GCAATACTACCAACATGACAGCTGAAGCCGACCTCACCGAACTTCTGGCCCTCCTGACGACGTACCTGACCCACTAGGAGCCAGGTTACCCAAGACCGGTAGTGACCCAGGCTGAAATAGATGCAGGAATGGGAAACTCCTCTTTAATCGCGGAGGATGTGGCGGCTGGTCCATGGCCAACCTATAATGGACCATCAAACAACTTCCTGCCAACCCCTCCGCCATCCCCATAGTCACCGTCCGATGCCGATGTTTCTTCTTTCTTCTCTTCCTTCTCTTTCCTTTTAAATTATCTCAATCATCGGTCTTTACTCTTCAAGTGTCTCTTTCTTTTATTTTTGATGATTTTTGTTGTCTTCTCTTTGTTCATTTTTGAAGCGAACGGGAGGCTTCGAGTTTAATAGCCCCTCGACGCGTCAGAGCGCGTCTCCCTATTAAACTGTAGCGCCTTTCCAGGATAACCCCACAGCGCCCGTGCCTTTGCCCTGGCAACTAAAATCTCCCCCCTCGATACGGTGATATTCAACAATTAATCAATCAACCACAGAAAGTGTATCACCACCTCTCCTTTCGATACCCTATACAGACGATCGCTACAACTATCCGCGGCAATGGCTACTCCTTCCAGCGATGCTGGCTTCATGATGTCGGATGCCCCCTCGCGGGCTGCTGCAACCCCTAGACGCAACTATGGCTTCCCCTCGTCTTCCGCCTCACGCCCACGAGGGCCTCCTTCAGAGAACATGGGAGGAGCTCCTAGTGATGATGAGGGCGATGGCTTTGCAGATGACCAGGTTCCCAAGAGTTCACGAATCAACAATACTGCTGAGATTAGCCGCGTGGAGGACAGAATTGGCCTGCTGGTACAGGAACACTTTGAGTCCTTCATCGAGAAGTACGCACAATGAATGCTCTCCTCCGAGATATGGAAACAGCGAACTAACGTATACTCCCAAACAACAGCTTTCAAGAGGACCCCATCAGCGCTCCCACACCGAGTGCCCCGACACCCAGCGCAGTCACTACAGACAAGTACTATGTCGCCCAGATCAAAGGCATGCGCACATATGCCCTCTCGACATTCTACGTCGACTACAGACATTTGGCTGCATATGAAAACGGCAGTCTAGCAGATGGTGTAATGCGCCAATACTATCGTTTCCTTCCCTTCCTCACCGCCGCCTTACACAACATGATCGCCAAGTACGAGCCTGCATACTTCCGTGAGCATCGCCAGCCCACCGCTTCGAGCAACCTCACCACCTCAGCAGCCAGCCATCTTGGCTCCTCCGGCGAGACCGAGTCGACGCACCGTAAGAATGAGCATCAGCAAACCGACAAGCTCTTCTCAATCGCCTTTTACAACCTACCCTTGGTCTCCAGAGTCCGTGCTCTACGAGCCACCAATATTGGCCAACTCCTTTCCATCTCTGGAACCGTCACTCGAACATCAGAAGTCCGACCCGAGCTGTCCATGGCCACATTCAACTGCGAGGCCTGCCGTACAGTTGTTCCAAACGTCGAGCAAACCTTCCGATACACTGAACCTACACAATGCCCCAACTCCACATGTCAAAACCGCGTGGCTTGGCAGCTCGACATTAGACGTAGTACTTTTGTTGATTGGCAGAAAGTCCGAATTCAGGAGAACAGTTCCGAAATCCCTACAGGTAGCATGCCTCGAACCATGGACGTTATTCTGCGAGGTGAAATTGTCGATCGCGCCAAGGCCGGAGAGAAGTGTATCTTTACTGGTGCTTTGATTGTCGTCCCTGATGTTAGCCAACTTGGTCTTCCTGGTCTGCGACCGACCGCTATTCGCGATGATCGCAATGCACCCAGAGGAGCAGATGCTGGTGGAAGTGGAATCAGTGGCCTCAAGGCTCTGGGTGTGCGTGACTTGACGTATCGTCTTGCTTTCCTTGCTTGCATGGTAAACCCGGACACCTCGTCAAGTGGCCAGTCTGCTGCCAGTAGCGCAGCTGATGTTGTCAATTCCTTGACAACGAACACCGCCAACGACATTGAGCAATCCGTGGAAGATGCCCAAGCTTCTGTTCTGGCATCCATGAACCCATCTGAAATTGATGACCTTCGAGCCATGGTGCACGGCGATCACATCTATTCGCGCCTTGTCCAATCCATCGCTCCCATGGTCTACGGCCACGAAGTTGTCAAGAAGGGTCTGCTTCTTCAACTCATGTCAGGTGTTCACAAGAGCACTGCTGAAGGCATGCAGCTTCGAGGTGACATCAACATCTGTATCGTTGGTGATCCATCTACTTCCAAATCCCAGTTCCTCAAGTACGTCTGCTCCTTCGCACCCCGTGCTGTGTACACCAGTGGTAAGGCTTCGTCTGCCGCTGGTCTCACTGCAGCGGTAGTCAAGGACGAGGAGACGGGCGAGTTCACCATTGAGGCTGGTGCTCTCATGTTGGCAGACAACGGTGTTTGTGCCATTGACGAATTTGACAAGATGGACATCGTAGATCAAGTTGCTATCCACGAAGCCATGGAACAGCAAACCATTTCTATCGCAAAGGCTGGTATCCAAGCCACCCTCAATGCCAGAACAAGTATACTTGCTGCTGCAAACCCTGTCGGTGGTCGTTACAACCGCAAGACTACTCTCCGCGCCAACATCAACATGTCCGCGCCTATCATGTCTCGTTTCGATCTCTTCTTTGTTGTTCTCGACGAGTGCAATGAGCAGGTTGACCGTCACTTGGCAGAGCACATTGTCGGCATCCACCAGTTGCGCGATGAAGCCGTGGAGCCCGAGTTCAGCACAGAACAGCTCCAACGATACATCCGCTTCGCCAAGACTTTCCGACCCGAGTTTACTGAGGAGGCCAAAGAAGTCCTCGTCGAAAAGTATAAGGAGCTTCGAGCCGATGATGCTCAGGGAGGCGTTGGCAAGAACTCTTACCGAATCACCGTGCGTCAGCTGGAGAGTATGATTCGTCTTTCGGAGGCCATTGCCAAGGTCAATTGTGTCGAGGAGATTAGTACTGATATGGTCGTGGAAGCCTACAACCTTCTGCGCCAGAGTATCATCTCGGTCGAACATGATGATGTTGAGGTCTATGATGAAGAGCCTCTAGAGGATGCTGAGACGCTCCTTCGCGCCGCGGATGCTGCTCAGGGCCGTGATCAAGAGGGTGACGAGGTAATGGATGAGGACGAGCAACCTGGCCGAAGCAGCGTTGCACCCGAGAAGAAGAAGCAAACAATTACCTATGACAACTATGTCAAGATGGTCAACCTGTTTGTGCAGCGCATATACGAGGGCGAGGCTGCCAATGCGGAAGGTATCGCTGGCGAGGAGCTGGTTAACTGGTACCTCGAGCAGAAGGAGGATGAGCTCGAGGGCGAGGAAGACTACCATCGCGAAAAGTCCCTGGCCAATATGGTGCTCAAGAAGATGGTCAAGGTGAGTCACACGACGGTCGCTCGTTTCAAGAACAAAACTAACTCGGTATCCAGGACAACTATCTCATGGCTCTTCGTGGCGAGGGTCTTACAGATGGCGAAGCAAGCTCTTCAGCACACGGCCAGATCGTCTATATTGTGCACCCCAACTGTTCCGTGGAGGAGCACTAGCTTCTGTCAATGATATAGAGAAGGAAAAAGTATTGCGTGCCTAATGCGATTGTCATGATGCAACGCCTTGGAGGGTGGGCGTTTCTGGAGTTTATGATGCAGCACTGTCAATATCTTGCTGTGAGCGACTGCGTATATCATGGGATGGATGCGAATTTTACAAGTGATGCTGTTATGAGGATGCTGGATTCAATAGATAGATACCTATGCATTAATGTAAAGGCATTGAATTATAGAACGTACATTATCTACACAAGATGTGATGTTGAGGGAATAGGGTATCATTGTCTCGCGTGATGTTAATAGGCATCGCATACAGCCATTCATGTTTGAATGGTCATCTATCGTCCAGCCTCCTTAACGTCCATGTCTGCTTGCCGACAATATCGCTCGCAGTTCTCTTCTAATCGATGCGGCCATGTCACCTTTTCAAATTGTACCATGTATTATCTCAACTTCCAGCTCTTTACTCGGCACAATTCATCTTGTTTGGATGTACTACGTAACTATGGAGTAGCTGATAGTCAATGCCGTGCCGTGCCTTCCCATGCCGAGACCAGACCCTGGACAAGAGGATCAAGCTAGATAATTCAACTCTTGATAATTGGCTGGCTAAAGAAGCTCTAGTGATGCAGCAACAAAGTTTCAACAGTGGAAACATTGGACTAGGTATGATCATGTCATGGCCGGTTAAAAGCCGCATCCCCCACCTCTACGACAAACATTCACATGTTGATGAGGACATCGTAATTCACTCATATCAACTGCTGCCTGAGGTTTTCTATCATTGTGGTTTACGTAGTTGTTCATCAGAGATGGTGTCTATTTCAATTGGACTTGTTGAGTTGACATCATGATACATATATGACATGATAGAGTATGGCCATGATCTTCAACACCCTCAAGAGTACAGTCAATCAGTCATCTTACTCAACAATACATACCCCTCATCTTATCAAAACAAGCGTCTAACGTAGGAAATACTCGGCATTACTACAGTAGATCTTAGAGTACTTCCTGTTGGTCCGTATCATTCGCTACGACTCCATCATGATATCAATGGTTACCCCTCATCTGCAGGTATAAAAAGGCTATTGCCCGTCCATCTTGACTCCTTCTTCTCTTTCTCCTTCTTCATCACAAAATACATCGAAAAACACTTTAAAGAAACCCAAGGTTTGTATCGCTATGCATCATGTTCGTGCTGGTCTGACACATATGATATGCTAGATATCATCACTCTCAAACCTGTACGGCTCTCTCCTGCTAGCAGCCATGGAGCCTTTCAGCGGTAGTTTTGTCCAGGCCTGATTTGGGACACACTCTTCAGGTAAAGTATCATGCATGAGCCGGTGCCCATCCTCAACTCTTCTCGTTCCTCCATTGACGATGGAGATGACGACAAGAGGAGGGGAGGTGGCTGAGATTATACGGCAAAACTTGATCTGGATAATACCAGCGAAAGGATCATGTCCTCCTCCCTAATAACTTCAAAGTGTCTAACAACCATAGGTCACCAAACATGTCTCCCCCTGCTGCCATCTCCCCCACTTCCCGCTCTGCTGAGCTTGCTACCTCTACCACCAAGCTCCCTGTCCACGCGGGCAAGAACGTTAACACCAAGACCATTGAGGAAATGCTCGGTAACTGGGATGACTTCAAGTTCGCTCCCATCCGAGAGAGTCAGGTCTCTCGTGCCATGACTCGACGCTACTTCCAGGACCTGGACAGCTACGCCGAGTCTGACATTGTCATCATCGGCGCTGGATCCTGCGGTCTGAGCGCTGCCTACGTCTTGGGCAAGAAGCGTCCCGATCTCAAGATTGCCATCATCGAGGCTTCAGTGTCTCCTGGCGGTGGTGCTTGGCTCGGCGGACAACTCTTCTCTGCCATGATCATGCGCAAGCCCGCTGATGCTTTCCTCCGTGAGATCGGCGTTCCCTACGAGGACGAGGGTAATTACGTGGTTGTCAAGCACGCTGCCCTCTTCACCTCTACCATCATGTCCAAGGTTCTTCAGATGCCCAACATCAAGCTGTTCAACGCCACTTGTGTCGAGGATCTCATTACTCGACCTTCTGACGAGGGTGTTCGCATTGCTGGTGTCGTCACCAACTGGACTCTTGTCTCGATGCACCACGATGACCAGTCCTGCATGGACCCCAACACCATCAACGCTCCCGTGATCATCTCCACCACTGGCCACGATGGTCCCATGGGCGCTTTCTGCGTCAAGCGTCTTGTTAGCATGCAGCGCATTGAGAAGCTCGGTGGTATGCGTGGTCTTGACATGAACGTTGCTGAGGATGCTATTGTCAAGGGTACTCGTGAGATTGTTCCTGGTCTCATTGTTGGTGGAATGGAACTTTCTGAAGTTGACGGTGCTAACCGTATGGGTATGTTTTTATCTCAACCTCTGTATCTACTCGGTCTAACATATATCAGGTCCTACCTTTGGTGCTATGGCTCTGAGTGGTCTCAAGGCAGCCGAAGAAGCACTCAACATCTTTGACACTCGCAAGAAGCAGAATGAGCAGTAAATGAGTCTGTATCAAAGAACCTCAAAAATGGAAAACGGACACATCGAATAAGGCTCCAGAACCTCGTCTCTCATTCGGGTTGTGGAAACTTGTCATTCATTTGAACTATTGTTGACTTGTTCAAGCATGAAGAATATGTGAACCAAGCTTGAAAGTCATTTACAGTTAAACAAAATTGAATAAAATAAGTCATTGCTTTCTGTATTCATAAATTTGTCTTGTCATAATCGTGACTCCAGCTATAACACTCATTTACTTCTTCTCCTTCACCTCTATCTCTTGAACTTCGCTTGCCGGCACCTCAGCAGCCTTTGGAGGAAACTTCATTCCTCTATTTGCATCGTTGGGCTCGGCGCTAGGTCCCCAACCTCCATATCCATCTGCCATGGCTACTCCAGCAAGCCCAGAAGTTTCCCCAATCATGGCACGACCAGCGAGCTGATTCTTTCCCACGCCAGGCGTTGAGTCAGCCCACGTTGTGAGTTCTTCGCGTGTCTTGCCCGTGTACTTTTGTATGTCCTCGTCACTGAGTGGTACGGGTGCTTTGCTATCTTTGTAGCGACGGTAGAGCGACTTTTTCTCTTTTGTCTCGGGGTTTGAAGGTGATGTTGATGTGTTGCCCATTTTGGGGTAGTAGTAGAAAGAAGTATGGGTTATGTGGGAATGGAAATGGAAATGATGGTGTCTTGGCGACAGTGAGCTTCTAGAAGGTATTTATAGAAGTCTTGTAGAGGGATTTGAACTTTATTAGTTACAAGCTGAACGTTGTGGCGTCGGGTCACACGGTATGGGTACATACAAACAGGGCGTTGGTATTCCCCAAGATCCCACGATGTGACAAGGAAGAGGCGGTGCCGTTTATCCATTGGTCAGACAACTTCTTCAATTCAAGGTCAGGCGAAGATCTTCTCTATGTCTATGTAAATGGCTGTGTAAGATCAGCATATCAAGGCAGACTCAGTTATACACAAGGTCTGGGCCCATGATCATTTCTCATATTTTACATCTCTCGTATATAGATAGGTACTCTTCATAAAATCTACTTTAGATACTCCTTCTTAGCAACCCTCTCACAAAGCTCCTTCAAAATACCACCCAACCACTCATAATCTTCCATACCAACATATACCTGCGCACTCGTCCTGATCCAAAACCTCCCTCCGTGCAAGAACAGCGCCACAAATGTCTTGTAGTCGCTAATAAGCGTATTCAAAATCCACTGGAACGCTGTCTGCGTCTCCTCCGCTGAAATCACAACCTCACCCTCCTTTCCTTCTTTAGCACTCCAAACAGGCAGCGCGATGTTAGCCATACCGCAGTTTCGCATCGTCCCCGTGCTGTTCTCCATGTACGTAGTGCCCAGCTTCTCAGCGACGAGTTCGCTGCCCTTCTTGTTCAAGTCCCAGAGATACTCCAGAACCGCATCTTCGCCGCCGAGTGCTTCCTCTCGCCACTTGATAGCGTCCTTGACACATAGATAAGGTGAGTTATCCAGAGTACCGACAAACTCAAAGTTGGTCACGAAGCGCGACTTGGTGCTTGGAGGTAGAGGTGTGATGCGCTGCACCAACTTGGGGATGTAGCCGTGGCTAGTTGCCAGTGTCGTCGGTAGGAGTTCCTGGTTGCGAAGTGGTACGTAGAAGACGGCGCAACCACGAGGGACGTGAAGCCATTTGTGGCAGTTCGACACGAAGAAATCGGGATCCGATGCTGTCATATCAAGCTTCACCATACCGACTCCCTGCGCACCATCAACCATGCTCAGAACGTTGAGCTTTCGACACGACTTGATCATCTGCTCCCAGGGAAAGACGACGCCCGGTCGAGAAGACACAACATCGAAAATGCAGATTCTAGCACGCTTTCCCTCTTCCTCGATCTTCTTGACAGTATCCTCGAACCTCTTGATGATCTCATCATCATCAAGAGGATACTCGAGCTGAATCTCGCGATGAGTCACGTTCCCATTGTAGTATTCCACAAGATAGTCGGCTACTTTACCACAGGCTTCGTAGACGGTCGAGAAGCTGATGATGACATCCTTTCCGTCCTCGTTCCATTTCAAGTTGCGAAAAACGGTGTTCACACCTGTTGTAGCGTTGGGAACGAACACAACAGTGTCGACGGGAGCATTGATAATCTTTGCGACAGCAGCACGACTTTCATCAAGCAGTTTGGGATACTCATATCGAATGAACGGATCAGGGCGAGCCTCGCTAACCAGTTTTAGAAGTAATTCATCACCTTCAATGTGTGACTAACCTCGCATCCTGATACTCGCGGAATTTGGTCTGGATAGCTTTGGGATAAGTGCCAAAAGATCCTATAACAAAATTAGTTCATGTTTCATTAATCATACAAGTTATATACCATGGTTCATATTCCTCCATTCTGGATCAAACATGAAATCCTTCTTCATAGAGCTACCAAAGACTGTAGCGCCAGTCTTGCCCCGCAGAGAAAGCTCTTGAGGATGATCTTTGCTAATAGAACCCATGATGATGATGATGATGATGATGGAGGTATAATGATTTGTGATGATCCAAACTCTTCAACCACGTCCTCGAGTCTTATATATATACCTCTTCCTCTGGAGGCTTGGCCTCGAATGAGTCAAATAATACTGACAGGAACACAACCTGGCTTGTATACCCCACATCTTCAACGTCAACGACGCCCTTCACTTAGTTCTACGCTACAATAACTCAAAGCTGAATTGAGAATGCGGGCCGTCGGTATCCGCAAAAGAGCGTTGTGGGGGTGCTGAAAGTGATAAGAGTCACTAGTACCACCTCGAGTATAGCTACAATCAACATACCCAGAGGCTGAGAGTCATACAAGAACACCCGACTGCGGAGGATTACAAATACAAAATGCAAAACTTTGCTGAAAGAGCTGCCAACTTTCTTTCAATTGATGCAGCAAGTAGGAGGAATGCTACCTTGTTCCCTGAAATGCCAGTATCCCAAACGCCCGTCCATGAATGCTCCTAGAGTTCTAAGCTCCGATGTTCTCGCCCCTCTGCAATTGTTGGTATGTGAATCTTTATAGTTGTTTGTCATCCGTCGTGAAAGCTCCGATCTATGTACTCATAGCCTTTAGACCTCGGCTATATCCAACTCATATGGTGTTAGACACCCTCGTTTCTTAACCTCGACGATGACCGTGTTTGCACGCGACTCTGTGGAGGATTGACAAAGTCTTGGGCCATCACCTCATGCGCCGGGCCATTCTTCAGCATATGCAGGGCCGCGAGCGCATTAGACTCCTCCTGACGCAAGCCTGGCTTCATGACTAGACTGTAAGTGTCTTGAAGGCTACAATACAACTCAAGGGACCTTTCTGGAGGAAACCCAGTCACGAACGGCGCGTGAGGCTCTTCGACACCCATCAAAGACTTTTGACTGCGCGTAACACGTCTACTCGTGTTATGAGAAACTTGTTTCAGCGGTCCTGGATTAGGCGCGGCCACTGGTGAGACAGGTTGTAGCTGCGCGTTCATGTAGTACTTTGGAGGAGTCTCGCAATGAGGTGGCTCCATTGGTACCAAACGTTCAAAAGGCGGACTAGTATGAGGAATTGGTGGCTGTGGGTTTAATGGAGGTAATCGGAGTGAGCCATCAACCTCTGCAGCTTTCTGACTTGATTGGCGCCTACCAACTGAAGGTAGTTCGACTTCTTCGCCGTCAATCCTTCTGCGCTTCCGAACTCGCCCCTTGACTGAGTCAATGATCGAGCTCTCTCTGAGGAATTTTTCGGGTCTCAAAATGTGGCTAAAAGGTATTTCGGTGTCCTCCGTCTTCGGGGGTTCAACAGTTTCAGTATTGCGAAGCGTCCGACCATGGTTGGGATTCAACGTTGATGGAGGTTTCTTGGTTTTCTCCAAAGCACCCGGCGCAGACCTGCGAGACCGTCTAGCCCTCTTCTGGATGGCGACCGGTTTACTCGGGGGTGGCTCCAATTGTTCAGCAGAAGCCGGAGGTAACTCGATCGGTACAGCCATGATGACCGGTGTTACTATCTCTCTGGGCTCGAGAGGACCATGCCCGGTTATCCTGTGTAGATCTCGCATTATCTTGGGAACCCAATAGGCTCCTGTAGCCTTTGTGTCGCGGAGAGCAATTGGGTTGGCCGCGGTACAACGTTTAGCGTCCATCTTTTCGCCCTCTTCGCCTGCGCCTCCTGAATCGCGCTTCTTTTTGAGTCTGGGCGGATCTGGAGTTTGCCATAGCTTGGGAATCTTTTCTTGCAAGTCAGATACCCAAGCATCACAATCCCATTCGACCCAGTAGTCGATAACATCACCCCATGAACTCTCGGGAGGCTTGGTGTAGTTGACAAAGACCACCTTTCCACCCTTGGCATGCACTGCCTTCGCAAACTCCCTGACCATTACTTTTAAGCCGTGGACTCGTAAGCTGGTGCCGAGAATGAGAAGTAAATCTGGGCAAAGGGCCAAGTCATGCGTGACAATGGGGCTGATCAAATGTGCATTGGGATGCTCTTCACCATAGAGCACAATATCAGGCCTCAACTTGCCAACACCCAAAGCTCTTTTTCCGCGCTCTTCGCGAGCAACGGTAGCACCGACGCAATGGGGACACTCAGGTTGTTGACCTGACATTGTTTCCAGCTGACGTCCCTCATCATCCCAAGAACATACGCGGCCACACAGGAAACACCGAAGAAGCTCCAGTGAGCCGTGGAGGAAAACACATTCGACGCCTGACTTTGGAAGGTCACGACGGAGGTTCTGCACCGCGGTCATGGCATCTTCTGGTGCGCCCAGATCCGACTCGGCTTGAGAAGCTATCACGATATCTGGTCTCAATTGGCTTGATTGTGATTGTTGGCTGGCCTCATTGTCCGAAGATTGCTGTGAATTGGCCTCGGTCATGGCGTTAACCTCATCGACCATTCTGTTCAGTTGGTTCAGATTCGCGGTTGACTTTCGAGAGAAACGGCCGCGGCTACCAGGTCCATCGGTGAGACATGTTGAAAGGCCAACCTTTTCCTCAATCTGATCAATGTTTTGAGTATAACAACGGACAAGCTTCCCACGATCTCTCAGATGACTGATGAATCGATGCGAGCTTGTAGGTTCCACGTCTCTGACCTTTTGGCGTAGAGTCGTTGCAAATGTGTAAAATACGGATGTTCTCAGAGGGTCCGCCCATATTGATGCGTCAAACATATCCTTCCCCTTCATGTTGGGTAGTGTATTCTTTCCCGTGCCAAGATTTGTTTGTGATAAGCTTGGTGGGAGTGAAGGTGGGGTGTCGTCAACTTCAGATGGCGATGTGCTGCTGCGGCTGCCTGGTCCATCATCCTCCGACGCGTGGGACGAGAACGGCTCAAAAAGAATTGGAGGGGGCGACGATAAAGGCGACGAACTGGGCGGAATACCTGAATCGTGCAGGTGACTCCTTCGCGCTCTTCTGAAAGCAGAGGGTGGTGTAATGCGAAAATCTTCAGGCGGAGGTGAGGATAGCGGAGAAGTTGGCGGCTGAGCCACAGCTATTGTTGAGCGTGTCGTCCTAGGATTTTTCATAGGCATCGCATCCGGGTCTTCTGGTAGCTCTTCGTCATTCGGGTGACCCTCAACCTGGATAGTATCCGCGATCTCCTCTTCTACCGGGTCAGGATCTTCTAGTTGAACTTCTATCTCGTCCCGTAATTCGCCCGAGTCCTCTTCAGGTTTTGGAGAGTCATCGCGCAGTATTTTCCTTCTCTTGGGTCCTGGTCGGGAGTCGGAGTCGGATGGTTCGTCGTCGGCTGTGTTTTCCTGCAGACGCGCCCGTTGTGCCGCGTCAAGTTGCGTACTGATTAACGAGTAAAGACCGTTCTCGGAACGAAAGTCCTAGGTCAATTAGTCACCACACCGATAATTGCGTATATTTAGCTTCTCCGCAACGCATGGGAGCAAGCGCTGGAGTGCTCATTGAGAAGGCTCACAGGAATGCCCGAATTCGTGCTGATACCAGCACCGGTCACGACTATGACCTTGCGCGCCTTGAGTAGCCCATTGGCGATATCCTTCAGTTCCTCCTGGGACTCGGGAGAGACGTGGGTGGTCGGCATTGTTGAAAAGAGCGTGGAGAGAAAGTCGGCCGCGTCGCGGTATTGTAGCGGGCGGGTGTAAGCCGCGATCGCGTGAAGCCGACTGCTGTGTTGACGAGCTTACGATACTGATAGTTTTGTATAGCTTATTGTCATTGTGATATGGGTATTTGTCGTCGTGAAGTGTAACAGATGCCGAATGCTAGGTCGTTTGTGGTGTGAGGTTCAAGTTTACTTAACTTAGTAAGGTTGTGGCGGGCGAGAAGTGACTTGAATTTGGAGTTAAGGCTCTGGAACCGGGGTCGCGAAGCGGGAGGTCACCGCGCTGTCGAGTAGATGGTTTAATGGCCGACCGACATCAGCAATGGCTGAAATGGTAGGTAGAAAGGTAAGCTTGTAACAGCTTCAATTAATAGATCCAGCTCGTCGGTATTAATTCAACACCGTCGTACCAACAGAGAGGAACTCAACGACCCAAAAACAATGCATGAACGCGACTTGAGTTTAAACCTCCAAAAATGCAAGTGCCCGCTCCTGTAATGTGACTGTGACGCGCTTCCTAGTGGCTGGGCTGATAATTGCATTCTACATCTACAGCGCCTTACCAAACTATCGATAAGGGATGAACCCATGGAAGGGACGGGACAGACCGCTAAATTACCCGCTGAGCACGGCATGTTTACACCCCACCAACGTAACTGAACCATCACCTTATATTAACTGTCGGGTCTCATGACTTCCAACCAAAACATATTTATGATCAAAGCAGAAATTTGTACTAATATTATTCTATAAACAGGTTTAGGAGAATATACACGTAGAATGAAAGGCAACAACCAATCTCTACTCAAATAGCGACAAGCACGTCAAAGAGCTTCTGGAAATCGGATGGAACTCCCAGGCCTGTAATCGCATCCCAACCCTTTGCTGCCGGCCAACCACCAGGGCTATGGCCTTTTTGGAAATCGCATGGCCTGCTTTCTCCTGCAGAAACATCTTGAAGAGCTGCTTGTACCTCGTTTGAGTAAAGGACCTCGTTGATCCAGCCCAGCACATCCTTGCCCTTACGCACGCGTGCATCGTTGATAAGCGCAATCATGGCTGCCACCACAGGCGTACTAGCGCTGGTACCTCGAAGCGCAACCTGCTGCCCCTTGAGTCGAGTAATGAAGCTAGTGGCCGTCATGGAAATATCAGGAACACCTCGGTTGCTAGCATTGTAGTTGCCATCGAGGTGACCGTCGAGGGTTTTGATGTAGCTGTTGATAGAAGAGTCTTGCCACTTCTCACGAGGAAAGTACTGCGAGAAACCACCTCCACTGAACTCGGCGCCTTCGAAAGGCTCAGCTCCAGCTGCTACACCACCGACGCTTGTGACCCAAGGGCAAGTTGCGGGAAAGACGGCCATGGTGACATCCTTGTTGGTACCGTCGTTTGTGCGGCAAGTCGAGTTACTTGATCCCTTTGCACCTCCATCACCAGAAGCTGCCAGGATGGTTGTGCCACGAGCTGTCAGGAGACCAAACATTGAGCAAACACGCTCAGCGTACTTGCGGGGAACCGAAACCTCGTTGTCGCCATAAGAGACGGAGAGCACATGGGGGACCTCATCGTCAGAGAGGTCAAGAAGGTAGTCGAGAAACTCGAGGTAAGGTTCGTTGTCGTTGTACTCCTCGGATACTTCTTCGCCGTCATCGTCCAACGTAGGGCCACGACCGTCGGCAAGATAGTAGGTGATGTTGGTAGGATAACCAAGGGCCATGGCATACTGGACATCCAGAGCCGCCTCGTTTCCGGAATCGAAGAGGGCCTGCGAGTTCTCGGCACCGTTGATTAACTGAACTGAGAAGTTATAACGGGCTTCGTGAAGCGGCTTTGCGTAGATCCTTAGAAAGTCCTGGGCATCCTCATAATTGGCATACTCTTCGAGGAAACCGGCAATACCAAAGCGGATGGGAGAGGTGCCGTTATAGGCAGGATAGCTGATGTTGAACTGCTCACGGAGGCAGTCAGGCTTGACAGCTCGGCCGCAGGGGATGTTGGCACGCTTATCGAGCTGCAGACTCTTGAGCATGCTTGGTGTAAAGTCCGGGTCAGGAGTGGTGAGTTCCTTGGTAGGTCGCATGAAGTTGGCGATGGGATGGATGAAGCTGATGGATGAAGCTAGAGACTCCGGTACTGAGTAATCTCTTGTTCGAAGAACGGGCTCTTGGTCTGCGAACTGGTAGAAGCCAATCTTGGCGTCGAGGAGGCTTTGAGCATGTTCAACGGTGGTCTTGACATGAATCCAATCCTTTTCAGGAGTGGCCTTTGCTGTTACGTTTCTGCTCTTCAGCCACGCCAGTACCTGGTCAACATCCTTCTCATCTGGAGTTCGGAGAGCGAGGGCTTCCTTCTGGCTGAGATGGCGCTGGATATACTGTCCAGACACACAGTCGCGTTTTCGTAGTCCGGTCTTGAGGTTCTCGATATCGGGCTGTCGCATAGCAATAGAGAGTCGCAGAATATGACTAGGTTCAACAGCCTGGTTGACCTCTTCCCAGCCGTTCGGGAGGACGGGGGTATCTTCTAGTCTGATGTTCTTGGCGGCACCAAGACCAGCCAAAGCCAAGGTGGTGAAGAATATAGTTGATATCATGTTGGGTGTTGCACACAGAATACACAGACCAGTGTGCAAGAATAGTTATAAAAAGAGCACCTTTGTTAGATGCAGAATGATGAACTACCTCTCAGAGGTTTTGTGTGAATGAGAAAATGAAAAAGTGTCGATTGTCAAGTGCTCGCTGGTTCTTTCCTAACAAACAGTGATACCCAGGCAACTTGAACTTGGCAAACCCAATTCGAACAGAAAGCAATATGGATGTTCTTATTAGAAACGCGGCTACGATGATGTTTATAATGAATGTACAATTTGTTTCTACTCTGTTGACTCCACAGCCCAAAGGGGGATCATCTTTTTTATGCCGTCATATTAACGGAGTCCAATGGCTAAAAATGGGCGGATCTGAAACTTGGTTCAATCTCGCGCAACCAAAGCGGGTTCAATAACAAGAGGGAGAAGCACTTTTTTCTCGTGTTGAAGTTGCACATCGCAATTAGAGCACCGAATACGGCATCTGAGTCGCTGGAAAAGTATGCAAAAAGGTGGTGACTTTTTTAACCGAGCAACAAGTAAAAAGAGAGTTTGCTATGAGTCGCGTAAATTGCTCAAGAAAGTTTGTTGAGTTTTGATAGTGCTTGTCTAATTGATGCTGTTGAAAACGGACAAAGTCAATGCTTAACGCCATCCGGACCTGACTCCACTGTGAAAGCCTCACTTGGACATAGGAAAGCACGTGTTGTATCACATGACCTTGGCCTTGTCTGCCAAGAGACAAGCTGGACCGATCAACTCCCCGTACAACGCCACGGCACAGTCTCTTGATGTAATGACTTGATTCTCCACCAGAAAGTGACTTCTTCCTCTACAACAGAATGATCCATGTCATACGCACTCGACTTCGGGCTTTACAGTCTCACAAACTCCGGGCACTAGAAATCCCACTTTCAAGACACCTGCCAAACTCGAATAGAAACTACTGCAGTCACCCGCCTAGGTCTCAGTCCAAAAGTACTAACGGTACATGCAGTAAACCCTTGAAATCCTTGACAAGAGACAGGGAGACTTCTCTCCTTCACAATAAGCGACGCAGAGACACATAACAAACTCCGCTCTTGTTCGCCCCTCGCTAACCGCTAGCTCTTCAAGCAATAAACGTCTAGACCCTGTGATTTGTTCGCAACTTGTTACATACAGCTCAATCGTGCCGAGTCACTTCAAGACCCGTTTGTGCGCAGTCAAAATCTCCACCTCGTTGCAGCATAATTGCTCCACAGCCGATGGTCCGAAAAGGACCATGACGACGACCCGAAGAACGCTATGTATAACAAGTCTTGAAAATCCAAATCCCGTGGGGTTCACAATTGGTCAAAGAATCTGCATACCCATACCGCAACTTATAGTATTACTATGTGCATTCTACCTGCACTTTCATTCGATATCATGCGTGGGATTCAACAGGACCAGACCCAATCAAGATAGCACTCGGTCCATGGTACTCAGTTCCCCGGTCTTAGTTATTCGCCGAGTTCAATTTGTCCTTCCAACCCATCATTACTCAAGCTGTGGATGTGATACAAGGATACCTCCGCTGTTGGCCCAGAGAAACGTGGGTGCAGTGCAGTTGCCGGCGGGGTTTTACTTGGTTAACTCGTCTCAAGAATAAATATTCAATCCTTTTAAGACTTGGCTCCTGTCTCATATTTTTGTCTCATTTTTTTCAAGCTTCCTCCCTCACTACTCAACTAGTTGTGCCTTGCGTGTTATTACATACGTCTAGTCGTCTTCGCTGTTCAATACATCATCCTCATACTTAGATCCCCGTGGGTTATACGTGACCTTCAAAATGACAGGCTCAGAGCATCTCAATGTCTTTAAGGGTCCTGAATCGGTTCGCAACTACTTCGACCCTGAACAGTCACCGCCTCTACCTCTTGTGGAAATCCCCGATAGCCTCAACCCTTACCGTCAAGATGGCGTTCGCATCTATGCTAAGATGATGACTATGCATCCTGCCACCAATGTCAAGGTGATGCCAGGTTAGTCTACCAATCTACAATCGCCATTAAACATGGAGCTAAATTTAATTTTGTAGCTATGAACCTGCTAGAGAACGGTGTCCAGCCTGGCAAGACAAAGACTATCGTCGAGAGCAGTTCTGGCTCTACTGTCATCTCTATGGCTATGGTCGCCCGTGCTTTCCACGGTATCGATGATGTCCACGCCTATCTCAGCAACAAGACAAGTGAGACCAAATTGCGTATGATGCAATTCTTTGGCCTCAACGTGTAAGTAGTCCCCTGGTGCGTTTACGTACAATAGCTAACCATTGAACAGCACTCTGTTTGGAGGACCTGCTCAGCCGACACCTGTGGATGAACGAGGTGGTATTAGATCCGCAGCTCGAAAGGACGCAGAGTCTGAGTCTGTGTGTAGTCCTAATCAGTACATCAACGACGACGTGAGTTTCTCTTTGTCATTTTGTATAGCTAAATACTAATAGTCCGCAGAATTGGAAATCACACGTACGATGGACTGGCCCTCAAATTTACCGTCAGCTCCCAGAGATCAATGTGATTGTGGCTTCTATGGGAACTTCTGGTAAGTCAGAGCCTCTTAGTTTGTATATAATAGGCTTACTGACATCGCATTAGGAACCATGACTGGTCTGGGTACCTATTTCAAGGAGGTCAAGCCCTCTGTTTACAGAATTGCGTACGTCCTCTAGCCACCCTGTACCACCTAGCAATTGCTGACTTTGACAGTGTTTGCACCAACGCAGGAGAGCGTGTGCCTGGGCCTCGAGAGTACTCCCTAATGAGTGAGGTTGAGTTCCCATACCTGTCTTCTCACGACGCACTCGAGGAAGTCGGTGCCCCAGACTCATACTCTCTTTCCCTGGATCTCACCCGACAGGGCATTGTTTGCGGTCCTTCTTCAGGATTCACTCTGAAGGGTCTGTTCCAACGTCTTGAGAAACTGAAGCAAGAAAGAAAGCTGTCAGACCTTGCTGGCCCCGATGGCGAGATTCACTGCGTTTTCATGTGTTGTGATCTTCCCTTCCAGTACTTGAATGAGTACTTCTCGAATCTGGGTCCCGAGAAGTTCAGCCCTCTTCGTAATGAGGTATGTCAAGATGCAACATCAACAGTAAAAGCAACACTAACACGATACAGCGCTTGAGGAATGTCGACCTCTACCGTTACGATGATGCTTGGGAGCTCAACTCCCTAAACGCTTTGTCCAACTACTTCACCATCCACCCCCTAGGTACTCACGACACAGTTTTGTCGCTCGCAGACCAGATTGACAAGGCTCTTACTCCATCAACCAACACTCAAATTCTCGACTTCCGACGATCGTCCGACTACGATGCCTTCCACCTTCCCAACTCAGTCAACATTCCTCTCGAAGCGCTGCGAAACGGGCCTGACAGCGGTAGTCCCTTCTCTAACCCTGCAGATGAGTGCGCCATGCTTGAGCAAGTCTGGCTTGAGCTTGAGAGCCTCTTCAGCGTCAAGGATAAGAACGGTAACCGAAATGCCAGTGCCGAGGCACTCATGTCTATGCTCCGAGGCAAGAGGGTCCTGACGCTTTGTTACGACGGTGACAGCTCTCGAGTCGCCAACAGTGTTCTCCGCGCAAAGGGTGTTGAAGCAGAATGTGTCCGTGGAGGTTACGGTGCTCTTGCCAAGTTGCAAATGCCCTGCAATGACACTTGTGAGGTTGTCTCCATCCCTGTTTCTGTGCAAGTCTAAGCAAAAGGGATACGCGTCACCCTACAGCACTGCTTTTCTTTGCGATGGAATGCTTGAACCGGCCGGAAGTGCAGTGGGCGTCCGGGGCCGACCGACATTGCGCACATGTCGGATTTTGAACATGTTGGAGTTTTCCTTTTTATTTCCTATTTTACATCTATACCACTTATGACCAAAACTAGAAAAAGTAGGATGAGATGAAGAGCACTTTATCTCAGGATGGCGAATGCCCAAACCAGAAGTGCAGTGGGTTTCTGGGAATGGAAGACAATGAAGGATTAGGTACAGAATAAACGATGAATCATGAATTACAAGAGATACCGCTATTGCAGAGTCGACAAGAACCGCTGTGGAGCGTCAAAGCCCATGCTAGAGTCTCGATGCAGTGAATTCAACGTCAGGCAAGCACATGCAAACTTGATACTTACCGTTCAACTTGTTAGGATATTCTAGAATAGCTTAAGAAGAACTCTCAAAGCAAAAGAGCATTCCGCGGCAGGGCTCCGGACTCCAGACTTTACATTCCTCAGAAATGCTATCCCGTTGAGGGTCGAAATTTAAACTTCCGATTGTCGTGGGCTTAGCCTGATTCCTAGTAACTGACATGACAATTCTGGGAATAGCATGCTGAGGGAGGAATGATGAATGCAAAGTGAAAACACTCTCGGTCCCGACACCCTGGAACATGGTATCTGGATTCTCCTAGCCCTGTTGATCAACGATGGTCGACGTTGCCGGTATCAGGTTGAGGATCACTCGATGACAGGTTAGAAACATACACGCAAGTATATCGTCACCTTGGAACCATTTGTTGAAAGCGACGAACGTGGCGTGAAATCTGTCAATAAAAACCTGTCAACTCTGGGACCCTTCGGTTGAATCCTTCTTGCAGTGCCTGAAATCAGAATCTGGACCGGGCCATAGTGAAAGGCTATCAGCCCATGGAATGCGGTGCGGTTAGACTATTCCTACCAACTAGGCTCCGGGTTCCCATGCCATTTCCACTAGCAAACAGTATTGAGAAAACCGCCGAATTTATCGTCGGAAATCGTGCCCATGTGACAAAACATTCGACTCTTAACGCCGCAGAGACCAGGCTTGTCGATAGTTAAGCTTACACTGAATCAAGGTTAAGAGACGCCCTCTGCGTAGAGATCGAAAGTCATGACATTAAACAAGTGATCAGTGAGAAGAAACAAAGTATTCCGAATGGGTACATGGTTGCGAGAAGTCAATATCGTGGATCGGGGCTTGCGCAGGAACAAGAAACTTAAAAGATATAGAGTTGATAGTTTTACCTGCAAGGAACGGTTTAGAATGTCTCAGGAACAATTCTTGGCACAGACGATCATTCCGAGACTCTTTGCATACCTTCATCACAATCTGTCCCATAGTTTATTCGTGATAATACTTAATAATCTCATCCATTTTTCCATTAGTATTGTACTTAAACTACTGTTTAGGCCAATGCCTCCCCCCAAAGCGTTAGAAAGTCGATCCGCATTCGACAAGGCAAGTCTCGAGGCGTCAAGCTTTGTACCCAACATCCATAGTGTTGGTATCCTCCTTCGCCTTGTCCTTTTTTCTTTCTTTTTTTTTTTTTTTTACAATCATTTATCAATTAATTTTTTCCCATAGTAAGCACGGTTCACTATTAAATGAGGCTGTCACGTCATAAACTCGAGACGAGACGATTAAAAAAATAAGTAAAAATAAACCAAACACAGACAATACCCCTGATCATCGGGACTGAGACTCATCCCGTCTCGTCCGAAGCCAAGCCAGGGTCTCACTCAATCCCAAGCGGCAAAACAGACCAACAGCTGACTATGTGTGACAAGTCGATACCCGAAACAAAGTGGCATTTACTTGTATATTGAATCATGCCAACACACCATTCGTTATCCTAACCGGGTGGCACGTATATTAGCATCCATTAGCTGTTTAAACCCTTTTCGCACAGTTAGCAAACATTGTTCCTGTAGCGTTGTCGGTCGAAGCCGTATCACATCCCATCCCACCTTTTTCTACGGGCGCCTAAGACAAGCATCTGGTTAGTCCAAAAGTTTATATCCTCCAGAAACCAACAATTGAGAATGGGCTGTTTAGTCTATGGGGTAGTAGTCGGAGGAAAAGAAGAAGGGAGAGACCCCTGTGAATACATATAAACTGTGAGGCTTACCCCGTTCCCAAGTTCATACTCGATAGGCAAGAGAGTGAAGCGAAACGGCCGATAGTGTGTCTCACCTTGATACATTCATTCCACTTTTACCATTTTATCCATTCATTTATCTACTTGGTGTTTCTGTCCTTCTTTCCATCTCAAGCCTTGAAACTATCAAGACATCTTCCTCCCCTTCACATTCATACCTAAAAATGAAGTCCTTTCGAACCCATCGATCAAAGTCTCTCCCTAGCAACCAAACCTCCAAGAAGTCGCTCTTTTCCAAAATCTCCCGTCGCCTCTCTCTCGGCCCCAGAAGACGCGCCGATTCAGTCCGTCTATACGACGATAGCGACAACGATGACACAGTCTGCGTAATCCCTTCAGAGGTAAACCAGATCTCGTGTTCCTTGTCACAACCCTTGACTGACAACGTGATACAGCTTCAACAGCCACCTACCCAATCACGCTTCGCTCGCCGAGCCTCCCGATTCTGGTCCGTATCTTCGGCAAACCAGTTCGAAGAAGACTTCTCTTCACCCCAGTCCCCAACATATCCCTCGTACGGGGGCACATACGTCCCACGCCATGCAGCAAGCGACTTTTCCAAGACAGCCACCAATCGCCTGACCATGATGGTAGAGGCCGACGAGACGACGCTCTGCTCATACAACTACCGCACCGACAGGACTACAAGAAGCTCCAGCATGACTGACAGCGAGCCCGATCTGGATCATCGTGAACAGGCACTCAGAGCCTTGACTACGAGACGCAGTAGCACCCTCTCAAGTCAGACGAGCAACTCGAACAATGACTATATCTTCTTCTCGACCGACGCGACAAGTAGTGTAGATGCTCGGCATCGAAGATCAGCTGCTGCATGGGCTGAGCTTGAACAGAAATCAGCAGCAATTAACCACAGGATGAGCGGCACCGATCAGCTCATCCCCCGGCAGGGCCGCACACACAGCACCTATCTGGGTTTGCCTGGCAGCACATACGACTCGTCAAGACCCGCGAGCTCAGTGGCCACGAGTGTCCATGAGTATATTAGGCCCGCGCAGACTGTTAGAGCTTGGTAGCCGATGACTGTTTGCATAAAAGAACAGCCAAGTTTGAGATGCGAAATGACTGGGATTTTGAGACAGGCGTTAAGGGTAGGCGTTATATGCGATCTTGGATTGTAAATCTGGCTTGGGATTCAAGAACACGAAGAAGCCTGGACTGCTTCAGACCACAACGGGCGTATCTGCGCTGATAAATGATTCAAAATAAACCACATTCATTGTTGAGCTGGCTGCAGGTTCTGTCATGATACTCAAAATGAGCGAGCATCTTTAAGCGTTACCAGAACGCCCAGTCCATGAAACATGTAATGAATGTAACAAAGCTTGTTGAAGCACCAATGCAATGGGATCGTGGTATTGCCGTCGCATATTTACTGAAAACACAGTCTCAAACGCCAATTTTCTCCACGCACCCGATTGCTCGTCGCCGAATACATGGCATTTCGTGTCTTCATGCAAGAGAAACCGCCTTCCTGTTGCGTTGATATCAGAGGTCTCTACCCAATGCACCGTAGTTAACCAGGCCAGTCCGCAGACCAATGCAAACCGCAAAGTACCCAAAATAGACCATGCTTAATCAATCGACTCCAAGCCATTGGCTATCCTTGTAGGTAAATCGAAACGAGTTGTAAGCAATACTCCGACAAGCCCGCTGATCAAGAACTATCACGCGGTGGATAGATAATTCGCCAGCTCCTTCGCTGGCCTCTTCACCGACTGTGATGACCCAAACATGACGCATGTCAAATATTAATACAGATAAAGCACAAAAGCGACTTCATGACCGCATAACCCCAGCAACTGGCCTTCTTGACGGTATAAGGATCTCCTCGTCGTCAGAGCTATCGCCCGTTTCAGCGCTGGCTTGATCAAGCATTTTTTCGATGTCCTCATCACGCAGTGTCTTTCTTGTCTTCCCGTTTCCTATACCAATGCCACTCGGTAAAGACAGTGTCCCTCGTAGTTGACTTCGCCCACCAATTGTACGCCTTCTGGGCATGACTCTATTTTGAGGAGGGTAATGTTGCTGCTGTGGTGAATCCAAGTCCATGGGTGAACCGGGAGGTGGTGGCATAGATGAGTTATCATAAGGAGATTTTCGGGCCTGCTGAGGCTGGCGTTGTGATGGCAATGGCTTCCTTGGTCCGGAAGGCAACGCGTGACGTGCCTGGGGTCTGGTCATTCCAACGGTTGGTGCTGACGAGTTCGGGGGAGAGAAAGCATGCTTCAAATTAGCCGAGTTTCCCGGACTGCTCATGAACAGCAATGTCTCAATAGCATCTTGTTCCCTAACGTTTTGGTGCGGTGACATGAGAACAGTGTCGCCTGTAACACGGAACTTGGGTCCATGCTGAAAGGTCGCCTGTTGTCCAGGTGTATGAGGAGAGTCGGAGAGCGAATGTGATAGCATGCCCGGGGTTCGATGGGGATGAGAGTTACGACGCGGGTTCATGTGCGGTGCTGAGGGCGCACCAGGTCGAATAGGTGCTGGCGGCGCGAGTGATGGCTTGTGCCAGATATGGTCTGGTGGTGTATGTGACTTTCGTCGCTCGGTAGCCGACGTTTGTGGTAGAGGTGCCGAAGATGAAGGCGGATTGCTCACGGGCATTCGAGGGCTCGCCGAGGAGCCTTGTCGGCGATGTATGGTGGATGTACTCGAGACTGGAGACGCAGCTTGGGATGCCATATTCTCAACCTCTTCGAGTGAGTTTGACTGCCAACCATTATTGACCTTGACCATGGCATAGGAGAGACGCGTCCGTAATTCGTTGGATAACTAGAGATGGTGTTAGTGGGTTTCCCACAAGCAGACCGGTTGTTGACTAGAGCAGAGACGCGGTCCTTGGAGGCGGTGCTTGACATACCTCTCCAATATGGCCACCTGCTGATGTCCTGCTTACAGCACTTGGTGTTCTTTTGTGGCCTTTGACGGGGCTTTGGCTTTCTGTCCGGCTTTTAACCTCACCGTCGGCCATGCGTTTCCGTGTATTAGAATTAATCGTACGGATTCTGTCCTGTGCAGCAGCAATCTCGGAGAGCTGAAATAACTGACTATCCTGGCTAGACGGACCAGGTGCACAGTTACTGGCGTCGCTTGCTGGAGGGGTGAATGCGAGATCTGTCGAAACGGTTATGGTGGTGTCTTGGGAGCCAGTATTGGAGAAAGGATGGCTCTGCGTAGAACCATCGTCGCGATCTGTAGAAGGCTTGCGCTGCATTTTGGCGATAGCAGCTGCAACTACGGCATGTGCTGTTGTGGTTCTGGCTGTTGAATTAACAGCAGCAGCACCGTTGACAGGCGCAGCAGCAGTTGGCGTTATCGACGCAATCGGGTGGGAGGCTCGCGAGAGCGCGTCGTCGGCCGGGGTTGGCAGTGGCAGTGGTACCGCGGTATCCCCACCTTGTCGCGCTGTTGTCTCAGTCTGAGTAGTAGCGTCTAGTTGAGAGTTGACCGTTTTGAACGGTGGAGGAGGCGCAATACGGTTGTTGTTTATAGCAATTTCATGCAACGGTTGATTTGGACTCATGACGGTCAAGAATAGTCTCCAAAGAAGGAGTTGTGAGAGTTGTTAGGGTGAAGTTCGTCCGAGTCGCTCAAGGTGGACCACAATTGGAGGGATTCCAGAACGTATAAGCCTGGTGAACCCTTACTTTAGGTGCTGTAGACCGACAGCTGGAGTGGAGGGCCCCAGAACGATGGAAGGGTCTAGGGTCTAGTTAGACGAAACCGCGCGGCGGGAAATCCGGGCTATCAAGGGAGCTAGAGAGAAACAGGGACAAGGGAAATAAGGGCGATAATATTTATTGATTGTTTTGTTTATTTGTGGTTGTCACTTACTTTGGACAGGCCAAATACATATAGATTAATGGTGGTCGATCCGCGTCGAGGGGGCGATTAATTTTAACAAGTAGCCACTATGGATACGGATGGCAGCCAAGTGACCAAATACTCAAGCCGTAGTAATTAATTAAAGCTGCAGTTATAGATGGTCTAGTTTGTGGGAAGACAGATACAAATCCCACGCGATCTAATACGTGACTTTGATCAGTGCAAAATACCCTCTTCTCAAGTGTGCGCTTGTATGGAGACTGAGCCAAAATCTGCTAAAGATACACTAAAGATTTAGTGGCAGCAGGGTCATTTACAGGCCGTTCATCTGCTGTAGGTTTAATTGAGGTGCTTTACACTGGACAGGCTCCTCTGGTGATATTGTTGACGAAATGCAAGCCGTCTATGCCGCATGAACACTTCCAACGTGACCTGGGCATGATAGCGGTACAGTAAAACTGAGTGCGTGTGAGCAACCTAACACACTTATTCGGTTGAGGTGCAGACGCACCCTGGTCATGATCCGAGATGCCAATAAAGCACTCATTCTCCGGTCGGTCATGCAGCTCGAAAATATTAAAAGCCGCGTGGCGCTGCAAGGTTTTGTGAGGACTTTTGCGAGATATGAACACGTACATGGTCGAATTCGGACAAGACATGTAGGCATCAACAAAGGGGACACGATATCGTTATTTGACCGCCTGGAACGACGTTAAACGTTGCAGAAAATCATTATCATAAATCATCTCTCACCAGAACATTGAGCAATGAGTGCGACAACTGTCTCCACCCCTGTAACCCCAAATTCATTTTCCCCCTCCTTCCCGTGGATCATGGATGACAACCAGACCCATGACACGCTTGGGCCAGAAAGGCGTTTATGACGCGAGATCACGTGCACGTTAGATCGAGTAAACAGTGGAGATTGATAAGACAAGGATGAGACCTTCAATTCAATGAGACTGTGACTGTTGTATCGACTGCAATGTTCTATTCACGATGCTCATAATACATTGTCTATGTCGCTTAAACAAATAGTAATCAGTTCTATCATGATTTCCAACCCTCTTCACACCCTAGAATTTACTATGTGGATAGCTCACCCACAGGCTGGTTCGTCATGTCCAGCATGTCCATAGACACCTCCGTCCAGAATCACTCCCTCGTTGTTATTAAGGTCATGCTGAACACGCTGCCATCCCTTCTTTCTTCGCGATTCCCTTCCCTCAACTTCAGCACCCTTGCCCTTGGCATCAAAGACAGGCTTGATTAGAGATCCAAGCAGAGGGTTACCGCTGAAGGCTCCACCATTTCTTCCACGACCCTTATTTCCCGATGTATCTCCCAAGGTGCCATCATTAACTTCATTGTCGACCACCTCGTCCTCGGACTCGGGTGTAACGGGTCGTTCCACCGCTGCCATTCTGCGAACAACCTTGCCTCCTACCACGTCGATGCTCACAACTTGCTTCCTCTTCTCGTAGTCTGGTCGTGCGCTCCACTCCATCTCACGAAGGACCTTCTGTTGTCGCTTCAATTCACGCGCTCGCTCCTCAGGAGTTGCCCACATGCTGCCCGTTCCTGTAAGCGCTCCACCAACATCAAAATCGGCTGCTTCGTCACGGACGGTGGTTCGCTTGGCGTTTTGTGCTTGGAAGTTGAGAAGTTTGTCACGATGAGCGCGGGCCTTGGCCTCAGAGTCACTGAGCGAGGGGCCATCATTTCCACGGGGTTGAGTAAATGGCGCCGGTGTCTTGGCTACATCAGCACGACGATTGGCATCGCGGTTGGCAGCCTGCCGTTCACGTCCTCGCTCATCTTTAAGTTCTCGTACCATCGCTTGAACGTCATCTGGTGTGAGAAGAGGAGTGCCGCAATAGGTGCAAGGTCCCAAACCCTCCTTCATGCATATAACCTTGCCACAAGAGAGACAGTTTGGGGCTGCACCCTGAAGAGGATGCCTCGTAGCAACACAGTTGCATTTTCTAGCCTTGGAATTATCCAGTGTGGGATTCGTCGAAATTTCAAGCGCTCGTATAGCTGCGTCGAGGTCAGATATAGCAGTTGATGCTCCAGCCATGGGCAAGCCGCCAGCTATAGATATCTTGGTGGTTGTAGCTGGCTTTGGCGTAGAACTGCGTGAGGTAGGGGTCGACTTGGCCTTAGACTTGGGTGGACCTTCTCCAATGAGGTAGCCGGCTGAGGCATGCTGTTTGGGGGGAGGCTTTGCGACAGGCATAGGGTCAGGTTTAGGGGTGGTCGATCGTGAGGCATTGTTACTGCTAGGTGCGCTTGGCCGTTGAGGAATGTAGTCAAGGCTCAGGTCCTTCTTGCTGTATGTTGTACCCGCGGGCGCAGCATATTCCCCCACTTGTCTCGCTTGAGGTGTGTGAATACCTGCCTTCTTCTTCTTCGGTTGTCGTTTTGTCTTGGGTACGGCATCGATATTCTGCGACTCTGATTCAGGCGGTGCAGTGATGTTGGAGTACGAAGAGCTACCAGGCGCTGATGTTTGCCTCCGAGAGTTGAATGACGATATAAACTCAATCGCTTGGGGTGAGTCTCCTAGTAAATTTCCAAAATGATCTGCCGCTTCTGCTGTGGAGAGAGTAGAGGCGTAATCGAGGACCTGCTTAAGCTCCTCATCAGGAAGCGGTAACAACTGCGAGAGCTGTGCAATAGACATGGCGTGTGATTTTGGAACAAAACCGAGTGAGATATATATCCCCGAGTATATATTCAGCTTTGATATTTCTTCTCCACGTATTTGAGGTTAGAAAAAGTCGAAAATAAATGTTGACGTCGTTGAAGGAGAGAGCTTGGAGCTCCCCCACCAGACCGTCCTAGCCCCTCCAAAATCTATAGACTGTTTGCTGACTCACTCGCCGAAATTCGACCTGCACCCCATATTCCGTCTCATAATGATCACTAACAATGCTTGAGAAAAAGACTTGGCGTTTCATCGGTAAACTATTTAGAACTTGTTTGAAGAAAGTAAAGATGTGCTAACTGAAGGATCTACTGTTGGCTACTGGAACAGACTCCATCGGTTCATGGCCTGTACAGGTAAGATGCAATAAGAATTAATTGGTATGGTCCTCGGGCTGCATTCCCGGATTCCGTACACGTGCATTCAGTAAGTGCACAGCATCTCCAAATCTTCCCGAAATATGCCGTCGTTGATGATGGTGAATTGTCGTGGTTCTTTGTGATACTCGAGTACAGGGTTAGTAGCTGCCGGGTGAATGGATAAAGGAATGGATGATTTTAAAGCGAGCCAACCAGAAAAGCAATTCACAGTACTTGACGATGATATGTCTCTTGTTCTCCACCAGATCGAAGAATAAGATCAGAATTAATGCACTGGAATAGGTAGCCTAGTAGCTTGGATAAGATGGTGAGCATCGCTTAGAATGATAGTGGGTTAACCGTGGCTGCTACAGAACCTGACCAAACATTTTTGCTCAAGGCATGAACTTGGATACAGTTGTAAGGGAATTGGTCAAAACGCAATCTTCCTCGGGGCTTTTCGTGAATTCTACTTGTGTGTGACTACATGATATCTGGAGTATTATTTTTCTGATACTTCATGTATGTTTTCTATTTCATCATCAGTTGCTGGCCCGTTGCTCCGTGCTTCCAAAATACCGAGTGTCCTCCGGACTGGCCAGTCAGCTCGATGGGCTAAACCCAATCTGGTATAATCAGCGTTGACCTGCCTTGCGTTGAATGGAGCTTCCCCATCCCACCTGCCTTGTCCTCCTTCCGGTTGTTCCTCCCCGTATTTAAAGTGCTCATCGCCAACTTCTTCTTCTTTCCACCCCCATCCCGTCCTTTTTTCACCCTTTTTACCAATTGATCCTTTTATCAATCGCAAAAATGTTCGCCGCCTCTCGCATCCAGCGCCGTGCTTTCTCCGCCACCGCCCGGGACGTAAGTTGATACCCCTCATCCATTGCGCATTGCTTTATGCGGCTTCATTTTTTTCCTCTTCACCGACCGAGACCGGCCCGGTTTGTTGTGAAGCCATCATGAAGTCGTTCTTCGGCTTCACATTTGCCAGCACAGCTTCAATCTTGCTCTTACATGTACTGACTGCAATGTATAGCTTTCCAAGGTCACCGTTCTCGGTGCTGGTGGTGGTATCGGCCAGCCTCTCTCTCTCCTCCTCAAGTTGAACCCCCGCGTCACTGACCTCGCCCTCTACGATATCCGTGGCGGACCCGGTACGTAACAACAAACGTTCCTCGCTCTTTGGAAAGGAAGGCTATCATGAGTTGTGAATGTCTGGTCTGCAGTGGACCGAGGCATCGCTGCCTCGGCCAAAGCTACCACGAAACCCAATCCAACCATGATGCCACATCAACCAGTTTTGGACGGTCCTGCTAACACATCATGCTTAGGTGTTGCTGCTGACATCTCCCACGTCAACACCAAGTCCACCGTCAAGGGCTACGAGCCCAACGCTGCTGGTCTCAAGGAGGCCCTCTCCGGCGCTGAGGTCGTCCTCATCCCCGCTGGTGTCCCCCGCAAGCCCGGCATGACCCGTGACGATCTTTTCAACACCAACGCCTCTATCGTCCGTGACCTCGCCAAGGCCGCCGCTGAGGCTGCCCCCAAGGCCAAGCTCCTGATCATCTCCAACCCCGTCAACTCCACCGTCCCTATCGTCAAGGAGGTCTTCAAGGCTGCTGGTGTCTACAACCCCAAGACCCTCTTCGGTGTCACCACCCTCGATGTTGTCCGTGCCTCCCGATTCGTTTCCGAGATTAAGGGCACCGACCCCAAGGACGAGAACATTACCGTCGTCGGTGGTCACTCTGGTGTCACCATCGTCCCTCTCTTCTCTCAGTCCAACCACCCCGACCTCTCCTCCAACGCTGAGCTCGTCAAGCGTGTCCAGTTCGGTGGTGATGAAGTTGTCAAGGCCAAGGATGGTGCTGGCTCTGCCACTCTCTCCATGGCCATGGCTGGTGCCCGCATGGCTGACTCCGTCCTCCGCGCCGTCCAGGGCGAGAAGGGTGTCAAGGAGCCCGCTTTCGTCGAGTCTCCTCTCTACAAGGACCAGGGCATTGAGTTCTTCAGCTCTCAGGTCGAGCTCGGCCCCGAGGGTGTTGAGAAGATCCACCCTCTCGGCAAGCTCGACGCCAACGAGGAGAAGCTCGTTGACGCCGCTCTCGTCGACCTCAAGAAGAACATTGAGAAGGGTGTTGCCTTCGTTGCCTCCAACCCTCCCAAATAAATTACTTGAGCTCTCTTCGAGTTAATGGGGACGTAGTAGCTTAAAACACTATGCGTCCTGGTGAAAAGGGGAAAATTTAAAACGGAAGCTCTGTCGTGGCACAGATGTCTTTCTGAGGATTGGGTAAGAAGACAGGGGCGTATAAGCGATTGATATACCTATGTTTTCCTTCCCATTGTTCTACCACCATAGACTTGGAAACGAGTCTTATCTGTACCATAGCCATGAATGAAAAAAAATACCCAACACAAAATGTGCTTCTATGTGACTGAGCTGAATAGCAAGCAATATATAATCACAACAATGCGGTATAATCGCTCCTTTAACGAGACTTCAGACGTCAAAGTAACTTATTGTAACTACAAGCAGTAATCAGCATTCTATATTATGTACGAAGTGGGATCTTCAAGACCCGACCCCATATGATGGAGACAAATCGTACTCCCCTGGATAACATTACTCAATATATATATGTCGCAACTAACTGCCAAGAGTGTAATATTGAACAAGTGGGATGAGAATGATTGGCTATTATGTATGTATTAAGTCTAACTCCAACGGCATAATGTACATCTACTAAATCTCCTACAGACCTTGACTTCTGTCTGTTCACCTTCCATCTCCAACCAACAACTCCTCTCTTGTCTAATAAATGCTTAATCTAAAGCCTTTCATCTGCTCTAACCCCAAAAGAGACAATTGATCTCGTACACAAATTTGGAATGTTGCTGCTAGACTTGTCTTTAGGTCCTTCCAGCTCGCCACTCCTCAATCTTTCTTCGTCGCTCCTCGACCTTGCGCTCAAACTCGGCAACCTTCTCAAGTCTCTTCTTCTCCTCTTCCTCTTCCTTCTTCTTCTGCACAATGGCGCGACGGGCAGCCTCACGCTCGAGCTGCTCGGGTCGTCGCTCGGCGATATCACGGGGTCGGTAGTCACTGAAGAACTTCTTGAGACCGACCTCGATGATCCAGCAGGCTGCATAATCGATGACCATGACGGCTGTCATGTTGGTCTTGAACTCCTCAGAGAAGGGGACAAGCTTCATGCCCTGGTTGATGTCGGGGAAGAGCTCGAGAGCGCAAGCAAAAGCAAGGCCGGAAACACCGACAATACCGTAGAACATACCCTTGTTCTCAGAGAGAGACTCACGGAAGGGACGGCCCTGGTAGTTGATAGCAAAGGTGGAGATTTGCTGGATGAGCTGGAGGAGGTAGACGGCTGAGTTAAGCAGAGAGGGGGCGAATTCGGCCTCAAGATCAACATCATCGGAGCGACTGCCGAATGTTAGCATTTGGGTTTGGTGCCTTGAGAGTGTGATAACTTACGGAGCAAGTCTATCGCAAAGGCGAGCGATGTAAATCAGGGTGGCAATGTGAACAGCGAACTGTCCCAAGATAGAACCGATGATGTAAACGTTGAAGATATTGGGCTGAGGACGCTCCTTGCTAAGACCCTCGACAACACGAGCACGAGAGATACTGAGGAAGCAGACGGACATGAGCATACCACTGATGGTGTACTGAGTGTCACCAAACTTGATACCCTCGAGATACAGGACGGACAGAGAGTAGGCGGTGATAAGACAGTTGAGTGCAAGGATCTTGTACATCTGGATGGTGGCGACGAGAGTGCAACGACCTTGACGGATGATGTTGGGCACCGCAACGACGTTTCGCAGCTTGGAGGTGAAAGGAGCAGCGACGGAGGCATCACCGAGCTTCAGAGTAGGTGGCTCATCATCTCCCAATTCAGCCTCCATCATACCAGAAGCAAGCTTGTCGGCAAATCCAGCAGCCTTCTTCTGAGCCTCAGCCTGGCGGTTGTTGGGGCCTGCGTCTATAAGAGCCTGAGCACCAGGAGAAGTGATGGTTTCGAAGTTGTCGTGACCTTGAGACTTGGCGTATTCCTCGGGAGTCATGCCCTTCTTCTGAGCCTCACGCTCAATAGCCTTTTGGAACTGAGGGTTCTGAGGTCCAGGGGGGTACAGGTGGGCAATCATAGCAGGAACTGGGGGAGCGGGCTGGTTGAAGCGCTTCATAAGGTCAACCTGCTTTTGGTACATCTCCTTCATCTTGGTGTTGCGGGAGTGCTCGGCGATACGGGTGAGGTCTTCAGGAGTTCCGTTCAACAAGGCAATACCAATGTGAGCCTGCTTCAGAGCACCGACATCGTTGGTACCGTCACCAGCCATCAGAGTGTAGTAACCCATATCCTTGAGACCTAGAAGAATATCTTCCTTCTGCTTGGGGGAAACACGAGCGTAGACCCAGGTGTAGCGGAGGATGTCGTTCCAGGCAACTTGTCCCTTGAACTTGGCAAGAGCATAACCAGTAACACAGATATCCTTGGAGCGGATGATCTCGGGATCGATGTGCTTAGTAGGATCAACCTTGATGCTGACCTTGTCATCGACGCTTCTCCAGATAAGGTGGTCACCATTCGAGTTATCTTCAGGGGCATCGAGGATGAGGACATCACGATCGACAATCTCGACCTCGCGGGCGACATGGACAGCGGTAAGGGGGTTATCTCCAGTAATCATGACAACACGGTGGCTGCTCTCGTTCAACATCTGAACAGCCTCCTTGGCATCGTCCTTAAGAGGGCAGTGCAAGACGAGGAAACCAGCGAAAGTCAACTCAGACTCAACCTTCTCGCGCTTAAGATCGTTGATCTTGCCAGAACCAAGCTCAGTGTCAACAGTGAGTTGCTTGTAAGCGAGAGCTAGAACACGGGAACCCTTGCGAGTGAAGTACTTGTAAGTCTCTTCGTAATCCTGGGGAACAACCTTAAGCATCTTTTGAATGGTCTCAGGCGCACCCTTGACACCGGCGAAAGTACCCTTAACCTTACGTCCAGTCTTGATATCGTTTCCGTGAACCATGGCGACGGAGCTCTGACGCTTGAGAGCAGAAGAGAACTGGAAGCGGCGCTTGATCTGGACGGTACCGTGGGTGGTACCAGCCTTGTTGGTGCTCATGAGAGTATCGTTGCGACCAAGAGTCCATCCGAGAGAGGTAAGAGTAGCCTTTTCCATAGGGTCACCGACAATGTCTCCCTCGTCAAGCTTGACAAGAGCATGGGCGGTAGCAAGAACCAACTTGGTTTCCAGAGAAGCGTCGGTGACAGCAGTCATGGTGGAGTGGGCGCCATCTGCCTCCTTGGTGTCCTTGATTTCGTCCTCGTGTCCAAGAGCCAATCCAGCAATACCTTCAACGACGAGGTCCTCACCAGTGAGGGTACCAGTCTTGTCGAAGCAAGCCACATCAACACGGCCAGCGTAGGGAATTCGGAAGGGTTCAGTACAGAAGATAGCCAGCTTGGCCAAAGCAGCCAGACTGGTGTTGACGGCGAGACTCAGCTCCATGGGCAGCTCGGGAGGAACAACACTGGTGACAATCAAGACACAGTCAAGCATAAGCTTGGAACGCTTACGATCCTTGCGAACACCCTCGTCCCAAACGTACCAAGAGGCAGCAATGGCGAAGATCAAGAGGAAAAGAATGAAGAACAAGGCCTCGGCGTTGTTGGCAGAAACTCGTTCGGTAGAGTAGATCATGGTTCGGACAAGGTTACCCTGAGATGTCTCGAAACCGGTCTTCATGACAATGGCCATGGCACCGTTATCCGGGGGGGGAGGAACACCGGAGGCAAGCTTGGGCTTCTCTTGATCGGGGTTTCCATGGGTGATCTGGAGAACCTTGGTACCACCCCAGAGGAAAGCATTTTTGTCGAGGCCCTCAGCATCCAGAGGAACGTCGGCGGGGCGTAGTTGAATCGAATCCTTGAGGAGAGGGGTACTCTCACCAGAAAGCATAGCCTCGTTGACAATAGCGGTACCCTCGACCAGAAGCATATCACAAGCGACACCACTGTCCTCCTTGGTTCGGTTGACAGAGGCGAGATCGCCAGGAATGAGCTGGTCACTCTGAACCTCGGTCCACCTGCCCAGACGGAAAACCCACATATCGTAGGGCTTGATGCTCATGCCACGGAACTCATTGAGAGTGCGCTGACGCTGCCAAACGACAGTACTCTCGAAAACGACAAGCATGAAGAGAGTGAAGAGCGAATAGTACCAGTATTCATCGAGCATCCAAAGTCCAACACAGAAGATCTGGAAGACGAAAAATGGTGCAACAGCGTGCTCCTTGAATAGTTCGGTAAAGGTGGGAACGGGGATATCGAAAGTGTTGGCTCCATAGTGCTGCTCAATGCGCGACAACTCGGTCTGGGTTTGGTGACCCTTTGAGGTTTGGAAGTAACCGATGGAAGGCTTGGGCTCTTCATCGATGTCGTACTTGAGGGTGTGGAAGGTCTTGGTATCGGTATCGTAGAGGAAGCGACGCTTCTGGAAGAGGAACGAGGTGTTGAGCTTACCACCAGCCTATCATAACGAAGTTAGTAAGTGTTTGAGGTGTTTCTCGAGATCAGAATCTCCCTACCTTATCGCGGATAATCTTGCAAATCTCGGCAGTACCAGCGTTTGCAATAGGAATGACCTTGATTAACTCTGCGTCTTGGATATCCTTTGCCTTTGAAGCGGTGAACTTGCCCTCAAGATCAACGCTCCAGTGTGTGCTGAGCCAAGTGAGGGCTTGGAAAGTGATGATAGTGCCGACCCAGACAGTTGTCCATTCTTCGGCGCCAATGTACTTTCCGTAGAGTTCAGGGCTTAAGTAAAAGGCGAAGAAGACGGGCCATACGATGGTGAAGGGCCAAATATAGGCATGGAGGTAGAAAGACAGCGGGCGCAGCAGCTCGGCGCTCTTAATTTGAGAGTTGTCGACGAGGGGCGCCATGATGGGCGATTGGGGGGGTTGAGACGGTTTGTCTCTATATGAGGGGGTTTCTGTTGAATGTCGACTTATATCATTAGGTGAGGATGAATACCTCTTGTCAACGTCGCCAAAGTGGCCGTATTTCCCAATTTCTTTGTTGCAACCTGCAAGTCGCGATCTGTACTTTTCGTCAAGGTAATCGATGGTTTACCCACGCCGCCACGCTATGCTTAGTATAATGGGGACAGGGGGGCTACACCGGCGACTCGGAGCTTGCCATTCACCGATAAGAGTCACGTGATATATATCGTTGTGATAATCTCATGGTTCCAAATGTGTCCATCACCTTCTTAATAGCCTGAGGTGCGTTCAAGTCTATAGTCTTCTGACACGAAATAAGGTGCTTACTTAGGTGGACTAGCTTAGTTAGACCCTCTATTGGGGTGATGGACAAATCATTAACACCAAGTCGGTGACATTTCTGACAGCTCTTTGGCTGGGTTGGTTACCCGGGAGTTGAAAGTCAATTCATTAAATATTCTATTCACTCTACCTTTAGATACTAATACAATGCCGTATCTAGGTCTGTCTAATTCAACTTGGCAGTTTTTCTCTCTCGGATATGACGCTTACCATAATGATCCTGGCTCGCAGTATGTAAATTCCCAGGGTGCTGATCTATACGAACTGTCTAACAATGGACCATACGAGCAGTCTAATTGAACACACGATCCTTACCGTGAACATTATCTAATGTATGTCACATAACACAACTGTAAATAAACTATAGATAATTTCGGGTTAGACAACACCTTTTGGCTTTGACAGTAACACCCCGAGGCATCAATCCTTTAAATAGCTTGTCTCCCTAACTTAGTCTTGCTGGGGTTTGGTTATTTGTATAAAGACTCCAAGAATCTCTCTCATACTGCTAAATATAAACAGCACATCTACGCTCTCACACTATGTCAGTAACCAGCCTTCAATACGATTCTGAATTCGCTGAGGCATTGGCCCTCATCAAATCCGGCCGCCCCTCGATCCCTCCCGAGACAGCTCTCGACATTCGTCGTAATAATCACGCCTTATTTGCCAAAGTATTCCCTAAACCACCACCTTCAGATACCATCAAGCAGACGGACTGCAGCGTTAAAAGCTACGATGGTGCGCAGATCCTTTTGCGTCGTTATGTCAAATCAGATATCCTCAACGCCAAAGTACCTCAACCCGCAATCCTAGCAATCCACGGAGGTGGCTTTGTATCAGGCGCTGTGGAGATCTGTGGTGGACTCAACGCAGAAATGGCACTTCAAACAAGCAGGCCGGTGTTTGCTGTTGACTATCGTCTTGCACCCGAACATCCGTTTCCCGCAGCGGTGGAGGACAGCTTCGCAGCGTTAAAGTATCTCTCAGAGCACGCAGCAGAGCTCAACATCGATCCTAAGCGCATCTGTGTACAGGGAGAGAGTGCAGGCGGTGGAATAGCCGTGGGAACTGTGCTCATGGCCAGAGACAGAGAGCTCAATCCTCCAGTAGCAAAGCTGATAGCTGTGACTCCTGAGTTGGATGATCGAACATCTCATCCAGCAGACACAGAGTTTCTCAAGTTCACCACATGGACACCGCATCATAACCAACTAGCCTGGAAAGCATACGTAGGACAGGACAAAGCTGGTAAGGCAGAGGCAGATGTTTCACCTTATGCGGCACCAGCGAGGGCAAAAAGCTACAAGGGACTTCCTTCGACATACGTTGATGTCGGCACGCTTGATTTGTTCCGAGATGAGGACCTGGAGTTCGTGAAGAGGCTGATGGAAGATAACGTCGACGTCGAGTTTCACCTCTGGCCTGGTGTACCTCATGTATTTGAGTTCCTGGGACCTGGAACGAGATGGCATCAGCGAGCCAAAGAAGCAAGAAATGACGTACTCATACGGTTCTAGGTCTATATTGCAAGGTAAATGAGCGAAAGTCTTTAGATGTAGTGATGTTGAATGAGAAGTTATTGGCTGCCCATAAGCTATTGAAAATATATAGATCAATGCTTTGCTAGGAAGCTAACAAGCAGCTCAGACGTCTTCTCAGGCTGATCCTCAGGTGAAAAGTGCCCAGCATCATCCAAAATAGTAAGCTCTGATCCAGGAATTGCATCGTGTAGTTTATGAGCCCAATCGACTACCTGCCAAGCATCATCCGCTCCCCATATTAACTGTACAGGTAGCTTACCCAGCTCTCCAAGACGTGGTACCACCTCCATTGTATGTTTAGGATCATAGTGTCGAACTTGATGCTCGAATAGACTGGATTGTCCGATCGGACCAGAGATGTAGTTGAGATAAGTGCCGAGACTCGACTCCTCAAACTTTGCTGGGCTTTTGACGGCGGACAGTAACCACTCCCTAAAATGGTCTCTATGTTTGTCACTATCCGTCTTAATAAGAGATTCAAGCCCGTTTTGCATCTGCTCCTTTGTCCGTTTGGAGGGATAGCTATCGAAGCTCACGACATCGATGAGTGCAAGCGACAAAACTCTTTCGGGTGAAAAGACCGAGAAGCGCTGCGCAATACCACCTCCAATGTCATGAGCAATAATATGTATCTTCTCCAAGCTCCACAGTTCTAAAAGGCCTTCCAGAACAGAAACTTGGCCTGTCATGGAAGTGTCGACAGCTGGGTTCCAAGGACGCTCGGATACACCAAAGCCAAGAAGGTCAAATAGGTGGACTTTATAACCGGCGTCGACAAGCTTAGGGACGATGTTGCGCCATATGAGGGATGAAGATGGTGTGCCGTGAAGAAGAACAACAGGTTTGCCCTTGCCATAGACACCATAGGCGACACGGCTTCCATTGATGAGGGCGTTCTCTGTGACAATTGGCTTGATCATGGTTGATACTTTGTGATTAATGAGTCTGAAGATAACATTGTGATTCTTTGCTGGGTTCTTATACTCATGGATTAATAATGTCTGCTATGTCGTCTGAAGGGCGCATTTGCGATCGACCAGGCAATGAAGCCAAGATGACGAAACTTTACTGATAAGCAGTAGAATGGAGTTAGCAACCCCGAGTTAGAAGTAGGAAGGCTTCGTAAGCTATAGCTCGAGAAAGGATAGCTCTGATAGCTCATCAATCGGCTGTCACTCTTTCGATAAACCTGACTTTGACACCCGTCAACATGGACAAGAAATACGAACGATTGTCGTCTTCAGGCGGCACAACAGCCTCAATCTTGAACTCCTTTACAAGAGCTGGAACAACCTTGAAGACTACCAACTCTGCCAAGTGCCGGCCAGGGCATGTTCTCGCGCCACCGCCCCAGCTCAGACTTACACGCTCCATGTTGCGTGCTGCATCGGGGTCTGTGGTTAGCCAGCGATCTGGTTTGAACTCATCACAATCGGAACCGAAAATATCTGGATTCCGATGAAGTGCTACTGGGTTACAGCCAACTGTTGTGTCAGGTGGGAAATAGTAGTTGTGTAGATGAAGACCACCCGCAGGGACTTTACGGGGCAGGGACATGCTGATGACGGGATATAGGCGCTTAGCTTCTTTGATAAGAGATTGAGTCTCTGATAAACGTGTCGTAGTTGAGTAATCAGTCGGGTTGTTCGTTTCAAGGATCTCACGGGATACCTGTTCTTGTGTATCCCCATTTGAGCCAAGCATGGCAATAATAGACGTCAGAGTTGAAGCCATTGTCTCGTGGCCAGCGCCAAAGTTGGTGATTACCATTTTTCGAAGATAATTAACTGTAAATTCAGGCTTGGACTTGTGCAGATCAATGAGGTCCTTTAGAAGATCTTGGCGGTCATCTTTGTGGTGTTTGGATTTCGTGGCTGCGTTGATGCGACGAGACGCTCTCTTGCCAACGTCCTGTAAATCATTAGTATTGGGCCAGGGAATGTGAGTAGGTACGAGCATACGGGAAAGAAAGGCCGGAAGTCTTTCGGGGGCTGGAAATTGACGCCCCAAATGGTGCTAAAGAGACGCCCGGTTGATTTTGACAGGAACTCGAGTTTGGCAGCCAGAGGAAACAGTCCAAATACACTCTTTCGTCTCCAACCATGGTAGGCATGACTACCAGAGCCATTGTCAGTACCATTCTTTAGCATGCTGGGTGACCATGAGAGAACGATTGCGCTGAGACATTCGACAGCGATGATGTGCATCCATTCATTGAGTTCGACCTGGGCACCCTTCAAGCTCTTTAGTTTGGCAATGGTGCGTGCGAGAACCTCATCGACAGCAGCTTCGTGTTGAGTGAGACTAGAAGTTTGGTAGACTGGGCCAATGAGACGGCGTTGGAGACGGTAACGTCTTACATCCCTCTCCGATAAGAGATCGAGAGTGTCTGGGAATTCGGGATTGAGGTGCCAGTTGATTTGAGGTTTGTTGAGAGCGGTTGCCACTGTATAAGTTAGCACACCCAATCACTGCTGTGAGTTCATCATACAGTAAAAGTCTGACTTTTCATAGCCACTGCCATTGCCTTGAAATCGTCAGTTTATATCTCAATGTGTTGAGTTTGATCACGTACTGTAAATAGCATGGAAAGCTTCCTTTGTATTGAACCAAACTTCATTCGGACCAACGCGCACAACAGGACCGTATTTTCGATGCAGAGTCTTTCCCAAATACGCCATCCGTCCATTTCGGGCATTATAGGCGTGCCAGGAACTTGAGATAGCGGCGAGTCTTGGTCCAGGAACATGTGCTAAAGGATGGAAGTAAAGTCTGTAGATGGCGATTGAAGCCACCAACACCAAGAAAGAGCAAGTAATTTTGACGAAGAAGCTGACTAAAAGACTGCCTAGAGTCATTGTCCAGGTATAGAAAAGAGAGAAATCCATGGCCATGACTGGTAAAGCATCACAGCGGATGACATGTGCTTGTAGGAAGTGATGCGTGAAGGAGTCAAGTTTGTTAATTGCTTGGATGAAAAAAGTTGACATCCCCACATTCACATTCTCATTCATATTCACTCACACCAGTTTAAGTCAACTCATCAACACAAACAGAATCCGATTTCTTATAATAATTTGCATATCTTTATCATTTACAATCTAGTATATATAACCATTACTTTTATAATCATCTTCAATCTTAAGCCTTTCTTCGATTCTGTTAAATAACTTGCTTTGCCTTGTTTTTTCTCCCCCTTTCAACTCTCAACTCCTCTCTCCATTTTGTTCCCCAAATCATCAAAGCGATCAAGATGGGACATCCAAGGATATACAAACCTCCTACAAGTGTAAAAGCCCATCCCACACCCATAGCATCAATCATGGGTATAATGGCCGCACTGGCTCCAGCTCCCACTAGACATCGTGTCAAGTTGTTCGCAGCACTTGCAGTCCCTGCTTTTCCCGGATGAATATCGATTAACAAAGAATTAACCGTGTTGTTGAATCCGACGATGCCCACGCCCATCAATCCGTTGATAACACATGGTATAGTGACGTTCGTCTTTGCATCAACGGCCCAGCCCCAGCTGATTACTGTGACCGCTGCAAGCATAAGAAGAGGAAATCCAATCTCGAGACGTGCACGCTCAATAGGGAAAGCAGAAAGATCTTGCTGCTTGTTTCGCTCGTACGGAATACCGAGCTTGTCGCAGTGACGCTTGTAGTTTCGGTTTGTGAAAGCGCCTACGATGAACGCTGCGACGATCGAGCCAGCTGCCAGAGGAAGAAACATAAGTCCGTTTTGGACTTCATTAAAACCGTAAATTTCTGCGAACAGGGAAGGCATGGCAGCAGCTACGCAGTAGAAGCCTGCAAAGCATATACTGCTGAAGCCGAGAAGAAGGCCTGTCTCTTTCTCAAAGAGCATGAAGACTGATTCAAGAACATTGGGTGGTTTGAACTTGAACTTTTTGGATGTCGATGCCGTGGAGACTTGTCGACTTAAACCAGCTTTGTCCGACTCAGACCGCCTGCGTCGCTGCTTAAGAATTTGCAGGCCGGAACGATACATCAAAGGTGGAATTATGGAACCATCACCGACGACATGACGGCAAGTCTCTGGGTAAAAGACGATGATGAGGAAGAGACCGACACCGGAAAATATGGCGAGAAACCAGAATATGGATCGCCAGCCCAGATATTCAGCAAGCAAACCACCAATGACTGGACCCAGCGAAGGACCAAGGACACTGGGAACAGCTGTTATACCGATATACTGCCCTCTCTCAGCTGAAGTGACAACATCAGCTACCACAGCAAAGCAGAGCGCAACGGTACTAGCAGAACCAGCAGATTGCAAACATCGAAGACCAAGCAGCGCACCGTAACTAGGCGCAAGGGCAAGACCAATGTTGGCAGCGATGTAAATCGTGAAGCAAATCACATATGCAGGTCTTCTTCCACCGCTATCCGCAAGTGATCCAATAAACATGGGGGTGATTCCTTGGAAGATCATATAAGTCGTGACAGTGAGATTGATCTGCGAGGTAGTGACGCCCAGATCTTTGGCTATGGCTGGCAGAGCAGGGAAGTAAATCTGAGCTGTCATGGGTGACAATAAAGCTGTCGTGGCAGCAGCCAAAACGATCAGACGTTTTTGCCATATTGTGAAGCTCGAATAAGGAGTATCGACTTCTGTATCTGTATCGGGTTGTTGCTTTTCATTGTCTTGGCAGGGCGGTAGTGTATGTACACTCTCAATATCATCTTTGTGATCTGCAGTGGTGGCGTTCATCTTCCCAGTAGTTTCAGGATAATGGTGAAATGAATGTGCGGTGGCATTTTGATCGGCGAAGAATAGAAAATCGATGAGATTAAAGACAAATAAATAAACCCATTAGAGATGCAGCTAAATTGTTAAACATTCTGACCTTTTGCTTGGGTGATGATATGATAAGTGGGTTTGTCCACGTCGTTTCGGTGCCGAGTCGGCAGACTGCTTGTAAGTGAGTGTCATTCAGAATGCTTACAGGGACTATGTATCAAAAGATGCCTCTGGATTGGTCACTTGGGCTATTACCCAATGGAGATTAGCATATATTATGTCCGGTCTAAGACCCTGGTTGACTCAGTTGGTTGTTGCGTACCTTGCATTCGGCGCCGACAGCGGGATGACTCAGTTGCTGCTGGAACAATATGTCATTTACCAGTATGTCCTCCTCCTTTTCATGTCTCCCTCGGTTGTAAGATCAGGACTAGACCCACCATTTCGTTTCCGTTTATCTTTGCCTTTACCTCGAGAATCCACTCTAGGCGTGGAACTCGGGATGCCTTCCTTCTTCTCTACCCCTTGATATTGGTCCGTATCAATGTCTACCATCCACGGAAGTTGGTCAATTAGTCCAGTTCCCATAAGTGCAGCATTGACAAACATGGCCTTGCCAGGCTGAATTGGCCTGCCATCGAAATTGTAATGGCAACATCGTTGCGACCTGTAGAAATCTATCCTCTCTTTCCTCTCTCTTTTATCCTCCCGAGACTCAAACCTGGAGCCACGCAACCGTACCAAATTTTCAATCACAAATGACTTGTCGTTGTCGATTTCCTTAAAACGTTGCGGAATTTCTGACAATTTGGGTCTCCATGACACCAGCTTTGCACCCCAGCTCTCGTGAACATGCCCGAAGCAATGGATCCGTGGTTGGGCTCTCGCAACTGCAGCGAATAGCTGTGGGCATCCGATGCGTTCCTTTTTTTTAAAGTCATATCCATGATTCCGTGAGGTGGGCCATGTGTTATAACAAGGTCGGTCCCCTGTTTGATGTCGAAATCGTGAATGCCGTCGTACTGGAAGCCCCAGCCACCGCAGTTGTGAGCAGGTGTATACGGACTGACGTAAAGCTTCAGAGTAGCACTGTTGGGAAGTTGAAGCTTGTGAGTACCCTCTTCTAAGAAAATGATGCCCTTGTCTCTCGCCTGTAGAAGTAGCTTCTTCGCTTCCCCAAACTCCCCAAACTCGGCCATGATGTCCTTGCTGATATCTTCCTGCTGTATCCTACAAGTTTCTTCGATTTTGTGCTTGTACGCCGTATCGTCAAGGGAAAACTCATGATTCCCTGCGATGACAATCTTCAACGGAGCGTTGATGTTCTCTAGTAGTTGGATTGCCTCTCGATAGTCTTTTAGCTTGAATTCGTTTGTCATATCGCCGCAGTGAATAGCCACGTCTGCTCGCTGGAGAGGTTCCATGCCGGGCGGAAATCTTTGTGCGTGGGTATCAGACAGTATTAGGATGCGTGTATTGATAGAGGGCGACATTGTGAATGTGTGAAATACGGTATAATATGTGAGTGAATGGGGACAGGATATTGTCAACTTGGTAGAACTGTCATAGGGACAGCGTTATTTATATGACTTTGAGAAAACAGAACCTTATATTGTGACAACTTAATCTTGTATTGATTTGAATAGTCTTAGGACAATTAAGTCTCAAGGTTGTGCAGGCAACAGGCAGTACGCTTAAGGTTTGTGTTTGCAGGCATATACTAAAACTTTGTTGTAGATGCGCTTCACCATGCGAAATTTAAATGGAGGAATGACTTGAACAATACAAACGTGACTAAGGGCCGACATGCGGGAGAAGGCAACAAGAGAGTGTCAAGGCCTCTGATGACTACCTAGTTGCGATCCGTGCATTGATGAGGGACTACCTGCTAATAAATACAAGAGACCAAATAATAAGACTTACCTTGTGTGCCTGCGTAAGTCGAGTTCAAGAAGGCCTAGAGAATTGGCGATGAGGTCTGTGTAAGTTGAACATGACAAAATGAGGTAAACCGTCTCACTGATGGTGATTTACGCCAAATAGTATTAATCCTTGTGATATGCCAGATATCAACTCTACTTTCTCGTTCCAATTCTTAGAACGTGTGGTTTTGCGATTGAACCCATCTATTACTGTCGTCCACAGTTGCCCGCGGGAAATAGTCGGTACTACATCTGTTCGCCGCGGATAACTGGCAATTGCCTCATGGACACTTATAACCCACTTCTGATCCATAGTCAACTACAAAGGATTGAACAATTCATTTAAATAACTCAACCATTCTGGATAACTCCTTTACCAGACAGTGCAACTTGTAGTTATCAGTTACACCCGATAACTCCCCGCCTTCTTCTTAAATCTCGCTAGCCCCACGTTGAGCACTTTCAGACGGAACACCTTCAGAACGAGATATAAACGAGACATTTCGCTATGGACTACTCACTTCAGAATCACAAGTCTTTTATCGGGAAATCCATCTCAGAGCTTCCTACGCCGTCTCTGGTAGTCAATCTACCGGTGCTCAAGAAAAACATTGACACTCTACATCAAGATGTGGAAAGGCTCGGCATTGGCTTCAGACCTCATGTCAAGACGCTCAAGGTACGTTACATATATATGATGGACGAATAACATCGGCTTACCATCTTATAGACGCTCGAGGTGACGAGATTGATGCTTGCTGAGGGTAAATACAAAGGCATGATCGCATCAACCATCCCTGAGATAAAGGGTGCCTTGCCCCTAGTGGAAGAAGGTCTTGTAGAAGAGGTATTACTTAGTCCGGAGAGTTAAAGGCCGAAATGCTCACATAACGTAGTGTCTGTATGGCATCCCAGTCTACCCAGGAGTTCTACCCAGGTTGATTGAGCTTCGCAAATCGCTGCGTGTTCAGCTTATGGTCGACAACGAGCAACAGGTCTCTTTTCTCGAAGAGTCAGCTTCAAGCAAGCAGCCATGGGATATCTTTATCAAGCTGGACGTTGGTTCGCACCGAGCTGGCGTTGAAGCCAACAGTGATGCTCTGCATCGCTTGGTAGAGCGCGCAGAAAAGTCCTCTGCAGTCAACATCTACGGATTTTACTGTCACGCCGGACACTCATACGGGGGCCGTTCACGAAAAGAAGCTGAAGAGACCCTCAACATCGAAGTATCGAGCGTGCTCTCTGCAGCCAAGCTTCTCCCCTCGTACCGTCATCTTATCATTTCCGTTGGCAGCACACCTACAGCGCACGTGGTAGAAAGCCTCAAGGCGTTGATGCCAGAGAACGTCACCCTGGAGCTCCACGCAGGCAACTTCCCCTGCAATGATCTCCAGCAAGTATCAACAGGTCTCGTGACCGAGTCGCAGCAGGCCGTGACGGTGGCAGCAGAGGTTTGCAGCGTCTACCCGGATCGTAACGAAGCGCTGGTCAACGCGGGTGTGATTGCATTGTCGCGTGAGGCAAGCGCCTTCAGTGGATTCGGCCGAGTAGTGGGCAGCCCAGCGTGGGGTCTGGTGCGGTTATCGCAGGAGCATGGAATCGTGGGCACGAGTGAGGGTCGAAAAGTAGACGAGGATTTCAAGGTTGGTCAGAGAGTTGAGATTTGGTGCAATCATTCTTGTATTGTGGCTGCTGCATTTCATGTATATTATGTGGTTGATGAGGAGGGTATCGTGAGGGATACATGGATTCCTTGGAAGGGATGGTAAGCCTGTCGGCTACATAATCAATTAAAGTGATCATCCATTGAAACCTGGATTAACATGATTGAGCTCCTTGATTGGTTCCCCCATAATCTTGTTCCTGGCTCCAACTTCTTCCGAACCAAGCAAAATCCTGCTTTATTATCCCTGGATTGGACGAGGAAAGCTTGTTAGTGGATCTCGAGCCGCATACGTCATCGGCGAATTGCGGAAGCTTCAAAAAGGTGCGTTGTCGATGATCTGCGTCACATGAAATCCCTATCCCATCTTTCTTCCCCTCCATCTTTTCTCTCTTTCCTCGATCACGATTCATACTCTTGGCTTTCAAAACTCCTCATTCAAATATTCCCCGTTCCTCAACAATCCTTTAGGATCCATTCATCCACAACAACTCAATCAATTCCACCCCTCATCACATTACCCCGCCTCCATCATCAGTAAGTATACATGTCACGTCACTAAAACGTATTTGTGCCCAACATCAGATCAGACCACTGACTTTTTTTTTATCACAGTGTCTTACGCCGATATTGCTGCCAAGGGTCCCAAGCAGAGCCCCGAGGATGTAAGTAAACAACTACCAAAGTCTCACAATTGTCCTGACTAACCCCTCCAAAAAGGCTGCTGCCCCTCAACCTCCTCAAATCATGACTGACGAGTCTGCCTCCACCGCCTCTCTGGTCGACGTTGACATGCCTAGCGTGCACACCGTCCCCAACGACTTCCTCGAGCAGGAGATCCAGACCGAGACTCAAGCAGCCCGCGTCGAGCGAGAGGAGGAGGCTAAGCAAGAGAAGCGAAAGCGTGACTCCGCCGCCTCAAAGGTCAAGGAGACCGACAACTGGCTGATCCAGCAGTTCTCCAAGCTGACCGACGGCGAGGCCACCGGCCTGACTGTCGCCAACCTGGCCACCGTCGTCAGTCTCGGTGCCTTCCTCGGCTACAAGGGCTGGGGCCTGTACGAGAAGGGTAGGCTCGACTGGAAGGCCGTCTCTTACGGTGTCGGTATCCTCGCCAGTGCCGCGGCTGCTCAAGGCGCTGTTGGAAGATACCTGTACAAGGGCAAGAAGGGTGGTTCTTCTTAGAAAGATGATGAAAAGTGTGAAAGTCAACAAAAACGCACAGGTTGCGAAAGCCCTTGCGCAGATCAACTACAGAGCTCAGATCCCGAAACAAACAACGACTCGGACTATGAAGAGATTACGCTGCGGGATTTCTTGAAGGATGATTGAGATGGCAGTTTCTTTTTTGCGTTTTGGTGCACTACATTGCATTACTTTACTTTGTTTATAGTCTCTACTCTGGCTGATACCAGGTTATTACCCATCTCAATCCATGCTCAGGCACGATACCAATTTCAATAACACACCCCATTCTCGACATGGTGCATCACAAGGTGTGAAATGGCAAATAGAGTGAGATGTGATCATTTCTATTAATTTCGTGGCTTCTGTTCCTTCTCAATCATACAGCGTTGGTACAGATAAGAGCATCCTTGCTCGTGCCAAGACTCCAAATAATTTACAAAAAGTACATTTTCCACTGAGCTGCGCCAATATTTTACTTTATACCATTTACTGCTTCTTCTCGGCCTTCTTCTTAGCAGCCTCCTGTCTCTCAATAATCTTGATCTCCTCGTTGGCAGCAGTAGCATCGTGTGCCTGTGTGACCGGCGCGATGACCTCCTTCTTAGAAACCTCGCTCTTGTGCATATCCTGCCAGTACTTGTCGTTCACGGGCTCTTCTGTAGGGGTAGCAACATCCTGAACCATTCTTGATCCGGAAGAAGCGGGCTCAGCGTCGGACTTGGTTGAAGTAGAGGTGGTCTCGGCAAGCGTCTTGGACTCGGCAGGCTTGGACTCGGCGGGCTTGGACTCGGAAGGCTTCTGCGAATCATCGGACTTTGTAGTATCGGCGGCGGCCTTTTCGCCAAATTCACGGGCAGGTTCACCGTCGGACTTGAACTCTGCGGTCGCTGGGGCACCGGAGGGTTGCTCATCGCCAAAGTCAGGAGTAGGAGCGCCGTCCTCGTCATCTGCGAGCTCAGCACCGTAAATATCGGGGTATTTCTTGAAACACTCTTGCATTCCCCTGTTGTCAAGTTAGCAAGCTACGTAGCATAATTTTTCGGTATGACGTACTGGAACTTATCAATGCAGTCCATGCCCTTGGGCTCCTCTTCGGAGAAAACGAAACAGCTGAAAGCAGTCTTGAACTCCTCTCCACAAGGTCCGTCGGCCATACCACCCAAGCAAGGGCAGTCCCAGTTGATCTCTCCAGTCACAGGGTTGAAAGCACCCTGCTGGCCAGCCTCCTCTTCTAAAGCAGCAGGCGATCCATCGGCGGCGGCAGCCTGGGGATTGGATGGCTGAGACTCGGGTGTCTTTGAAGAAGCAGCAGCCTCCTCGCTCTTAGCCTTGATCTGCTTGCGTTTCTCCTCTACAATAGAGTCGACAGTAGGAAGGTCGTCATCGGAAAAGGCAGCGGGAGCAGGAACCGTTTTTGCTATAAGGTGTTAGTCGCATGCTTCCTATTTCTCCCGAGCCATTCAAGCACACATACAGATAGCCTCATCAGCAAAGATTGGGCTTGTGTTATAATAGTATACGGCACCGAATGCCAGACCCAATCGCAACAGAGAACCCTTGAAAGATCGGGACTTGTCGGCGGGAGCTGTGGAAGCGAATCGTCGAGGGGCGGCGCGGATAGTGCTTGATCGCAAGTTGGCAATTACAGGCCTCGAGGCCGATCGCATGGTGTTTCGGTACATCGTGTTTGGAGTCTAACGGAATGAAGAAACAAAGGGAATCATCAATTCAAAGGCGTGAAAAGCAAGAGATACAAGAAAGAATTGGTCAGCAGTGGAGCATCGGGAACATTTGACGTCTACGTATTATGATGCTGGGCCCTTGAACCTCCGAGCTACCAGGAATTGGCTCCATCCTGGATTTGAGTGAAAAAAATAATGTAACCGTCATTTACCCGCCGCCGCATTTCTTCGTTATCGATAAGTGACCCTTTATCGGACCATGACGTTCCCCCACCATCAGTCCATAGGTTATTTGATGTTTAGATAGCGCGCGATTCATTCCTGATCGATCATGAGACGCCTCTAAACACTGTCAGAAGCCTTATTGAAGCCTTGAACGTGAAGAACCCAACGCTTGGCTCTTTTAGCTTTTGAACTGTTGGTGGCTGATACATAGGGCCAAAGCTTGTTCACTAGACGAAGTTGGTTCAGGCAAGGCGAGACAGCGCAAGACAAAGCAGAAGCTGTCGCACAGGAAACGAGGGGAAGTTGTCAAGCTAGGAAACTGAGCTAGGTATTCTTCTCACGAGGAAGAAAGGCAATCTCACTCAATAGCGCATTGGTGTTCTTTTCCAATCCTTAACATCATCGCTCTCCAGCCTTCAAACGTCGCAAGCTGCCATCCATCATCCCACCTCACGATACCATGGCCTCCAAGACCTTTGAATGGCGACCAGCAAAGCTGCTGCAGGACTACAACATTGGTCAGGACTTCGCTCTTCTCATTCTTAATCAGCCTTTGAAGAACGGCGTCAACCTGCGCAAGCTCTGGAAGAACTGTATGTAACCCGCCTGAACATGTATTGCTTCTACTTGGTTACTAAAAAAGGGCCACCGCAGCTTCTGTGAGAGTTGCAGCAGATGGAGGAGCAAACAGACTGCACAAGTTATCATCCTTCCATGGAAAATACGTATGTATCACCGTTGTGAGACGAAAAAATAAATTGTCGCAATTGCGGAATGGGCTTTGCTAACCGTTGAAACAGTCCAACCTCCAGCTCATCATCGGCGACCTCGATTCCCTGACCCCAACAGTCCGCGATTTCTACTCGTCGCAACCCTCCCCTGCGCAAATCATCCGCGACACCGATCAAGAGTCGACCGATTTCTCCAAAGCCGTCAACTGGATCCGCAAAGAACATGCCGGAATTGACATTGTCGCTCTCGGAGGCATTGGCGGCCGTGTCGACCAGGGTCTTTCCCAGCTCCACCATCTGTACCTCTTCCAAACCGATCCCGAATATGCGAGCGGTCGCGTCTTCCTCCTCTCTGGCTCGAGCCTGACCTTTTTGCTCAAAGCCGGTACACATCACATCCAGGTCCGTGAGGATGGTGAGGAGGACGCCTTTGGCAAGCACATTGGCATTATCCCTCTCAAGGAAGCCGCCAACATTACAACAAAGGGATTCGAGTGGGATGTCGAGGATTGGCACACCGAGATTGGCGGCAAGCTGAGCACTAGCAACCACATTTTGCCCGAATCGCAGGTCGTGACTGTGACGACAGATAAGGATGTGCTCTTCACGGTAGCACTTAAAGAAGGCGACGGTGATGACGAGTGATCCGATTCTAAAGCGTCATGTGTCATATTGTTGCTTGTATTTCTGAGCCCGCTTGAGAATGGGTGGTATGATACATGTGGAAAAGAACAAACTCAACACACAAATACAAAAGACAACTCCTGAGCGCCGCGCTGATGCCTACTCCCAACGTGCATACATGTCTGTAGCCACTTTTACCTCCCAAATATCTCCAATTCAGGGGGTTTATTCTATCGTAAGAAATGAAGCACCAGCCAGCAGAACAGAAAGAATATCACCACGCCCGCAGCAAAGATCCATTTGTCCTCTTTCGCCCGTCGCTCCACCATACGAATTGTATCGCCGCTTACACCCAATGTGTTGGCAACGCTGTAAAGTCGCTTCTGTGTACTCTTGAGCATCTCTCGCTGCTGGCCAAGATCACCCAGCACAGCCTGTCCGCGCGCAATGTAATCGTCGAGAGCCTGATTCGTGTTTGAGAAGAAGTTTTGTTCCCTAAAAGCATGTGATTCGCGCATCTCGTCCGGTGAGCCCGTCGTCAAAGGTCCGTTGGACTGGGTTGGGTGTCGAGGCTGGAAGGTGGAGTGCGTGTTGGTCGTCGTGGCATTTGCATAAGGATTCTCCGGTGTAGCATTATACGGTCTTCTCCCCAGAAGTTCTGTGCGGTTCGACTGGTGCTGAGCATCCTCACGGGCCTTCTTGAGGGAATCGATTTGGCCTCGGTAATCGGAGAGGTTTTCGCGAAACCTCTTGACTCGCGCAAAAGCCTCTTCCTGCTTCTTGGGGACGATCTCCTGGCGAGCGAGACTTTGGTATTCGTCGAGGGTCTTGGTAAAGGAGGCGATGGAGGCAGACACGTTGCCGATCTCGGAAGGTGATGCTTGGGATTTGGTATTGAGGTTTTGGAGTTCGGCAGCTAGAGACTTGCTTTGCCGCAAGGCGGAATTGTATGCGATATTCTAGATTAAAATTTTAGCGACTGCGATTGAGTTTGGTGGTGATGTGGGAATTACCATGATGGCGGATTTTGCGTTAAGGAGCTTGTAAGGGTCGAGTGACGTGCGACGACAACTTTCATCATGATTTCTTGGTGTAGGGATACATGATGAGGCCAGATCTCGCGGGCCGGAATAATGACAATCCGTGAGACATTCGCAAGGTGCTTACCCTGTATCTCGATGTCATCTCGGGAGTATAAGAGACGAAATTATTACGTCGGGCAGTCTATGCTCCTTAGACTATAGTTCTTAGACTACTTATCTTTACACCCTAAGGCTTAGGAGTACCCATTAGGGAGTGCATTTCTTGGATTCGCTATAGCGAATATGCTAAACATCTAAGGTGATAGCTCTAGTCTCTCCGTCCAGCTCGTGGGTCTTCCCACACTAATTATGGCCTTTCCCTTTGCCAAGTCCATATTGATGTTGAATAAAGTAGTGGTCCCATCTTTGTGAGCCGTCACATCGCGATTGATCGACGCCGGGTATCCCTGTTCATCCTTAAACAGCTCAAAGAGAGAATCGTGGTCGATACTTCCCAAAGCTATCTGGTTTTGGATGAGTTCAGACATGCGTGCAAAGCGCACTTGGGAGTCCGGTAACCAACCTGGCTCATCGACTCCAGGGTGCTCGAGGAGTAAATGATTTGTATGCACCAGAGTCCCGATACTGTCTAAGTTGATCTCTTTAATTCCTATACTCGTGCACTCCAAACCTATAGCTTCGCTTGGGTCCGACACGAGGATATGCCCACTACCAGCTGTTCCCATCTCGTACAGCTTATTCGCAGCTTCTCGTGCTGATTTGGACTCCAGAGCCGACCTGAGAGCAAGATGGATTGGAAGTTTGGTATCATCAACACCGCGAGCTCGAATGGCATTCAATGTCGTCCCCACTCCCGCAGAATTGATACCAATCTTGCCTATCACACCCGCCTCAGTAACCATCGAGATGTTGGGTATGTCCGTTCCAGGCTGAGAAATATGGCAGATGAGAAGATTTGGCGCCTGTTTGGGTTGCCAGTCCCAATTCTGCGCTAGAAGCACTTGGCCGTTGCGTTGACGACATGCGGCACTTGTGCAGCCGTCAGTTTGGATGGGAGTAGTAGGGTTTTCCGTGTAGAGACTGAAAGTGATTTCAGTCCTGACGTTCAATGCGACGATATCCAAGAGGTCAACGCCAGCGCCATCGGCTAGACCTTGCAGTTCCTCAGCGTGACGCGGAGATATGTTCCGGAGAGGCTCAATGTATTTCTTAGCCTCTTGGCGAACAGCCTCCCAATTCATAGAACATGTTTCTTGGAAGAGCCATTCGTAAAAGGAGAGAGATCCATTTACTTTGTCTTTCGCTGCGGCACCATATTGATGGCCGATCTGTGTAAGAACATTAGTGTTGGGCCTTGAGATTTCACATGACAAACAATCTACCTCGTATGGTGTTCCGGAGCAGCGAACTTCTAACATGGCGAGTGTTGGTTGGGGAGATAAACAATGTTGATGTTGAGAGGAAAGTTAAATGTGGTGATTGTCGCTGACTCCAAGTTCTTAGTGTTACACGGGTGTATCTTCCCCCCTACCTATCAAGCGCGGGGGCTACTTCTGGTACTGTTATCAAAATATGCAAAAGATCGGCTGTTCATCTACGCCTTTTTGGTGATGGCATTTGAAGCGCGGTGTCAACATGTAAGCATGACTGTTGCCAACTTAAGTTCCAGCCAGATGGAGTTCGGTTCTTTGGGATCTGTATGTAGGATATTTGGATAGGTAGTCATGAATGCTCTCTTCTTGACCATGCTCTCAAATAACATAATTTATTAGAACACATATATGCTCATGGGACTAATATATTACCTTGATATCTCTTTGTGTCCAAGAAACCAATACTGAAGAGTATTTGCATGAACTCTAGAATGTCTGATTGTTTATTAAAGAGCTCGGAGGACCATGGCCGGCTGTAGTTTGAGTGGGCACCATCAGATTCCAGAAAAGAACATGATTGGAGGCCGAAAGTATGTATTATCAATCTTCGGCCCTCACCTCCGATACTAAGTCTCGGACAACATTTTTTTATCATTACCAGATTTATCCATTCAAATTTGGTGAAAAATAATTCCAAAATGGGAGACCTACCACATTTCAGTGACCAGATTGGAGGTTTCAACCTCTCCTCCATTCCTCCTGCTGATCCGGCATACACCCCTCTTCTTTATCGTCTTAGAGAAGAGACTTTCCAAAACCGAACAACCCAAATCAGACACGGTTCCAATCTAAGACGCTTTACACGAGATGACTCACTCAATATCCCATCTACGATCAAGGAAAGTTTTGGAATCGACTTTGATCAATTCATGCACCGATATGGATTGACTGGTTGCGTCGTTGTGCAGAATGGTGCTATACGCCTCGAAGAGTATCGGCATGGAAACTCCAAAGCTTCGAGGAACGATGTGCAGTCTGTCACCAAGTCGGTAGTTTCTACGGCATTGGCTATTGCCCAGCAGGAGGGAACACTATCGGTCAATGATCCTGTATCTCGTCATGTCGAGGAGCTCAAGGGGACTGCTTGGGCAGACGTCCCGCTTCTCGCACTATCCAGCATGTCATCAGGAGTTGTTGAGCAATCTGAGGACGAAAGACCAGCTGATGTACCAAACCCAATATACGCAACTGAGCTCTACCCCCAGACTGATCCCGATGCTGTTCTCAACTGGCTCAAAACCGCGAGGAAGGTGGCCGAGCCATGGGAAGAGTTTCACTACTACAACCCAAACTACTACGTACTGTCAACAGCTATATCTCGTGCTACAAAGGAGCCTCTCGACGAGTATATATCTCGCACGATATGGGAACCGGCTGGAATGCAGTACGATGGCTATATACGTACCACCGCCGCAGGTCACGTTGACGGACATGGTGGCTTATCAGTTACTCTGACAGACATGGCACGTTTTGGGTGTTTTATTCTAGATGGGATGAAGGAAGAAGGAAAAGGACCAAATGTGCCCCCTGGGTGGTTCCAGGATATATCCGACGCCAAGTACAGTATTGGAGCCAGGGCTCTCCATCCCGACAACTTTGTGTCCAACTTTGGCTATGAGAGCGGTTGGTGGACAACTGGCAGAGGCGATCCGAATGAGTACAAGATGGGAGATGATGGTGCTTTTGCGGCTATTGGAATGTATGGACAGGCCATTTACATTGTCCCTGGGTTAAATGCCGTCATCGCTGTCCAGTCTGGATATCCCGAGCATGATCTTGATCTCTTTACTAAGAATTCTGAGTTTGCGACATCGATCTTGAAAGTTCTGAGAGGCCCACGAAGCAAGTAGTCATTTAGTTTAACAATAAACTCTATTGTAAGATGTTCTTAGGAAGAAAAAAGGTTAAAGGGGGTTATAAGAAGGACATGTAAATAGACTCTACAATTGACTGAACGTTATGTGGAACATAAGTCACACTTTATTCCATTTAATCAGTGCAGAAAGTCAAAGCTTGATGATATTGATACGTGAATAAACCAAGTTTGAATTGTTTAAACTCGTAGGTAGCATTGATGGGAATGTATAAGAAGGAGTCCTTCCCACTATTAGTCCCCAGCTCATCTGTCACACCCCGACAGTTCAATCGAATCGCTGAACGGCCTTACCAACGGACAAAATCCAATACGAACATTAAATCGAAGATTTATGAAACCGATTGCCCTCTACCAGTTGAAGACACAATCATAATGAATTTCCATTACAGTATGAATGACTGGAACTGCTTCGTATCAGACAATATGTGTCTTGATACCATCGAGGAACATTATCAGAGTTCCGAGAGCGAGCCCAAGTATGCACGCAACCTTGTTCATCAAGAAAAGATAGTATCTAATGATGATTGCAGCGCCTGTCACATTGACCCTCTTAGTTTCGATACTGAGATGTCCTTCGCAGTTGACCACTCTTCAGCTGAGTCCATCGATCCTGACATCGAGATGGCCTTTGGAGTCAACACTCACTCAGTGGGAGATTTTGAAGGCAACAATTTGGAAATCCCAGATGCCGAGACTTGCCTCTTCTGCGCAAACGGTAGCAACTCCTTCGATGAGAGTCTGGCTCACATGAAGGCAAACCACAACTTCAATATCCCCAACAAAAGCCGTCTCAACAGCGAACCTGTCAATTTAGTTGATTATTTTCGTCACTTACGGCTCAAAGACGATTCTACCACCTAAGGGTTGGGCTTAGATGACTTCGCGGGGCTCCCATCAGCCCCGTTCAAAACTCCCAACGTGAGAGCCCCAAGCACATCCTTTGTTCATGGTACAAGTGAGGCACGCCGGGTCTATCTCAGGACCTTGCGCATATACAGGGAGAAACATCATTCTGCCAAGAATCCGGGTATGAGAGCTATACAAGACGATATTGGCTCAGAGGTCTTGTTTAATACCCTCCTCAAGATGAGTCAAAAGGGAAGATGGGGCTTAGATAATGATACAGTGGCGAGGTTGGGGCGAGAAATTTATGCAGAGAATGTGCATAGGCGAGAGAGGGTTAGGAAGTTGAGAAGCTTGACTCCATCTTAATTTTCGATGGGCGTATGATTGCTGGGGATTGGGTTTGACTATTGGTATTTGTTTACAGGTGAGGTTAAGTGGATTGCCGACATTGGGTTTGCCAGAATTGTCGATTTATATTTATTGAAGTTTTTGATGGACTTCTTTGAGGCTATTGTATCATAATTGTGACATTGGCTGGCCCCAGAGTCTCTCGTTTTTATTTGCTTAATTTTCGTTTCTTATTTCAATGAAAATTATTCTATATCATTATTGGATATGACCTTTGATAAAAAGATAGGATATTCGGTAGTACCTGAGAAGGCGTTTTCTATTCTTTCCAACACCTATGTCTTGGCAGAGGAACTAGAAGATATATGGTATAAAACGAGCCGTTTTCGCATGCCAATTCTCCCAGTCCTTACCAAAAGCTCCCTTCAACATCTTCTCTTCTTCACATACTCTTTTCCATATGCCACACAGGAAAAGTGATGCACATGGTGCGAGTATGCCCACTGTCCAATACAAGGCATTGTAATATTGTGGAGGAATCCAACAGCTGATAGGCCCATCCAGTCTGCCGAGAAGTGCTGCGTTGGAAAATATGAGGATGAGAAGGCCGGTATAACTTGGGTGCTGGACATATTGATATATACCCGTCGTTTTCAACTGGTCCGGCCTTTTGAGCGCAAATGTAAAGTTCTTCCCCAGCGATGCGTATGGGATCAAACGAAGAGGAATTCCAGCGCTGAAAATAAGGGCCAACGGTATCACAGTTGCAGGAGACCATGTTACGAGGTTGGTGTTAAGCCCGTTCTCTGCACCGTGCCGGATGACAGAGGTTGGTATGTCTGGGTAACGCAAGGTGAGAGCAGCAGACTGCAGCGCTAATAACCCCCAAGGAGCTAGTGCCACCTTGGTCGAGTGTTTCTTTGTCAAAAGCAAGCCACGAACCGAGTCTCCGGTCGAGGGTGCAACATGGTGACTGGGGTTAGGCGGTGATAGAGCGACATAATTTCCGTAGACGGAGCCTAATATGACAGCTGCCAAAGTGGCTTGAGAGAATGAAATAGGAATAGACATTGATTGAATGATGCTGTGACGTTTGAGGAGGTCAAAATGAAGACAGCCGAGGAAGAGACATGGAAGTGGATATGAATGATGATGGCTGGAACAAGTGTTTGAGCTAAGGATTTGAACTAGTTGATTGTAGTCTTAGCAACTTCACGTGACAAATGGTTACCATGACGAAAATTAAATGAACTTAACGGTTTGCATCCTGTGGATCGAGATCGACGGTAAGGAACAGGATCCCAGCAGAGGTTTCACAGTGATGTGTTGTGATACAGATATAGCAATGCATATGTTCTCAAGTATAAGAAGTATGGTATGCAGCCAAGACTCAAGGTCGTTGGCTATAATACAGTAGAGTAAAAGGCCAGTTACTTGTACAAGGTTTAATCCGTGTATGCACGTACTGTACTTGTCATTGGAGCACACTCAAGCTGATTTCTAGCAAGAAAACCAATCAGAATTTACATTCTTGAGAAATCCCCAGATAAGAACGTCACTCTCCCGTCAACTAACTTGAACATCTCCCAACGGAACGGAACCGGCCTCCAAGGGGACCCCGTGTCAATCAATTGTGCACAGCCAATTAGTCTGCCAGTATTAACTGCCGTAAATAACCAGTCTCCACTTGAGTACATGACATTTTGTCGATACTGGATTAGTGGCAACAAATGCAAATCGATCGACCTGTTCTAGACTCTGCCACTTTTCAGCACCCTGCAGTCAGTAAATTTACTATTGCTACTTGTCCAAAGGCATGAATTACAGGGAAACTATAGGTACTGGTACTGCTAATCTGCTTTCAGGGTCTTCAGGGCTCTTCAACCTCTCAATGCCTGCCGGTCTTCGGCCAGGTGCGTTCTTGTAGTGGCAAACCCTTCCCTTCCCTTCCCTTCCCTCCTAGCCTCCGTCTCTCCTCGCTCTTTATTTTTTCCACCCAATTATGAGCTTGACCGTTGTGGAAAAACGTTGAGAGGAGGGTGAAGAGATATCTCCATATCTCAAATCTTCGTCTTGTCTTTCTCACTCAGCCTTTATTGTTCTATAGACACTCTCAATTGATTGCCGGATATGGCAACCCTTACAGAGTGTGTTGAGGTGCCTAAGCAAACCGTCGTCTCCGAAGCGACTCGGGAACGAGAGACTTTTAGGTGTGAATCAACATTTCTTTCAAGTCGCTCACTAAAAATATTGACAATCACTAGATATGACGACTCACTCTTTACAAACGTTCGCCACAATAACTCTGGTTCACCAATTCCTCAATCTGAACTCGTCACATGCTCAGATGTCATCTTCACGGCCCTCGCCCGGCTAGCCGCTTCACAAACCGGCGCAGCAAAGTCAATGATCTCTTTGTTTGACCAGACTCATCAGTACATCATCGCTGAAGCCTCTGCTACCACACCTCTGGTTCCCAATCTGGGATATGATTCCCATCATGAGACTCTCTGGCATTGCGGGACTGCCATTCCTCGCTCCCACAGCGCCTGCGAAAACACTTTATGCTCCGATGACCCTCCCGAGTCTGGCCCTGATGGATTCAAAGCTTCCCACCAATTGCCAGTCATTGTCGTTGACGATGTCACGACTCATCCAGAGTACTCAGCAAAGCCGTACTGTCGACCTGGAGGTGCAGCAAGATTTTACGCTGCTGTGCCGATCCGGACTGACCGGGGTGTCAACATCGGTGTTATCTGCGTTATTGATACGAAGCCGGCTCTACCTTGGGATTATCAAATGTCTAGAATGATGAGAGAGCTTTCGAAGGCTGTGACAGAGCATCTTGAGACCATCAGCCTCAAAAGTAACCAACGGCGAAGTGAGAAAAAAGCCACAGGCCTAACAGCTTTTGTCGAGGGAGATGTACAACCGGGCCTTTCAGCAAAAGCCCGACGCGAGAACGAGAAGCGGCTCAATGGCGTTTCTAAACCTCAAAGGCCGAGGATCGAGGACATACAGAGCACTCTGGGAGGCATGGACATCGAGTCATCTACACCCGTCACCAATCCTCAGGAATCGACCAACGGGCAAGAGAAGAAGAGTACGCAAACTGTGCTACCAGCTTCCGATGGGGTTTCTGTTTACCATAATCCAAGTCAAGGCCTAGAAACTCCACGAGAAGCATTCTCCAAAGCAGCTCGTATAGTAAAAGATTCTATAGAGATTGATGGATGTATGTTCGTGAACGCAGATATGCTCGAGTTCTCCACTACTGGAGCCTCGAATGAATGGATGGAAGAGGATGCGCCGACTCGACGACGGTCAACTTTCAGTCATCATGACAGCGAAGATACGTACACGACTGGCTCATCCGAAGATCGTTCGCGTCCCTCATGCCAAGTACTTGGATCGTCAGAGGAAGATACGCTGAAATGTCAACGTGCTTGTGTTTCTCTTCCGCAAGCCCTTCTTGCCCGCATGATCCGACGGTATCCCAAGGGCCACATTTTCAACCTCGACGCCAATGGAGATCTACAGCCTGATGAACTATCTGACGAATCAAACCACCGCGCTCTAACTAACGGTCAGGACAAAAACCAATCGTATGGAGATGTCGACAACAAACAGGAAAATCAACTCAGGATCCAGAGGCGAGAAGCAAATATCCTCCGCGAAACTTTCCCAGGATCTCGCAGCGTCGCCTTTGTTCCTATCTGGGACTTGCGCAAGAAGCGGTGGTCCGCTGGCGGATTCATATACTCTTTTAACATCAAACGTAGCTTTACCATCGATCTGGATCTCAGCTATCTCAGAGCCCTTGGTATGCTTGCCGCAGCTGAAGCATTCAGACTTGAGACTTTGGCGGCAGACAGGGCCAAGACTGACACTCTTGGCTCGTTGTCTCATGAGCTAAGGTCGCCACTTCATGGTGCTGTCCTCAGCGTTGAGCTACTTAACGATACTGATCTTAGCATTCCACAACAAAATATCGTCCGCACAATTGAGACCTGCTGTCGAACGCTTTCTGATACCATTGATCACCTTCTCGAATATTCAAAGGTCAACAAGCCTCTACCACAGGAAGGCGCTCGGGAAAGCCAATCCGATAGATACGGTCTTAGTAAAGCACCAACTATTGGAGGCCCGCCCAACCCATCAAGAAAGGTTGTTCAGCTCGACGTACTGGCTGAAGAGGTTCTAGAAAGTGTGTATGCTGGTTTTAACTTCCAACATGTTTCTCTAGCGCAAGCGGCTCAGTCGACAAGTCAACCACCGCGACGCCCCGGCTACACATCGATACGCCGGATGGACACCATGCAAGCTATGGAAGAGCTCCGAACACCAGTCAAGGATCGAGGTAGCATCGAGACGAAAATCGGAGACGTGGAGATCTTTTTGGTCATCGATTCACGACCATCGTGGGGATTTTACACACAGCCTGGGCCGGTGCGTCGTATCATCATGAATCTGTTCGGAAACTCGCTCAAATACACTACCGCGGGGTTAATCCGAGTGTCTCTGGAACAGACAGGCGCTCTAGGGACTGACGACACCGATTGCTGGGTGACCATCACGGTTTCAGACACGGGAATAGGCATCAGCGACGACTTTTTACGAAACGGCCTGTTCAAACCCTTCTCACAGGAGAACCATTTATCTCCCGGTACAGGCCTCGGACTGAGCTTCGTCAAGCAAATTGCAGCACAGTTTGGCGGTCAGATATCAGTGAAAAGTCGAGTGGGTACGGGCACCACTGTAACAGTCAGACTGCCTATGAAGCTAGCCGATAATTGCCACAGGGGAGTTTGCGAAGTCCGACAAAGAGAAGAAGAGTTTGAGGCGCAGACGGATAAGTTACGTGGACTGCGCGTCAAGGTGATCGATTTCGGAAACAATGAGAGTGATTCTTCTGGAACGAAGATGGAATCACCTTGTCAACTTGTGCGGAACATGTGCAACGAGTGGCTTGGCATGCAGGTCAACACTGGTTTTGAGACGCCATGTTTGATGCCTGACCTTGCTATATGGTCTGAACAAGGTTTCGAAAGCCCTTTTGATCAACAGGATACGATGCCTGATGTTCCAAATATTGTGGTCTGCGCGAATGCCCTTACTGTTCATCAGTATGCCTGTGGAACCAAGGCAATACCGAGGCCCGGTATATTTGAATTCATCTCTCAGCCGTCTGTATATCTAATATTCGGTACGATGTTATCACTGACTTGTAAATTAGTCTCGGTCCTCGCAAACTAGCAAAGGCATGCTCGCTGGCCCTCTACCGCTGGACGGTTGCACAAACATCCACCGACTCTCCGACAACTGCACCTCCAGACCAAGATTCCCTCACTGTACCCGAAAACATCGCCTCCTCCATTCCCCATCCTACATCACCCTTTCCTCTTAGCGCCGAACCAACACCGACACAAACTACTCAAGGCTACTTCCGTAATCCCGAATTTCTCCTAGTCGACGACAACTTTATCAACCTGAAAATCCTTTCCTCATACATGAAGAAACTTAAACAACCCTACCAGACCGCCTCTGATGGCCTCCAAGCGGTGACAGCCTATGAAGCAGATCCAGGAAGGTACACATGCGTCCTGATGGATATCTCGATGCCTGTGATGGACGGCTTTGAAGCTACACGTAGAATCCGTGCTTTCGAAACGCAGCAGGGGCTCAGGCCGGCTTTGATATTGGCGCTTACGGGGTTGGCTTCTGAAGAGGCGCAGAGGGAGGCTGAGGTCAGTGGGCTGGATTTGTTCCTTACAAAGCCTGTTAGGTTGAAAGAATTGGGACCGATTCTGAGGGCCAAGGGGGTTCTGGAAGAGGAGTCAAATGTGGGATAGAATCTGAGTCAAAGGTGAAGAGCGATCTAATTAATACTTGCATAGATTGATATGAAGGAAATAACAAAAAAAATGAAACGATGAAATCTATAGTTAATGCCATATTCAACAGAACTTGGTGAACTTCCTCAGATTCAACACATCCGGTGGTGCTTAGAATATGAAAAGTGTCGACTAGTTGAATATTACTTGAACATATCTTCATCGACTTACCTATGCTAAGTTGCATCCAAATTATCGAATCATTAGTGGAAGCCTCGTATAACTAAACATCCACTTTACGGTCTTTACCAACAACCTTGACTGCAGTTTTAGCCCCCCTCTCAGACTTGCTCGAAACCTTGTCCTGATCTGTCCGCTTTACACTGGTGTGTGTATGCGACGCTTTAATGTGTGGCACCATCAGCCATCTAAGACTTCACTGCGATTTTAACCCCACTCCTAAGCCTGCTTGAGTCCCTGCAGTATAAATTTGGCATACGTATCTGACGGCTTATTGGGATATGCAAGTCATTCACTGCAATTTTGAACCTCACCCTGACTTGTTGCCATATGAATTTAAGCTCATTGGTAGTTATAATACGTGGGGTATAGCTGATCCACGTCCAACCAGCCTTATCCGAACTTCATTGCAATTTTGACCCTCTCCCTGGCTTGCTGCCATCTGACTTCAAAGATCTCCGTCTCTTTTCTATCAGGCTTGGAGCCTCTAGCTACATCCTTATAGAGGTAGAAGGAAGAAATTGAGACATAAATGTGGGAGACTACAAAATTATTGATACCACGGGAAATTCCAAGAACTCATCTCAATCACTCCTTGATCGCGATCTCGTATATCCACTGCTATTAAATAAGGCTATAGTGAAAATGTACAAAGAATAATAGAAATGCATTCATGACTCAATACAACATGTCCACGCGCAGTGTCATAGAATATATGAAAGAACCCTAAACAAAGTTGGAGTGTTTATTTCCTGCGTATTGTAGGCAACGTCGATGCTCGTGGGAAGAGGAGCTGTCACCAAGACATCGCCTCCAGCAGCAGTGGAAATGGTATAATCGTAGGGAAGTGATATGGAAGTATCTGTATTCTTCGTGTTGGAAACGAATTCATCAACATCTGGGGAAAGCGAGAAAGAGGTTTCTTCAGCGGAAGAAGGACCAATACTGACACCCGAGATAGGGGCGAGGTGAGTCGACAAGTACGTGATGCGCCACGCCCCTGGTAAGTTCTCACCTTTTTCAAAATAAGACATACCAGTGATGAAGCATGAGAGCAACCAAGTAATAAATCTTTTAGGAGTCATAACTAAGTCTCAATGATATAAAGTTTGTAACCAAAGAACAATGATAGCTTTTGAAACATTCACAGATAAAAACAGGAAAACAGCAATTCTTTAACAATTTTCCTCTTATTCTCCTACAATTAGTCCATCGGACGACAAATTAGTTTTCTAGCCACGAAGACAACAAATATCAGACATGCTTTGATTGCAAATGCGTGTTGGCTCATGCATGTTGGTTCATGCATATATGCATATCAGCCTCATTAGGAACTGAGATGCAGGTCCGCAAGGGGGAAAAGAAAACGGATGTACGTACATGTATTATTTGTCTTGGCCCAGTTCATAACTTCCAAGCCACGCATAGTCCAGTCTAGATCTCGACGCTCTGATCGGATCTGATTTTGGTGGTCGACGAAAACTGTTCAATATCCGAGGTGAGACATCAGCCCTAGTATGACTGGCCAACTATTGACATCTCCCTTGCGAGTCTCCCTCACTTGACATAATATGAATTGGGAATTCCTGGAACCAACAGTTTTTTGTTTCTGAGTTTTGCAAACATCGTGGCGTTCCCTTTCTGGTCTCTCTATCAATAAATGGATCATGTACGGATCTTGTTTCAGTTTTCTTTTTCCATGGTTATTTCCACATATTGGTTTTATTAGAGACAACCAACAGTAACATTACCTTATGCAGGTCTTATACATTAGATGACTCTGATCCGCAACAGCCAGCCACATGCTCTTTATGGTATGAGAATCAAAATTACTCCTTGCTACCGGCTACATGGGTCAGCGAGTATGTATGCCAAGGGGCCCCCAAGTCAAAATACTTCTTAATTCTGCACCTCCTTACCTTCTCATTGACTCTTTGCCTTGCATTTATCCTCAGTCACTCTTTTGTTCATACTGTTTACCACCCACGTTCTTTAACATGTTTTTCAAGTCCCTTGTTCTCCCAGCACTCTTCACTATCGTGAGAGCAGCTGGGGATGGTGTTCGATACGAAACCCGTACTGCCACCATCACGCAATGCTTCACACGCGATGCTCTAGCCGCGCCTACTCCCGTTGTAATTGGCGCCACGGCCATCGTCTACGAGCCAGCTGTCACCGGAGGACCCATTATTGTCGAGGTTGATGCCCCTAACTGCGAATCCTGCGGCTGCCCGACATGCGTGCACACGGTTGAGTACACTACCAAATTCCAATGCTTCTGCTCCACTGGTCTTTGCGATCAGGAGTATTCCATCAAGGAGAAGTACAAGGGTATGAAGGACAAGCCGGCCATGGATTCACACTCGATTCCGATTGGGTTCACGTGTGACGTACAGACCTGTACTACTTGTGGCCCTGAGCCCATTACTGCCACTATCACGTACCCTGTGAAGGATCGTCCTTATATGAACGATGTTGCGCATCCCACTGCAGTGCCGACTTCTGGAAGCAAGGGCGATGACTACAAGCCCGAGGGTGACTACAAGCCCGAGGGTGACTACAAGCCCGAGGGTGACTACAAGCCCGAGGGTAACAACAAGGTCGACGACTATGATAACGGTGCTAAACCTGTCAACGAACCCAACTATCCAGATGCTCCTGCCCCTGCCAAGAAGCCCGAAGGAGAACCCATGCCTGTGCCCAAGCCTAATGAGAGCAATGGCTTCTACTCAAGCGTCAAGCCCACCTCTGGATCTGATGCCCAAGAGAGTGGTTATCCTGGTAAGTGCATTATTATTGACATGATGAAGGTCAAGCTAACGTGTCATAGGAGCTGAAGATGAACACCCTGTCATTGTGTCGGGGGCTGTAGGCCGAGAGGTTGGAATAATTGGTGCTGGAGTGGCTGTCGTTATGGTTCTACTTTCTCTTTAATCCGTTTCTTTAATAGACCTTTTAATAATCGTGATCTTGTAACTAGAGTACTTCAAATTCGTGAGATGTGTTGACGATATCTCTAACTTTACAACATTAACAATTATCCATAATTGTACTCTTGAGTTTCGATCATTCTTGGCATTTTGATCAGACTTGAGATTAACAGAAACAAGCATCGACGTAATTCAGCGTTAACCGCGGCTATATCGCAGCAGTCGGAAGAGGAGATCCATCCAAGTGGGAACATGCCCACAACTGTAGTATAGTAAGAGTCACAGAGTCAATTACATAGCACCTAGTGCATTATGAGATCAATCCTTGTAGTAACTTCAAAAGTCCTGTCCAGTACAGACCAATTAGATGGAGATTTCTCGGGGAGTTTGAGCCTCAGCAAGGTATAGCAAGTACAGCGCAGCACATACAGATACCCCTACCTAACCCCTGTCCATCAGATGTCAGAAGGGACATGGAGCAAAAGTTCCGGTGATATGGAGTTGAACCTGGTCAATTAAGAAATGATATCATACAGGACTTTTCACATGAATAAATGATTCCTTCGACCCCGAATTTCTCCAGGTACAGGTTATAGACTGTTGAGACACGTGATGTAGACTCGACTCGACTTTCTACTGCAAGTGAAATCTCCAGTGGTCCAGGTGACCTTTTTTCTTTCCCCACCCTACAAACTCACCGCCCGGGCAGCCGAGTCAGTCCCGAATGGGACAGAAAGACGACGAGAAGACCATCAATCAATCAGATTCTCCAAAAAAGACGACTCTAATCTAACTAATCCCAATGCCGATCTGCTTTTGAGACCCTAGAACTACCAACAAACTCCCCCCCAATTGCTTGGAGCATTTGCTTCGGCTTCAGCCACGCTCCAAAACATCACGAGGGGGCTTTTTCTGTCCTGTCCCTTACTTCTCATTCTTTACCCGTTTCGACAAAATGTCCGAAGACGACACCGACGTTCTTGGCCCCGACGGTCAACCCCCAGTCCGAGTCGACCGCGACCGAAGAGCTCCGCGCTTCAGCTGGACTCCCGCATACGAGGCTACTTTCTTCCGAAGCCTCTGCGAGAGCGTCCAGCTTGGTCTGCGCGAGAACTCCTCCTTCAAGGCCGAAGCCTGGGAACGCGCCGCCATCGCCCTGCAGGAGAGTCACGGCGCCTACCCTGCCAAGAGCCACCTGATTAACAAGAGCGACAATGCGAGGAAGCGCTTCCGATTATGGCGTGGTCTGCGCGAAGATCCCGAGTTCGTCTACAATCCCGATTCAAGGACCGTCACGGCTACTGAGGAGGCATGGGCTGCGCATATAGAGGTAATACATTTCTTTGCACGGTCGCGCTGGGAATGAAACCTGGGGGGGGGGATTGTTGGCACACGGGTTAGGGGCTCCAAGCACGTACTGACTCTGAAGTAGAGGGAACCCCTTTCTAGGGCTTTGCGTGGCCGACCTTTCGATCACGAAGATTTTATGGAGGTTCTTTATCCAGACGTTATCGGATCTGGTGGCGCACCCAAACGTATAATGAAGCCCCGGCGGCGAACGGACGGTCCCATCAGTGACGACCCCGATATGCCAGGAACCGGTATACTCAACCTTCAAAGCGATCCTCCTCCTCCGCGACCTCCTGGCCTCGAGAGCCCCAACGCGCGTCCAATCTTGACACAAACACCCACCACATCCTCTGCTGGCTCAGCGCCGCAGCAACGACCAACATCGACAACTATTCCTCCTCGAGGTCCCCCGACCGTCGCCAACGCGAGCGCTCTTACCCCGCCCGACGAGACCATCACACAGAGCCGCAAGCGACAGCTACCCAGCACGAGTACCCCAGTCATGTTCGAACCCTCGCCGCCCACCACTACCATACCCATGGGACAATCTGTGGCACCCGAATCACCTGGCAAGCGTCGTCGCACTTCGTCAAACGACGGCTCACGGGCCCTCACCGCTTCCGTCCTCAATTCGTCCATGTTACCCATGGCTGTGCGTGATGGTCCGAGTGCCATGTCCCCATCGCAGGCCGACAGCCAAGGACTTTCCAATGGCAACGGACCCGCGATGGAAGAGCTCGTCGAAGCAGTGCGATCTCGAAATGTGCTACGTTGGCAAGAGGAGGCACTGGACATTTTCTTCCGCGACTTTGCCGACGAAGATTTGGATCTACAGGTCAAGATGTCCGAGGGCGTACTCATCAATGAGTGCAAGGCCATGGTGTTTTGCAAGATGCCCGCTCGCGTTAGACAGCACTGGGTTAAGCGCTTCAAAGAACATCCTCGAATTTAGGAATGTAGGGATGCTGTCGTCTCTGGAAAATGATGGTCGAGTTATCCAAACGATGAGACAGCATCGTGACCTGGAGTATCACCACAAACGAAACAAACAACACTACAGCATAAACCAACAAAACAACCAGAACATTGGACACAGAGAGAAAGAGGAGGAGGGAAAGAGAGAGAACATCCAAAAGAGAGTTGTGGTCTGGCGCTTATTGGGTCGTGTTGAAGATACCAAGGGTTCAGGGATATGAAGCGGCATGGCGTTAGTGGGCAAAATCCATCCATCATCGATTTTTTTTGTTTGCATTCTTTGTTTTTTGTTTTGTACTAGGAGTTGCATTGTACGGTTATTCTTTTTATAGCGAATTCTGGTGGGAAACATTTGGGATTGAGGTGTATCTTGTATGTGAAAGGAAGCAATGTTGTTTCTTCTCAACAGGTGTATTGGTGGGCTGAAGGGAGCGTGCGAGTGCTTTTAAGTTGATAACTAATCTATTTAATTCTCACCTCTCATTATAATTTCAAACGTTGCCTTGTGATATTGGAGAAAGGCTCTCTATCCGGGTAGCGAAAACTGTACTCACTCACTAGTCATAACCTGATGATGAATATAAAAGCGTCTACCTTTGTATGTGCAAGGTTCAAGAGCAGTAATGAAAATCCAAATCTATTATGTTCTTTCAAGAATGCCTTGCAATACAACGTTTATCATGATGGAGTTTTGTATTAAATCAATCTATATTACCAGCGTATCACAATTCTGCAACTTGTATTCAAAGATTAAGCCTCCCCTGAAAGTCATTGAAAGACGGTTATTTGTTTTTTCGTATGAATATATGAAAAGATGTATGTGTATATATCCTAAACGCAGAAAGAGAATTCCCCAGGCAAAGTCAAGCTACCATCAAAAGTCGTTTCAAGGCGTTGAATCATCTCTATACATCAAAAACTACTTCTTTATGGTGACAAAAAAAAAAGATGAAGTAGAAAAGAATAATATGACTATGTTGAGCTTTGGATGAAATCCAAGTTAAGACTCCTCCAGTCCCACAGTTGGGAAAAGTCTCCTAAATCCACGTCGGTGATATTGCCTAGACCGTAATCTGTGTTGAAGTCCTGATGCTGATAGTCCACGTAGGGCTGAGGAACCATGGCTGCTACGTTGAGATCGGTCTGTGGCATCGAGTAATACCCGCCGGATTGGATGAGTCCGTCGATGGCGGCGCTGGGCGATGGGACTTGCTGAGGTACTTGGGCGTGAACAGCATTGACGGAGGGGTAAGAATGAGGCTTCTGATATCCGTCCGCGGGTACCTGGGCGTAACCGGAGTTGTCGTACGGTGAGTAGTTGCTCTGTGGCGTGGATTCTGAGGGTGCACCCTCTGAGCTGGCGTAGTAACTTGGTGAACTCTCCTGCGACTCCTGGCCCGATTCCTGCCGGTACACCGGTTCCGTCTTGAAGACAGGCGTGGGCTCCTGGGTAGGTGCTTTGACTGGTGCGGCGGCGAATGCCGGGGCACGGCGTTGTTTCTTGCGCAGAACGTTCTCCCGTGGTAGTGGTTTCTTCCTTGGCATCTTATTCACCATCTTAACAAGAATATCGTGAGACGTCTTGGCCGTCTTTGACACCGCCTTGAGACGCTTGAGCAATTTGATTGAGTTGTCCACCGCGTCAATAATCTCGTCCTTTCTCGGAATCGTCTCATCGTGATCTTTGATAATGGCCGTGGAAAGAACGGCTGCTGTGTCGAATAGCGAGAAGATGATAAAGTGAAACCTGCCGTCGCGGTGTGAAACCTGATTCGCCCATCGGTTGGTCGTGTCTAGGTTCCTAAGTGAGTAATGCACCGCATCCTCTCTCACAGCTAGTAAATCCGCAGGCGAGTCCTTTGTGAAATCCTGCGCCATGAACGAACGCATGGGGTTGAGAATCATGAGATAGGCCATAGTGTGGATGTAATACCGGTGGAAGACGATCCAGTTGTGTTTATAATCCTTGGACGTGTCTGGATTGTCGACGTCATAAACGGCTGGGAAACATCGAATCCATTCCTCGAGTGCGGACTTGTACTCTTGAATATCTTGTGCTGATGTGATGTTCTTGGGGGCGCCCCATCGTTGGGCGAGGCTAGTAACGAGTTCAGACTGAAGTTTCATATGGAGTAATGGTGAAGGTGAAAAGTCCTCGAGGGTTAGACTTGGTGGCTCCACGTTGATATCGGTATGGTCAATAATCGTTGGTCGACCCAGACCGGAAGCAAATTGCCTATGAATGATTAATATGCCGTTCAAGTGATGGGTGTAAGTTGACTCACCAGTCCCAGCAGTCTAGAATACACCATACTCTTCGTCGCATCTCCCGTTCAAACTCGGACAAGCCTTCGGCAATGGCAGTTCGATGAAGGCCTTGGAACAAAGTCAGTGGCAGGACAGAAATTAAATCAGGTCAACTTACCCAACTCATGAGCCTCTCGAACAGCAGCACCAATAACATGCCAAGCTTCAACGAATCTTGCTTCAGCTTTATACCAATAAATAGAATGAAGCATCCACTGAATGTTGAGCAAATGGCAATGACCGAGCGGAATAACTCTCCCGAGTTCTGTCGCGGCGGTGTGATAATCTACAGTCAGTTTGTCCGAGGGCTCTGACAACTCAATCTCGACCATAGGCTTTATGCCGACGTCCAGATGCTGAGTAGCGCAGGCACAGACCATTACCAGCAGGATAGTCCACTGCAGCGAGAGCGTTTGGTTGCGAGATCTGCGGTCCCACCAGGACTGATACTCTTGAAGAAAGGTGGGTGGATAAATGATGTAGTAATGATAGTTGACAGTGTTGAAGAAGCTTTGAACAAGGGCGTCTAATTAGAATGTTAGATTCGTTATTCTTTAAGGAACAACAGTGACTTGCCCATCTGAGGTCTTGAGGGTAAAACATCAATGGCGTGCTTGAGTTGAGGACAAGTACTTGGATGAACCCAAGTCAACTCGCCCAGCGGTTTCTTATGCTTCTAAGTTGGTTTAGTATTTCGTCTTTGACGGTATTTTCTAGAAGTTAGAACTCACTTTTGAATCGATAGTCAATGACTCCAGAAGGGGACCAGCGGCGTAACCCATAGCCGCCAACTCAACATCATCATCGTTCTCCTCTTCAGGCTCAGACACGTCAGGCTCGCCATCATCGTCATGGCTGCGCGAGCGCTTCTTCTCACTGCCGTTGGCAAGACTATCTGACGGTGAGCTGGCGGCGTTTGGCTGTATGAAGCGGCATTTATCTGCGACTTTGCGCTTCTGGCAATGATTGCAAGGCCATTCTCGATTGCACTGTTGAGAGTGTGTGAGTATCACGGTGGAGTAATGTGAGGAATGGGCGGAAGATGACGGTCTAAATTTGACCTAAAAATCTCTTCAAGACTCCATGACGTACCTTTTGCTTCCTGCGATGGCACTCAGCGCAAGCCGAGCGATATTGACCGGTATGTGTGCTGTTATCGTCCATGTTACGGTGGAGTTTGACGACAGCGTACGTTGGTGGAGATCAACTCGACAGGGAGCGAACGCGAAGAACTTCCAAGGATGGACAGAGGGAAAAACGTTGATGCGCTGTTCAGATCTAGACCGCGAGAACGAGAGTCTTTACTGCAAATGGATTAGATGGACACTAAATGAATTAGTCGTCGGATAATGCCGTGCGACAGTTTTGCTTTTTAAATGTCCAAGTCATTGAACAAACAATGAAATAAGGAAAAGGAAGAACATTCCGTGTCTATTCTTTTTGACGATAAAATCTCCCACGATTGCCAACTCCTTACTAAACAAACCATATCCCACTTAATGCTCCAACGTTCCAATACCCCGGACGAGCTTGTGACGCCTCAAATGCAGCCAACCTTGGGTTCGTCTCAAACCTTAGAAGCCACCATGTCTTTCACGGCAATTGATGCCCCCCCTTGAGCTGCGAGACTCGCGTAGTCTGGGGTCATGACGAGGCACTGATAGGCTGGCGTATCACAATGGCTTGCGTATTCTCGGTAGTACAAAAGATCTAGATCTTTGAGTAACGGGAAACCTTTTCCAAAGCTGGGAAATTTGACCGCTACAGAGCGAATTCGAGGCTGTCGACCTGAATTGGTTGTCATCTTGACGGAAAACTCCGATGGATGATCCTGTACGAATACAGTAGGAAACGGCATGGGCCAATTTGCCGAGGCATTGAATAGTAATCAGGCGATTATTTGGAATTGATTCCTCCCTTAGCGCAAGTTTGTTGACGCTTTGGTCACGATTGAGAAGGCATTTCACGCTTGTCTTTTACGGTCACTTTCTAGTCTAGTCCTTATTCTACAAGAGTCTGGACCTTTTCGACGCCAATCGGCTCTTATTTATATTAAGAAACAAGTTTGGGGATTGATTAATGGAAAGCCGAGAGTCACTTGAAGCTTTTCACGTTTGATGATTTATACATCAGCTGCCCTCTGCAAAACCTCGTCTGATGTCCTTTAGAGACTTGATCTGCTTTCCGTCCTTGTCAAAGTTCTCCTCACTCAGCCATGTCTCAAACGCCTTTTTGACAACAGGCCACTCTTCGTCTGTAATGCTCAACCAGGCAGTATCACGGCGTCTTCCTTTGATAATCATGTGTTTCCTAAAGATGTGTCAGTATCGTATCACGGTCAACTAAGAAGAAGCATACCTAAAAATGCCCTCAAAAACAAAGCCTAGACGCTCCGCGGCAGCGAGACTGGGCTTGTTCAGGTGATTTGCCTTCCACTCGACTCTCAAATACCCCAGGTCATCGAAAGCATGTTTGATAATCAAATAGAATGCCTCGGTGGCAGCTTTTGTCTGCTGCAGCGGTTTGCCAAAGATGATGTTTCCAATCTCAATTCTGCGGTGATCCGGAACGATGTTGTAATATGAGATTTGGCCAACGGGCTCAGAGGTTGGATCATCTCGTGGGCCGGAAAGAACAGTGTAGAAGAGCGGATCTTTCAATTTGCTGAATCCCTCAACAGTCTCTTTCCACTGTCCATGGTCGGTATAAGGTCCTCCAAGCATGTATGTCCATAGATGCCCGTTTCTTTCGCCACCTAGATGCTTCCAGCTTGCCTCGGCGTGGGAATGCTCTAGGCGTATGAGAGAAGTGTAGCGGCCATCAAGAGGCGTTTGTGTGGGTGTTGATGCGGCGCCGGATGGGCTTACGGGACCGACTGGTTGCTTACTCATAATTGTGGTCTTTCTTATGTCTGGAGATTTCGAGAAGTTGAGGAGAATAATGAGAGTTGGACATGTCTTAACTTATCTGTGAGTGACCGGTGTCGAAGCCGAAGCATATCATACTTCGGCATCATTCTCCGAAAGTGAGTCAACGCCGATTATCGCGCCTTCCAATTGCATTTGAGTCAACGCACGTGATATATTTAGGTCCAAGTCAATGTCGTGCAACTTGATCTCTCATTTATTTGTTACCATCATAGTGGAAAGAATGCGAATGGTCATATGTGCTTGATAATTTCGAACAACAAATAAACCATATCAAGTAGCAAAGGAACTATGTCGGTCTGTAGCCCTATAGAGAGATGGTAATCATTTCACAACTCCATTCATTATCATTTTATCATACCTTGCACGAAGGATCAAGTGGAAACCAACGATTCACTAATCAGTGTCGAGGAAGATACCCTGTAGGATTGAAAAGTGCCTCACGGGGTCTTGGCCAAGTTGATGATCTCCAATCAAAGACAGTGCGCTCCATCAAACCTGTTCTGAAAACGTCACAAGACACTGCGCCTCATAAACACTGCCATGTTGTAATTTGACGATCATGCACGACGCCTCACGAAGATCAACTCAGCCTTGCAACGTGGAAAAGACGAGGAATATTACATAAGACAGGGACAGGCCCTTTTGAATTGGTCCTGGGACTAATCATCCATCATCAATTACATTTCACTATGAATTATCCGACATCCTCAGAAAAGAAAAGCATGCTGAATGCTGACAGGGACGAGGACCTTTCAGCGTCTGCTCCAGCTTCATCATCTTCATTGTTGGACCTTCCTCCATCATATGACACAACCCAGTCTCAGCCAGCACCTCAACTCCAACATGATCAACAATCACAACCCTCAGAAGACTTGCCCATTCTTATCATCGACGACTGCAAAATCTACTCTGCGTACGCACCAACTCGTACTCTCTATAGACTAAGCAACCCAGTATATGACGCAAATCGTACCGTCTACGGCATCGAAAAATTTCGCTATCGCACAGACGACACAGGCACCGAGTCTAAACTCAAGCATGTTGAAGATCATATCTACGATATAAGCCGCGAGGTTCAACTTAGGGCACTGCCAACTATACACATCAAAGGCTTCACGAGCAGCAAGCGCACTTATAAGAGCGTCAACATTGTAGATGCCACAAAATTAGGGGGAGGTTACAAGGTTGAAGAAGACAATGCCGACAAAGATGAGATACTTCGAACCGAGCGGCCCTTCAAAGATCTTCTTAACCAAGGACGCGGCAACACTGTTGAGTGGAAGGATGCTTCGGGACAAGTCATTGCTATCGAGACGAAGCTGCAGCGTGACGAGGAGAAGAACGTCGTGGAACCACCTCGTCTTGCCATCAAAGCGGCAATTAATGACAAGCTGTATGATTTGTTGGTAACGAGTTGGTGTGCGGTTATTTGGAGAGAGGCCAAGCATGATTTGAAAGAGCCTTTTACATGGCAGAAATGTAAGTAAACTCGCTCGTATTGCATGTGTTTCTGGTCACAGCTAACATTTTTATTTAGTCAAAGATAGGGCGACGAATTTGCCTCGCAAAGCCCCGGGTTTATGGCATGGTTACGGTATGTTTCCATGGTGACGATCAGTAACGCCTTTGAACTCCTATGATACCAAGCAATCTCATTGAAAATTAAATTCTGCATTCCACTGGCGTGGCAATTCCTTGTTTGCTGGCTGTATTTCCGTACTTTTGTATTTTGGCGCACTATGTCTGTGACTAGTTTTGGGTGTTGGTGATGAATGGCGTCTTTTCGGCCAACGATCGCCATTGATGGAGATTGCTCCTTGCATACTATTGATTCGGCTTGAGCGATGTTCCGTTTCTTAAATTATGGAGGAAATTTGAGTTCAAGACATTAAAGAATTTAGTGAGAATTGATCTCGCTAAATAACGTCTTTCTTACAATTATGACCCGTCTTGGTCGGGGACAGTTTCGTTTGCTGAGACAAATGGCAACCTAATCGATTTGGATAAACTCTGGTTGAGATTTACATGCTCATCATCCCTCTTTCTTATCTCACATGGACATGGAACCGACCGGGTCATGTTTTGCCGTGTTTGCGTGTTTATAAAGCGGGTGATTATCGACCAGGATGGATGAGTGGATGTCGTTTTTTGAACCAGGGCATGAAATACGGACAAACTAAGCTTATATGCTCTAATGCTATAGACTCCCTCAGCCACTCTACCAGTCTTTGGACAAGCACTTTCTAGTCGCTGTCGAAGTATCTTCCGTCTGCTCTAACAAAAGCCTCCCGCTGCATTGTCCACCAGAAGAGTCAAGACTCGACGGCTCAAGTTTGAATAACGGCCTTGATACCTAAAAAGTCAGTCAAGCACAAGACTCACCTGAAAAGTGCCCCTTATTAGCGCGTCGGTGGCGTGAACTAGACGGTCGAAAAAGAAACAATTGGGCTTGGCGGGCGCCGGTTGTAATTTTAACGGGCGACAGGCTAACAGGGGTAGCTCAAGTCCCGTAGTCTGTCTACCTGAACCTCCCTGTCTAGGCGAGATGAATAAAACCAAAAGGCGAACCATCCCCCGATTGTTTTCTTGATACCTTTGGATTGATCCATTTGCTGTTCTAGATGGAAGGACAAAGAGTCGAATATGGCTCCGACAAACCACTTCGCCTTTTTGGCGCTGTCATTCCTTCTTTCTGGTCCATTTGCAGCTGCTGGTGAGTTTATTCCCTGAATTAGTGGAGACGAAAGCCCCCCTATCCACTTCAGCTCAGAGCTTCAATTGACCCTGACGCGTTTCTCCAGACTGTAACATTTCGGGCAACTACACCATTATCGATTCACCAGATGGACAAGACGGAATCTCATCCTGCAAAGACGTCGACGGATCATTATCACTTCTTTTCGACAAGAGCCCTACATCATGGCCTTCCGACGAGGCAACCGTCGATCTCGGAACCGTTAGTTCTCTTACTGGCAGCCTGGACATTTACCCCCACCACCATTCCAAAAAGACAACAGTTACAGCCTCGAGTTTAAAGTCCATCGACGGCGAATTCACGATATGGAACACGGGAACCGGCAAAGACAAAACAGTTGAGGAGCTTGACTTGCTCTTCGATGCCCTGGAACAAGTCGGCAAGGGCTATGTCATCACCAGCGCTTTCGCCAAGCTGTCCATCCAGCACAAGAAAGATGTCGAGGTCGGCGCTATGATGAGAGTCACCGAAACCGAAGTCGAGGAGCTCGTGCTCAACGGAATCCATACCGTCAACGGCGATTTTATGATTGACTCCAACAGAGACATGGAGGAATTGGATGTCCCAGCCCTGACCTACGCAAACAAGGGCTTCAGCGTCAAGGGAAACAACGCCCTCACCAAGGTCTCATTCCCTAAGCTTAAGCAAGTCAAGGGAAACTTTGAGTTCAACCAGAACGGTGCTCTAACCAAACTTCGTCTCGCCGCTCTCGAAAATGCCGCCACCATGTCCATCACCGCCAACGGCAAGGAAGGTGCCTTGCTACTCCCCTATCTCTCATCCATTGGAAACAGCACCACCTCGGCGACTTCTAATTTCAAGGGTCTCGACAAGATTGAGTTTTCGTCTCTTGGAAAGGTCAAGGGTTCTTTGACTTTTTCCTCAAACTATTTCGAGGATCTCACTATTCCGCTGTTGAAAGAGATGGATGGTGGTATCACCGTTGAAGATAACCCATATCTCACGACCTTTGCTCTACCCAGAGCTACTTATGTTGATGAGTTGACTATCGATAGCAACGATGAACTCACAAATGTCACAGCCAACGCTCTCAAGTCTGCCGGCACTATTGCGATCAAGGGATCTTTCACCAACGTTGAATTTTTCAACCTGAAAGAGGTCACTGGAGACTTCAAGGTTGTGGGTGACAAGTCTATGGACTGCAGCTGGTTTGATGCCAATGTCAAGAAGATCGTCAAGGGCAAGTATACTTGCGTTGGAGATCACGAGGAGAAGCAGAGGAAGTCGAGCACCGGAGGTATCGAGGACACTGAAGGCAACCCGAAGGACTATATGTCACCTGAAGACGAAGATGACAGTGATGGGAGCGGCAGCAGTGGGGGGAGTGGAAGTGGAAGTGGTGGTAGCTCAGGTACTGGCGGCTCTGACGACAAGGCAGGCTCAGGGGGAATGTCAACTGGTGCCAAAGCTGGTCTCGGAATCGGCATTGCTATTCTCGTCGTCCTCATCATCGTCGGAGCAGTAATGTTCTGGCTCTGGCGTCGCCGTCGTGCCGTTTCACAGCCCAACAACGACATTAGCAAGCAACCGGACTTGACGGGCCTCGATCCACCCCGTCTCGGCAGCAGCGGCGGTACATCAACATTCTCCAGCATCTTTGACGGGCGGCAAAAGATGGGTGTCCACACTCGGATTGTGGCCACGAACCCTTTACCCAGCCCATCTCCTAGTCTGGGCACTTTGAATTTCGGACGCACTTCGCTTATCGAAAGCTCTGGTACCTTTACTGAGAAGAGCCTTGCTGCGTGGAAGACTATTCGCAGAGTGAGTGATTCTTCCGGTGCATCTAATCCTTTTGGAAAGGAGGGAGCTGGCCCGTTTAAGGGTTGATGAGGAAGGAGTTATAAAATGCAGCACATTCGGATTTTCAGCGTAGCGATACCTCTGTCTTTTTTTTATTTAATTTTTTTTTATATAAACTAGAAGAAACCATTGGCAGGAAACATCCTGTATCTCATTATTTCATTTGGTAATAATTTAATACTGGGAGTTTGTGAATATCTTGTCTGCAGCATGTCTACCAGATAAGGATGTCAATCTAACCATTCATTTACACCAGATGGACAAGATAAATCATGCTTATCCGCCAGACCCTGAGAAAAAAGAATATGAAAGAAAAGCTGTACCACATTAAAGAGTCCACAAGAGTTGTGCTACGACCAACTTCAAGACAATGCATGTGGAGATTGATCTCCAGCTTTTTTTGACTTGAGCTTCATCTCGCCCTGTGAGGCTTCGTACTGAGACCCACCTGATGCTGATTACATACGAGACATCCCCTCATTGAAATCAAATAAGAAACAAGTGATCGACGTGCGTTCAAAACTTTTAAGAAACATCGAACTTGTCATCTTCAATTTGAATTTGTCTCGTTATATTCATACTCATCTATCAATTGCTGCAGGACAACATCCCTTTCCACATTACACCACTCTGAACTTATTCAAGATGACGTACCCCCGTCCTGATTTCGAGCGTAACCCACTTCGATGGGAATCCCTCAACGGACAATGGGATTTTCTCTTTGATGATGGCGATGCTGGCCTTTCCGAGAATTGGCAGCGTTCCGGTCTCCCTGAGGAAGTCAAAGTAACTACATCCACTGCTTCCCGCAAAGAAGCAGGCCAAAGCGACAGCGTTGTCCAGAAGATTATGGGCGAGGCCCATTCTCTTATCCAGAACAACGTCTTTACCTCATCCACCCAGACTTCAAACTCAAAAACCAAGATCAATGTTCCCTACGTCTTCCAGTCTCCCGCATCGGGAATCAACGACCGTGGTGTTCATGAGGTTTTATGGTATGAGCGTGCTATTTCAGACTTGAGATCCGCACAGGAAAAAGAGAAGAATCAGAGACTGGTTCTGCGGTTCGGAGCTGTTGACTACGAAGCTACTGTTTGGGTCAACGGAGAGTATGTCGGTGGTCATCGAGGAGGTCACGTTCCATTTGAGATTGACATCACTGATGCCGTCAATGCGGCCAAGGACGCTACTACCCACCGTGTCACCATTCGAGTCTATGATTCAGCTTATGATCTGACCCAGCTTCGAGGCAAGCAGTACTGGGCTGCCAAACCAGAGACCATATTCTACACACCCTCTGGCGGTATCTGGCAGTCTGTCTGGCTTGAAGTTGTTCCTTCAGCTCGTATTGCTGACAGCTCTTCGGGCACCGTTATCAAGTCCAACGATATCCATTCTGGTCAACTTCGCAGCACCATTGCTACCAAGGGACGACGTGTAGGCAGGGACTATAGCGTTGAGATCGAGGCTAGCTTTGCTGGTATTCCTGTGGCCAAGTCTGAGAAGAAGGCTCTGCCTCGAGAGACTAGTTCGGTCGCCGTTGAGCTCAACGTCCGTTTGTCAGAGGAGCAAAGATCTAAGCTACCCCAGTCTATTCTTGAGAATGCACCTCTTGAGAACGACTTTGCCTGGCGCGATGGTGTTGCGTTGTGGTCTCCTGAGCACCCTCAGCTTTACGACCTCGCCATTCGCTTGTACGATAATACAGACAACATCATCGACGAGGTCAATACCACAACCGGCATGAGAAGCATCAACTGGACAACAGGCGACGGTACCTGGCGCCTCAACGACAAGCCATACTTCCAGGCCCTGTGTCTCGACCAGGGATACTGGCCTGAGACCTTCATGACGCCCCCAAGCTCTGAAAGCCTCAAGCTTGATATTGAACTTGCCAAGAAAATGGGTCTCAACGGCTGCAGAAAGCATCAAAAGGTTGAAGATCCATTGTTCTACTACTGGGCTGACAAGCTGGGTTTCCTCGTCTGGGGCGAGATCGCCAATGCTTATGCCTTTAGCGCTGGGTACATTGATCGTTTCAACGCTGAGTGGACTGAAGCTGTCAAGTTGGTTATCAACCGTCCTTCTGTTGTGACGTGGACTCCTGTGAACGAAAGCTGGGCTTATCCTTCGCTTGAGGATAATGCAGAGCAGCGAAACCACATCCGCCAGCTGTACTATCTTACAAAGTAAGGCAATGCCTCTTCTTTAAACCCAATCATCCACTAATGCTTGGCTAGGAATCTCGACGATACTCGAAGTATCAATGACAACTGCGGTTGGCAGCACGTGCTTACTGATCTAACCACATTCCACGACTATAGTGATGGCCCCGAGATCGAAAAGACCTGCTCCACTCTTGAAGGCATCATAGGTCCCAAGGCCGGCGGTCGTGGCGTTTTCCTGAAGCCCATCCCCGGCGTTGACGAGGGCTCAGCTCATAAGCCTGGCGCACCTGTCATGAACACCGAGTTTGGCGGTGTGAACATAGCTCCCGCTAAGAAAGAAGAGGGCGCTGACCTGGACTGGGGCTACACCACTGCCACAAACCCAGATGATCTCGTCAAGAGAATCGAGCGTCTTGTCAACGGTATTGTCCTTGGAGGACACTGCTGCGCGTTTGTGTATACCCAACTGTAAGTCAGGTCTGATTTTGGTTTGATGTGTTTATACTGATGCTTTTTGCAGTGCCGATATTGAGCAGGAAGTTAATGGACTGTATACCTTTAACCGAGAGGAGAAGCTAGACCCTTCCAAGGTGAAGGCGGTTCTTGATAAGGCTATTGGGCAGTATTACAACAGAGTACGATAGATGATTTCAAGTCAGAAAACTTGGCTGAATTTGTAATGACATGATGTGAATAGCTTGAAAAGAATAGAACCGAGGCATGATTTTCAAGTTTACTGTCCTCACACGTGATAAGAATCAAATCCGTCGACAGTGTGTTGAATGTTTGTTTATATCATTTTATGTGGAGTTGAGATGATCATGGCGTTTTATCATGCTCTTCAACCGACCGTTTCAACGTCGAACCGTAGAGTTAGATCATCGCAATGCTGCAACAAGACCTACAATTGAATAAAATCATGATACGTGCCCTCCTTCATCACTCTTTGCAAACAGGCCATCCTTTCACATTCTTTTAGTTGTCTATTTCAAGATAACTAGTCAATCAGTTGAGCTCATACCAGCCGCATGGAGCTTTAAATATCGAACATGGCCATGGAAAATTCATTTATCACAAAACGTTAAATCAACACATATAGAAATTATAACACCCCGAATTAGCCTAATCACACAGCCATTTCGAGGCCTGCTAAAATCATGGGAAAATCGAATGATATTTTTGCTTTTGGGGGACATGGTGCTAGTCCTCGCCTAAGAATGCAACCATTCCGGGTGTTGACAACAGCTACAGAACACCAAAAAGAAGCTTAAAGTCAATCATCAAGAGTAAAAAGACTGCAACATGGCCAATTTCTCTTTTAAAGTAGAAATCAATTTATTTGACCGCCATCATTGGCCGTAAAACCGCATCATGAGTTCATGACTGCGGGGATCAATAAAGCTGTCATATCACGTGACTATACATGAGACAGGCTCAGCTCATTCACCCTCAGCAGACTCGACACTCCATGATGTGGCTGGGGAGAGATCATCGCATTGTGAGCAACACCAGAAACCACCACGGCGCCAGACCCGGCATTTTGCCCGCGGTTGGGACCATTATACATCATCTATACATACCACTAGTCGCATATCTCAATTGAATGTCATAGCTATACGCGCCGACCACCGTCCTTCTCTCCCTGCCTTGCCTTGCTCTGCCCTGAGCCGCGCGATGCCTTCGTCACGGCCAAACGCGCAGTCGCCCATCATCGAGGCCGACGCTACTCTCGACAATAACATTGACACCATCCGTATTCCAGAACCCTACGGTACATATCTACAAACACGCGGCGCCCGCGCAGCTCGTCGGATCTACAAGGCCATGGGCGTTTGGCCCTGGGACATCGTCCCTGAAGCACCTCCAAAGATGTGGGCTATCAATCTACTCGAGGATCTGGCCCTCGTTGCGGATCATGTTGCCAGGAATCCGGGCGACACGCTGCAGGATCTCCAGTCGGAGCTTCGCAAGTCCCTTGCGCGCGATCGCAAACCTTCGTACGCTGGCAAATTGATGGCGCAGGATGTTCACGCTGCCAAGAAGCGCTTCGTGAGAACCCTGCCTCAGTCACCAGATGCTCAGGACGATACTGGCGATGATGGAGGTACCATCGAGAGGCGCTCTGGGCGAAGAAGAAGAACAGCAAATTACAGTGCCCCGGATTCACCAATTGATCCATCGCGATCGCGTCGACACACGTCTTCAGAGGAGAGCGAGGAGCACATGGCGTCGTCTATCACCGTCGCCTCAGAGTTTCCCCCATCTCCTCCCGTTCCTCGCAACGTTCGCCAGTTGAAACGGCCAGCTACCACAATACCCACTCCGATAGAGAAACGCATTCGACACAGCTCACCAGAAGGGTCGCGTCTCTCCGCGGCGCAGAGTTTGATGATGTTTAGTTCCCCGATGGCTACATTCCAAATGGCTTCGTCTTTCGGCCCCAGCGCAACTGTCAGTTTAGAGCAATTGACTTGTACAAAACTTTATACTGATATTCTGCAGGCCAACGCAACCCGCTCTCTCGAGCCTAATAATCTTCAAGAAGCTTTACAACCGGCGACCAACGTCTTTATCGCAGCTATCGATGCCCACGTCCGAACGATACGTTCTTCACTCGCCATCGCGCAACAAGAGATATTTCCTCACAGAACAACACATCAAGAAGCGATGAGCAAACTGCGCGCCGCCCAAGAACTCGTGCAGGCCATACACGACGACATTGCCGAATCACAAACGAAACTGCGACTGCTCATAGAGGAGACAGCCGCCGAAGACGCCCTGGCGCCGCAGCTACACGCCCTCCAGGAGAATAATATGACCCTACCACCCGAGATAGCCCAGGCAATACGCAGCTACGAAACGCGCCGAGCTGCCAAGGGCGAGGAGATCAAAAACCAAGAGACGGCCATCAGCTTGAAACGCGACGAACTGAAGCGAGCCACAGCCGACCTCGACCTGGCGGAGAAGAACTCGGGCGGCCTCGAGTCTGACATACAAGACTTGCAAGCCGCCGTGACACGTGGGACAGAAGCAGCCCGGTTCGCCAACATGTTTAGTGTAATGGTGCGGCTGGGCCCAGAAGGACTGGCAAATATTGAGCAGATATACCCCGAGATTGGCTCGCTGCTGGAACAGCTCCTCGTGTCCAAGAATAACCCGTCGTCACAGCAAGATAATCACCATGGACATCATCATAATAATAGCGTGGCGACGGATGGCGACGAGACTAATGGTATGTGAGGATTATTTTTTTCTACTTTTTTGAGGTCAAGTCACGAGTACAGCGATACATTTTTCAGTGTTTTCTTTACCACATAGTCGCGAAGATAGAGTTTCGCGTTTAAGTCAATCAATTGGGCTTGGAAGAGTCAATTCATATTCAATTCTCCCAGCTCTCCCATCAATCTCTACTTTTGACTCATGGCATTTGACTGTTCAACAATCGTTCGGGGTACGAACATGAGGCCTGTCGCGGCAATGTCTCCCAACAAAAACAGCTTGGTACTGTGGTCTAGTTGGTTATGACATCTCGTTAACACCGAGAAGGTCCCCGGTTCGAGCCCGGGCAGAACCTCATTTTTTGGTTTTGTTCATATTTGTTTACTCATCTAGAAGTTTTTATCTCTTCTTTTTGATCTTTTATTTCTTCCGGATCGTGTCCCATTCTATTCGTAGTCGCTTATAATTAGAAAGGGTTCTACATCAGTCGAGCAATATTGGATGTCTAGGGTGGCTATCGCGAATTGATGATATTGATTGAGTTTAATCGTCCTATCTGCACCAATGCCGAAAACGAGTCTGTATTCATCAAACCGTTATGCTAATTTACTGTTAGGGCAAAATTATATAAGTATTAAAGGGCGTACTGGTGAATCCGTATGATCATTGACTGATGGTTATGTGGTCCAATTAAGGATCACGGTCACACAGTAACTTTAGAGTCGCCAACCAAAGTGTCAAACAGCAAGATTCGTAGAACAATAAACAACGATTCATTTATACACATACAAAACTACCTAGAGTACAGGCTTTTCGGTATTATCTGCCAAACTAATTAGAATCCTTTTCTACTTTATCGCTTGTATCCTTGTGTACAGGCGAACTACCTTCTTGACCTTTGAGGACCTCCACACCTGGCACAAAGCCATTTTCGTCATGCACGGGGGGTCCGGTAAAGTTCTTGCGAGCATAAGCAAGATACCAAATGATAGCAATGGCAGCGAATCCAGCAAAGACGACAGAGGCGTAGTTCATGGTTACTGCATCCACAGGTAGAGAAACAGGCATGCAGAAGATAACAATAGAGAACACGATCCACACAACGCAAATACCATTGATGAGAGGTCCAAACTTGCCCAGAGGGAAGGGGGAGTGCTTAACAATCTTGCGACCTCGGAGAAGGTTGACGCCGACAGGAACGCCGTAGGAGGAGGCGAGACAGATGGTGGCGACACCAGTGAAGGAGTTGAAGGCGGCGGTGGAACCGAAGTAGATACAGCCAAGAATACAATCGACGATGGTGGAAAGGATGAGAGCATTGACGGGCATGTCAAGACGCGTGTTGACCTTGCTCCAAAGCTTGTAACCGGGGATAGCTCCATCTCTGGCGAAAGCGTAGGTGCAGCGCGACGCGGCGGTGAGAGCACCAATGCCTGCAAACATGAGGATGCCGAGGATCAGGAAGAGGAGACCAAAGCCACCGGCAGCGGAACCGGTGACGACCTTGAACAAGGTACCAATGGGTTGAGAGTTGGCGACCCCCAGAAGCATCTTGACGTCGGGAAGAACGAAGAGAATAGGGATGAGGTAGATGATTCCGGTTACACCAGCGGCAGCGACGGAGAGGACGATGGCCTTGGGGACTTCACGTTCGGGGTTCTGGACTTCTTCACACATGGAAGCGACCATGCCATATCCAGTGAGAACATATGCGCCTGTAGTTAATTAATTAATTGAGTGCTATGCAAGAGTGAGACTTGGCGTACGTACCTTGCAGTAGTCCGACAAAAAAGGACCATGCAGCAGGCCAGCCACTTGCCGAGGCATCGTAGTGCGTAAAGACAAACTCAGCGGATCGTCGCTCGGGAGCCATGACGAGTATGGTAACGATAATGATGATGACACTGGCGCCAGTCCAGTAAATGCAGACTTTGTTGATAAGATCCAGGTAACGGGAGCCGAAAGCATTGACGAGAGCGCAAACAAGCATGACAGCCCAGAAGCACAAGACAGTCTGCCACGCGTTGGCGACAAAGTCCTCGTTGAAGATGGTGATGGCGCTAAGAATGAGCTGTGCGCCCGAGAAATTGATCGACAGGGTAACTGTCCAGTTACCCACCAGAGTGAGCCAGCCATCGACGAAGCTCACGATGGGCGCGTATCGAGGCGTGCTGAGCATTGCGCTCCAGTAGTAGACACCTCCAGCGGTAGGGAAGACAGCGCAGATTTCTGCGAGAGAGGCGGCGATGCAGAGCGAGATGAGAGAAACGAGGACCCAGCCCCAAAGGACGGTGACGGCCTGGCCGTTGGTCAGGGTGATGTACATTGTTGTCGAGAGGCCAAAGGGGACGGCCATGATGGCAAAGGAGAGGCCCAGAACACTGAGCATGCTGAGGTTTCGAGGGAGTTCGGCCTTGTAGCCCAGACGGGCGAGGGCCTGATCAGCGTCGCCGCTGCGAGAGGATGACTCCATTGTTGAGGGAGCAATTAATGTGTGTATTCAATGAGTACTTGTACAGCCAAGAGAAGAAGTATGAGTGTGTTGATCAAACAAATTAATGGGTAGAGTAAAAGAATTAAGATGGAATTAATTGAATGTCAAGGTAAGAGAAAGAGGGAGATTGGGGTATTAATTATCATTTAAAATAATAAATATAGAATCAAGATGGAAAGATGGCCCGTCCGTCTGGGCTTCACGAAAGGAAAGAACAAGGGCTAGAACTGACAGGGCATGACTAGCAGGCAAGTTAGTACCTAATGGTCGCTAGTAGAAGGGGGGCTGATTGCTGATGAACTCTCCACGATTTGAGCCCGTCTTGTTATCCGTATCACCATCCTGAAATAGTCTAGTCTGTCTGGGGTACGATCATCTAGTGGCTTGACATTTGGTCATTGTTGCTGCTGATCAACACAAAACAGCACAAGAGACAAGAACGCGGCTACGATTGATCGACAGCGCGGCTAATTGTTTCTAGAGGTTATATCACTCACTATATGTATGATGGCAGTTAGTAGATAAAGAGTTCGGCAGATGTAGGAACGTAGATAGGTGATACTCTACGGTGCTATACTGCCGATATCCCGGGCTATCAGATAACAAGCTGAATGACACTCCACCCGATAAGTATGGAGTCATTTCCCCAGATTGAACGAGGATTAACATGAGCTGGAGCTGATACTATCATGGTCTAAGCTTGGTAAATAAAATGATACCAGTACGTAAAGGTAAGCGGCTTGATAAGTGACCCCACCTCGAGATAACCGCGCACCGAAGCCGCTCCATCGCGTCAACTGACTTTACTGGCTCTCTCCGCATTTCCCACGTTTCACTCTTAGATTCCGGGCAGCTTTCTTGTTTCTCCAATGTGGAGAGACCCTGTAACTTGTGCTAACGGTATCCGTAGCATCATACCTACCATGGGCGAACGGTTGTCCCAGAGAGAGACTGGCTTTCTATGGCTTGAGGGGTAACATTGCAATTACGCACAATTTAAACATTGTGTCTTGTGATTGGGTACCAAAGGATAACTAACTACATACGCATGATCAACACCCTTGATCTTATATAACCGCGCTCAGTCTGGGGAAACGGAACGTAGACCACATGACACTGCATTCAATGACAACTAACTACATAGAGATACCTAGCACACTAAATCTCCCACTCTATGGCAACATACGACGGTTTCTCACGTTGTGTATGTAAAGGTCCAGCTTGATCTAGGTCTGACATCGAACGCACTTTTGCTTTGGCGGCATCTATACACATACATCAAAGGCTGGTTAATCTAGTAGGAGACTCAAAGAAGATTTCATATAGATAGCTTGACGGTAGATGGTTCTTTTATGTACAGCTTGGATTCATGTACGCTTAGATGTGGCACAGAGTGACTTATATAAGTGCGAAAGTCTCCATGTACATGCCTGGTATACTGAGTTGGTTAAGAGGGTAGTAGATTTTTCGAATAAGCAGTATTAAGAAAAGACAATATTTCATTTACACAAGTTTCTTGATGGCGTTACTTGAGCAGGCTTGTGGTAACAGTAACACAGATGTCGGAATTACTATTTTTCAACCTGTTGTTTCGCCAATAAAATGTCAGCCCAGTTAGGCATAGCCTCCCTCAGGGTATCAGAAAAATTGACCGCTGGAAGCATGAGAGACGAAATTAGTAGGTCACTTTATGCACCTTAGACCATAGCTCTAAGACTACTTATTTTTATACCCCAAGACTTGGGAGGCAATTTTTTCTGCTACCCAGTAGCCTCCTTCCTCTAGGCACCAGTTCAAAAAGCGCGACGTTCGTGTCGATCCCATCATAAGCCATTTATTAACACAATAAGCCAAAACACTCCGCCAGCTTTTGTTAGTTGACACGCAACCACAATGGAAAAGCACAAAGCCTTTCTTCAGGGCGTTTTGGATGAGAACTCTGCCTTGACAGCTGAGATCAATCAGCTGACCTCTCAATCCCAAACACAGTCCCAAGAGGAATTCAACACCGCCATCAAACAATGCCTCCTGAAGATTTACGAGGCTATTATCCAAATGAGCCAACACCGTGGTAATCCACGGACGCCTAGATTGAAAGTCATCGACGCGTGGAAAAGCTTACTGCAGCCCATACAAGCCCTCACCCAACTGCCCTTTGGAGATTTCCTTACCGCACGCATGTTGCTTTACCTTGCCATGGGTTTACGAGCTCAGCACGCCCTCGATATGAAAGTTTCTAAAGCTTTTGCTTCTAAGCCCAACTTTCCCCTGGACCAGATGGATATAGCCATGGATAACACTTTGCTAAAAGCTCTTGGAAAGATTTGGACCGAGAGTGACCGCAGCGAGGAGTTTGACTGGGTTTTCGGCGAGTACAAAATCGGATATTGGAGGCCTGAGGATAGAAATGAGGAAGACGTACAGATCCACTACCGTATTGCTCAGGCACTCTCTCCGGCTGACCTCGCATCTCTGGATGGCATTGGCGGAAGAAGTTTCGTCTTTGCAAAGAAGAATGAGGTGGACGAGGACGATGATCAAGACTTCTGGGCGCCCTTCTCAGGAAGCATTCCCGGCGACCACTACGAACGAAGCCGGTCCCAAATTCACATCCCCGATGATGATGAGGTGGAGGCTGATGAATGGGTTTACAAAACAGTTGGCACAGACGGCCCAATCCGCGAAATGATTGACTGCTGTATCGTGCGCGAACAGAGAAATTATTGTACCGGTTTGGGTTTTTTCCCACGTTCGCGTCAGTTTATCGTGGATGCGAGACGAGTAGGACAACTATTCACGGCTGTAAAGAAGCGCATTCTCGCGGAAAGGGGGCTGTCTTATGCTGGAATGCCTCCAGAAATACGAGCTGCCATCATTGGATACCTCGATCCACCATTTCGACATCCTTATTTGTCAAAATTCGATATTATCAAGGCATACGCCCCGTTTCCAGACATATCAAGTTGTTCTGAATGCAATCAGGAGAGCCAGACATGCCCTGCCAAGAGCATGTATATCTGGAATGTACCGCTGCGTACATTCTTTGTATTTCATCGGACCAAGACTAATATTGGGCTACTCTGCAAATATGGCACAGACTGCCAAGGTCACCACGAAGATAAATCGTGGAAAATCTCCCATGAAGTATATTTCAACGAGTACGTGGAAAAAATCGTCAAAGATAGATGCGGAAGTGCCACGACTTTATCTCAGGTTGGATTTGCCCCCGCAGCAGAATTCACATTACGAGACAGAGAGGGAGATGAGAAGCGGTCGAGGAGACTGTTTAATGATCGAGGACCTATCGAGGATAGTTCGAATGAGCAGCGGAGCAATGGAGGATTGTGGGGATTGACGGCATCTATGATGCACAATAAGATTCTTCTTGGATCGTGGGAGGGAGTTGATGAGAGCTCGACTTGTTCGACGGCTTCGGAATGGGCTTTGGCACGTTGTCTTGCTGATAAGGAGTGTGCTGAGACTGCTATTATGAAGATGCATAATCGCTGTGACCGATGCTAATATCTTGGCGTGATCTCTTGGTGCTCAAACATGACTACCTACCTGTCAAGGTGACTAGTTGGATATTTGGTGCGGTAGCCCCAGGGTATCAGAAAAATGACCGCGGGAAGCATAAGAGACGAAATTAGTAGGTTACTTTATGCTCCTTAGACTATGTTTCTTAGACTATTTATTTTTATACCCTAAGATTTAGGGGGGTCTTCTGTATCGGCCTAGAACTGTCCATCATGACAGGGAACAGAAGGAATGACTAGAATCGTCTTTGAATATCATTTCAAAAGAGACAGCGGCGTTTACGGTATCGATTTAGTGGCCAGTAAAGTATCGCTGTTCAAAGCATGTTCCAGGTAAACATATGTTGGCGGATGTCTATGTAAATAATCGACAAGTCTGGGACGATGATAGACGAGCGTGGTGGCCATGTCTCAGGAGTTACAGAATCTCAAATGGAGTCGTTGACAACATTTTGTCCGGTACACCATTCTCCCAAGACCTGGCCAGTCAAAGTACTTCAGTACCAACTGTGGTGCTACACGTATGGTCTGCATTGTCCAAGGAATAAATCAAGAAAATAGGGACGAGAAACTTGCTAAAAAGTCTGACATTATGAACCCAAGACGCAGGTATCCTCACGAGGACGAATCATGGGACGCCAAACGTTACAATCGTCAACTTTGAGGCTTGAAATTTGGGGGCCGTTTTTGTTGTTGAGAAACTCGGACATGAAGCTGCATCTCACATATCCAATCATTCACTTCTACTACAATGATAACATGTCAGCCTGCGTCATGATGCAGGGAGAGATCAGTGCAGAGCCTCAGTTTGGAATTTCCATGTGCAAGATAAATAACCTCATGTGCTTCCTTAATTTTGAGTTCAAGGACCCTGTTTGTCAACTTGTTCCACACAGACCCTCACCTGAACTCGTAAGTCCATTCCCATATAGTAGTGACGACGGCTAAAGGGTAGTCCCAGATCACGTCGTTTACTCAACATGCCTTTCTCAATCACAGACCTGACCAGAAGGGACAAGGACCAGAAGGGACAAAACAGCCGAAAAGATCCCAACAAAGGGTAAAGGTCTCGGTGCCTTCACCAGCCCATCCGGCTACGGCACCATCCTGTGCTTTCCCATCACGATTTGGCAAAGCCGACGCAACACTAAGAAAACAGTTGAAAGTCTCAGAGAGGCTAGACAGCAAGAGGCTGAGCGCAGAAATGCTGAAACACAGCAGGAGTTCCAGGAGGAGCAGAAGCGCAGGGAAATGCGTGAGAAGAGTGACGCCAACCGTGACGGCCTTGGGCCTCAGGGGCCACCAAGGGAGAAGAGGGTTCTAGAAGTTGAGCCGCTAGATCCCAGATTGGAGAGAGATCCTGAGAACCCGCGTAACTGCGATGAGGCGTGCGGGAATGCTTTGAAGGGCTCTTGTCCTATTCATGATAGGAAGCAGTCTTCTCGACCTACGAGTCCTGGACTGTTGGCTATCTAGATGGTATTTTAAGGAGATTGAGAAAAGTTCAATGTGGTGAATTATCTGTTCATAGCACGATTTCAAAGACTTTATAGCATTGTGGTAATCTGGTCATGATATCAACTTTGAAGAGTATCTGCTGTAGTGACTTGTGTTTGTGACATAGAACCAAGTGAACCTGTGAACTACATGCCTTTAACACCATGATGCCATTGACAGGTCTGCCTGAAAAACAAATACATAACTTGCGATAGAGACTGACAGAGTTGATATCGAGCACATGAAAGAGCTCTACGATATGAGAATAGATTACTAGCGTCTAAAGCATCCAATCAGAGGTTTCGTGGTCTAGTTGGTTATGGCATCTCGCTCACACCGAGAAGGTCCCCGGTTCGAGCCCGGGCGGAACCATTTCTTTTGTTCTTTGGGTACCGCATCAGTATCCAATGACTTCTACTTTTTGCCTACATTGTTGGAAATAATCATTGAGCTTCCCTTGACCGATGATATATGGTTCAAGTAGAAGAAGACGTATCGTTACTATTGTTTTGCGATAGTACCTTTGAACTCAACTGAGTTGGCCAGGATCTGAGAAGTTCTCAGTACCAGTTACCCTCAAGTCATGAGACATGTACATCAATCTCTGAATCCCAAGCATGCCCCATCAGTAGGCAGCATGACACACTGGGCTTCTTACAGGGTGTATAACTTAGTCAAAATCTCAAATAGTCCTTTGTATTCATAAACAGTAAGAAGTTCACCATTACTAGGAGGTCACGATGCAAAAAGCGCTGTTGCTTGTATCACATCACAGTCTGGGGCAGTATGCAAAGAACCAGAAATTTCAGTCTATGGCACCTATGAGTTACAAGAAGAATTGAAGGGAATCCGTTCAATTTGGTGATACGTAGGCATAGACTTTATACCGTGAAGATAAAAAGCCGAATGATGCAAGTCTAAGTGCATTATTAATACGTTCGTCCGTTCGGACGCCGAAGTAAGACGGACCAATCCTTCGGCTCCCAACACCCCACATAGTTATTGCAACTCGTCCGTTTTCTGCCCGTTCTTCGTCCGTCCCTTCAACAACACCGTCAACACCCTTCAAAACTCACTTCTCCGGTACTCACTCATCTCTCCCACACCCATTGAACCTCTTCTTCGGCCGAAATCAATCCGAAAATGTCAGAATCCTCTGCCAAACGTCGCAAGATGCGAAAAGGTACCCGCAGCTGCTGGGAATGTTGGTATACCTTGCACCATCAGTTCTACTGTCACTAATACATCCAGGTCGTCGTCGCAAGATAAGATGTCAATTCACCAATGAAGACGACCCGATCTGTGCCGGATGCACTCAGCGAGAGACGAATTGCGTCTCGCAAGAATATGTCCCTGCACCTTCTGCCGCACCCCAAGACAAGCGTCTTGCACAACGCCTTGGACGATTGGAAGAGTTGATGGAGAAATTTGTGGAAAATGAATCCGAATCGAGAAAACGGGCGTCTATACCATCGCCTTCTGAGTCTGAGGGAGCACCGTCGACATTGGCACGTTTTACGCAGCGTACTGTTGATGTCTTTGAGACATCAGCTGTGGGCAATGCGGCCCAAATGACTCTCAACCCAAGCGATACTTCAAATCCAGAGGTAATAATACGGCAGACAGCAAGGTATACCTCTCGTTCGGCAAAGGCAACCAACGTCTCTGCTCAGCTTCACGCGCTATTCCCATCTCAACAGATCTTGTATGCCATATCGCAGCGAAGTCCTGGCGCACGCTTCGTCCTTAATTCGTTCTACTCCCAGCAGGATCAACTGGACGGAAAACCTGAGCCTCTATCAGCACTAGCCCAGATCCCACCGATTACTAGCCATCCATCTATTCTAGCTAAACGCCTTATCCAACTGGCTATATGCCTGCAACAAATGCCGACCTTCTTCGACGGGAGTACTTTGGGTCTAAGCAAATCGCCTCGTGAAACAATGGAGGAATGGATTGCTGTGACGGGAAGACTCGTTACTTCAGACGATGACTTTGTCGGTTGTTTAGAGGGGTTAGAGTCTCTCATTCTGCACAGCTTCTACCAGAGTGATGCAGGGCATCTGCGGAAAGCATGGCTAACATGCCGTCGGGCTCTCAACATGGCTCAATTGATGGGTATCGACCGAAAAAACGCAAAGATAATTCGCTCAGCCGATCCCGAGTACAACGAGAAGCATCGTCCTTCACCACCGGTAATCTGGTTCCGCATCAATTGTAACGATCGTTATCTCTCTCTCATCCTCGGCCTCTCGATCGGTTCTAAGGACAACTGGTTTGCCGAAGATGACGCTCTCATCTCCGACGCCCCGAGCGACAAGCTTGGCAAGATGTACGCCATGATAGCTGGCAAGATTGCCGACCGGAACGACTTGCAAGGCAGCGAGGCATATGTTCTGACCCAATCGATTGACCTGGATCTTGAAAAGACACATTCTCAAATGGATGAGATGTGGTGGAAAACTCCTCACTTGGCTATCTGCTGCGGATCATCTGACGCTTCAGGAGATGGGATGGGTGTTATAATGCTACAAGTGCGACACTATACGCTGCTTCTAATGCTCCATCTCCCATATCTCCTTCGCGATCGTGGCCAGCGTCGATATGAATACAATCGCTCCACATGCATGCAAGCAAGTCGCGAGATCCTCGTACGCTTCCTCGAGTATCGCAGCTGCTTCACTAAAGCTGTGTCGGGTCGTCACGTCGACTACTCGGCTCTCGTAGCAGCCATGACTCTCCTGTTAGGCTATCTTGGCTGGCACTGGCCCGGTTACGAAACGGAGAAAGAGCAGGATAGAGATCTAGCAGAGCGAACCATGGAGAGGATGCAGGAAATGGGGTCGTTGAACAATGACACGCTCTGTGTTGAGGCCGCTGAAACGATCCTTCAACTTTTGCCAATTGTTCAAAGACAGCCAGGCACAACCGGAGAAAATCTGCATCTGCACGTACCTTTCCTAGGAACAGTAAACATTCACCCGGGGCCAACACCTCCAGCGTCTACAACCAGCATGATTGCATCCAACAGCACCACACCAAGTGGCAACAGTGTTGGAGACGCCATGTCACAGTTCCCACTTTCCTTCAACCCCCCTTCGTTCACTCAGGACCAATGCGAATTACCCACTACATGCCCCTTTGAAGGAACCTCGCCTGATGTGGTGAGCTTCAATTGGCCATGCTTCACTGCGGATCCAGAAGATTGGGCGTTACAGGGTGTCGACACAACGTACTGGAATATGCTTAACAATAATATTGTAGGGTGAATGAAGGATTTGATGAACAGCTCTGTATCTGATTATATATAATATTTATACCCAAAAAAGCAATACCCAATAAAACACCTAACGAATGCATCCGTACCATGACAAAAGAGAAAGTAAAAGAACATAGGGACTGGGCTTGTCTAGCCAGGGGTATCTCCATCAGGTTTAATCCTCCTCAATGAACGCCACAAATGAGATGTAGTTATCGACTCCGTATCCAGTTGGTGTAATGTACCGACTTTGGAGAGTCATGCAGGTCGTGGGCCGTGTATTTACTCTTCCAGTCCTTCTACCAAAGCCTCATGGTCAACAGCGATAGTGGTAACCTGAGCTGGTGCACCTTTTCGTCGCTGTGCTGCCCAGTACTGGTGAAAGCCAGGAATGGCACCAGGCTGATTAATGCCAGGCGACCGACTGAAACACTTGTCTTTGGACTTTTCAGCAGATCTCGTGGGTATGTTCTCGCTTGCTGTTGTCGAGGACCAAGGTCTCCAGCCAACCCATTTCCCTATTCCTCCTGCAGAACCTCCTGCAGAGCCCTGTGTGGTGTCTGAAGGAGCGGGTGATAAGGATCTATTGGACCCAGGCCTATTGAGTGGGTTGGACACATTTCGGCCGACAGGAAGGCCGGCGAAATTGTCGCGAAGAGCAGCAGTGCTTCGCTTGGCTGCACCTCTGTAGAGTGTGGGCTGGGCTATGACACCCGTAACGACAGCTTCAGCGCCACCAAGCGGTCGGAGTGTGAGCTGGCTTGGCCGGGCCTTGAGGGTGTGGATATCGAGACCCCCACTGAGAGACATGATGGACTCATGCGATAGGGCTCGGTGGATTCTTGGGCGTGGCATGTAGTCGTCTCTGTTGTCTTCTGAGCTTTCGATTACAGAGCTCTCATCTATTGATGGCGTGTTACCCAGGTCTGGAGTAACTGCTCGAGAAACACTTTCGTCTTTCTCGTCCTCATCCTCCTCGTGGATCACATCATCGTTGAACTGACGTGGGTTCGGAGGTGGTGTGCCAGGGTCGAGTTGGAGGGAAGGTGCTTGAAGACTGAATGCTGAAACGTCGGACGGTCCTTTACGGTGAGTCCGCCATGAGGGCGACGTGAGGTCGAAGCTAGTAGCTGGTGACGTTGGGTAGTCGCTGTCGCCAAAGGCAGAGTCGAACAGTGAGTTTCGTTGGTTCGATCGCGGTGAACTGGGGACAGACGACGCAAAGTCGGAAGGTTGCTCTGAGAGCATGGACCATCTCTGCTTGGGCATTGAGATGACAGAGTTGGGCTCCTTGGTGTTGATGGAAGCGACAGGCAAGGCAGGGCCTAGACTCCAGCGAGCGGAGGATCGGGGTGTTGATGCGCCTGAAGCTGGTGAGGGCGAGAACACGCTCGAGTTCAAGCTTGCCCGCTTCCTTCTAACCTTGGCCTTGTCGGTCTTGGGCGTGACATGATAGTGATGGTGGATGTGAAGCTCTTGGGAATATCGAGGTGTGTTCGGTGGCTCATAAGCCTCGAGTTCGTCCTTTAGAGTGGAGTTTCTGCTGTCCATAACAGGTTGGTGGTCGAGAAGCTGTTCTCGGAGGGTCTGGATCTCGTCGTTGGAGTTGAGCAGCATCTCCCGCAACTCGGCCATGCCCAATTGTAGGTTGGCGTTGTCTTGGAGGAGATCCCTGACGAAATGATTGACGACTGGGTTCCCTGGCTTCGGTTCCTGGAGTGTCTTGGATGCAGCTGCACCTTTGAGACGACCCGCAGCCGTGTTCAACTGTTTCTCGACCCGTCGCTGACGTTCCATTCGTCCAACGACCTCGGCATGTCGTTCACGTTCCTCACGGGCCTCTTCTTCCATTCGCTCTAACTGATCTTGCATGTCCATGATACCACGCTGCGCCTCCTTGCAACGCTGAGCATGAGATCGAGCATCCTCCTTGGTTGATCTCAGTTCGTGGTACAGGTCATCTTGTTCTAGTTCGAGGAGATGTATATGCCGCTCCGCATCTTCGGCTCGCAGGACGGCGGATTCGAGTTTTCGCACGGCCTGTTGAGACGAGAGCAAGCTCGCTTCGAGAGTCTTGATCCTTGTATCGGATTCGGAGACGGTATTGTTCAGCAGCTCAAGCTGGTCGAGCAGGTTCCTGTTTTCTTCGATTTTCAGGGCATTCTCGGCCTCAAGTTCCTGCTTCGCCATCTCCAAATGCTCTATCCTGGATGAAAGACTGAGACGGTCCCTCTCAGCGTCGGCCATATATGCTTCATGTCGGGCGAGTAGGGCCTACAAGGGAGACGGACAAGTCAGCAGCGGAAAACTCGATGGGGCATATTGACGTGTCTAGCGGGGACTGGCATGCAGGACACGCGGGAGGTGTTTAGGCGGTGGGAGGGGACATGCATGCATATTAAATAAAAAAATGTAGGAGGAATGCTCCGGAGATTGAACTTTTTGTTCCTTTCAAACTTACCTGGCCAAGTTGGGCAGCAGTATGAACATCTTTTTCCACTGTTTCTAGGATGGTGCAGTTTCTCTTGAGAAGCGCGCAATCGATTCGTCCACAGCAGCAGGTCATTTCTGCCAGCTGTGGCTCTTGGCCAAAATCGGGCCTCTCCATGGTGGGAGGCCTTGGGTTTGAGATTATTGGGATAGAATATGGTATTCGCGAAAGGTGACGAAGATGGTGGGAGAAAGAGTGAGATTGGTCGGCAACATTATAATTAGGTTGGATTGAAGAAGAGAGAAGCTAGTAGTCGAAGGACACAAGAGAGAAGAGAGACGTTTAGAGCATGATTATGATGATTTGACGTTGCTGGTCTTCGAGTAGAAGGGAAAAGACCAGGAAAAGATGCGATACGATACGAACTTGTCGCCGTTTTGGATGAAAACAGCTGGTGTTTGTGTTTATCGAACCTGAACCTAAACAAAGAGGGTCTTTGTTTTGTATGGCTCTGATGAACTATAACTGGCTGCGGTTATTGATTGATTGGTATGGAAGTGGGTAGCCCTCCCGCGCGAGTCTAATTTGGTCCGGTAGGTGTGGAGTTTGTGTTCCTGACTTAGTGTGATCGCCGACGATGTTATTTTTCACTCGAGATGGCACAAAGAAAGTAAACAAAAGAGTATTTGTAGAAGAGATATAGCGAGGCAGAGATTCCCTGTGTTTGTGTACGTCAGAGCGTGATCAAGGCAGATGAGGCCTTAGAGCAGACCGGTTCATTACCAGCCTCCCCAAGCTAGACAAGCCATGTGATGTGCTTCAGCAATCACTGGCTGCGAACAACTGCGGGCAAGGTAAGGCGCGGTACAGGGGATCTAAGCGAGCAATTTCAGGCACTCATCAGGGGCGCGGATCTCTGTTTGGGTTAGTTTGCAGACATTTTGCAGGGAAGACGTGTTGAAGGACAGCGATAGTCTTCATTTCCTTTTGCAGCATTTGATTGGATCGTAAAACAAGGTTCCTTTTGGCTGCCGCTTTGACCGTTTTGGGGGAGAGTGGCAGTTCCGCTTACTGATAGAGATAGATATGGGGAAAGAAGAAAAGCAAATGACGACAACTTCGACAGAGACCACGTGACTTACCAAGTAGTCCAGGGTAGCATCTTTACCAACAGAAACTCTAAACTCCATCAACTAACGGTAAACGTCTGTGATTCATCATCCTTTCTATTCACCGCCTGGTATCGCTTACGTCGGCAGTTAGTAGTGGCATCATGTCTCTTCAGTATGAGACGCGGGGTCTGCCGTTTTGCTTACTTTTTACTGCAGACATGTTGTACTGCATGCAGTGTCTTTTGTAACAAACTGATGGGGCCTTTCTCTGCAATTAACATGTCGTCATACAAACTCACTCCATTAAGAGCTTCGACCACTAATATTCGTCTCATTGTCATCCCCCACATTATCGTCTGCAGGCATGGATGATTTGGAGCTTCTTTAGGTGGTGATGCTTGCGTTTTTGTCACCTAGAAACTGGCGTCGCAATGGCGCCCATGATCCGTTCTTTCCCTCTCGGCTCTCCCACTGCGTTTCCCATCATCCCACCTCCCCTCCCCAAAGCTTCCCCTACTTTAATACGACTTGATGCGTCCTTACCTTTCCTCTAGAATACTCCAAAGCTTTCGCACAGCTCGGATACAGACTCCTCTTCCTCTAGCAAAGTCCTTTTCCACATACAGAGCAATGTCGCAAGAATACAAGCTCAAGGGTCTATCGTCCCTGTCTCTTTCTCCAGGCTCTAAGCAGGAGGTCGAGGTCGAGGGTGTCGAGGATGGCAAGGTTCTCCTCGTCAACACTGGAGGCACAACACAGGCTTTAGGAGCCAAGTGTACTCACTACGGTGCACCTCTGGCAAAGGGTGTGTTGACCAGTGATGGTCGTATCACATGTCCCTGGCACGGAGGTATGTAATCCGACAATTATTGGATAGCGTTGCTAAGTGTTCTGGTCCCTAAACTGGGGTCGGAAATCAATATGCGTCTGTAACTCAAACTGATCAATCGTCTAGCCTGTTTCAATGCAAAGACCGGCGATATCGAAGATGCCCCCGCCCTTGACAATCTCCCCGTTTTCAAGGTTGCCGAACGAGACGGTGCCGTTTACATCACTGGAGAAGAGAGCGCCATCAAGTCTTCCAAGAGACAACCCAACGTCAAGTGTGCCGGATCCAGCAGCGCACAGGACGAGCATGTCGTCGTCGTCGGTGGTGGCTCAGGTACATTGGGTGTTGTCGAGAGTCTTCGCGAGAAGGGTTGGAAGGGAGGAATCACCGTCGTGTCTAACGAAGGAAACTACCCAATCGACCGAACGAAGCTTAGCAAGGCTCTCTTGACCGACCTTGACAAGTTGACCTGGCGAAACAAGGACTTCTATGAAAACGGCTCCATAAAGTTTGTCGATGGTCAAGTCAACAACGTCGACTTTTCTGGTCGCTTTGTTACAACCGAGGCCGGAGAGAAGATCCCTTACACTAAGCTCGTCCTTGCGACGGGCGGTACTCCCAGACGACTTTCCCTTGACGGATTCAAGAACCTCGACAACATCTTCACTCTGCGCAACGTTAACGACACAAGAAAGATTGTCGACCAGATCGGTAACAAGGGTAAGAAGATTGTGGTTGTCGGATCCTCCTTCATCGGAATTGAGTGCGCAGTTGCTACAGCCAGCGACAATGACGTGACTGTCATCGGTATGGAGAATGTTCCTCTTGAAAGGGTTCTTGGTGAAAAGGTTGGCGCAGGTCTTCAAAAGGCGCTCGAGGGCAAGGGGGTCAAGTTTTACATGGGCGCGAGTGTCGACAAGGCAGAGCCATCTTCATCTGACTCATCCAAGGTTGGTGCCGTGTGCCTCAAGGACGGTACCAGGCTGGAGGCGGACCTTGTTGTTCTCGGAGTGGGTGTCTCCCCCGCGACCCAGTACCTCAAGAACAACAGCAACATCAAACTTGAGGATGACGGATCAATCAAGGTCAATGACGACTACTCAGTTGCTGGCCTTCAGGATGTTTACGCTGTTGGCGATATTGCTACGTTCCCTTACCATGGACCTGGAGGTGAAGGCAAGCCGGTTCGCATTGAGCATTGGAACGTTGCCCAAAAGGCGGGCCGCATCGCTGCCAACCACATCGTCAACCCTGGTGGAAAGACGGAACACTTTATCCCCATTTTCTGGTCAGCTTTGGGTGCACAGCTTCGATACTGCGGCAACACGATGGCTTCCGGGTGGGATGACCTTGTTCTTGACGGTAACCCAGCCGAGAACCAGTTTGTGGCATATTACTGCAAGGGCGAAACAGTTGTTGCTATGGCTAGCATGGGCAGGGATCCCGCTATGGCGCAAAGTGCCGAGTTGATGCGGGTGAACAAGATGCCCACCAAGACGGAGCTCCAAGAGGGGATCAGCGTCGTCTGAGTGTCCCAGATCTTCGGTATGGGAAACGATAAGCAAATGACTATCTATGATAATAAACTGACTTAATAATTTAACCTCTTGACCGTGATCGCAGTGAAGCATTGTTAATAATTGTGGCTTCCAGCTCTAAAGCTCATGTGGAGGAATAAAACTTGGCGGCGGGAACCAGACGATCGGGCGAGACTATGATGAAGCTATGAACTCAGATCGAGATGACAGGTTACAGAATAGGAAATGTTTTAGCGGCAATAGAGCTAGTTTCAGAAGATAATTCCGGGTGTTCCACTGAAACTTCAACGTTTTTGTTCCATCCCCATGTTTTGGGCTGTCGATTCTTCGATCTGTGAAAAGTCAATGACGTCGCGACAGGGATCGTCATAACTGCATCAATGGAGCATAACCTCCTCTTGTCCTCTGAACCTCTTCTGATCCACCTCCGGTACCTTTTATCGGTCATGCTGACGAGTTGAGGCCGAGCGATACTACCTATGACGGGTGGACCTCTGTCAAATGAAGTCATGATAGCTTGTATTCTCACGGTTAAATACCACGAGTTGTGCGCCCATCAAGGTTGCTTTTTGACTCTGGAGGCATAACAACCAATTATAATACAAATTTATTAATACGCTATCAATCTAAAATGGCTACTCAAGCTGCTTACGGGGTCGAAAAGATCGTTGGCCATAGCGATAATGCTATCACGGCGCAGGATGTTACTTCGTACCAAGAGACGGGCGACCATAGCCAGACGATGAAGGCTTTGGCTTGGATGGGCAAGAACAAGGTTCAGATGGGTATTTTTTACTTCTGCATCACTTACACGCTGTCAGAAACTAATAGTTCATTGTAGTCGACGCTCCTAAGCCAAAGATTATCGAAGACCGCGATGTCATCCTCAGAGTCACGGGCAGCACCGTCTGCGGTTCCGACCTGCATCTCCTCCATGGCACAGTCATCCAGCTCTCTGAGGGTGACATCCTGGGCCACGAGTTCTGCGGTGTCGTTGACCAAATCGGTGCTGGCGTCACGGGCATTGATGTCGGAGGACGCTACGTCGCTTCGTTCCAGATTGCTTGCGGAGACTGCTTCTTCTGTAAACAGAAGCTCTCGTCACAATGTGAGAAGACCAACTCCAACACAACCGAGCGTGCCATGTACGGTGGACGTACCGCTGGTATGTTTGGTTACTCGCATTTCACTGGTGGATTCGCTGGTGGTCAGGCTGAGTACGTTCGTGTGCCGCTTGGTGACGTGAACTTGTTGAAGATTCCCGATGATGTCCCCGATGAGAAGGGTAAGTATTGTCTCTTGTTCCCTGTCGAGAGTTACTGCTAACATGGCCAGCACTTTACCTGTCCGATGTCCTGGCCACATCTTACAACGCAGTCAAGGATACGGCCGTCTACCCCAACGACTCAGTCGCCGTCTTCGGTGCCGGACCCATCGGTCAAATGGCTGGTATCTTTGCCCTCAAGGAAGGCGCTAGTAAGATCATCTTTGTCGACACGGAGCCTCGCCTTTCCTTTGTTCGCGAGCGCTGGCCTGCACAGCACAAAGACAAGCTGGAGCTAGTCGACTTCAAGCAGCTGTCTCATGGTGTTACCAACAAGCCTACCGTGGTGAGCCGCCTCAAGGAGCTAACCGGCAACCGCGGACCTGACTGCGCCATTGAGTGCGTGGCGGGTGAGTACCCCAAGGGCTGGATGCACACGATCGAGCTGGCCATCGGCGCCGAGACAGACACTAGCGAGATTATCAACGAGATGATTGAGGGCGTTCGCAATTACGGCCGCTGTGGTGTGACGGGCGTATACGTCGGTTACACGAATCACTTCAACATTGGATCCCTGATGGAGCGCGGCATTCGACTCATCGGTAACGGTCAGGCCCCCGTACACAAGTACTGGGGAGAGCTTCTTGAGATGATCCAGAAGGGCGAGCTTGATCCTGCCCAGATGCTGTCGCACCGCGTCAGACTGGAGGATCTTGACAAGGTGTACTACAAGTTTGAGAAGAAGGAGGATGGTATGCAAAAGGTGTTTGTGGAGACCAAGTTTTCTTTTCCCAGAGACCCTAGCACTCCTACTCTCACGACTTATTAGATGGAGTTGATACCATATGGCGTTGGTGAGGATGGGAGGTTAGAATATGGTGATCCTCTGACTTTTATTATGAAGTAATGAAGAATGTTATTAATGCGTTGCCGTGTCATTGTTGCGTGGTGCCATGATTGATCTTAGTTGTTGATGGGCACCGGACCAAAGAACCGCCACTGGTCTGGTCTCAGGAGATCTCTAGAGGAGATAGACTTCTAAAGTCACGTAGCATGGGCCACTATTCTAATTGTAATTCAGTCATAATAAGTAAACGTCTACATCATTCGGCGCCTTGGAATGTAATCGATCGTGTAGTGTTGAAGGGCGAATATAGGTAGCCCAGACCAAAGTGAAAGATCAACCTGTCCTGGCCCATAGCACGGCAAAGCTTACAGCTAATACAAGAGCGATGGTTCAAGCCAAAGGGTATTGGCCTGGTGAAAACGGGATATTTATGTAAGCTTAGTCTGATATTTCTTAAAAGGTATCGATGTGTTTAATGTGATGGGTTCTGAGGTGATCTTCAATGCCCGTTCTTGTGCTTTAGAGGACCCTTATTTTAGCGCTTACGATCAGCGGGTCGTAATGGGCCTAGCCCTGGAAGGCGCTGAACGTGCATCAATTGAATGTATTTGTCAGCTTCTTACTGTCGAAATGATTCAACATCTCGACTTCAATTACTCTTGTCTTTCAGAGGGAGCATCTGTGGACTTACAGCGATACTCTTACATCCAAAGTTGACCAGGCCTACCGTAAAAATGGCAACTCCAGAAGATATAGACTCCATACCTTCAAACCGTCGCAAAGGTAAGTGAGTTCATCTCAATCCGATCAACTCAGCTAAACAATGGATCAGCCTGCGATTTGTGCTTCACAAAAAAGATCAAATGCGATATGCTAAAGCCCGACTGTTCAAATTGCATTCTTTATAACACAAGTTGCCGTACCAGTATCATCAGACGTAAGCCCAGTTCGACGACAAAGGGCAGAATAGCCAAACAACAACAAGAGTGAGTCTCTTTATCCTTCACTTCTCAACAACACTAACTCGAGTAGAAACAATCGGTCGGAAGGTCTTGAAGCCCGGCTGAAGCGTATAGAAGAGCACCTAGAGCTTGTTCTCAATGCTGCCAAAGATGCACAATCAGCTAAGCCACCAACATGGTCACCAGAGAGCCATTCCAGCATTACCGATTCATCAGAGTCCGTCCCTAACAAGGGTGGAATCGACGAGGACTTGGCGAAACTAGGCGTTTATTCTTGGAAGTTTGATCCTGTTCGTCCACTTGTATACGAAGGTCCTCAGCCAAACTCACTTGACCTTCCTCCACTCGAGGAGGTTCTCCCTATTGCGAATCACTACTTTTCCACCTTTAATACCGTTATCCCGCTCTTCCAACAACCAGAGTTCATGAAACTTCTCAGGTCATGGTATAACCAACCGAGTACACGCGACAGAGCGAGATGGGCAGTCATACAATGCGTGATGGCAATCGGGTACCGCACGCCTCAACTTTCTCTCACCAATAGCCAAGCGGTGCACGTTGAAAAGGCGGACCAGTGTTTGCGGAATGTTCAAAGCGTTGTCTCGGAGCTTGTAACGCGCGAAGATGATCTGCTCGGCGTACAGGCCCTGTTGGGTATTGTGATGTTGTTTCAGAACAGTCGTGATCCGAAACCTGCGGGTGTAATTATTGGGACAGCGTTGCGATTGGCGCATAGATTGCGATTGCATTCGCAAGAGGCGGCGATGAACTTTCCTGCTGCCGAAGCCGAACATCGATCACGAGTTTTTTGGATTGCCTATGTTTTGGACAAGGTATGTTCACTGTTCACCTTTCATCAATTTGACTGACAGCTGTAGGATATTAGTCTAAGAGGGAACACACCTTCATGCCAGAATGACGAAGATATCGACATCCCCTTACCCACAATAGCGCCAGCAGACAGTGCAGGATTAATATGGACGCAGAATGGGCAAGTCCATTTTAACTACCACCGAAGACGTGTTGAACTTGCCTACATAGAAGGCAAAGTCTACGATCTCCTTCACTCCAATCGAGCCAGTCGGATTACACCACAAGAGCGTAAAAGAAGGGTAGCGCACCTCCAGTCCATGCTTGATCAGTGGTATGAGCGTATCCCGCAGGCTTTCCACATCGAGCACGTTGCTGCGACCGTGGGACCGAGTCAGCTCGTGCAGATGACGAAGATGCATCATGCATTTTTGCTGACTGAGGTAATGATACATGGTATATACAGTTATAATAAAGATTGGCAGAAGAGGATAAGCTCTTTTGGGAGAGAAACGATATCCGGGGGAGATCAAAATGGTGCAAACAAGGAACAGGCGCCTCTGCCAGAGGGCTGGAATCAGTGTGTTGATGTGAGCAGGGGATGTATGAAGCTATTCCAGGAGGCAACACCGACAGAGTGTCTAGTCTGGTAAGCCTTCTCCTTTGGCCTTGTTGTTCCTATACTAACTTCCCCAGGCAATGCAGTTACTCTCACTTCTCAGCCCTGATAGTCCTCCTTGCCAACATGATTCTCAATCCAGGTCACACATCAATCCACACAGACCAGCACATCTCAATAAAAGCACTCGATCTTTTCGATAAGCTTCTCAAGGTTGTAGACGACGAAGCATTTAGGGCACTGCGTTCTGTCGTCGGGGATCTAAGCCAACGAGCGCAAGAAGCCGTGGCTGCGCATCGAAAGCATCTCAAGAGTCTAGGCCAGGACATCTACGAGCCGATTGACGTTGAAGAGGCAGTCGTGCAGGAGCTAGACTTTTTGCCCACCGATGATACGTTTGAGAATATGGATGGGCCATTTTCTGGGCTAGAATCGAGTGTGGATTTCGATGTTCTTGGGTTTGGGCAGGATGGTAGTGGGATTGGGTTTGTGGATGGGGACACGAATACTTGGTTTTTACCTGGGTGAAGGAAAATCATAACTGGTAGTTAGAATAAGATGCACCTTGATCTGTTATCAACTATCAACATGTACCGATAATAAGGTATTAGTAGTACAATTGCCCATCCTGCGGCTGCTCAACCGAGCCATGAGAGAAGCCACAATGATCTGTTGTCTCCCGAACAGACACTTCCTTTTCAATACACATAACGCCCCATTGTAAAGGGAGCAACGATGCCTCCGGGTACGAGAAACCGTCTGGTTGGTGACAAGCAGCCGCAATCGCCAAACTACAGCTTGCAACCACAGGCATACCAGTTGGTAGGCGACGAAATGCTGTAATGACTACCGCGGCAGCCATAAAAATAGAGGTGATAACAACAAAGATAATGGCAACTGGCGAGTATCCACAAGTTATCACAACATCCTGGTACTCAAATTCTGATGTTACCTTGTCAAATTTCTCGATAATAACAATGAAAATACTTTGTGACAGCATCCAGTGTACAAGCATTGAAACAAGTACAAGCGGAATGCTAAAGCGGTAGGGAAGTTGAAGAAAATACTGGGAGCGTTGCTGACCTCTCGGGTTGGAGGAAACGCGTAATGGACGTCGTTTGCGACCAAAATCACTCCATTCCTTTGCGGCCGCCATAGCAGTGAAGAGGCTGTTATACTGGAAGTATAGAAGTGAGAAGATCAGCTGAGGAAGGTTGGATATGAGAACTACAAAGAAGATATTCTGGTCGCTCCCAAACTGATTTTCCGTAAATCCCCTGCCTGATATTAGGGTGAGTTCGTTTGCGGTTCCGAATCCTAACCCCCAGAGGGTCTTGAGGTCGTGGGGGCCGGGGACCTTTATGATACCATAAGTCAGAAGCCCGCAACTGACAGCAAACGCGACTCCATACCTGGAGGGGAAGTGTTAGTAGTTGGCCTTTCTTCTGGGATTGACACTGTTCTTACATGACAAGACTGAAGATCCACCGCGTTTTAGTAACAGCAACTCCGCGTCGTTTAGGTTGTGTATGCATGATACTTTGCCGAGTAAAGAGGCCGTCACGGACAATACGCGCCGATGCCAAGCAATTTCCCCGAGAGTATTCATCTGGACGAGTCAAGAATGATTTAATAGCATCTCCAAGAATAAACATGGGCTCTTTTGGTGGCCGAAAAACAATAAAGGCCAGTATGATCGCCTTGATAAAGTTCACTGCAAGGACAATCCCCGCAAGATAAATGTCAAAGTTGAGTCGACATTTTTGTGGTGCTGGCTCGCTAAGGCAATACTCGACCCTATTGCCGAACGGTCTCCAATCATCCGACTGAAGTTTAACTTGTGGCAATTGGAAGTGACAAGGGTTGTCGCAATCTTGGTTAGGACAAATCCAATCATAATCTGATGAAGGGCAGTTGTTATCTAATGCTCGTCCAACGTTGTGTAACAAGGTAGAGTTTATCTCGTGTGCCCTTTTCGATTCAGGTTTGGACGTTGAAGTGTCGACAACCAGTATCACGTCGATCCTGTTTGTCAGGAACATTGCACCATACTGGTCGATACACTCCAAGGCGGTGAGGTTATCGAGTTGACTGCCTGTAATGTTCCTCGGCTCAAACTCGGCTATGGTGTAGTTATCTGCAGGTACATGTCCAGATTCACTCTCGAGTAGCTGGAGGTTCCTATCCGCGGTATAAGTCTCGTAATAGAATGCCGTTAAGGATGAGTAGACCATCGAGTTGAGTCTCGGTACTGTCAGCTTTGTGCTCTTTTGTTTTAGATTTGAGAGACATACAAGAGATGAAGTGGTACCGAAGAAAGGATAAGCAGCCACCAAAGTGCTACTCTCCATGCAGATACTTTTCTCAAGTTGCGAAAGCTAGGGATCCCAATATCTACCCATCTCTTCTGTGCATGAGCTTTGTCAACATCGGCCCTGGTTGGTGTCGAAAGACATTGCATCCCATAGTTGCTGGCGGAAAGAAGGATCGAACCAAAGATGTTGATGACAAGGTGAATCCCGAGATTCATGTTCCGAGTTGTTGAACACGAACCCTCGTAGATAATTCTCCGGCTCGACTGGTTGTCTTGTAGGCTCACGCTGGACCAGATGGTGACGCCGAGGTTAACGACAAAAACAACAGCACAAGCACAGGAGCCACCAATTAGAGTGACCTTCCAGTCGTCCATCTTCTTGGAGTTCTCTGTAATTTCAGTAACGATTGGCCTGTCCACATTGCTGTATAGATTGAGAAGTCCATTGCTTTCGCGAGGGTGTGGCTTGTCCATTGTTGTCTGCATAAATAGGCAATTAAGGATAAAGATTTCAAGAAGACCTGGTTGTTATTTTGTCTAAGTGAGTGGTGTTCTTTATAGCGAATCTCTCAAGGCATCTCCCTCATTACCAAGTTCTATTTAGGGCTATAACCAGCTGGAAACTTTAATCGCGGAAAGTAGCTAGCTGTCCAGCACTTCTAACTTATGGCTGGCAGTAGTGAAGTCGAGAACGGATTGTGGCGTTTAGCTGAACAACCAGGCGTTATGTAGCTAGTAGGAGATAAGGAAACATGCCATAGGGCGCCCTTAAGGTTCAACGGCTTCTCACATGCATATATCGGCGATGCGGCGCAGGTATATGATACCGTAGAGTTGAGTCTGCCTGCGGCATGGTTTTTTGAGTTAGACAGTAACTTCCCCGAAGAGCTTTGGTGTCTGCATGACTTGCGACACGAATCCCCAGTACCAGCGATTCACGTGATCGAAATGAACATTTACATAGTATCTGCGACTGGTGAGGGCTATCTGCGAGATTGAAGAGTTGTTGGGGTGTAAAGACAAAGCCTGGCGTGAACTGAACCCAGGGAGACACGCCAAGCAGGCGATACTCATACATACCAGTCTAACATATCTAAATAGATCACTGTAAATTTGTTACACGTAAAAGTCCATGTCTAATTTCCTGGTTAGGCCATTTCAAGATCTTTGGAGCAATATTGTTGCGCCAGCTTTAATTAGTGCATCGTTCGTTCCGACTGCAATTGTTCGGAGTAAAATGATAAAATTATAAAATATTGCTGTTCTTCGTCGGCACATAATTAACTTGTTTTGAGAGGGTAATTATTTGTGAATGTGAAATACATAACCAGTGGTTGAGAGAGAAGTACATTCTGGCCCGTAATGTAAACCTGCCAGGCACTGACAAAGAAGTGATGGGACTGCCAGTGCTAAAACAAAGAATATCATTTTTAGAATATTTTTGGTAAACATAGACCCACGATTGATCATTTACATATAACAATAAGCGGTCTAAACACTGGCCCTTTATCGTCTTATTGTTCGGCTCGAATCGTTTGTCGATGTCCACCATTAGAGCGTGCCCTCACGTTTGGCCTGTTCGAACCACACTCCTTCTTTATTGTCTCTTCTTTGATCATCAAGCCTACACGGTCGACAAGATGCCTCTCGATCAAGATGGTATTGTCAACCTTCCAAGTACAAAGATCCGACTCGATCCCCTGCCTCGACATATCTCAACATCGCAACAGAATCATCACATTTTCGACACATCATTCAATCTTATTCATCTACAACTTATTGCTCAATCATCCCTTCAAAATGGCTGCCGCTGGTGCTGCTCTTGCACTACTACCACCGCTACCAACTATTGAAGGCCCCAAGCTAGAGGCCTTCACAGACGACATCGAGAACCATAACTACACGTTACTCGAATACCTCGGTTCTGGAGTTCAGTCTGCTGTATTCAGAGTTCAAATCGACAATGATATATTTGTTGTCAAGTTTGTAAGTAAAGTGCCACAAATGACTTGTAGAACTGATAACTAACCTTGATATATAGTTCAAAACCTACTGGCTCAATGTGCCAACATTCGAAATGTACCCTGTCGAGGAACATTATATGATGGACCAGACACAAAACTTCAATCCTGCCGTCGACGATCCTCAGCCCCAAGTTGTACTGGATGCTTTGAAGAATCAAACAACACCCTTCTTCAACGAGTGTCGCGTATATGGCCGACTCAAGGAACTTGACCGCGAGGATCTTGCTATCAGAGCACACGGTTATCTGCGTGTTCACCTGACAAACAGGTTCCAACAACAGTGGGAGGATGCAATCCGACAGTTCCATCCCAACAGTGCAGCCGCTCGGCAGAGGTGCGAGTTATCGACTTTACTCGAGCATGACGACATATCGGATCCCGTATATGCCATCGTCAAAGACTGGGTTCAGGACCACCGCACCCCAGGAACTCCCCCGTCCAACCTGGTGAAGGCGAGGCAGATCAAGCATATCCCCAAGATGCTACGCGACGTGCACAATCTTCACAAATGCGGTATAGTGATCCGTGATTTGAAAGAGCAGCAGTACTATGACGGTCAACTTGGTGACTTTAGTCATGCGTGGACGGTCCCTCACCTCCTTGCTCCAGGTAACGGCATCCGACCTGATTGGGCGTGGAAGAGCATGGCGGCGTGGGATCTGCACTGTTTCCAGCGGGATATCATCAATCCAGCGACACAAATGGCACCGAGAAGCCATCCGCCGCTCAAGCCTCCTACTGTTACGGCGTGGCTCAACGGTGAGCACCGGTATCAGCTTCGAAGTCGGGATGTCGTACAGGGGCCACAGCTTCCTCTTCTTAAGTACGACGATCAGGCCGACTTCGAAATGAATTACGATCCTCCCTTTGACCCATCGACTTTTAATTGGAAGGCACTTGAGGCCAGGAAGACAGCGCAGGGGGTTGTTGCTGGAAGGGTTGGTAAGAGGAGGGCGGCTGGGCAGGCGACAAGGGGAAGGGGAAAGGGGGCTAAAAGGATTAAACTCAAGGTAAATCCTACTAGGCCTTAGAGTGACAGCGATATTTGGTTAAGCATAGCGACGGCGTTTGTATTAGAGCGGAAAAGTATTGGATACTAATTCACGTTTAACTTGTGTAAAAGATTGATCATTGGTATTCATTGGTGCTGATTGTTCCAATATGTGTTTGATAGATATAGGTGAGAACTATTGCTCTGCACGTTGATCCAAGAGAAACCTGAATAGTCCCCTCTGCAAAGCACAAGGTGCTGCACCACCATGGTCCTCCGCCTCAAACTCCCACGTCCAAACATCCCTTAGATTCTTGGACGTTTTCATCGTCTCTACCAGTTCTAGTGCATTGTCTTTCATCTTCCTCTCCAACGCGCCCTTCTGCTTCTTGTCAAACTTTTCATCTGATTCACCAGGTAATTTCATCAACGTCTGTTCGGCACCACCAAACATGACCAAGAGTCGTGGTGCTCGACCTGTAGGAGGTTCGCGTGCGTGGAAATCTTGCTCTTGGTTTTGCACGATACTTTTGTTGTTAAACCAGATAGATGGACTTGCTGCAATGAAGGTATCAAAGAAATTTGGTTGAGTGAATAGAGCGTTGAGAGTGAATAGACCACCGTAGGAATGGCCGAATAGAGCATTAGGTCCAGAATTGAGAGGAACGTCCGGGAAGAGGGTATTTTCGACATATGGCCGGACTTGTGTTTGGATTATGTCCAAAAAGTCGGATGCGCTGCCGAAAGGACCTAGAGAAGGCTTGCCATCAGGACCCGGCGGTACACTGTAGATGCCATCGCAAGCTTCGGGTGTCAGATCTCCATTGCGACGCTTGTCGAAGACGCAGGTTTTGTTAGGATAGCCGATTGCAACAAGGACAACTCGTGTGTGGTGAGTAAGTTCCAACCGACGAGCGATGTCTGTTGCTGTGAAGAAGTAGATGTTTCCATCAACTATGTATCTGTGAAAAGTAAGACTCGTTGATTTCGAAGATGAGGCTTTTCTTACACAGTGGAGACGGTGGAAGTATCATCTTCTGGTGGTACACGCTCGCTGCTCCAGCACAAAGGCCATGAGACTTGAATGAGGTATTCGCCTCTTCTTGTGGGGAGAGTGAATTGGCAAGAATTGAGTGCGTTGGCGTTATTAGAGGCGGGCTGGACTAAAGTCATGATCACGGCGAGTATTGTGGTTGCGACAGCGGATGATAAGTGATGGATGGAGATGAAGATGGTACGGATGATGATCTGATAAGATTAGATGGGCCAGTTAATCCAATGAGAACATTCGGGCGGGGTGGGCTGCTACTGTCCATACAACGCCGTAAATTACAGTGGGAATCCCTTCAAACCCCCAATTGAACAGAGGGTATTTTGCGGCCTTAGCAATTGCAACACCATCATCCCAATCATGATAGTAATTCAGTTCAATTGAGAAGAATTGAAATGAGATATATGTCTTCTATTATTTGACTATTTTATTTAAATAACGTTCTTCAAATCCTGCTTCGCCCTGAATCGTCTAAGATTATCAGCGATAAGACCCTCAGCACCTTGTGGTCGTCCACCAGCAGCATGCGGTGAAACAATAGTATTAGGCGCCTTCCAGATCTTGCTAGGTTCAGGAAGAGGCTCTGTCTCAAAGACATCCAATGCCGCTCCTCCAATCTCTCCCTTCTCCAGCGCATCAACAAGCGCATCTTCATCCACAGATGTACCCCGCCCCACGTTGACGACCCACGCGTGCTTGGGCAATTGCTTGAGTCGCTCGGCGTTGAGGACGTGGCGCGTGGAATCGGAACCGGGGAGAATCATGACCAGTGCATCAGTCTCGGGGAGGAGCTTGTCGAGATCATCCTCGGTGTAAATCTCAATGCCGTTGCGAACACCCTTTTGACGAGCGATACCCCGGACTTGAGAGCCGAGACCAACGAGCTGCGGGGTGAGGCTCTTTGCGATGTTGCCGAAACCCCAAATGAGCACGCGCGCATCGCGGAGCGTTGTGAAAGCGTCCTTGGGTCTATCAGGCTGGGGACCGCCGAGGTGGCCTGGCCATTTGCCCTGAAGCTGGTAATCGCGCATCTCGTAGAAACGACGGGCAGCGTTGAGCAAAAGACCTAGCGCATGCTCTGCGACAGTGTGATCGTGAAGACCCGAGCCGGTAGTAATCTTAATCTTTGATGCGTCGAAGCCGGCGCTGAGAACATCGTTGGGACCCGCAGCGAGGGATTGAATCCATTGAAGCTTTGTTAGGCGCTTTGCGGCGTCTTGAAGGTTATCGGCCGTGTTTGTCCATGTGACGAGGATTTCGGCATCGACGTGCTCTTCTGGGATGGGCTTCTTAACGTCGTATGAATGGAGGTCGACGGAGAAGCCCTCGAGGCTTTGGATGTCGAGTTTGAGGGATGTTGGGTAAAGCAGCTTCATTTTGGGCAGTAATTGAGTGAATATGAGGAGAATTCTGTCTTGTTCAAGAGGGATCGGAGCTGTATATGTACGGACATTGATGAGCGCATGATGGGGAAAATGATGGCATCGGAAAGAAGACCGGATTTGTGAGGTTGGTCAATCATAGCCTATACTTTTGGTGAGGAGCCGAGGCCGGAATACAACAGAATACCCCGCCGTGGGGGATGAGGGGCTTTCTTTGGGGGTCAAGACGAATTGAGGTCGAAGATTGGTCAAATGTTATAGAAGAACCCCAAATCCCGCGGGAGACACTTGTTAGCTGAAAGTATGATCTTAGGGTTAGCCATTGAATGAGATGAGTGAGGGTACAATAGAGGTTTCAGAGAAGTAAACAGCCCATATTGTAGAGCAGTCAGAAGAGCAAATATGATGTTTGAGGGTGACGTCACTGATGGTATTCACAAGTTCAGAGGGAAGTTGAATATTGTCTAACAGTTGATTTCTTTTAATAATATTAGTCAACTTCCCAGCCATATAAGCCCTTATGTGTTTCTGGCCGATAATCTTATAAATGATATTGTACGAAACTCGTTCCATAGGATTATGTCATTTGAGTTTGATTTCATGACACTTGCGACACGTGTGCCAACTAGAATGATGAAGGGTTGTATGTTGTGAATTATGGTTATTGAAAAGGATCTATAACACAATATTGTATGAAACGTTTTTACCTTGTAAGCTTGGACTTCATATAATACTCTCTGTGTCTGTCTCTGATTTCAATCTTTTTGTTTTCTACTTGAAAAATTCTACCCTATATGAATCGCGAGGTTCGATCCTTTGAAAAACTGATACAACTGCCAAGGTGGCTCGCGTCTGATCTCACCAGCGACGCAGATCAAGCTTACACAGTTACAACCCGCAATTTTCAATTGCAAGGCTTCATGCACTGTAACCTCGAGACAGACCTACCAGTCACCATGATGCGTCCGTTGTTTGCCATCCTCGGGTATTGCCACATGAAGAAATACTCATCATCAACCTGGTTGTGGCAAGTTGATCAATTGGTCCACGCCCTGTGAAATATGGCCGACGAATCCGACGCCAGAAGATCCAGATGACATCAAACATACCTGGCCCGAATTCACATGCTTCGTTATAGTTGATTGATGCATAGCAATCTGTCAAAAACATCCATAGTCGTGATCCCCGTATGCACATTTGATCCACTGACATGGGATAATATAGAGAATAAGACAAAAGTGACCAAGATTAGCGAACATAATATGTCAAGGGACACGCAACATCGAAAAGCAAAGAAGCAATCCAGAACGACTCCTCCATGCATGTGTTTTGGAGCTTGCCACTAGCAAATACCAAGCCAAATCACGAAAATAAGCCGCGCAAATCACAACAAAATCAGGCATCTGTCTGTGCAACTGTATCTTCCTAACAAACCAGGCGCCAGGAAATACTTACCCACTGGCAATCTTACCTCGAACGCCACTTAAAACCTCACATTTGTCTAGATCAACAGCCAAGACGGACGTTTTTCTACAACAGATCAAACCGAAACCCATCGTCCCTCGGAGCTGAAAAGTGCAGTCAAGATTGTAGTATCAAGTATCCCTGAAAGTGAGAAAAAGCTTCGGTGCCTTGGCTGACTTGGCAAGATAGAAACGTGCCAGAAGGGAGAGCTCGCGTGTGGTTATGCTCGAGCTCGCGGGATGCGGGAGTCGTGGCGCGGGCCTTGGCGGTTGGCTTGGCGAGTTGTATTTTGCAAGAGATGTAATTGATCGAGGAATGGTGACTATGCGTGAGTTATCGTTGGTGTTGGTGTTGCTGTGAGGTTGTCGTTGATATCTGGATGCTCTGTATACCATGTCGAAAGATGATCACTCCCTTTTCATGCTTCCCCGGATTCTCGTAGTTGTATATAAAGAAAACAAAAATCTCATAAACTCAATCAATCTTTAAAAACAAGGTTATTTCTTAATTAAGCTGCCCTGCTCTGATCGGCCTTGGCATCGTGGCCCTTCGATTGTGGACAAACCACCAACTCCACGTGTACTATCTCGTTGTCTGATTGGTTCATCACCCCTGTTCAAAGAGCCTCCCTTACAACGACATCCGTTGATGCACGTGGGGTCAGGAACTGGCTCAAAGCTTATTTCCATTACTCTGGGACTGTTAAACTAGAGTGTCACATTAGTTCTTTTCGAGCCACCGTGGTGTCTTGCCTGTTTGGGTTGGACTATCGACCAGACGAGGGTAAGAGTCTCGTGGGACCGTCTGCCTCTCACTCTTCGATGGAGACGGTTGAAAGAAGCTTGGATTAGCTATCTGCATGTAAATCATCTCTTTTGTCTTAGTGCCATTGAAGTTTGTCTAAATGTACTTTGTCACTGTCCGGGCATAACATCAAAGTCTCTTTATCTCAACTTCAACTCATCTCCAACTCATCAACATTCGACTCTCGACGATTCCATGTCACATGCCAACCCCCCCACGAAAAAGACCGAATATCAGTCTCTTCTAGCAGCAATAACCCTTCTGCCAAGATCATTCCCCGGTCCAACGAACATCAAGAACCAAAGCACGAGAGCGACCACCCCCGTCGTCGCCAAGAAGCACCACTTAGCCCAACATCACTCCTCGATTAATCTGCCAAGACAGAACTTGTGTCGCCATTAAATACCTGTCTCACTCATTGGACAAGATGGAATTACCTCTCGACCCATTCTGGTCACCGAGGACGTGCGTCTGGCCCCATAACCATAATTATAAGCTTGTTCGCCAAGTCTTACCCGTCCCACACTTTTTGTCTTGGAGGAGAAGTGAATGAATATAAGGAGTCGGGATCTGGCTCTTCTGGAATCTCGCTTTGTGACTTCTGTGCATCAGCTCCTTTCTCTTCATTCCCTCTTTCTAGAAAAGGAACAAAAAAGTCCGATCTCTTCGGCCAGCTTTTGATCATGGTGCTTCATCAGTACGATTACATCTTTGCCCTCGGCACCATCTTTTCTTTCCTTGATGCTTGGAACATCGGTACGATTCAATCATCACCCCTCAGGTTTATCAACAACTACTGACTGATATGTTTCTTTAGGTGCCAACGATGTCGCCAACTCGTGGGCTACATCGGTCTCATCCCGATCCATCAGCTACCTCCAAGCCATGACACTCGGTTCCATCCTCGAATTCGCTGGATCCGTCGGTGTCGGTGCTCGTGTCGCTGATACCATCCGTACCAAGGTCGTCGACCTGGACCAATTCGAGTCCGACCCTGCCATGCTCATGCTCGGTATGATGTGCGCCATCGCCGCCTCTTCAATCTATCTCACCTTCGCCACTCGTATCGGTCTTCCTGTCTCGACTACTCACTCCATTATGGGTGGTGTTATTGGTATGGGTGTTGCTCTTGTCGGAGCTGAAGGTATCCACTGGGCTGAGTTTGACAAGGGTATCAGCTCTGGTGTTGTCTCTGTTTTCCTCGCTTGGATCATTGCTCCTGGTCTGTCTGGTGCCTTTGCTGCTATCATCTTCCTTATCACCAAGTATGGTGTCATGCTTCGAAGCCAGCCTGTCTGGAAGGGTCTCTTCCTGACCCCCGTCTACTTTGGTATCACTGCTTCTCTACTTACCATGCTTATCGTCTGGAAGGGTGGTAGTATTGAGATCACCTTTAATGACGCTGAGACTGTCGGCATGATCATTGGTGTCGGTGCTGCCTGGGCTCTCATTATTTCCATCTTCCTTGTCCCTTGGCTTTACCGCATCGTCATCTGCGACGACTGGCAGCTTCGATGGTGGCACATCATCCAGGGCCCTCTTCTTCTCAAGCGCCCTCCCCCTCCTGCCCAGCCTGATGGTGCCGAAGGTGGTATCAAGGATTTCTACGAGGGACATATGACCAAGGAAGAGCTCAACGAGCTTCGACGTGCCGGTCGCGAAGGTAGTGACGAGTTTGTCCGCGCCCAGGACCAGACCAGCAACGAAGGCAAGGAGGGATCTACCGAGAACAAGGTCATGACTCCTCCTTCAGAGAACACCGACGACGTTGCTGAGCCCGTTGAGGCCAAGCCCCGCCGTAGCCTCATCGGTGAAAAGCCTGAAGGTCGTCTCTTCAGCGGCGCTGTCCTGTTCTGGTACCTCAAGAAGGCTTTCCTCTCCGGTGTTGACCAGGATATTCTCGCCATGCAAAACAAGAAGAGCATCCTCACTGGTGACCTTGACGAGATCCACTCCAACGTTGCTCACTACGACAACCGCGCTGAGTACCTGTACACATTTATGCAAGTCATGACTGCTTGTACTGCCTCTTTCACTCACGGTGCGAACGATGTTGCCAACGCCATTGGTCCTTATGCTACCATCTACCAAATCTGGAGAACCGGCACTCTTGCTGGTAGCAAGTCTGAAGTTCCCATCTGGATTCTGTAAGTACCTCTCATGTCCCTGGGACGAATCATTACTGACATTGAATAGTTGCTTCGGTGGTGCTGGTATTGCTCTTGGTATCTGGACTTACGGATACAACATCATGCGTAACCTTGGTAACCGTCTGACTCTTCATTCTCCTTCTCGAGGTTTCAGTATGGAACTTGGAGCCTGTATCACAGTTATCCTTGCCACCCGTCTTAGTAAGTTTCCGTCCATTAGTCCCCTCATGATACATTAATACTAACAACTACTTCAGAGCTTCCCGTCTCCACTACCCAGTGTATCACCGGTGCCACCGTCGGTGTCGGTCTCTGTTCCGGTACATGGCGCTCTATCAACTGGCGTATGGTTGCCTGGATCTACATGGGCTGGATGATTACCCTTCCTGTTGCTGGTATCCTGTCTGGCTGCATCTGCGGTCTTATCATCAACGCCCCTCGCTGGGGCTACAGTGGTTAAGCAATCACTTTCACTCTTTGGATATATACTCTCATATACTTTGCCCGGATGGGCTTGTCACACTATTAGAATGGTTGTTGAACCTGACCCTGGATACCGCGCTTGTGCTGAGGTGAAGGGGTTCGAATCTTATACATATCTTAATTTGAAAAGTTATCGCGTAAAAAAAGACTATTGGTTAGATGTGACTGTTGAGATCTATCATCTATCACTAACGTTTCCTTTACTGTTTCACATATCAAACTAAAACTCAGCCAACGCTCTAGAACCCGCATTGAAAGCTCGCTGCCCTTCATCCATATTATGTACATTCACCAAGTAACTCTTGAATTGTTTCATCATCTCACAAACCTGCTCAAAGTCTCGTTGATCAAGAGTTGGCTGTTTCTGGTTCGCAGAGCCCTGCTGATACCTGTAATCGGCCAGAGCAACGGCGGTTTGGAAAGCTGTACAAAGTTAGAGTCATCGCATTCATCGTAACTAGTGTCACTCACCATTCCTAATCTCTCTTCCGTTCCACTCTATTTCACTGGTGGCACCATCTTCAAGTATATAGTCCTTGGCTCGGCGGGTGACTTTAAAGTCCTCACGATCGTAATCAAGCTTGTCAAAGAACTGCATCCAGACCTTCTTCTGTCCTTCAGCGCTGAGCTTCTCATAATGTATGATGACGTGGATTCGGGAGATGAAAGCATCATCAAACTGGCCTACTCTGTTGGTGGTTAGGAAGAGAATACCTCGGTAGTATTCTATGCAACGGAGGAAGACTGGATGATCAGTTAGACGCGAACTGGCAAGTGCATGGGCAAATTACCAGCAACGAGACTGTTTCTTTTCAAGTCGGTGACTTGGCGTCTTTCCAGATAGACGTCTGCTTCATCAATCAACATGACAGCACCCCATTTCTCAGCCAGCTGGAACCATTTCGAGAGTTGGGCTTCCATCTTGACTTCGTTTGTACCAATGTCTCCGCAGGTTAGAGACAGCAAAGGTCTTTCAGTGTACTCGGCAATGCATTCTAGTATTTGGTAAGCATAAATTGTTCGCCCTAACTGCTCTTATTATTTCACCTGCTGTCTTTATCCAAGCTGTTAGTAGGATTATTTACGACATTAGCAAAGATGACTTACATATGTCTTTCCAACTCCAGGACTTCCGTGTAGCAGAAATATTCTACCGTCACCCTTATTCTCTATATAATCGGCTCTCCACGCTTGTTGTCTTGTCTTGTCTAGATCGTTAGTCGTGAATGTTTGTATGAGCGCCTTGATCATGTCTTTCCTTTCGGATGGCATGACGAGAGTGTCGATAGCCCTTATATTGGCACGCGGCGGGTTGCAGTAGGTGACGTCTAGTTGGACTGTATAAGTTATTAGCAGCTGCAGCCCGGCAGTCAAAAGCCTTCTTACCCCATGTTCTTGTCTTGAGGTCGAAACCTCTCAACAGCCGTCCACAAAGTAGATATCGATGTCCGGGACCTTCCTCTGCGCTGGAAATAGTGAGATCCTTCTGTACATTAGGATCCAATATGTCGTAATCAACCCAAGGAAACCCAGGTGGTGGATGGGGTCGTAGACCACGACAATCTTCGCATTGACACTTTGAGAGACCTTTTCCACCCATGTCTCTCACATATCCCAGCCTAGGACCAGTTCGAGGTGGGAGCCTTCTGCGCATACGATCTCTGCTATCGTAGGAGGATGAGCTGCTGTCTGAATCGTAATCACGGCCTTGCGGGAGCTCTCCAGGTGGCTTTTCGTTCAGATAGGTTGTGTATGACGCATGGTCAATGTAAACACGACCGTCAAGCTATTTAATCAGCTAGAGATCATGTCAGACCGAGGGCGAACTTACCTGGCGCTTTGTTGGGCCCAGAACAGGTCCAGAGTAATGAACCTGACCTCCAGGAAGTAACTGATACCACTTCTTCCCGTTCTCCTCCAATTTCTTCCTCCACTTCCCACCATCATCTCGATCAATGATATGGCACGGTACAAGTTGTAAAGATCTAATGGGTCGCACTCCTTCGAACGGGGCGATGGTAATGGTCTTTCCAACTCGACCAACGTACTTTCCATCAAAGTCAAGGCTCCAAACCTTGATCGTGTACGACTTTGGTCGCATGGGTGGAACAATGGACAAGATGCCAGGGTCTGTGTCAACAGATTGCAAGACGTATGCACCTAGATGACCGTCTATTTCGTGATAAACTGTCATGCCCGGCTTGTAAAGCAGCCATAGCATTCGGAAGGTACAAAATTCGTCTGCGTGCCGGTTCTCTTCGTTGATCATATCGTCCAAAACAGCTTTCTTGAAAAAGTCTAGCAGCCAGCTGAGATGTCGTAACCCGACGACTTCCTCATCTTCGTCCTTCTTGATGTTTTCAATTTCCGTATCGACGCTTTCCTGGACAATCTTGCCCTTGTTTACGTCTAAGTGCGCTTTGATCTCTTTGTAGTGATGAGCAACCAAGGCGAAGGGTTCCTCCAACCACAACGCAGTAGAATCGACTGTCGCTGAAGGATAATAGAAAACGTAACGTCTAAGGATCTCCAACAGTGGGGCTGAGTGAACAGTCAGACGTTTCGAGACAACCTTTGCTCTTATGTTTGGTTTTTTCAAAATCTTCGATTCAATCAGCCTCTCAGCTTCCCAATCCTGACGATGGTTATTGGCCTGGATTGAAGTCAGAAGTACAGTGACGATCTCAAAAGCTGGACTATCCGCCAGACCAAGACTGTTCAGATCAAACTCGCCCTCCCATGGTTCACTACCGATTGTATTGTGTCCATTGTCTCGGTACTCGACAGCGTGGAGGATAGCCTTGGATTGTCGTTTTGGAGGAGCTCGTTGATCAACAACCTTAACAGGCATTTCCACGGGTGATCCCAGGTCTAGTAATTGTCCACAACTTGGACATTCATCGATGCCGAAGTCCCAGAGGTGAGCATGAGATCGTCCAATGGAAGGGCACCACAAGCTTGTACTTGAAGGCCAGGAAAGCTTGAGAGGCTTAGTGGATTTTTCAACTTTCGTTTCAACTTCGGTCGTTTTTTCGCCCTTAGGCTTGTCCTTGATACCGTCTTCAGCATCAGAGGTGCCAGTTGATTTCGTCACATCGCTTTGTGAGGCGTCGGTAGTAGGGGTATCGTTATTTTCTGTCATGGTGCTTGACTATCTTGGAGGTGCTTTGGAGTTCTAACCAATATTGTATCGAAATATACTCTATGATACAGAGCAGAGCTGAGGGGGTTATGCCTGATCCTTCAGGATGACCGCACATGAGCCTGCAAGCGCTCAGGCAGGTCGTGAGAACTAGGTACTGGAACGAGGCCAGACGAAATACCAATGCTCTCTTAGGCTATATATTCACTAAAGCTGATCTAATATTTCTATCAACCACTAGATCAGTACCGTTTCTTATGCGACGCACCGGTGCCAAAGGGCAAGAAATGGCGCACAAATATAAAATGATGACAGGGGTTTAGCCCGGTCTGATAGGCTCCAGAACGCTGATTGTCGCATCCACAGTTGATGTTGCGTCGTGCTTACTTTGGTCCAGACATTATTCACCTTTACCGAGGACAGTTCATACCAAACAACGCGGGCTGCCGAGTTTGGACGAGTGTCACTCACCAACTAAGAACCGAATACTCACCTCGTACAGAGTTTCATAACTTGGAGGAGACCTAGTCGAAAATACTCCTATAGTTAATCATGTTGGTGGGTTACCAACCCCGCTTCTAAATCTTACACACAGCTGGGTTACATGCAGGGCTATCAAAATGGCCTCACTCACTTGCGAAACTACATTAGTCGGAACGATATGGATGGGGCAGCATAATAGGTTCATATCACAACTTTCATTCTGCTGAATGTTGTACTCATGGTTGTTAGTAACGATGCCAATTTTGGACCGTTGTACAGCCAACAACAAAAGATCCTGGAGCTTTGGGAAAGGTTCAACCAGATTTACCCAGATGGTAATCTCTCAGATCAGAAGAACAGCATACCGACGATCGAGACACTTTATCAAGCTATCGACCAAGCCCAGGCAGCATGGCAAGATAAACAGGCTCGAGGAGTCCGGCCTATACGGGACAAGTTCTTCAACTTTGCTGAAACAATGAGCGAGTACTCGTATCTGTTCAGCATCATCCCAAATGGCGATAAGTATACCAGTCTTATCACCGGAGTTGTATCTTCGGTTGTGAAAGTACGATATTGAGTCTAGAGCGCGGATATTGACTGACTTTCGCACCAAAGGTCTCTGTAAACTACAAAAAGGTTGCCGAGGGTTTCTCAGAAGCATTGTCAGATGTCAGCGATCATCTTCGATCCGTCAAGAAGATCTCAAAAGGATCAGACAGTCATGACATGCGCCAACATGTCATCAAACTCTACTGTGAAGTCTTTGAACTCCTGTGCCACGCTCTCACATGGTTCACGAGTAAGCGAAAGCGCATAGGAGCTGCTTTTAAGAAGAACTTTTACGATGATACGGTGGTGAGTCTCTTGAATCGGATAGAAAAGACTGTTACCGCTATTGATCGAGAAGCAAATTACATCTCGCATGGGCAAGTGCGGGAGATTTACGAGAGGGTCTTGGATACTAAATTAGAAGATCGGCTTCGTTCCGTTGGTATTCAAAATCGGAGAGATGGGGAGGCAGCTGTTGAGAGAAAGCTTGTGATGGCCAGAGAGGCAGTAGGCTGTTCTGATGATGTGACACATCAACTGGTGGGAGAAGAGGCTGTTAGTCAGACGACTTTCGTTGAGATTTCCTCATCAGCTGAGCTTATGACATCTGAAAGTGAGGATAGTACGGCGGAAAGCTTTGATTCGGATGACGGTGAGTCGTTCCGATAAAGACACTTAAATGATATCAAGGCTGACACCATTCAGATTCAGATCATTGTTCACGATATGAGGTGGAGAAATTTACATCTCATCTTGGCACCTATCGCGAATGTCGTGGAACTACATCTGCATCTGTACGAGGGGATGAAGTCATGTTTCTTCCAGACGAGGTTTCGCTCAGGATTAAACTATGGATTGACAGTCCAGAGTCCAAATCCATTTGGATTCAAGGCATACCCTCCGCGCAGCAAGATTCGATTGTTTCTCGCACAGCGGCCAGGATATATGATGTTAGCACTGAGGCGCGTCTGCCCTGCATCGCGATCTTTTGCCAGCCTCGGTATCACTTCGCAAAGGAGAAAGGTCTGACGCAGAAGGAGGCGTCGTTGATTGCTTTCTCATATAGCATCATCAGACAGCTCGTCCGCTTGCTCCCAACACAGTTTTCGGCAGTAGAAGGGCTGACTCAAAGGAACTTTGATCTTCTTGATGGTAGTATGCAAAGTATTCATGCCTCATTAGATCTTATCAGAGCACTGCTCAACCACACACCCTCTCCCCTGATCTGGGTCATAGACGGTCTACAGTTGGTTGAAGACAGAACCTCGATGCCCTTTCTGCAGACCTTTCTGGGATTACTCAAAGATCAAAAGACGAAGAGCATCTCAAAGGTCTGCTTTACTACCCAGGGCAACTGTGCAGTATTGGCACGTGGTCTTAACTTTCGAGAACGGGTTGATGCAACGAGGACTGCGTTGAGCGGACCTGGTGTTACGTTAAGAGGCGGGTCTGATCTACAACAGATTCGAGCTCGAAGAGTCTGAAAATTTGAAATATTAAAGAATGACCTAACCACTTAATCGATATAATCTTTGAAACAAGGAATAGACATTAAGTGCTATCATTCAGAATCTCTATCTCTAATCTATATCTTTAAAGAACCAATACGACACCGAAATACACCTGAAGTATCCTCTTAAGTCAATTCTGACCGGCCTTGATAAATTACTTGCCGGCAGACTTGGGCTTCCAAAGTGCCCAGGCAAACGTGATGCACAACTTGAGAAACGCGGCAATCCAAAGAGCACCAGCGAAGCCAACCCAAGACTTGGACAAGAAACCACCACAAACAGCACCAAGGAAAAGAAGAACGGCCCCGGAAGCTCTTCGGTTACGCTCAGCGTTATCAGTAAGGGGCGCGGTGAAAAGCGTTGCATCGCTCATCATGTCGCAGTACAAACTAGTCAGCACAACTGTAGGCATAGAGTTGAACTTGAGGGCTCGGCTAGCAACGATCTGGCCGGCACTCTGGAACGCAAGGATGGCGATAGCAGCGTAGTCGGATGCTGGGAAGGAGTTTTGCACCCTTTCAATGATCCAGCCATCTTCGTGAACTGTTTCTCGACCGTGGGGGTTGTTCCACACGGCGCCAGTAGTGGCAAGGAGGGCGACAAGACCGGTGAGGATGGCCTGGATGAAGAAAGACAGGATGAGAACCCAGCGTTTTTGAGGACCGAAGTGACGGTGGACGGTGGAAAAGAAGAGAGCTCCAACTCCGAAACAGACGATGGCGACCAAACAGCGTGACCAGGCTTTGCTTGGGAGGTTCTCTGGTTGATGGCTGACGCCTAGACCGACAAAGATTGTGTTTCCTATGATGTGTGAGTGGGTGTTTGGGTGGTTAATTGGTAGGGTATCAACTGACCTGTTTGCATACTGACGAAACAGCCATACATATTGAAGGCAGCGCTGTCAACTAGACCAGCTATGAAGAAGCATACTAGAAGCAGGAGATCACCCCATCGTGTATCGATATCTGCTGTGAATCGCCTCGAGACTGTCGATGGAGAGCCTCCCTTTGGTCCAGCTTCGGGGTTGTCGCTTCCAGAGTCGGGCATCTTGGCCGAAATTTCGGATGATATATCCGAGATTGGTTATCTATAAGAGGATTTCGTATGTATCCAATGGAGGCGGTTATTAGCTCCAACCAGTGAATGGAAGTCGGCTGTGAAATAAAAAACAAGTTTGAGGAATAAATACCAGTAAAGTTTAAAATGAAAGAAGGAGTCATAGGAAGGATAAATAAGTCAAACTGTTTTTCTCCTGAATAGCGCTAATGACGTGCTGGCGCAAGAGTGGGCCCTCAATAATTTTCGGGTCTAGAAAAAGTTAGGGATAAGAAAAAGACAAGAAAAATACGGCGATTTCGGCTTTACGCCAAGAATAATGCACAGACGATGCGTACGTACGCAAACATTCTGACAGCTACGCTAAACTGTATCTGTGTATTATTCAAGACAGTAACCAGAGCATATTAGGACATTTACTACAGAATAAACTCGAAGGAAGTCTAATAGTATGCATATATCTGTACTCTATATAATATTCGTATTTTAGATGAAAAATGGTTGCAACCATCACTTCTTCACTATGTCTTTCTTTGTCAACACCAAGTCAAGCCCTGCCAAGCCGGGACTTGACATCCCATGCCGAGATCACTTTGGCTGGGCATTCAACACCGCCCCATCTTGGCTTTGTTGATCAATTACTACTGGATAGCGGTCAATTGAAACACTTGGATTAACAGACCCATTTGACCCTACCCTGACATTCAAGTCGAGACATTGATTGACCCTTACTCGAAACATCCCTTTCTTGGATATGCAAGTATAAACAATCACGTAGTAGCATAAACATGGAAACCATCATGGATGGATGCATAATTTACTAAGATAAAATGACATTGCTTTTGATCAAAGACGATTGTTCCTCAACTTCAGACTCCCTCCAAACAAAACAGAACTTTTCCATCCATGTCTCGGTACCTAGAGATCATAACCTTGGCCTCCCCCACATCATTTCTTCTACTTCATCTAGGAAACGAGACCATTGTTGCACTTGGTGCCAGGCGCAACATCAAAAACATAAGCCCAACCCAGGTTGCAGATGCCCCAGGTAGTCTCGGAGAAACAGTACAGCATTCCCGACTGAATCTCAGCAGGACAACCCTCATAGTTCTCGTCGGCCCAGAACGGTCGGCCGCTGGGAACAGGACACTCGGGCTTGTTGGTGTTGATAGGGGTAGCGATGCTGGTAGGCAGTACAGATGTGTCGGCTTCGGTTGTGGTGATGAAACTAGAGGGAGTGGGAGACTGAATGGTTGAAGAAACTGTGACCGAGGTCTGGACAGTGGTAGAGGGTGTAGCAGGTTCTGAAGGTTGGACCGACACTGTTGGGGAGCTGGGCTGAGCAGATGAAGGAGCCTTGGATGCGATGGGTGCAGATGACACAGGCTTCTCAGGAGCAGCACCATCATCCTTGAAGTTAGGTTCAACACCCTTCTCGCAAGTCCCCTCACTCCCAGGAGTGCCCTGTTCAATCACCCATCCAAAGTCACCTGCCTCCGGAAAGTTGATGACTCTTCCGCTCGCACCAGTGGTGCACTCGCCAGGGATATTGGCGCGGAAAACCGGAGGGAGGCTGTCGACAAAGGTATTATCATCCGTTCCTCCGACGACTTCGATAGGAGAACAGACCATGTACATCTCTCGGTTGCCGATCTTGTTGAACCAAGTCCAGGCGAAAATCGCTGGCCCGTTCTTCATGTCCTTGGGAATGGGAATGTTGAACTGCTTGGTGCACTCCTTGCCGGTATCATTTCCACACTCAGGACCATTCTCACGTCCATGAGGATCCGTTTCGGTGGTGGGAATATTTCCCTCTGCTTCGGCCGGACATCCGCCGATAATACTGTAGATGGTGTGCCACTTGCTGGGGTCATCGGGGGCTTCTTCCCCGTAAGCGACGCTGAACTGGCACGAGCCGCCGCCGTGGACAGCGCTGCCCCAAAACTTGACGGTTTGGGTCTTTCCAGCTGTCACTTTGGTGACTTGCTCTGTATGCTGGGTACGACCTTGGCAGGGGAAGGGTAGGTCAGCGCTCAAAGGCCATGTTTGATAAAGAGGTTCTGTGTCGAGGTTGAAGGGATGAGGCTCGACCATGATGACGTGGGCGGAAGCAAACGAAGCGGCCAGCGCTGCGATGCGAAAGATGGAAGATAAAGAAGGCATTTTGGTGGTAGATGAAAAGGCAATGCTTCTTTGATGAAAAATTGGTTGTTGATTGTGGTGTGATTGTTGAGGTTGTTTTATTGTGTGACGAGATTGTTTGATGTGTGTGTTTTTGTCTGATACAGAAACAAAATGAGGTGGCAAACAGATTGCATTCTTATACAGGACTCGAATCAGTGATCTTCACAATGAAGAATGTTTCTTGTCATGTTTGCAAACAAAGCATCCACTTTGCGTTTGTGCGAACAAGACTGTTTATCACTTGTTCGGTGGTGAAATCAGTTTGTTCTTCACTGTTGGACTCGAAACAAAGGGAAAGTGCTAAGGGCCTCGATACTCGATTCAGTTTCACTCTGAACAACTGTAATGGCGGCCACCATATTCCATAATATGGAGTGCAGGCACCGACTGAAGATTTAATAGCCGTTATTTCAGTCACCACATTCAATAGCGTGGATTGACCAGAAAGATCCTCCGGTTATCATGGAAGCGTCGGAGTTATGATGCTCAAATTTATGATACTGAAGCTAGTTGAAATTTTCAGATGCAATATTTCGCAAAATTTAGGATATACTCATCAAAGTATCGTGCTTAAATTTTGACGAAAGAAATTCAACTGACTTTGTGAGAACACAAGAGGCTACGATGTTCACGCATCAAAGGTTGAACGAGGCCATGTCAAGGTACAAAGGAGCGTTTTCTAGACGAAGAAACTTTGTTTAGTCATCCAAGTCTCAAAATTTTCATCTCGATAAGATAGAATAATGCTTCCAATCTCCTTTATCCATTACATTTGTATCGCGCGCATTGCATCTGTATCTTATTCTCCCCGTTGATGTTGATCGGAAATACATCGGATAACAGCAAAGTCTATCTTTACCTCGGTGTGGGCAAAATTTCACAGCACACATTCATTCCTCATAAATCTCACAAACACTCACAATGTCAAATTCACAAACCCCTCAGCCCGACAGCTTGATTGAAGCGGAAAAATGCAAACAATACTGGGAGACGGTTGATTCAAGCGACAATGGAATGCTGGGTGGGGTTTTGTCCATCATGCCCTCTGTCTCTCGCATCGACCTACAAGGTTCACGCACCTTTTTGGCGAGATTAAACATTGGAATCAAGACGGGTAGACAAAGAATACCAAGAGTTCTTGAAGGAGGCGCAGGGTGAGAAAGAAAAACTCATGTCAGCAAATATTGTCGCTAACAATATGTCTAGTATTGGCAGAATTACAGAAGGACTTTTACTCAAGCTCGCAGATCAAGTAGATGTTGTCGAACCAGTCGTTAAGTTTACAGACGTTTTGAAGGGAAAGCCAGGCGTGGGCGAAATTCACAACGTCGGCTTGGAACAATGGCGTCCTTCAGAAGGAGCATTATATGACCTGATTTGGATCCAGTGGTGCATCGGCCATCTCAAGGATGAAGAAGTGGTTCAATTCTTGGAGAGGTGCAAGTCAGTTCTGGACAAGAAGCATGGAATCATCGTATTCAAGGAGAATTTGAGCACATGGGGCCAGGATAAGTTTGATGAGCTGGACAGCAGTGTCACAAGGTGAGACATTCTATTAGTCCAATGCAACAGAATGATACTAACGATCGCAGGGAGGATGAAAAGTTTCAACAGTTGTTCAAGAGGGCTGGGTTAAAGATTATCAAGTCCGATATGCAACGCGGGTTCCCGGTTGTTAAGAATAGGCAGCTGCTTCCTTTGAAGATGTATGCTCTGCAACCGGAGAGTACAACAAAAACATAGTTGGTATTGTAATAAGATCAATTTCGCCAACACGGCTGAGAAAACAAACTCCCAATCCCTCTAAAGTCGTTGATGCTTGAATGTCATAACTAATAGTGTGGAAAAGAAGCCAATGCACCAACATGAAAATGTACCTCGCATAGATAACAGCCTTTAAATTAATAAATACCCAAAACTCAATATCCCGCATGGAGCAAACACTCCATAAATATCCTTGTCAATCATAATAATCGTCATAAATTTCAAAACTCTGGCTTCTGTCCATAAACGACGTGTCTGTGACGATGTCAGCTGCTGTGTTCCAGATACTATCAAGATGTACTCACATGGGCCACCATGCATGGATGCGTCTATCCCTCATGTCAGTTCTGACCTTGGCCAGAAAGACCTCTACCTCTTCAACACTCCAACCCAAGCCCTTGGTGAAAAGAGCTAGGGAGAGGCCGGAGAGTTCGCCGGCAATATTGTGATTACACCAGAATCCTAGTACGGTCAGCACTCCTATCCTCATTCTCCCTAGGTCGTAAAATCATACCAAGTTCCTTGTAGTAAGGATCCGCAGGCCATCTGTTGGTAGGCCACTTGTAGACCACCTCTGTCACATTGACAAAGCCCGCGTCGATCATCTGTTGTTTGTACGACTTTGCGCTTACAGCCGACCTTCCAAAATTACTCGCTGCTTCGGTCATGAATTCGGACCACTGGTCGATGTAGGAACCCTTGACAAGAGTGCCGTCGTCTGATGCGGCAGGGAAGGTGATGTCTTGACACTCGACCCAGCCACCTGGGTTAAGGCTGTCGAAGGATTGCTTAAAGAACTTGGGCCAATCGCCAATGGAGCCGGTAAGCATGCGGGCAAAGACAAAGTCGAATTTGTAGCTGTACGTCCATTCATCTTCGAGATCGTCGACTTGGAATTCGAGGTTTGTTGGAAGGCTGGGTTTGTTAGTGAGAGAAATGAGAGGTGGGTGAGGGACGTACAAGTTTGGTTGGATAGGACTGAGATCGATTCCAAGGACCTGAAATGTTGGTTACTAGTTTCACTGAACATTTGAGATACCGTACCTGTGTTTCTGGGTGATTATCGGCATAGTCAATTGCCCAAACACCAGTTCCTGTTCCTGCATCGAGAGTACGTTCTATAGGCTTGTTGCCTTTTTGCAATGGGCTTAGATACAGCTTTCCGCCGAGGGTAAGTGTGAAGAGATGATGTTGCAGATCTATTTAATCAGTGAGAATTCTAAATGGAAGAGACATTTCAACTCACCGAGACGTTCCTGTTCAGACTGAGATGAAAGGTAATGTTAGCGAATTGAATGTGAGACAGACGAGGTCTCATACCGAATCATTGGGGAGTACATAGTTGACTAAAAGGGTCAGAATAGGTTGGTATTAGAATACAAGATTAACTCACTTGACTCTCTAAAAGAATGATAGGTTCTTCCATTCTCAGTGCGGTATTGCATGATGCTTGAATTGATGGATGCTGTGCTACTTGCAGCGTCGTCCTGTTAGCGCCGAGTTAGTTCAGTACTACTCTAAACCCCAACAAAGAATAGCCCAGGGGCCATCCCAGTCCAGTCGCGATTTTCACAGGGGGCTTCGATGGAGTGGAAAAGTTCCATCAACGCATTTGTCTCTACTCACGCCGATCGCTGAATCATCGTCGCGAAAATCACCTTCGCTCTGGGATTGCGTCAGTAATCGTGGTTCATATTAGATAACCTTAAACCTCGCTCACCTCAGCTTGCAGGTCACTCTCTTCTGTCGTAGGCGCGTGTCTTTCAGTGGTTGTTGCAGTCGCCGTGGCTGTCGCAACAGTCTTGAGATCAGGGCTAGTCTCGTCAAGATCGTGCCGCTCGGCCTCTGCAGTAGTGGCCATAATGTCGGGTTGTGTCGTCTGGAGTTGAACGTTGAGTCGGGGTTTTAATTGAATTGAAGAGATGGAAAGTGTCAAAGGGGAACAAAACAGGTCCAGATTTTTTCCACTTTTTGAACCCCTCTTTCTTGATGAGTGAAGTTGCTTATTTCTAGGTAGGTGTGCCGGGTAATAGGTAAGAATTAGTAGCGAGGTACCGAGACGAGACAAGACGAAATGAGCCTGTGCCGCGTGTACTAAAGTGGTTCGACCAAGTTTAAGGGGAGGATAAAAAGAACAGGTCAGTCTGAAATGCATTGCCTCGGCGACGTCAAGTCAGAGCATGACATGTCAAGTCAGACCAGTCAGTACAGAGGCCGAGCATCTGCCGAAAGTGATTCTTTCACCCGGTTATCTTGACCTGCCTCAATGAATGGAATGTACCCAACCACCTACGGTAAAGCAAGGATCGGGAGAGAACCGCGGGAGCAAATAGCGTCGTGCTAGTGACTTAGTGGGCGCTTTTAGTGCTGATGCGTCGCCGTCTAGATGCTCTAGTTTCGGGGAGGGGCTGCTTTGGCATTAGTTTTCAGTGATTACTGATAGGTGGTCATTGACTGTCCTGCGGGCATCTTTCTAATGCTCCTCTCCATACCATGTCCATCTGTTCTAGACTCTTTTTTTTTATCGCGCTGTTTATGACTGGCATTTACTGGTGATGAACACTGATTAGAGAGGAACAAGTACCTAATAGCAATGGAAGATTAATGATCCAACCCGTCGGGTATTGCGTTATAGCACTGGAGGTACCACTAAGGTTACCATGTCCATGTCCGTGCTGAAATCCAATCAATTTCCCATCCAGCTCCTCGGGAATCTCCTACCAACAATTCAGTCGTGTCCAAAACCAACACCAACAGCATCACGAACCAACGGCTGCCTATATTCATGTCAGCACAAGTTCCACAGACAACCAGTTAATTGTTTGCACTGTTTCCGGATTTGGCGACAACAACTCTTGGCGTCTATCATGGCCGCAGCTGCAATAATTAATTACCTGCGTCACATTCGCCCTTCAATCGCAATCGCTGGAATCTTGGTTCTCTTCTTGGCTGCATGGACAGCTCTCTCAACATGGCGACAATATAACCGACTGCGAAAATTCAAGGGCCCGACTTTGGCAGCTCTATCAAAATGGTGGCTAGTCAAAAAAGTCGGAGGAGGTAGAGCCTATCTCGACTTTTGGGAGGTTACCCAAAAATACGGTACATCTTGTTAAGACTTTATTGAAGTGTCGCACAAGCTAATCGCCGACTCCCACAGGCTCTATCGCTCGCGTCGGACCAAACGATCTCCTTACCGACGACCCAGACCTCATGAAGCACATCCTCAATGTCCGCACCGAATACCGTCGCTCAGATTGGTACGACGGAATGCGCTTCAACCCCGGCAACAACAATATCCTCTCACATCGCGACGAAGACGAGCACTTTAAGCTAAGGTCCAAAATGTCGGCTGGCTACGGTGGTCGCGAAGTAGAAAACCTCGAGCCCAAGATAGACAAGAATATTCTCTCATTTATAACCCTTCTCGCCAAATATGCCGATGCAAAGAAACCCGTGGATTTAGGTCGGCGTGCGCAGTTCTTCACGCTTGATGTCATCTCCGATCTAGCATTTGGCGAACCGTTTGGGTTTTTGGAAACAGACTCGGATGTATACAAGTATATTCAGATTACAGAGGAGACGTTACCTGCCGTCATGGTCACTACGGTCATTCCCTGGTTGGTCAAGGTTTTGAGTTCGCCCTTGTTCAAGAGTCTATTGCCTTCTGAGAAAGATAGACTTGGGTTTGGAAAGCTGATGGGGTCAGTTGCTTAATTTCGGCTTGACGGATATAACTAACGGATGTGCAGAATTGCTAAGAAGGTTACTGCTGAACGGTTTGGACCTGATAAAAAGGTTCGCAAGGATATGCTAGGATCTTTTGTGGCTCATGGCCTTACCCAAAAGGAGGCCGAATCAGAGATTCTTCTTCAGATGTAAGTGTTTTTAACACCTTACAGTAGTCACTCTAACAGTTCTATGCAGCGTTGCAGGATCAGATACAACAGCCACAGCTATCCGCTCAACCATGTTACATATAATAACCCATCCAAATGTCTACTATAAACTTCGCGCTGAAATTGCAAGCACGCGTTACTCAGAACCCATCATCCCCGACTCTATGGGCCGCGACCTACCTTACCTCCAAGCCGTTATCAAAGAAGGTCTGCGCATCTTCCCTCCTGTCGCAGGTCTCATGTCCAAGCAGGTTCCTCCCCAAGGAGATACCTGGAAAGGTCAATTCATCCCTGGCGGTACCAAAGTCGGTTATTGCGCGTGGGGAATATTTAGACGTGAGGATATTTGGGGTTCCGACGCTGGCGAGTTTCGTCCTGAGAGGTGGCTCGACAGTGAACCTGAAAAGCTAAAGGAGATGGAGGGTGCGTTGGAGTTGATCTTCAGTTATGGACGGTGGCAGTGTCTTGGTAGGCCTGTTGCGCTGATGGAGTTAAACAAGATATATGTCGAGGTATGTTTGACATTCAAAACGGTGAAAGAGAGTTATGCTAACATGATAATGTATAGCTACTTCGCAGGTTTGATTTTTCCATCTGTGACCCTACAAAGCCTTGGAAGGTGTTTAACTGTGGAATTTTCTCTCAATCTGAGCTCATGGTGAGGGTCACAGAAAGGGAGTGATAATCGAGCAACATATATTCTTTATCTCGACATGTTGCGTACGATTTAATGTGGAGATGGACCACCCTAGTTATCACGCACGAGCTACCTATCATCTAAGTCAAGATTAAGACTACTAAATGACTTATATCCAAGGCTTTTATATATATATGACTCTTAACTGCAGAGTAATGACCAAAGTCAGTATTAGGCTTTGAATATCACGTCAAACCACCGGTTCTACGAGTCCGAGGTCTTGGCATTCAACAAACATAGCACAACAAGACCAAAGAAATACATGCTGCATATTTCGAGACGATAATCAGAATACTTCGATATGGTCAATTTTCACTATATTATTACAGGGTGGGCCTTCACTTTTAGATTCGGACGTTTTTGTCGATTATCGGTGTCGTTCAGGACTGCCTTGTCAAGACGGATGGGCATGTCTTCTCGGGTTATGTCACGGGCCCGTCTTCCGAGGTGTGGTACGCCACGGAGTAACGTTTTAACGTTATAAGCCTGATTTAGACTCGTGCATAAAGTTATTTACCTTTTGGTATCTCAGTCCTCACTTGGAGAAACTATTGCCTTGTACCAGGTCACTGGAGCTTATAATACGACATCATTTCCAGTGTACGAAGTGAAGTTAAAGAATATATTGAGTTACCACAATGTCAAGTTCACCACCGCATCAAGAAGAACAGTTACCGGCTTTAAGTCCAACATCCACCAACACATCTTCAGTGGACCACGAGCAAACAAGAAACACATCTAGCAAGAGGATACTGTCGTGCATTCTCTGTCAGCAAAGGAAGAAGAAATGCGATAAAAAGACTCCATGTTCAAACTGCACAAGGGTAATGCGTCCCCCGTTGTTACAATGAGCCAACATCTGTACTTACTCTCTGCCAGCTCAATGCAGTTTGTACTCCAAGCAAACCAGCTACGCCGAGGAAGCGTAGACGTCCGAACCAAGAGTTGTTAGAGAGACTTTCGAGATGTGAGGAATTATTGAGGCATTGCACTTGCGCAAGGCTTCCAACCCCTGAAAGTGTGGTTAATCGTTTTGAGCAGTCACCTGTTCATTCAGAGACGATACAGAGCATTGGTCCGGAGATGTCTTTAAAAGGGACGAATTGAGATTATTTCTATGTTTGCAAGATATACATTCGTCAATAATGAGCCTTTACTATCATTTCTATCTTCGGCTGTCTGTCACTCTAGACATGTCGTTGAGCATAGCGCAACCGAAAATGCGAAAACATAAAAATCCCGGGGCCTTGGAGGTAGTCGGACAGATTTAGCCCCCCTTCAACGACAGACCCTAGACAGAATGGATGGCTAAGTGACCAATCACTTGGTAGCCCGCTTTTTGAACCCTGGCGCAGGTGATCAAATGGACATGAAATTCGTGGCGTGAGCTTAATTAGTGGTGTCCCCGCTGACGGAGTCTTTCCAAAGTCCGAGTAGTTTCAGGGGTCTGGGATTTGTTAGTTGTTACAGGGGTTGGCGTGACAGTTGCTGACCATGATCAAAAGTCATAATCGAGAAACAAGTATTGTTGGTCAAATATAAGAAGCTTTCCATCAAAATACAGAACCATCTTGCGAGTTAAGTTTACATCCCGTAAGTCCGTACAGCCGGTCGATCCCCCAGATTTCCCGATCTGGACGACATTCTGACGTGAAATCGTGCATGAAGGGTTATTGACGACTGCCAATCTTTACTTAAAGTATCATTTGGGATGCTGACCTATTTTGTGAAGGTTGTAAGGTATGCTTGTCAAAAAGAATGGAAACTCCGTTTAGATAGAGATGACGATAGCAAAGAACGGAGAAAACAAGAGAAAATTACAAGCATACCCTGGACAGTCACTGTGGGCAGCAATTTGAAACTACGTGGTATTCGATATGATTGACAAGCGTGTTTGTTTCCTATACCATGTACCTGGTCTCGTTGTGTTGTAAAAAGCGGCCAGGGGCTTTCATGGTTGAGGGATATTTAACAACCTTGGTAACATGTAGCAAACAGATCAGATAATTTAGAAAGTCGGAGCTCGTTTCTATAAGGCAAGATTTAGTTCGGGTATATCTATCTCATTTTGGTTAGATGAACAGGGTCTACAACTCTCCATGTCCTCGGGCTCTTGTCAACCCCGGATAGGACGAACAATGAAGGCCACAACTTTGTTTCTGGTTGATTAGACCCCCTACAGTGCAACTCTGATACGTCTTGCAGCCCAACACGCTTCATTGTTCATTCTGAATCCCACCTAGAAACACAAGGATCAGACAAGGATCAGAAGACAAGTTGGAAATAACAAGGGTCTTGTCCCAGGCTTCATCCGATGATCTCTCAACTTGTCTTAAACTGTTGGTTCCACTATATGGTGTTTTCTGAATTATGCCGTATTCGGCATTGTCACCGGTGCGGTGGTTCAGGTCAGTGATTTCTACAAAACTGCAGTATGGCATGCTCACTCAGCACTTACGTATTGGCCATGCCATTGTTAAATTGCTCCCTCAGACTGGACGTTATGCTATAGTAGCAGATCTACGCCTTCAACTGTAAGCCACTGGTACTCTTGGCAAATATCCTCACCCCACCCCTGACCCCAGCAAACTAAGTGCCGTCTTCTGCGAAACGGACATCTTAGAATGGCGCTAATCTTTGACACTATGGAAGACACCTCTGGAAAAGTTCGCAAGGTGATATTGTCGTTAACAGTGCAGGGGTCCATAAGCCGCCATCTAGCTCGTTTTGGAAACCTCCCGGCATCTTACCTCTTGCTTAAGATGCATGCAGAAGATGCTTAAGTTGGGCAGTATAAGAGATCTTCTATCAACACGTACTAACCCTGCCGTGTAGACACCCATTTTCGAGCAATACCCTTACCGTGACGTCTTAGGTCTGATAGCGTAGCATTGGAGCCAAAGCATGTTGCTGAGCTCGCCCTGGAAGTTCTTCAGGAGCCGCAGTACGATGACGGTGATATAGTGGAGATAATAATGATTGGAAACAAGGAAGAACTGTCGGTAAATGCACGCGAAATGGAACTGGAGGTGATGTATCCTGCTGGGGGGAAGCGAGCCATAGCTGAGGAGCTTAAGGTTTTCGAGCAAGTCAAGGGCAAGGGTGTGAGAGGTTAGTTGGGTAGAGAAAGGGGTCTGTTCTCCGCTCCTTGCAAGGATCGAGGTTTTTGGATCGGGGAAGGGAGAAAAGGGAGACAACCGTAGATAAAGTTCGAAGATACTGCATGCAAGATATTCAGGTGTGCAATTACTATTACTATTAGCGTTGTCTATAATCTATCGTGTTCGTGAAACTCTAAATCTATTTCTTTTTCGCATTCAAGCATTGCGGCTGGATTGTTCTGTGATATTTCCAGATTGCTTGGATAGTCAAGCTTAATCCGGATATTTACATAACTCGTGGAGGATACACCTCGAGTATATGGCAGCACTGTGACCTATGAGCCAGTTGTATTTATCTGAATTGGTCTTGCACGTTCTCCTTCGCCGTTTTACTACCCCGTGATGGCAGCTAAACTCTCAATATGCTATCCGTACTACCATTATCCCCTATCGTCTCTTTCGTCGATTCCTCAAACACCTTGGCTTGCACTCCCGTGTTTTTGTTGAAACTCTCATTATTATCCCCTTTCCCTATACTGTGAAGCTGGTAGCCCTGGGAATTCTTGTGTTTCCAGTTACCATTGATGTCGGCTGAGTTAGTCATCTTCTGCTTTGACTTGCCTCCCGACATGCCGAGGAAGGTCAAGAGTTCAGGCAGGTATCGGTTCAGGAACGGCTTGAGTCTCATGAGGTTGTTGCAGACTATTCCCATATTGAGTTCAACCAGTGACCATATTCCAGCCTCGGCTTGTTTGAGTGTGAAGTCGGGGTTGGTGGCGAAGATTTGAACATAAGGGGCTCGGACGATGGATGCGATCAAGACACTGTAAAGTTAGTTAGTATTGGTCATCAAGCAATATTGGTGAAGAGTTGCTTACGCAGATCCGACGGAGAGGATACCAGCAACTACAAACTTTTGCCGAAGACGTATTTGTAGGTGATATAGAGTAGGCAGTGGTAGAATAATGATGGCGAGATCACTGGCAATATTCAACACCACCTGCGCGATGGCAAGGTTGTTCAAGCAAACGCCCGAACCAACATCGCGTGGGTTACATGGTCCAGATAGGAGGACGGTAAAGGTGATTGTGTAGATCAAGAGACTGCCGGCGATGATGTAGACGGCATACTGATGTGGTCGAGCAGGGCTGATGCGGTACAAGACTGACAAGATGGATAGTTTCGTCAGGGTCGGACTCCACATGTACGTTAATGTCGTCGGCGAGAGGTACTGTCGCAGTTATGTAAGTTGCGTGGTCACGAGTTGGCAAGATGTATCATACCTTGTTGTAGTTGACCATCTCAGCGAGTGAAACATCCCAAGCGTGTGAGCCCCATCCATACTTCATCATGAAGGAAACTGAGATGAAGTATCCCAGGGCGGTTAACCATGATAGAGTAATTAGCACTAGTATGGGTTAGAATGGTGGCTAGACTGGATATGGAATCATTGACAAGCACTTACCAACATCAAGCTCCCATTCTTTGACAACCAAGACACTGGTAACATAGCGAAGAGCAAGAGTAAACGTCGCGAAAAAGAATGTTATGGCAAAAACGACAATCGTTGCCAGTTGCACGCCAGATAGGGACCTATCAAAGTTTGAGGTTATCCCGTCCGGTGGTGGGATCACCGAAGTGTTGTAGATGTTAATGCTGGGATCCATGGCTTCAGGTTATCCGCGGAAAGTCCGGAATGCCATGGACATAAGACGAACATAAATAACAATAAGAAGAACTCTCTTTGGATGAATGAACGACGGGAATCTGATTTATTTGAGCCCGACAACTCGGGCCATAGTTCTTTCAGCGTTCCAGTGAATATGGATGCTCTTTCGTCTAGGATTATGCCACAGCTCAGCAGGATGGAATTCCTTGCCCTGGCATTGAAGCATTATCCTTGAAATTGATACGAATAACATGAGGTATGTGCTTTTAAGGTTTCGGTAAAGACCCAACCGTTTCACTGTGTCAGACTCGTAATAGAGATCAACCTATCAGCTGAATGTCAACGGCTGTAGCGGCCACTTTCGTCACGCTATCTTTGGAGTCGTCAGCCCAGAATAGTCGTGGTTCAGAGCAGATATGGCCCCTGAGCCTCTGCATGTCTTTCACCGGATGTAACTCCCTAGGGACCCAGAGACCGGGGTAAACTAACAGTCTGGACAGCTTTTCTCATTAGCTTTGAACTCTAAATGCTAACCGAGCGACTCCTTACTGCTTACATAGGGCTTCATCCTTGTGGAGCACGTTTGATTGTGTCCATAGACGTTGCATTCGGCCAACAGGCCTGCCAACGCTTGCCGCTTGGCGATCAAGGGTATATAATCTTCGCAATGGCCCCTTCATATCAGTGACTTTGTACATCATATCTAAGCGGGAAAGCCATACTCTCTGTTGGGTCCTCATCATATCTATCATAATTTACAATGTCTCAATCTTTGGTAACGGGCTCCAAAGTCCTGCGGGCCGACTTTGACTCGAACAAGGCTCTACCGATGACCCCAGAGGAAGTCACTTCGCAATGGCTGGCGGAGGCACTTGGAATCGATATCAAAGCTTCTGAAATCACTTCCATGATACATGGCACAGCTTCCAAGATCTTTGTACGTCTCACATTCGGCGATGGTGTCAAGACAGAGATCCCCAGCAATGTTGTCGTCAAGGGAGGCTTCAACCCAGCAATCCGCGTGGCGTTTCCCGAGATGTGGGCGACGTACCGTCGTGAAGCCGAGTTTTACCAGCACGTCGCGCCTCAGACAAAGATGCTGCTGCCCAGTATCTGGTTCGCGGGTACAGACGTTGTCAACGGTCAGGGCATTGTCATCATGTCTGACGTATCAAGCGAAGCTACGTTTGGCACTATGCTTGAGTCATGGAACCACAAGATGGTTGGCGAAGCGTTGAAGCAACTGGCCAGTCTCCATGCCAAGACATGGAACTCCAAGGAGGAAGCTTACCCATGGTTGTTTGGAAAGGACGGAGCCAAGCTGGAGAACCCGGTCAGGAACATTGTTCTGGCTCTTCTGGAACCTGCACCATGGGGGGCCCGTTTTGACGAAAAAGCTCGTCCTCCTGTCGCAAAGGAGTTGTTGGATGCGGATCGCGTGCGAAAGGCATTCCAGGCTTTGTGGAAGTTTGCCGATGCGGATCAGAAATACTACTCTCTGATCCATGGAGACGATCACATCGGCAACACTCTGATTACTAAGGATGGCACTCCTGGGTTTATCGACTGGCAGGGTCTACAGTATGGTCCTTCGATTCTCGATGTGACGTACTTTCTCACGGGCGCCTTGACGGTAGAGGATCGCAGGCAGCACGAGAAGGGACTAATTGAGGTTTATCTTGATGCTTTGCATAAAGAGGGAGGGCCTCGATTGTCAAGAGAGGACATTTGGGGTGACTATCAAAGATATAGCTTGCAGGGATTCCTTTGGGCCATGACGCCTCAGGCAATGCAGCCGGATGAGGCCGTCTTTGCCATGGCTGAGAGATACTCTGCTGCTATTATGGATCATAAGACTCTTGAGTTGTTGGGAGTTTAGGCTAAAGAGAGTTGTCCGATTACTACATACTATAGATAAACACGATAAATGCGTTATGCTATGTTCTATCCAAGATTCGGAGTGTCCAATCGGAGACGAGGGATGGGATGGCTTTAACTAGTTCTATGTTGTGCGACGTACCGGTCGGTATATAGTCAAACTATGCATTTATACTGAGAAACATGGCATAATTTAACAAATATTGATTCGTGGCTGAGTTCACATTCCAAGATACTCCCTTGTTCCCTTCCCCGCAAAATCCCTGCCAGAAGTAGACAAGCTTTCAGCCTTCAATCAAGGTACAGGAAGGATGTCGGATCACGGAGTCCGTCCTCGGTAAATGAGTTCTGTCATGGATTCCACTACCGAGGTATGGCTTCTAAAAATGGTCTAGTTGTAGGAGTTTTTGTTCTGTCAAATGGAGGCACAGCAAGTCTAGCCATGTTTAGAAAGAGAGCACGCGGTGTTGAAGAATGTGATGACAAGGTTAGAATAGAGCCGCATGCGGCAGCTCCCGTCAGGAACAAACGAAAACAAAGTGTGGGTGGGTTATTGATGGCTGCATGCCAATTCGGTAACAAAAACACCAAAAGTCGTTGAGAAAAAGTGATAAAAGGTTATGCTTAAAAAGAGAGTTTGGGGCTCAATTGATGGCTGATGATGCAAGCAAGTTACTGTACGACAGAGACACAGACAAGAAACTAACCGGATAATACGGATCACAAAGGGCCTGGATGTACGTCATCAAAGCGTAAAACTTCCCGGTTGGTGATTGCCGACGGCTTTCCGCTTCCTCAAAAGGGTCTAACTACTACTGTGATAAACTTTGATCGGGCCGTGGTAATTTAGGATACAAGTATTTATTTATTTCTGGGGTATCTATATCGTGTAAATATGTAGTTAATCGTTATACAAAGCAAAAGTCATGACGACATTGATGTCTGTGTGTAGCTATCTCCAAATCAGGGTTCTTCAATAGGGTCATAATAGTCATCGGCGGGCTGTCTGGGACGCTGCTCTAGCCATGACGATGTCGCAAAAAGGAATGTTGCGCTGAGAATGTCAGTAAAAAAATACAAACAATTAATTGATGGGTCCTTACATTATTCCAGCTCGGCACAATGCTGTGGTCTTAATGAGACGAATGCCAACTTGGCAGATTGGCTGGTGCATGTCCAGATCATCCTCTGGGTCGCACGAAATGTCGCTAGCCATGAGAACAACCATGGTACCAGTGACAAAAGGACTAATAAAAAGAAACCAGAACCAGGCTCGTAGACACTTCTCTTTGAAGATGCTGTTTGTCTCAGTGTCGGTGCGGAGGGATGTGTAGATAAAGACTGCGACAATACTGAGGACTTCGACGATACTAACAAGCGCAGCCAAAATACTGTACAGGTCAGCGACATGTTGCAAAGTAATGCGCAATCGATTCGGCGACTTACAGGAAATCTGGGGCCTCGAGTAAACTAATTCGGGTGAATGGGATACAGGATATGATCATGCTCACAACCCATGGTAGCGCAAAGGCGACGGGCAAGAGTCTGTTGGCAAAGAGGCATCGTAGATCCATTCTGTCTACGTCAAGAGGTTGTAGACTCTTAGACGACGATGGGAATTGGGACCGAAAAGACATGCCGGCAGTCTTATCGCTTTTGCTGTCCTGCCATGTCGGCATGTGGGTTGACGAATTGACGTGTTGCGGATGTTCCATTGCTCCCACTTTACCGATAGGACTGGTATGGTATAGTACAGACAACACTGTGAGTTGACAGTAGATAGAGATGAATAAATGACCAAGATCTGCAAAAAGAGCAGATGGCTTGACCTTTAAAAAGAGATGCTCCTAACGGGCGCAACCCATTACAACCACCACAACCCACAACAAGCCATCGCTCTATCAAGCCCCATTCGGGATACAAGAATTGGGGGCTGGAAGCTAACAGACTAATCTAACCGAAGAGATTCTCTCCAGTGATGCACGTGCAAGAGATAACAAGACGAGAGCAAAACGCCAAGGGCGTACACATGGGACAAGGGATTGGATACAGTGCCACAAGCGGTAATTAGTTATCAGGTATAGTGGTCTACAGTGGACGTCATATGCAAGGTACATGCATCAAGCCCCAATCACTTGGACCACATGGGCTGAATTCAGACCATTGGGCCGCTAAGACACTTTTTGTCCGTAAATTATTGCTAACTAGCCATGTTAGTAAAGCTAAAAGGTACCAGACAACAGGTTTCCTTTAGACGACTCTCATCCTGTTTTCTTTGGTGAGGGGTTTGGTTGATGACTCGCTTAGATCCCTGTATTAACTGTAGTCTCGGATGCGTGCGGAATGATTTACCACAACACATCCACTCAGTTACTGCTGCTGTTCGCGTGGAAGAGGGGGTCATTCATGCTCACTGTCTTGGCGTACTGTACAAAGGGCGATCAGCCGCTTTTAGGCTGTGCTCCAAGCTGGATATCCGTCATCCGAGAGCCGGAATGACTTCAATGTCCCGAAGACTGTAGACTACAGTGTTTATTAGTTGTTTCACTGTCACTTCTCCCATATTGACCATTCTCACAAGTAACTTGGTTGTGGTGTTATACCTGTTGCGACGCGCGCTTATCTGCCCATTCCTCACAACGTAGCATTTAAACTCACTTAATGCGGCCGCTCAACCGGTCTCCGACGCTCCGTCAACGGTCTGATAAGCTTTCAAAAGGTAGAATAACCGTTTCCGTCTTCACCTGTATCACATTCTTGGTCATGGTAGCTGAATGCAAGGTTTTGTATGCTGTGCCACCGGAGCTTTCTTACCGAAGTCTGTGAGTAAGATCTAGGGCAAATTCAGGCGTGAAGACATATGCACAAGCATCTCTACTTTCACTTTGGCAATCGATAAGCTATCAGATAAACATCAACCGCAATCGATAGTCAATCGATAATGATGATGATTAGCCCCGCTTATCCACATTCACATGCAAAACAATTAAGCATTCCAGTCTAGTTATTCCCGAACAGACATTTGAGGCTCTAAACAAATTTGGGTGCATAAGACAAATTTCAAGGGATAATTGAACTATGCATCTTAGTCCGGGCAATATTTGAATCTTAGGCAATTGACTGTAGTATTCCAGTAGCTACCCTCCAAGCATTGTCTCCTGCTGTATCCGTATCTTTTATTTATCCTTGAAGGATTTGACGAGTTAGAGTCGCAAGGAATGGTGTAGCAATATGTATTTGAAATTCTCATTTCTATCCGTGTAATCTTAATCTCTCGAGGGAAATACTGCCGATAAGCTTCAACCGAACTAAACCTTGCTTTGTCCTCTGGGTATCATCTTCGTATATCGTCATGAGCTGCCTTGTCTATGTGGAATGTGCACTGATTTGCACAACGGACAGTCGGGATGGTTTCGTCGAAGCCACGTATCAACACATCTCGTGTGGAAAACATGATCGCATCTCAATATCTGAAAGCGTTCCTGGTTCCCCAATGTTTGCAAACAAATGCCACTAAAACAACAATCAGCCAGCATTGACTTATCGGAAAGCCGGAGAAAACGTACCAAACTTCCGATGCACTGAATTGGGTTGTGTCTCTGTTTCTTCGCCACCAGCGGCACTTGTGTCTGTGTGATGAACGTCCCGCCTCTAGTGTCGTCCAATTAAAACCTTCTCTTGATCTTCTTCTAGGTGTTCTTGTTGTCAAGCGGCCGTGGCCGTATAGTCTGGGGAATTTAACTAAAAGGCTTATTGAAGTTAGTAGGGAGCATGGATTTGAGGTAAAAAGAACTTACATGACTGTGCATAATATAAGCATAATTCCACCAAAGAGAAACCATGGTAAATGTACAGTTGGAGCCCTATTCGAATAGATTAGTTCCTCATTTCAGTGCTGTGGTTTGGGTGAATATACTGACATGGTGGATCTGCTTTATGTGATGTTGAGATTGTGAGTACCGACCACTTCCATACCCCACCGCCTCTTCCGTATGCAGTTTTTGGAAAGGTGGTTTTTGGATATGAGGCAGTCGTGTCTCGAAAAGTCATCAGTGTTGACCTGTTTGGGCCCGTGGGATAATGTAATCGACAGAACACGACATGCGGCAAGGCTGAGGTTGAAAAGGATGACGAAGGAAGCATCTAAAATTTCTGTCGGCTGGCTCCTCCCCCCAATATCAACCAAGGGATCATCTGCAACAGACGACAAGAAAGCCAAGGGAGAGCCACGCCAGCACTGCCACTTGCCAACAAGGACTAAACCCAACTCAGACACTAGCGAGGTTTGCCCAGAGTTTTCCAAGATCCCAAAAGATAATATCCCCGCGACAGCCCTGTCCCCCAAGCGTCAAAGAAATGATCAATTCACTGACCATGACAAACGATATTGATGACGCGTTCGCGGGACCCCTTTCTAAATACAAAGACGGGGGATTTTCCGATACTCAAACTCTGTTTCAAAGATGGGTTTTCCCCCTCAGACCTATAAAAAATATGACTGGGTTCTTCGTAAAATTGTGGATGCGCCAAGGGTGCTCATAATCTTGGGCCCGTGTGCCAAGTCGGCATTGTGTAGGATATCCGGTATTAATTCTAGGCAAAGGGGAATAAATCTTTTCTCACAATTGCATGATCCTTTGGTCCGAGATATGACTCTAGCGTGCATATGATGGGTTTGGCTTCTGTAATAATGACCACCCGGCTGGTTGAGGATATATATAATGTTCAGACACAACCGTGTTTCACTCTATTGTTAACCACTGCCCAAACGCATCGCACTATTATTGGTAATGACCCGCTATTGTCGTATGTCGATCGATTAACCTTAACTGGAGCTCTCTCAGCGGGGCAAATTTTTGTCAGCGGAAGAGGGATAGACTTCTGACGAGCCGACGACAAGAAGTCTTTTGAGAACCTGAGCTGAAGGACAGTGGATGCACCCGATTTCCGTAAGATGGCTGGTGTTCGTCATTATCGGTCCATAGAAGCTCCAAGTTATTGGGAATTGACACTTATCTTGAATGAGAGGTTACAAGACTCTCGATTTTGTCCCTGCAGGCCAGTTTTTGAAGAAACCCTTCAACGTTGTCCTCGATAACGATGAGCGCAGTCTGCAGCATAACCGAAAGCGAGAAGGTTGAAGAGAGAAGTTCAGGAATTTATCGTCGCAACTACATATAATCTCCACTGCTCACCCTTTCATAACGAATATATCATAAAAGGACCTCAATCCCAGTCTTTAACATTGTGTACGTTTCGAGCCAGCTGGCTTTAGGTCGAGAGGAGCTCCGATGGCAAAGGGCTATCTGAACCTGGATATTCGAGAAACGATCACTGCCCTTCCCCAACTTCTCCTTAGCAATTAGAAAGAGGAAGACCAGAAGTTCATGTTCAGTCCTCAAAAGATTGTTTTCGATGGCTTTGGCCGATTGTGGTAACTTGTATAGACACCCGTTGACCCAAGCACATATGATAGCCAGAGGCTTTTCATTTATTGTTAGGTAGCTAGTCACCCTATTCCCTTTCCATAGGGAACTCGCGGCGTAAATTTACTTAAGAGCAACAGCTTCTTCTTCGTCTTCTTCTTCTTCAGGGCCATCGCTGAATTTATCTAAATTCAGGAAAAGCTGATTTGATCCCCCTCCGCCAATATTCGATAGCAACTTGTGTCTTGCAGAGTCATGTCTCACTTATGGACGCCCCTTGCTGTGGTAGTGGGTGACCCAGGCAGCATATTTATTGGCCAGAAGTATTTACTGCGCTGCATTGATACCTATGTATCACCAATACCTGCACAAGCGCCCGATCTGAGTAGGCATTCATCCGCTGAGGCTCTGCTGAAAGCCTTCTGAGTTTCAAGCCCCCTGCACCGCCCAAGGCATTTAAACCGCGGTCTCGACACTTTAAGTCTGCCTTGCGAGTTCAAGTCAACCTTAGACGCCCGAATACGATGCACGAGGTCCAATATCCTGACTACAAACTGTTTCCAGCCGCTTTTGAAGCCTGGTTGCGCGCAAAGTTTGGCGATCCTACCATTGCAGTTGAGGTATGACATTTTTGGAAACACGACAGGGGCTGGCAGAAAGCTAATTTACAAATCATAGTGCAAAAACGGACATTTTGTGTTCAATTTGCCAGACGGACAATATTTGACTGATGTTTGTTGCACAAGGCTGAGTGAACAGGCTTAGAGCTAACTGTCACAGGACGACGATGCAGAAATATTCGAGCTGAGGGGGAAGAGACACTGGCCGTAGTAGGGTGTTCAGGTGTGCAAGTCAGGCTGTGTATGGGTGGATTTACAGTGACGTTTCTGTGTTTTGAAATGAACACATTCATTATGTAGAGCCTGCTCTTCTGATGAGGAAAACGGTCTCGGAGATCCGTCACTAATATTATTTGTTTACATAAAGAACCTTGACTTGTATAAATATGCTGCTGCACTCTGGAAAAATATCCGAACTCTACAACATCCCCAATTTCTTCATCGATTCCAATCGTCTTAGCCATGGACACCTACGACTTACTGATGCAGTGCTGTAATATGTCGCCTGAGTACCCCTGCAACCTGCTGAAGCCATGCCAGCCAAGACGTACCCTCGAAAACCATCGCAAGCTACTCATCAAGTCTAAAAGAATGCTCTTTAACTGTAATAAAGAAAAAATTGCGATTCTTGAGCCTAGTGAGAAAGACTATACTAGTAAGCCTTATCATTAAGTTGGAGTGTCATTTCTTAACTTTTGGCAGAATCTGATGAGAAAATATTCACAAGCTCCGAGGGTCTTCGACAGCATCTTCTTCAAAATCGACACGATCCTCACTGTTGCATGATGTGATTACAGACCTCGAGAAATCGTTTTAAGATATTATACTAAGAATTTCCAGATTTATTAATTCCAGTGACTCCCGTGCACCATTAAATTGCTCCTATGAAAGCTTTGTCTACTTGTTGTCATTCTATCAAATTCCGGCAAGCTTTCTGGACTTTATCTCTTCTTTCGGTCTTACCAGGGAGCCAACGGATTATCAAATGACAGGCTTCAACGGATTTGATACAATTGAAACGCCTGAAGACAATCGCATCAAGATTCCCAGACTTGGGCGATCAGGCCAAGGGCACGGGACACAATATCTGCTGCGCTCTGTGGAACAATCCACTGGTCCCGAGGGAGAAACCACATGGAATATCCGTCAGATGGCAGTCCATCACCAGTATGACTTTGACACTGGCAAGGCTTTGTGGCTGACGGTCAAGACAAATAGTGTCATGCAGGAAATGATAAAGGAGGCAATTACGGATGATCCCAGTCTCAGCCAGACTCGGACTGAGGGGTTGCCCAAGTCATTTTCGGCAACATTGCTGACCCATCTCATTCATCTGCAGTGGTGTGACGAGTCTTGGCGAAATTGTATCAATGACTTTGAAAAAAGCATCAGAAGTGTTCTCAAAAAGGCAGAAACAGCAAGAGTCCATCAGCAGCCCAGCCGCAACTTGACTATCAAGCGAGCCTTGACCAACAAATCCAACATCAATGAAAAGGACGCATCAGAAACATCCACCACTTTACAAAGGACACGGCTCCAATTTAACAAGAGTGTTTTGAAGCCTCTTACGTGGTATTTGTGTTTAATATCAGCAAAAGAAGACACTTCCACAGCTGTCCCGCCTGTCCCACATGGGAAGAAAGTTGTTGACGAGGACCTCTCAAGCCAACTCGAAGCCCTGATGGTCCTCGATACGTTTTCCATTAATGAAGTTCAAAGGCTTCATTATCTTGGGGAACAACTTGAGAGGTTCCGCCTAGTACTGCAATTGGATCGACAGACACTGCGCGATATCGCCGAGCACTACCAAGATTTGGCAAGTAGAGATGCCTTACCCAACCAAATTAAAACGTCCTGCAAGGCCGATTTGGCTTCTTTTTTTCGACAGGTGGAACGTATCAGAAAGAACCTGGAGATTCGAGTAACCCAAGTTGAGTCCCTCATAGCGTGGCTGCATGAAGGCAAAGTACTGGCAAGTGTTCATTGAGCTCCGTTGAGTCCCACTTACTGACTGCTAGTCATTTCTTGCAGTTTGATGGCATTCTCCAATACCGTAGTACGCAGGTCAGCCACATATTCACCGAGAGCTCACATATCCAATCAGAGAAGATGGAAAAGATCGCATACAAGACAGAAAAGGAGACGATCTCGATGCACGTTATCACGTGTGTCACACTTGCATTTCTGCCTGGCACATTTGTTGCTGTAAGTACCCATATCATGACTCTGTTGAAATCAGGCTGTGCTGACGCATGTCTCGTATCAAGGCTTTCTTTCAAAGTGGTCTCGTCGAGATAAATCAGGCTGCGAGTGGCGTTCGAGGTGCTGTCACCTTCCATTCTGGGGCTTTCAAACTATTTGCATTAATATGCTTCCCTCTGATGTTCATCACCTTTGTGCTTTGGATTCTGCTATTTAATCACCTGGCTCGTAGGGCTCGCAGACGTGAAGAAAAGAGCAAGGTGTGATTTTGTGTACAGGGCTACAGTTCTACTAGACAGTGTTTGCTTGGTTATCTACTGTCTGAATTTTCTTGGAAATGATGTGATTGTTCAGCTGATGGGGCTGCCGGAGAAAGTGATTCTTTCTGCCTTGAAGTCAACCTTCACCAGGCTGTGGTGATTGTGACTACCGTGATCGGAAGCCCATCATCAGGTTCAAAGCTCTGCGGACTTATAAAGCCGACGTTGGTCTGCCTTGGCCTTGATAGTGAGAGGGCTATCAGAGATATTGTAATCGGTGGTTGGAGTCATTGTGCTTGCTCCGCCACTTGCCAGCTTGGAAAAATCCCTACAGATTCAAACCGCGAGGCAGACAAAAAGAGGCGAAGCTCTCTTAGATACAACCTGGCGAACTGTCGGCCATGCTGTGACTGTCCGCCCATACTATCAGCTTTGTGCTTATAGTTCGTCCGTCGCTCCACCACAATCTACCAGAAATTTCATGATACGTTGACTTGGATTTATTTTATATATACTCCTGGTACAGACCATCCACTGGTGGCCCCGACACGCCTTCTTCGCCATCGACTCTTTAGGTAAGCAGGCTTCTGGCCGTCGTCATCACACACATACAATCAAGATGGCTTTGCACCTTTTGGAGCAATTTCGAGAGTATGTACACGAAAATGTCGAACTTGGTATCAATGGAGAGGATAAAGATGTCCCGTACATTGCGCCATCGAAACTGAAGACCTACTGGTCCGCTAAGCGTGTGGACGCCATTCTCAACACTTGCCAACCTCCAATACCGCAGAACTCGGACATGATCATCAGCAAATACATCCAAATATTCTCTATTTTGGTGTACATTGGCCAACCACACGAGATCTCCTGGTTTTGCCTCAATGTCAAGACCCTCGACGATTGCCATTTGCCTATTTATGGAGAATCATTTCCCCAAGGTTGTTCATGGGCCGACGAATTCCTGACAAACCAGTGGAAGTTCCATCCGTTGGTATTCACTCATGAGAACATATACCAGCGAAAAATATCATGCAAGTTGATCTTACCAGTAACATACGGTGATGAGCTCTCCGAGGAACGAGGTAGCCGCCATGCAGCCAAGCTATGGAAAGTACAGGTCCACACTGCCTGTAATTATGTTACGCCCCAGGTACCTGTTTACCGTATCTTATCAAATTCATATAATGCTAACTCTAAGAAGGACGAGCCGGTTGTTTTTAAGGTATATGAAGGTACCCATGCACATGACCTCTATGAAGCCGAGACCAACGTTTACTTGAAGCTTCACGCAAAAGGCGCAAAGTACATCACCAAACACTTTGCGTGCTTTTCATTTCAGGGAAAACAAAAGTCAATCATTGTACTGGAGTATGCGGCTGGAGGCTCCTTGCTAGACTTCTTCCGGAACGCTCCACAGCCAGTGACACCGGAGGATTTTTCCCTACTTTGGGGTCGTTTGTTCAAGCTCCTTGACGCACTTGAGGTGCTTCATGATCTGTATCGTCCTGAAGAACCATCAAGATGGTTTCTTGCAAGGTGGGATAGAATCATTCCTGTACAGGCTGAGTACTAAAAGTATTTAGTGTCCATCAAGATATCCAACCTGCCAATATTCTTGTCTTTCCAGCAAAGCAAAAGGACTCGGAGTTTGATGTCAAATTCAAGCTTACGGATTTCGGACTTGCTGAGATAGGGAGGGTGTCAAACTCGGGGGGCACAATGGTGACAGAAAACAGAGGAAACAGGATGTATAGTGAGTTTTTGCTCCACAGAACTTCGGAGGTGCTAATAAAATGTGAACAGTCTCCCCCGAGAGCTATGCAAACTTCTCTGTGCAAGAGCTTGTGAAAACAAATGTCCCGCCTACTGCGGATATCTGGGCACTGGGAGCTGTTTTCAGTGATGTTCTTGTTTGGTCAATTCACGGGGAACCTGGACGCGAGAAATACCGCCAGAGAAGGAGACAAAAGATCTCGAATCAGTCACACATGAGAGCTTCTAACTACGATGCTTGCTTTCACGATGGAATAGATCGACTCTCTGCCGTTAAAGAATCTCACAACTTAGTCCTTCAGGATAAAAGGGTCCGTGATTCAATGTCGCCATACATTAGCAATCTTATTCTGGATTTCATGCTTACAGAAGCTGGTGGGAGACTGACTGCTATGCAGATCAGGACGAGAGCGAAGAAAGAGATGGACAAACTTCAATGCAACCCCGCGTCACCCTCAGCGCCTCAACAAACTAACCAGAACTCGCTGCGGGGGGCTCCCAATCCTCGAATATCGGGCAGGGGACCTGCGATGATCCCTGCCTCAACTCGACCAGTACTCCTACCCTTGGTTGAGCCTCCGCCATCCCCGAATATGCAGCCAGCACACCCGGAAATGATACCAAACAGAACCTCTATCCAGCAATTTCCCGTAAACAATGGGTCACCAGCCAGGGCCATCAGCCCAGCAAGGTCCCAATCGCCCGATACAAAGGTGACAGTTGGAATGGTGTACCCAAAGTTGAAAACGAAAGCCAGAACAGGCTCTATTATTGGTTCATTCAACCCAAGAGCTGTTAAACTACCCGATGTCATGAATCTCCCAGGGATGATGGAAGCGCGGAGCAAGATCGATGAGACTCAAGGAAGAGATCAGGTATGAATGCCGGTTCCCCCACCATCAAGAACATGACTAACTTGCATAGATCATGGTTATCGATAACTTCAGTTCTATGAAGGAGCATAAGCAAAATGTTGTGAAAACTGCAAGAGTTGTTAGCTACGTCGCCAAAGTAGCCGACAACGACGGCATGGAACTATACGCTGCTTCAGAGGCGGCCAGAATCCCCTTGAAATGCAAGAAAAGTTCACAAATCGAAACTGCGATTGCCAATATGAAAACAGTCAGTGGAACATGCGATATGCAACGATGTCTGAACTTGATACTCGAGCGAGTTCTTGTCGGGAACAAAGTCAAGCCGACCAGCATATACGTGTACACTGATGGGATATGGGAACCTGGTGCAGATCACGTCAGGTTCACGATTCAGCGGGCAATCGATTATCTGATCAAGTGTGGTCAGCCATCTTCGACACTCATGTTCCAGTTTATTCAATTTGGTGACAACCCACAAGGGCGGTCTCGACTGCAATTCCTGGATGACAAGTGCACGAGACAACACGGGGATGAGGAATAGTGAGTTGTCGTTTATTCCAGATAAGAATAAGTACTAATTGTCCAGCGATATTGTTGATACCAAGCATTGTAACGACCACGTACCCGACATTGTCATTGGCAGCATTTCCAAATGGCATGATCGAAAGCATTTCAGAGAGGTCCTAGCCTAGACGTATGATTTAGTCTGGTAGATTAGTAGTTTTTGTATTAGCGTTGTACATTTTCTCTTCTGATCTTGAGTTTCGTTAGGCGTTTGTAGACGGACTTTAATTCTAGCAGAAAATGCTCACATAGTTGGGTCTTTCTATCATAAATAACTCCGCCTTGACTATGGGCGTAGTGTTGCTATGTTGAAGTGTAGTATCAACAGGCAGTAATGCAGAAGTGGCCACAGATGTCACCACAACTTCAGGCTCTCCTCTAGATCCTAGTATTCGTGATAAAACCGACAATCTATACATCGCCAATGGTGTGTCTTTTGACGGCTCATGCAACAGTGGTATTTTGGGTGGCGCGTCGATTATCACTGCCCAGCCAAACAGTTTCCAAGAATGCGTACAGCTCTGTGCGCGAATATCCAGTTGTGTTGCTGCACAATACACAAAATCCAATAGCCTCTGTCAGTTTTTCTCATCATATGCCACAACAGGAACCGACGAACAACGTGATATTGCAATTCGAAATGATGTGTCTGCCACTACTACCGCTACTGCATAAGCGACTACTACTACATAATTTGTTAGGAGTTGGAGTTTCCTTTCCTTATTGATATCAGCTATAAGTCTAACTGTACGACGAAATATGAGCTAAAACTGTTGGTATATATGTCATACTTCGGTTTTGTTCTATTGATTGTATTAATTGACAGCCCCACAAGGCGTATTTCAGTCAAGATGGTACGATATCAGTTTAGAGGAAATATCCTTTGCCGATCAGTTTCTAGCGAGACTCTTAGCTGTGTGACATAAGCATCTAATTTAATTTCTACACCGCTAAACTAAAACAACGCGCCCCCAACCAATCCCATTTCTTTCTCCTCCATGCAAAAACTCGTGCTCGCACTATCCCGACCAATGCTTGGCGACTCCTGCATGAGTCTGGATCCAGATCCATTGAAGAAAATGGCTGCGACGATTAAAGATCCACAACGCATCGTTGAGATACGGGAAAGCGATATACCCGTTCCCTGGTGCGATGACTTTGGCAAGATGATAAGCGGGATGAAGTCAGTTTTAACCCCACCGAATGAATATCTATCACGCGATGTCTAATACGCGTATAGCCTGAATATCAGCAATTCTCCAGAACTCAATGATTTCAAGCTTGGGGTCATGAGAAAACTACGGGCTTTCAATGACGACAACATTCCCGACGATGCTACTCTTGCTTCCATCAAGATGAAACGGATGGCACTCGCCAAACAAATGATAGGCAAAATGGGTAAAGGTGTTGCTATTGAACCACCATTCTTTGTTATATGGGGCTGCAACACCTTTATTGGTAATGGAGTTTACATTAATCGAGAGTAAGTCTTTAATCTCTATCTTGAACCCGCGCTAATATGAGAGAAAGGACCTCAATTTACGACAATGCTCTCGTCAGCATCGGAGACAACGTCCTCGTCGGACCAGGAGTGTGCATATGCACCACGACACATGCGACAGATGTCAAAGGACGCCAAGAGGCACAAGGCACTTCATATTCCTTACCTATACGCATCGAAGCAGATTGCTGGATAGGCGCTCGAGTGACTATCCTTCCAGGAGTGACGATTGGGAGAGGCTCGACCGTGGCTGCGGGCGCAGTCGTCCACAAAGATGTTGAGCCAGAGACGTTGGTGGGAGGTGTGCCAGCTCGGTTCATTCGGAGTTTGAAGGATGTACCAAAGGATCCAGAGGTTGAATCGATCGATGATGAATTGTAGGCAGAAGGCTTCAACGTGTATGAGTATGGCGGTAATGACAGGTGGGAGGGGGGTGAAACGGACGCGGTCCGGTAAGACATTAATAAGGAGACTCGATATTGAAAGGGTATAATTCGCCATTCATGTAACTAAAACAGACGCCCGAAGATTATAACTATAGTACATTCAACACATCTAAGCGCCCAACACTGCACCAGCAACCTCCCCAACCACCTCCTCAATAACCTTGGCCAACTCCTTCGAGGCCACAGCAGACAACAGCACCATGGTAGTGAAGAATTCGTCCCCGGATACATAGATACTAAGTTGCTTGTCCCCAAAGTTCATCAGCCCTGCATTTCCGTACTTTGCAATTTTATTCCCTTGTCGATCATACAACTCGAAGCCCGTTCCTGTGTACTGATTGACTTTCCACTTGAACTTGCCCATGTGGGTATCAAACGACCAACTCCCCGTCATGGAGCTGTTCTTGATAACCATGGGCTGATTGTAAACTGATAGGTCAACCGTTGATGTGCTTATGTGCATTGATGCTACTGCGACGGTGTTTTCGGGGGCTGGAAATCCGCGGTGTAGGACAAAGTTGGGATTGCTCGAGCGCTTAGATATCGTGTATAGTGGAGGTGCATCTTTTGGCGAACTGGCGGGCATGATAACGAGGAGATTGTCATCTTTTGGGTGTGGTCGGACAATAAGTGATTGAGGGCCGTCATTGGGAGAGACACCTTGGGGGCTAGATGACCCATACAACACTTTGTTCAAAAGTTCTCTCATGATGGAGCTCAAATGAGGAAGGAAATGTGATGATGAATGATTGGTTATTTTGTTTGATAGCTCTCTTCAAGGATGTGATTCAAAGGCCTAGACGGGTTCAGATCACATTTATACTCGCATCAAGGGTATGATGTAAATATGTCATTTTAGTGTTTACTAAGCTGTATTCCGAAAATGGTGGAAAGCAGCGACTGAGGCTGTGCGTATGGTGGGGTATGTGATCTTCAAAAGTAAAGCTTAAGTAAAGCTTGATGCTTATCCTCGCGACTGGGGGTGTGAACAGCGTCATCTATTATATCGCCGGTCGTGTTAGTACTACTCGTAGCCCTCTTTATCTTCCGAGTTGACTGTGCATCATCATTCTGTCGGGACTAGCTGTCCAAGGCCAGTTTTAGTCGTTTGTTTCTCTGAATGGTTGTGTCTTCATGGAAAATGCCTCTACAGTCATATCTAACTAAATGCTATCTAGTTAAAACTGGATGTTGAGATATGAGAATATTCTTGAAAAGGAACAAGTTGGCCCGATGGATATAAATACAAACGACTATTCAAAACACAGAGAAGTCACTACTCCTGTCTCTGAGAGGACCTTGACATACGAAGCTTGCCCAACTTCCTGCGCATAACCTCCAGCAACGATCTAAAGCCTTCTCCCCCTCCTTCAATCCCATCCAATGCCACAGACACGACTGATTCGGCACGAGAATTTCCTTCTTGCAATTTCTCCTGGGCAAAGCCGAGACCTTCCATAGCATTCAAGACATAACGATGACTATCTCCAAAGACTTGTTTAGATAAGTCTAGAGCGATTTTATAGTGAACCAGCGTCGTCATACCGGCCCTACAAGTTGTATGACCACGCAAGTAACATCATGGCGGCAATTGTTTGTGGATGCGTCTCTCCAAACACCTCTTTTCCAAGACTTATTGCTTTAATCAATATCTCTTCGCCCTCTTTGTGCTGGCCCAGGAGACTGTATGTATCTGCAAGCAATGTCATTGCTCTGATTTTATCTTGATGTTTCTCCCCCTGTACCTCTTGTCCAATTTCGGGTGCTTTGGCTATAGCTTTTTGCGCCTCATCCAGTCGATTCTGCTTGATGTATGTCTGTACAAGATCTGTCATAGCTTGAATCGTGATACGATGCTTCTCTCCAAGCACATTGCAACAAAATCTCAGTGCCTTGTCTTGTAGGACCTCTGCCTCATCGTAGCGATCTTGCAAAAAATATTCCCACCCAAGTAGTAGCGTAGACATGACTGTGTCTGGGTGTTCATCTCCGAGCACTCATCGTCGGAGTTCCAGTGCCTCTTCTTGCATAACTCGGGCCTTATCAAAGTGGCCCTTATTACTGTAAACAATCGCAAGGTTCGACATTGCCGTGGTTGTATCCGGGCCCTTCTCTCCAAGCATCCCACGTCTGAGAATGAATACTCGATCATACAATGGCTCAGTCTCTCTCCATCGCCCTCTATCATAGAGAAATTGAGCGACATAGTGGAGTAGATCGACTGTCTGAGCCTCTGTACCGCTCATCTCTGCCCACTCCCCCATTCGCACAGCATGTGTCACATATCTCTCGCATTGCGCCCACGAACTCGGTCCCCAAATTCTAGGAAAGAGACCATCCACTATACGAAGTGCCTTGGCACTATGGAATGTTTCTAAATCTTCTGGTTCATTACAAGTTGTATTCTCCAATAAGTTTCTGATTCTCAGATCATATCGCACAGCTTCTTGAACGAGCTTATTCATCTCATAGCGTCGCTCGCCGTCATCTGTTCGGCGTAGGTTGAGAAAAGAAAACTCTTCTAGCCGCGCTACGGATTGAGGAATTTCGAGCTCTGAAGTCTGTACGAATAAGTCTTGTTCGTCTTCATAGTCTTCGCCATCGAGCGCAAATGAAGAAGCCACGACCCCAAGTAGCTCTTGCTGTATGTCTTGATTGTCCACATATGCAATAACGTGCAGTATATGGTACGATATTATGCTCTCGGTTCGGATTTGCTCTGTTGATATCTTCCATGTCTCGAGCACACTGTTGACACTTCTGGACGGCGATGCCGGTCAACATCACTCACTCCAAGCACATCCCATCGAGACTTTCCTTGTTTGAGGTAACCCAGATACTCTCTCGCTGTTATTGATAAGCGTTTCATATACGTACCAGCTTGGGAGATTGCCAACGGTAGGTACTATAGTTCTTCTAAGAGGATATCTACATCTGCATCCCTTGACGTTTCGAGTGCTGTGGCCGGGATATCTAGTATCCCCCACGAGTAATTTCCTCGCTTCAATTGCATCAAGCAACATTGTCCCATTGAGTTTATTATCAATTCCGAGCTTCTTCCCGATGGTCTTATAGTCAGCTGAAAAGGTGGCTTCCCTTTCAGCATGAACCCAGAAGACACAACGTTCTCGGTCGTTATCACATCGTCGATAGGCATAGTACAGGGCAATCTGTGTCTTTCCGGAGCCTCCTAAGCCCCAAAGTGCAGCGCTGCAAGATTCTGGTGTTGACGGCGGAAGCTCATCGAGTCTCTCCATAAAATCCTGGCGATGGATTAGATCCTCGTTGCGGGAATAAGGAATAACGCGGATAACCCCGGCGTGGGGTATAGGGTGGGGCGAACTGTAGTAAACATTGTTGTGGACATCTCCCTGGTGGAGACTGGTGTCGCCATCGAATGCGCTGTTGCTGATGTCACGCTGTGTGCTTCCTGAATGTCCCGACATAGTGATATTGGTCCATCAGGGCGTTGTTAAATGCTTGCATAAAGAGTAAGCAATAGTGATCAGGAGATGTTCAATGATGATGAGTTTACAATCAGGCTGTAGAACTCATGCTTAATTATCAAGGCATCAAATGATGTTGGCTCTACAGTAAGAGCGGGCAGAGGCTAGGACAGGGCATGGCCTTGGTGGCAATGTGCTGCCACAGGGCTGAGCATCTAGGTACATGAGATAGAAGCGCCGATCTCGGGATAATCGACTACAATATGCCTTGGATCGACGGGTTCCTTTTCAATGATTTGCTACCAATGTTTCATAAGCTCACAAGACATCGGAGGCAACGATCAAATCAGCTTCGGTAATAGACATAATTCAGATAAACCTCATTTTTAGAAACTGCCTGCAATCTCATTGACTTGCCTCGAAACTCAACACTATGCCCAACATGGAAAAACGCTGCGCTCCATCTCATCCTTCAGTGGAGAATGTCCAATAAGATTGTCCATATTCAGGCTCATACCCTTGTCTCCTCTTCTCCAAGGCTGAACTCCCCTGCATCCATACTTCTCCAAAATCAGCCTTTTATCCCCATCACTTTATAGAAAGCGGGGGCCAACAAGTGAAAGAGAAAGTGACAGAGACAAGACAAGTTCAACTAAATATCAGCTTGATCCACCGCTAGATATCATACCTGTAACTCAATCTTGACTCTTTTGGGACACATCGACCGCTGACTCCAAAATGCCGGGTGTTCCATCTTACAAAGGCTGCGATGCCTGCCGGAAGCAGAAGAAAAAGGTAACTCATCAGAACGTTGATTGGGACTGACGTGTTAACGACGGGAATAGTGCGACAAAGTTCAACCGAGATGCGCCAGATGTGAAAGACTGGATATACCCTGCGTCAACGTGGGGAAACAGCGCTACAAGTTCAAGATCCAAACCCTACAGCGCGGATCGTCATCGAGCTCGACGCCTCAAATTGTCGACACTGATGGAGAAACTTCGAGTTCATCTACTTCGCAGAAGTCGGTATCGCCATTTCTATTTCAACAAGCTCTAGTCAAAGTGCCGAGTAATAAGACAACTATCGTCACGCATACGTTAGTATCAAGACTCGAGATCACAGACTTGCGATACGACATAACCTGTTATGGAGACTTTCTGCGGCATATCCCGGCGAGAATGGGGCGGAATGAAGCCCTTGACGCATCTGCCGATGCCTTGGCCACCACGTTTTCGACACTTCATATGCCGCAGGGATATCAGACGATTGATGCACTGACCAAGTATGGTCGCGCCATCAATGCTTTAAGGCTGTGTCTGGATAACCCCGTAAAGGCCAGGATGCCCGAGACAATGTGTGCTGTGTATCTCATCATGATCTGCCAGGTTAGTTATATGCTTAGAATTCCCGATCAACACTAACATTTTGCAGGGTTGGCTAGGAAGAGACGACGATCCATCCACAAGCCATGGCCAGGGTCTAGCATATCTCCTCAAAGCAGCAGCACGAGAGAACTGGAAAGCTGGTTTCGAAACGGACATGGTTCTCACATTCTGCGTCCCAGTGGTATGAATGCCCCTTTTCCCCTACTTCTAGAACCTCAACTAACAACTTCTTAGATCATAGAAAGCATCTCAAACCCCAAAGTCAAATTAGAAAAATGGTTTTGGGACATGCTCGACAACTTCAAAAAGAACAATCCCCCATCCACGGCCGAAACAAGACAAGCAAAACAAGACGGACAAGAAGCTGGAGGAATTCCGAGTCTTTCGATAAGAAACTTGGGAAGACTGCCGGACTTTATCAATGATCCTGAGACGCATCGTATGGAGATTACATGTGCGTATCATAGACTGTGTCGAGACCTGCGAAAAGTAGCAGAGATTGTCAAAGCTGTGACATGGGAGCCCGGATACTCCCCCACGCCCATGCAACTTCGACTATCACGTTCGTACAACTCCGCGTACTCTGTAATGCTCACAGTTCTCGTCATAATGAACTGTCTCATGCAAGCCTTTGATCCATACAACCTCGCCCTTGTGGGTGAAGCAGCACTATGTTCTTCGGAGGTGGTATCCATGGCACGGAATATCAGCCAGTACCGACCACTGGGTGCAAGCCATGTTCCTTTGGCGCTCGCTATCGCATGGGCTGCTACTGAAGAAGAGGGTCTGAAGACGCAGCTGTATGACTTGCTGGGAGAGTATCAACAGGACTGGATGGTGACAAGGTGGGATAAGGTTGGGTTTTGGTGGATGGACAAGTTTGCCGAATTGAGAGAGAGATTGGCGCCTAGGGTTGTGTCTCCTGATGATGAGGAGATATTGATCCTTGAAGGTGCGGGTGTGAGTTTGAGTCACCGACCCAAGCAGCCTGCTGAAGAGTGTTGTGTTATGTAAAGAGTATGGTGTCTGTAGATATAATGGAATAATGAGAGATGAATGACACGGAGACCTCAGTACCTTGAGCCTAGTACATCATGCTGAGAGACTGGTCTCTACCTAGGTTATGAAGCTTTTGTATGGTTATGTGGATACGGCTCAGTGATGCGAGAAAGATACCCCGAAGTAACAAAAAGAGGAATCAGAACAAGAAGAAAGAAAATAAGAAGGGCTACAAGGCCATGAGGGGTTGTAAATATAGGCTGAAAAAACCATGCCATTGGGTTGTAGATGAGAAACATAAAGATTGAAACGGGTACTCGTATCCAGACTCGCTCATCTTGGGTAAGGGGTATCTCTTCTAGTCTTCCTGACATCTGTCGTACTTCATTATAGAAGCCTGCCTCTTCAGTAGCTGTGTTAAAGTGGAGTTAGCTCGATCAGCCGGTATTGTATCTAGTTAACAATAAACCTTACTAATCTCATTTTGAGGCCAACGGGACGTACGCACATGCACCGTAGTGCTTCCCTTTGTTCTGAACATGGTCTACAGGAGATATTGTCCAAGGGCCTGTGTCTCAATATTTCGAAAGGATGTAACAAAATGAATCACGCTGCAAACGGGGGACACGGGTTTTCAGCCCCGAATGTCAGTCAGCCTCGACATGGGTTTGCATCGGCCCGTAACATGTTCCGGTCAGCGAGGCAGATTAATGTGATATATCGTGCATCACACACAGCCTAAGCCTCGCTTTTAACGTGAACAAATTTACTAAATTTCTGCCTAAACAATGGCTGAACTCGCTGCGATCGCTCTGGTTGGAAACATACTTTAATTCGTCGACGTAGGGATCAAATTAACCAGAACCGCACACAGAGCATACAAATCCGCTCCAGGCCTTATTCAAGAAAACGAGCAGTTTCTTGCCGATACAGAACGACTACAAAAGCTGGTTGGATTGATCAATCAACCAAATCCTGAAGATGCTCGGCCGGCTAGCATCGACGAGCATTTGCTTCAAACAGCCAAGGCATGCGACGAATATGCCTCACAGCTTGTAACTCTTCTGGGCTTCCTGCGTTGGAGACCTGGAGAGTTGAGAGCATTAGAAGCTATACGGACCATGATGCTTCGACGACAGAGAAATACGGAAATTCAAACTTTGGAAGAAAAGTTGATCAATGTGCAAAAAGACCTATTGCTTGCTTTGACAACTTCATCACAGTCAGTTCAAGGCAGAAGCTTGAGTCAACTCTACTAACGTCACTTACAGTTCTCGACAATCATCAGCTATGGTTGTGATACATGAATTGAAGCATCAAAATGCAGTGTTAGAGGCCAACACAACCACAAAACTCGAATCAGTTGGGTCCCTCATTCGAGGTATCGACCAAAAGAAAGAAGGCACAAGTAAGGCTACCAAGGTGTTCATTTCCCATCTCGACAATCTTGTAATTGAAGCACAACGTGTCAAGAAGCATCACGAATTTCTCAAAAGTCTTCGATTCAGGGAGATTAAGCAACGATACAGCGCCATTCAGGACCATCATAAAGCCACATTCAATTGGGTCTTCGTTGAAGTAAAAACAGGTTTTAGGGAGTGGCTTGAGGAAGGAAGTGGCTTTTTCTGGGTCAAGGTCAAGGCTGGAAGTGGAAAGTCGACATTGATGAAGTTCATCGCCACTCACGACGATACACAATCGCTTCTTCGTACCTGGGGAGGTGAGAGCAGGGTGATCACGGCAAGCCATTTCTTCTTGAATGCAGGTCTGTCTATGCAAAAGTCACTCACCGGATTGTTCCAAACGATATTGTATCAAGTTCTCAGAGAATGTCCCGAACTCATTGACATAATTGACACTCCCCATCAAGATTCCTCGACCAACTATAACCTTCACGATGGTTGAGATGACAAGTCTTTTTTCCGAGCTTTTGAACAACTTTCATCTCAGGAATCGCTTCCACTGCGCTTTTGCTTCTTTGTCGATGGTCTCGATGAGTACACTGTTGGGGCGCATCGTTATACCGGGACATTTGAGGAGCTTCTTAGTCCATTGAGGGTTCTCGCTTCATCCCCCTCCATCAAGATTTGTGTCTCTAGTCGGCCTTGGGATGCTTTCGACAGAGAGTTCAGCCAGGTCAAGCGGAAGCTACAACTCGAGGATTTGACCAGGGAAGACATAAGACGCTACGTAAAGGAGGAACTAGGCGTCGATCCAAAATTCCAGAGGCTCTCCGAGATGGATCTGCGGTGCTCTGAGATAAAAGACACTATCGTCCAACGCGCACAAGGCGTGTTCCCATGGGTTTATCTTGTGGTGAACTCCCACAAAAGAGGATTAATAGAGGACGATAACTACGCGAATCTGCAAAGTCGACTAAATGAGCTTCCCGATGATTTGCAGAGATATTTTGAGCACATGTTGCAGACTATCGAGACCATATATTGGGACAGCACTACAAGGATCTTTAGAGTTGTTATCGCTGCAGAACAAGCATTACCTTTGCTTGCATTTGAACTTTTAGACCGCGAGATGGACGACTCTGATTATGCTTTGACAATGCAATCAAGCACATTAACGGATATTGAAAGCGAGGCTATCTGCAAACGATCAAACACAAGACTCAACGCTCTCCGTGGTGATTTGCTTTACGTCACTGTGAATCCAACAGAGACTGGGCTATTTAAGAGTCAGGTTGACTTTTTGCACCGAACTGTGAGGGGTTTCTTCCTCGACACATGTGTTATAGACGATATGATCCAAAAGCGCCCTACGGAGACGTTTAATCCTCACTTATCACTTTGCAGGATTATGCTTGCTCTCAACAAGGTCCTCACTCCTGACAAGAACTCATCTCAGGTTTACAATCAGCTCTACATTGTCGCCGATGGTTTGATGCATTATGCACGACACATCGAAGATACATTTAAAAGACTAGAGGGAGATGGGGAATCTGACCTTCATAAAGCGAATCTCGAGCAGGTGTTTAAGATCCTCGATGAGCTGGACCGCACTAATTGCGAAGGTTTAAATCGTCCCGGAGTTCACTGGACAAACATGAAGGACGCTCCACACGGCACGTTCCGATAGGGGCACAATAAGACTTTTCTGGCTGCAACGATACAAGCTCGATTGACTTTATACACCACAGACCATTTACAAAAAACCCTTCTGAAATTCATCAAAAAGGTGGTCGTCCTTTGCTAGACTATGCCCTGTGCCCAAAGATGGTAACACCTCTCCAGATTATTCACCTAGAACAAGGCCCTGTGTTACCTATTGTTAAACTTCTCCTGGACCTATGCGTTGATCCAAACGCGGATATACATATACGAGGACAGGACACCGTGGGAGTTATTTCTGGAAATTTGTTACCAGCATGCTCGCCAAGATGGGAACAGTTCAGAGTATTTGACTGATGATATTGGGAGTGCTGTAGAGCTCATGGTACAACGGGGGGCGCGAGTACACGGGACGTTTCGAGTTTCAAGTAGACAATTTCTGGGTCTGGCGGATATTCTTGACGGAATTCGGTTGCCACAGCATTGTAGGAGTAGGGTTGATGAGGCAGTTGAGAGCAGAGGGCCAGAGAGGACTTTTCTATCACGCATGTTTGGATGGAATTAATTGATGCGTCAGAGGTCTTTGTAGTATACTCGCATAACTCGCTGGCGATGGATAGAGCTTTGTCTATTGATATCAGGCTCGGCTGGCCCATCGCAGATCTACGTTTAGAAAAGGGACGATTTCAAGACTTCAAATAATGTCAAATCTTCAGATATCATTCAATCCATACCTAAACTCCACCATCAAGATATATCGTAGTGTACAAGAAGTAAAGCCTACCCACACAAACACCTAAACAGATGGTCCACCAACATAAATCGTCAAAGTGTCTGGCTCTCCCGAAACAACACCTGAAGCATTTTCATTTCCATCAGGGTTCACGTCATCGTATGGGAAGGCATATCCCTTGCCATCAACCTCGTAAGAATGCACTATTCGACTGTAGTGGCTTGTAGGGTCACTCTTGTAGTATTCCCCCTGTCCCAGTTTGGGTTGCATATCACCACCGTCGGAAAGAAGTGTAGACCGGACAAAGGCAGCACAGAGACGAGGAACGACCGCCGCGTGAACACCGTTGTCACCTTCTTGCACTGTAAACGGTCCGCTGTTGCAGCCCCAGATGTCCTTTGTGTTGGGCTTGGCGTATCCACGGTTGTCGCCGTCGCAGGTGAGTTCCTCGCCTGTGACTCGGCACTTTACTTCGCCAGCTTCAGATTGCGTGTTGATGATGAGATCTTGGTTGGTGTACTTTGCCCAGACGTCGTTGACATATGTATCCCAGTAATCTCCAAATGTAATGGGTTCAAGATCGTATTGGTTTCCAGGAGACAACACCCGAACTGGTTTGCCCTCGGCGTTGGCAATACACATAAACGTCCACGCTCTTCCGTCGGCGTCTTTCTGCTTGACGAGATCGTCACAGATCTTGCTAACAGCACCAGCTTCGAGGCCGACACATGATTGCTCGCTTCCGTCCTTAAGAGCAAGGCCCATACCAAGGGGGATTCCAACAAAGTCGACATAACTAATGTTGGCATAGAGAACGCCATTTGTGTATGTAAGCTCGACGAAACCCCAGTCAACGCCAGCACTGGGATCTTGGAGGTTCGTAACAGAAGGCTGGACCAGACCATCACCACTTCCGATATCTACCACAAAGAAGTGAAGATCATCGTTAGCGAAGTAAACGCGACCGGAGCTCATTGATATAGGAATTGTAAAGTCCAGTGTCTGTCCTTGAGGTGGAAGAGGAATAGCAATGCTGTCCTTGATCTCAACAGGTTCTTTCGCCCCGCCTGATTTAGGATATATAAGGCTCCCATCAGCTCCGATGAAAACAACAGTGCCATCAGAGTCCAGCCCTGAAATGTAGGCTCTCACGTTTCCACCGCTGAAGTTATTCACGAGCTTCAGCGGCAACGAAGCAGGTTCAGCCCGGCGAGTGAGAACGTGAGTTTTGTTGTTTGAGTACGTGCCATTGAGTAAATTGTCGTCTGATACTTGGATCTTTCCGGGGTTTACTCTGAGGAATCCTTCAGGTGTTGTATCGTGTCGACGAAGGAGTGACGAAGATTGCAAAGGAGCGGCTAAAGCTGTGCCAATAAGGCCAGCCAAGAAAAGGAATGAACGCATTCTATCAAAGAATGACTTTTGAAAAATGGTTAAAGGAAGGAATGAAGAGAAACGGGACTGAGCTTTACAAGGTGGAATAGCATTGCGGTCGACTACAGAGTTATATAACTAGAATTCACAATCAACAAGTGTTTCACGAAACAAAGGATTCACAGGGACAATCTGATGTTCATCAGGGATGAAGCAAAATGTAATGGAGGAATTATGGTGAAGATGCATGAAATAAACAGGGAGTATCGAAAATGTTTGATATATATTTGAGGGAAGAGGCTCAGAATGCGTGTTATGTGAGTTGATTCGTCGGTTAGTGGAGGAGCTAGGATGGGTTTGAAACAAGGGTCCTATGAAAGCTCAAACACTTTTGTTTTGGAGGATCAAGAGTCCATGCTCCTTTCATCTCGTCCTAGAACCAGTCAACGGACCGAATCCCCGGCTTGTTTTCTCCGAGGGCATCGATTGTTTCAATGAATCTTTATTGAAAGCTGAGCATTAATACATGTTTGATATAGGATTGGCGGCGGTTAGGTGCCCAATAAACGACACCTTAATCATGAAGTGACATGCGATTACATTCTTCAATTGTTTCGTAATGGTTAGTTTTGTACACTGTCCAATATGTTCAAAGGATGAATACAATAATCCTTCTCGTTGGTTGTAGGATCGGACCTGAATTGTGTTGCGTTTCAGACTGTCATCCGCTAAACGCACGTATTTATGCGTTGATGATCCCACGACACGGATTGGCCTGTGCCTAAGATCCCACCATCTTAATGAGATAAGCACCAGTCAACGAGTAACAAAGTCGAATAAACCCAGAGCTAACGTCGCCATCTTACTCAGAATAACATTGCTTTTGCTAACAAACCTAAACTAAACTTCAAATCTAAGATATTACAACTTGCTCTGCTTGATTAGGTGAGCATTAACAGGCGAAATAGCCTTGCCCGTCTTGTGAAAAGAAAGAATATTCTCCATACCCAGCTTCTCAAATCCAACATGTGAATCCAAAGATGCACCGGCATTATGCGACAGTAGCTCCACATTCTTCATCTTGATCAGGTCAGGGCTGATAACAGGCTCGTGCTCAAAAACATCGAGTCCCGCACCTGAAAGATGTCCACTTTGAAGAGCTTCTACAAGATCCGCCTCATTGATGAGCTTTCCACGTGCGATGTTGACCAGCTTGGCGCCCTTCTTCATCTTTGCTAGACCCTCCTTGTTGAGTAAAGCTTCACCTGCAAAAGGTGTCGCGACAAGAACACAGTCTGCTTCCGCGAGCAGGGTGTCTGCAGATTTGTGATAGACGGCTCCAACAGCCTCTTCGACGTTTTTGGGCATTTGGACCACGTCGTTGTAGAGGATCTTCATGTCAAGTGCCTTGTAGGCCTTTTCTGCGATACGTTGACCGATTCGGCCGAAGCCGATGATGCCAAGACTGAAGCCGCGGGGGTTGCGGGATACAGGTGCGAGGTTGCGTTGAGCATCTAGGAATTGCTCGCTTGAGCCAGAACGAGCGGCAATGCTGGACCAGCTCAGTTGGCGGAAGACGGAAATGATGAGCCAAATTGCGGCGTCGGCGACAGATTCTGTACAAGCAGCTGCGGCATTGCAATATGCGATACCTATGTCTGTCAATATTTACTCAAGGATATCTCGGTGAATAAACATACCTCTCTTGGCAAGGGTAGCAGTGTCAACCCAGTCAAAGCCTGCTCCAGCACTAGCATAGATCTTGCAAGAGGTGGGCAGTAAAGAGATTAATTCCTCATCCCAATTGCCCATCTCGCCACCTGTGTTCCAGAATGGTCTGTAAATGGCGAAAAATTCGCCAAAAGTCTTGTTCTTAAGAGCTTGGATGAATTCAGCGCGAGGCATGCTGTGCGACCGCTTAATGTCGAAGTGAGATGTGAAGGTGGTGTACAGATCGTGGTTCCATTTTATGTCGTCGCCGAGCTGGAGGACAATTGGTTTGGCCATTTTGACGGTTGACTAGATTGAGATTGAGAGTGGTATGGTCAGGTAAAGTGATGAGAATGATATTAACAGCCTGTTCAAGAGAGTCAAAGATGTATGATATGATGTAAATCAGCAGATAAAACCCCAATAAGGCTCTATTATATAGACTCGGGCCTTCGGCCGATGGAATCTGTTGAGAGAATGCCGTGTCTGAATAGCCTAATTTTGAGCGACTGTCAGCTGTGGCGATTGCTTTACAGGGCATTTCTGGCTGGAAGAGACCCATAGAAATGAGCTTTAGACGACGTGGTACTGGCCGGAGGACTTCCCCGACGCTAACGTCGGGCTTCTCGCCGAGTGGGAGACTGATTCAAGAATCTGGGGTAAATGGAGACGAACGATGAAAGGGTGGATCATCTCTTCTGTCGTTTATTATTCTTAGAGTCTTAAAACGACATGTAGGAGGTCTAGCCTTTCATTATGTCTTGATCCTTGTTTCATGGGGCTAGGTATTCGTCGAACATTGCTATCATGTAGCTGCTACAGCACAGGCATCTCAATTTCTGGACATCATATTGAGGCTACTTTATCATGACAAAACCCAACAAAGATGAACGTCCAGCTACATTTCACATCCCTTTCAGTCCTTCTTCTGAATTCGAGGGAAACTCAACCAAACACCAGCAACAACAGTGATCAATGCAAGGATAATAGGCTGCAAAACACCAACACCCTTAGAGTTCGCAATGGCTCCGATGGCAAATGGAAAGATGGTTCCACCCGTACCACCGATAGCCATGGCAAATCCAATGGCAGATACATGGATCTTGGCTGGTAGAAGTTTAGCAGTCACCATAACCGCCCCAGGAAACATGGGTCCCAGAAAGAAGCCCAGAAAGGCGACAGCAACGGCCGAGACTATGAATCGAGGAACCAACCAGAAGAGAAGTTGCAGACCGATGCAGATGACGAGATAAATAGATAGACAGAGTCTCTCGCCGAAGCGCTCCGTCACGAAGCCTAGACATGCACGTCCAAGAGCCATGCCTGCCCAGAATCCTGTGCCAGATGCACCAGATGCGTATGCTGAGGCTTTTCGTACGCGTAGCATAAATGTGACGACCCATCCACCAAGACCGACTGCAAATCATTAGCATTGTTCTGAATACCAGGACAAGATGATCAACTGCTTACCTTCGACCCCCATGTAAGCAAAGAAGAACAACGAGCAGAGCCATGTGACTTTGGACTTGAGGGCCTCTCTTGTTCCAGCGCCACTACCTTCTGATTCATTGACATGTTCGAGCTGATAGACAGCACCAGTCTTTTGCCAGAACGAAACAGTGAGACCAACCCATTCCACCACAGTAATTCCAATCTACCAAAGTCAGTTCAGTACATGAATTGGATCAGAAAGTACTCACCATGACATAATAAAAGGTATACCAAGGGAGGTCATAAGAAACAACCATTGATGTGGCAATGAGCGGTGAGAACAGCGCCCCGAGGGAATACGACGCGTGCAAGAAGCCCTGCACGGTATTGGCCTTGTCCATGGCGCCAACCCAAGCACAAAAACACGCATCCGTGAGACCGTTTCCGAAGCCGCTAAAGATGTTACATACGACAAGAACGGGGTACGGAGGGTGCAGAGCCAGCGCGACAAAGGTAATGAGATGACAGATGGGTGCCATGATAGCGACACCGCGCTGGCCGAAGCGCATGTGGATTCGTGCATTGGTGAAAGCGGCGACTGAGTAACCGGCGAAGGGAGTGAGGAAAATGAGAGAGATGATTGTGTAGCTTAAATCGTAATATGTTTCGAGCTGTTGTCATGTTAGATGGTATTGTTGTCTTGGCGAGTTGACATACATATGGGATCAAAGCCTAAAATAATCAGTACAGTCCAGTTAAGGGGGTTTGGCGATACGTACACCAACGGCTGCATCATTCATGCCAGCGATGATAAATGACATGAAAGCAAATCCGAGTTTGGGCATGTTCCCTTTTGGATAGTTCCACCTCTGCGCCTGTGTCTGCGCATATGGAGGAGGTACATCATCGGGCGGTAAAGAAGGCTGCTCTTCAATAGTGTCTTTTCCACGTTGATGTAGAGTTGTGAGCTCAATCGGCTCTTGAGTTTGTGTGATGGTTGTCGACATGATTGAAGAATGGCATGCACTGTAAACAAAACGATGGAAGAAAAGAAATCAAGCTTTTCGCGCCCTTCTTGGCGATATTTATCAGTCGTCAGGCAAGGATCTGCGGGTGGAACGGATAAATAATAAACGAATTGGTTGCGCCTTGTAGACCTGTAAATGGAAATTGTTCCAGCGAGGAGAGTCATGGTGATAACGCGGGGTTTTGGTGGATGCGATGCTTATTCCAGTACGCTATACTTGTTGGGGCAATTGTCGGGAGGAATTCCCAGCTTCGTTGTAACGGCCCGTCGGATGCACTTTCCGTAAACACATTCCGCTCATCTTCCGCTTCTAATACTTGATGTGTTGCATTTGACTACTTCAAAGGTCTCAGATGGTCGTCTGATACTCGTTTTTGGCAGCATAATGCTTATGTTACCTTTAGGAAGGGTTTATGCTAGGTACCTGCCTGCCTAGTCTAAAATGACATAAACGTGACTTCCCTAAACCCAAGGCAAGTGAGCCTGTGGCTCTTACTGTGAGAATTTTAGGTGCAGCTTTTGGCAGGTGTACCTTCCTGACTTCTAGCTTTATGTCTCCTCCCCCTTCTCTCCTTTCCCACATCCAGTCTTTCTTTTCTCATCATCATCAACAAACTCTTCTTCCTCTTCCTCGTCCATCAAGTTCGTCTACATCATCATCATCAGCTTTTACATCAGCTACATCAAATGCTCCTCCATCCTCTCCTTCATTCAGATCCAAAGACAAACATCAACAATAACGTCCAAACATACTCTTTACCATGAATCAAATCTATTCAACCTCAACCAACGCCCAAGACGGGTGAGGTGGTCAAGAAAGTCATCTGCACTTGAAAGCCACGTGACAAACTACTTGAGATGGCTCAATAATTCCTACAAACAGATGTGGCTGACGATTCTCTACTCTCTTAGGACGTGCATTTAAAGCCTCCATGTCAAAGCACAAACAAGCTGAAGATGTCGAGAACGAGCGAGAATTACTGGCCACACGAAACGCACTTCTTGAAACGACGCACACAGTGAGCAGAAGCAATCCAAAGAAGAGAGAGCAAAGAGAACCCCACACAACATGGAATTTTTAGTCTAGTCCGGCGACTGACTATAAATACTCCTTCCCAGTTGTCAACACTCCCAATTGTCAAAACTCCTGTCTTCCCGAACGTGGTCATCAAAGTCGTCGATGCGTACTGGGCTTTATTGTCAGCCGCCTCGAACGTGCACACAAACCTCAAGCATGATGAATTTGCACGTTTGCAGGCTCACTATACCCATGACAACCAGAACCACAGCCGAATGGCATGATGTTGAGAATTGATAAAGGAGAAGAGAGACATACACACTCAAACAGAGAGCCAGAGAGAGAGAGTCCAGTTGCTGTTGAGCCTCGTGCCAACTCTACTGAGTCAATTCCAGATTTACCTGCGCGATCTATCTGCCAGTGTTGCTGAGTTCAATCAAGCTTCAACTGAGCAATGAGCCAAGACTTCTAAGTCTAAACATGGGTTTCTTCATTAGGGGTGATGAAGGAAGGGCGGCGAAGTCGGACCCCCACAACCTCCACGCGGTGTCGCCCAGGGACCTGGTCCAATGGACTTCAGGCAATGTGGGAGACGCAACATTCTTGTATTTTAGTACCTTTTCCATCCTTGGAATTAAGAATGGAAGCAATTATGTAGATGAGATCGATGAATGGCTACTCCTATTGCAGTGATGTATGAGAAGCGCGAGTTTGTGAGGATATTTGTTAATAAATACCATGAGGCATGAAGTAGATAGAGCCACTCCTGGCCTTTGAAGCCCTAAAGAAGCATATCGGGCGCCTCGCGGCTTTCTTTCGTGCCTCAAGGGTCGATTCCAGGAGCTTCTACAGATACCGTCACGGCATAAGAGTTTTCTACTTCCCTTGTCCGAACCGACTCCCAAAATACATAGTACATCACATAATTCCTTGCGCGCCTTGGTGGCTACTAAGTTGAATCGTGCCATTTCCCAATTAGGTACTGTGTTGCGCCTGTAGGCTACAGCAGCTTTTTCCTCAGAAGTGGTGATATCACTAGAGTAGCAGTCCACCAGAAAACTGAGACACAGCTATCATCACCGGTGGAAGATTGGTTCCTTTACGCACCAAGGTATGCAACGCAAATCAAGGAAGGGATCGTGACTCAGACAGCTAACCGACAAAGGAAAAGCGCCAATGAAACATGACAGCTCGTAGTAAAGTCCGCCGGCCCCAGGACGGTGGCTGTTTACATTTTCCGTGTGTGCATCCGTATTTCCACAATGATGTAGACGATGATTTGGTATGTGAAAGACCCTTCTGGACTTTGGGGGGTTTTTTTGTCTATGTGTCATTGTTTGATCTAGATTTTTGGCTGTTTTAGCCGGACAGCGTTGTGCCGATTGCTGGATTTTTCGATCGTCATCTTTAATTGCTGTGAAATCTTGAGAACGACGAGTCACGGCTGGTAAGATCCCTTTGTGATAGGCTAGCGTTCATACTGGGGGTTTATCATGCTGAAGTCCGGGCTACCCAGCTGAGACAGGCTTGTAGCAGTACCAAGCTATCACAGCGATTAACTGTCAGCGCAACCATCGAATAAACAATTAAAAACATGGAGTTAATTAACGTGGTGCAACCTGGCATGCTTCATCTCAGCCTTGCAACGCTTCGGCTTTCGAGGGTCCAAGTCACAATCGGATATAAGCTTCCGCTATTGTCTCCCTTGAAAAGAACGCCATTTTCCCACACAAGCAAAACAGGTTTCAATTCCGCTCTCTGACCTCTTGTTATCACAATATCTACAGGTCCCACCTATCACATACCCGGAAACAGCACCGGAAACAGCACCGGAGTTGGCAAGCTACTGTGCGGTTCCTACACTAGCATCCCCGTCCCTGGTATGGCAGGGCTGGTGGGCGGGGATAAAAAGCATCCGAGATGAAGACACTAAATTGTCATGATTCCAATTAAATGCACTACTCAGATCTCGTGCTGAGGGCTACGTCCGCAAATAGCTACCAAATCGGCTGATCCATCCTCCGCCTATACGCCCGCCGATCTAATTCCCGCGTCGCAGAATAGAGTTTACTAGCTTGTCCTACAAGGATGATTTCAGTTCTTGGCGTCGATAACAAGAAGTTAACCCTTAACCCAAGGATACGGACCTGGATTCGGGCGTTGTTCTTTTTTTGTTGCGCCTGTCTTGACTGCCAGAATAGAATATGGCCTATCTTCTAGTGCGACTGATCTTCAACAGAGATATGTTTTTATTACGTGCCTTGCTTTTAGATTGATCGAGAACAATAACTCAATTCATATTCACATGCTGACACCACACTGTGAGTTTCCGTCTTCAGGCCTCTCTCGACTGACTCAGACGCATGGTGTCGACGATTTCAGTGGCGCCCTGTTAGCAGCACACTAAGATTCGTCAGCCGTGTCAGTGCACGCACTGGGGTGGTGCAGTATATATTAGCTACTCCTACTCGGCCGTCACAAGTCCGATTTCTTTGTTTCAATACAAAATACGCCATGTTAATCTGCGTCACCTGATAAACCCATTTTCTGATCGGGAGGCTCGACCTCCAGCGATATTACCATCCAAGATGATCTCCAGCAAGGCTGTTATGGTGCGGAATGCTTCGAATTGATTGGAGGTCAACATACTGATGGGGGATTACAGTCCTTTGAATGGAGTCTTATGGTCATCGCCTATATCCTGGTCGCCGCTCGAGTTTACGTGCGGGTTTGGCTGCGCAATGCGAGGTTATACTCAGCTGATTATCTCCTCTTCGTGGGTTTGACAGCATGTCAGGGATTGCTCATTTGCGACACTTTGACATATCGAATGCATGCCATGGACGATTTTACCATCACCAGCGTGGAGCTCAAAAAGGTTGGCCCTCATTATTGCGTGTCAGTAACTAAATGCTCATCAAGTCAACAGATCCGATTCGCGACGAATTATTTCTTCGACTTTGGCATTTATTTTCCGAAATTCAGCATCCTCGCATTTTATTTCAACCTCGTTCCTTGCACGCATCCTGGAATGCGAACTCTTTTGTACGCCCTGACCGGTCTCACAGCATCCTTTTCGCTCGTTACTTTTTTCAGTGACACTTTCTGGTGCGGGCCGGATCCTTCGGTGAATTGGTTGGATACCGACGAAGAGCACTGCCAGGCTTTCATGTCGATGGAGCTCATGAGATTGAACTGGTCTATGAACTTCACCTCTGAAGTGTTGAGTGAGTTTGGCTCCAGGATTAATCACAGGAGTGACAGTGGTTGACGTATTATCCGTTTTTAGATGTCCTTTATCCATTACCACTATTAAAAGAGCTCAAAGTGAATTCTCGACGGAAAAGGGTTGGGTTGGCCATCATCTTTGGACTTGGATTCATCACTATCTTCGTCAGTATTGGACGCTTCATTCAGACGACCTTTGTCAGTAACGACATCTCTATATGTATGTCGCCACGGTCTATCTTTTCTACAGTGCTCCTTCAGGTCTGACAAAACTCTAGATATTTGGGCAACGGCCGAGATATGCATCTCAGTCATGGTTGTAGCTAGCACAGCCCTTCGACCCCTTCTCCGAAAAATGTCAAACATCAGCATGCTCAGCAGTCACGAGCGACCACCAAACCACCAATTAGGTCATCTACGCCAACCGCAAAACGTCGGAATTGGAACCATAGGGTCAGGGACATATTGGAATAGGAGGAGGAGAAGAGATAGCTTGTCAGGAAGTGAAACGGAAATGAATCCAACGAATGGGATTATTTTGACACAGCAGGTCATGGTGTCAAGGGAGACAATTGTTGCAATACCCGAAGTACATGAGGAGTTTAAAGTTTAGCATTGACATAGAGTAAAGGTCTCACTATCGCAGGAAGTCGATAACGCAGAGACTCATAATACCTCAAGACGAGGATACAATCATACCATAATAGCATTCTAGTTATGACTCCAGTCCAAGAGATTTCATTCGTTTTGTCACAACTTACTGTGTTTCTACGGCCGAGTAACGAGGCTTTCCAGATTCATGATTCCCATCTCGTTCCATCCTAAACCCGGCTAGTTCATAGATAAGAATACCTCTGGCGAAAAGAGCACTCGCCATCAACCGTATCACGATGATAGCCGAGTCCCTAACACTTATAAACACCAAACTCGAAAGAATCAGAGTACCGTAGAAAGCCTGCAGCGCATCCCCGATGTAGAGAACAGAAACCAGCACAAGAAACCAGCCAGTGTGCTTATCGTTTGTTTTGACCTCGAGTCTACTCTGCCAAGGAGTAGGTGTAAGCTCAGCCCAGACTCTGTATAACAACCGATCCCGATTGTTATTTTCTTTCCCTCCACCTTTCCCCTTGACGGAAATCTTCAATCTGGCAGCAAGGTATCCGACTAGGTGTATGGCCACAGCCGCAGCAGTCCATACGGCGGGAAGGAAGTCTTCGGCTGGTGAGAACGTACACACTGCCAATGTGCTAAGCTCATATGCAAGATAGGCATTATTTGCAACAGCTGCAGAAGCGACAATGTACTCCAGCATAGACACAACAGCAGGTGCCCATACTGATTGCGGTTTGCCAAAGTTGGTATGAAAAGGATCAGTACCCATTGCAGTTATGAAGCCGTCGTATTCTGTTGCTGTGAGAGGCCGCACTCCGGAACTGGACATTGAAAGCAAAGAGGCGAGCACGGGTCGACGATACGCAAGCATAGCGGTGTCGAGATGCGATGCACTCATCAACTGAAGAACTGTAGGCGCGAGACCCAGAATAACAGCGGCTGAAGCAAGTTCGGCTTTGCGGAACTCGGGCATTGTATCCAGAATGCAGTCTATTACATGGTAGCCTAGTTGTCGAGTTGGGTCAGACCGGTTCTTGTAATTGTTCAGAGGCTCAGTGCAGCTATTAGTGAGCTGTTCTTTGATGATGTGATCCCAGGCCGGGAAGAAGTTTTCGTACTGAGTATAAGAGCGCATTGCAGTGGTAGGCGTGATGTAGTAACAGAAAATGATTGTAGCTGGGAGCAGGTAGCTCAGAACGCCTCGCGTTCTACTACGTGCAGCCATTGTAGCTGATCAAAGTCGGTTATGGGAAATAAATGTCGCGTCATCCGGGAATAGGGAAAGATCTGGGTCTTATACTATCACCTCCCCCACTGCGTAACTACAGTGGAGGTGATAACTATGCTGGAACCCTGGCAGGTTGACTGTAGCGATGTGACACATAAGATGCGACATTTACACAACAGTAAGCGCTGAGGCTGCATAAGCTGACAAGATTGAAGCATTTACGGCTAGGCTGGAAACAATTCAGTAAACTAGCCAATGGACATAGTTACTTATCACAGATTGCTTCATAATATCTTGCTTATCCTTGTTGTGGAACCTACGTAGCCCTGATATTCGAATATATCGTGGTTAATTGGCTCAAACACGAGCAAGAAAACAGAAATGAACGAGCTATTGATAACGCTGACTTGTAATCGCAAATCCCAAGTTGAGCAGACGAATTAGAAGCCACAAAAAGCTCTCATATCTGCATAATAATATTTCGACGGCCCGAGCCGCAGCTCCTGGCTTGATCACGACTTGTTAGCGTGAGCATAAGGCAGAGGGAGTAGCATGGTGATTGATTGGCGTAGACCATCATTATTTTGTTTCAAATAAGTAAAACTTCGTATTCGTATCATCTGGCACTGGATAGGAAGCGAAACTGGAAACGCATACATTATTATTAAATACATTAAGATTACCACACTTTGCCCTTATTTAGACCCATTTCCAAACGTTCAGTCATAACAAATGCATTAAACTCATCCTCAAACGCAGTTACTCGCAAAGTTAACATCGTCTTAAAGTCCCTCTTCGAATTGGCTCAAGCCTGGCAGCTTCATTCCAGGTTGTGGGTCTAGCAGGCGCAGTAGCTGAAGAAACCCTTCGATCCAACCTCGTAGAGCCCTCTGTATCTGGCCAGGTATCAGATCTTTCTACGCCTGAAGGACGAACAGCCATCGAACGGCTTCTGTTCAAGGAAGTAGAAGTGCCCCATTAAGTTCTCGAGTTTTCCGCCAGCGTCAATAAAGGTTGACCAGTGGAGGCTCTTACGCCATGACCACTCGTCCCTCGCCATGACGGTTGTCTTTGTGGTACCGTGGATGACATATCCAACAGAGGTGGTGGAGTTACACCCGTCTGAGCGCAGTAGATAGAGTCTGTTCTGGTAGAAGACACGCTTGAAGTCCTCCTAGGTCGGTTGGGGTATTGGAGATCGTCAGACCCACGATAAGACCTTCTCGAAGGCGCTCTCGATAATCCAGCACCGACTCCCCAAGTGTCTGATGAAGTTATTTGGCCACGAGGCACCTCGACCTGCTGGTTCTCGTACTCATCAAGAGCCCCGAGTAAGCCACCGTTAAATGGATTTTCTCTTGGTCTCTGCGTGGCAGCTCGTGATCTTTCTTCCATTTCCTGCCTGAGTAGGTCATATCTATCTCCCAGAAGACCCGTGGGACTGAATGTTGGTTCCGACATTGACTGGTGTGCCTGTGCCTCCTGTCTCTGAGAGTCTGTTGAGGGTGTGAGACTTGGACGGAGAGGACGATGTGTTTCTTCTAGGGACGAATACAAGTTTGCCATCTTTTGTGCGTTGGATATTCAAACTGTCGGATTGAACAGTTGAGCTTGAGAGGGAACACAGGAACATTTGTAGTTGGATGATTTGTTGGTTAACATTGAATTAGTGACTCTGGATATGGTAAGACTGATGGTTTTATGGTATGACTATATACTCCATCTTCGTTGAATTTGATCATCTTGATTCCTTCGATACTGACTTCATCGAGTCTCAACAACCGATGAGATGATCCTTCACGGCATGTAGCATTCAACACTGCCTCACTCCAGAATCGAGATAACTATCAACAGATGTTCAGTTTTGTAACACAGCCTCAGCCCAAGTTCCAATTAATAACTAATCCAATAATCCTTTTCAAAGTCCGAATTTCATCTCGCACTCGTGGTCAAGAACGATGGTCGTTTGGTGATGGTTCGTGTGATAAAGACCGAGTGAGACTGATTGACCAATAGCGATAGGCAAACAGTAACGACATCCCTGGCTCTCTGCAAGGAATTGTCGGTAAACTCTGGCCGAGTCCACCATGAAATGTCAGCACTGCCCCGATCTTGAGCATCACTGCGCCACCACGTTTTATTGGCGAGGAATTTAATGTAATCGTCATAAATTGAATCCATGTCTTTCTGTTTAGGATTTGAGGTGAATTTTATTGATATACGAGACTCCAAAGTGCACGTTGGGTAGTATCGTGGATTAGTAACTGGCCATCCTCTACTTACACTAACTCAATAACACCAAAATCGCTCATTCTTCCTTGTAGAAAGGCTCAAAATGACTCTCAGTTTTGTCTTGGTGGAGGCTGTGTAATAAAAGAGTATACATTAGTCTGAATCCTTTGCGCGGGGAAGTAGTTAGTTACTGTGTTCGTGAAAATTGTGACCAACAACTTCTTGGTCATAGATCGAGGTTACATGGAACATCGTCTCATCTCATTTCTTGGAGTCTGAACTATTCTCACCGCCACTTAGTCTTCTGGCTATCTTTGAATACTCAGTTTTATCATCAATTATTTGACCCTAGAGGAAGTTTGGGAGTAATGTCAGCAAGAGGCTTCGTTCAAGACAGTGCACATCTCAACTCTCAGGGTTCGAGATATAGCAAAAGTCCATAACCGTCTATATGGATGATTCGAAGATGCGGCATCCCGCTGAGAACGAGGGGGCAGCGGTCAACTGGCAGATGGAGGTTTCAGATCCATCAATCCGTTTGCGAGTCATTTGGGTCGAGCTGAGCCTGTGTCATTTGCAATACGCGTTAGGTGACTACAGGGACGAAGTTTTTGATTCTTGTAGCTGACAGTAGTCAACAAGTCATAAGACTGGTTAAGAGGTCTAGTCTGAAGATGGATGCCTGGCATGTATTACTGATTCTGCCCTGCTGGCTTTAGCTTTCTTTCTTTCTTTAATAATATTTGATATTCAGGTCTGAAAAAGGCTAACACACATGATGCTCGTGCCAAGAACATTTGACATTCGTTTGCTGCGGTAGTAACAATTGCTAGAATGTTTATATTCTGTGTCGGCCTAGATAATCATTTCTTGCTTCCCTGTCATGTCGATATGTAATCAATCCGTTATACCATGATCATAGTTCATATATCCTCTCAAACAACACAGCCACAACTTGTTATGAGTGATCTTATAGCCCAGTTGATTTCTCAAATCGTTGTTTTGTTTTTCATCTCTGAATCGCGAGTGCAGACAGCAGTTTGTTAAACGTCATTAGGTTGCGGCTTAAATGATAAAAGGTGGGAAGGGAACTGAGAGACATGTACTTGACTCATTGACTGTTTGTATTTAAATCAGCTAGTCTCAGATAGTACGAAACAGGGCGGTCATCAGCAGATTAATCTAGCATCACGTTGAATGAATTTTTCGTAACATACATTCCTTCATAACCCATTGCTAAGCAACAACATACCATGGGACTATAGTTTTCATCGCGATGATGGCAAACTCATTCGGCAGACGTCATACGGGGTATAAATATATCCGCAAACAGTCATGTCTTATATCCTGTAGCTCGTTCTCGATCCAGGCGATCCAAGCCAGTACCGTTGATCCCCCTTTTCCTCCACGTGTGACCCCTCATTCCTGTCGAAAACGCTAACCTTAACTCCCGAATGCAGGTACACAAAAGGTCCTTTAATTTACGTCCCATGACAAATTTCGTCGGAAACCCTGGAGTAAATTCTTCAAACCCTTTTTTTTTCTGTTTTTTCTATTCCCGGCGTTCCTTTTTTAGATGTCGTGTTCCCTTAAGCGCCAGCAACTCGCTTCTGCGCTAGACCTCCCAACTTCTCAGCAGCCGCTCCAAGCGTTCTGGGGTCAGCACCCTTGAGCACGGCCTGCCCATTGACAGCGACCTGCTTTCCTTCCTTGAAGAACATGAAGGTGGGCATGGCAGTGATGCCATACTGGCGTGCGGCGTCCTGGACATGGTCAACGTTGACCTTGGCAAAGGCCAAAACGTCGGGGACACTGTGCTTGGTGGCGAGTTGCTCGTAGACGGGGGCGATGGCCTTGCATGGAGGACACCAGTCTGCGAAGAAGTCAACCGCGACGTATGTTGTTGACGAGAGGAGCTTTTGAAGCTCTTCGTTTGAAGTAATGTGGTGAACCATTTTGAGTGTTGTGCTGGTTGGTATTGATCTGCGAGGGATCGGCAGAGGTTGATTCAATAGTATAGATTCGATCTATCGAGATCTGGTTCAGATGTGGCTTTTCTGACGGTGGAAATGAGATTATGCTTGGCTTTTGGTTGTTTATATGTTTTTCTTTTTCTCCGCATGACGTGGATCTTGACAGAACCTGACAGAGCCGCTTTGAAATGTCGCCTTGTTCACGTGATGTTGCGCAATTGAGGATTTCCAACTCATCGAGGTGAGATTACTAAGCTCAGCCACATTATCTTGTGCCACAATCAGTCAGCCTCACTTTCCAGATCGTGACAAATGTCGTGATGTAAATAGAATCATATGTTTTGTCAAGATGACAAACAACGCAACATCAATTCATAAGCTATAGTTCATCCTATTGCTACGGCATGAACAAAGTCTTGGCTCACCTGACTAGCTGATATACCATTCTCATATATGCCACAATTCTTCCGTTATGTCTCATCGCATTCGCAAGTCTAACCCCAACCCTCAGACTACCCTGTAACCGAGTCGTTTCAATCGCCTGATATACAACGCAGTCCAGACCAATCGACTCCAAGCTCTGGCCATCGTGGAATTAGCACCTCCCTCTTAAGGCTGTGCCTCCCGCGGGTGGAGTGGCCATTAACTAAGGTCAAACCGGAAGCTGCCCCGTGAGCGTTTCTTGTAGTCTTGGCTACAGACGATGCTACAGTACGTAATAATCCACTGAAAAAACACGGCTATACGGGATTAAGATGAGCTTACTGGATAGTATGTATCAGCCCAGACTCTTGGTACGACTCGCTTTCTACCCCAGACGATAAACAAAAGCAATAAAAGTTAATTACTCGAGACGAGACTTCGACTATCTCGGTGGGACAAGTGATAGCTCAGTTCGATTAATGCAAGTGCGTGTGCGTTTGCGGGAAATGGATTCCGCTGTTCATATCTCCAGGGGTCTGAGCTTGGCGGCGTCAAAGAGTAACAACTTTATGTCTCCTGATACTTGACGACACTAAGTTATCTTTAACAAGGTGGACTTAATTCCGCTGTTGAACGAGGCTTGCATTAGAATAAAACCAGAAAACGCTTGGATAATAAAGACGCCAAAGCGATAACAACAGACGAGCGAAGGGATAATCTTCAGCCGTGGAACAAAACCGCTCACTCGGAAGAGGAAAAAAAAAAGTCGAGATTCCTTATTCGGTAAGTGGGGCTAAACGAAACCTCGATGGCGTTCTTTGGTTCTTCCTTTTCTTCACCAAAAAGAGACTGGCACCAGATGAAGCGCTACCCAAACTATTGATCCTTCAAATCACTTGCTTAGATAGGCGTACAATGCTGGTGATAGCTATGATTGCGGCTCGGTCCCCTTCTCACAAAACTGAGACCGAGACAAATATGTCAGACTGTTGACAAGGATCCCCCAAGACGTGTCAATGTCTTAAAGTGGAGTGATCGTCGAGTCAGAGCCCCTGATATCCACGCGATCGTGGCTTGGCTAGACAAACTAGCAAACTCTATTGCAGGACCAAAGCACAGGATTACAGGGGGAGGATCAAGAGCCCAGAGGTCAACCTGCAAGTAATCGTCTACTCTACTCATTGTGGTCAAGAGAATGAGGGCCTCGTAGGTCATAAAACGTTCATTATTCTTGTAACTGGAATGTGCCAACGTTTGTCTGCGATAATCATAAGCGCCACTGTCGCAGTCTAGCTCGCCACCCTTGAGATGAGCGGTTGTGAAAGGCTTGTACAGGTTGCGTTCTTTCAAGGTTCTAGACGTGACGGCCCATGGTGCTGGCCTGACTGGCTCAGCTCTGGCAGGGCCATCCCCTTGTCAGCGGCTGAGGTCGGCCAATTCGGAAGCAGAAGAGCAAGCAGATCGTGCTGGATTCAGGGATGTTGCTTCTTCTAAACGTGGCGACCTGCATGTCCATTCCTTACATCGTGCAGTGTCTCGGTCCCACGAGGTGGATGAAGATTACCGGGGGACCTTGAAGCAAATCAGAAGTGATTCGGGCCAATTCTGAATTGATGATAACCCCTGTACTAACAAAACTAACATAATTGAAACCCCGATTACCTACTCTGTCTGCAGATACATGCACGCATTCCAACTCGGCGGGTGTCATCGGTTATGGCCCCTCATTTATCGCAGCGACAACTGTTGAGTGGCGTCTTAGTACAGAGACCCATATCTTGGGTCGAGTCCTAATATCCGCAACCCTGACGTGCTAACTGTAAGCTAACAAGCCATCCGACTAACCGAGCCTTCCAACTCGACTTTTTCTTTAGCTTCTTTCACAAGCTTAGCTTACTGTACCCGAACCCAGATATTCAAAGACACAATTCGTCTTCCCCGATCGAAGGCCCCTGATTCCAAAACTCCACTCGATTCAAATGCTGTGTGGAGGAAGAAATAAAGTCCTTTCTTCCCCTCCCTTTCCCCCTTAAGCCTTAAGCCTTAAGCCTAGCCCACCCCCGCGTTACCTTGTCTTGTTGGCTTGGTTTCTTAGTCCTGTCTTGGTTCTTCCCTCCCTTATATTTTACCGGGAGCGACACTACCCCAAAAATCCCAAGTCATGCACCGTTGCATCCTCGACACATCGAATTGAAACCAACCCCCGTTCGACGACATTACATACATAATACCACGATCGTTTACCGAGATTAATATCGCTGATCGCACCCAAGACGAGCGTTGACACCTCTTTCATCATCAGCCTTAACACTTCACAACAAAAAAAGAAAAGACAAAACACCGCAACCATGACGATGCTAGAAGCTGAGATATGGACCTGGTATGGTCTATCGTGGGTTATTGTTATCGCCAGAATGTAAGAAAAATTACAGAGTTTACTGGGGGGAATTGGACTGACATCCTGGGTAATAGGATATCAAGAAGGATGTTGCTGGGTTCAATCAAGAAGCTACAAGTCGAGGACTTCTTAATGATAATAGCCATGGTCCGTCAACCTTTTCGTCTAACCATAACCCAATTGGCCTAACACAATGCGCAGTTTACCGATACAATCCTTATGGTGGGAATGTCCATCATTTCGCAAACGAGCAGTAACCTCATCGACCCCAACGAAAATGTCGTCTTGGACGCAGCAGAAATCGCGACAAGAGAATACGGTTCCAAATGGGTTTTGGTGGTTGAGCAGATGCAGATCTTGACAATCTGGCTTATGAAGTATTGTCTGTTGCTCATGTACAACCGTCTCACGTTAGTATCCTGTTGCATTGCATCATGCTTTTGTTCTAACCTAGCTATAGTATGAGCCTGAGCCAGAACTTGGCTGTCAAGTTTGTCGCTGCATATGTCACTGCCGGTTTTGTCGTTATGGAGATTCTATATCTCGGGGTCTGGTGTCGCCCATTCACCCAGTACTGGGCTGTTCCCCCAGAGAACAGTATGTCCACCATCAAAGCCCTGCGTCTTTGCTATGCTAACTTTCCCAGCCCAATGTTCCGCTGCGACAAACCATCTTATCACCAATGCCGTCATCAACATCACCTCCGACGTCATGATCATTCTCATTCCCATGCCAATCTTCCTCAAATCCCAGCTCCCATTGAAGCGCAAGGCTGTCCTCATCGGCGTCTTCGCCCTCGGCGCCTTCACAATCCTCTCCGCCATCCTCAACAAATTCTATTCTTTTAACGAACCATTCGGCTCAAACTGGACATTCTGGTACATCCGCGAATCCTCCACTGCCATCATCACCGCCAACCTTCCTTACATCTGGACTCTCCTTCGCCGCATCTTCAAGCTCGGTTCCTTCAGCGGCTCAACCTACGGAAAGAGCACCAACAACCCTTCAAAAGCGTACCGGTCAAACTTTACCAACCACCGCTCCGGTGTGCGCTCGCAGATCCGCGCCGATCACGCTCTGCATCAAGTGGATAGCGAGGAGGAGATCAACAACAGCTATGCTTTACCGCTAAAGATCTACGCCAAGCGCGAGGTTCAGATTACCAGTGAAGATGCAGGCCCCGAGGATCGAAGAGGTCCAGTGGGCTGTATTCCTGATGAACTGATGAGCCATAGCAAAGACAGCGTGCGGACAGACGACATGGAAACGTCTTCTGAAAGATCCGCAGCTGGTGTTGTCAAGGTATATCACGGAGTATAGAATTTCTTTTTAATGTCTTTTTTTTTTTTATGATCTTGGGTCATGTCACACCTGGATCAGAATACCCAGAGATGTATATTTTCTTTTTAAAATTATATAGATAGAATATCCGTGCCTACAGCACAAACATAGACAAGGCGAATGCGTCACATTTCAAGAACCTACTTGGCCAATCACTTCCAATGTGAGAAAAGCGCAATAATTACGCGAGACGTCACCGTTGGGTCTAACTCTTACCCATGGCTTTACCTTCGGAACTATTATCTGCATACAGCTAGCGAGTAATCTCCACGAGGGATTAAAAATATCCGAGTCAGCTCCGACCTGAACGTGGCCCTGAACCAACACATGTCAACTAACTCTCAGGGGATAATCATTGGGTAAATGTCTGGTCTAGTCCGAATCCTTCGTCCTCTCCTTTCTCAACTAGCTTCATTCCTTCGGGCTACCACATCTCCGCGACAAACCCGTTCTTTCCCGGTTTTGACGTGCTACCAACTGGCCGGACTCTGGCGCTAGGTCATCTCCGCGAGCACCGGCGTGTTACAATTAGACAGCCGTCTTTCCTTGTGTGGACGTCCTAAGACTTTGGGCTCGATGAGACTAATGTAGCGTCTTGTAGATCCGGTTGAAAGGGGCTCTGATCCGAGTGTTGTCTAACCTGATCCTATCATGAGAATGTTGGTCATCAATAGTGTGTTGTCACTGGAATTAGTCTTATCATCACGGCGTCGCTTCACGACATTACCATATAAGCCATCATCCATCACTGCTGTCTTACTATGTGGGCTCCTCAGCTCGGGCAGTCCTGGTTCTTTGATCCTTCGTAGTCGAAGATCTATATCAAGGTTATCGACACCAGCAGAAAACAGTACTCTTCAGACTGCAACATATAGTTCGAATAAAACCGTTTACGCCGTCAAAATCTGAGACATCTGGAAACGAGATGCATGTCAGCCCAGTTTACTCGACGTAGTTAGTCATTAATCCTACGCTGCTTGGCCGGCAAACTGCTACAAACAGGCGTTTGGACTATTCCGAGTAACATTATGATTTATATGAAGCCAATCAAGCATGTGAATAAACAATTACTAATTCCAAATGGCGCTATGATATATGCAATCTCCTCCCACCCAGCACAAATCTGAATTTACAATCTCGCAGCTGCGTTTCCGCCAGAGCAACAACTCTTACCACCAAACGCCAACTGACTAACCTTGTCATGTTGATCCAAAGCACCCTTCTTCTCTGCCACTTGTGTGGGTGTGATGGAGTAGCTGGGTGGCACATCCATACAAGGGTTGTTGGTAAAGAAGTTTCTTGGGCGAAGCAGCAATGTCATCGGCTCAACGGGCATGATGGGGAAGTCCTCAGGCGCAGGAATGTGTGTGACTCCGAATGTATGCCATAGAACAATGTCTGTGTTTTCAGTGCTGGCTGTTCCCTCGGCGATCCACTCAGGAAGACCCTGAGAGGGCTCACCAGATGTTTGAGGGACGTGGCGACCTGCAGCCCAGAGCTCATCGTCGCGGTCTAAGAGATGTTAGTATCGAAGCCTTTTGATGACAGTTGATAATGTAAACTTACAAGGAGTGACGTGCACAGCATGTCGAGCAAAGCCAGCACGCTTCCAAACAAGCGATCCCTCCTTGGGCAACAGTCCTGGAACCTCTCTGCTGACAAGCTTGTAAGAAGCAGGCTTCTTCGAATAAGGATGCAGCTTGCTCTCGTTGACCATCTCCCATGTTCGACTCGTCGCACCGTTGTAATCCGTCTTTGCCTCACCACTCGTGCGGAGCTTGGTCTTCTTCGCATAGAAGGCGTTACCGTACTTGTTTTGTGGACTTCCAACGGGTGCCTCACTGGCAACAGTGTCAACCATATTAACAGTATTGTTCACGCCGTCGATCATGGGATTCACCCGGAGGCAGAAGAGATGCTGGTGGTTGTGAGCGTTGACTTGGGGATACACCTCTGTTCCCCAAGGGCCAGCCTCTTCACCCTCGTTGAGAGCGTATGTGTTAAGGATACCTGTGAGCTTAATCTCAGGCTGGATTGTACCGTCTTGGTGGAAGACCCATTGGCAGGCATACTCGTAGTTTGCTGCTGTGAAGATCTGCTGCACAATGAGCTTGCGCGCGCGTGTGACGGTCACAGAGTCATCGCGGAAGTCGGTGTGTTTGAAAAGAATTCCGTTATCTTCCTCGTGGATGCAAATTGCGTTCTTGATAGTACGAATGGAACCGTCACGCTGCGCGAAATCGGCGTCGAGATAGTGGATTACACCCTTACAGTCGCAACCTAGGGCGAGCGAGTTGGCCATGTATCCAGCACCGTACTCGCCGAGATCGAAGGCGTGCTTGCGCTGGTGAGGATGCTCTGGTGCGCCGTAAGGAACGACCATCTCGGACAGGGAAAGACGGTAGAAGATGGGTCTCTCGATGCCCTTGTCGGTGAAAGTGATGTGGTTCAACACGATACCCTCCTTGTAGTTGAAACCAATGTGGAACTTGAAGTTCTGCCATGAAAGAACGCGACCGTTCATGGTGAAGGATACACCCTCTGGTTGAGTGATGTTAATAGGCTTGATATCCTTACGGTAACCGCCGTTCTCGTTGATGTACCGGGGGATGTAGTCGATAGGCTTCTGCTTGCTCAACGGGCGACGCACGCTGGGAATGTCGATGTGGATGATGGCCTTCTTGGCGCCATCGTAAATGGGGCAAAAGTCAAGAGGGTACTGGTACTGGAAGCAATCAGGGTCAGGGCGGTAGTACATGAGTGCTTGTTGAAGACGGATGTTGCTTCCAAATCGCTCATCGTAACCAATGGTCCAAGGATCGCAGTAGACTTTGTGCATGTCCTCTTTGGGGATGCCAGAGAGTTCACATTGTTCAATGACCTTGGGATCCTTGCGCATAATATCCTCGACCAGAATGAGTTCTTCAGGTGTGATCTAAGTGTCTCATTAGCGAATTGTCTTGTTTTAGCAAATGCAAAGAGGATTTACAATTGGTTGAAGGCCATCCAGCTTCTCCCACTTCTGCACCTTTCTTGTCTTGAGATCGACAAGTCCATCGTAGACGGCTCCATCGGGAAGAATCACTGTAACATCTGCAATTCTTGCAGGCTTATTTCCTCCAGAGGGGTGCTCAAGCCATTTGAGCATATCGGCCTTGCGTGGCTCAAAGAGGGTAACTGCATTGAAGAGGAGCTGGCCAGATTGATACTTTCGAATGACATCCACCGCCACAGCGATTTCGTCTCCAGTGAGAGGGTCAAAGGGGTGATGTTGTGTGAGGCCCATGATTGCTGTGTATAAAAGTCTTTACTAGAGAGGAAGTACAAGAGCAGAGAAAGAAGGAGGAGAGGTCATGATATATAGTGTTTTCTCAGGTAGCAAAACATGTCTCATCTTGGAAACATTCATTGCCGATACCGACTCTTTTTTCCGTATCGGGTTTGATTTGTGATAGTGTCTATAGATGCGGGGAGATAGCTGTCTACTTTGTCATGTATCGCGGGGTGAAGGGAGCCTCAACGGAAAGATAAACCGGAACGGGAATAGTTACAGGTGATAAAGACGGAGTGGCGGTTCTTCCCCGCTTTCGAGTCTGGATCTCGTGATGGAGAGATCTGAGTGGAGGAAAGAATTTTGACTAAAAGGGTAATTTTAACCTGGATATCAAGATTGAACATGATAAGATAATCATCAGTTATCCGATATCACCTCGATATGACACATTTATAAATCACGACAGATTGATCATACAGTTGACTATTAAATCATGATTGTTTATTCCCTAATTAGGAAAATTGATTCTGTTATGGAACATGCCAGAAGATTACCTCTGAGTACGGTAAGCCCTTACTGAAGCCCTGCTTTCGGTCATGTATCCATAGTATCATGCTGTGTCTCTGATTGTACTACATATTGTTGTGGTAGTTAACCCTCCGTCAGTATGCAATGTCGGTACATCCTCGTCCTTCTCGATTTGTGCAAGAGAGCGGTCAACAAAAACAGGCCTGTTGCTCGCTTGTGACGAAGCTTCGATTGGTTGTCTTATCCGGGGGAGAACGTATTGCACAAGTTGATTTGCAGAGGGCCCGCAAGCTACCATAACGCCGACGTAAAGTTCAACATTGCCCAAAATAACAATGGCATGCGCAAAACCATCTACCGAGAAGTATTAACACATGTTTCGTACTGCGACCGCTGAGATATACATGCCTGATGTGCTCACATTTGGAAGAACCTTTGACTGAATCACAAGTCGGACAAGACTGACTATAGTGAGGCTGGTATCTAGTTAGTCGTTGTTGACTACTTGCAGCGAGTCGCTCAAAATACAATGCAGAACAGGGCAGACTTACAATACACCCATGCCAAACATACTCATCACTTTAATCTTTTGACGTTGTCTGAGTCCGAGGTTATAGAGTTGTGTCATTGGCAAGATGAGCATCCATATATCCAGAGCGAAGCTCACCGCGTTGTTTGCCAAACCGACTTTGAAAACGACATTATATGTCTTTAGACTCGAATTATAATCTGTACCGCCATCCCATATTATTCTTACTGCCTGTCCTAGTGTCAAGTTGAGGACGAGGGTGACTATGATTGAAACGGCATTGAATGCTATAGTCATCCAGACAATAATTCTAAACTTTTCATCGGGGAATATGCGAAGATAGAAGAATAAAATTGAGGTTTTGGCGGCGGCGAGACCCAAAATGGAAAGAATCTGCCATATGAATATATGCTATACGATTGTGAGTGTACGAACTATTTCAAGTTTGATATAATGGTCAATATTAAGCACAAACCTTGAAAAGACGGGTGAGGTTGCTATTTCCATAACGATATATCGATTCAAGCGACCCAAACCCATTTTTGATCACTATTTGAAGTTAGAAGCAAAACATTGGAACGGAATTTCCAATAGCGTATTGGGCAGATCTCACTAAGTAACACGAACGCCGTGGTTGGCACCATGATAATCTATCAGCGTTAGACACAAGACAATGAAGGAAGATGGAATACATACAAAGGCTATTATCGCCCATGTATCATCAGGCCCCCAGGGCGTTTTGACGATCAATTTGGATACTACCCGCAAAACCACAAATGCGAAGGAGAATGTTGCAAAGACTATTATTATATCCCGATACATTCCGCGGTTGTCTGCTGTAGGAACATTGCATATTGACGAGACCGAGTTCTGGAATTCTAAATTGAACTGTGTCAAACATAGTATAGAAAAGAGCCAACTGCCAAAGCAACTTACCAATTCCTTCTCTTAATGTACAGGCTCGACTAACACAATCCGATACACTGTTTTGGATATCTTCATCTTTGCACATGTCTTGCACAGTCTGGTTGGAGCCATTCCCGCTGTTAGGCGCTTCAAGCGCACACGGTATCTTTTTCAACGCGTTAGAGCAAGCCTGAAGAGAAGGGAGACAGCGCGTTACTGACTGCACATTTCGGTATATCAGCTATGGATATAGCGGCAACCAAAGGCGACAGAAATGTCACGTAGAGCAGAGATGGCACTCTCATGGTGGATGCTGAGGTTTTCGCATCAGAAGATTTGGGGGTAGAATAACGCAGGACGATGAATGGTATTAAAACCCCGCAATTGCATGAAGTAAGAATGATTTCACTAGCAATGCTAGGGCCATAAGAGATCTAGACCCAAACTGTGGTGCAGTTTCCAGGAACGGTTGAAGCCTTAACGATCCTAACCGAGGAATGCTTTCTTATGGGTGGCATTCCTCACAGGAAGTGTCGAGGATATAGCTGCGCTTGGACTCGGTGACAACTGGATATAATTCTGGAATGGAGGATCTGAGAGGCTTAAGCCATCGCTTTTTGCAGCGAATCTTGCCGTTAATAAGCCGTAATTAGACTGGGTTCATGTCACCGGATGAAATATGACTGGAAGACCGTTTATCAGGTCTCCCGCTGGTGGAATGCATTGCAATAGGAAATTTCATGAAACACATTAGTGAGGTATCGGGTGAATTGCTCCAGTTACAGATATTTTGAAGCAAAGAGCTATGCAATGACAATATAGAAACATGAGGGAGTATATTTTTAACTGACTTCAAGCCCTGACTGCAAAGCCACAAGGCGTGTTGGACATGTTTTTGGCTCATGTCTCGACAACAAAATAAAGCATGCCCTTGCTGATACTCTCGATTGTTAAGGCCTGTGGCAGGATCCCCAGAAGCTGCTGAGGTCTTGACGTCAATAACTTTGGCCGATATTGGGTAACGACACTCATCCAAGCGTACTTCTATATTCTGCAGCTGAATGTGACGATCTCACTCTGCATACAGTTGGCCTCGGAGATTTGATTCTAGTAAGGTCGATGGTTCGACTCGCGCTGTGGTAGCCTTCTGATAACCTGAAACTAAAGCTTACAAAACGCTTTGAGGGTGGTGGTCGCTTACTGGCCTTGGAAGATGTCACCGTTCAAGGCAGAGACATGAGATTGAAGAGGTTAGACTCATTTTCTAACTCATATTTCACATCCCTAGTGGCAATATGTGTACCTAGGCTCATTTACCAGCACATACATCAATCAACAAGCCCTTGTATCTCGAGCTAATGCCGACGAGCAGACGCCGAGAGATCCAACGGTCAGAGAGAGGAGGAATACGCCAAGAGGATCATTGAAGAACAGAGAACGTTGATATGGATGTGACAAGGGGAAGCTAGTAAAAGCTAAATGGAAGTTGGATGGCCCTCTTGGATAACCACCTATCGATTAAGCTAAATGTTGCGGGCACGGCAGCTCGTTCCAGATCGACCAACACCATACCGAGGTAACTACGAGCAATGAACTCAGAATCAGACTGATGCTGATACGTTCTGGAAAGGGCCGATGGGAGACTAACTTCGGGTAGAGCGACAGCAGGATCGCAGCAGTGAGGAAGCACCACAAGGGCCATGCTGATGTTCTATAAATAACAAAGATTAGTAGAGTTTCCACTCTTTTTGCGTACGAACTCTCATAATCGCAACCTCCGACTGATCATCCAGCGATACCTCTGTTCGTGGTGTGTTCTAGAGGATATCCTGTGTAGAACGACGTTCAAGCTAAACCGCGTTGCTGCAGTCTGCGACAATGGAAGCACACCGTGCTTGGCGACTACCATTTATGATACCTTCGTATGATACGAAAAATAACACCAAAACTGTATGAAGTTATCGGGTTTAATCCAGAGATCTCCGTGTTGCAAACTTAGAGGTAGTAAGTAGACGAATCAGTTATCAAGTCATGCTACAATAGTTATATACATCAATATGTTCAAACCTTTCACCAAACAAGTCCCATCCCGGGTGACGCAATTGGTTAGCGTGTCAGACTTTTACAGCTACACAAGTAGCAAAAGTAAATCTGAAAGTTGCGGGTTCAAGTCCCGCCTCGGGAGATTCGTTCATCTTCTGCAACTAGATCCTCTGGATATACTTTTAATTGAAAGGAATCGATTGCTAAAGTTTTTTTGAGTGGTGTGGGATCTGGAGCATGGGTTGTGGTCGATTGGGGTGCGATGATGTGGCACAAAGTCAACGCCACAATCAGCGACACTCATGTATCAGTGTGATAGAGGTTTATTCGCAATTTAAAAGACGAATTCAGAATTTGGTATATCAATTGGTAGGATATGGTCATCTAGAATGTAATAGGTTTGTCGCGGTTGCAAGCATGTCATGGCTGTGGTAGGCGATACCGTCAAGCGCCTCAGAGTCACGATCAAGTGATTTGTGGCCTTACGGCAATGCATTACATAGGTATATGAAAAGCAAAGAAGTTGTAATTCGGAGTCACGATTGGAATATGGTTTCAAAACAGCTCAAGGTATAAAATAATGACACAAGTATTGTCAGGATATAAAGTACAGTTTCCATAGGAACTGAGGGTCGCAAACAGGACGACAGATGTCTTGGTTGTAGCACTTATAAATTTCTTGCATAGTTTCGACTCGTTTTGGTATCTTTGTCCAAATCTAGGCTCTCGTATCTAGCCATGCGTATGCCAACTTGGTGTATCAGAGTCTGCTAATCCAAAAAGTCCAGGTATCTGCAAAGGTCGAGCGACTTCTCTCGGAACGTTGACTTGGACAACAATGGTATACGTCGCCGCAGGGTATCATACTATCATCTTCACCTTGACGTGGATTTCTTACTCATATGCGTAATCACCTATGTTCAAGCCTCTGTCCCAACTGCTTTTGCATAGCCATGGCCACAGCCTCAAGTTCTAAATCCTGATCAGATGAGTCGTCTCTAGTTCAGACTTGCGCAGAGTCAGACTTGTCATTCGCAGCTTACCAAATTACAACCGAGCTGTAAGGACCTCGGGCCTTGTAGCCATGACACTTGTCATTCGCAGCTTACCAAATTACAACCGAGCTGTAAGGACCTCGGGCCTTGTAGCCATGACACTTGTCATTCGCAGCTTACCAAATTACAACCGAGCTGTAAGGACCTCGGGCCTTGTAGCCATGACACTTGTCCTTCGGAACAAATCCCTCCACATTAGATGTGTTTTATCACAAGACTAGGCTGACTGGCTATACCACCAATGGAGTCTCACAGAGATAGTTTAGTTTATGCTAAGTTCCTCCACTTAGTCGTCGTATGCCCGGCGCAGCAAACGGTAGTCTGACAGTTGTTCGCATTGCCTGGCCGTCAACCACTTGATCAAGAAATGATTGTTTTCTGGCTATTATTCTGCCTAGAGAAGGCAATATCTTACGAATACTCTCCATGAATAAAGCCGAGTCTGGAATGCGAGAGGCCTCGTTGCTGCTATTGCTGCTGCGCCATCTCTCACTAAAATGTGGCGTGTGCTCAGTGTGGCGCATTACGTTGAGGCTATCACGAGTTAAACCGAGGCTTTCAAATTTGACCGTATGAGCGGGTATGACTACGTGGTGAGTGGTTAGTCTTATTCTACAGGCCTTAAACGATACTGTTGAAGCGATACCTCTATAGATTGTTGAGGATGAACTGGAGCGGTGTAAAGCCCGGGATACGGGAGCTGCAGGGTAGTTTTGGGAATTGGCAGCAACGTATACAGTCTTCTGTATTCCTGTGTTCTAAATGTCTTTACATCTGTTCAAATTTAATAGTTGTTTTGTCTGGAAGATAGACACAACCCTTTCAGTATTGGATTTTTTGAAATCCGTGAAAAACCATGTAGACATACTATAAAGTTCTACCATTATTGGCTGGAACCGACTGTACACCACACTCAAATGTGTGATGTTACTATGGGCGGCATGCAATTGGGCATTGTCGCCTGTTGACAACGCGCAATGTCGCCCTCAACAGTTCAATCAACGCCTAGACTTTAATGAAACTCGCAATCTTTGGGCTATGCACATCTCACTTGACTCATATTAGAGTGCCCAATCTTCGTATTCTACCGAGATCATAGTAACACGCCCGTGTCCAATGCTTCTTGTCAAAGAGCGACGCGTCTCTTAGCCCACAAAACGCGTCAAACGAGCCTCGTTCTGCCGTTAGCACCACAGCTTTCCAAAGCCGAAGCTGCCGCCACAAGTCAAATCTCATGAATCATTTACTCGAATGCACAGACGAGCTCCTCAGTGGAAACCAGAAAAGTTGGTCTCTGAGCTGATGGCGCCAAAATAAATCAACCAGCATCTCTGGTCTAGATAGCGTAAACTGACCTACTAGTTTTGTTCCATTGATCCGGGCAGTCAATTTTTCTGATACCCTGATGGCTCCCTCACAAATGCCAACACTACACATTCATCGCCTCGACACTGCCTCAAACTAACTCTCACAAAGCGAAACCCAAATGAATCTCCTTCTCAATAGAGAAAAGTCAAAACATATTGTATCAATACTGACCTCCGATATGCTGTACCGTACGGAACTCTGCTTACCCGCCGGTCAAAAAAGTACTCATTGACGTCATGGATGAAAAAAAAAAAAAAAACCGAGTGCGCCAAGCAGGGAAAGGAAGCTCCTAAAGATGGAAGTAATGCAAGCAAAATTAAGCTTATCCATAGGAAACAGGGGTTCACCTACAGCATTGAATTACATTACAGGATCCGACAAATTGTGGTTGCAGGATTGTTTAATTTGAGTTGAGCATGGACCCGTCTCTGGTAGATTGCATGTTTTGCTCGGCTCCTGATTTGTTATTTCGCCATGGACGTGAGACGAGGGAGGTTTAGCTGCAAATTTGCACTGCCTTGCTGCTTGTCTCGATTGTTGGGTTTTTGTCTTGGCATCGGAAAGACATGAGATACCGAGGAACAAAGAAGCAACAAAAGGTATAGCTTGAGAGGGAGAGAAAGACAAGCATTCAAGTTGATCGTTCTGCCGCGATTGCCAAGATCTAACGGGGAAGCGTCCGATGCAACATGGGCTGTAACCATTTCCACCATCTTGTTTTTTGACCTTTTTCGCATCGTGACTTTTCCTTTGTACAGCACATCCTTACAACACAGAGTCGAGTCGAATGGTCATGGTCATGGTCATGGTGGCACAGATCTGGTGATGATGAGCTGGTGATGATGAGCTGGTGATGGTATTTTCCGTCTCTTTCGGTTGTGGACCAATCCTGTTTCTACACCTTTCACGGATAATTCTACTGGTTGAAAAAGGCATCTTGCATAGACATGAAGTGGGGGAGCGGCACCAGTACAGTAATGGATCGACAAAGGGGCTATGCCTGAGAGACTGGGTGAAAAGACGGTAGAAGAGTCTGTCACAAGACGCATCTCACAGGTCGATAGAGACGTCTCTATCAACTTTAAAAAATGGAACCAACATTCTGAATAACTCGATCCTGATCCGTAGGGGATATCGCCTCCCGAGGCAACCCATTGCGCCCCTATAATTCGTGTTGTAGCAAGGACGAGATCTAGCGTGGATGGGTGGTATTAAGCTTAAAAAACGAGGCTTAGACAATGACGGAATGGAGTTGCTTTGTGGAACCTCGGTGGGGTTTCCATGGAGATTGAGATTGGATTGGATGAATCAAGTTGTTTTTGTGATTTGCCAGGTGTGTGACTGGCGGTTAAGTAAAGCCTTGGCAATAAAACAGTTTCTTGACGAGATGGTGGATGGATGGACACTTGAGGTCATTCAGACTTGGGAACAATTCTTGACGCAACACCCCAAAAGATGACTGATTCATGATTATTCTGTTTTGTTCTGTACAGTAAGATAAGTCAGCACTTGGCTTTCCTGTAATCCTCAACCCTGAGTGTGCCCAGAGTGCCCCTGTCCGTGTGCTAACCGCCAAGGTCTAGCTCGTTTGAAGACATCAAGCAATTATTTCTTTTCGCCCCATTCAACGCCAATCAATTTGTCCGCCTATATCTTGGCGGGCCTCGTGGCTGTGGCTGTGTATTACGGGAAGTGTAAATTCTGTCCCCGGTCAAACAAGGTCAATGAGCAAGGGTTTTCCTATTCAGCTCTCCCAGATATCTTGGCTTTTCTCCTTCTCCTCTTCTCTCACAATCAGTCTTGAATTTCATTTCATTGTGAAATATCAAAGTTATTCATCCATGAATTGACTGTCTGAAAATATCATCATCAATCATGGATTCAGACGCCCCGGCCAAACGCCCGAGGGCCCCTACAATTACAGTTGACACAGCTGCTGTAGACACAAACTCACCCGGTAAAGCTCCAGTGCGATCACCCGCCCGCTCTTTCGACCGTTGGGTCTTCATCAATCACAACATCATCGCTCAAACGAATCATCACTAACAACTCCCCAGGAATAGATTCCATCAACGTATCTCCATCTCCTCTTGACGACACAAACACCCTCGCTGTCCCAACATCAAAGTCACGCGCCGAATCATGGGCTTCTTCTTCTCCCACCAAAGTAGGCACCGACCATGAACAACTATCCCGCGACGTCGAAGCCCTACGAAAAGGCGATCAGCAAGAAATCCTCAAAGCTGACCCTGGTGAGGAGGCCCATTTTACCGTCGACAATAACCCATTCGCATTCTCCCCAGGACAGCTCTCCAAGCTCATAAATCCCAAGAATTTGGCCGCCTTTGTCGCCCTTGGTGGATTACCCGGTCTGGAGAAGGGGTTGAGGACAGATTCGAAAGCGGGATTAAGCCCTGACGAGGGGAAGCTACACAATGCTGTTTCTTTTGAAGAAGCGACTGCGACGACAAAGGAGGGATTCAAGGCTTCGCCAACGACAGATGTGCTTCCATCCACAGAAGCCCACGATAGTCACGCAGTAGCCAAAGACGCCTTTCCCGATCGCAAGCGAGTCTACGGTGCCAACCGTCTCCCCGAACCCAAAGCAAAGTCATTCCTCCAACTCGCATGGATTGCTCTCCAGGATCACGTTCTTATCCTTCTGTGTATCGCAGCTGTGGTCTCGCTAGCCCTGGGTCTGTACCAGACCTTTGGCGCAACACACCACGAGGGAGCCAAGGTCGAATGGGTTGAGGGTGTCGCCATTATCGTAGCCATCACTATCGTTGTTGTCGTCGGCGCAGCAAACGATTGGCAGAAGGAGCGCCAGTTCCAGAAGCTCAACCAGAAGAAGGAAGACCGTATTGTCAAGGTGACACGCGCCGGTAAACCCCAGAACCTTTCTATCCATGACGTTCTCGTCGGCGATGTGATGCTTCTGGAACCCGGAGATGTTATTCCTGTCGATGGTGTTTTTATCTCTGGTCACAACCTCAGCTGTGATGAGTCTTCTGCTACAGGAGAGTCTGACCTGATCAAGAAGGTCGGCGCCGACCAGGTCCTTCACGCTCTTCTTAATGAGCCTGCACCGCAACTCAAGAAGCTTGACCCATTTATCATCTCTGGCGCCAAGGTACTTGATGGTGTCGGAACGTTTCTTGTCACTGCTGTTGGTGAACAGTCAAGCTATGGAAAGACAATGATGTCTCTTCGTGATGATCCAGGTCTGACGCCTCTCCAGGCAAAGCTCAACCTCCTTGCCGGTAAGTGCGAACCGCGTCTATTAACCCGACACCAATATACTAACCTCAGTAGGATACATTGCCAAACTCGGTAGCGCCGCTGGTCTTCTTCTCTTCTCCGTTCTCCTCATCATCTTCCTAGCTGGTCTCCCCAACAACTCCGACTCGGGCGAACAAAAGGGTCAAGCCTTTCTACAAATCCTCATTACCTCCATCACCGTCATCGTCGTCGCTGTCCCCGAAGGTCTTCCCCTCGCCGTGACGCTCTCTCTAGCCTTTGCGACTAAGAAGATGACCCGCGAGAACAATCTGGTGCGACACCTTCAATCATGTGAAACTATGGGTAACGCCACTGTTATCTGCTCCGACAAGACTGGTACTTTGACCGAGAACGTCATGACTGTTGTCGCTGGCGCTTTGGGTCTTCGTGGTCGTTTCTCTTTTGGCGACTCCTCTTCGTCGCCAACTACCGAAGGCACCGAGAAGAGCGACACTATCCCTCTCAACCAGTTCTCCGATAAGCTCGACCCCGAATACAAGGATCTCCTCAAGACTGCCGTCACCGTCAACACAACTGCTTTCGAGTCCGATGAAGGCTTCGTTGGTACCAAGACTGAAACCGCTCTTCTCGATTGGGCTCGTCGCTACCTCGGTCTGGGACCTTTGGCTATTGAGCGCTCGAACCACCCCGTCACTCAGATGTTCCCCTTCAACTCTCAGCGCAAGTGTATGGGTGCTGTCGTCCAGATCCCCGGTCCCAACAAGGATAAGCCCAAGTACCGTCTCTTCATCAAGGGCGCTTCTGAGATTGTCCTCGGCGAATGTACCACCATCGGCGATCCCACGCAAGGTCCTTCTACCGAATCTCTGTCTGATAGCCACAAGGACGGTATCAAATCTGTCATCTCTAGCTACGCGACGAACTCTCTACGTACCATCGGTCTTGCATACCGCGACTTCGAATCCTGGCCTCCTGTCCTGACTCTCCGCCCCGAAGACGAAGCCAACACCGACATCGACCTCACTGATCTTGTGCACAATCTCACCTGGATGGGTGTCGTCGGTATCCAAGACCCTGTTCGCAAGGGTGTTCCCGAAGCCGTCATCGATTGCGGTATCGCCTCTGTAAACGTCAAGATGGTTACTGGTGACAACGTTGAAACAGCCCGAGCAATTGCCCTCAACTGCGGTATTCTCACAGAGTCCAACATGTCCGAACCCAACGCTGTCATGCAAGGATCCGACTTCCGCAAGCTTACCGAGACAGAGCGCTCTACCGTCGTCAAGCAGCTTCGTGTTCTTGCCCGTTCAAGTCCTGAGGATAAGCGTATTCTTGTCAAGGCTCTACGCTCTTTAGGCGAGATTGTTGCTGTCACGGGAGATGGTACCAACGATGCTCCTGCTCTCAAGGCTGCCGATGTCGGTTTCTCGATGGGTATCACAGGAACAGAAGTTGCCAAGGAAGCATCTGACATTATCCTTATGGATGATAACTTCTCATCTATTGTTGTTGCGCTTGGCTGGGGACGTGCTATCAATGACTCCGTCAAGAAGTTCCTTCAGTTCCAGCTTACCGTCAACATCACGGCCGTCGGTGTGACATTTGTTTCTGCCGTCTCAGACGACGAGCAAAAGTCCATTCTCAACGCCGTCCAGCTTCTCTGGGTCAACCTCATTATGGATACCTTCGCTGCTCTTGCTCTCGCTACGGATCCTCCCACTGGAAGTCTTCTCCACCGTGAACCCGAGTCACGCACCGCCCCTCTTATTACTACCACTATGTGGAAGATGATCATCGGCCAGTCGATTTACCAGCTAATTGTGTGCTTTGTCCTTTGGTTCGGACGCGATCCTATCCTTGGCTACGATGAGACTGAAGTTCGATCTCTCATCTTCAACATCTTTGTCTTTATGCAGATCTTCAAGCTTGTTAACAGTCGACGTATTGACAACAAGCTCAACATCTTTGAGGGTCTCCACCGCAACCATCTCTTCATGCTCATGATGACGATCATGGCAGCTGGTCAGGTAATCATCATCTTCTTCGGCAGTGACGCCTTTGTTGTGACACGTCTCAACGGCATCCAATGGGGAATCTCTCTCGTCCTGGGTTTCCTGTCCATCCCCATTGGTGTTCTCATCCGTCTGTTCCCTGATGAGTGGTTCGCCGCCATGGTCAACGCGCTCGTCAAGCTCTGGCCCAGCTGGATCCGCTTCTCGCGAAAGAAGGAGGATGCATCTGACGAAGAAGGTCAACTTGCCACCGAGAAGCAGCTCGAAGGTTACGACATGGACACAGCCCTCCTTGGTATTCGCGATGATCTCGAGTTCCTCAAGCGTGTTCGCGGTGGACGCATGACAGCTCTCAGCGACGCCATGGAGCGTTCCCGCGAGAAGATGCGCGAGAAGATGCGTCGCAAGCGTTCCGATTCCCGCCCACGAAGCAAACTCCGAAGCCGTCGCGGTTCATCACGATCGTCCAACAGACCTCCCATCTCACCCATGATGTCTGTCGTGGGAATGCCCGGTATCGTGGCTGCCAGTGTAGCAGGTCTTCAACCAGGACAAATGGGCAACGGCAACGAAAACCCAGATACGCGACAAGCGTAGTGCGTGTTTGTTTACATCATCTTGATTCTTTTATGCTCCATTTTAGAGATTGGACGAGTGTGCTGCATATTTTGAGATTTATAGTGTACGAGTTCGATCAGAGCGATCTTTCCCTGTTTAATTGTCTGTATGCCAAAACAAAGTCATTATAGAGTGTATGTCAGGAGTTGGTGGTGGTTTGAAATGCAATGGAACGGAACGTCATAGTTTGAGCGAAATATTTCTACATATTAATAAGTACAAAAACATGTGTGTATACTCAATTCTATTATCCTCTACAATGACACATGAGCCCCTAGTCTCCAAAGTATCCGTCTCAAGTTGTCCAAGTCTCTGAGCAAAGTTGCGGTCAGTCCATGGCACCAGACGGATCCACCAAATAGTGCTAAACGGCTATAGCACTGAGTTATCAACATAACCGGGCAGGATGCCAAACCCAACTAACGTTAGCAGGCAACCAAGTCGGAAATCCACCTCACTCACGTCAGCATTGCACTGAAATCTGTCAACAGTCAACACCCACCATGAAACAACAAAAAGACAACCCAGATCTGCCTGAGAGAATCATAGAAGCCGCAGGAGAATGGCTTGTAAATCTCTGTACTGTTAAAGGCTCAATCGACGACAGAGACCAGCTTCTGACACCCCTCGAACAACTCAAGTTGGATGAATTCTTTAGTCTTCATGGCCAATCTCCAAAATTCAAGCGATACCATGTTGAAGCTATTCGACGGTGTATGTCTAGAGACATCAGACCAGAGTATCAACTTGCTCGTGCACTACTGGAACGAGATGATACGTGCCGTCTCTTTGTGGATGAGAATGATGTCTTGCAAGTAGCCATCAAAAGAGCCAAGATAGAACCGGGATTACTTGGTAAATCACCGCTGGAGTCAAACCCTGAGCTTATGAAAATGTTGAAATTGCTTATGGCTCATGGAGCAAGAGTTAACTGTTTCGATGGCGATGGATACTCGCCTCTTTACTATACTTGCGTTTTGGGTTATGCCGACCTTTTTCGCTTTCTGATCTCTTCTGGAGCGGATATCTCGACTACGCAAAAGAGAAATGTTCCAGAACAGGTCAAAAAGCTGAGAGAAACCTTGGAGGATGCATCATTTCAAAACAAAGAAGAGACAGTGAATCTATTGCAGGTTACACTGGACGCTCTGATATCGCCTCAGAACATCGTCGACATGACCTGGGTAGGATGGCCTCCTGGAGTGAACTTCGATAGGCCCCTGTGGGAAATGGATGTTGACCTTACATGGGACGGTATCATACTATATCTTCTGCAACAAGGTCTCTTCTTTGATAAAGGCGACTTGGGACTTGTTATGCTCCTTCACATCGCCTGTTATCAAGGATCACAGGACCTTGTCGAAAAGCTCTTGGACTACGGCATCAAGGCCGACATCCCTGGGCCAAGAATAGTAGACGGGGGACAAGGCGAAGGGTCAACCTGCGGAACGGCTATGCACGCTGCAGCTGCTGGCCGAAAATTGGAAATTATCAAGACTCTCATTGCTCGTGGTGAAAGTGCAGGTTTACGCCGGCTTTGCATCTTCAACCGCCGTTCAGTCAATGCAGAGGTGGCGCCTGTCGAGGTTGCGATAGCCACCGGTCAATACGAAGACGATGAGAACCTTCAAGACTTCCTCGAGGCTTTTATAGATGAGGCGGAGGGTCTTGAAGAGTCTGACCTCAAAGCAGTATTGAATTGGTGTGTTACGTCTAACGCGCTCGGTTTTGCTCAACAACTCTTGCAGCGTGGTGTTAGACTGGATGAGGTACCTCTTACAGTCAACGGAGTTGAAATGGCACAGCTTCTCATCGCACACGGTATCAAGTTGGATGCTGAAGCTTTGCAGAAGGCAGCGTTGAGGAAAAACCTCTTAGACTTACTCCGTTGGTGTGTTGATGAGTATGGTCCCCTGCTACCTCAAGACCAAGAATCGTGGGGAAAGATGGCATTTCGGCTACTCGGAGGACATTTAGCCCATATAAAGACGATCAAGTACCTCATCTCTGAATACCCTGGCCCGCATATCGATACAGTTTTCGTCTCACCATCGAGAGAATCGAGAAAGCCAGAAGGCGACGACATAACCATTGACGCGAGTTGGCTGTACCTGGCTATTTTGAAATGCAACACCGGAGCAATTCGGCTACTTTTGGATGCAGGGGCTGACCCAAACTGTCCTGGATTACCCATGGATGCCGCGGCGGCTATGAAACGAGTAGATCAGCATGGTCTCAGAAACATCTCGGAACGCCTGGAAGTTATCAAGATGATACAAGAAAGGCTTTCTGAGGATGGAAAGTGGAATGCGCCGTCACTCACTGAGACAAGATCTCACACAGTTGAGGTTGTAGCTACAGAGAGGAAAGCCTGGGATAAGAAAGTCAGACGTTTGGTGCAGACCAGACAGGAGGTTCCTGAAGCGACACCACAGGGAAGAGGGGCTTCTCCGCCTTCACCAGCTGTAGGCATCGTCTCTACTACGGATCTCTATAAGCCGTTGGCCAGCAGCAGTTCCTTCCGGCTTCTTGAGCTCCTCCCCTCAAACAAGAGATTAGATCCTTTGGTTGGCCGCCTAGTTGACAGCGATATCACTTTCCAGCCAGAATATGAGGCTTTGTCTTATGTATGGGGCGACATCAGTCCCGCCAAGTACATCAGCCTTGAAGAAAAGGACATAGCTATAACCCCGAATCTGCATTCTGCACTGACTCACCTTCGCTCTACGGATAGTGTCAGGACTATTTGGGTCGATGCACTTTGTATCAACCAAGCATTCCACGACGAACGAAACCAACAAGTTAGAATTATGGGCGATATCTACAAATCGGCGAAACAAGTTATTGTATGGCTTGGAGATGCCGCTGGTGATTCCCATCTCGTCTTTGAACACCTCAAGGACGATGAAACCGAGGATGCCGTCTCAAACTCCCCAGAACAGTCAGAAGCAAAGCGTAAAGCGTGGGAGGCACTTGTCAAGAGGCCTTGGTTCTTTCGCACGTGGGTGATACAAGAGATAGCTCTTGCTCGCAGAGCGGTAATTATGTGTGGAGAAGATACCACGCTCTGGCGTAATATCGACGCGAGCTGGAAACCCGACTTTTCAGGCGGCGCAAATGGTCTCTCGACGGTGCGCACCTATCCTGGAAACCAACCAGACCATCCAATCTCGGGCTTCAATCCGGATAAGCATGTTTGGAGACTAAGACTTCTGGAGGCTGAGAGTAATCCCATGAGTGTTCTGCTTTATAGCCGTGTGTGCGGAACGACAGAGGTGAGGGACAAGATTTATGGAATCCTGGGCTTGTTCAAACCAGGGTTTGTGGAAGTTGATTATAACCTGCCCGTGGAAAGCATCTTTCAGCAGTTTGCGGAGGCAGTCATTCAATTGACTGGGGACCTGGATATCTTGAAGCATGCTGGAGTGTCGCAAAAGTATGAGAACCTCCCATCGTGGGTGCCTGACTTTACCGAAACATCAACAAGAAGCCTTCCTGGATATGATTGGTATGCTCCTTGGAGAGCAGATGCTCCAAGCCAGTATGAGATACGTTTCGCCGATGGGAAGAGTATTAGCATTTCCCGAGAGGACTTGGCCCGCAAGTATCTTCCAGGACTATCTTTCTCAGCGGATAGATCGTTGGTGATAAAAGGCAAGATGATTGATACCATCCGTTCAGTGGGTGCTGAGCTTCCAAGCGGGATATCTCATGCTCCTGGAACAGAAGCCTTTGGTCTCGTGATGAAAGACTGGGAAACACTCGCCACGACACTGATTCCTGAATGGAAGTCATCAGGTTCTTCAGTGTCTTCTGCTTTTGCTGCTACTATCTCTGCAACCCGTGGATATCAGATCTTCAGCGTTGACATTGGTTTCACTCAGTGGTACCGTCACTGTGGGACAGGAATACTCGAGGAAGCCGACCCCTCTATGTTTCTCCGGGATCATGAATTTTATCTTTGGTGGTGTGATGTCGGCAAGCCTGATGACCCTGATGATGAAGAGTATGAGGGACTTGGATATCATATTCGCCAATTCTCTGATGAGATGATGGCTGCTAGCTACGGCCGCTGTCTTTTCACCACGGAGAATGGATCTATGGGCCTTGCGAGCTCTCGATTGAAGGCTGGTGATCGGATTGTTTACTTTCCTGGCTCATCTGAACCTTTTGCCTTGCGGAAGAGGAAGGATGGGAAGGGGTGGACTTTGGTGGGTGATTGCTATCTGTATGGGTTGGATATCGATGAGCTTTTTCATCATCAGGAACATCTTGGTGAGGATTTTAAAATTTATTAGATTTGTTATAGAGGATCGTATGATGAATAGGATGTCTACATATCATGAAGTGGGTCAGACCTGTTAGTTGCTTAATGGATGTTGTTTTCTGCTATTCCATGCATGTCAGATTCTTAAATAGTTTCCGACTGTTTATTTTTCGATCAGATTGGCTATGAAGACATTCTATCATCCGATACCAAGTTCTCTGTCTTCCCTTCAACGTTGTCCATCAGGGTCAGTATGAAGAAGAGACCCATTGTTCCACTAGAACTTCCCCTCACAATAGCGTCGTACTGTAGCCCATCACGTCCTTCACTGCTACTCGACTCTGGCACAGCGGGGGTGGCGCATAAATTCTCTCTCGGCTCAATTTTCCCGTTTCACATTGGTTGATGTCATGCCATTCGTCATATATCCTCTCTCACTTCGTGCCATTGCTTGGAAACTATCACCACCAGTCTTTATTGTTTCTCAAGTACATCTGACTGATCATGGGTTCTAAAACTACACCAGAGGCTATCAAGCCTCTTATGCTGATTGACGGTCAAGTATGATCACTATTTAGACGCCAGAGACAACGACAAATAAGCTAACGCGTCATTAATTTAGTTGGTTGAAGCCTCGGATGGAAACTCATTTCCCCTCTTCAACCCAGCAACCGGTGAAAAGGTCACGGACGGTACAAACACCTTCATAATTCTAAGCCCTTGGCCTGCTAATAACTTCCATTAGTCCCAGAAGCTACAAAAGGTGATACCAACAGGGCCGTCGCAGCTGCACAGCGTGCATTCCCAGAATGGTCCGCTATGGACCCTGCCAAGCGCGGCAGCTACCTGAAGAAACTCGCCGCTCTCATCAAAGAACACAACAACGAATTAGCTCTCCTTGAAGCCAAGTCCATGGGTCGTCCCTTGGCTGAGTTCTTTGAGGGCTACGCCGCTGCTTCTAGCTTCGAGCACTACGCCGAAGCTTGGCCTCATATCCAGGGCCAGGCAAGTCTTAACACACCTGGCTATGTCACCATGACTCTGCGCCAGCCTTTTGGTGTTGTCGCAGCTATCATTCCCTGGAACGCCTCTCTTCTGTTTTTCGCCAGTAAATCAGCTCCTGCTCTGATCACTGGAAACACAGTGGTTATCAAGTCCAGCGAAAAGGCACCTCTTGGCGCTGCTAAATTCGCTGAGCTCATTCACAAAGCCGGTTTCCCTCCTGGAGTCTTCAATGTTGTGTCTGGCCATGGTAGCCCCTCTGGAGCCGCACTTGCGTCGCACATGGACGTACGGGCTATCAGCTTCACTGGATCTGGTCCTACTGGCCGCGCAATCCAAGAAGCAGCTGCCAAGTCCAACCTGAAGAAGGTCATCCTCGAGCTCGGCGGTAAATCGCCCGTCATTATCTTCGACGATGCAGACCTTGAGCAGGCTGCTAAGGATACCATGCACAGTATCCAGTGGAACAGTGGTCAGGTCTGCATGGCTAATTCTCGTGTTTACGTGCAAGATTCTATCGCCGATAACTTCGTCCAAGCTTGCAAGAAAGCATTGTCTGCCGCAAAGCCGGGTAATCCCACAGAGAAGGGCATCAATCATGGCCCTCAAGCCGACAAGGTTCAGTATGAAAAAGTCATGTCTTATATCAATGAGGGTAAGCAGTCGGGAACACTGGAACTCGGTGGCAACGGCAACTTTGAAAAGACCGGTGGTTTCTTTGTCGAACCCACTATCTTTGTAAACACGCCCGAGGATGCAAAGGTCATGAAGGAGGAAATCTTTGGACCTGTTGTCAACATCAACACTGTCAAGACAGAAGAGGAGGCTATCGAAAAGGCAAACGACACGGAGTATGGTCTGTATGCTGCAGTGTATACCAAGAATGTAGACAGGGCTATGAGAGTCACCCAGAAGCTCAACTCTGGTTATGTAGGCATCAACTGTACTAGCCCTACCACGGCGAGGGACCTGCCTTTTGGAGGGTACAAGTCATCGGGCCAGGGCCGAGAGGGCTGGCTCTACAGTTTGGACAATTTCTTGGAGGTTAAGAGTGTGATGATGAAGGTTGACAGTGGTCCCAAATTATAAAGCAGGCCAAATTGTTGAAGCCACACAGAATAAAATTCCTTATCCCTCAAGCATAACCATTCCTCCATTAGCAATTTGAACAAAGTTTGGAACGTCCAAGTCTTCTGCCTCATTCTGCTTTCTTTCTCCCTTAAGCGCCCATTCCATAGACCGCGGAAGGTCAACCGTCCTCGTTACCCATAAGAAGAAACCTGAGTAGGTAAAATCATTATCATGATTTAGAATCCAGCTCTTGCTACCCCCAATTTTTCGATACAAAGCAAGACCTCCTTTCACCCCCAGCTTATTCACGCCATTTATTCCATGACTCTCTTTCAGTCCATGCAGCAGTGTCAAAATTTCTGTCTTTGGCTCCGCTTGTAAAAAGGCATCTAGAGGGCCTTGGTCGAGGTGTGTGCCGTGGGGTGACAGGAGCATAGTTTCGTGCACATCTTCGTGGGTCCAGACCAGGGCGGTACAGAAGTTCAGAATGGCATGGCCTGGTAGACGCAGGATAGTCAACCAGTCAGGTAGGTGATCTGGATGAAGCTCTGGTGAGCGCCATGTCTTGGCGAAACTGTCCAAATCGTGACTCAAAGATATGGTCTTAAAATGATTCCACGGTCTGACGATGGCGGCTGCTTCAGGTGTCGCGACGATAGGAATATTTGGATCAAAGTTTCGGAGAGTTGGTTCATGAACATGGTCCAAATAATGAAAAGCAAGAATTATAACGTTAATATTTCCCTGGTAGCCGTCGTCTTTCGTGGCAGTTTGCGCATGGCCAGTCGGTAGACGACATGACGCAGCTCGTTCAATTTCCAAAATAATATCCTCAATGCCTTGGACATCAGTCACCGCTGCTTTGTCACTGAGCGCAATGTTGAAGAACCAGCTGTAGAACATGGATGCATCGCCTTGTAGCCATGGTTCATACACGACGTGGAAATACGCTTTCCCCGTTAAAGCCTGCTCGCCTTTGGGACGGGGAAACGACATCAGCCAGCTTGCGTCTCTATTGAGGAGCGTCAAAATGGGCCGGAGCGTTTTTATCGCCCAATGTTTCGAGCGCTTTGTATACTTGCTGTCTCGACTCAGACATGGTGGGAATAGCAGAAATGCCACTTGGTAAGATAAAAAAGATTTGGTGTCGGACAGCTGGCCACGGGGAGGTAATATATAACTAAGTGGACAATAGCAGATCCATCCATTAGACACTAACAAGAAATGAATTGATGATGAGAGACTTGGATCGGCATTCACAAGTTGTCAATTGGCTAGATACCAGTTGTTTGGCTGTTATGCCAAGCATCTGATTGACCAGAGAAGCATTCCTTGTGCTGATCCAGTGAGCACTAAATCCTCCAATTCCCATGATCAGCATGACCTGCCAAGCAACGTAGACACTATCTACCTATTGAGTCCGAGGCCCAAAGAAGAAGCACTTCAACGCAATATAATTGTAGCTTGCTCAACCGTCTTATATACTACTTTTTCTATCAACTCTTTCCTTCCTTTATCTCCGGTCAGTTGGATTGTCGCCGGTGTTGATTGCCGATGTTTACCGACGCTAAAGTCTTACAAACCAGATCATCTTATCCCAAGTTGGAAGTTGATGCTACGACAACAGCTTGTATATGGCACAGTTCATCGCTTTAGTTGATAACAGCGGGACTTACAAGGAAAGGTCGTCTGCTTCCCCCCCGCATTTCGCTGATATCGCCGGTGTTCGCCAAATGATGGCCGAAGTTGTCCAACCAGAACTAACAGACTAGGTGCAGAAATTAAATAGGGACTGTTTCTTTCCGAACCACCTCAAACTAGCCTATAAAATCTGTATCCAACTGAATAATTCTGTCCGCTATGCACGGTCATCTATCCTTCTGCTAACCTGATGTTGATTCCAATCATGCCCCTACTCTGCGATAGCTTCGCGGGGTAAACATGGGTACGGTGGAGCGATAGAAGCTAAAAGACAATGACATCGTATGGTAGCGAGGAGAAACTATTTAAGGCCTGTCTTTAGCATCCCGCGATTCGTGTGACATTGGCAGCGCTATCATCTTCTTTGTTTGAAGCCTTGATTGGAGCGGTACTTGCTTCCTAGCTTTGGGATCTCTTCGCTTCTCGTCTATCTCAGACGGAGTCGCCGTCATGAAGCTCACCAGTACACTCTTTACGATCTCTTCTCTCTGGTGTACGGCTGTAATGGCAGCACTCCCTACATCTTATGATGTCGTCTGGGGAAAACCGGGCGTCAATGGATCAGCCGATTCAATGCCTCTCGGTGGTGGTGATATTGGTCTGAACACATGGTATGAGAATGGTAAGCTTGCCTCAGTCCCTCAATTCGCTTCAACAAGTCATCCTGAGTACTAAAGACTATAATGATAGGCACCATCCTTATGTACGTCGCCAAAAGCGGCACCTTTGACGAGAATAACTCGCTTCTGAAACTCGGTCGCGTCAGACTATCCTTTGACCCCAACCCTTTTGATAGCGACTTTGAGCAAAGGCTTGTCTTGAACGACGGCTATGTCAAGTACGCCGGCAAAGACAACGCCACAGCTAAACTCTGGGTCGATGTATTCAACCCTGTCGTGCACATAGAAGTCGACAGCCCCGAGAAGATTTCCGTCAATGTCGCTTATGAGAACTGGCGGTACGAGAACCGACCCATTGTCAATGAAGAGCGCAACCAGGGTTCCTGGGGCATATACACCTCCAAGATTGCCAATGGGACTACGTACGCGGATAAAATCAACTTCCATGAGAACGGCGTGCTGATGAGCCACCGTAACGAGAAGCTTGACCTATGGAACTTTCAACTTAAGCAGCAGGGACTTGAGAAATATAGTGATGAGATGTACAATCCGATGCGCAACAACGAGTTTGGTATTTTTGTTCACTCTGAGCAGCTCAAGCCTGGTGCTGTTACTGATGGCCACTACGTCAATACTACTTACAAGGCCTGGAATCTTGAAACCAAGGCCCCTGGTAAATCGTTCAGGGTCTCACTGTCCATGTACCAGGCCCAGACCAAGGATCATGACGAGTGGTACAAGGGCCTCAAGAAGGTCATCAAGTCAGCAATCAAGCATACTCAAGACGCCACTCTTACATGGTGGCACGAATATTGGGCTCGATCTTACATCATCATAAACGAAGACAAGGGCGAAAAGGATGTAGGATTTCAGGTAGGAAAGAACTATCAGATATGGCGCTTCCTCATGGGCTGCAACGCTAAAGGCGCATGGCCGACCAAATTCAATGGTGGTCTCTGGACTTTTGATCCTGTCTTTGTCAACCCTTACCGACCTTACACACCCGATTATCGACGATGGGGTGGAGGCACATTCACTGCGCAGAACCAGCGTCTCTTATACTGGCCCCTCTTGAGGTCTGGTGACTTTGAGACTTTGACGCAGCAGTTTGACTTTTATAAGCGCATCACGCCGAACGCGGTTCTAAGAGGAAAGGTATATCAGAATATCGATGCAGCGTATTTCCTGGAGCAGATCGACAACACGGGTTTGTCCAATGTCTTTGAGTATAATGCCCAGTGGTATGATGATGATGCCAACACACCTCGTCCTGACTTTTTTCCTGATGGAGAGTTGTGGAATGTTTGGTTAAATCATATGCAGGATACTGCCAAGTAAGTATTTAGATAAGGCCACGGAAAGTCGTTTTTGACGAGACTAACACTTCTTGTAGTGAGTTCGCCGACATGATCTTACAAGCCAACATTTACTCAGGTTACGACGTCAAGCCTTATCTCGAATTCATCGAGTACCAGCTCGCCTGGTTCGACAAGTACTACACTCGCGAAATGCTCAAACGCAACCCTTGGCCATTAACCGGCATTGCTGGCAACGAGTCCCTTGTTATCTATCCTGGTTCAGCTGCTGAGACATACAAAGAGGCATACAATCCTGTTTCTACCCTGGCTGGTCTACGCCAAGTCATCAAAGATCTCATCATCGTAGACGAGTTCACCCTTCAGAACAAGACGTACTACCAAAGATACCTGGACAAGATCCCGGGCAACACACTCCGCCAACAACAGGGACATACCTGCATTGCTCCCGCGGAAGCCTACACACGTGTTCAGAACAGTGAAGTACCCCAGTTGTACACCGTCTTCCCCTGGCCTGAATACGGTCTTGGTCTTCCGAACCTCACACATGCCATCAACACATATCTGTACGACACAGAAACAGTCATCTATCACGGTAACAATGGCTGGAAGCAAGATGTCATCTGGCTCGCACGTATGGGCTTCACTGCCAACGCGACAGCCATGACAGAAGAGCGATACGCACCGAGCAAGGTGTGCAAGTTTCCTGTTTTCAAGGGTCCCAATTTTGACTGGACACCTGATCTGAACCACTATGGGGCTGCAGCTATTGGACTACAGGAACAACTTATCCAGACTTTTGCAGGTGATGATATCAGACTGCTTGCTGCGTGGCCTGATAGTTGGGATGTTCGGTTCAAAGTTTGGGCGCCTCATAATACTACAGTTGAGGGTGTTGTAAAGAAGGGAGACATGAAAAAGCTTGTTGTTTTGCCAGAGTCTCGCAAAAAGGATGTCATCATTGGGCAAGACTAGGCTAGACTTCAGCGACTTCTGGATTGCGTCTCTGGAACAGGTTCAGAGCGGTACCATTATCAAGTAAATCTGCATCATTCATAGACACCAAGATGTCGCGCGAAGTAGCGATACAAGCAGACATTCTCCTCCAAGTATGTCAAATTTACAGCAATCTACCTTTTGATATCGTTCGACTGCTGCATTCCTACTCAACCTACAAAGGTAGATCCAACCGAGGTAGGATTCGATCAGGTGACAGGGAAGGGAACCTTATCTAAACGCTTTATCAACATATACGATACAAGTCTCCACTGGTTATGCTTTTTTTTACAGTACATATGCTTATTCTAATTTGACCCCTGCAAGATTTTAGTAATACGATGACCGTTTCGGATTCCTACATGTGATTTGCGACCACAGACAGACGTTACCTACATACACTGTAGTAACTTGATTTAGATGCATTGCTAAGACTGTGATTTCCTAGCCAGGTTATAGAAATAAATCAGCTGCAGATATCCTGATGAATAGCAATAATTGAACCCCATCCGCTGGACTAAGCAAGTCGAGCCATTCCTCGGAGGCAAAGGCACCGGACTTCAAGCTGGCCCACAAACACCGTCCCCATCTGTTCAGCCGCAGCAGGGCCGTCGGGCAATCTTCCTACTCCGCCTGGATCGGGAAACATCTTGAACGGGAAACACGTATGATCCTGTTCCTGTGCAATTCCTTATCTGATCCAGAAGGATTCTGGAAATACGGGTCTTGCTGGGACCTGGAGTTTATTGAGTAGAAGGAGGCCAATCAGAATAGTCCAATAAGGCTGGCGAAGACTGAGACCTTGAGGTTTACATCAGTCTTCACTTTTAACTAATACGAAAATCTTGCAATTCCTCTTCCGGACCTTCCACTTATAGTATGTTGCATAGTAGGATCAAATCCAGACTGATGAATCAAGAGGGGTCGTGCTTCTAGGCATGAGGTTGGACTTGTAGTCAGGACGTAGGAAAGGAGGAAGGGCATAACCACTTCTGAAATTCTATAAATCTAGCATCTACCGACCTACTTGGCTTTCCTTTCACTCTTCTCTATCATCACACAACTCCTTCTCTACAAACCCCTACAGCAACTACAACAACTCAAATAACTGCCAAGATGCGCGTTACTACCATTGTAGGCTCCCCTTCTGCAATAACATGCCCCGATAGGCTTGGGACTGACATAGAGATATTTCTAGCTGACCACCCTCTTCGCCATCGCCGTCAGCGCTGCCGCCTTGCCTGCTGAAGCTGAGACTGCCGCCGTACAGGTTGATGTTGATGTTGATGCTCATGCTAAGACCATCGCTACCGCTCTCGAGAAGCGTGGCAACTGCGACCATGGCTACTTCGACTGCGTCAACAGTCAGGTAATCTTCTGCAACTTTCTAGGAATTTGTGGTAGTGGTGTTCCTGGTATCGCCTGTACACAGCAGTGTATCCAGAGAGTCAACGACGACTGCCGCCGTTGGTGCAAATAAGCTATCAGGGGACGCCAAAAAGGTGTTGCAGTAAAACCTGCCAGGTTAGAGTACAATACTAGTTTGGGAACGAAATAAACACAACATTGTTCATCTCCTACTATTTCCATATCTAGTACCAGTGACCGTGTTATATTTGTGCCGTTGAATAAAATATAATGAAAACATAGAGAGAGGCGCCATGGTTGTAATCAAGTCCCTAAGAAATGGGGCATACCTTGGGGAATGATCCATATCGTGTGTCTCGTTCCGATAACCCCGTATTTGCAGCTATCGGCATCCCATACCAGCTCATATTAGTTTCCCGCTATTTTCAGTGAGGAAGGACCATCTAGTGAAGAAGGGATTGTTGCGAACTAATTGATATGTTAGTCATGATTGTACTGCAACTCGGATATCACCAGTCTTCTCAGGTATTCCTAGCGTCCGAAAGCCACAACTGTTTGAGCTTATACCTAAGATTAACCGATATTGAAACTAACCATAGGTTTGCAAAGTCCCATTCCCAAAATACCAGCTTCTCTATGAATGACTCGCCATCTGATAGGTTGTGCTCAGGTTGCCCAAGGAATAAAGCTTCACATACCGATCATCACAATCCTGTTGCAGATCCCTACTCATTAATTATCCTCGATTGGCTTAGAACTTTGATGCCGCTGTCCGTTTTTGTCGTTTGGCTTACTTGAACCAGTTAGTGTGAGAATGTATCGGGCCAGTCATCAAAAGTCAAAACATTGTTGAGACATTTGTGTCAGTTCACCACCGCGAGCAAATGCCCATGGACACGCTGTAGGCCATTAGACTTTGCTGGTTCGGCGTTTTCCTATCAACTGCTATTCCCAATTCTACTGAACGGTTCCAGAAAAGGTTACTTTTCCCACTGTTAGCATCCGTCAGTCGTTAGTTGCCAAGACAAGTAAACAGTACTTAACATTTCTGTTCCTCCTTTCAGTTGTCAAGTTTTACACCTTGATCGATGTTTCTCGCAACTCATTATGGGCCAATACGGCCATTTGATACCGGACCGATATGTCCGGGAAGTTCCGAATGAAATTGATATGAATACGGCCAGCATCTTCTGGGGCTTTTCTCTCTGCGCTGCGGTTTTTACGTTGGCAAAGGGCACACAGCAGAGTTGGCGCGCGTGGAAAAGGCGACATCGCGTCACTGCCTATGTGGGTATGATTTGGGTGGTTTGGTTGAGCAGTATGGTCCTTGGATGTTTAGCGTGGGGATTCCAGCGACAATACATCGCGCCCAGGTCAGTTTTGGTAGCATCTTGATACTCTTGTTTTCCACTGACATCAAACAAGCTTTGGCTTTTATTTTTCGGTTGGTTAGTTTCTCGCTCACTCTTTGCGACAACTATCTAACAAATCAGCATTCTTCTGGGCGTTGCAAGTCCAATTCCTTCTTCAAATCATCATCAACCGAATTGGTCTATTAATGGTATCCAAAGCTCGCGCTACCCGCCTCAAATGGATCGTTTTTGTGATAATACTGCTGGTTAATATCAGCGTCTTCGTGATCTGGATGCCAGCCCGTCTTCAGATCAGCGATCGATGGGTCCGATTGAATGCTATTTGGGACCGATGCGAAAAGGTTATTTTTGCTGTCGTTGATGGCGTTTTGAACGGCTACTTCGTCTACTTGGTTCGATCACGACTTATTGAGAATGGATTGACCAAGTACATCCCACTCTATCGGATGAATCTGGGACTTATCGGTTTGTCTCTCTCGTTAGACGTAAGAAGCCCAAGGTCTAGGGGTTCTGATATGCTGACACATTCTGGCAGATTGTTTTGGTAGGACTTATGTCCTTGCCAAGCAGCTTAGTGTAAGCATCGAGTTCATATTCTGATGATTATCGCTAACAGCTGCAGCTACCTCTCATTTCACCCCGTCGCCTACCTCCTGAAACTCCAAATCGAGATGAAAATGGCTGAACTCATCACAAAGATTGTCCGCTCTTCAGGTACCCGCAGCTCGGACGAAATGTACCACCACAGTTCCAACATGACACACGTGAACCAGAGACAGATGACGTCTACTGCTAAAGCCAAGCCCGACGGGCCATTAACAGGAGCCCAGGGGGCGATGAGAGGCAGGAACACGACACTAATAGAAGGTGGTGATCTAGGTGAATTTGAAAGTTCACTAGAGACGGCGAGGAGTGGAAGGGATAATCTGAGTGGCATCGTGAGGACTATTGAGACGACGGTGGACAGCTCGCCTGCGCATGTCGAGCCAAGTTCTCCTACCGAAGCTAAGCATAGTGAATACGCGCAAAGTATAGCTAGTTCGACATTTGTACTAGCTGGTAGACGAGACTAAATCCTTTTAGTCTAGAAACAACAAATGACCTAAGAGTCTACTCTAAAGTGACATAAATTGACCTACTAATTATGTATAGGGTGTTGGACCCTACCATACTCGAGGAAAGCAAGCATGCAGGGCAAGAAGTCATTAGTGCACAAATTGCATTTTCTTTGTAATTGTTGACTCATAGCAGGAAGCTGCTGTTGTCAGTTGCCAGTTGCCAGCGCTGTTTGCAGATATGTCATTGTTGTAGCCTTGCAAGTCGCGACTACCGCACTTGACAGCCAGCACAGATGAAGAGCGATTAAAGAATCTTGGTTGAAATTTCTTTTTTCCTTCTGCAGCCAACATCAAATCGTGGGTATCATCCCCTGGTGGCTGGTGTAAGCAATATTCCTTCTTCCTATTCCTTCTATTTATCGTATCAGAAACACTGGCTAATATTCTTTGCTGCAGTCCGGATCAAAGACAGTAAGTAGCACGTTCACCAACGTTTTCATTTAATATACTAACTTTGAGTAGGAAGCCACAGAGAAGATTGCCATAAGTCACCCCTGTTGGTATTCCTAGTCTTACCTCACTGACTTATTATAGTACTGGCGTCAACAGGCTGTAGTGAGTACCTCATCAGTGGTCTCTTGATTATTAATCATCAGTTGACAGAGTTACTTCGAAAGATCCACCATCAAAAAATGCAACGACACAGACAGCTCTTCAACGTAAGTTCTCAAACAATAACAATGTCTGATAGTGTTGGCTAACCTAACATAGAATGCTTGTGAGAAGGCTGTTATAAGTCAATTAAGGCAATGCATATTGGTATTGTGTGTACTGATGACTTTTTATCTGAAGGAGTGGGAAGATGAAGTGAGGGCGAGAGAGAAGGAGGAGGGAGAGAAGGAGGAGAAGAGGAAGTAGTGGGTCCCGGTTTACTTATGTTTTTTTATGGTTTTTATGGTTTCTTTATGACTTTTTTTATTTTTATAAGACGAGAGCCAAGATAAGTCATCAGTCAATCGATTGTTTTTCTATCACCCCTGGATAGACTCACTCACGCAGCTATAGAATGACGAGATAGAGCAATGTCACTAATATCTTGTTTGGTAGGTGAAGATTGCATTAAGAATTAATCTATGATCAAGGGCTTCCGTCGACAATCCCGCCAAATTAATTCTACACATCAACTTTATAGAGCCAAGACAACGGCACCGGCAACAGCAGCAAGAACACCAGCGGCCTTAACCATGACCCCAGCACCAGCGTTGTCAACATCGACGACAGTAGGCTTGGCAGTACCGTCGGAAGCTCCATCAGAACCGTCGGTTCCAGCAGCAGTGGTGGCAGTTCCATTAGACTTGTGAGTTGAGACAGCGGGGGTCGAGGTGACTGTGGTCAGCATGGAAGAGACAGTACCGGTGTAAGAGAAATCCTCAGTGATAGTCTCTCCGTCAGTACTAATGTCAGACCAATTAGTCTCTTCAGGCAAACCAATACCAGTGTAATCACCAGTGGCAGTCTCGTCGCTGTCAGAGTACCAGACACCCGAAATCAGAACGGAACCAGAGCTGGTTACAAGGGGTGGAGGGGTCGCGGGAGCCATGGGGTCGCTTTCCAAGAACCTGGGCGTCACGGTCTCGGTGCCCTTGTACAGAGGGCATCCAGGGACGCTCTTGGGAGGAGCACGGCCTCCTCCGCAGTCGACACCTTCGCAAATCTCGAGAGTGTCGGAGACGTACCACATGACTCGCTCGTATGTGTTTCCGTATCCGGGTTCGGGTCTGACGGTGACGGTACTGGTGAAAGATGTGCAGCCTTCAATGTTTGTTTTGGCCGCGATGGGGAGGGCGTAGAGAAGGGCAGCAAGGGCGATGGATCGAGCCATTTTGAAGTTTTTTGTTATGGTAACGAATGTATAGTGTTATAAACGACTGTATAGGTTTGGAGAACCGTAAGCAGGTGGTAACGAATGTGAGTTTGTAGAAACTTGACTTTTCTCTTGTTTCTTTTGGCGCACTAGCAATCTTCTTAAAGCCCCTGCCAAGATGTGAGCTGCAGTGTAGAATGTTCGAATCTCACCACTGCGGCCCAATTATCACGCCGCTGGTCCGTCCAAAGTCGCGCTATTCTGATCCTTCTAGGCCTCTTGCAGGGGGGCCCAGCCTCGACTTCTTAAGCGATGGTGCCGCCACCCGCAAATAAGCCATGCCAAGACAATCATTACCACAAGGATCTATTGCCCTACAAGGCCGCAGCCCCAAAGTTGAGCAGAAATAGTTGATCGTCTTGTGCGATATGTTAGCGGCTGAAGTGCTTGAACAATTCTATCGCCCTTATCTCAGAAGTCTCCGAGACCAATTTAGCTACAATATTTCTCGTACCCTCGGATCCAACATCAATCAACCTGGCTCCCTCCAATCACGTCGCTAAAATGTGCCAACAAAGCCGTGTCTGAGCCCCATGCTTCCCCCAAAGCGTCAGCATCTGTCCGAAAGTGACTGTAGCGTTTGAAGCTGAAGCGGCCTCAAGCTATGCAACGTATCATCAGTGACTCACAGGGTTCACATCCCTTAGAGATCGCTAACAATTGTCTCCTTACAAAGCACAAATCACCGCCCTTTTGAGAGACAGCATTAATAAATCGCGATTCATGTTATATGTACAAGAGAAAGAAAGCAGCCTGTTTTAAGTCCCTTCTTATTCTGTGAAGCCCTCCTATCACGTTCACGACGGACAATCCTTGTCGTTCATGGTAAAATATCCACCTGAGTTCCTCCGACCAGCTACTGCAAAAGCTGCATCATAGTAACGACACATGCCTCAATACCAGCCACTCATAAAGCAATATGGGTCAGACTTACATCTTTCGATACAAGTCTTCAGGTCAATGTCAAGGTGATACCAGTAATTGTATTGACCGATGGTAAAACCCTTAGCGTTGCATGTTGCATCCCTGAATTCTGTTGGGTTCATTGTTGTTACAGTGGTAACGGTTTCCGTATCCGTCCTTACTGGTGCCGCGGTGACCTGTTCTTATGTTAGACAGAGCTGACAGCGATTGTCTACGTTCTTACCACTACTTCGGTAGCCTTGGTGACAGGGATGTATTTGATCTCTGTTACTACCACCGTGGTAAGAGGGCCAATGGTAGCTTGGGAAGTCGCCTCAGCAGTAACATCAGTTGTCTCGGTGACTGTCTCTGTCGTTGGATCGTATACACAGTTGCAACCAGCAGTTACTGCAGCTTTGGAGTATTTGTTCTCAAGACTAGCAAGCACCGTTTCGAGGGCAACATCACGCTTCCGCTTGGGTCTGACGATGTACACAGTTGAGACGCTGATAGTTTTGGTTTCGGTCACGGTGGGGATCGGAGGATACACAGTCCTGGTATTGGTAATGGAGACAGTCGTGGTCCTAGCAGACATGTCAATTTCCAGCGGCAGTTTATAACTGATGGGGATCCAGGCTCACTCTTCAACCGAAGTTGAGATAGTCTCGGGTGGAGAGACAATGGTTTGGAAGCTTGTTCGAGTGGTGGTGCTTGTCACCGTAAGAGTTGAGGGAGTTGCCTGAAGATAAGATGAGCAGAGAGGCACTGCTTCATCACCGAGAAGCTTTTTAATCTCAGCGCAAACATCACCTAGAAGGGCAAGACGGTTAGTTTGTAAGCGATTGATAAATAACAAGTGACGAGACATACCCGACGGTTTGCACAAACCAGCAACCGCAAGCGAAGCACAGGCTACCAAGCCCCAAAAAGAAGAAGAAACAACCATGATTTCAGCCACGTTATAGAGAGCGACGTTAGTTGGATACGTGGCTTGAAACGGAGAACACAAAGAGCAGAAACTTGCGGGGAAACAAGTCTTAAGAGGAGATCTAGTATTGGATCCAACGCTGTCTTCAGCCCTAAACTAAGGTGTTGGCCGATATTACTTGAAGCATTGTAGCTGATCTCGGACTACAACCAATCTGGACGTTGCAATCTAACTGATTTGTAGAAACCCGTTTTTAGCGTGTCAATAGTCTGTCAATAGTGCGCTATACTTGGATCTTTATAGACTTGAATCCGCTGTCAGTGTTGCATCGGCGCTAAGACAGGTTGACTAGTTGACTGCAATGTCGCCGAAGTAGCAGTCCATACACTTTTATCACTTATATGACTGGTCACTGGTGAAAATATATCGTGGCCAACATCCTGTCGTGTCCTTTTGCTTACTGTATTTTCTCCATCTATCTGAGTCTAATATCTTGATACATAAACAGCTTCCCAGATTGTCATTCTCTACCTTTTTAATTCTGGCTTGAACTTTAGAGCTGTCGCAGTATATGAGAAGGAGGCGGGCTCATACATGTACCATTGAGAGTCAATAGTCCTCTAGTCAAGGTGGTGAGTCTGGATAATTAGTTTCGACCAGAAGTCGAAGCTTCATCACTCTTGGTTGAGCTTCGATTTCGCATATTAACTCAATTCTCATGGAGAGTAGACGTATCGATTTGATGATAGGCACCAGTCAATTTTAACTGCCTCTTCAGTCACACACGTCACATACGTGATGACCAATGGCAAGCTTACGGAGCTAAGCCGGAGAATGTGAATTTGGCAAGTTCAATACCTATGTTCGATCTGGCAACGAGAGTGAACTGTAGCTTTCAACAACGTGGCAAGGTTGTCCCCGCTCTTGGCACAATTAATAGATCTTCATTCGCACGAACTGAGGGGTATGTTACAAAGTTACGGGACAAGACTGTTGAAATGTTACACTGCAGTTGTTATGCCACTACCCCTCATGGTCTCCGGAGCCCGAGATGTTTTTCTACTACCTAATTCTCTTAATATATATATACTTAAGTTGAAGCACTGCGTTTTCACTTACATCGAGCACTATATATGAAACCGCCACAATGACACTCAGTAAGTCAAAGTCCAACCTAATCTTCAAAATGTTTCAGTCGCTAATCCCTCCAAGGTTCCAAAGCAGATGATGTTTACCGTGATATGGGAGATCTCCGCACATTGTTTGATGAACATCCCATCCCAATACTGTCCTCAGAAACTGTGAGTTTGATCTCATTTGCCACGCAAGGGGAACTGGAGCAAGCCTCGGTCGTCGTGGATGGATTCAACGATGCGTTAGCCAACAACAATATCACGTCTCTTCAGGCATGCTTCCTCGCCGAACAAAGCTACTGGAAGGACTCGTTGGCTTTGACATAGCATCTGCGTACCTTTCGTGGTCCAGAGGTAATTGCCAAAAATCTCCAGAAAATGAAAGAGACCAGGCGATGTGAGGGAGCTTGGGAGTTATATAGGGCTGTGTTTGTCCCCGCGACACCTGTTCTTGTACGTTCCACCCTGTGTTTCAGTATTCTTGAGATCTGCGATGACGGGACTGACGTTCTCTTTTCTGTTGTGTTTAGCAATTCATCGACGTAACCCTTTCTTTTAGGACTGCCTCTCCCTCAGCTACTTGCAACGCAAGGGTTCTTCTTCTTCCAACTCACAACAAGAATGAAGAAATAGAATAGAAGATTTGGATTCTCAGTACAAACTTGGAGAACCTGGACATCTACCCGGAAGATACATCGCTTCTCCAAAACCCTAGTCTCAAGCTCGATGACATGAAAACGATTGAGACAGATGTATTTATCATCGGCGGCGGTAACAGGTAAAGCCAAATCAGACTCTACAGCAACTGAGTCACTGACGAAATTCTAGTGCTGCGGCTCTCTCAGCCCGTCTCAAAGCCTTTGGCGTTGAAAGTGTTATGGCTGAGCGCAATGCCAACGTTGGAGATAACTGGGCTTTGCGATATGACTGCATGAAGTTTCATGTTCCGACTTCGTTCTGCGAAATGCCCTATACAAGTACGTTTTGTGGATCATAGGCAAATAAGAGACAAAAGAGCTAACCCTAGATTGCAAAGATTATCAGGACGAGTTTCAGGGCGATCTTCTCCTCAGTAAGGACGAATTAGCTGATCACTTGCGACGATTTGTCTCTTCCTTCAATCTCAACGTCGTCACGTCTGCTACGATACAGTCGACTGTCTACGACACGCTAAACAAAGAATGGACTATTAAGGTCAAAACGCCTGCTGCAGCTGTTGCCGTAGTCGCCAAACACGTAGTGCAAGCCACTGGTATCGCGTCGCAAAAGCCACACGTTCCCACTATAACGAACACGAATGTCTACAAGGGCATCGCTATCCATTCTTCCAATTATAGAAATGGTCAACACTTGGCAAACCAGGGTGTTAAGGTGAGCCACTACTTGTTGTTTGTACGTACACAAGCCTTTTGACACGTGATAGTCCGTTCTCATTATAGGCTCGGCAAACACAGCCTTTGATATCATGGAGGACTGTCATGCTGCCGGCCTCCAAACCACAATGGTCGTTCGATCTCCGACCTACATCGTTCCGTTAGAGTACATGAAGAACAAAATAAGTTTAGGCGCCTACGATCTCGGCGTTGCAGCCGCTGACAGGATGTTCCTCGCACTACCAACAGAGATAAGTGGTCAATTGGCCCGCAACCTCTTTCGTATGCTCGCATCGAAAGAACCAGACCGCTACACTGCGCTTCGTAAAGCAGGGTTTCCTGTTCTTGACAGCACTGAACCTAATCAGGCGTTATACTCTAACCTGGTGGAGAGAGCGGGTGGACACTACGTTGATACTGGTGGCACTAAGTTGCTGGCACAGGGTAAGGCTGGTATCAAATCAGGAGTTGAGCCAGTCGCGTTCACAGAGACAGGTTTGCGGTTCTCGGATGGAAGCACAACTGATGCAAATGCTGTAATATGGTGTACTGGGTACGCTGACCGAGACGTTCGGGACACGGCTGTTGAGATTTTGGGTGGCGACGAAGGGGTTCACGATGGAAACATGTTGGGTCCTCCTGAAATTGCGGCTCATCTTCATGCTACATGGGGTGTGGACTCGGAGGGCGAAATTCGCGGTATGTGTAAACGTCATTTACGTCTTGAAAATTACTGGGTCATGGGAGGGTTCACGCAGCAGCATAGGTGATATTCGCGAGTTTTGGCACTACAGATCAAAGCAGCGCTTGAAGGTATTTTGCCCGAGGCTCATCGTGAGTCTTAAGCCAGGAGTTAGAAATAAAAATCTTGCTTCTGATCGTCGATTGAGTTTATGGAATTGATCGACTATCATAGCGATAACGATTGCCTAGCTTCTTGTGATCATCGATGAACGAAAAAACACGCGATGAGGTTACATCAAATCTCAGCGACCGGACACGCTTATTTAGGTATTTTAGCAGCACCACGTTGGAGGATACAAAAGGTTTAGGGTAGGAGGAGAATAAATGAGCAATTACAGTCGGGATAGTACAACCCGAGTAGCTGATTTTTCTAGTGTCTAACGATTGATAAGGAGGCTTACTAGGACCATGGCTACAGGCATGTATCCGCGTATATCGCTTTATCCGAGACGGCAAATTCCGTTCCTATCCTACTTTCGAAGTGTCCCTGTTTCAGCATTAGGCTGACTTGTTCGTGTTTTTGATGACAGGAGACAATTTTGGTCCACAATTGAGTTGAATTGCCGGTGAGTGACCCCAGACTTTGGTCAGTGACATGTCAGGAGGCATTAAATGAGCAGATTGTAAAGTGGGATAAAAGATGGAAACGCCATCTGATTCCTTGGTTTACGATCTCCAATTATCTGGTTACAGGGCAGGGATGTTAAGTCGGGATGAACCAAGACGCCGAGCACCGGTCGAGTCGGCTCCGATGAGTCTAGATTTCCACATTTAGAGTATCTTGTGAACTTTGGCCTTGCCCTAGAATATTATCTCGTGTCATTGGCCGTAGATGGAATGTATTAGTTCTCACAACTAACTAGACAAATGTCAACTGTGCTTGTCTCTGTTTCAGTTGACGCGCCTCCTAAGTCAGTGCATACGACACGCTACGGCACCTGAAGTACACCATTACCTGACGTTCTAGAGCCAAGCATACCAAGCTTCAAAGCGCCACAAAAGTCTGTCACTGTCAATCAAGCTTCTTTTTAACAGTAAAAATAAAACGAGAAGAGAATGTCATTTCGATCAGGGGTGAAAGAACAAAAAACATGGAAAGGAGAGGGGAATATCCACTCTAAAATTCCACCTCATTTCCGCAAGCGACTGGGGCTAGAAGTTAGCTTCTCCAACCCTGTCTTTCAAGAGACTCCGAGTTTAGATTGATCATCAAATAATGGCGCTTATCGCAGTTCAGTGCTGTATTTTTGTAAATTTTACAGAGTACACGGCTGTTATTCTTTGCAAGTCACTGTCAAAACTTGATGGTACACCTGTAGATATCGTTTCGTCGATCATACAGAAACAAAACACATGAAGACACTTTCGTCCTGTGTCAACCCTGATGCTCAAAAAGGACAATCGTTTCAATGTTCCGTATAATCGCAACAGGCAGGGCGGAGCTAGCAAGGAGGCATTCTAGATTCGGTCCAGTTACAGATTATTCCTCCAATCATAACTATTCCCAGGTCGACAGCACCCTTGTATGTGATCTGAAACACCAACTTACCAGGGTCTAGGTAGGTTGAATGTCATCAATCGTAAGAGAGGAGACTCGATGGTCCAGCCCAAGTCTACCTCGAATCTTTCTTATATAAAGTCAAGAAACATCTCTTTCATTCAGTCTTTCCTTCCTCAGTTCCAACTCATCCTTTCAAACATCCAACTTATTACAATCATTAACCCTGGTGGTTTATACTCTCGTTTTTCAACCCAACCTCAACACTCTTTAAAACAACAACAACAACAACAACCAACACCATCAAAATGAAGTTCTCCATCGTCTTCGCCGGCCTTTTCGCCTCTGCCGCCATCGCCACTCCCCAAGGCAATGTCACCCCCAACACCATGGGCGCCCTCGAGAAGCGCGCTTCTTTCCCCATCCCCGCCTCCAAGGGCTCCGTCACCTACAAGAAGGTCCAGTACATCTCTGGCACCTTCGACGGTGGCATGAAGACCTACGGCCGTGGTGTCAAGTGCACTGGCCAGGCTGAGGGTGGCGACGCCGACGCCGTCTTCATCCTCAAGAACGGTGCTACCCTCAAGAACGCCATCATTGGCGCTGACCAGATCGAGGGTGTTCACTGCGAGGGCTCTTGCACCATCGAGAACGTCTGGTGGAAGAAGGTCTGCGAGGATGCTCTCTCCATCAAGGGTGACGGTAACGCTCTCGTCAAGGGCGGTGGTGCCACTGGTGCTGCTGACAAGGTCATCCAGCACAACGGTCTCGGCACTGTCACCATCGATGGCTTCACCGTTGTTGACTTCGGCAAGCTTTACCGATCTTGCGGTAACTGCAAGAAGATGGGCACTCGCAACGTTGTCATCAAGAACGTCAAGGCCTACAACGGAAAGGTCCTTACTGGTATCAACTCCAACAAGGGTGATATCTCCACCATCACTGGTACTTGTGCTTCTTCCGTCAAGGAGATCTGCGTTGAGTACCAAGGTACCACCCCCGGCAACGAGCCCAAGAAGATTGGCTCCGGTCCCAGCAAGGCTTGCAAGTACTCTTCCGTCAAGTCTTGCTAAGCGCATCGCTGCAGTGTTCATGGACTGGACGCTCATGGTAGCGACTAGTCTTTGAAAAAGATAAGGGGTTAATCAAGGTGCTTGAAGTACCTGTTTGTGGGGGTTGAGGAAGTTACCATCTGTATCTTTCACACGTATATAAATTCTACTTAATACATACTCTGGCCAAGTAACATTAATAATTTTCGAGTCATCATGATGTGTACCGTGCGAATCTGTCTTGAATCAATTTTAGTTAATCTTAGGTACAGGCAGCTTTCTGTATCCAAGACCCGAGACAAATGTCTGATACCACTCTTGTGGCTCATCCTTAGCTAGATCGACATAGAGCTGAGCGTGTCCTGCTGCCGTTGCACCATTCCACATAGGCGTCCCATCCTCAAGCCTTTCATCAGTGTAGTAAAATCTGTCGTTCGTGTTAGCAGTATTCTGATCTTGATTCAGTCAAAGTTTTACCTGTAGCCTTTATTCTTGTAGCTCTTAGATGCCATCTCAATTAGGTTCGCAGCCCCCGCCTTGCCGACACTCAACGTCATGATCACTGAGAGAGGAGCGACGTTTGCGCAATTGCCGGTTAAGATGAAGGTGGGTTTGCTTGAAGCAGGAAGGTCGGCCCAACCTTTCACGGCTTCTTGGGCTGCTGCGTAGACGCTGACAATGTTAACTATGGTGCTGCTCTGGAAATGATCCAAAGGGACCTCGAAAATGTTATCCGCGCTGTTCCATTGACCAGCGTAAGCTATCTTAAGTAAGCGATGCTGCATCGGATTCTGGAACCGATGACTGACTGTTGTAAATAACAACATTGGGAAACCCAAATTCACTCTTGGTTTTCGCGAAAGCATTCAGCACAGAGCTAGTGTCGCTGCAATCTGTGGGAATGTGCAGCTCAGTTCCAGTTGAAGTCTCAGGGTTTTGAGATCGCGAGGCGAGAGCAACTTTGTATCCTTCTCCAAGAAATGCTTTAGCCACGCTGGCTCCGACGTTGGATCCAGCACCAAAAATGAGGGCGACAGAGGAAGCCATCTTAAGTTGTCGAGATAAGGGGAAATAATTTTAAGTTTATGCAACAGACTTGGATTGTTTTGGGTGGTTCGTTCCTTGGAATGTTGGGGTGTCGTTGCATTTGTACTCAGCTGAATACAAATAATATGAATGTGATCACATTACCCCACAGACGGATCAGTGGTGGCGCAAAGATTAGCAACTTTAGATAACTTTGTTGCTAGATCTAACAAATGGTAAAAAGAGGGGGAATAATACCCCGAGCGCCTCCCGTCGAGATACGGAGATGGAAGCCGTCAGCTTATACTGAATAATCTTATTGATATTTACTCACATTGGTCAGCCATGGTTGGTAAGATCGAGATCATTTCCCACACAACGTTATGGGTTAGCGTCGTATGAATAAGCATCCGTCTGACCCATTACTTGCCTTGGCTAAGCGTCAGTTCTCTTCTTGACACTGCTGCTAAGCCATTGCCTGCATCTTCCTAATTTTATATACACCACCATGGAAGCTGCATCATATCATGGCACAGCATGTATGGGCTGCCGCAGACGCGGCCGGAAATGTGACAGGAAGTTACCGACATGTCTCAGCTGCGCGAAAAGAGGTGTACCGTGTGAAGGGTACGTCACAAAATGGCCAGGCGTAGCTGCGCGTGGAAAGCTGGCTGGGAAGTCTATCCCCGTGGTCGATAGTTCAGTCGTCATCACGGGGACCCAGTCGAAAGCGAGACAAAGACAACTAAAGCGAGATGCATCTACGACACCGACCACACCGCCTATCTTCAACTCTGTCCCCTCTGAAGAGGTTGATAAATTCGTTCAACATTGTAATTATTCGAACCCTCTCATCGATCTTGTCTGCTGATGTGTCACCTTAACAGACATCGCAGACCTTAGTAGCATATTCTACCTTGGCAATGGACCAAGCGAAAATCCAATGTTTCACTACGTCCTCCCTCTGATAGACAGTGTGCCTCCAATCCGCTTCGCCCTCGCCGGATCTGCATCTTGCCATATCGCAGCCAGGACTTCAGACGATATACTCGAGAGAAAGAGTTTATGGCTGCGACTCCATGCTACACATTTGTTACGAGAGATGCTTCAAAGCCCGAACGCTGCATCAGACCAGACCTTCTTAGCAAGCATATTGATGCTTGCACAGCTTGATGTAAGAAAAATCTTGGAGTTCTCCACGAGGAATTGGCTGATGGGGATAGATGTGCTCTGGGGATTGTGCCGAGTTTCAAACCCACTTGAAAGCTGCTGCTGCTGTCATACGCAACCCTAGCTACGATGGATCTGCCAACATGTATTACTTTGAACAACGTCTCGCATGGTAAGTAATATAGAGGAAAAGGACTAGCTTAATCACTAATCGTCGACTCCAGGCTTGATGTTATGAGCGCTACCACCTCTCAAAGACCACCAAATCTGTCGATAGCAGAAGTAAAGACAATAATAAGTCGCTTCTCGGGCAATGGTCAAAGGCAATGGAGCTACGATGTGTTTCCATGCCCAATTGACCTATTCGAGATTATCATTGAGATTACTTTTCTATTCAAAACTCCCCATTTCGACTTGGATCAAGTTGCGTTGCAGGTCGAAGGCTTGGAGAGTCGATTGCAAGATTGGAAGTGTCCCACCATGTCAGGTCCACGAAAACACATGGTTGAAGCCTGGAGACTAGGCATACTAGCTTATCTCTATCGACTGTTCCCCAAGGCGAATCACGATGTTGAGAAGGAACTTCTGTCAGATCAAGTACTCGGCCTAGCAGAACCCATTTATCCGGCATCGTCGTGGAGTTATGCTCTGTTGTGGCCCACATTCCAAGTCGCCGTCACTTTGAGTGATGATGCTCAAAAGGAGAAGGACCAGATTAGAAGTCGCCTTAGGATCGCACTAGAGACTATTGGGTGTCGACATCACAGTAATGCTCTTGAGACCCTGGAGGTTGTCTGGGCACGAAGTAAAGAGTTTGATCCTCTCACAATCAGTATACCTGGTCGGACAATTATGCTAGTCTAGGATCTATAAAGAGCGGGTGGATAGTTTTAGTGACAAAAGCCCTGTGGCAAATCCCTGGCTTGTCTATTCCCCCATCACTTCAAGTGTTTGGCCAGTACTTCATCAAGCTCTTGACTGATCGCAATCTTCACTTCCTCATCCGCCCAGCACATCTCGATGGAATGCCTCGTCAATCTGACCATTTCCTCGTCGCTAAAGCTACACATCTTCTTGACAAGAAGCATATCATGCAAGATCCAGCAATCTTCCATATACGCTGGGTCATCACTCGCAATAGCAAGCGGAATTCCAGCATCGAACAAGGTTTGAATCCTTGGGAAAATCTCGTCGACAGGCTCATGACGAAGATATCCCCAGGGCGTAATCGTCATGCCAATACCTCTTTCTTTGATGGTACAAATGAGTCCTGGTTCTTGAGCCGCGTTGAGACCGTGGTCAATACGGTCTGCGCCGGTGGAACCAATGTCAGATGCGACTTGACGAATGTTCCGATGAGTGTCTTTCTGCCCCACATCGCAGTGCGCTGTGATGCGGAAGCCATCTTTTCGAGCTCTGCTGTATACTTCTGCAAACATGAGAGGAGGTCTGTTGTTTTCGTCAGAGTCGAGACCAATGCCGATGACGATATCCTTGTACGGAAGGACTGATTCGTAAGTCTCCATGGCTGACTCGACCGACATGTCACGAAGAAAGCACATGATCCATTTGGACTTGAGCTGGCACGATATTAGCACATATTGTTCAAAGTCAGTCTGTTTTACTCACATTCAGACGCTCCTCAGCTTCTTTCTGAGCTCTATGGAATCCATCCATAATGGTGCGAAAAGCAATACCCCGTCTCGTGTGCCCCTGCGGATCGAAGAAAGGTTCACAGTACCTAACATTCATCGCAGCAGCACGCTCGAAGTAGTTCATCGCAAGATCATAGAAATCCTGCTCCGTGACAAGCACTTCAAAGCCTCCGTAGTATGCCTCGAAAAAAGTGAAGCTTTCTTCGGCATTGTCAATGCGATGTCCCGGTCGTGGTTGGATAAGGTTGTATGACTCTCTGAGCTGCTCGAGACTATGGTACACGGTTCCCGTGCGCTCAAGCTTGAGGGTCTGGTTGTTCCTCTTGGCAAGTCCCCATCGTAATTCTGGAGTTAGTGTGCCTTCGATATGAACGTGGAGTTCTACTTTGGGAAGATCCAATATGAACTTGTGGTCGGCATCTAACAGCTCTTGTCGTAGCGACAGACGCTCATCAAGGGTCATGGCGAACTCCATGCTGGTGTGTTTGGGTGTTGGATAGATTGGTATGAGTGAGTAAGTGGAAAGAAAGAGAGGAAAGATTTTTAAAGGATATTTTAAAGGGAATTTATACTTGATATGTCATGGTTGAAGATTTGGCAATGTGAGTGGTTGAGTTAGACTAGTCCAAGATAGGTTGTTATCTCAGTCAGTGACTCTCACGATGGGACACCTACAGGGACAACGAAGCTAGTCCCGGATTGGTTGCTATTTCAGTCGTATCAATTCCGAGCAGACCTGCACTGGAGCTTACAATATTGTAACACATGCCGATTGATGACCGAAATGACAAATAAGAAAAGAGAACCGTGACTCACTGGTCTCGACATCATCTCATAGGCGAAGATCTTTGGACCGTATAGGAGTGGGTGACGTCCAGTAGACGGCTTGCGGTTGTAAAGACTACACGGTTGGTAGAGTTGTGGATGTGTTGAAATGCCTACCTTGTCAGCTCACCAAACTCAGCAGTTCCTAAGAATGTACTTTATATACGTACAGTCCTACAGCCGATATCCGCCTTTTGATTTATATCGATTACTTCTGTTTTCCATTTGAAGTACTGAATCGCAAACACTATAAGGGCACGATCGGAAACCAGCAGATGAAAAGCTGGATGATCAGCGTAGCACGTAAGATTATACAGATCACCAAGATAATCGAGACATCAAATTAATTGAGCAATAGTGTGTGAATAAAAAGCAGTCTCATATTACTGAAAGACAAAGTATTGACGTAACTACTGTCTATATATATCCAGAATCTCTGCTCAGAAAACCTCAACCCCAGATCATTTCATTTCCAACATCTCTTCATCTTAAAGGTCATTCGTATCTTAGTAGACGTAGTAGACCTGGGTCTCGCTCTCCTGGCTGCGGAGCTTGCGGTTTCGCCTCATGAGGATGAACTTGGCCAACCATGCAAGCGCAGCAGTACCAATACTGAAACCAGCACTGCTTCCCATGGCAATAGCATAGCGAGGAGCGTCGCTCTTGGGCCACAGGTAAGGTGTCCAGATGAAGCTGATGTTCATGATCATGGTAACCATACTGATAGCAACGGCCTTCTTCTCCTTAGTCTGACCGCAGACGGAACCGCACCAACCAAGGATAAGACTGTTGACGGCGTAGGTACCGATGGTGAAGATAACCATGCAGACGTAGCGGCCAGCTGTGTTCATAGTGGCAGCGGCGGCGGCAAAACCGATGACAGCGACGGCCTTGGAAGCGGTGATGTGCCAAGTTCGCTCGTTGTAGCGACCAGACATCCAAGAGACGAGGATAGTGCTGGCACCGGCAATAAGGTAAGGAGGGCAAGTGAGGACAAGAGTAATAGTTCGGTCAAAGCCAAGAGTCTCGACGACGGTGGGGAAGAAGTTCTTGAAACCGTTGGCAGCCAAGTGAAGGTGAGCCATAGCGCAGAAGATCCAGACGAGAGGGTCCTTGGCAGCCTGCTTCAAACCCTCCATGGTGCTAGTCTCACCCTTGTTGCCGACAATATCGAGTTCCATACGGTTGTGAGCTAGCTGGCGCTCCTCCTCAGTTAACCATTTGGTGGTAAGAGGGAAATCAGGAAGAATGAAGTATCCAACAACAGCGATAACAAAAGTGACGGCACCTTGTAGGATGAAGAGCCACTTCCAGCCGGGTAGACCAGCAACATCGTCAAGGCCGTGGAAGATACCAGCAGCAATGAGACCAGCAAAAGCAGTTGCGAGGATGTTTCCGGTGTAGAGGATAGCGATTCGTGTGGCGACTTCCTTTCGGGTATAGAAGATAGAGAGGAGGTAGACGGCACCGGGGTAGTAAGGAGCTTCTGTGAGACCAAGGAAGAATCGAGTGAGAAGAAGACCCTTGAAGTCTTTGGCGACGGCGGTCAGAGCACTGACGATGGCCCAGAGCATCATCATGATACCCTTGACAGTGTTAGTGTGGAGTTCAAATTGATGTAGCAAGAAGAACATACCATGTAGCGGCTGGGGCGAGTTCGGGTGAGGAACATGTTGGAAGGAATTTGTCCCAAGATGTAACCGACAAAGAGGATGGAAACACAAGTTTGGTACTCTGAAGCGGTGTTAGCATACATTAGTAGCAGTCTTTAGAGTTGCAACTTACCAGTTCCTTGGAGGTTGAGATCCTCTTCGAGGTCGTTCAATCGAGCCAAAGCAATAGCATTGCGATCGAGATAGTTGAGCCAGTACATGCTCCAAAGCATTGGCATCATCCATCGATCAAGCTTCTTGACCAGTGCAATCTCCTTGGGGTCTGTCTTCTCATGGGCACCAGAGTAATCGGTCTTTTCATATGTGGGGATGGGCTTCTCTGGGTGTTCATCTTGGAAGATGTGAGGCTCAGCATCTCTGTTGATGTCGGCCTTTTCATCACGGTTGTTATAAGCCATGATGGCGAAGAGCTGAAACAGCGATAAGATTGAAAGAGATGATTTGAAGAAAAGGTAGGAGGGTAGTCAAAGCGATCGACTGCCTTGAAGAGAGAAGCTATCGAAAGAGGGTACAGGAGGAGTGTTATATAGATATGGGGAGACATGTGGGATATGGGGTAAACCTGGGGATAAGGCTAATGGTACAGGCGATCTCCCCCATCATCTAAGGCTCCGTCATTCCCCGCAATGCGGGGTGCATTGATTGAGACGGAGAGACGGAGAGAGCTGTAGGGGAGTGGCAATGGTGACAGTGGTAGCAGTAGTGGACATCGTCTGGGGCAAGATCTGGGTACAACTAAGCTACGAGATTAGGTTGGTCTAGAACCCAACGTGTCAAGTGGCTGGAATTGTATGGGAATGGATACGCCAAGTCTATTTGGGGTAGCAACGATAAACACACTTGACGCTATTCCAAGTTTTCTCCGTCTGAGTTGCTACTCTAAGCAAGGATGAAGTGATATCTAACGGTATGTGGGAAGACCGTCTGTTGGTCTTTGCTTCACCAGCTACTCCATCTTGTGAGCAAGTATGTGACGCTAGAAAATGAATCCAACGTCGCCAAGGATGGACCTTCCAACTTGCATGACTGACGGGCGTTAACAGGCAGAAGGAGATGCCATTTCAAGGCATAAGCTTTACGAAGATGCTTCTTTCCTTCCAGAAGGTTTAATATTGAGCGTCAGTGGCGTTGTATTTTTCGTATTTGATTGGATCAACGTCCCGAAGGCACAGCCCGGAGGGGAGAGATGTGATGGTGTCGTGAAGATGTGAGTAGGTACAGAGTAGCTGTGTGGACATGATAACATCCGCTGTTAACGCTTCTCACGGCCTGTGCTCTCATCAACGGCAATGCTTCCTAAACAGGTTGTTGCGGCCGTTCGGTATCAGCGCGTCTAACCTGAAACGGGAAGGAGTTTAAGCTTAAACGATTAAGGTTGTGGAGAAGAGAGATTTATGGAGAAGAGGAGACTGAAAAGCAGTTGGGTCGTGAAGGAACTGGCTCCAGAACTGATCCCCGAGTGGCTGATCTTTCCCCGCGTTGTGGGAGACTTTCTGGAGACCGGCCGTTTTAAACGTAGGACTTGTTGATGTTCTGCTATGAAGTTGTTGGCTGCATGATTCATCGTGTGTTGTGCCAAGATGAACCAGTCTCCGCACCCCGTGATGAATAATCCTTCGGCTGTTCTCTTGGTCAGCGACTCCGCAGACAAGACTCTCCCCTCTCTTGGCTTTTCTCCTCATTGTTTAAATTAATTTTAAAAGCTTGGCCGATGGATTTAACAAAGTCAAGATCAAACATTTGCGAGTGCTCAATTCGCCGACAAACATGGTCATTGCACGGCTCCATCAGAGATTGTCAACTTCAACGGTGCAACTCAATCTCTTCTACGAGTAAGGCAAGGGTCTCCCCTGTGCTCTTGTGTCATGAATACCACCCTAGCCTAACGCTCGGGAAAAGTTACAGCCTACACTAGCTTCGCTCAGAGTTGGGGTCGTTGCATCATTCCAACATAGTCTGCATCAATTATTGCTCTTGGCAAGTCTAGAACCGTTCCGAGGAATCCCGTGAACAGAACTGACGGCGCTTGTACCGTAGCATTTGGACGCGGGGAGAGTCAGGGATCTTGAGTCAGTGCGAGGTAAGCGCTGAAGTGAGGAGTTAGGTCTGGTTGTCTAGGCTCCGATACTTGATGGCCCACTAGGTCTGCGCTATTATAGTGATTTTAGCTTTGGGGTAGAGTGGCATAGCCCCCACGGGGTGATCAGTAACTTTGCTAGTTGAAGTTAGTCATGCCCAGAAGTTCAAGTTCTAAGTCAAAGCAGATCAGGTACTAAGGAAGCACGAGGGATTTCTAGAAGTATGACTACTCTTTTGTCGCGTATCTTATTGGTTACGCTGTTTAGATAGGTTGCATCCATTATGGTAGCGACGACATTCCAGCACACCTGCTTTACGGCTAGCTGTTCACAACAACCGACTTGAGCTAGCAAGGGACTTGTTTGGAGAACTGGCCATTATGGCTCGAGGGGCAAATTCGCAACCCTTCTTTCACCATCACCGACTTTCCCCCTGCCCAGCCAAAGAGAGGGAGAAACCTTGGCCGGCCTGGGCACAACAATTATTTGAGAGATCTTGTCCACATCTCCCCTTTCCAATTGTGTACTTCCATCTATAAGGCCAATATAGCAAAGAGACCCATCAAAGCCAACCAGGAATTATAGACCGCTCCAAACACTGCAGTAGCGTCTGACAGATCTGCACCAACCGCATGTGTTGAGTTTGGAGCATTGCATTGGCATCCTACACTCCTCCAAATGCATTGTGACGTTGTCCCACAATACGGCATCAAACTCGTGTTTTTTCGGGGGTAATATTCGGTAGCGTGACGCCAAGATAAGGTGAACCATCCAACATCAGTTACTTTCCCAACCTCTGAGTCGCTGGCTCACCTTGTTCCAACTAAACTAGAGCACCCCAAGTTCCAGACCAGCCTCGAATTACCCCTCTTTCCTCCGCAACCTAGTAAGTTGTCTCACCGTGAGAATCGGAGCCTCTTACCTATTTCTCTAAATCAAGTCAAGCACGGACTGTTGGTTTGACTCTGTCTCTAAGCGAACGATTTCGGCAACGTACCAAGTTGGCTTAGTTCCACCTGCGCAACGAACGTTGGTTGACGAGGTTGCTACCTTCAATATTCGGGACCATACGGGTACGCTTCGTCTTGGCATGATTCGTTGATGAGATTACACTTTGTTTTCTGCATGGATCGTAGACGCAGTGCAACGCTATGGGAATACGCATTTCCGAAGTTGGATTAGAAGATTCGCCGGAAGACATTTGGAATGTTCTGACAAGGCTCTGTCTGTGGTGGATTAAGATCCAAGTTCATCATGTACAAGTGCCCTAACCTTTTACTGTTAAAGGAAGGGCTAGTTTGAGAATCACACAGCTCTGGGGTCGGATGGAGTCGGAAGCTTGAAGACAAGTATGAAACCAATAATGATATGCTAATATGTTGGCTGTATGCCATGAACAATAACCACTTACCCGGTAAGCTAATGAAGCAAGATAAGCGGAATCCGGGGTCGAAATCCACATTCCTATCCTTTCCGGTTGTACTCCTTGGGTAATTATCCCAAATGATATGAGTGATTATAACATGTCATGTTTTACTGTAATATTCCTTATCAAACAAGTCAAGATAATCATCCGGATGATCTTCCCGAGTCTCGTAGCAAAGGAAGCAAGGGCGAGACCGCCAAAGCCAACGACCATGCCAGACAACAGGGGCAAATGAACCTCTGTGTTGTGTCGTAGTTGAAGTTGGTGCATTTAAACCCGCGTTTTCCACAAGTACCATCATCTTATATGCAACATCAACCACCACTCCCTTCGATCTTGACCAATGCTTTACTAGCCAGATATAGACCACAGTGACAAAAGACTACGAACATTTGATGTTTGGGTCTGAGTCTAAGTTCCAAGCTTCTGGGTCAACTGTTACCCACTCCAGCTGAGTGTAAACAGGACTCCATTGGGCTCACCTCCTGGTGTCTCTCCTTGAAAGGGTTCAAGATCAGCTAGGCCACTTCAAACTATCGCGATCGATGCCATACTTGCATCTTTGATCTGTAGGAACTCGGCACTGATCATCCCTTTAACGTATGGTGTATCCTGTAGGGACCATTTGATGTGTGTCCAGCCGCTGACCCTGTGAGACTTAATCGTCACTTAGGTATCTATTAGTCTGCAAAGTGCGAAAGTAATTATTCAAGTTCCTAGACCATAGAGACAATAACCCTGCCGGCGAGTCCGACTCCAAGTGTTTAGATTGAGTCTGTCGATACGCATTACCCTGCCCATTGGACAGTCTGGGTCTCATTATCACATCGTATGATCACACAAGGGGTGGTACGGGGGCTCTAGTTCAAGTAGCTTTCTTTCGGGGATCATTGAGAGCCTGCTGATCAGACTCAAGGGCATTGAGCTTGTCTACTTCGGGGTTGCCTCGCCCGTCATGTACTCTGTGAGAAAGCGAAGGTGTAAGGGTAGTGCTCCCATTGTTCCTCGACATTCAGCCCATCCACCACCCCTCAGACAACACCGTATTGGCATTACGCCCATCCATCCCTCATTACAAATGTTACCTAAGGGAAGTTGCCGCGCGCATAAGCAATCGAGCTGACAACGTGCATTCCTGAGGCATAGAGACCGCCCACCTGTTCTTGATAGCAACACAAGACACCGACCTGCATGGCGTATCCATTCTCCATCTTGTACAAAGGTCCACCAGACTGTCCAGTGTCGACATCTGTGTCGGTCCCAAGTTCAAATCCCTGGCCGCACTGTTCGTATCTAGTCACCTGGATGTTGTCTTGATGTATACGCCTTGCTTTTCCATTCAGTATAGGGAACCCAACATGTTTTTATATTTCTAGTCAGTATTTATAAAGGCCACGTGACGTTAGACTTGACGTACAAAAATTGGGTTAAAGTTGTCCTTGTAATCGTACTGCTTGGCTCCAAAGTACCCATCCGTCTCGAATATTGGCTGGTCAAAGATCAAAATGGCGAAGTCCTCGGACGTTGTACAAGCCATAGCTCTTGGTTGAACAACAACAATATCAGTCACATACGACGCAGTTTCATACGTCCTAGGGTATTGTCCGTGCTTTGATTTCAACTTCATTGGAACTGGCTTCCGAGGAATACAGTGCCTAGCTGTCATGAAATGCCGAGGTCCGACTGCCGTACCCGTGCATATGTTTGGTCGTAGATATATCTTTCTGATGATGTTGAAGGGATACTCGTTGCTGACCACCTTCTTTCTATCGTCTATTCCATCGACGAGGTAACGAGGTTGAAGAGGTCGCGCGGGCAAAACGGGTACTCCGTTGTAGCCGAGGAGCTCATCTGATGGTATGCTGTGGATTCGTGCTATCGGCTTGCCATCACCTCTCCAGTGGTTGTTCCAACGTTGGAATTGTTGATCCTGTACGGGATTCCTCTTCTGGCATTGTTGTACGGGGCTCGCAATCACGATATGGCTTAGAGCCAGGATGACGATGAAGATGAAGTGTTTGAGGAGAACCATGATGTGGGATTGATGTGAGGAAGGAGGACCAATGCTCAAGCGGGGAATATTCTAAGCCGGATAACACCCCAAACTATATACAAGACATCTGATCACGTTGGTTATCGCCTGACGACTTCCAATAAACCCTACCGAATCACTTAGAACCACATAGTTCTATCTAAGAGACTTGTTTTGTAATTGCATTAGCTGGGACACGTCAGAAGTTGGTTGGATATGGCTTTTTGTTCTGACGCCGTATTGGCTTTGAGGGAGAAATGGGCCCAAGTCAATTACCTGACTGGAGCATGTACCGATTACGTGTGGTCTTCATTATCAAGGTTTTGTCCTATCAAAGAACTCAATGCAGTTAAACATTTGTTGGGATATAAGATATGTTGGCCGGCCACGTTTCCCATGAAACTTTATATCATAAATCTTGTCAAAGGTTTATCTTTTTGCGACTGGCCAACACAGCAATGTCATTAAAGCCCCGCAATAGGGATTAATGTCAGGTCGTGTCCGTGATATTACCTTTCTAGTTGAAACAAGGCGTTACCTTCAAACATGAGATTTCATTTACAGCTATATAATTATACCTTTTGGCATTGTGAATTCCATTTTATACCTCAGTGACGTGGCCGCGAAGGCGTGCCTCCATATCCCTAGCCCAACGCCGGCCTATGATAGAATGACCCCTTCCCTTTGTAAGTATTGCTATAGAGACAGCCTGTCAGGCGGGGGAATGGTCGACACCACTGTAATTGCCGTTACCTGTCTCAATGCTTCAGCTACCCCCATCTCTGCCGCAATTCCGAGGCTGAATACTTGGACCCTATAGCTGCCGGGAAATATCCGATTCAATCCCCTGTTGAAAGCTTCCGGATCATTGACAAGGCTCGTTTGGACGTTGTATATGTATGCTCCTGGAGCGTTGGTGGATGAATCTACCGCCGTGTTTTCTTCTTTTTGTCGTTGTCTTTTGTTTGTACTTCTGGTGGATTATAGTTCGTGATAACCTTTTCGTAGCATCTTCTTGATGCAATTATTTCATCACAATGATTTGCTTCCTAGGGTTCTCACAGCGGTGAACAGTCACATATCATACCCACAATCACAGCACCAGAAACCTGCCATCGCGGTATATTTAGCAACAAGGAGGACTACTGACTTCCACATCAAAGTACAAGACATCTTCACTAACAAGCAAGTTCACACTGATTGACTGCAACAAGGAGGCAGGTGCCGGCTCCTCATTTCTTTATCACATACCTGCTAAAACTTATGCGTTTTTAACGAACGCACATAGAAAAGCCACCATTGACATCAAGTCGCTGCATTTTGAGTTCCACTTGTAGGTCATCTTGCAATCACAACAGGCATTACTCCTCTATGAATCATGCCACCGCTGTCCAACAGACCGCCCACCCGCGTTACATAGATTGAGTCTGATGGCTATCATAGAGTCTTGAGTAGCCCACCATCATGTTTTGAGCAAATTGGCGGTCCTAAGTAGCCCTCAAATTGATGAACGTTTCATTGAGTGGAACTAGTAAGGCAAGACCTCTCAGGACACTTTTACTCCATTATCTGATCCTGGAGGACTTGAGGATCCAATACAACAGGCTATGCCACAACATGACTACTTGATTATTCAAATCATTAAAATACAATGGAAAGCCACAGAATCATTTTTTTTCTAGTGTTTAGAAAACTGAGCTATATCTTTCACCGTCACAACGGCACCTAGATTGACCGTTCGAGATATGCCCAGGGCTCAAACCTTGGAATGCAACCATCTACCACTTTTAGATAATAGTCTAACTGTGATTAAATAATCTTCAGAGATTAGGGCTTTGCGGCCTTGAGGCCAACAACAACTAGTTCTATTTATTTGCTTCTCTGCATCATCATCATCCGAAAACTACCACTCTAGGGATAGCCTGTCCGTTATACCCCACATGTAAGCTTATTATTTTCTCGTTCACCAATTAAGTCGAACAGTTTCCGAGAAACATGCCTACTGATATTGCTCAATTGGACCAAGCTATGCTTGGCTCTTTGTTATATGTGGCAGGTCGACAGTGCAGCGAAAAATCCAGACTTTTGAGACACTATTTAATCCTGGTGTTATCTGCCACAATCACTTGTGTCTCCTAACCAGCCCACAATGCGAAGTAATCCTCAGTAACCCCGCAAGAAATTTCCTACTCATCTCCCGAACCGTTTGCTCCTCTGTTTAAACATGGCCAATTTTTCGCTAAATGAGACACAGCTGCAAATTGTTCAAGATGCAGCTGCATTCGCTCGAAAAGAACTCAGTCCAGCAAGAGACAGATACAAAGATCTAGCTACGCAAAGTGAACGATTTTTAGCAACAAAACCGTTCTTCGAGGCCAGTGTTCAGGCTGGCTATCTCAAAGCCTTCATTCCAGCTCCATATGGGGGTACTGGCGGATCCTTCCTTGACATGTCTTTGATCGTCGAAGAATTCTATACCGTTGACTCTAGTGTGAACATGGCCCTGGTCGGTACTGCCTTGGGATTAATGCCATTGATTCTTGGTGGCACGGATGAGCAGAAGAAACGCTTTTTAAAACCTTTTATTAGCGGCAGCGGAGATCACATTGCAAGTCTTGCTCATTCGGAACCTGGTGGCACCGCCAACTATCTGGAAAAAGGAGGGCAAGGTTTCGGTACTACTGCAAAAAAAGAAGGTGACTACTATATTGTGAACGGCGAAAAGGTATGGCCCGCGCTTGCAAACTCAATTCTCACAGCGGCTTCTGACATTCGATGTTCTAGTTGTGGACAACCAACAGCGCTGGGTGGGATGGCAAAGGCGCTGAGCTCACTTGTCTTTGCGTCCGCTACTCTGATGATGGTGGGCCTGAAAAGGCTGACATTAACCCCAGGGAGAACATCATGATTCTTCTAGTTACACGGGACATAATAGCTGCAAACGATCCTGAGGCTTATACTATCCTTGGCGAGCCTGAGCTAATGGGCCATACTGGTTCCAGTGGTCCGCACACAAGATATACCAACTTCCGGGTTCCAGCAGATCATTTACTTTGCGCAAAGGGTGATGCGACAGTTTCTATTATTGAAATGGCATTCAGCTTCACTGCAGCACTCGTTGGAGCCATGGCCTGTGGTATCATGCGCACCGCTTTCGAAGCAGCCCTCAAGTTCGCCAAAGAGGATAACCGAGGCGGCAGTGTTCCCATCATCCAAAGGCAGAGTGTGGCAGATCTTCTCATCAACTGCAAGATCAAGGCCGACACGTCACGACTGCTCGTGCGTAACGCTCTAGACGCATTCGATAAAGGAAGAGGCGATGCCACTAGCAGACTGGAAGCGTGTCTGCAAGCAAAGATATACAGTGGAGAGGCAGCAGTGCAAGCTGTATGGGAGGTTATGCAAGCTGTGGGAATGTAAGTATTGACTTTCGATGATAAAAGCCTTAATATTCTAATGTGATTTGCAATTAGGAGATCTTATCTTGACGAGACGGGATTTGGGCGCCTACTCAAAGATGCTACTGTGTTGTCTTTGTTTGATGGAGGCAATGTGGGCGTGAGGAGGAGACAGTATGAAAAGCTCCTGCAATCTTCTGATTACTCGTGCTGGAACGCTAGCTTTTGATTACAGATGGCTTAAGTTATAGTTTTAGTCTAAACCAGTGACCTCACATATTGGATTTACTGTGCAGGTCAGACATAGAACAATTTCATCCTAGCTTTACGATTTGAAACTAAGTCACAGGACTGCATTCTCATTATCACAAACTGTCCTCATTTCACCTATTATGCAATATATTCATCTCGTTCTTCCCCCAAAGTACAACGGCATTATGTATAAGTTGTCGTTCCATCAACACCCGTTCCGCCTCTCAAATTAGTCTGCTTCTGACCCTTGAGCACCACACAGCTCCTTGCAGTAGTATGTCATCTATAATATGGTTAGAACCTTGTCTCTCTTTAGGATTTAGAAGCTTACCTCATCTCCACCGATGTGGCCTTCAGGAGAGTTGCAGATAGTGCCATCCTATCGAGAGAGTTAGCCACAATGTCATTCAGATCAAGGTCGGTTGACTAACAAATGCACAATCAGGGCAGGTGTTCCACCACTCGCTTCCCTTATTTCGTGCCTTGTAGTAGTTGCAGGCACATTCAGTAGCATCGGCAAGAACTTCATAAGTAGTCTGCCAGTTGTAGCTAACGCTCCAGGCAGTGCCACCTACAGGGGATGACACTCTGTTGGAGACGCATGCCGCAGCCTTGTGAGTGTCTGCCTGAGCACTGTGAGATCAATATGTTAACATCTTTCTATCAACCGTGAATGTGGACTGTGCTTTCACGACGAACCCAGAGACAGCCACGAGGGCAAGTGTGAAGATAGAAAGTTGCATGATGAGTAGTATAGAAGATAGTCGATTTACTTGGGAAGAGTGTGTTGATCTGTCATGCTTCCAACGAAGATTTGTGAAGATCTTTATAGACTTCATCTCACGTTCTTGTCCCTTGCCATGATGTCGGTCCGACGTGCACGGCAGTTGTATCCGTAGTCTGTATCTTGCCATGACTCGAGATACGAGGCCTTTGTGACGATCATGAGTTCTAATGAGGCGGTCTAGCGGCTGTAGAAATTCCCACCTATCCTATGGAGCAGGACCATTTTTATTTTCATTCCTTGTGGCTTGAAACCTAAGAAACTTTGCATCCTAATCCTTTTTGTTCGTATATGGATACTCGTGTAAGTGAGCGATAAACGATCATCGCGTTTAATTAGTTGCCGCACCAATACGGTTACCGCAGTAGCGTCGCGTCTATGATAGACGTTGGTTAGAACTGAACAAATGATGTAAAACTCCACTTTCGATCATCAGAAATTTAGATGTCAACGGATAAGCGCGAAGCTTATTATCCACTCTCAAACCTTACTAAGATAACGATGGACAAGAACTTATTCAGAAACTGTCAGGATAATGGATTGTGGAAAGTTGTATGTTGAGAAACTTGGATGTTAGATACGTGGATAGTTCAGAGCTCGAAGTTGAAGATACGGAATTCTCGGCAGATGAAAAGAACTCTTGGTTTACTACAAGTCACAAAGAACATAAATAGTCAATTGTATCCTGCTCTTTTTACTGTCTGTAGGCTTGACCATCGCAACTTCAACAGCTGAATCCAATTCGATTTTTACCTTCTCATTCTTTTTCAAGAATCGCTTCAAAATGCAGTACTCTACTCTTGTCTGTGCCTTTCTTGCTTCCGCCGTTGGGGCGATGCCTTTGGAAGAAAACCCATTTCCTGGTGCGACAGAGTGGACTCCCAACCACCAAGTGCAGCCAGGCGATGTTATTGTCCCTGTGAAGGATACTGGTAAGTTTTGACTCTCTAGAATGTCCCTAGAACAACACTAAATGATTTCCAGCCTATGTGGTCAAAGAAGACGTGTATCTTGCCAAACTCAAATCTAAGGGTATCAAGATTGGTGCTCCCAAGTTTGACGACACTGCCGTTCATCCCAGGTTTACGAACAACACTGTCCAGAACGAGAAGAGAGATGACTGCAGTGGCACATTCTACATTACCACCGACAAGACTGAGACCTTTGTCGATTGGGACGTACAGATGTCTCCAGTGGTTTGCGCCAACGGCGACATGGATATTAGCGTCTCCTCTGGCTTCAATGTTGCCAACACAGTTGGAGGTAGCGCAGGAGCTGATCTCACGTTCGTCAAGGATCGTCTTGGTGCCAGCCTAGGCATTGACTACAGCAAGACTTGGACGACTTTGACATCAGTTGTCACCAAGGGCACCATTAAAGATGGTAACTGCGGCGTCATGATCACCAAGCCTCTCACCACCCGTCGTTCTGGCCGCCAGTTCAAGGGCTGTATTGGATCCTCCGAGGAGGTTGGTACTTGGTATGCTGACAGTCATGAGGAGGGAAGTTATAACGGTATTAAGTGGATTGAAGGAGCTATCTCGGTGTGCTCCAAGCCAGGAAGCAACCCTCCCTTGTCTCTCTGCAACGGGCAAGGAAACTTCCGATGAAAGAAGATCCAAAGAGCATCTTTGAGTTGCCTGGGTGATTCTATACCTGTGAAAGGAGAATGGTAACTTTCATCAATTATCATGCTGCACTATTCAGGTTTTCGAGATTAGGATATGGATGTAGGCTTCTGGAATTAAGCACAAGTAATAGTCATAGAAGGAAGTTTCGGCCTTGACCTCATCTAAATGTAACTTTTAGGTTAATACAATGTCAAAAATTGTTATATGATAAAACACACTGTGCATTGAAGTAGTCATGATGGCCGGAAATTGTTTCCTGAGAACGATATGTGGTAGTCTTGGTAGTGAGGTGGGGTTATCCGGAGTCATCCGAAGGCAACGTGTATGGCATAAATGCCACGTGGACGTTGTTGATCTCAGGGTATTAGGAACATTGGCTGTTTAAGGCATAAAGAAGAAACTACTAAGTAAGTAAATATCCGGGGCGTGGAATGTTTTCCCGAGGTATTGGTTTTTTTACTGCAAGCTCTAAGGCTAGCGTCACTAAGTTGGTTAACTGACAGGTACTCCAGCACGCTAACTGGCTCGCTAGGCCGTGATAGATGTATTTTCCCGCTGATTCAGCGGGTTGTCCCATCAAACCCGCGACAGTGGAAATTATTAACCACGGTCCCGGATCCCAAGGGTGAAAACGTTTTTTCTGGTCTTGGTATTTATGAAACTCCAATGGCCGGGCACCTTCTTTTCTCTTTTAGCATCCTCCTCTGTTGAAATTTCCCTGTCTTTCGCTATGTTTCGTGTATCGCCTCGTTTCCGCCAACGTTTACTCCTAGTCGCGAAAATCGCCGCAGGGATCTCCGTCACTGGTGCCGGGACATTTCACCTCGTGACACGAAAATGCTATTTTGAGCCATTCGGACCCGAGAATGGCAGGTCCTTGTTCGAGCATCCTCTTCTCAAACAAATTAATCCTTGGAACAAACCTGGATCTTTCGACTCTTGCGTCAGAGAAGTGCCATTTGACAAATTGGACAAAACGCTTATCGAGGATGCAAAGAATGGAGGGACCAAGTTAGTCGAGCGTTTCATTGCTGGAATGTGGGGAGGGTTCGGTAAGACATGGGAAAAATAGCCTCACAGATACAATACTGATATGCGGCAGGGTACGGAATCCAAAGAAGGATAATGACTTTGTTCAAAGGTGATATCAACAAGCACGATTTATGGAAGAAAATGGAACTTCTAGGGTCTACTTATGAGCCAGGTATACCTCACAGATGTGTCGGTACTGCCTGTGCTAATATTTCTTAGGTACATATTTCACAAATCACTTCCTGGTTCTCTCAAAAACCCCAACCTGCATCACAATGAGAGGATGTTTCGACCCTCATCAGTCACCTCCCTATCCAATGGACATTGACAATATGGTTGAGGTCCACGCTGAGTTAGATGAGGCGAAGCAGGTTGCGATCCTCAAACTTCGAGTCATCACCTTTGATGGACGGAAGGAGGCGAGCGACAAGGAAGATCCATTCGGCGGTTTTGGGGGTTGGCTTCACAGACGATATTCCACTTTGCTAGTCGAGTCTGGGGCTAGAAACTGCATAAGCTGAGCAGCTACAGGTGCCTCACTGCTTTAGGAGGCCGTGGACAGATTTGGAGAAGTTTTAGTGTCGTCTAGCCCTGACGACAGAATACAAGAGTAGATCCATTGAATGATATGGGAGTTTGTACAACACGTAGGCTTGCTGCCCAGTTTATACATCTCTCCGGTGACATACTGACGATCAACCTTATTACATGAATAAAATCAACCAAATTTGTGGTATCGATTACATTGCTGTTTCCAACTGTTCATCTCTGTCTGCATCTCGCTCCTACTTGCGTTTCGTTTCTCGCTACATCATGTTCATATGTTCATACTCGCCGTTTGTTCCTTCTCGATTTGTTCCTACCTAAAAAATCAGCCGGAAGCTTCCACTGGACCGCGGGCTCTCAAATGTCCGTGAATGTATCTTCTCTTTTCTTTTTCTCCATCATTTCCTGTACCACTCACCATCGCAAGGTATCACCTGGCAGGAATCTGTACATTATTCTATGTTTCTTCATCAATCCCAGCTCCTGGTTCCCGCCTGTTAGGCTCACCATGTCTTTGAACATACCTCAACGGGCAAAGAATCTGGCGAAAGCCTATCGCCTCAAAATCGAACTCAAATCGTCACAAAACGACGTTCAAGATTAGATCGATCGAGTCAAGTCCGCCATCAAGACTCAACATAACCGTACCAAAGCAGCCTTCTCAGTTATCGAGGTCTTGGGAAAAGATATAATGGCGCTACGAAAGAATAGCGCGGTTGCCGATGCTACCACAGCCTAGGGTCAAACGATTGGAAGCATACCTCCTCGAGTGTCTGAGCGACGTGTCTGACTACCACCAGATCTTTCTCACAGTCCTCGATAATGCGCCCATCGACCGAGAGGCCTACAAGCTCATTCACAAAGAGTACAAAGAGATAATGGCAAACATGAGCGCAGCCATTGCCAAACAGACGAGCGACGAGATTGAAGTGGAACGAAACGAGCTCGAGAAGCCTCGAGATTTCGCCAAAGCATTGAGGATCAACAACGAGAAGGCGGTGCACAGGAACTCGAGCGTTTGCGACAAGGAGCACAGTTTTTGGGGCACGATTTTGCAGCTTGTAAATCTAGGTCCCAAGGGTGTGACGCTGCTCAAGGGGAAGATGGAGAACAACGGATATCATATGGAACAGATATTCTCAGAGGTCGAGGGGTGCCTAATGACAGGAAGGGAAGAACGTAATGGGAATCAGGAGTAATTATTAAATGTGGAGAAGGGGTTATGACAGCATAGCATATCCTTAGATGAGGACCAAGAGGATGGCAAAAGGGTAACTATGAATGAATATACACAACAAGGTCATTCTGTCGTGACAAAATGTCAAAACTACAAAACATACAACAGCGGGGATTCGCTGGTCGTCACCGACCCAACTACTAATCCGCCGGTTAGTGGCTTGACTATGGGAGAGCGGACGGGATCCCGTATTTTCCACTACCTCTGGTCGTATGTGACAAAATTGTCACAGTTTCCGCATGATACTTCTGCGGGCTGTTGACGGCACAGGAAAACATATCCACATACTGTTACGATCTATATATTAAACGAATGCGTACATTTCCTACTCGAAAGTCTTCGCTCCAGGGCTAAGAAGAGTCAGATTCAGCGAGCTTAGAGTGGATACACACAGCTTATGTCAGATATGCAGTGAGATCAGATCATGGATAAATATAGAAGAGACTCTGGGATGCCACCAACCACCACCAGTATAAACTCCTTCGCCCAGTCAATTTATCACTCGCGACGTCCCCTCAAATTCCTTTCAACGCAGCATGAGAAATTGAGATCTCGAATCATAATCCTTTTTCCTTGATATGAACTCGTCGCTTAAGAATGACCAAGTCAGCGCGTTCTCAGATGAGATCATACTCTTGTCATCTCATCAGCCTCGCGAAGCTTGTATGACACGGGGCTCGGATGTTGTTGAAGGATCATCTAAACACCGCGGAGATGTATGATCGTCATTTCAGCAAAGCTCTCACAGCCTATCCAAGTCATGGAATACCTACAAATTGAAACCATGGAACATGTGCATCTTGGTGGTAATTGGCACTGCATTTTCTTTGGGGTACTATCTATTCTATTTTATACTTAATAGCAAAGAGGCAATCAGTCAATCTTAAATACTAAGATATAGTATCATCTTTTCTTTCTATACTAAGGCAAGTCTTAGTATTACTACTGCTATAGCATTTTAACAAAGAGCCTAGTTAATTATTTACTATAAGATAGTCTAACTTGAAATAGTGAATTTAATTTTTACTGCTAATACTGATATTCTATCTTTATTAATAGAGTTATCTATAAAGAAGGCAAGGTTTAGCGCCTTTACAGCGCTGTATTACTAGATAATACTATTAGTTATAGTGCTAACCTCTGAGACTCTCTCTGTAATCGCTGTAGAGAGGGTTAAAAATAGAATATACCTTAATATCTAGATATTAAATTTTGTAAATAAGCTGTTAATATATTAGTAAAATCCCGCAGAAAACTAATAACTGCTTTCTTATATTATTATCACTCTGGAATATAACTGCTATAAGTATTAATACTACTAGAGATAACCTAGATAAGTTTAACTATTAAACTGCTTTAAGTTAGTAATAAAGGGAAATAGTTAGTTTAAGGGTAGCTCTAGTAAATAAGCCTATTTTTTAAAAGGATGCCAAGTAATATATCTGCTCTAAGGGTTAGAACTATTCTTATATACTTAGTTTTATTGCCTTGGGTTATACATATAAGTAGCTTATATCTAGGAAAAACTCTAAAGTATAACAACTAGGAGTAGCTACTCTACCTTTTAATACTATTATCCTTGTGCTAATAGTTAACTTAATATATTATATAAAGAATAATATCAGCGAATACTAGGGCTACTAGATAGCCTATAACCCAGGGGGCAGCCTAAATAAAAGCCTCTATACTCAAAGAACTTAGGCATATTTAAAACAGAACCTGTTATATAGATAGGCTATTGCACTATTAATAATTATTTAAAGCTATAACCTAATAACCTAGGAGAGGGAGACTGGAATAAAGCTTATACTCTGGTAAGTATTAATTGCGAATACTGTAAGGTCAATTGCACAATTCAGTTCAGCTAGGTAGAAGGAGTATAGACGCATAAGGTCCTTCAATGCAACTACTTAAGAAGGATAATCAATATAACCGTCATACCTAAGCAGGACCCTGATAAGAGATTATTAGATTAGACCTATAGCATACCGCAGACCAATTATATATATCTTCAGGATATTAAGACGTATCATCCAACTGCAGCTTACCACTCACTCAGGCACCATCTTCGACACACGTTAAATGGCATAACAAGCCTGCCGCACTATAACATCAATTCACAAATATTAGCAACACCATTGCTCAATCCAGTGGATTACCTTTCTGCTAGGACCTTCAGTCAAGCCATCAGAGATATATATAAAAAATATAATTATCTTATTATTAGCCGAGCCCTCTTTCAGTATTATATTATAGGCATCTAATAGTAAACCATCAGGGGTGGCTAAGGGCGGACTATTAATAGCATATCCCTGCCGCAGACAATATTATGCTAATGTATTCGAGTATAAAAAGGCTCAGCTATTTATAGTATATGCAGCAAATATCGCAATGGCAGTCATTGCAGTTTTAGCTGGACTACACGCCTAACGAGAAGAAGGTATAATGCATGATATAAAGCCGTCGTCGATCATCTCAGCTTCGCGAGCTTCGAATCTTAGAAGGCTAGGTGCAAACGAAGATGTTAGGATTGGCTATGGCCTTGTACAAGTGGAGGCTGGTAGGAGTGTCAGGAGCTTTGGTGTGGAGGGGAATGTGACACAACCTCAAAGGCAACAGGCGCAATGATTCATTCCACTTTATAAGTTCAGTAGAAGGTCTTCTGAAGAGAGCCGCAGGCGAAAGTCCCAGTGATAAATTACAGGTGAAGCAAAGGCTTCGGAGAATGTGCGTAGCGTACGATGATAATTGTTCGGGGGACTATACACAAATTACCAATCCGATATAAACGAGTAAGTTTTATGCTACTATTAGTCTTATAGATGTTCAAGTATAACTAGAATAACGAGCTAAATTCTTAGGATACAGCCTTCATAATATTGATAGTACTTAAGCACAGTTTTCAGTCAGCACAATATCTGCGCTGGACACATTCCTCTCAAGACTTTCCGGGTCAGGTGATCAACACCATGCATGATGTTGATAGAGATGCTTCTGATTGGGCACTCTCCAATCCAGAGCCTGATCAGAGAACATAGAAACGCTTCCTCAGCCCCTCCTCCGACTCAAAAGCATCTATACTTCTTCTTATTCCTCTTCCATCTTTACGTTCCCCAGGAGGTTCGTAAGTGCCATCGAAATCGCATAATACCACAGCTCGACACTCGACATGGCTACATGCACTGGAGCTCGTGAGGAGTGCCTCAATTTTGACACGTATCTGCTACTGGACAAGAATTTCAACGCGGATCCAGATATTGTGAGTCTCTAGAGATTGCCCATTAGATTAAATCGTAGCTCAAACTTATCTAGGCAGGAATAAGGGTAAGTATTGTTATTACCTCACCGAAAAATGACTCAGCTAATAACAAAGACAGGTCATCACTTCCATTCTGATCTCTGCTTGGATCTCCCTTGGTGTTGCCCTAGTTGCGTACTTCCATGACGACTCATGGAAGTCCGAAAGGCTTGACAAAGAGCTGATCAGCATCTCGATGCGACTTCGGCAATATTATTCTGGAAGCATAAGCCACTGAGATACATCATTAGACCAGAGGCGGCCAAGACGACGGCTTCTCAAGGGCCTGGTTGATTGTGTCCACGCTCTCAGTGACCAGCAACTGGCTATTGGACTTGCACTCCTACTGACCAGCTTTATCCAGCATTGCACAATTACGCAATACCACTTCTTTGTGGTATACGCGGCATCATGGATCTCAACAAACGTTCATCAATGCGCAGCACAGGTTCTAGGCAGCAGAAGAAACAAGTGGCGCCTAACACGTTTAGTGTTGTTCTGGTCATCGTCCTGTGGCCTTTGCTTGCTGCTTCGCTGATCATTGTTTTGAATGAGAGGTTCATGAAAGTGTTGGGGTTGTCGACACAGTGTATCTGGGACGAGCTCTTTCGACTTCCTGCACGATCTTTTTTCTTCATGTTAGTTGAGCAAGCAATTCTTATTTGGGGAACCATCGACACACTGGGGAGTTATTCAGTCACCGTGGCCGGATGGATGAAGGTCCTGAGTGCTAGGCTTAATTTCGTCCTGAGCGCGCCCAGAAAGGTGCTATTTCGGATCAGAAAATATCGTGGTCAGCCAGTCCAAAGGATGCAGCTCCTCAAACCATCTTGGAATGACCCGATGGCGCAGCCGAGTACAGTCTCCCATCTTCGAAGACACGCGATCCTGGTTGAAGTAACACTTTGGGTTGTCTTTATTCTTGCAACCTTGCTACTTTTGCTTTTGGAATCAAACCTCATCAACTTACTCAGGATTGTCGGAATTGTTACTCTTCAGACGTTGACTATAGGCTGGACCAAACAGAGAGCGGCGTTGAGTGGGGAGATGAAAGGGAGTGAGAATGAAATGGGGTTTGGGCAGATCATGCCTTTGCTACTCCTCATTCTTCCAATTTTATCCATAATCCAGAGCTTCGACAGTACGGCCCAATTTTAGGCTACAGTGTGATTACTATACTAATTTCCTCTACAGACTCAAAGGACTCGGATGAATCAACGGCAACTCCAGAGACGATGTCAACGCACAGCAGTCGCCGGGTTTCAGAAGCACAAATTACTAGTTCCGGAGCGCTCATTGAAGCAAACTCTATAGCGGTTTCAGTAAATGCTTCTCAAACTATCATTGGGTCAACTGGTATGCAACGGGCCACAACGGAAGACGACGAAGGGAGAATGCTGGTTGCTCGTGTTAGAACAGGCACCGACCTTGAGCGATGCCTCGCTCCAGCGCGTTTGATTTCCCAACCAAGCTCAGGAGCCAATCTCGACATCCAGGACGGTTCTGAAGATACTTCTTCCATCAGCGCGGATATTGCAAAATTACAGGACGCTCTGTGCAGAGAGCCCTGGTTCCTCACATTTGTCCTGGCTCTTGTGATGATATACTTTGCATATGTTGGCCTGGCCTTCCAATACTACTTGCCGGTGGCCTGATCGTCCTCTGAATAACGGATGTATGATGAAACCAAAGTCCCCGATCTTGATAAAAGCTTCATTGTAAGTGTCGAGAACTTTTGTGTGGAAGGGACTGTTCGCAACCTGAAAGGCCACAAGCGGAATGCCCCATGCAACTTCTGAAATTGCATGAGAGGTCTTCCGATTACAGCCATAGGGGACAGGGGGAGCAAGGTCACGGACTGAACAGAGGCGGGACTTTGAAAACATACCCATTGCGAGCAAGCTACAGCCGTCAAGGACTAAGTATTCGCTATTGACCCTACACAAATTGAGAATTTGCATATCACTAAACCGAGGACTATAATTCGTAGTTACTCCGGCCCAACGGCCTCAAGCGTAGATACGTCCCCTCAGCCTATCACGATGGTAGTTGAAGTTGATACAATTGATTACCTTAGAAACGGTCAAGTGTGGAGCCATGTTAGCTTATGAGATCTATTCTGTCATTCTATCGGGGCCCAGCGTCCATTTCATGTAGTGTTGGCTCTGACTTCGACTCAGCTAACTCTGCCCTTGGTGACTGGATAGGTGTTTGCAATTCATGTACGTTGGCTTGAGTGAACTTTCCAGACGCTGGTGTCTCAGAACCGCCTTCAGTAGTGTAGCTTGGAATTGTCCGGGAACGTCGCCGACGTACTAGCAAAAACAAAGCCGTAATCAATAATGCTATGGCTGCAACCGCACCAACGACGATGCCTGCAATACTTCCTCCGCTCAGTGCCTGCTTGTGACTTGGCTGCGGCGCTGATGTATTCGTTTCAGACGGGATTGCTGACGCCCCCTTGGCTGTCATTAAAGTCGTGGCTGTCTCGGCGGGTGACACTCCCGTAGCCTTGTAAAGATTGACACGCCAATAACCACCACACTGTTGGTCGCCCCCTCCTGGGCACGAAGAACTACAATCCTTAGCTGAGGCCGAGTTGGCAGGGCCGAACGTGGTGCTATCACAGAAGCATTGGTCTCCATTTTGAACACCACAGTATTGATAATTGTTATCGACATTCTGGCACCATTCGCAGCAGTATTTCGGATCGTTCAGAATGGGAGGGGTGTAAGCCCCGCGAAGGATTCGGTCGCTGGAGTCAGAATAGCAGCCGAGGTAGGAGTAGCCCTGCAAAAGCTGCGGTGTCACGGTCTCTGGTGATGCCACTGTTGTCGTCGGGGCAGTGGAACTGTAGATGTTCAATCTCCACTCTCCTCCACAAGCAACTGAGCCGTCGCCAGGACATTTTGAGTTGCAGTCTGAAGCTGAGGCAAGGTCGACGCTGGGCATGGTGCTGTCGCAATAGCATTGACCTCCATATTCGACACCGCAGATCGTATTCGCCGTATCGGCGTTCGCGCACCATTGGCAACAATACTGTGGCTCGTTAAATATGGGCGTTGTCGAGGTTGCACTGAGAACATGGCTTGACAAATCTGTGTAGCAGCCAAGATAGGCGTGACCCAATACGGATTTGATCTTGAGATTCGTCATATCGGAAGATCGGTGACTTTTAATCCTGATTTAAAAACAGAAAGCATATAATGTCTTTGGATGCTTATCACCAAGAGCCAAAGTATGCCGGATCCTGAAATACAGGAAGTGCAGAGATATCAAGCCCCCTTAAATAAAGCTAATCACTATATGCTTGTAACTGCCTCCCACGGAGTAACCATGGCAAGAGAAAGATAGCCTACAATTTACGTTAATGTATACACAAGCTTTGTATACATGTCTTCTGGTATGCGGCAGCATACATGTGTAAGTATCTTGCAGGCTGATGTAGGGAGGCAGTACTTCCAACTTCCGTGGCTGATTTATGTCCACTTTACAGAGAGTGCTTTGATCCTTTCAGCGTATCGCAGCGAATAACATGCCCATTCAGCCCTTCAGGTCGCCTGATGAAGCCACACCTGAGCTAACGTGTCCTTAGCTTAACACAAATGAGGCCACATGCAGTTCAGCTTGTAAAGTGCATAACAGTTTTCGTATTGCAGATTCAGGAACGTAGTAATAAGGACATACATTGTTACGTCCCTAAAGTAATTCGATAGCTACGTAGTCTCAAGTCAGAATTACTGTTTTTGTAACCGCATCACGAGAAATATTGAAAAAGCAATCAAGCACATTAGTAACTCCCACCAATAACTCCTGCCGACATCGCGATAACAAATTACAATAACCTGATCGAGGCTGAGTTATAGCCTGCCTTATGTTTTTCCATCTGAGCGTTGGAAGTCGTCGATCTCTTACCTGATTTGGAACCCAACACCGGTAGCGGGTGATGACACTTGCAGCCAGCTCCACAAAGAGTAGTCCAAAGACTTAATTGACTGGTGGTCAGGAAACGCGCATTTACGCCAGCCTCCACTTAGCACCTTGTGCTAGCGATGATAGCGCCCGACGCTAGTGGTCGTCAATGCGGACTATGGAACTATCCCGTCGACCCATGCTTGGATCGCCCCATCCTTGCACGGTAGGCGTAGATGGCTTAGTCTTTAGCTACACTAATAACTCCCACAAGGCTGCCTTTGGCTTTAGTATATAGGGTAGGTAATGTAGAAAGTAAAAAAGTGAGAAAGTGGGGTAGGTATGATCTGGTTGTAACATATATAGCAAAAGACTAAGATATAAGGTCCCTGACCTTACACTGCATTCATATATATATAGCTGTGACGATTGGGTTTTCCAAGGGATAAACTAGTCCATTCTGAGTTTATATTGGCATGGTAGTAGGATAGAATACTGAGCGTAGCAAAGTGTTATATCTCTTAATAGTGAATAGAGCAGGTTAGGCGTATTCAGGTAAAGATATTTTATTAATAGCTATTAAGCTAAATATACCAATTAATGCTAAGTGAATATATATATATCCGTAGTAGCTTATGGTTAAGCATTAGGCTTATATCGTAAGTTGCATCGTGAGCCGTGTGTCGCAGAGTCTGGCGGCTCAAGGTCTGACTAAGCTAGTGTAGGTGGTTGGTACCATAATTAGTGAAAAATAGTGGGGTCTACGTAATCATCTGTTGGGTCATAACACAGTTCTCAAGACTGCAAAGGTTTCAATAATTACCAGTATTCTCAAAGTTAATAGACATAGAAATACATATCTAATTAATTGTTATTTTCAGATGTAAATTGCGCATATTTAGTTCGGTTTGCAAGAGAATACTAACGCTGTCCAGATTTGAGGATATGCAATCCACCGTAGAGATGTTGGTTTAAAGGTAAATTCTAACCTGTGGTAATTCCTAGAGCAACTATATATAAGAACCAATAACATTTTTTGCCATTTTAGCTTCTGCAGCCAATGGTAAAATATTGTCTCTATTTATCTGCCTACCTCCCCAGCAGCTTGCTGTAGTAGGTAGTTAGTGTGAAGTTTGATCTTGACGCTAGTGGAGGTGCTGTCTACGGGACGGCCCGCACATCTTTTAACTGTCTCTGAGAAGGTGCATGAACATGAGAATCATTTCCTTTTCACTAAAAACTAATTCCGATATCCTCCCTCACCCAAGTATCATTTTATCTTGGCTCTAAATACGCGTATATTTCATACATCAAATTCCTTCCGGAACCTTTGTCCGCGTGATGATACACTAATGTACCCCGAACTTGTCTAGAATTCCGGCGATGCGACCTGTCCCTTTGTCTCTTCACCTTTCGGCTTTTTTGTCGGTTCAGGCGTGGGAACTGTGTTTTCTGGCTCCTCAGAATCCAAACTTCGCTTGCCCAGGGTCGAAGGCGGAGGCTGATCTGGTCGAGGCTTCTATAGTCAGTACGCTTGCAAAGTTTTGTTGCAAACAAGAACAACTTACTCTTTCACAGTCTAGACAGAACTGACTTTTGAAGTTATACGGGGCCATAGTCAGGAAGCTATGCTCCGCCTTGGGTACCCGGCAGAAGGCGCAGATGATTTTACCGGTCGCTGGATCATCCATCAAGACTGGACCTGTTACTAGGGCCCCGTCGGGGCCAAAGGCGTATTGCACACTGCCGATAACTTGTTGCTCTTCCATTGCCAAAGGTGTTTTGAGAAGTAGAAGTTCTGTAGTGAAGAAAAAGATGATGTCTGACGTGATGACGTGTTCATTGTCTGTGTCCACTTGGATATTGGTGAGGGGTTGTTAAGACATGGCGTTTCGAAGTCGCTGTGTAAGCACCTGAATCTATGCGGGAGTTTCTTCCAATCTCGACATCTGACAAATGAAATCATCGCAGAGTCATTCATAATGACATGCATTTTCAAATCGATGTGACTCCTTTGATGTTCTGCTGGTAGATAGTCACATACATGAACAATCGGATACAAGATGGCAATGCTTAAATATGTACAGGGAAGTTTGACTGCTCAATCATTAGGGACGACGTGAGGTATCTGAACGATAACAGGAATGCCTTAGGTGCTAACACTTAGTATGCGCTATTATAAACTGAGAGAAATACATTGAAACTCGCAATGACATCCATATTATTCCATTCTTAGCTTGCGTGGAGTTGACTGGCCCTGCTCTTGTAGCAGCCATCTGTTGTGGTCGATTATATCCAAATGGCCAAACAGGTCTGTTAGCTGACAATTTTGAGATTATGAGGTCACTTTTCCCAAGATGAATCTATGTAGAGCTCGGCAAGAAGTCAATGGCAGAACACACAACAAAGTAGTCTGCGAGATTCTCAACATTGTATAGTTTATATCTGTGACGGAATGATGGTCAATTTTGTTACGAATTGAAGGCAATCTCTAATCGTAGCGCCCAGGCCCATATGTGAGACTTGTAAGTCTGAAAACAGCCATAGATAAACGATATAATAGTAAAATACCGATATAATCGACAACCCATCTCAATCCTGGTACCACCACGTATCATGCTGAGTCCTCCAGGTGGACATTTCCACCATATTATCCCGGCGTACAAGAACTCTGGCCCAGTCTTTCAGCTCGAAATTGGGCACTTCTTTGTCTGATTCAGAGTCATAATAACGATAACGATAATTATCATCGTATAATCTCCCACCCAACTCATCGCCGTTAAAAAGGGAAACATCGTGAAGAAAATCAAATGCAGTGAGAAACTTAGGTTCCTTATCCTCAAGTGACCTGAGTATGTCCTCTTTGCTCACTTCGACACACCCCGGCTTGCAGACCTCCCAGCTCAATTCTACATACTCGCCTTCGCAGTCGCGGTAAACAGTTCTGTCCTCCTCAACAGAACCTTCAAACCACGTAGAATTGTTGTCGATGATCCATAGAGACCTACAAGGTATATCCCCCTAGAGCATATCGATGAGTAGAAGTCCCCAGAGTCCGCGGACTGACAGATCGCTTGCCATCTCGGACATTTGCATCCTATACTCTATGTTCCAGCTCTTGTCAAATTTAAGTGCAAGATTGTCCAAGGGTATGGAATGGAGTGGCTTCTCATCCTTTGTACAACGAATAAATGGTATAGATAGACATGAGTCTGGGATCCCCCAATTCATAAATTTCCACGCCTCCAGGTTGACGCAAAAGATGTCACGAGCGGGGTACACAAGCATATGCCATTCCTGAGATGGTTTAATCTTGAAGGTCATTTAAAATTAAGTTTAACTGATTGAAGAAAATGCAAAAGAGCTTACTTAACACGAGCTTGTATTCTTGTAATACTGGAGCTTCAGCATACAGTCGTCTTTCCAAGTCGACAAATAGACGGTGCAAAAATAAGACTCCGGTACAGGGAATCGAACCCTGGGCTCCGCGGTACTGATCTCTCAAGTTATGAGAGCGCGAAATGTTAGCCACTACACCATACCGGACTTGTTATAATCTTGGGCTTCAATTTAATATTACAAAGCCCAGAGCGTAGGAAGCAACGTTCACCCTACCGGATAATCGAACATCGCGATTAGTGACTATTGACCGGTTAGTTGTAAAAAGCGTCTATATCGGACAATCATAATTGGATAATGCTTGGTTACTGAAGGTTCGTGTGTATTGGTATATTCATGGCTCTACACATTTTCTAAAGGCTAATACCGGCAGTTTCTCTCTTTCTGAAGCTTTATGTTCCAAAATGAAGGGTTCAAGAAGCAACCTTATTCTCACACAAGTGTATTGGTGTGTACTGCTAATATAACAACAGATAGTAATAAGCAGAATCCTCAACAGGCCTTATCTAGCTTCCTCCAGCTGCACTGGAAGCTCATCTTGCATGACAAATGTGACATACTCGCTCCCAATAATGTCGCGAAATTGCATGTCCTTACTAGGAGAAAATCTACGAACAACCTGTGCAATTGCAACTCGCTGTTCAGCTAGGGACAAACTAAATAATATGTTAGCTACCCATATATCAACTGATCGACAGATGGACCAAGACTTACCTTTGCCCGATGCATGATCGTGTACCTCTGGAGAAAGGATAAAAATATCCTTCAAGCTCTTTACTGTTTTCCTGAAGCCATCTTTCTGGTCGGTACTTTTTTGGCTCTGGGAAAATCTCCTCATCATGAGCTATGTAAGAGATGCAGGAAGATACAACAGTCTATGTAGTACATTGGCAAAGTCCAAAACATGATTGCGAAAGATGACTTACACCAGCGGGAAGCTTTGTGCCTTTGACCTCCCAACCTTCTGCTGGCACGATACGGGGAAGCCGTCCTCGTGGTGGACATGCTAAACGAAGGCTCTCTTTAATACAGGCTTCAAGGAACGGTAGACTTTCAAGCTCCCTCAAGCTCGCCTTTGAGTTAACATCTGGCATGACCGTCTTCAGCTCGTCCTGAAGACGCACATAATTATCGGGTTGGTGCATCAGGTACCAGAGAGCGAAAGAGACTGTGATTGCAGTTGTGTCTGTGCCTACTTGGTGATTAGCTTCGGTCAACTACAAGACAATGGCTGTCTTAGCTGTACCTGCAAAGAACATTGTGCCGCTTTCCGCAATGAGTTCGCCATCAGTCAGTGACTGATCCTTCGCCTTCAGTAAGGACTGCATTTGCTTGAAAAGACCCGACTGAACGCTTGACTTTCGAGACGATTGCAAAAGCTCCATTCCAACCTGACAGAATTGAGGTAAGTAAATACATGTTTAAGAAAGAAAGAAAAAACTAATTCTTACCGTAGGCAGGATCCTGATATCTGATGGAAATAGTGTAGGGAATGTAGCGGAAAGATGGTTCAAAGTCTTTTTAATGAGAGGGAAATGCTGGAGCTAGGTAGGATATGTTAGCAAATTATGATGTGTTTCAAAGTAAGTAAAGCTTACCGTTAGCAGAGCCTTAGGACTCTCATCGAGTACTTTGAATAGCTTTGGGATCACACTTTCCATGTAATCAGGTGAAACAGGATTTTGTCCATAACAAAAGGCAACAATAGACTTAAGGGCAAACCTGCGTATGACAGGAAATAAAGCGATGGTCTCACCCTTCCTAATACTCGTAGTAAGCTCCTCAACGACTGGCTTGATAGTTTCATGTAAAATGGCGTCGTGTTCCTCCTCAGAGGCTCGTGAAAAAGAAGGAGACATGAGCCTTTTTCGTTTTGAGTGTTCATCTACCCCGGAAAAGGAAAATAACATGCCATGGTCGGATTTGAAGGCATCATAAAAGGTAGGGTCTTTAAGGAATTGGGTTCCTTGCTTGTTAATTGTCACAAATGCTTCTCGATCTTTGATTGAGATTTCATTTGGCGCAACACGAACCAATGGCCCTGTTTAAAGTTAGATGAGAGACCTATCTGGCATGTATGTACTTGTACATACCATATCGTTTATGCAAAACTGACACAGTATTTGCTCCATCGCCACCTCGCTCCGCCAGATAGAGCCAGATTCGGGTAATCTTGCACGCCAAGGGTCCAGGTATCTTAGCTAGTGGGTGGAAAAAAACATTATAAAGGATTGCCCCAAGGAGATTGAGCAAAATGAGAGCGAGGAAGAGAATTACAATCTCGTGCTTCTTTGGAAACTCTAGGTGGTGTGGAAGCATCTTGATAGCTGGAACAAAACAAGCACCCAGATTGTGATTGTTGGTGTATCCCAATATTGTTCGATTCCTTCTTGTTTATATTTCTTCAAAGTCCAGAGGCCGCGTACGTGATATCCATCTCTGAAGGTTCCGGGTTTGGCCTTGCATTTTCGGATAAAGACACCACCGGTATATCTACCGGCACCCGGATCCGGGCGGCGTCGGCGTCTGAACGGACATGAGAATCGTTCATCCGACAGTCCTGCACTCCGTACAGATGGGGGTCTGTTGTTTCGGTGGAATCAACAATCGTACGTTTTATCAGAAAGTACTGAGTTACGTATGAATCTAAATAAGCACAACGTCTACCTTCGAGCCACTCAATTCCTCCCCATTTTCAACCACAACACAAACTCACAACGTTTCAAACCGAACTCAATAACCTTACACACTGCTGTGTCTCTTTAATAATGTCAAATTTCAATGTTATAATTGTCGGCGGTGGACTTGCAGGGCCGCTTCTGGCTAGCGGGTTGCTCCAAAAAGGTATCAAGGTCGACGTCTATGAGAGGCTCGAGGAGAATGCAAAGCGCGATGGATACAACATCCGAGTTGCGCAACCCTGTTTACAAGCTTTCGAAGAATGTCTCGATGCCAAGGCAATTGATCAGATCAAACAAAGAATGGGACGGTTCGAAGATAACCAAGAGACTACGCCAATCTGGTACGACTACAGGATGAAACCATTGCTCAACATGTCACGGATCAGCACAAAATATCACGATTCAGCACCCATGGACCGCGTAGTGCTCCGCAATACAATCATCCAAAAACCACTCAGTCAAGGGATTATGCATCATGGAAAGGCATTTTCCAGGTATGAAATTGTCAAGACAAATAGTGGACAAGAGAAAGTTCGAGTTTGGTTCCAGGATGACACCTCGGTAGACGGTGACATCTTGATAGCAGCGGATGGCAGTCATTCCACAGTAAGTTTTGTTTCAACGACTTGATTTCACCACCTCTGTTGGTCATTCGGATTCCATCTTGCCACAGTCTAACGGTGTACTTAGATCAACAAACAAGTCGGCTTAAATCATATTCAGCAGTTGGACGCCATCTCCTTCATCGCCAAAGTCAAGTTGTCGAAAGAAATGTTGGACAAGCTCCCAAAGCGTTGCCTCGTTTCCCCAATCATCACTTTCTCCCACCGCAAGACATATTTTGCTATAGGCAAGTAGCAGCTTATACATCTCCGCCTGTTAGTAACAATTACTGACCATATCGAAGCCTATCTCCCTGGAGCCCGTCAAGAAAAGGTTGATCAAAAGAAGGGCAAGGAAGGTTTAGATTTTGACAACCAGACTGCTTCTTTTACCTTTAACATGTCGCTACCAACAGCTGACTGCCCTCCTGATATCGAGGAGCGAGACACAGACCAGATATGGCAATTTCTCTCAGAATCTATCCCTGCTTGGCATCAAGATTTGTTAGTATGAGTCCATCACTTTGGGAACCGGTTTATTAAGTCTGTTCACAGTCGGCAAATCATCGACGTAGTAAGAGGAGAGGACATTCACACATTCCGGCCTCAGGCTACTGTGAGGCCATCCCTTGACTGGCGCAAGAATGTCCGATCGGCTAAGGAACCCCTTCCTGGACACCCACGAGTTTGGCTCATGGGTGACGCCATGCATGCCATGATGCCCAATCGTGGTATGGGCGGAAACCAAGCTATGCTTGACGCCAAGGTTATTCTGCCCTTCCTCGAGCGACTCAACCACCTTGCAAAGACAACGGGTGCTGTTTCCGAAGAGGCTATTGGAGCAGCATGCGCCGAGTACGAGCGGGAAATGATACCTCGCGCCTTTGAATGGGTCGAGTCGAGCGGAGGCACCAAACCCATCGTGAGTGAATCCAATTAACATTCCATACAGGTTTTCAGAGCAGCTAACTCTATCAAAGCCATTTGATACCAATTCATTCTTTGGCTGGATATCGGTATGGTGCCTCATTTTCGGCTTTCAAATTAAAGACATGTTGAACGCGCTGTTTGGAAAGTCTTGATTTCGATGCAGGGTTGGAGGTTGAGGAACGCCAATTTGACAAGCGCAGATTCAAGCCAGTTGAAGCTATCCATTGTATTTGTTTAGTCATCTAGTAAATTTATTGAAATTTGTATCGTACAGTATTTACTTAGACAACTGTGAAAAGATTCTCGTATGAGTTTTACAGGATAATCATTAGTACGATAAAATGTTGCTCAACAGCTTTGAGGACTGTGTTCGGGACAAAAACACAAACCCATCAAGATAGATCCAAGATTGGACTATGAAGTCCTACATAAAGTCAGCTTGGTCAAAGGCGATAAGCAGTAGCGTCAAGGCTCTGTTCAGTTCTCAATTATCTCGCATCGTTGATATACAAAGTCATTAGACCAGTGGAGGGCCGGAGTGTCTGCTGAAGGCATCCGTTTGTCTGAGAATGCTGTGTACCTCCCGCTTCTTATTAGAGCACAAGTATCCGGTATGTTGTCACTGTACTGATCCTACAATTGATTAACAGGGCCCTCGAGATAGATCAAAACCTCTCTTCTTGAGAAGCGAAGTCATGACCGAGATACGAAGCTACCGAGACGTTTGACGAGACACGTCGAGACTAACCAATAATTCAATGTTATATATACTATGGGAAGCTATAGACACTCGCTACTTTTGCATGTACCACGCCAGATCCTCATCTTTGGTTTCTCTAAATGTGAAACCACTGCCCATAAACTGGAAACGATTCTTGACAGTATACTCAAACTCAAAGTCCTCTGTCCTAAAGCCTTCCAGCATTTCCTGGAAATGTATCACACTGCCAGGGTACATGACTGTCACTTTGTCATTCTTGAACCAAGATCTGCAGTTCCCTGTGAATACTGTCCTTTTCGCCGACTCCTGGACATAAGTGTTGTAATCATCCAGCGCATCCTGCCGGACTTGGATAGACCTGAGTAAGTCATTGTCAATATGTGTTTTCAATAATGTTGAAAGAGAGAACTCACTTAATATCCTGAGTCGATATCTTGCGGATCCACCTCGCGATGTAATCTACCGTGAAATCCATGGCAGCTATGATGCTTCCGTTCGCCAACGGGGTATTGGGCCCGTTGATTGTGAAGAAATTCGGCATGTTGACAGCCATAACGCCGAAGTAGGCCTCGGGGGCATCCTTCCATTGCTCTACTAGTAAAGCACCATTCCTACCTATGACTTTCCACCCAGGGCGGAAGCTCACGTCGAATCCAGTTGCACAGACAATAATGTCAAAATCGTGGCTCTTGGACATAGTAAGGATGTCGCGTTCAGTAACTTCCTTGATGGGGTCAAACTCAAGCGTGACGTTGTCCATCTGTAAAGCTTCTAGATAGTTATCACCGGGCGTTAGCCGGCGGCATCCCACTTCGAAGGTTGGAATAAGCTTGGCGCATAGGTTAGGGTCATGGTTGAGAGCCTTCTCCATCCTACCCTTGAATATTCTGAACGCCGCTACCTGTTCAGGACTGCCCTTGATTAATAGTTGAAAAAGTTTATTCATTGAATGTTCAATTTCCTTTCTTAGCTTGAGGATCTTTTCAGGACTGTCGTTGAAAGACTGAATCTCTTCATCCGTATAGGTAAAGTTTTTTCCTTCCGGCGTGAATTCAGAGACAAACGCACTTGATACCCAAAGAGGATTTCGGACAAAATTGACAATCTTGGCTTCCGTGGGCTGCATCTGAGGAAGCAACTGCACTGCTGAAGATCCATTGCCGATGATACCGACTTTCTTGCCTGACCAGTCAAGGTTCGTGTCCCAAGCGGCGGTGGGCATGAGCGTTCCTTTAAATTTGTCCAAACCCGCGATTGTGGGCCAATTCCACTTGCTGAGGAAGCCAGTTGCATTGATTAATATGTCGGCTTCGTCTTTAATGACGTCGGAGCTATTCTGTTGCCGGATTTCAAGGCGCCACTTCCCAGCTTCATCATCCCAGATTGAGGAGACCAGCTCAGAATTGAACTGAACCGGCATGTCAAGCTGATATTTATCGGACGTCTTCTTGATATATCTCCATATTTCAGGACCAGAAGCGTAGAAACAGCTCCACGATGGATTGGGTTCAAAAGGGAATGTGTAGATGTGTGCAGGGACATCGCACGCGACTCCAGGGTACTTGTTCACGAACCAAGTTCCACCCACATCTGCATTCTTTAAAGATGTTCTATTACGTGAGTGGTTGAAATTACAATGCCTACAACTATATACGTTGTGTACAGCCAGATAAATAGTTTTCCACTCGACCATCATTTACCTCAATAAAATCACATGCCGCCGAATCCCCCGAGAGCAAAACAGATCACTGCTAGACATAGTATCCGAAAAAAACCGTTTGTCTCCTACCTGGAAGGCCCTATTATTCAATCTACCGGGGCCGTTCCGGGGTCATGCATCGGAAGCCAGCCCCGGCCCGGGAGCACCCCGCAGCCGGTCGGTCTAGGAGATTTGATTTGTCCGGGTCTTGGTCATATCCAGTTTACCAACGTTCCAGCTACTAGGCGGGGAATAAAGATGTTAATCCCGATTTTTAGTAGCAATGTCCAGAATAAAAAGGCTAATTATATAATTTAGCAGAGATAACTGAATCTTTTCTTATAACACTGTTCTTACCACGAATTCACATTTATAATTGCTATAAGATGTCTGACAAACCTACTTTGGAGTTCTTTGGTATGTATTTGAAAGAAAATCGTGGAAAACTATGCCTTCAGGCTCGTGGCCTTCATCTTACTGATTGAATCTCCCGGTGCAGGAACAACCACTTTTAGGCTCAAGTGGCAGTCTTTGACCATTTTTCATGACACTTGGCTCAAGAAGCCAGTTGGTATGAAGCGATATCTCGAGCTTGACGACGTCACTGCATTGGATTACATCGTTATCTCGCATGCCCATTTTGATCAGTGCGTTAAAACATGGCCTTGAGATCACACGTAAACGCTCACAAGACTTTAGTCTCCCAGGTGCGGACCAATTAGCTCTGCGAACTGGCGCAACAGTGATTGCGAACTGTGAGGCCATCAACTGCCTCCGAGACGCCGGCGTGCCCGAGACACAGTTGATCCCAGTCAGTGGAGGTGAAAGAGTGCCTCTATTCACAAAAGACATTCTCAAACAAGCTGCTGAAGGAACCATCGATCGAGCTCCAGCACCGCCAACGGCGCCTTACAGGCCCCATGTCAAGTATGCAGCATTAGCAGTTCATGTCTGGCCATCGCTGCATTCCCTCATCCCTGGCGTCACCTCACACGACTTACCTGAGCACTTCGACACGGCACAATCCTACACTGGCGAAACTACCCCGTATGATTGTTCCTTGGATATCACCAGGCTAATGCAGTATGGCCTTTTCCGGATGAAAGAGATTGCCCCGGAAGGTCAAATGGACGAGGGAATGCGCGCCTTTGCTGACTATGTGCAAGACCGCAGAACTCACGTCATGTCACACTGTGATGGCGGTCAACTCATGTACAACTTTGTTTCTGGCGAGAAGGCGATATTGTTCAACACTCACCTTGGTGCTTACGAGGGTGTTTCAAAGTCTCTGACGCCAAAGCCCACTGTTGCCATCCTTGGCGCTGGCGGGCGGGCAAATCTCAACGGGAGACCATTCCAAGGTTCAGCAGCTGAGTTCCTTACCGAACAAATCAAGTGGCTTGGAGAGCCTGCGAATATCTTCTTCTGTTTGCATGATGAGAAGTAAGTACAATACTCGAATTCTTTTTGGGGTTATATAACTAACTATTTCAAGTCTCATCAAACCTTACACAGTTGATATCACTGGGGCGAAGACGTTGATAGAGAAGGAGACGTCTGGGAAGGTTATCGACACTCAGCCTGGAAAGACATACACTTTAGACGTATAGTTTTATGCTTGGAGTTGGGCGTATCATATATAATTCCGTGAATACATCCTCGTTGCTATACTTGCTGGTAGTGATATTAAAATAACAAAGCGCTAGTCCTTACTTGGCTTCTCATATAGTATAACGAGTATTGTTTCAACTATCGTCTTTCGAAAATGAACGCCAATCCAATTTATTATTCCGATTTCTTGAGATAACTAAAAAAACTCCTCTTTCTTCTGGAAGTGTACCTAGAGCCAGCCGAAACTGGAGAGATTGAAGGTTTCGGTGTTTGAAATATCCCCAAAATCAGACAAATCAGTTATCTGTGACCCCAGTAGGAAGTCTAGCGATAGATCAGTCGAGCTTCCACCGCTATTGTCTGTCTCTGTCTCTGTCTCTAAAGAAGACCCCTCTGTCAAATAGCTTGTTGATGAAGAACCGACAGGGCTTTGGAACACCAACTCATCGATATCGCCAGTGAACCATGCGTTCTTTTTACCAAATGTTGTACTTGGTAAGGGTACTTCTTCATTCAAACATCCAAACAGGTCAGTCACCAAATGGCTTTTCTGTTTAACGATACGACTGTTTCGTTGCTCAATGTACTCGTTACACACAGATTGAAGCTGCTCCAAGACTTGGCGGTAATACCTAGCAATGTCGTCATGCAACTCAAACTTCTTCAGTAATTTATCTGCTGTTTTCAAATTCCCTCGTAGGGGAAATACTTGATCGAGATCTGCAAATGTGGCAAGACCAAGCGTCAAGGCAGCAGTGATTGTCGAGTGGACCACGAATGGTAATTGCTTGGGCAAATCTGTTCTTGGTAGAAGTGCTTCAAGTAAACCGATGCTTCGAAGAGCTGAGTCAACTGAGGCGTAAACGAGAGCAGTATCAGAAACTGAGCCTGATGATTCGGAGTCTTGGTCTCCATCAGGCCTGGCGCGTACTATCCGAGCTTTCACCCGTTCGAGAAGAACAGGGCGTGTCAGCAACATGATTGACCAGTAGTATGACTCCTTCATATGACAAAGTCGAAGGTTGGGTTCATCATCGTATTTTTCAAGAATGTATGCCGCGTCGATTCCATCAGCCTCTAGGCCCCGGACCATGCGTTTTGCCCACAAGCGATGCTCCTGAGTCATGTTCGCGATGAATTCTTTTGAAATAGCGGAAGTCCCATAAACCTCTTTCAGGACGGTGCCAATGATAGCTGTCATGTCGATGGCGGAAGAATATCCCTGTTCCATCTTTGTGTTACGAGTCTCGGTTGTGCAAACAGGCCGTCCTAAAGAACCACTGATGAAGATATCCATCATCCGCAGTGCCTTCCACAGCCGGTCGCGAAAACCAAAGCTGTCATTATTCATAGGAGGTGAGTGATTAGGTAGATGAAGACCCATAGAGCATGCTCCACGGCATGCAACTCCGATAGAGTGGTAAGCAGCATCTCGCCTCCCCGTATGGAGATGGTAAAAAAAGATAAAGCAATGACACAGGATGGACTTGTGATTGAGCCGCTCTTCGGAGGCTAGCTTAATGAGAAATGCCGCGTAAGAAAAATACGCATCGGCAACTTCAACCTGGTCCCCGGGACATTGCAGTGCACCGTTCGCAAGAACCAAGTAGCAAAAGGCGGTCGAAAGGTCTGGAGGTTGGTCGGAGTGTTCGAGCCACTGCAAAATTTCGGCCTCAAGGCTGTCTTTGTCACAAACACCAAGCAACCCATTTGTCGCTCGCATACTCCATCTGACGAAATATTTGGCTTCTGCGATGCCTGGCTTGGGCGGAGGGTCTAGAATGGTAACCAAAGATATGGATGATGGAGTAGCAGTGTTGGGATCGGTGTGGTATTTTATCGGATGGTCGACAAACGGACACGATCCCAGAGTTTGGGCAACAAGATGCTGAATCTGCTGGAGAAAAGATTCATTTGCCGAGTCTCCGAAAAAGACCATGTCCCCCTTCTCGTCAAAGACAAGACTACAAACGTTGGAGAATGGGCTACCCAGGAAGTCGCCAGTCTCGCAGCGTGCAGTCTGTGTCGAAACAGGAGTTTTGGGCGTAATCCATTTAAATTTTGTTGAGCGCATGCGAAGACTTTGGTTCGGAGAAGACGTCTCTCTTTGTCCTGAATAGTGACATTCTGCGGCAGGCCGTCTTGCCGAGCATCTTCGGCAAGGGGTCTTACCATCGCACCGCTCTTTGCGACGTTTGCAGTTGTCGCAAGCCATAACACAACGACGGCGCATGTCGTCACTGACTTTTTTGGTGGGCATTTTTCTTTATAGCTTTGCTTTTTAAGTCGGTAGTCAAGTAATTGTATAATACAAGATCAACCGAGATCTGAGAGACGGAGATACTATTACTTATTTTCCTTCGGATATGGGGCCGCAGCATGGTATTAACTGAATAATATGGAGATAGACCCTACCAAAGATGTCGATCAAATTGCGGGGAAGATGGACTAGACAATGCCTCGTTGGTTAGTTTGTCTGGTGAATGAGGACATCCGTAGGTACCTAGTCGGAGAAGGCGCACTGATTCACAATGATTCACTTCGCTTGAAACCACGAATGAACTACTGCTCTCTTTTTGCTTTCTCATGGTGTTGATATTAACACGCTCAATAATTATGAACTTTAAAATCACTTGCATACCTTATTTTTTGTTCAAGACATCCCTTTTATGCGTTTTCAACTTGTCAGCATCCTACCCGAGACAGTCGATAACTAGATGCCGCTAAACATCGAGAATAATCTTGCTTCCGTCTGGGTAACTAGACAGTTCCGAGTCAAGAGCAATTTGCCAACCTCGCTTAGGTCTGGGACTTTCAACGGACTTTGGAGAAAGTCCATAACGGAGTCCGACGGAGCCATTCTCCAGTTTTATTTACGTGGTAGAAATGCCAAAGATCCATTTTTAATTCCTGAAACTCATGTGTCAGCGGCTTCTCGCATAGCCAGCCAAGCCGCGAGTCAGTGCGGCCATCACCGTCATCGCCTTACTTCTAGTAAAATATTTCTCCTATAGGCAATACTGACTTTGCAAGGCGTAACGGGCTATCGAATTAAATTTCGTATGTTTCCATTGTCTAGTACTCATTAACCTCTTGACGGTTTTTGCCTTGAACTTTTGTGTAAGTTGCAATGTGCCACGGCGGTTCGTAACCTGTATAGAACCCCAGTCCATAATTCCTTGGCATTCGTATTGATGCATGAATAACATTGACTAACTCGAACAGTACCGGACATGCAGCATGTTAAAAGAGTTGGCAAGTTGAGATTAGTCTCAAATCTGATAGATGTGCTGTTGAAGAAGATGCCTATGACTTTGCGTCATTAGCTTCTGTAGTGTAGAGTACCGAGACTAATTCGACATCCTGATTTCAGTAAATTCCCATCGTCTTGATCGAGAGTTGCCAGGGCATCAAATGATGACAGACTTGTTCCATTATTTTTCTTTAACCAAAACGTTGACAATAATATTTATCTTGACATGATGTCTAACCGGGAGAAAAAAAGGAAAGTGTAGATAACTTCGAAAACAATATCCCCAATTGGGACTTTAATTATATATATCCCATTAGTAGCTAGGTTAAATAGGTTGGCCATTACCGGATCCACTGTGCCCTAATATTGCATTGCCGACCGCCTGTTAGAGAGTGAGGACGTCCTATCACTGTCTGAGACGGATTGTGGCCCAGGAAGCCGGCATCCGAAGGTTGGTGTTTAAGTCAAAACCAGGGTGCATCTGGTCTACTATCCGGACATGTTGATGAGCCGGCCCATATCCGGTGTCCGAGAATATTCGATGGCTCTAATACATCGGTGGAGACCATAAGAATATCTACAATAGACTGATCTTGATAAGATGGGTTCAACAGCACTCATTTATGTCCTGCTATCACACACATCCTGTCTTCATATCTGAAGTGCCATAACTTCCATTTGGTTTCAAACAGTTTTGTTTCATACAAACACCCATGGATTCGTCGCCTTTTCCGATTATAGCCCAGCTTCGGGCGTTAATCGGTGATAGCAAGAGGCAGGATGTCATCTGGGGCCTTGTTATCTTAGCCGTGGTATACCTCGCATATATGGTTATTGACGGAGTATATAAGCTCTACCTACACCCTCTAGCTAGATTTCCTGGTCCAAAAGAGGCTTGTTTATCCCAAAGATGGCTCTTGCGGGTATCTGAGGGGGGCAACCCTGAGCTTGTCTTTGATATTTTACACCAGAAATACAGTCAGTTGGCCATTTGATCCTTTTGCACCCTCAATCTACTCACAGTAACACAATTAGACTCGAGAGTAATCAGGATAGCTCCAAATGAGCTACACATCGACGACGTCAAGATATACAAGGAAATTTACAACCAAACCTCGACTTACGTCAAACATCCCGACTTCTATGCCGGATTTGGTACACCACATTCTGTTTTCGTCGAACATGATCCCAATCTCCACAAACAACGGCGACGACGTCTCAATCCGTACTTCTCCCGAAGGGCCATAGGACAGCTGGAAACGCTACTAAAAGACAAAATCGAACAACTGGGGAATCGCATCGATGGTCAGAAAGGCCCTTACAATATCTTTAACGCTGTGAGGTGCACGACTGTTGACATCATCTCTCATTACTGCACTGGGAAGCCTCTTGGCCAACTCCAAAACAGCGATAAAAACTTCAACGGTGATTTTTTGGATGCATTTGATTCCCTCGCCGCCTCTCTCTGGACATTCATGTATCGGCCTACCCTTAGGTTGGTCATGTTAAGCATACCACAAGCTCTAGCCAAGATTATGAGTAGGGAGGCACGGTTCATGATGAATTTATATGGCGTATGTCACAATGCAGCCATCAACTTCAAAAGGAATCCTCCCAAGTCTACCGAAGAGGCAATCTTGAGCAGCCTGTCTGATCTTGATGAAAAAGAAATGGGGGCTGAGACAGTCGATTTGCTTGTTGCTGGGTCTGATACCACAGCGTACACACTGGCAGCAGCTGTTGTACAAATCTGTCAGAACAATCAGGTCAAGAAGAAGCTTGTGGAAGGTTTAGCTAAAGGAATTTCTGATACCAAGAACTTGCCGTCGCTTTTGGAGTTGGAGCAAATTGTGTACCTGAACGCCACAGCCCGTGAAGCCATCCGATTCGCCATTGCAGCTCCCGGGAGGTTACCACGTGTCGTTCCACGGGACAGCAAACCTCTTATTGTTGATGAGCAGGTAATCCCCGCCGGAAGCGTCGTTGGCATGTCGGCATACACCATGAACTTCAGCAAAGAGCTCTGGGGTGATGACGCGGCCGAATTCAATCCAGATCGCTGGCTGGGTGATGGTGGAAAGAGTCTAGACACGAATATGTGTTCATTCTCGAAGGGCCTTCGAAGCTGTCTTGGGCAGAATCTTGCATTCGCAGAGATACATTACATTCTGGCTTATCTCTTTTCCAAGTATGACATTGATTTGGTCGATAAACCGGACGACATTGAGGTTTACGATCGGTTTACAAATTATGTTACCAAACATGCTATCATGGTAAACATGAAGAAACGCAAGCTTTCAAAGTAAACTAGATATCCGTCAGGGCCCAATGCAGTCTTACCATTTAAAGTCTGAATTTCAATGACATTTCTTTTCAATTAATAGCTTATTGTCTTCAGCGCATCAACCTTTTTAGTCTCTTCTTATCTGGTCTATTGAGTCCGTTGCACACGGTGGTGTTTCTGCTTCAACCTCGCTCGGCATATGTCGCCTCTAAAATCTAAGCTAATATCGTGGGAGGATCAAGACACGGGGTACAGGTGCAGGGTGTTTTCCCAGCGAATAATGCATGCTTGCTCAAAGTTGAATTGAGTCAGGCCACAATCCTGGTTCAAGAATAAGGACTCTCATCATGCAAGGTTTATGAGCGCATGCATGTAATAAAATATCTTTTTGTGAGACGAACCGCAAAATGCTCCTGATGTTATTAACAAAGGTCGCAATGACATGCTTGATTAGCACCGATAGTTGGTGAAGCGTGATTGCGCGTCCAAAATACTCGTGATTAAAGTGTACTCAGGCATTCTGCATCATAGTGTTCTTGGTCATAGTCATTGATCAAGTCTAACTATAGAGACAATGAATCATAACCGTCATGGAGAAGTAAGTGTATATAGACAAAAGATATCGCTCATGACTGATTATACCTCCCAGTTCCACCAGCACCAGACAAAATACAACCTGTCACACATCAGCAGACAAACTAAATTCATCCATCCATATCAGACATCCAGCATAACTCAGACAGCCACTAATCTCAACTAAAAAGAATAAAGAAAGAAAGGGGGGAAATGTGCACGACTACATACATGTCCGTCCAGTGCTAACGTTGCGCCAACGAAATCGGACAGTATGATAAGAACGAAGGATGCTATGATCCTGAACGCAATAACCATAACATAAAAATTGAACATGACATTGAGAAAAGCCGTAAGGTGTGTACGACATGCTATAACAAGCAGATCAACGACGAGCATGGGGAGCTAGCTGTATGGCAGGGACGACTGGACGGTGGAAGGCCGAAAAAGCCGGACAACACTTTGTGATTGGGACAATCATCCAATGGCATGTGCCACGTTGTGAAACAGAGACGATTATGTCTCGAGAACAGAAAAAAAAAATAGTGGTGGTAGACCATAGAGAGCAGCTATTAAACGGGTCGTCAGGGGGACATTAGTATTGCGATAAAAACTGAATCAAAAGCTGTTCAGACTATCTATAAAAGTCATGGATCTACATATCCGCAATGGATAAATAATGACAACCTAGCACAGCGCCTAGCGTTTGGCTTACGTTCACGGCAATGTTCAGGTTCTCTAGCATTTTTCGTCTTGAAGTTCCAGCACTTATGTTCTTGTATATGTCACAAAGCCTGGCATCTGTACTCCTAGACCTGTCGTATTTTTACCCTGACGGGCATCCCCTTACTCGGATGCGCTGTGAGCTCACCAGGCATGTGTGCCTGATATGCTTGGTAGCCACATAACCTATCTTCGGTATCCTTGTACGCAGGAACAATCTCCAAATCCCTAACTGTCATTGCAAGAAGTAACCGTAACTCGGTTAAAGCAAGCTCCTGTCCAATACAGCCCCGAGGACCCAGCTCAAACGGACGATAAGCAGTTCGATGGAAGTCGTGCTCCAACCAACGCTCTGGCATGAACTTGTCAGGTTCAGACCAGAAATTTGGATTGCGATGAATGGCCTTGCTTGCTGAGAAGAGAATGAAACCATCAGTAGGAAGTTGCTGTCCTGTTTCAGGATGTCGGAGGAAGAACGTCGGAGAACCTTCTCGACAGGAGCCAATTGGTGGTTCGAGTCGGAGGGTTTCCTTGATGATCGCTGTGGTATAAACGAGTTGATTCAAAATCGTAGGTGATTTGGAGATTACTGATGTTGCATCGTTGGGATCAGGGCCAAAGACTTTGTCATGCTCTTTACGCAGCTTTGCCAGGACATCTGGATGGTTATGAAGATAGTTGTAAACAAAACAGAGCGTGGACGCGGTAGTGTCATGGCCGGCAAAAAGAAAGATCTTGAGGTTCTCAATCGTCACATCAAGAAACTCATTGTCGACGCCAGATTCAGAATTGCTTTCCTTCCCAGTATCCTTTAGATATGTACGGATAGCAAGGCCATTGACAGTCTTCGGCCCTTCAATGCGCTCATGATTCTCAAGTTGACTCTCGATTAGCGGTTTCAACTGGTTTCGCAACTTCTGGTTCAAACTTGCAAGACGTCTACCTCGGAGCGGGTTTAGAAGACGGCCCCAGTTAGGCGGCGACCAATCGGTGACAAGAAGCGCAATGGCGCCTTTCAGAGTAGGAAAGATCTTGTCGTCTGCACCAGATTGGATCCCTAGACTTTGACCCAAGACAGAACGCCCGATGATGTCACATGTCGCCTTCATCACACAGTCTTCCAGAGGAACAACTTGGTTGTCTTTGGCTACTTGTTGTAGATATTCCTTCCAAATCGACGCTTCTTCGATGAATTCGGGGACCAAGGCTGATATGTTCTGTGTAGAGAAGCCGGGGTTGAAAGTCGCTCTCCATTTTTTCCAATACGACCCCTCAGCCAAAACAAGGTCTTTCAGCCCAGTCAAGGGTCTAAACTGGCCTCTGATAATCTCGTGCTTTGGACGCGACGTCTCCTGTGTAAATTGTGCTGCTATGTCTGGATGGAATGTAGCCATCATGGGCCAGGAGATAGGCCACAAGTCAATGTAGCAAACGCCAAGTTCGGCGATATCCGGATATTCGCGAGCGAGAAAATCTGGCATCAACTGGCCATGTACATCTCCAGGGTAGAGTACCATAATCTTTCCCACGGCGATCAAATTTCCAAGGAGCCAAGAATGGTCCGGTAATGTTGGCTACGCAAAGTCAATAAGGAGAATTCTCTCTATGCAGATAGAAAGATGTTTCAACCGACAAGATTGTACTTCTCTACAGTTCGACGAAACCATAGCCGATGTCGATAAAGCCTAACGACAAAGTAGCCGATTGATGTCAGGAAGAGGATTCCTGCCCACCTCAGGGCGATGTCACCTCGAGCCATACCTCTTGGAAGCGAAACAAAAATAACAAAGGTCTAGATGTAAAGAATGACGTTCAGCATAGATGTTGAGAGTAAAAGTCCGAAGTTAATTGTATGTTGGTTCTCTTAGGATTTCTCTGGTAGTTAGTGCTTATGCCATGAAATACGGCAGAACGTTTTCCCATCATGACTGGCCAATTAGAGAAGGTTTCTTGCTCAAATGATAGGAAGTTAAACAGGGATTAAATAAACTAAACAGTGGTTCATCTTCTTAGATTGCAAGGCATACATGAGGACATGAGTCGGGTTAATGTCAGTAGAAGGAAACAAAGATTAAATCCATTTTTCGATAACGAACAGCCTCTGTCGAGACCAGTGATCTACCATTTTACTGTCAGCCTGGGAAAACGTCACCAATAAAAGGTTGCCACTGCCTCTCACACCAATCCCAGAACTTCCCGGTATATCCAAGTCCACCTGCGGACTGAGGAGTCATGGCTCTTATGATGTCTCTGCGTGGGCAATCATCATCTGGACGTATTCGTCCCCAAGGAATGACGTAACACCCATTATTCTCGCTGGTGATATCGGGTGATAGGCCAGAGTACAGCTCAGTGTAAGCTCCAAACTTCGGATCATGGAGGAAAGCTTTCATCAAGAACATGGCAACAGCTGGTGTACCAGCGTATGCCCCGGCCTTGAGATTTCCTGGATTCTGAGTGATGCTAATGATACCATCTTCAGCATAGCGGTTTGTCATTTCGCGACTCAGCATCCAGTTCCCCATTTTTGAAACACCGTAGTTCTGCACTCGGTCAGAACTACCTTCCTTGAGAAAATCGAAGTCGATGCCATTTGTTGGTGTCACTGCTTCCGCAAGAAAGCCAGACGTCCAAACGACCCGAGACGACTTTCTTACCGAAGACGCAGCAGCAGCGCGTAAATGAGGGATGAGCAGTTGAGTGAAGAGCAAGGCTGCGACGCAATGCATGCCCACCATTGGCTCGAGACCTTGTTTCGTTTTCGCCCCAATCTCGACTGCGGTACCTCCAGTACCTGCATTGTTCCAGAGCACATCAAGTTGACTTTCCTGCTGAGCAAACGTTTCGGCAGCGTTCGTGACGCTCTCGAGATCATTTAGATCTAAGCACAGCGGCTTGATCGTTCCGGGATTCGATGGTGGAGGATTGAGCGATGTGATGGTTTTGATGGCACTCTCGGCGCGATCCTGGAAAATTAATTAGTAATTAACTCTCTTCCGTTCTGTCAAGATGATGTCTTTACAATTGATCGCGAGGTCATATAGATTGTTGCACCTGTTCCATAAAGCATTTTGACCAGCTCGTATCCGATGCCGGCATTCCCGCCCGTGACAATGAAGACTCGTCCGTTCTGAGCTGGTACATCCTGCTCTGTAAATCTCGGCTTTGGGGGAAACCATTGCGCCCGCCAATTGCTCAATGAAGCGAGCACCATGATGATTTCACGACGAAGATGATGACACGGTAAGTGTAACGTTCCCGGTGATCCAGGCAGTAGTAGATTACAGATATGTAGAAATAAGCGTGAAGATGGGTGAATACATCGCGATGGGGGAAAAAATGATTGCGCGCTGAACGTCAGTATCTATTTATAATTAGTCTTACGCCATGCGCTATGAGACGCAACCAATTGGTGTCAAAGTTACACGATGCCCCTCAGTTATGCTGACGGGCTGATAAGAAGCCCGGCTCCCGAACACTGGCACTCACATCTTTATATTGCAGTCTGAGACCGATCTAACCTCAACTGCCGAACCCTCTCAGATCGAATGTTAATTTGGTTCTAAATCGACCTTGTTCAATTGGTAGTCATGTGTCTGATAAGGACCTCAAACGCGGCCATTTAGGTGTTAGCTTGCCGAGACAACCTTAGTATCGGAATAGTACTTGACAGCCAGCACATCGTGCAGCGTGACGCAAACACACAGCCTCACTTCAGCCCCTCTCAGGGCCTCAAAAAACTCGACTCTGTCATGTCAGCTTGGTCACTCAACGTGTGACTAGACGGGGACTTGAAATATTTCTTTCTTTAGCCCCAAGCTCCTGGTTACTCTCTCCCACATCTCGAAGACCCTCAAATTACATCAAGATGAGCAGAAGCTGCTGTGTTGTTACTAGGTTCGGACCTATCTACCTACATGTTGACTGAATTGGGGCTGGGCAGCTGCGGTACTTCAATGCCAAGTATCCGAAAATTTTAGCTTTTGCCTTATGATTCGGAACCTAAAAACACTGAGCGATCGACTTGGAGTTCTGGCTGAGCAGAAGTTTGAGGTCTGGGTGAGATCCAGGTACAAGAGTTAGTTGTAAAATTTGCACAAACATTACGTTCCGCTATGTTAGATTGCGCATCAATAGAAGGCCCGATGTGTGTCTAAGAGTGCACAAATGAATCTCTTCAGAAGGATTATGTAGCTCGTAAATATTTGAATACAACGGCTAAGCCGCTGCGATAGCTAGTGTCCCATGTATCAATCGAGATCCGTTCTCGGGTTTGCATCACCTCTTAGAATTGCTTGGAACATAAATTCTGTTTTTTTGCTCTACTTGTGCACACATGACTAGTATTCTCGTCTCATATGAAGGGCTGGGCCTTCACTTGATGGTAGATTGTATGGCCACTGATTACTTTATGCTAATTCCAACATGACTCCCGGAACCTGTTTTCCGAATCCGTTGGCGTACTGCCGAAACATATCTGACTGCATAGCATGTAACCAATGATAGACAAGAAGGTCTTCAAAATACTATCCACCTCAGAGCGCGATTTTCCTGAACCTCATAATTGTAAGCATGTGCTATCAATTGACAGAGTTCTACTCGGCATGTCGCTGTATTTATTATATCCATGCTATCGATCGCTGTGCGTCCTTTGATCGACCGGGTCATGGTGTTCAAAAGCGCAGCATCCTCGTCGGTTACGCCTGCTCATCGCACAGTTCTTCTTATGCATCTTTCAACTCGGCTAAAGAGAACGATGGAGCCGATGAAAGCCAGATATCGGACGATGACGAAGTCGCGTCTGTATTCAGCCAAGCCTCAGCTCCTTCTACAAATATAACATTCCCTGATGACACGAAGCAGGAAGCCTCGGATATGTTATTTCAGGAATTGCTCAACGAATTCAGTCTCAGACATTTATGGCCACAGATCGTGAGGATATCTCAGAGTCAGGATGTAGCCATCAAGACTATCGCGAGGTATCTGTCCCGTTTCTCTCGGGACTTGAGGACCAATGCAACTAGCCGTCTGCATAAGGACGCGGCAAGATTCGTCGGTTTATCTCGGCAAACCGTTGCTGACCGCATTGTGGAATGCCACATTAGCGAGCTCATATGCACAGATGAGTTAACATCTGTTGTAACGACGAAAGACATGTCTCTGGACGGCGTCATTGAGGAAACTGAAGAGATAGAGGATCCGGACTCAGACGGGAAGAACGTGATTTACGAGAACGTACAACAATTCATATTTGAAGGAGCATCGTTTCAGAGCTTTGTTTCATCTCTAAGGCTCTTTGCATCCACTGACACCGAGTCATCATCCGAGTTAGGCTATAACGCCAGGCAATACTTCAACTACATAGTTTCAAAATACGGGAAACGTCCTGCGATACACCAACGGACTCGTGTATCTTGGTCATGTGCATGTATCCCATCCGCAAACAAAAGAATATATCTACTAACGACTGACATAGAGATGTGGACAAATGGGATACGACGATTACCACGAGAGGCGATCAGGCGCAATTGAAGAGTTACAAGCCTTGCTAAAAGACTACGAGGAGATGAATCTTGAGCTTGTAGATAGCACGGGGCCAACGTCAGTTAGACCGTCTACGGGGAATCTCTCCTCCATCATGAAATGTTTGTTCCCCGTCTCTTTCTTCAAAAAGACGTCAGGAAAGCTACCTACTTTTAACCAACGCCAAAAGCTTGGAGAAGCCTGCCATACTTCGTCTTCCACACAAACGTCAGCAGTCGATCCAAAGCATAGGTTTCTCATAGTGTGCGCCCCATTTCAGAGGCAGGTTTCGAAGGCGCACCAGCCTGATATTTGCAAGATTCACTCAGACCGCGATTTCTTTCAGGCATTACGATACACTTATTCCGGCTCACGACGTGCCTTAAGATGGCGCTGGCTTCGGCGCGTATCATCCATAGACTTCGTCAAAGTATGATATTTCCTTCTCACAATAATAACCTCTGTGTAAGCTGACCCGGAGACTTAGTTTGAGATCTTTTCGAGCGAGATCGTCAACATCCAGCAGTGTCCTTCGCTGCCTGGAAATCAAGAAAGAATGGAATATGATTTTGAACAATGTGACACAAGTCCACCTATCGGGCCAAACCTTTTATCACATTTGTTTGAGAATCCAGATCACGCAGAGGTTCTACCCGTCTTGTTCAACAGGATACCAAAGAAATTGGGAAAGAAGCTCTGTGCTTGTCCTAGGAAAGGGAGCTCAGTTGGGTGGGGTATCAGATTTGTCGAGGGACTTGATCCGTTCGCCGTATTTATTTGCGGGTGTGTGGGCTTCGTGGTGTCCTTAGCTGTTTCTCTGATCTATACACTTGTGATGGATGACATACAGGGTGGTTTCGCTATTGGCGCACATATGCTGGCTTTCTTTCTATTTTGCGGAGGTTGTCTTCAATCTGCACTTGGGTGATGTTTTTGAGGGTCAATATCATAGCACATTGGAGATCTATAGTAATGTGACCATTGAACCCATTTTTAAATTTTATAACTGATTTTGTCGGTCGAGTAAACTCGCTTATTATTCACCGCATGGCCCAGATTCCAATTGTTCAAGGTTGTCCCGCCTGGCTGTCACTAGTCTCTGGAACTAACGAAATACCACCGTGCTCACGTATCCATCAACCTATTAACTACAATTTAACCCTTGTTGTAAATCTCAGCTGAAATGGAAGAAAGCCTAATGAACAATAATTTAGATCTCGACCAATCTTTTCCGCAGTTAGTAGTTTCTGATCGACTTTGGAAGAGGTCTAGAACTGCGAACAGAATAGTTATATGTCTTACCTATCCGTTCTTTAGCGATGTCAATTGAGACCCCCAAGATACATGTCAAAATGGTTGCACTCAAACCTGCTCTTCTTGTTCTTTTCGCCATAGGCAACGAGGCCCTCGCGGTCACAAGTGACATTCTCTGCACTAGCAAACTTGGTACTGCCAGCATTGCGTCCAGTAAAATCCCCCGGGCTACTACCACCATCAAAAGCCAGGTCACCGTGATCAAGAGGGTTATCCGCAAAGCCAACGTTATTGTGGTTCCTCAACCTCGTACAACAACCGAGACCGAGACGGCAAAAAGAACTATCACCACAGATGCTGCACCTGAGGTCGAAATAGCAACAAGCGTCGTCACTAGTAAGGATTTCAAGTGCCACAAGGCAAGGGGTATCACTGACTGTCTTAGGCATGCAAACCCAAAAGATAATTTCCTATACTACAACAACTTCAACTTCGACTTCATATACAACCACAACAAAGTGGACTACGAAGACTGTCGCCGCCCCTGCAGACTTTAAGTTCCTCCACAGCTATGACAGCCAGTGGGTACCCAAGAAACTTAAGGTCAGAAAGAACCAGGATGCCTCTCCTGTCATTCAACCCAACTCTTTGTATGTCCAGCGAGTGGACTGTACCAAAAGGGTTCCCTCGACTATTATTAAGACTGTCACTACTACCGTCCCGGGTCCTCGTAGAACACTGGCGCCTAAGACAAAGACGAAAATGACCACAACCACTGAAATTTCCACCCAAACAAACTATCCTCCCAAGGTTACGCAGACCACAATCGAAACCGTCTCACCGATAACAGTAGTCAGAGAAACAGTTACTCGCCAGGCTGCATCCGTATCTACCGAGATAGGTAAGTCCAGTGCAAAGAATTGCCAAATGAAACACAAACTCTAATTTTGGAAACTCTAGTTACTGTTGAGACTCTTTTACCTGCTCCAGACTTTTACGAGGCCTGTGGACAGGATGCCTTTGTGTCAAGTGCAAATGGTGGTAATGGGATTGTTCTGTCGCCAAATCTATCTTCTCAAACAGAAGGTATCACCGGCGAGGCAGCTAAAGGAGCTTACAACTGCTGTGTCGAGTGTATGAAGCGACCCAACTGTTTACTGAGTAAGGTATCTGGCGATGGTACTTGCTTTCACCACGTGTCCTATGCAACCCCAAACGTTTGTCCCAATGGCCAGACGATGTGGTCTTACTACTATTCATATCCAAACAGCGCAGCGGTGTACACCTTTACGAATGGCCCTTGTGGGAGAATGGAGAACATGGGCTTACAGTAGTTATTTGGAAAGAGGGTATTCAGAATTCGAGGACTGACTTCGACTTAATTGATACGTATCATGTTCCTGACGAACTACTTCCGCACGAATGCATAATATTTCTACCTGCCTGACTCTCCGTAGTCGTGTTCGTGGCCGCATTCAGTTTTTTCATGATTCCTACTGCTGGAAGGTTCATGATAAGCACAGACTTCTTGTCTGCCGCATCAGCTCTCTGATTTTCCATCGACCTTAATCATAAACATCACTCCCTCAACCAACACTGCGATCGGTTCTGTCTGTGACTGGATACATGAGAAGGATAATCATGCAGTTAAACATTTACGACGGGGCGTAAGAGAAAGCCATAATAGTCATATAACAAGATTTATATCGCTCGTCATGGTCTCCTTGCAGTATTTCCATGAAGTTCACACTCGATAGAAACTGACCGAAGTTCCCCGAAGTATATCACAAGCCCATTCAGCCATTATTCAAATTCATGGTTTTTAGCTTGAGTCTCCAAGTGAGCGATCATAGGCTCTAGCAATGTCTGTAGACGGCATTGGTGCGTCATGAGTTGTTTGGGCAGGTCTTTCGGATACTTCCGATACATCTCCTCTTTCAGCACCCAAACATTATCTTTAGGCTGCAACCCCGAAGAATAGAATGAAGAAGTTGCCTGCTGTGTCGTAGTTTGTGGTGGGAGATATAGTGGTGGCGAGTCAAAGCTTCGCACTGTTTTGAACGCCGAGGAAAGACTCATCTTTGGGAAAGCTTCTTTGGGCGTAGATATGAGCAATTTCAGGTCCTTCATATACTTTAGCAATACCCCAATCATCACAGACGTACATTGGGGTGCATGGCAATGGCTTCCTGAGCATAGTCTGTCCAAGGAGGCATGTAGCCAATCAGCTAGATCACTGAGAAAATCTTGTCTCTTCTTCTCAATTTTATCTGCTATGGTTAGAATCGCATATACAAACAGGAGGTGCACATACCGATGATGTCTGAGATAATGGGGAGCTCCAGACTATCTATGTGTCCGGTGCTTTCCATCAATGCAACGTTTGTCGCCATATTAAGACATTTATCAAATTTAAACACGGATGCAACGAAGATCCACTGGATCAGCTCGTTGCACATGTGACTGGGAATAGGTTGGAAAATTCGACTCTTCCACACTTTGGCAAAGAAAAACAGAGCTTCGTGACACTGAAGATCGTCCACAACTTTACCAATCGAGACCAACATCTCGAGCGTGACATCGTCCGGCAGATCCTGATTTTGTGCATGTATAATCCGTAAGACGATTCCCAGAGCTTCAGGGTCAAATAGAGGCTCCATTTTCCAGTGATAGCAGCCATCAATCTCAGATTTCTGGGTTTCGAGATACTCTCCTTGAAACATCCTTCTCGCGCGTCGAGACGCTACTGTAAGATGGCTTCTGGATACCTTGAACCGCAGTTCTGTTACTGGATCCGTCCCTACACCAACAAGCAAGATCGGTCAGTTGTATGTTAATAACGTGATGCTTTTCGGATTGTAGATCTAACCTTCATGTCTTTGGGTAGTCTCGCTAGCATCCGCGCTCTCTGATAATGCGGTCAAGCAGGGTATGATTATCAGAGTGTCCCCATCAGTGTCAATATTTTCGTAAAGTACCGTCATAGCTGAGGATGTTGTTATTTTATTCATCAAGGAAAACTCTTCTCTGCGGGGCGCGGACTTAATAGGCGCAAAGCAAAGTAATTTGCTGGAAACTGTGGTACCAGCCAGATCAGCTACGATGATAATTAATGAAAAGCAATACTTCGATGTTAAACAGCCACGAAGAGACCTAAGGAAGAGGGGAACTCGTCAAGATGCAGAAATACATAGACCATTGATCGCTGGTGAATGTCTCCATATGTACGTTTTGCTTATATCACGTGCTCCAACTGCGGAGCAACCTCAACATACAGTTTTGATGTTTAATGAGGATCATGTTTGCTACAAATGGATGCATGATGGTAGACGGCAGGTTGAGGCACTAAGATTGGGTTGGTAACATCGATTTAAACCCTTTACGGGAAGTCTGGCAAGGCATCTGCTCTCATTTCTCAATCCAAACCTGCATCACACGAGATTTGTCTGCTTTAGTGATACTTTTATGTGTCACACCATTCATTGTTAGTATATAGATGCGGCCTATGCAAATTTTCTAGGACAAACTTCATATTCAACGTCCAAGCACACTGGTGCAAGGCAAAACAGCATCTATTGGCCAAAGGCAGAGCCGTATAACTATTTCTTAATCTCAACAAATCTGATATTAACCTCTTCTGTGTTTTGGCGTAGCCCTTCTGGTGAATGCGACAGGCAACGTGGTGCAGCAGCTACAGTGCCATCTCTAGCCAGAAGCACATAGGTACATGATTGCTTATAATTGACTGTATAGTTGGGGATGAAATACAACATGTCTTTCCTTTCACGTTTGCTGATTGACCCAGAACCAGATAGACAATATGGCGATTATGCCCGTTATCATCATTTTAAGCCATTGTTGCATATTTGTCATATCTTTCCTTTCACTGCTTGTCTTCTATGCATAGCTACCCAGCGCTCCCGTAGTTTCGATGCAATAATATAATCTAAACGCACAAATACACGCAACACGTTGCGTTGACCATCTCTGGCAGGTGCCGACAGTAGCGAGATGGATCCCCATGCTCAGAAGACCAATATGGCCGCTAAGTCGAAGGGACAGAACACAAATGTGGGTTATTTACCTCCCGCCAGATTTACACATACATGTTCCCCTTTCATGATACAGGTAACACTTTCCCGGATATTCGGCTGCCAGGCTGTTTATTTATTCGAGGCAGATCCGAGATGAATGATGTTGCTGTTGTGTGGGGTCGTCAAGTTAACTAGTCTAGGTAGTCTAGGCTATAGACAAGTACAGGGTTTCATTCAGGCCAAGCTCCAAGTGGCATTGCGGAGGTACAAGATCCATCAATTGGATTAAATAACCGTCGGCAAAAGTGGTTTCAGACGTCGATCCGCATGATTTAGGCTAATGGGCTATTCTAACTTGCCACTATTATAACATATCACTATTCAACATCGTCGTCCCATCTTAAACTTTGATCGTTACCCACCTGGCCATTCGTGTTTCTGATAGGTAGTACAATCTTGTAAACATGTTTGGTGGTATTACGACAAAGGCTCTGCTTATAGCCGGTCTGGCTTTCTCAGCCACTGCCGCACCGAACAAGAATGAGAAGCGCCATTGGGTTGGCTCATGGGCGTCTATGCCCCAAGAAGTTGAGCCTGCGAATCTTGCTCCTTCTCCTTTTGTGAGTAATCCATATCTTTAGGTGGTTATACTATCGTTGCTAACAAGATGTGAAAGGGAGGACCAGATGCTGCTGCTCAATTCTTCAACACTACGCTTCGTCAGACATTTCACATGTCCATTGGCGCCGAGAAAATTCGCATTAGATTCTCCAACATCTTTGGAAAGACGGATCTGCCCATTGACGCAGCTACCATCGCTCTCCCCGTTGGTGGAAAAGCTGGTGTTGGTGAAATCGACGCCAAGACCGCCAAAACGCTCAAGTTCAACGGAAAGAAGTCCATCTCAGTGCCAGCAGGAAAGATTGTCTACTCTGACCCAATCGACTTTAAGCTGAAGCCTCTGTCCAATCTTGCTTTGTCTGTGTACACCGAGAAAGGTCAAGCCGGAAATATTATCACTGGGCATCCTGGCAGCAGAACTACCTCTTGGATGCAGAAGGGCAACCATGTAAATGCTGCTTCTGTTTCCGGAGGAAGCACCAAGCATTGGTACTTTGCTAATGGTGTTGATGCTTGGGCTCCTGCGGATCACTTTGCTGTTGTTCTCCTAGGTGATAGTATCACTGACGGACGAGGAAGCACTGATGACTCAAATGATCGGTGAGTAAACCTTACAACCTGACACTACCTTGACTTACCATTTATAGTTGGTCCGATGCGCTTGCTGCCCATCTCCAAGACTCAGGATTAAAGAACGTCGCGGTCAACAATATGGCTGCAGGTGGAAACGCCATCCTCCAAGGTGGTCTTGGCCCTCCTCTTCTTACGCGCTACAAGCGCGATGCTCTTGAGCAACCCGGTGCCGAATTCGTTGTCATTTTCGAAGGCGTCAATGACATTGGTCCATCCGCCACAGACGCCGCCACTCAAAAGAAGATCAAGAATGGTCTCATCGCTGCTTACCAACAAATCGCGGGTGATATCAAGAAGGCTGGTATGACCAGCATTGGAGCCACAATCACACAAATGCTCGGAAACCAGTACTATGCTCCTGAAAGAGAGGTTACGAGGGTTGCTATCAACGAGTGGATTTTGAGCAATGGTACCTTTGACCACACGGTTGACTTTGCTTCGTTGATTGGAGAAGGAGATAAGCTATTTCCTCAGTATGATTCTGGAGATGGCCTACATCCCAACCCGGCTGCGTACAAATTGATGGGCACCAAGTTTCCCATCAAGGTCTTCAAGAAGTAAGCGGTACCGGAAGGATTTTCTAAAGAGTTGTTTCTTCAATGAGCCGTCTACTGTATTCTCTCGTATTTATAGGTCTTGATGTAAATATTACTTATTCTCCAGGTCTTATTATCAAGAAGCTACTGAATCTGACCTCTTTATAAAGTTTCCGGATCTCTGATACGGCAAATTAATCAGCCTATCGGTCATGTTACAAGTGTCCGTACGTTTTGCCAAACTCTCCGACTTGATGGCCGGTCGGAGACTTCACTACCCACCGGAGCCTCGATTATAAAAAGGCACATATGACCACGTTTACATCCGTACATCACCACAGACTTTCATATACAACAATAGCCTTCGCAATAATGAATCCTCCACTTGAGCTGTTCGTCCTTTCATGGGGTGTTTACCCACGCCGAGTTCTGATCTATCTTGCTGAAAAAGGCCTTCTCAATTCCCCACTCATAAAGATCACTGAAGTTACCACTGATAACACCGGAAAGTTATCTGCGCCTGGTAAACCAAGCGGATCAGCTCCCGTGCTACGACTTCCTGGTGGATCATTTATCAAGCAATCGGTCGCAATCCTCGGATATTTTGAAGATATTTGCCAGGATCCCAAGGAAGATTGGGAGGTTGAACTTGCCAAGAACACCAACGGCAGTATGATAGGAGACACGGCAGCAGAAAGAGGCCGAGTTCGAGATATGTTGTCTCTCGCAGACGAAATCACTAACCAGTTCGGCTTTGCTTGTCACAAAGGCACTGCATTGTTCAAGGTGCTCGAAGAAACACATCCTATTACCGCGAAACTCATGCTCGAGTATTGCTACAAGAATTTGAAACTGTTGGACAAGTACTACGAAGGTGACGGACGTTTGAACGGCAGCAGTGATGGTGATCGGATCAATGTCGCCGATTGCGTGTTGTACTCGGCCTTAAACTTTGCCAAAGACGTGTACGGTTTCGACCTTCTGTCCGATCCTGAGGTGGTTAACTTGCGAGCTTTCTACGAATGGTTTGGAAAGAGGGAAAGTGTCCAAGTGGGGGATGATCACCATGTCCCAGGGTGGATCAAAGAATTGGCTAGTCAGTGGCTTCCTGTAGAATGAGCGTCTGGCTGGACGGCAATGGTTTCACTCACGTTTTCTGCACATTTCAAGTACCGACACAGTTGCTACCTCTGTCCCCAACGCCAAGTCTGGTCAGCAGCTTGGCAGGTGGAGTTTGTTGCCGAGGCATTATGGATCTACAAAGAATGTTTACCAATTTGGACAAAGCTCCGTCTGAGGTTGGTCTCTAACCTGCATGATTATCTCACGGGAAAGAAAGCACGAGACCATTTCATGAATTCAATATATCATTAAGTTACGTTATTATAGATAAGAGACCATTTCTTGAATCACAAGCAATGCAGAAATAGCCCAATCGTCCCGCTCCAGTAAAGCATTGTCTTGGAGCACAAGATCTATTTACCACCAGCCTTCTCTACAGTCTCAACTGTGGCTTGATCGGTCTTGTTAAGTTCATCGAGGACATGCTCATCAACAGACTCGTGGAAGACGTCGACCTTTGTGGTGGCGAACTTGCGAGCACTGATACCCTTCTCGAACAAAACACCGAGCTCGGCAAAGGTACGGCCGTTGGGTTCGGGCAGGCGGAAGTAGGTATAGATGATGCAAAGGAAGCAGATACCGCCCTGAGAAGAAGAATTAATACATATTTATTGGTGCGAGAACTGATAGGACTTACCCAGAAGAAACCGGTAAAGTTGCTCCAGTCCCAAGCAGTGGGGTTGAGCATGTAAGGAGCCAGAACAGCATTGACAATACCGACAATACCACTAAGAATCTGTTAGTTGCTTATTCACAATATTGCTGCGGAGGAGACTCACTAGAAGATACGGCCAAGAGCAACAGTCTTGATCTGAAGTCTTCGAGAAGGAAGCTCACTAACGAGAGAGTAGGCCACGGAACCAACAGTAAGCTGGTAAACAACAGCCCAACCAATCATGAGACTTCCAGTAGCAAGAGCACCCTTCTCACGGTCAGCCTCGGGGACAAGACCAAGAAAGCCAAGAATGCAAAGGACAATGCAGAGACCGCACAGTCCATAGAGATAGAGAGTACGGCGACCAATTCCAAGAGTCATCAATCCCCAAGCACCAAACACACCAATCATGTTGATGGCATATTGTCCAAGAGCAAAAGAATAGGCGTGCTTGGCGGACAGACCGGCTTGTTCAAGGAAGTAGGTAGAGTAGTTAGAAAACGAGTTTCCGCTGAGGTTCTGCATAGCCCAAACCATACAGACGATTTCTGTTCGACGACGGTTGACGCCCTTGAAACAATCGATATATGAGCTTCCGCTGGTGAGCTTCTCCTCGAGAGCGGTTGTGTGTACCATCATAGCCACGGTCTCGTCTGCGTCGAAATCCGTGTCGCGGTTAAGGCTGGTCAGTCTCAAAAGACTCTTCTTAGCATCTGCGACACGACCCTTGCGAACAAGCCACCAAGGACTCTCGGGCGCAAGCCAAAGTCCAACGATCAAAGGAAGAGGCCAGATCCACTGCAGACCGTAGGGGATTCTGTAAGCCCACTGATCCGTTCGACCGATCATGGATCGCAATATTCCGATACCAATCTCTTGTCCCAGACCCCAGCAGAAGTTGACATATGTGGTAAGGTAACCTCGGAGGGCGATAGGGCAGACTTCAGAGGCGTAGGTGACGCAGATGGTCTGGAAGATACCCCATGGCAAACCACAGAGGATTTCGGCGGCGAGGAGCATTTGGACATTTTGAGCGGTGAAGAAGAGGGTGATGCAGCCCGAGAGCCAGATGAGACATCCGATGATGGTGTATCGATAACCGAAACGCTCCGAGAGCCAACCGTTGAGGAAGAGACCGATAATGGAACCGACGTTGGCACCCTAAATAGGTCAATTAGCTGTAAGATTTTGAAGTTGGGAGCATTCTTACATTGCTAAGGCCGGCTTGCCATGCTGCTGACACTTGATACGTTCCGTCGGGCTGAAGAGTTCCGTACTTCTTATTCCATTGGGGAAAGGCGTCTAATTGCGATTGTTAGTAATTGCGACGCGTAATTGGTTCCAATAAATACTTACAGAAGTTGTTGACGAGTACAATGTCAAATCCTTCCATGACAATGCATGTAGAGATAAGAATACTCCATGCGACAGCCTTGGGATACAATTTTATGCCCTGCATAAGGGTCATATTTTGTTCTTTATTCGCAGCCGAGCGCGCATGATCGATAACATCGGGATGGGTCTTGCTGGGGTCTGTGTCGTGAGCCACTGGGGCAATAGCCGAGACTTTTTCGTCCGACATGTTTGTTGTATGATACCCACGATCAGTAAGTGATGTGAGATGAAGAAGAAAAGAAAGTTGATGCGGGGAAAGGAGATGTTTTTGAGGATCTGGGGAAAGATGGAGAATTTCAAGGGGCGGCCCCAATATTCTTATTTAAGATAAGTAAAGATGCTGGGGAAAAGAGGGGAGAAGAGAAGATGGGTTTGGTCGGCGAGCTGCCCGGGGAACAATTGCTCAGTCTTGCTTGGCTTGTGCGGGATGTTGCCCTGAATAATACTAGCTCCGTCTTGTCCAAACGTTAGTCGCTGAGAAGAGGAGGTCATCAGTCAATTACACAGAAGTCGTTGAGTATTTATATTCCTAAGAATGGAGGACAGGATATCCTGTTCTGTATCTCTTCTGCAGTTTCTGAGATCAAACATGATACGATTCACCGCTAGATGATATGACAGAATCTTGGAGAATAATCTCAATCGCATAAACTCATTCTCTCAGAGTCCATCCAATTTCTCCACAGACCAAAACATACTCCAGCTAATCTGGGGGTGGAGAGACCGACACCTCTACAACCAATAACAACACTCTGATAGCCAATTTTCACTGCTAATAAAGTGGATCAGAACGCTCTCGAACAAACCAAGTCAACAATCCAATCTCAATCGTCTCCATACCCAAAAACTTGGTACCAAGCGGGGACTTTCTCGGTCTCATTCCGCACCCTTTTCGTGGGCGGTCACAAACGTTAACAGCAATTGAGTTAGAATGAGGTTTGGTGAATCCACGACTCGTGATTAAACGGCGAGAACCCCGTGAGTAGCGCGGCTGAGAAGTCCGTTGTCCAGAGCCTAGACTCCAGATCTACCAGCCGTCTGGGGTTGTTAGATCATGTTTCCCCGCGGTTTACACCTGTCGAGCCCGAAATGCACGAATGGCAGCTCGGTTGAAACGTTCTCCTCAAAGTCTTGAAGTAGATTAGGGTTCAATCTATTGGTTCATGGTTTATCAGATCTCGGTGCGACTTTGCGAAGCATTCGGCACATGCATGTCACACGTGGCATACCTCGTTATTGCTCAACCATTCTTGGCATAATTTAGATGACATATGATAGAGTCAAAACATTCACTCCTTGTACTGGAATCTTTACCGAGGTCTGAAGATGTTGGGAGAGAATGAAGATGACGACATCTCCTACCCTACACACAGGGACATGCCCGGCTTCTCAGCACCATATTACAAGAAGGTAAGTCTATAGATGGTGTTGTTTTAATGAAAATGAAACCGAAGATTATGCTATTACCCTGTACAGATCAGTGTGTTGAGGTTTAAGTCGCCCCGACAGAGCAACACTCATTCATCTTCGGTTGGCGACGGCTGAAAGGAGGCGACAATCAAGTCGATGAAAATGCCTCATGCCAAGGCGAATATTCAGGCGCATTCAATCGGCTCTTGTAATTGACGTTGGTGATTGCAATCGAAAAGTCTATGTCTCAAGAATGTGTCGATCATTCACTATCCTTTCCCAACATTGACCTGTGAAAGAAGACAATGGTCTGGCTCACATTCCCCGATTTAATCTGATAAGATAAGATGATACATAGAAAGATAAGATAAAACCAACACGAGTCACTCACAAAACCCTTGTTGTTTCTTGTCGCTGCCACGCTTTGTTGGTGGCATCACGTAAGCCAGTATTAGAGTCGAAAAGACCAGATCCTAGTATATTCGTGAAGGAAAAGCGGCTTTATTTAAGCTGTCCCGTTTCCCCTTATGTACTGAGGCATGCCTTGTTGTTCATCAACTCCATGATCTCAATCTTGTCACAATCCCAGAAACGAAAGTTTCTCCAATTCGGTTCAAATAATCCACACAAATCCTACCCCTTGCCATTCCAACCAATCACCATCTTGCCCATTTGACCCCAACATCCGACATCGGGGAAAGTTCTCGCTCCAAGTGGGATTTTATCTGAAGAAATTTGCCAGTCTAAACTTGATCCATCTTGTTCAATGTCATAGAAATATCCATTGCGTGCTTTCATACTTCTTGGCGCTTATTCTCGGAGCGAAAATGAAAAGAATTGGAGAAATGTTATGTATCGTGATAGAACAAAATGGGGTTTCTCCATCTTCGCTGTCGGAGTCGCTTTCCTTTCTCTAAAGTTTTGGAAAGTGAACACGAGAAGACTTGAGCATTGACTTGCCTGATTGATCAATTGGAAACATGTTCGGCTCCGAGAAAGTTGACCAGGAAGGTCAAGTCTTGTCAGGGGAAGTTCATGATGATCCTGGACATGCTCATGATGCTGTTTTTGGAAAGATCAGCGATGATGGGCCAAACTATCGCAATGTGAGTTGAACACCAAAATGTTCCAAGAATAGACCATGGGTACTGATTATCTGAATAGGTTGGTTGGATTGGGACAGCTGGTCTCATGATGAAGACCCAATTGGGTCTTGGAATCCTCTCTATCCCTTCTGTCTTCGATACCCTAGGAATGATCCCCGGTCTCATCTGTCTCTGTGTTGTGGCAGCTATCACGACATGGTCGGATTACATAGTTGGAACCTTCAAGCTTCGGCATCGTGAGGTATACGGCATCGACGATGCAGGAGGCTTGATGTTTGGCAGAGCGGGTCAAGAAATCTTTGGCTTTGCTTTTGGTCTTTGTAAGTGAACTAACTCTAAGATGTTAACCTGTGACTTTCCAGAACTGGAACTAATTCGGTATTCTTCTAGACTGGACATTCGTCTGCGGATCAGCCATGCTGAGTGTGTCGATCGGCTTCAATGCTGTGTCGACCCATGGGGCTTGCACGGCTGTTTTTGTTGAGGTGGCAGCCATCACTGGATTTATGTTTGCGAGTATTCGAACTCTAGGTAAACTAAGTTGGCTCGCTTGGTTGGGTCTAGTCTGTGTCATCACTTCTGGTACGTATTTATTGACACAACCATCTTTGCTGCACAGCCCTCTCTGACCTACCATTGTAGTCATCATTCTGACAGTCGCTGTGGGTATCCAAGACCGACCAGCAGCTGCACCCAAAGATGCCGTTTGGGTATCAGACTATCACCTGTTCAAGAAACCCAGCTTCACCAATGCCATATCAGCTATATGCGCGTTGATCTTTGCATATGCAGGCACGCCTGCCTTCTTCTCCATTGCGGCTGAGATGAGAGACCCTAGGCACTACACAAGATCACTGATTCTGTGTCAAACGGTCATTAGTGCTTGCTATATCGCCATTGGTTGTGTAGTGTATTACTTCTGTGGCTCTTATGTTGCATCGCCTGCTCTTGGATCAGCGGGTGTCTTGATCAAGAGGGTCACTTATGGAATTGCACTTCCTGGGCTGATTGTTACCACTATGTTGACCTGCCATGTAAGTTTACGCGTCACAAATACTCGTAAATAACCGAGGCTGACATTATCGACTGATAGCTGGCGAGTAAGCACGTTTTTGTTCGTGTTTTGAGAGGTTCCAGGCATCTTGCCGCGAACACATTCGTCCACTGGGCGTCTTGGATAGGATGTACCTTTGGAATCACCGTTGTGGCTTACGTAATTGCCAGTGGCATCCCCGTTTTCAGCGGTCTTGTTTCTCTTATCGGTGCGTTGCTCGCTACATCTTTATCCTTCCAGCCCATGGGTTGTATGTGGCTGGATGACAATTTCAAGCGCGCGAAGCAAGATCGATCTGCGACTTGGTATATCGGAGTTCTCTGGAGCTTTACAATTATCGTTTTGGGAACTTTCATGACTGTGGCTGGGACTTATGCTTCTGTGGTTGACATTATAGCTTCGTATAAGGCCTCTGGAGGATCGGCAGCTTGGTCTTGTGCCGACAACTCTGGCTCTTCATAAGCTAGCATTGAGAGCACACAAACGCCACTAATTAGGGACGCATCCAATGTACATGGGATAGATATAGTATTTCTAGGTACTCAGTGACAGACCGTTGACAGTCCTCACAGCCGAGTCATGATTGGTGTACAAGACAAATAGTAATAATGTCCAGTGCGTTCTGAACAGAGAGACCCGGCCTTTGCTTAACAAGGCGGCTGCTTTTCTATCACTTAAGCTCCTGAATGCTTCACCCAGTATGCCTGAGGGTTACACCATCCTTTGAGGCCCACCTCTCCCCAATCCATTCCGATTCCGCTACTCTTATGCCCACCAAAAGGAACATTAGGCGCAACTTCAAAGTGTGTGTTGACCCATATGCTGCCCGATTCCAATTGTTCAGCCATTCGTCTCGCACGAGGAACATTCTTGCTCCAGACCGATGCACCAAGGCCCAAGTTGGATGCATTAGCTCTGGAAACGACATCATCCTCATCGGACCATTTCATCATGGGCACAATGGGGCCGAAGGGTTCGGTTTGTACAATCTCTGAGTCTTCAGGCGGGTTGTCGATAAGGGTAGGCGGAATGTAATAACCCTTTTCTGGCTTTGTGGCTCCATTGGTGCTGGATGCAGACTTCCATCCTTGTTTGTCGATTTCTCCGTAAAGACGCTGTAGCTTCTCGAATTGCATCTTATTCTGAATCGGTCCGAAGAATGCCTCTGCGTCAGAGAAGCCACCGCTCTTCATGTTATCAAGGAAGCCGAGTACAGCAGAACGGAATTCTTCGTATATGCTTTCGTGAACATAGATACGTTTGATGTTCATGCAGATCTGTCCACTGTGAACGTAGGCGAGGAAAGCTACCTAAACCATAATCAGAATCCATATGCCCTGGCCGCTTATCGGAGGTGTGGTGGTGTCTTACCTTTCCAGCAACAGTGGGGAGATCAACATCCTCACAAACAATAGCAGCATCATTGCCGCCCAGTTCTAACGTAACACGTTTGAGCGTGGCTGCGCAGGATGCCATAATCTTCTTTCCTGTCTCCGTTGATCCCGTGAAGCTCACCTTGGCCACGTCAGGATGTGCAGTGAGCATCGGTCCAAGATCATCTCCACCACTGAGAGCTTGGAAGACACCTGGTGGAAGAACCTTGGCACCGATCTCTGCAAGCTTGAGGGCAGAATAGGGAGCGTATGGTGAAGGCTTCCAGATAAAAGTGTCGCCGGCGAGCATGGCTGGGTAGGCTTTGCCAATACCGAGGATCATGGGGAAGTTCCAAGGAACAATGCCGACACCTACACCCAGTGGTACATATCTCACTATGGCAGTTCGCTTTTGACACGTTAGTAACCCTTTCATTTCCTCTTGCATATAAATAACTCACGTCATCGTTGTCCTCGGGCTTCTCCTCTTTGAGTCTCAGCTCGGGTGTCTTCCTAACATGTTCCATAACAAGCATTAGTTCAAAAGCGCCAGCTTGAGGTGGTTTTCCGGCTTCTCGGCCAAGAAGGTCGATAAACTCCTGCTTATGCGCCTCGATGGCGTCGGCGAACTTGACCAAATACTCAGCACGCTCATCCTGTGATAGTTTACGCCAAAGAGGGTAGGCTGCTTTGGCAGCGTCTACAGCGCGATTGACATCTTTCTGGGTTGAAACTGGACTTTCCCAGAGAGGTTCTTCGGTGCTTGGGCAAACTCCATGGCGTGTTTGGGAAGTCGGGCTTGGTTTATTGTTGATGGTGTTTTGGAAGACCTGTTCTTGAGTTAGAGGAGACTGCGACAAGGGAAATGGTGTATGTACTTTAAAGTCGATATTTTGGTCGTCCGGAAAAGCCATAATTGAGTCACTAGAATTTTGATGCGATGAAAATTGGAATGGGGGTAATCGATTAACAAGCAGGGAGTGAGACTTGAGCTACATTTATGAATCCTTTGATCTTACAATAAAACTGGACTTTCGACTGGGGTTTGGCAGATATGAATAACCCTTTAGTCCGTCTCTGGAAGCATTAACATAGTAACCAATGAGTGGGAGTGGTTGCAATCACTTTGATGCGCTAAGTAATAAGCACAGCGTAGCATGCATCGCCTCTTGTATATAAATTTGGAATAGGGCTGACGAGAGACCATCAACAGGCGAACGGAAGCTCCTGCATTCCGATTGTGGAATTATCTTGAACTGGGATGTATTGACCAACTGAACGGATCCCTTGACTAATATACCCCTATTGCATGACACGTATCTACGGGACTCAAATTGTCGACCGCGAATTATCCTAGGCTAAATGAATTACCATCCAAATCCATTGGATTCAAGGGCAGTCGCCACTTGTTCTGCGACAAGCTTGTTGATGGCGACACCGGGATGGTAATCATCAAACCACAACTAATAATCGTCAGCAAATGAAGTTACACTTCTCAGCATGACACTTACGCATGACTTTCCATTGTTGTTGAAGCATGTAGCATCTGGTGCCCCGTAAGCAGTGGGGTTCTGGATCGCCTTATTAAAAGAAATAGAAGTGTCGACAACGATGGCTTTGACGCCGGAGTTGGCCTGCTTGAATGCCTGAAGCTTGGAGGCGATCTTGTTGTTGTATAGGTTGATGGACTTGACCAACATAGCGTTGGAATCGGGACCTTGCTTGATCATGGTTGGTGTGAGTTGAGTTGCTAAAAAAGGCGTTAGTCCATGTTTCCTAGCAAGACGATATCTCTGTCTCTACTTACGTGGGACGCTCAACAGCACAAACTTTCGCAGTCCAGCGTTATACATAATCTTGAGCAACTCAAAGTATCTTGAGACTGCCCTCTCAGTAATATCCGCCATGTTACCCAGATAGAACGAATTTCCTACGTCATTTACACCAATCCAGACTCCTGCAACGGCATTCTTCGCATTCCATGGGGCATAACTGGGTTTCTTAGCGATGGAGTTTGAGAACTGGTTCACCTGGTCAACCATGCTCAAGACAGTGTCCTGATACGGCTTGATGATGTTTGCATCGACGGTGGCGCCTCCGTAGGCAAAGTTGTATGCCAGGACGAGTGAGTTGTTTTGTTCCGTGACGATACTACCAACCCAGTTGGGCCCGCCAGATGCTGTCCAGCCGGGGAAGGGAGGGTTGCCGATGGGGTTCTTGGAGGAGGGTTTTTCGCCATTGATATCGAACCATGTTTGAGAGTATGAATCTCCACTGGTTTATGTTAGTGTTTGAGATAGAGCTGGCGGATAAGATACCAACAATGTGATGAGATAGTCAATGTCTCCTGCTGCCTGGACACCAGTGCTCTGCAACAGGATGCTTGCAAGAGCCGGAAGAATCAACTTCGATAGCATGATGGCTGCTGATAGTGGACACCTGGGATAGCAATAACGGCTGTCTTGACATGAACTCAATATCAAATAGTATATGAAATACCTCGTTCCACTTTATATATCTTTATTATCCTTGAAGACAACTTCCTATATATCTGTCACACACCCATGTTAGTATAGCCGCCATCCCTCTGACTGGCGGATTCCGCGCTCATAGTATTCCCGTCTGTATGATCCAGCTGGAGCATATCTCGTGATTAAACAATTCCTGTGCAAAACTCGGAGCATGCTGAGTCCTTAATGAAGACAGCCGGAGCTGTTCCGCAGCGGGGTATACACTATTTTGGGTTTGGCTAGTTGTCCATGCCACCAATTGTACATGAATATGCAGATCTTTATCCTTTTGGCACGGAGAAATAGATTCCGCCAAACCTCACGTATAAAACATGGAAAGGCGCAATGGAGTAGATGTTGTCAACCAGTAGTATCACCCAATTGAGTACAAAACTGTGAAATGGGGCTTGCCAGAATGGCTACTAAATTACAATTCACTTGAATAGTCCTTGAGAGGCCACATAACGTCTGCTTATTTGCAAGCCTAAAAGCTGCACACCGCAAAAGTCATCATACTTTGAAGCTACAGTCATCACCATCAATTTGAACGTCCAACCTCTCTAAACTGTTACTTCGCTATAGAGTTGAAGTTGTTATTGAGTTTGCCAAATTAGCTGTCTGGGGCCTCTATCTCATTATAACGTTAACTAATGTTCGCTATGATCTTATCTGGTACAGTCACTTGTGAAACCTCGTGACCTAGTGTTTGCAGTCTTGCGATAGTTACTTAGCTACACAATCGGCTACCGAAACGCTGGAGAAACAATATCTTGACCATGAAGTACAGCTTGCAAAAAATGAACTCAGATGAGTAACACACATATCTGGATTTACGGACAATGTCTCACAAATGCGTATCCGTAACCAAGCTTGTTCGCAGTATGTTTCCTGTGTTCATATCCTCCATTCCAAGCTGAGTCTTTATCGCTTTGACCATCCTCACGGTCAATGTCTCACATAAAGGTGGACCAGCAGCCACAATTCCAGCTGAAAGCACCTTGTCTTGCGACTATCACTTCTCAATCAGTTCCTGTTCCGTCACAGACCTCGCTGCATTAGGGTTCGACACGGCAACGCCGCATACGTCAAATCCCCATCCTCGCCCAGCTTGACCAACGAATGATGTGCATGACGTAGGATCTACTCGGTAGATATTGAGCTAAAAGGACTACACTGGGACATGATCTTCGCTTACGTCCGAGCTGAGAGCTGAAATGTCTCTCTTTTTAATGGATTCGATGATGCTGTTTTGACTTTGAGAATGTGTATTTATTTTCAAGCACGCCAGTGAAAGTTCACATTTGTAAATTTGACATAATAATTCTTGTTCTCGCGTCGAAATTGCTAGCATCTGTTTTATATCTACTCAATACTTGTTCGATATGGTTATTCTCGTGACTGGTGTAAGCTGTTTTGACGACAACCCTACAGGCTACAGAGCTGACAATCTACAGGGGGCCGGGTTCCTCGGCAGCACGTTAGTGCAATTATTACTTGATCAGGGCCATGAGGTCGTCGTTCTCGATTCTTTATGGACTTCTTCAGACAGCAATCTCGACAGATTCAGATCCAATAAAAGACTGCGATATATCCAGTACGAACCCAATTGGCAAACATTACCACCATCCTGACTGACATTGATTGATAGGGCCGATGTGCGCGATCCTATACCTTGGATAGAAGGAGTCGATCAAATATATCACCTCGCGTGTCCAGCAAGCCCCGTCCATTTCGAAACCCAACCGATCGATATTCTACAAACATGTTTCATCGGAGCATCCAATGTCCTAGACTACGCGGTCAAACAAAACGCGCGCGTTCTCCTCGCCAGCACATCAGGTACGGTCGTAATAATACACCCACATTCCGCTTACATACGCTGATCAAGTCGTAACAGAAGTCTACGGCGACGCTCAAATTGCATGCCAGGATGAAGGCTACCGAGGAAATGTCAATTGCTTCGGCCCCCGGGCATGTTACGATGAAGGGAAGAGGGTCATGGAAGCTCTTGGGTACTCGTACCAACTCGAACATGGTCTAGAAGTCCGCGTCGCCCGGATATTTAACGCCTACGGACCCTTCATGCAGGCCGAAGACGGCCGCGCCGTTCCGAACTTTATAACGACCGCTCTGAAACGAGAGCCAATAGTCATCTTTGGAGACGGCCACGCAACACGATGCTTCCAATTCGCTTCAGACTGTGTCCGGGGGCTAGAGGCGCTGATGAACAGCGATCAAGATGGACCGGTAAACATCGGCAGTGATTTGGAGATGGAAATCAGCGAGATTGCGGATATAATCTCGCGTGTCGTCGCGGCGAAAACGGGCTACGATCACCCCGTGCCTGTACGGTTGGAGCCGAAAAGGGAGGATGATCCTGTGAGGAGAAAACCAGACACAAGTCTTGCTGAGAGGGCTCTGGGTTGGAAGCCGAGGGTCTCGCTGGAAGAAGGTGTCTCTGCCACGGTGGACTGGTTCATCCAGAGGGAGAACGGCATTGTGAGTAGGCTTTGATATGGATATTGGGATGGTCAATTATTGTTGTAGCGTGTATGGAGCATTTCTTATCGATCTAAATTTCCCCATGTATTAATCCACCAAGGAGGAGACGTTGAATCAGCACATAGATCGGAATCCTCGGCACAGCGAGACTCCCAAACTGTCGGTAGTTGTTCCATTGTCTGATCCCCCACAAGAAACCCCTGGTGCATTGCAAACTACCGAGTGGCCAGTTCATCTCCCAATTTCACAGCAGTGGATCGTGCACATTTTGAGTTTGGGCTGTAACTGCCTACTACAGTAGATGAATGCTACCGACCCCAATACTAAGCGTTGGAAATTTAAAACTCTAGCGGCATCCGCCGGGAGAAACGCAACGCAATTAAACTCTGTGCAACGACCTTTTTACATTGCAGGGTTGCATTGTATAACCGGCTCTCGGTCACGGAGCAGCAAAGCCCGTCAAGGCCCAATCAAACTCAATTTTTAGCATGAAAAGAGGCTTTTTGACTCTCTGATTCATCATTCGCTACGGGCTGATCGTTGAGGCCTTTGATCGCACTCTTAACTTTTGATACATATAAGGCTGGCATGTCTTTCATTTGACACATTTCCAAACACTACAACAACACTCTCTTTCTTCATTATATTATTATTCTAGTCACTCATTCATTTTCTATTATCAACCTAACCATGCATATCTCTGCACTTCTAGGCCTCGGTGCCGCTACTCTTTCCACTGCGGCCGAATCGCGAAACATAATCTACTATGACCAGTACGTCAGCCTAACTACTAACTATCAGTATACGAGACCCCCTGTCGCTAACAATTGACAAGATGGCATACCAAGGATCTTCCCTCCAAGGACATCACCAGCAGCGTTACCCACGTCATGATGTCCTTCGCCAACTCATCTCTCTTCACCACCCAGCCTGGTGGAAAGTACGAGCCCTTCCAGCCCCTCGAGACGGTGCGTGGCCTCTTCGACCATGAGATTAAAGTGTGCCTTGCTATTGGTGGCTGGGGCGACAACGCCGGGTTTGACGAGAGTGCCAAGACCGATCGCAGTCGCGAGAGGTTCGCCAGGAATGTCGCTTCTACTCTTGACCGACTTGGCTTTGACTGTGTTGGTACGTATCCTGTTGACGTCAAATTTGTACCTTGAGGCTGATGATGAATGATTAGATATCGACTGGGAGTACCCTGGTGGTAACGGACAGGACTACAAGCAAGTCCCCAACTCCAAGAAGACCTACGAGATCAAGGCTTTCCCCAAGCTTCTGAAGGAGATCAAGAAGTTCATTGGAGAGAAGGAGCTTTCCATTGCTGTTCCAGCTCTTGATCGTGATATGATCGCTTACATTCCTTCTGAGACTCCTCTCATCAACAAATACGTCGACTTTGTTAACGTACGTCTACCTTCTGATTTTCAGAAAAAGTTTACTGACTCTTGCAGGTTATGACATATGATCTCATGAACCGTCGTGACCATTACACTACCCACCACGTCTCCATCCAAGGCGCTGCCCGTGCCATCGACAAGTACATTTCTCTTGGCTTCCCTCCCTCCAAGCTTGTTCTCGGAATTCCCTTTTACGCCAAATACTTCACCACCAAGAAGGGCTACGCCTGCACTGAGCCTATCGGTTGCCCTACCGAGCTTCTTGAGAACCCCGAGGACGGAAGCGACACCGGAAAGTCTGGTTCCATGACTTTTGAGGCTGCCAACTTCGCTGCCGCTCCCAAGAACCTGACTACCTCTACCGATGCTACCTGTGGTGCTGGTACCTTCTTCAAGTGCGCTGAAGGTTCTTGCTGTGCAGCCTCTGGCTGGTGGTAAGTTGCCTTATTTTTCTGAGAAATCGCATATACTAATATGTAGCAGTGGCTCTACTCCCGCTCATTGCGGTGTCGGCTGCCAGTCCGCCTATGGCAAGTGTGACGGCGTTGATATCAATAACTCATTCCACAAGGCTCTCGAGAACGGCCGCACCGACACAGTCAACGGAGGCCAGTGGTACTGGGATGCTGAGACCCGTATTTTCTGGTCCTGGGATACTCCTGAGCTCATCGCCCAGAAGATTGCTCTCATGGCACAGACTCGCGGTGTCAAGAGTGTTATGGCTTGGGCTCTTGCTCTTGACAGCAACGACTGGAGCCACCTCAAGGCTATGCAGCAGGGATTCCAGGACGTCAACGCTTAAGTTTGAGGTTGGTTATTTAGAGAGATCTTGTTTCAATCGGGCAGATCATAATTTGCCCATTCATAGATTACTAGCCGGGTAGCTTAGATGAGGTCTTTTACCTTTAATATTCTTGACAGTCCCACAAAATTTTGAACTAGACATTGACTCCAATACCGGGCCATAGGTTTCTTGTGAGATGACGCACTGCACATCATCCGATTCTATCACAGATAATGACTTTAGTTTTCCCCATTGTTCGCGTGTTCGCTTGCTGTCAGACACGTAAGAGTGCATGAAAGTGGATGTGGGGCTTTTGGTTATTGATTGGAAGTCAAGTGCGCCATGTGTTGATCGCCCAAGATAGTTAGTCAGTGGGTTTTGGTATTAAGCGGTGGACATCAAGATGAAAACCCCAAGACTCAATAACCCCCATCAGTTGTTCTTTTTTTCTTCTACTACTTCTCATACATCTTCAATTTATAACATCCTAGTCTGTATCTTTCAGACCACAGACACAAGAGAGCATGGCCCCCGGCTCGCCCCCACCGGTGCTGCCTCAGCGCCGACACGATTTGGATGTAGCGAAACAGCAGCTGGTCTGCATCGTTACTATCATCGCGACTCTCTTTGTTCTTTGCCCAGAACGGTACCAGCTGTACCGAAACCTTGCCGTTATCCCTGTTATAGCCTATGTTACCTCTAGAATTTTTGATTTGATTATCTCGTTGAACGAGAAGTGGGATAGAGCACCAGCCGTGGTGAAGTACTTTGTTCCTGTCCAGATACCCGAAATCGCACCTCCAACAGAGCAAATTTGTTGTTTGGTGAAGAATCAGATAGCCACCTCTGGCGATAAAGTGCACCAATTCTCATTGCAACTGAGATCTATAGTGCGTGCACTGGTTGACTGGATCTTGCGTCAAACAGGTGGTGAGTAAGAACAGGCAACATGAACGAATCTACTTTCTAATGAAAAATCTCAGGATCATCCAACAAAACTTCCCCAGGTTCTGAAGGGAAAACACACAAACAAACAAAGCAAGACAGATGGGTAGCAGTCCTCGTCACTACTCCAGTTTATGAGGAGCGGAACCCTTTTCAGATCGACGCGGATATCGATAGCGAAATTCTCGAACTCATCTCCTGGGAAAGCAGCGAGTTATCACCCAATTTGGCGATTATTCTGTCATCAACTTTCAAGGTGCAATTAACACTTTGTCTCATTCCTAAGAGTATCTGGTTTTCTCGCAAGACCCTCCTGGAGAAATTCACGACGGGTCTTTTCTGGAGTCACCAGCCAGGGCAATCACACTGTCAAGGGCAGCAATGGGATGAAGATAAGATACGGACTATCTCGAGAGTCCAGTATATTGGAAAGGTAGATGAGCACAAGGACATTGTCAAAGTCAACGAGTGTGAGTCAAAGGATTTCTTCCATCTCTAACCCACCACTGACGATTAATATGTAGGCTTCGACTCCCTTCGAAATGGATGGAATGATGTCAACACCTACTGGAGCGACGTCGACTATGCCATCTTATTTGCCTTCCTTCTTGTCGGAAAATCGTCGACGGATGTTTGCAAGAAGATGTTCGATCACTTTACCAACCTCCGAGTTGAATATGCTCAACGCAACACTGATTTAAACCGCTCGCGTGCTGGCGCCGCTCTCTTGACGTTACTGACAGGTGGCCTGGCTGCCCCCGTCACGATTCCAATGATGATGGGAGCTGGCGACGCCATGTCAGCGAATGATCGTTACCTGTGGGGAGAAAGAATGAACTTTTGCAAAGGACTCTTGGAGCGCTACAAAGAACTGGCTGCAATTATCGAGTTGAAGGATATAGAGATCAACGTTTCGAAGCCAGTAGCCTTACCCCCAGCTTTAGAGACAAGTTGGTTGACAGATGATGCTTGGTAAAGAGACTGGGTTCATAAAGAGATACATGCACGAAATGAAGATATGCACACGCCGGCCGTTTATCATCAAACTGCTGATTCATTCAGATATCTACCCAAGATTGTTTACAAAGAACGCCCAACAGAATGCAATATACACCTAAATACAAGCACTATATCCGTCACATCTTACAATTTACTCTTCAGCTCCTTGTTGGAGGTAGCGAGTAGAGTCCGTTGACTGTTTCCACCGTGTCCAACCTTGACAGGGGCATCAAAGACTGTAGCGTCAGACTTGGCCTTTCTGTCCTTAGCCTCGACGTATTCTCTCTCGCCCTCTCCAATGTACAGCTGTCGGGGTCTCCAGATCTTGACACCAGAGGGGTTCAGCATCATCTGTCTCCAGTGAGCCAACCATCCAACACATCGTGGGACAGCGAACAAAACAGGGTAGAAATCAAGAGGGAAACCCATGGCCTGGTAGATGAGGCCAGAGTAAAAGTCAACGTTGGGGTACAGGTTCCTGCTGCGCATGAATTCACTCTTTCGGGCGTAGTCGGCGAGGGTCAGAGCCGTGTCTAAAAGCTTGTTCCTGCCTGTGACTTCAAAGACTTCCTCAGCGAGCTTGCGGATGGCGGTGGAACGAGGATCGATGTTCTTGTAGACGCGATGACCGAATCCGACAAGAACGCGCTCCCTCTTCTCAACTGCCTCCATAAACGCCGGGACGTTCTCTGGAGATCCAATCTCGATGAGCATGCGGATTGCTGACTCCGAAGCACCTCCGTGAGATGGGCCGTAGAGTGCTGCGCATCCTGCAGAGACGACGCTGTAAGGGTCCACCAAGGAACTTCCAACTTGCATGACTGTGGCGGTAGAACAGTTAACCTCGTGATCAGCGTGAATGATGAAGAGCTTGTCCAAAGCCTTGGCAAGAACCGGGTGTGGTTTGTAGTCGGTCTCGGACAGATGGTCCAGAAGATACAGGAAGTTTCCAGTGTATCCCAAATCCTGTGCTGGTCGGTTAAAGGGTCGACCTTGGCGCATTCTGTATGAAGCCGCTGCGAGAGTGGGTGCCTTTCCAAGGATGCGGAGAATCTGCTTGTCTAGCATCTGAAGGGCTTCCAAGTTGCCAGATGCTGCGTTGGTATAGAGCTTCTGGCCAGCGAGCGATGGGTTGGCTTCCGGCGCAAACGCTCCCAGGGTAGCAAAGGCCGCAGTCAACATGGACATGGGGTGAGAATCATATCGGAACGACTTGAACATGTTCTCAATGTCGCTGTGAATGTATGTGTGATGCATCACCTCGCCATGCCATGTGTCATACTCGGATTTTGTGGGAAGCTCGCCATAGATGAGGAGATAGGCAGACTCAAGGAAGTTGCTCTTTTCGACCAACTGCTCGATTGGATATCCGCGGTAGCGAAGAACGCCATCCAGGCCGTTGATGTATGAGATTTTGCTCTGCACGACAGCAGTGTTCATGTAGGCAGGGTCATAAACTCTGAGACCCTGGTTTGTCTCATCCTCTGGACGATCGTTTCCAGCCTCTGCTTTGATCTTTTTGAATTCTGTTGCTGGAATGGAGTTATGGGTGATGGGGATCTCGTAGGTCTGGTTTGTTCTGTTGTCCACGACCGTCAGCGTCTCGCGCCGGCCTTTATTCTGTGACAGAACCATGATTAAGAGGTAATAAAACGTGAGAAGATAAATGAATTCGCTGAGTTTGTTAGAGTCGGAAATAGCAGTAAGCAGCATGTGATGGTGATGGAATGTGTATTTAAGATTGTCACGGGGCGCGTCGCAATGATACGTCACGTGGTCGCCTACCTCGGTAAAGGCTAATCAGGGGGTGCACATGGAGAACCTCGGCAAGTGGCTACTCTTTACAAGGCAATCGGTAACGGCATAAACTATCTTTTGAGCCTCATATCTTCTTATATATCACTGATGATGATTACGAGGACAAATAAACTGCAGGAAGTTAATCGTAAATGTACTCATAGAAGAAATCCATTAGGAGGAATGATACTTCAGTACTGGAAACAACTTTGCTTGCATTTTGTAATTTCCCAATTTATTTCACCCACAGCCTTGGATTCTTTACATCTTTTGCGCAAGCCTATAGACATATTTATATGTTTCCTAGCTGTTGTTATGGCAGCTTTATTGAACAAGCCGGCGCGCAATAGCCTTGCCGGAGATGACGTTGGCTTCTTCGGAGGTGTTGATTCTAGAACACGACACAGCGGGTCCATAACGGTGCTCCATTTAAACCCAGACAGGCAACATCGTGGAACAGGTGATAGATAATCTAGAGTCCTCCTTCTTTTTCTCCTAACTGATACTTGGTGATGTGTCGAACTATTCTAACATTTATGATAATAGATAATAAAGAGAAAGACTCACATATCTGGTCTTGCACTTTGAAAACTAATGTAGAGTACGTCATTGACTCTTCAAAGCCATTCGTTCGTGATGTCAACCAGGGTCTAAAGATTGCACAACCAAATCCCAACTCGCATTAATTATTTAGTGACTATGTACATAACCCACATCGTTGCATATATACCGGCTAACAAACGACTGTTCTCTGCTGCATTCGCTTAACAGCATGGGCAAGGGATGATCCAGCAGTTGACTGGGATCGGGCAGGGAATGACGCCACAGAGTCTACCATCGCAGGCACCACCTCCTCGAAGTTCGAGGGTAGGTTCTGTAGTCTCGGGGGCCTTTTGAGGATCTGCAAAGGGTCAGCAGGAGATTCTACCGACGCGTCTTGGCGTATGTTAACAGAGATGGCTTACCCATGGAATTCTGGGCCTTGGGCTGGTCAGTCTCCAGAGGCTGAGTGTTTCTCATGTCGGAGAGCTCTTGTGAAGTGGTTTGAGAAGAAGACATGTTGACTGATATATGATGAAGTGCGTGTGTGATGCTTTGGCTTGGTTGATTTATCTGGTTGGTGAGATGAGATTAAGATTAAAGAATTGAGATTGTGTTTCGACTGACGTATGCTGACGTTATATGCCATGGCACGTGTAGAAACGCGTACTGAGTGTGGCGCAGGTCATGGCTGAGAAGATTCACTTAGTAATGAGGCTGTGTTGAGTTACCCTAGGCTGTCTTTTGTGTCTGCTACAAGATTCAATTCTGAATGATCAGGCTGTTATTTCGGGGGGAAAGAGTAGGCCGAAGTCATGGTAGGTTATTATCTTCAAGTAAGAGAAACCTTTACTCATTGAGAGTTGAATTTTGTGCTGTAGTGTAAAAGGTGGTGGAAATTGCAATTTGCTATTGAGGTATCTAAGGAAAATCAATGGAACGGTTGTGCTCATCGACAGGGAGTGAATTGTGGCTTGTCGAGTCATGGGCCTATTCCGAAAAGAGACGAATGACTGTAGACTTGCTCCACCAGAATGAAGCAATAGCAAGTCGAGCTATTTTAAGTATATTCTCATCCCTTTCAAAGTGACAGCCCAGGATCCTGTGGTCTACCCAATTACACAATGCCATATTCCAGTTCGCTTAAACAACAAAGAACAAAGAAACCTCTGAAGCGAAGCCAATGATAGCACCGAATGAGGCATCCCCATTATGTCTGGCATGAAACCGTTGACAAAACATAATCCCCTTGACATGTTTCATATGGCTTTTTGCAGAGGATGACAAAAACTCTTGGACAAAGCCGTTCCTAAATTACCAGTTATCTGACCTTTGAAATATGTCACCCCAACCCAACGTCTCAGGCCTTTCTGTGCTCCAAGCGAGCCTGCTATGTTTGGGAAACAGCCTCTGTCAAGGTTTTAAATCGTTTCGTCTCTACTTTCCACCAATCCGGTCAAGCCTAATTGCAACCCATGGCCCTGGCTTCAAACAATGCGCTATTCATAGTAGAAACCAAACAGTCAGCGGTAATAGGACGGAGAGGGTCATACTGATCGGAGAAGATGGATGTCCGTTTGTGGTCAAAACAGTATCTGGGCCGACCTCAATTGAGACTGTAACGGTCGCTTGCTGAAATTAGCATCATCAAGGGTGAAAAGGCAGCTCTGTAGTTTGAAGTTATTCTCATTTTTCTTGGCTTCGGCCCGGTGACTGATATAAGTATTTCTCTTTCCCTCCATGATGAAATAGTTACCATCAACTGGCTTGTACATGATTAGCCAACATCACAACCACTTCACTTCAAAGTCTTTTATATCATCACTTTGAATAAACATTGTTCTATACCAATACCTTACAACTCACATTCCAAAATGCCTCTACTTCGAAATATTCAAAACAGGCGACCTGTTCGAAAACACATCAACCCCCACCGCATCCTCTTTACGAGTCTACTTCTTCCCGCACTTGCGCTAGCCGACGATGAGCCTACCTCGTCAACACGTCAAGTCACAGAGCCGTTTGTCGACCAAGTGACGGGCCTTACTATGGAGCGCTTCTTTGGTGCCAAGACCTCATTCACGTTTGCATTCGCATTGCCAGACGCCAACCCCGCCGCAAACGCTACAGAAGCAGGATCATTTATCGGTCGTCTAGAATTTCCACTTGTCAATGGTGAAGGATGGGGTGCAGCTGGACTGACAGGAGATATGGAAGGAAACTTCATCTTGGCAGCGTGGCCTGATGGAAAGGGAGGAGTCATGTCATCCTTCCGACAAGCGATTGACGAAGACAACCCAGCCGTGGTCAAGGGAAACTTCAACGTCAGGCCATTGCCTGATGGTGTATCAGTCAACGAGACTTCATTGCTCTACACATTCCTCTGTGAGAACTGCCTCGATAGCACACTAGGTCTGGGACCCGAAGCCGCCTCTGGCAATGCAGTTATGGGGTGGGCGCTGTCGGAGAGGCCACCAAGAGGAGACGCTTCTGACCCTGCCGCTTTCCTTGGGTTTCATGAGAAAGGCTTTGGACCTTTCACTGCCCGACTAGCTCAAGCCAAGGTTGTTGGATTCGATGCTGTTGCTGCAAAGGCGCTTGATCCCGTGGGGATCTCACCAAAGGCTGTTGCAACAGTTCCCAATGCCTTCCAAGATGGGGGTAGTGATGATGAGGATAGTGGTGACGAAGGAGGCGATATCGATGGTAATGATAGTGACTCTGGGGATGAGTCGGATGATGATGATTAGACGAGTCAATACTACTGTAAAACAGGACAATAAAAAATTTACCAAAACCGGGAAGCCCCCCATGTAACAAGATAGTAGCTGTACCATTGCTTGTGCCCCCCAATGTGAAGTGGATGACAGCTGTTCTGTCCAGAATAGCAACTTTTTCGGAGGCCGTGTTTCCGTGCTAACCCAATCAATGATCGCACAGGTGGCAGATGCTCGAGCCTTAAAGAAAAGCCTTCGACGAGATCTTCGATAATTGATAGAAAACACGATTCCATGACCTGATGAACGCGCAAGCCCTTGCGGCTAGCCAAACTCGATGCATACAATGAAGAGTGTCTAGGTTGTTTCTCCGACAACCAATTATATCGTCGGTATGACAGGTACTATGGCGCATCCTTGGCTCACCCAAAGCTGAATCAAGTAATTAGCTACTTCTGTCTAGCTCTTACGCGTCGAACCGATTAAATCTCACATAATTGTCTAGCTAATGCCCCTTTCAACACCGTTGGAACTTTGGTTGAGTGAACCTTGAAGTTAGACTTGTGTTAGACTTAACGAGGGACCGAACCTAAGTACAGAATAATTGTCCTTCGGCCTGTGGATAAGACAAGCAGACTTTGAAACGCATGGCTAGCATAGCCATTGCCATTTCTCCGACCGAGTTGGGTTATTTACTCCAGGCCACGTAAGTCTTGACATCGAAAAGTGTCAAGGATTTCTCGTGTTGCCAAGGACGGGAGATGAATTAGCGGCGATCCATGAATGCACAGACGCAATCTGCCACGACTGGACGAGGAATGTCTAATTTGAGATGCAAGGTGGCTGATGGGCTGATGTACCGACGGTCTGGATTGCGGTCAGCGGAGTTGGAAGGGTTGTGATTGGATCAAGTGTGGAAGCTATCTCGGGGACTTGATTGAAGGCCGATTTGGTTCGTTAATGGATTACGTGTGCTTGGCTTTGTGGCTTGAAATGGTGTAAAGTGAGCGCAGTAGACTTATAGTAGGCTGGGCAGTCGAGCTGAGATAAAAAAGGGAGACGATCCAGACCCATGGTTTGATTGCATTCACAAGCATTTACAACCGTTCACCAGTGTCTTTGTCAATTTTATTTTGTCGGTTCATAACAGCATAAAGCGTTGTGAAGATGAAGACGATGATAGAAGCAGCTCTTGCCTTTGCCTTTTTGTTGCTATGTAAGTAATGAGACGCTTCCGCCGAGACACAGTAGAACAGAGACTAACTAAAGATCAATTCTAGTCACCAACACAGCGTACGGTTCCCTAGCATCTTACTGCGACGCATCAAAAAAGGTCTGCTACAGCTGGGCTGTTCCATCTTCGACAACCTCTTCCAGCTCTAACAATCTCTATCTTCGCCTCGAAGCTCCCACTGACTACCAATGGATCGCACTTGGAACCGGCTCTCGAATGAGTGGTTCTACTATGTTCGTTATCTATCAGGACGGGTCAGGTAACGTGACTTTGAGTACAAGAAAGGGCACTGGTCATGTCATGCCGACGTATAATCGCATGAGCAACGTCAAGCTGATCGAAGGAAGCGGCACTTCGAACAAAACCATGGTGGCAAACATACGTTGGTCTGACGCGACTGGCATTGACTTAACAGGGTCGAATCATTGGATCAGTGCTTGGAAAAAGGGCAATCCTCTCGACACAAGTGATACAAGTACCGACTTCGATGAACATGATGGAACAGACAGATTTTCTATCGACCTTTCCAAGGCCAGCGTCAACGGCAACGCCAATCCTTTCACCAACTCATCCGACACCCAAAATAGTGACAACGCCGTTTCTGGTGGCGGTGGCGGTGAGGATCATACTGGTTCCATCCATGGTGCCATAATGGCTGTCGTCTTTCTGCTCGGATTCCCCATTGGTTCCGTCCTTATGCCTCTTGTTGGGAAATGGCTGCTCCACGCTTCATGGCAGATAGTTGCCTTCCTAGCCATGTGGGTTGGTTTTGGCGTTGGCAAGGTTGCCGCAGATCGTGGCGGAGATGTAAGTAGAATACCGACACACAATGTAATTAGTTACTAACACACCGCAGTGGTTTCACGAACCTCACGTCATCCTCGGAACGATCGTGTGCATCTTGATGATTGTTCAACCAGTCCTAGGATGGATGCATCACAGAAACTACGTCAAGTACCAGCGACGAACAACCATCAGTCATGCTCATATTTGGTACGGCAGAGGCATCATGATTGTTGGAATCATCAATGGTGGTATTGGACTGCAATTATCTGGCGCGTCGACCAAATTGGTTGCTGCTTATGCTGTCGTTGGCGTGATTGTCTCCATCATCTATGCTGGCGGCGCTGTTCATAAAATGGTCCAGCTGCGACGGAAAGAACATCAATTAATGTCAGACGACAATTCGAATAGCGCTCTCGAGTTGATGCGTAATCAGCCCCCGGCTTATAGATCCTAGATAATGATAAATGATTTCGTGCCTAAAGTCTATCATGGCAAAATAGATAGATATATATTCGTGAAGACCGGCCACATCAAGAGTTGTTGACGAGGGTATTAGGTGATAAAGTCAATGAAAGTGAGCATTTGTCTGGACATAATCTATTGATCAAAGTTTGAAAACCCAACGATTGCAGTGGCTCACCCGAACTCGGTCTATAACCAACTTTGTGGTGTCACGGGGAGTTATTCTCGTTTCGGTATGACTCTTCATGTGTTACAAAAAGCTTTCCCCCCTTCGCCTTCCGGTTTCGCATAAAGATTTGGAAAAGGAAACAGCATGATTTATCCTTTTCTCCTTTTTTCTACTGACAACACAACTAACAACCATAGAAATTGAAGCCAGATGCGATGACGCCTGAAGAATCGCTCAACCTGATCAAAGCTAATCTGGTTGAGATTCTCAACCCCGAGATTTTCGACGATGTTGTCCTCAAACAGAATCGACCACTAGAGATCTATTGGGGCACTGCGACCACCGGAAAACCACACTGCGGCTATTTTGTACCAATGGTCAATATCGCAGAGCTTCTTGAGGCGGGATGTCGTGTCAAGATACTCATCTCTGATGTCCGTGGATCCCTCGACAGCTCCAGCTTGTCATTCGAGCTTATCGCTCCCCGGTGTGACTACTACCAGTTTGTGATTAAAAGCCTCCTACGAGCTATCGGCGTTAACATCGACCGACTAGAATTCGTTATCGGCAGCTCATTTCAATGGGGTAAAGAGTATACCATAGACTGCAGAAAGCTGGAGACTACCACAAAGCTCTCAGCTGCGCGCAAAGCAGGCGCAGAGGTGGTAAAACAAGGCGATGACCCTACCCTCAGTGGCCTGAACTACCCGATCATGCAGGCGCTGGGCGAGGAGTATCTTCAAGTCGACGCAGAGCTCGGTGGTGTTGACCAACGAAAGATCTTCACATTTGCACTGGAAAATCTACCCAAGGTCGGATGCAAGAAGTGAGTGCACCTGATGAATGCCTTAATTTTAGGTCTTGGGCAAGCACAAAAGATGAGCTCAAGCGAACCAAGCTTCAAGATTGGACTGTTGGACACACCTGAAGAAGTGGCCAAGAAACTCAAAAAAGCAGTATGCGTGCCAAGAGAGGTGGAGGGAAACGGCATTATTGCATTCGTTGAGCATGTGATCTTTCGTATACTTGCACTGAAGGGTGCGGCAGAATTTGTCGTGGAGCAGCAACATGGAGAGTCTCTTGTCTACCAAGACATCACCAAGCTCAAGCAAGACCATGAGCAAGATATTCTGGCACCACAGGCGATCAAGCCAGCACTGATTAGGACTGTCAATGAGTTGTTGAAACCAATTCGGGAAGAATTTGAGACGTCAGAAGAATGGCAATAGGCCGATAAATCAGGATACCCGCCGAAAGCGAAGCTAGTGAAGGCAAGGAAGGCGAAGAAGGAGGAAATGTAGACGTAGAATTGTAGACAATAATCTCCGATTTGAGATGCGATACTGTCGAGTCAGGGACGGAAAATTGCACGAGCAAGTACAAATAAAGGAGCCGGTTGTCAATCTGAGATAATGAAGTTATTTAAGGAAGGCTAGTTGCTTCAAATTGAGCTATAAACAATGTGGCAAAGGAAATGAATATATGCTATGAGAGTCGGGTAAAAAAACGTCCACGAAATTGTACAAAAATAATTATTCCAACCCTGTCTCTGATCCGAACGATTTATATCCGTGTATTGACCAGACTAGGACCCTGATCCTGGTGGCGAAGCGTTGATACAACGAGCACCATCGTTCTGGGATGTCTTGGGACCTTGGACGACCAATGACTTCTCATACGTCGCAAGGTTGAACCGATAGATAACACCTGAGGTATTCTCGGACGCGTAGATGAGCATTGGCCCAACTGCATAAACGGCACCCCAAGTGTTGGTACCGGCGATGAACCCAAGATCTTGAAGAGTCTCCCATTTTTGAGTATCGAGACTGAATCTTGCGACGGCCGTCTTGGAATTGGTGGTCATGGCTGACTGAAGACCATAAAGATAATTACCACCGCCCTTAACAAATGCCCAATCGGCGACGTTGTTTGCTGATGTTGCGGTTCCTCTTGCAAGGATGGTTCCGTAGGTGGAACGTCTTGGATCAACATCGATCTTGACCCATGCTTTTCCGTACAATGAAACCCAGAAGTGACCGTCGTCGTCAGTATCTCCAGTGTTCCAGTTGCCGTCAAGAGTCAAGTCCATCAGAGTGTAAGTTCCAGTGCTTCCAATGCGAATCACTTGACTCTTTGGATTTGCGGTAGTACCGATCTGAACAATACCATAAATCAGGTTGTCGATAATATTGTAGGTGATGGGGTTGATAACTCCTCCTGGTCCGATGCCGGTGCCGACTTGGCTGTTCACACCAGAGACTAGGTTTAGTCTATATAGAGTCGTGTTTTGGATCAAGTATCCTCCCTCGTCACAACTGAAAGATGGGGGAGGAGTGGGTGTTTCGACTATGTATGTGCCAGGAACTGTTCCTGAGGGTTGAACTGTTGCCACTGTCATGGCAGTGGCTCGGGAAGTTGTACCAGTGTATTGTCTAGTGCTGGTTACGTATTGGGGCGGTTGAGTCTCGACAATAACTGTGGCAGCTTCGGTACCCGTAGGCGAAACTGTAGTGACTGTTGTTGGTCCTCCCAAGACGCCTGTACCAGTGTAGGATCTTGTGCTTGTGACGGTTGGTCCTGCTGTTTCGATAATGACAGTTCCAGCTTCAGTCCCGGTCGGCGTGATTATCGTTGCAGTGATAGGGCCTGTTAGAGATGATGTTCCAGTATACCGTCGGGTGCTTGTCACTGGTGGTGTCTCTACAATCACCGTTCCAGCTTCAGTGCCTGTAGGTGTGATGGTTGTTACTGTTCTTGGACCAGTTAATGTCTCGGTACCAGTGTAGAAACGGGTGCTGGTGACAGGCGGTGTCTCCACAATGACTGTAGCTGGATCGGCTCCGGAACCAGAGACCGTAGTGACCGTAGTAGGTCCTGTCAAGGTTGCTGTTCCAGTGTAGAATCTTGTGACAGTAACTGGTCGTGGAGATGGTGTTGCCACGACGACTGTGCCAGCGACTGACCCAGACGCGGGAATTGTCGTGACAGCAGTTGGTTCAGTTATCACATCGGTTCCTGTGTAGGACTCAGTGACCGTGACAGTAGACTGAGGTAGGTCGACGATAACAGTTCCTGTGTCTCCAGCAACACTAGGCGACTCAGTTGTCATCGTACTGGCCGTGACCATTCCATAACGCATCACAGTAACATAAGGCTGAGGTCGATCAACCAAAACCGTGCCAGTCTCGCCAGGAGTGGCAGGTGTCTGGGTTTGCGTTGTGTCGCCACCCGTGTCAACCATTCCGTATCTAGTCGTTGTGACGTAAGGTTGAGGCCGGTCGATAATAACTGTTCCAGTCTCACCGGGTACGGAAGGTGTCTGAGTTTGTGTTGTGTCACCCCCTACATCAACCATGCCATATCGAGTTGTTGTGTCATAAGGCTGAGGTCGATCAATAAGAACTGTGCCAGTCTCACCAGGAGCTGTAGGGGCCTCGGTCTGTGTTGTATCACCACCTGCGCTGACTAGCCCGTATCGGGTTGTCGTCAGGTAAGGCTGAGCAAGATCGACAATGACGGTAGCTGTTTCTCCTTGGTTAGTGGGAGTTTCCGTCTGAGTCGTCTCACCGCCTGCGCTAACTTGTCCATATCTTGTCGTTGTAACATAACGCTGGGCAAGATCAACAACAACTGTAGCTGTCTCTCCCTGGTTACTGGGTGTTTGTGTTTGAGTTGTCTCATCAGTAGCATCAACCAGCCCGTATCGGGTTGTGGTTAGATACTGTTGAGCAAGATCGACAACAACTGTACCTGTTCCTCCTGGATTGCTGGGAGCCTGTGTCTGCGTCGTTTCACTACCTGCACTAACCAGCCCGTACCGAGTTGTTGTCGTGTAAGGTTGAGCAAGATCAACGTATACTGTAGCTGTGTCTCCTGGGTTGGTGGCGGTTTGTGTGTAGGTTGTCTCGCCAGTAATATCGACCAATCCGTACCGAGTTGTAGTATAATAGGGCTGAGCAAGATCGACGACAACCGTTCCAGTGTCGCCTGGGCCAGCCATAGACTGTGTCTGGGTAGTCTCTTGACCTGCCTGCACCACACCATAACGAGTAGTTGTTGTGTATGGTTGCGGAAGGTCGACGAGTACAGTCGCCGTATCCCCAGGCTGAGCAGGCGTTTGAGTCTGTGTGGTCTCGCCGCCAACGGTTACTGATCCGTAGCGTGTTACCGTTGTGTAGGGTTGGGCAAGATCCACGATAACAGTACCTGTCTCACCAGACACAGAGGGTGATTGAGTCTGGGTAGTTTCAGCACCAAAACTGACCACTCCATACCTGGTGGTTGACGTGTATGGCTGGGCAAGGTCTACAATGACTGTGCCAGTCTCCCCAGGTGCAGAAGGTGCCTGGGTCTGAGTGGTTTCAGCACCAAAAGTGACGAAGCCATACCTAGTGGTTGATGTATATGGCTGCGCAAGGTCCACGATAACTGTACCAGTCTCCCCAAGAGCACTAGGAGCTTGGGTTTGTGTCGTCTCATGGGCGTAGTCGACTGAACCAAAGCGGGTAGTAGTTACATATCGTTGAGCAAGATCAACTATGACCGTGCCCGTTTGTCCCGGACCAACAAGTGACTCGGTCACCGTGGTTTCATGGTCAACATCGACTGAACCGTATCTTGTGACTGTTGTGTAAGGCTGGGCTAGGTCAACAAGAACTGTGCCATTCTCGCCTGAAGCAACAGGTCCTTGTGTTTGTGTCGTTTCATGGTCCTGATCAACAATTCCGTACCGTGTTGTAGTTACGTATCGTTGGGCAAGATTGGCAACCACAGTACCTGTCTGGCCTGGAATTGTCGGCGATTCAGTTGTAGTTGTTTCATGATCACTATCAACCAGACCATAACGGGTCACAGTTGTAAAGGGCTGAGGAAGATCGACAATAACAGTACCAGTCTCACCGGGATTGAAGGACTGTGTAGTGACTTCGCTGACAGTAACGCTTCCGTAACGAGTCGTCGTTGTAAATTGCTGAGGGAGATCGGCGAAGACAGTTGCTGTATCACCTGGACCAAATGTTCCCGTAGTTGTTTGGCCAATAGTGACGCTTCCATACTGGGTAATAGTTGTGAAAGGTTGAGGCAGGTCCACCACCACTGTCGCTGTCTCGCCGGGGTTGAAAGACTGTGTTGTCATCTCGCTGGCTGTGACGCTTCCGTAACGAGTCAAGGTTGTGAAAGGCTGAGGCAGATCCACGATGACGGTCGCAGTCTGACCTGGAGTGAAGCTCTCCGTAGTAGTTTGAGCGATAGTGACACTTCCATATCGCGTTGTGGTCGTCACATCCTGGGGCAAGTCGATGAGAACGGTAGCAGTTTCACCAGACTGGAAAGTCTGGGTAGTTGTCTGAGCAACTGGAGCGACACCAAACCTCGTAGTGGTAGTGTACGGCTGAGGGAGGTCAACAATGACTGTGCCTGTCTGCCCAGGGACGGTCGGCGATTCAGTGGTGATGGTACTGGCTGTGACAAGTCCATACCGGGATACAGTAGTAAAAGGCTGGGGTAGGTCAACGAGAACGGTCGCAGTCTCGCCAGATTGGAAGCTTTCAGTAGTTGTCTGGGCTGCTGAGGCAACGCCGAATCTAGTTGTAGTAGTGTAAGGCTGTGGAAGATCAACGATGACTGTGCCCGTTTGTCCTGGCTCAGTGGGCGATTCAGTGGTAATGCTACTGGCCGTGACTCGTCCATATCGAGCTATAGTCATGAAAGGCTGGGGAAAGTCCACAATAACTGTTCCAGTTTCCCCGGGCCTCGCTGGAGTGATGGTGACGGTGGTGCTGCTACCTGCAACGCTCCCGTACCTGGTCGTTGTGGTGTAAGCATCAGGGCGATCGATGATGATGGTACCCGTCTGTCCTGGAACAGTTGGTACTTGAGTTGTTGTGCTGCTGCTACCAGTAATACCTCCCCACCGGGTGGTTGTCACATAAGATTGAGGTAAGTCAATGAGGATCGTTCCGGTCTGACCTCCCGCAGTCGGTGTCTGAATCGTCATGCTGCTACCCTCTGTGATGACACCATATCGTGTGGTAGTTCGGTACGGGTAAGGAAGGTCGATAATGACTGTCTCGGTTTGTCCAGGGGCAGAAGGTGCCACTGTGGTGGTACTACTACCAGCAGTGATGATTCCATACCGGATCGAAGTTACGTATGGATCCGGGAGATCGACAACAATAGTTCCAGTCTGTCCGCCTGCTGCTGGCTGCTTTGTTGTAGTACTACTCCCATCCGTAACAACTCCAAACCTTGTCGTAGTCAAGTATGAGAATGGTAGATCGACGAGAATAGTACCAGTTTGGCCAGGTGCAGCTGGAGTCTGGGTAGTGATCCTGCTAGTAGAAACACTGCCGTATCTTGTGCTGGTAATGTATGGGTTTGGAAGGTCAACGATAACGGTACCGGTTTGTCCAGGTACAGCTGGTGCCTGGGTTGTGGTAGAGCTACCGATCATGATGCTACCAAATCGAGTGGTTGTCTGATAAGGAATTGGTAAATCAACGATAACGGTACCAGTTTGCCCGGGTGCTGCTGGTGTCTGCGTAGTAATACTACTTATGGAAACACTGCCAAATCGGGTTGTGGTCACATATGGATTCGGTAGGTCAATGAGGACAGTACCAGTCTGCCCAGGTGATGTAGGAACGTTGGTGGTAACGCTACTGGCAGTCACGCTTCCGTATCTTGTTGTGGTCACGTATGGATTGGGTAGATCAACCAAAATGGTACCGGTTTGCCCAGGTGCCGTGGGTGCCTTAGTAGTAATACTGCTGATAGTCACGCTTCCATATCGTGTGGTAGTAACGTAGAAGTCGGGAAGGTCAATAAAAACAGTGCCGGTCTGTCCAGGGCTGGTGGGAATCATGGTGGTCGTGCTCAAAACTGTGACACTGCCGAACCTGGTGACCGTGGCCAATGGCTGCGGTAAGTCGACAAGGACTGTGCCAGTTTGGCCTTGACTAGCTGGTGTGAGTGTCGATGTTGTTGGTACGAAGACACTACCGAACCGCGTAGTAGTTGTGTATGGCTGGGGCAAGTTCACTAGGACTGTTCCCGTCTGACCTGGAGCAGCCGGTGTCAATGTTGAAGTTGCCGGTACGGAAACGCTACCGAATCGAGTAATAGTCGTGAAGGGCTGTGGCAAGTCGATCAGGACTGTTCCTATCTGACCAGGGCTAGTCGGTGTGAATGTTGATGTGATTGGCACGGAGACACTGCCGAAATGCGTAGTAGTTGTGTATGGCTGGGGAAGGTGAATAACAACGGTGCCGGTCTCGCCTGGTGTAGCCGGCATGAAAATGCTGGTGCCTGTCGCAGTCCCAGTGCCATAGCTAGTGACTGTTGTATAAGGGTTTGGCAGATTGATGAGAATTGTGCCCGTTTGTCCTGCGCTCGTCGGTGTGAGGATATTTGTTGTGGCTATGGTCACACTGCCGTAGCTTGTCACGGTAGTATAAGCGTCAGGGAGGTCGATGAATACTGTGCCAGTCTGTCCTGGAGCCGCGGGAGTCTGCGTCCGAGTAACTGGAGCAGTCACACTCCCATACCTGATAATTGTTGTGAACGGCCGAGGCAGGTCCACAACAACAGTACCAGTAGCTCCCTGACTAAACCCAGTGAGGGTTCTAGTTGCTGGAACCGTCACGGCACCGAAACTAGTTACTGTTGTGAAAGGTTGGGGCATATCAACAATAACAGTGCCAGTCTCCCCGGGCTTCTGTGGGCCATTGGTAGTTCTCGTGGAGGCCGAGACACTTCCGTAACGAGTTATTGTTACAAACGGCTGAGGGAGATCAACCAAGACGGTTGCAGTCTCACGAGGATTGAGAGGGCTTTGTGTGGTCGTGGAAGAAAATGAAATACTTCCATAGCGAGTCGTTGTCACGAATGGCTGTGGTAAATCCATGAAAACAGTGCCCGGTTCTCCTGGATTCCGAGGGGTCTGGGTTGTTGCTGATGAGATGGACACACTGCCATAACGAATGATCGTAGTGTAAGGTTGAGGAAGATCGACGATAATAGTGCCTGTCTCCCCGGGCTTTGTAGGGCTTTGAGTTGTGGTAGAAGCCACTGAGACGCTTCCATAGCGGGTGGTTGTCATCCATGATTGAGGTCTGAATACAACAACTGTACCAGTTTGATCGGGAAGAATCGGGCTTATAGTAGTTGTGTAAGCCGCTGAGACTGACCCATAAGAGGTTGTTGTGACAAAAGGAACAGCTGAAGATGGAACCTGGATAACAACAGTCCCAGTCTGACCAGACGCCTTGGGTGTGTAGGTGATGGTCGTGGTGAATGACTCGGTGCCAGTGCTAGTGACTGTCTCGTATGGTGTAACACTGAGGGGAAGCTCGACAATCACAGTTCCAGTTTGGCCAGGTTGAGTCGGGGTCTGGGTCAAGGTTCGAGCCGTAGTAGCGGTTCCTGTACCGGTCACAGTGGTTGTTATGTAAGGAACTGCCCCAGGAGGTACCTCGACAATCACTGTTCCAGTCTCACCTGATCGAGAGGGGGTTTGTGTAGTAGTGCGGGTTGTAGTGACGGACCCTGTGCCAGTTACTGTGGTTGTCACGTAAGGTGTAGCACCAGGTGGTAGCTCAATAATAACTGTTCCAGTTTCACCAGGCTGATCAGGTGATTGGGTGATAGTCCTGGTAGCAATTCCTGTGCCAGTCACAGTCGTCGTGATGAATTCAGGCGGGACCTCAATAACCACAGTCCCCATTCTACCAGTTCCGGAGGGACCTTTAGTAAATGTTCGCGTGGTAGAGTCTGAACCTGTGCTCGTAACAGTTTGATACGATGTGATGAGAGGGACTAAGACGATGACCGTATCAGTCATACCAGCGCCAGTATGCGTCTGCGTAAACGTTTGAGTATCAGACCCAGATCCGTACTGAGTAACAGTGGCAAAACGCATAGCTGGCACCTCGATACGAACAATACCAGTATCACCTGGCCGTGAAGGAGGGACGGTAACAGTGCGCACTGTTGTTCCAGTCCACTCCTCACTAACAGCGACATAGCGGATGCCGGCAGTGGGAAAGTCAACGCGGATTGTGCCTGTACCTCCAGGCCCAGTTGGAGGCACAATGACAGTCCGAGTGGTCGATCCAGTCCAGTATTCGCTTACGGCAACGTAACTCGCACCATCGGCAGGAAAGTCAACATGGACGGTGCCAGTCTGGTTTGGTCCAGCGGGGGAGTCGGTGGCTGTACGTGTAGTTGATCCTGTCCAGAAACCAGAGACTGTCACGTAATGTGGAGTATCGGGATAGTCAATGTGGACTGTACCAGTCTGGTCAGGTTGAGAGGGAGTCTCAGTTGATGTACGAGTCGTTGAGCCAGTCCAGTATCCAGTGACGGTCGTGTATCTCACTCCATCTCTGGGCATATCGATACGGACGGTGCCAGTCTGGCCAGGGATGGATGGGGTTTGAGTGACAGTTCTTGTGGTTGAACCCGTCCAGAAAGTACTAACAGTAGTGTATTCTTTAGGGACATCCACACGAATTTTCCCTGTCTGACCAGGGTTGGTAGGCGGTTGAGTAACTGTACGAGTAGTAGAACCTGTCCAGAAGCCAGTGATTGTCGTGAAAGGTGTTGCATTTGGTGGAAGCTCAACGATAACTGTCCCTGTTCCTTCTGGATCAGAGGGCCTCTGCGTGAAAGTTTTAGTCTCTGACCCCGTTCCAGTTGCAGTCCTTGTAGTCGTCAGGTACTTGATTGGAGTTACAACAACCACTGTTCCAGTCTCGCCTTGTGGAACCGAACTTGGCGTGATCGTCGTGGGAGCCGGGACATCGCTTCCGCGAGTCACAGTTGTGAGAGGGTTAGGAAGCTCTACGATTACTATTCCTGACTCATTTGGTCCGTTTGGGAACGAAGTCGTTGTCCTTGGTGCTGTTACGCTGCCCCAATGTGTAGTATGACGAAGGCGAGTGTTGACTGGCGGTAGAACGATCACGACTGTGCCGGTTTCGCCTGGATGGGCAGGAGAGAGTGTGGTTGTGACAGGCTCAGTGACAGTACCGATGCGAGAGATAGTCGCGTATGGTTCACTAGTAGAAGGAAGCTCACGTACAACCGTAACGGTTCCTCTAGGGTCATCTGGTTTCAGCGTATATGTCACAGGTGCTGTGCCTGTCCCATAACGTATGATTGTCTGGGCTGGTCGAGTACTCGGAGGCACATCAACAAAGACAATCCCAACTTCCTCAGAGCCTTTGGGCTGTTGGGTTGAGGTGACGGTTGCCGTTCCAGTACCAGTGCGAGTAATCGTAGCAAATGGGACAGGACCTGAAGGGATCATAATAATTACGCTTCCCGTTCCATCGGGATCACTTGGTGATTGTGTAGACGTGACAGTTTCCGTGACACTACCTATGCGGACGATTGTTGTGTACTGAGCTTTGGACTCGGGTACTTCAATAATCACTGTACTCACATCTCCGGGACGGTCAGGCTGGAGTGTCCGCGTAATTGGAACGCCAACACTATTCACGCGAGTGATGGTGGTATAATCTTGTCGCCTGATGGTGACAGTGCCCTGTTCGTCAGTATTATCAATAATGAGTGTCTTTATATTTTCTTGCTGCACTGTCCTTGTAACAGGGACTTGGACAAATTGTGTTTGATCGGCCGCTGTTTCGTCTGGCTTTGCAATTCGCGTTTGAGGATCATGTATGCCTCCATGGTCGGTGTTTCTATCTTCTGGTCGGTCAATAATGACAGTTGTTGGGTCACCTGGACTGGTCGGAATCAGAGTTCGAGTTCGCTCGGCTGTTAATGAGGGAATGAATGAAGTGATGGTGGTCACTGGCACTTTCACGATGACGGTTCCAATTGGGGGTGTGCCTTGTGGTGGGATCGTGTATGTAGTCGGTGGTCCGTCACCAAAGACGGCGGTCGTAATGTATGAAGCATTGGGAGGGACATAAAACGTTCTTCAGAAGTTAGAAAAGTCAATCAATTGATCTGCATCACAAACCGTGTGATTGTAGCATCGGAAGTCTTTGTGCCATTTACCACCCTGATAGGTTGAAGTTGGATAACTCTTTCTCCAGTGCTACACTCGAATTCTGGTGCTTTAGCTGCTACGTTAGTAAACAAAGACAATAAAGCCCCTAAGTAGGCAATGCTGTTGAGCCACATGGCCAAATGAGGTCCCGCGATGGGAGGTTAGCTGTGTTTGTTGCGTGTCGCAAATGAATGAATGAACGAACGGCAACTCGAAATAGGTTCAAAGGAAAGAAGAAGAAATTTTGTGGACTTGAACATTTGCCCAAAAAAGAGACGTTAGTATATACAGGCGTTAATCTGGCTCCGAAATAGAGCTCTTGGGAATTACTGCGCTGCAAAAGGACGATAATCAGCTTGGACATTCCTGGCGCAGGGAAATGTTCGCTCTGGGGGATAGCATTAGATTGCTCTAGACCAAAATTGAAAGCTATCCTTGTACCTTGACCTGGAGATATGCTTTCAAATCGTCCAATTCACCAGTCAGAATCGTTGGATTGAGCCACTCACATACCAGTGTTCATCTTGTCTTGGAGCTCTCTCCGCAAGAGGATGCGGGACATGCTAGCTCTGAACAATTAACTGACTCCGTAATAGTTGCAAAACGCCAAGTTACCAGTTCCCTGGAAGAGGAACTAGGGAAAATACCGAGTCATGAAGATGAGTCTTCTCATTCAAATGGAGGTTGGCTTGACAAGTGTTCTAGATTCATGGTCCACGGCTGTTCCTGCATAACAGTTGTCAAAAAAGTGGCTTTGTTCCTTGCACTAAGACAAAAACGTCAATGACTGGCGTCACATAGATTAAGATCATCGATAACCTTTTCGGCTGTGTACATCTCGGCAGACAAGTTTCCCTTGGCAGGTAACACGTGCGTGGCTAAGATATTCCCACATGCGGGAAGCAATTACATATTGTTTCAGTCACAGTTGTGCAATCTTTCAAGGTCTTCAACATGAGATCTACAACAGTCTAAAGATCATTCCAGGGTAGCTATTGTCTCGGTCTCAAGGTTGTTAATCTGTGAATCATTCTCAAATGATATATCCAAGTTCCCAATCGTAGTGCTGGATAAGAAGCCACCGATCACGAGGCATTCCAGACGACTTTTAAGTAGAGCTGGACCCTCAGTTGATCTGCTATCACGTAAAGGCTCTGTTAGTCGGTAGGTCCGGCTGTTCCAGGCGCATTCTAGTGCGCCAACCCTCCGGCCCGAACTTTTACTGCGGACCCTACTGTCCTGGTGTGCGTCAATTAGATTAGATGTTTATTCTCCAATGACTTACTGATCATTAACGATGATTTGCCCATATCATAAGATGCCCTCTCGCTCCTTGATCAATTCTCACTGACGCCTTTTGCATACTCGTACATACACATTCCTTTCCTTGTCACTCCTTTCTAATTGGCGACATGAGGTCATACACTCTGATCACCGGCCTCAGCCTTACACTTCCCTCCTTTGCTCTAGTAGCCTACCAGCCTTGTCTTACTACCACTGCTTTGCCCATAGTCACCGTCAAAGGTGGCCCAGATGGTTACTACAATGAATACACACGGACATATCGAGAGTTTTGTCCACAAGGCCTGACCAAGAAGATTTATACCGTTACACAGACCTGCTCGGATATCGACTGCCAGACACCACCGATTGAGACTGCTCCTCCGCCTGGCTTCACTGCCGCGGTAGTCAAATGCAGTGCTTGTGGTGGCCAAGGCACTCAAGTCGCCACCTTGACGTTTCCTACAGAATCTGTGGAGGCATATTCATCTTCAGGATATCTCGTCGAACCTCTCGATCCGGTACAGGCTACAAAGGGCTGGATGGATCAGGTCGACGCAACCCCTGCCATTGAGACGGCAAATGTCAATGGTGATGCTGGCACGAACGCCGAAAATGTCTCCCCTACTCCGGGTTCATCAGATCATACCGGTTCTGAACCTCAAGAGCCTCAAAACCCCCAAGCACCAAGCAATGGAGGCAGTCAACAGGATCAGAATGGTAACGGGAGCCTTGGCGATACAAGCTCCCATCATGCTACAGCTGAGAATACAGGATCCACAAGTGGTGGCGACTCCTCTGATGGTCAAAATCCCGGAAGCCTGGATGGCACCGACAACGCAACGGGGTCACAGTCGGGCGAGGCGGGCAACAATCCTGGATCTGGGTCTGGTGCCGGTGACACAACAGCGGGATCTATCCCCCAAAATGAGTCTTCGTCTTCGTCTTCGTCGTCATCCTCCTCTTCCTCATATGATGCCACAGGGTCACAAGAGGAAGGTTCGAATAATCCTGGCCACTCCAATGATCCCATAGGCGACACACCAGCAGATACTCCTGCCTCTGGTGTTGCATCTGTTGATGGAGAACCCATTGCCGACACCAACAACAAACCAGATGATTCAGCCAATATAACATCTCCTGATGGTGTCAATGGCGCCACTGGAGACACATCTGTATCACCGGATAAAACCCCAGGGCTACCTTCATCTCCAAACAACGGCCCTCCCATTGTTGACTCAGACTCCAAGCACACTGGAGGTGACGATGATTCACAAGGGCCAGATGCTCCTTTTACCGTCAGTGGCGCAGTATCTTTCAAGCTCAATATTTCGGCATGCATAATAGCCAATGCCGCATGTGTATTTATTGTCTGGTTGTTATAACCTATTAGCAACGTAACTGTCATGACTTTCATTTAATGATTATGTATCTTAAGGACAAAGATAAAAATAGATTTCCTTAAATATTTCTGAAATGGTAATATTACGTCTGTTCAGTGATCAGTAAATTGTCAATATCCACAAGCCACTCTTTGTCAGAGTTGCTGTTACTGAAGATTCATAAAGCAAGCCACCGAGATATGGGGACAGCGAGAGCTTTACTATTTCCGGCACGCTACTGTCACTGACAGGTATTTGTAATTTCCCAGTACTGCTCAAGCGAAATAGAGTTACGATCTAGATCTTGAGGCTAATGATAACTGGTATGCTGTTCCTGTGCTGGCGTCAATATCGGCAATAACTGAGCTGGGCTGGATCGGACTGGGCCTCGACCTTTGGCTGGGCGACCCAAATGACCGGGTCGTATACCACCCAATCGCGGACTTTGAGAGAATACTCAATTTGTCATAACTTAATGATTCTAATTTAAGTTGCCTGGAATTTAGCAATTGCTTAGATCACATTGTTACCAGGCACAGAGTCCCTACCATGATTCCCGCAGCTAGACCCTCCTTCATGGTTTGAGTGCACGTCCACCTCATTCACCCTACACACTATGCTAAATGAAGTACAGACACGCAATGATTAAACAAAGCTACTTTGCATTGCCAGGTAGGAATCAAACTAGAAGTTCCGTCTGCTGATTTGAGTGCTATTTATGTAACTGTGGCGAACTTGAACATGAGTTACCCTGTACTTCATTGACTTTTTAACTATGCTTACTAAAGAGCACAGTAACTGAGATATTTCATGTTATTTTTCACTCTTATTAACCATCGCATCGTCATTGAAGGACTTGTGTCTCCGAATTGACTCAGACCCTGTGTGTGACATATTTTATCCATTCAACTGTCATGATCATCAGTGTCTAACATTTCCCCGCCCAACCCCGCGGAGCTCGAGAAGACAAGGTCTCATTCTGGCATGTTATTGATCTCGTATCAAAATCATCGTTACCCGATCTTGGGAAATTTACGGTTTGATTGGAGTTGTTCTCAGACCATTGCTCACATCTTGTAGTGAGTATGATGGGAAACCATACCGTGACACACAAAACGTATTCGCGGTTAGATTACAATGACGACATGATACGACGCGTCTCATATAGCATAAATATACTATGTCACCATGACCTGTTTGATATGATATAAGTCATATTTTACTAATATGTTACCCGCGGTTAACATGCTGGTTTCTGGTTCTTTGTATCCACAGATTATCTGACTGATATAGTGGTCAGCAAAAACACGCCGAACAACATCGTCGATCGTGGGTCCCTTTCCCCTCATCAACCACTAATAAGCAACCGCTAAAATGCCCCATCAATTGCCGACGACACAACCTTCGAGCGGGGAAAACTTGGCATGAAGACTTGTATCGGTATATGAGGAAACTCAACTTCGGTGATTCTTTCCTGTTTGTTGTCTTATCAGCTTCTCCGTCTTAAATACTGATTTGAATGACAATGGCGCAAAAGACTGATTATCAAAACATCTTCCACTGGGCAGAGACCCAAAAGGATGGTTCCATCCCGTCTTTTGCTACTCGAGATAATGATCCCTACGAATATCTTAACGGTTTTAATAACCATCATGAGTCGGAAGCTGTTCCTGGAACAATCCCTCGAGGCCAAAATAACCCACGAGTTGTGAGGTTTGGACTCTATGCGGAACAGATGTCGGATTCTTTTGGAGCTTCCAGACAAGCCAACAGAAACTCATGGCTTTACCGCTCAAGACCTGCTGTAGCTCACCAAGGTTTTGTAAGTGCATTGCCATGCCTGACTTTGTTGTGATATTGTGCTGACATTCAGACTTTAGACGGATATGCCCAAGATCGACGGCACAGAAAGTTGCTTCCTGCCTCTGAACCCTCAAGTCAGAATCTCTCCGACACAACTAGCATGGGTAAGTCAAGGATGTCCTCTCTGTCATCTGCCATTCTGACTTTCTTAGCTTCCCTTCGATATCAGTGAAGGAACGGATTTCGTCTCGGGTCTCCGTACCATTGCTGGCTCGGGTGATCCTACCCTTCGAGAAGGTCTTGCAACACACATCTTTTCCGCCACAAAAAGCATGGAAAAGCGAGCTTTTGTCAACTCAGACGGCGACTTTTTGATCATTGCCCAGCAGGGTGCCCTCGATATCCAAACAGAATTTGGCAAACTTTACGTCCAGCCTGGTGAGATTTGCGTCATCCAACGCGGCCAACGCTTCAAGGTCAACGTGGAAGGGCCGACGAGAGGATATATCCTCGAAGTCTGGGGCACTCACTACGAACTCCCTGAGCTCGGGCCATTGGGGTCTAACGGTCTTGCTAATGCAAGGGACTTTATGTATCCCAAGGCAAGCTACAACGTCACCCGTGATGACCCATGGGAGATTGTGTACAAGCTTGGTGGTAAGTTCTTCAAGAGTACTCAGAACCACTGCCCATTCGACGTAATTGCTTGGCACGGCAACTATGTGCCTTACAAATATGACTTGACCAAGTTTGTCAACGTTGGGTCAATCTCTGTGGACCACATTGATCCCTCAATCTTTTGCGTTCTGACTGCTCGTGGAAGAGACGAGAATGCTCCCTTGGCGGACTTTCTCATCTTCTCGCCCCGATGGGATGTTGCGTCTCATACGTACCGTCCCCCGTATTATCATCGCAACGCAGCTTCAGAGCTGATGGGTCTTATTTATGGAGAGTATGCTGGGCGATCAGATGATTTCCAGCCTGGAGGTATTTCGTTTGAATGTGGTTGGGTTCCTCATGGTGTCGCGTACGAGGTGAGTGTCGCGTTTTTCCTGTTGTGATTGAACATGAAGTACTGACAATGAGAAAGGAATTCAAAGCTGCTTCTGCGCAACCCCCCCCTGAGATGCAGATCTCCAAGGGCGCTGTGGCTTTCATGTTTGAAAGCTGCAGACAATTTACAATCACTGATTGGGCATGGAACAGTGACAAGAAGCACGAGCATGAGCCCAAGATGTGGGATAATTTGGTTGACAACTTTTCATCTCATTTGGACGAGGTTAATGAGATTCTGGGCAAAAAATGAGTATGTATCAAGCTTGGACGTAGCAAATATGTATATCCAATTCTTGCGTGACGTGCAATGTCACTCCTCATCTTGTTATTGATAAGCAGCCCTATATCAATCTCACCAAACGGATTCCTCGGGCCCGTCGTATTCGTATACGTTGGAAATGAGTGACCCCACATCTGAATCTCACCTCCAATCATTACTTATTTAATTCGCATACCGTATCCCTTTAGTAGGACGCTAAAGGGGCAAGGGGCGCGGGTACTCGCTTGAGTAACTATTGACAGTTAGATCAAAGGAAAACAAACAGTTTCAACATCTCTTTGTTCCATTTCTTTGTCTTTCAACTGTGGGCCGGACCAAACTGTTCCGTCGTTCTGAGAATGAGTCGATAATCGTTCTGATGAAACTCAAGTTTGTTAAATAAACGGGCTCGCACTGATTGAAAACTTGACTCAGCATTCTATCCGACAGTCATCCATTGAACCACCAAATCATTCAGTCTTCACCGTCATCATGAAGGCTCCAGACACTCCCCGCTATGAATTCGGTGGCCCGTGAGTCCTTCCAACCCATCGCATCGCATCTCACTAACACACTCAGTCTCGGCGCCACTGGTATCGTTTTTGGTCTTCCAATTCTCATGCAAGTTCTTTACTTGGGCTGCAACGATGTGTCGGGCTGTCCCGCACCTGCTCTACTTGATCCCAAGACCCTGAGCTGGGCCAAGCTCAAGTCTCAGATTCCCTGGCCTGAAGAGGGTCTCGCTGGATTCATGTCGTGGGAAGTTACGGGCTGGCTTTTTGCTTATTACTTCTTGAGTCTCGTGCTTTATCGCATTTTGCCTGCCCAGATTGTTCTTGGTACGAAACTGCGCGAGTCTGGAAAGCCCCTTGAGTATCGCTTCAACTGTAAGATAATCGCCCTTTCTAGGCTTGGACTATATACTTACATATTTGCAGCTTTCTCTGCTACTGTTGTTCAATTGACTGGTTGCGCCATTGGAACCTTTATTTACGGCGCCAACTTTCCCGTCTGGACATGGATTACCGACCACTATATCCAACTTCTCACAACAAGCACAGTCCTGACCTACATCATCTCCATCTGGACTTATCTCCACAGCTTTTCCATCACGCCCGGGAACCCTGAGCTCCGTGAGGTCGCTGTGGGAGGCCGCACTGGACGCGTCATCTATGACTACTTCATCGGCCGCGAGCTCAACCCCCGCGTGACTCTCCCTTTCTTTGGCGAGATTGATATCAAGGCGTGGCTAGAAATGAGACCTGGTCTTACTGGATGGATCTTGCTAAACTGTTCGTTCATTGCGAAGCAATACAGAACTTACGGCTTCGTCTCGGATAGTATCGTGGTGATTGCATTGATTCAAGCTTACTACGTTCTTGAAGGGCAATATTCCGAGGCTGGACTATTGGGTATGATGGATATCACTTCCGACGGACTGGGCTTCATGCTTACGTGGGGTGACATTGTCTGGGTTCCTTTCCTCTACTCAACCCAATGCCGCTACCTATCCGTGTACCCCGTTCACTTGGGCCCCATCGGTGTTGCAGCAGTTGGCACTGTCTTCTGCGTCGGTCTCTACATCTTCCGCTCCTCCAATAACCAGAAAGCCCTCTTCCGTAGAGATCCCAACAACCCAGTCTTCGCCAACATGTCTTACATCCAGACCAAGCGCGGAACAAAGCTTTTGACAGGCGGCTGGTGGGGAATGGCTCGTCACGTCAACTACTTGGGTGACTGGATTCAGTCTCTTCCCTTCTGTTTACCCACCAAAGCCGCTGGCTATGTGATTTTTCCTGCTGGTACGGCTGTGGCTGGAGCGGAAGTTGCAAAGATGCTTGATGGCCGGCTGGTTGCGCCTGGTGGTGATGCTGCACCTTGGGGAATGCTGTTTACGTATTTGTATTCTGCTTGGTTTGGATTCTTGCTTATCCATCGTGAGAGGCGAGACGATTATGCTTGCTCGGAGAAGTATGGCAAGGATTGGGAGGAGTACAAGAACAAGGTCCGATGGAGAATTCTGCCTGGGGTGTACTAAAATTAAGGGAGGACAATTCATGAGACATGGATAGTATTGACCTGAGTTGTTAATGCCTATTAAGTGACGGATTCGTATCCGTCTCATATGATGTTAGTCTAAGCTACCTGTTGTAAATTCAATTTCCACCACTACCATTTTCTCTATCTACTTTAAGTTCATTATCAAGCAAGATCCCAAAATATTATCGATACTACAATCATATTGCATGTCTCTTTGTGTTGGAAGTTTACTGATTTGAACGTCCGGCAAACTCGGTTGATATAGTGATGACGAGAAAGAATGGGTCACGGCATGATCGGGAATAAAATCTGCCGAAAGCCGGCCGACTATACCAATATCTCACGTAATATCTTCCCAACCAGAAAGGGCTAGTTAATAAGAAGAGACAGTTCATATCTCTACATACATGTCTCATCCTCCAGTATCTCACGATACCGATATACTAAGACATTCAACGGAAGCGTGGCACAAACATACACCGCGTCTGTATGTCAGAATCTGATACCTCCAACTTTGTAGTGAGGGAGCATATCTATCAGCCAGATATACCTCCCCACATCCGCCAGCTCGAAATGGAGCTCATGTTAGAGGATCCTCCTGACATAGCAACGTGTAAAGATCTCATATTAGATCATCACCCTACGAATTTCCAATGGTGGTCAGGCCATCCTGAGCCCAAAGAGTACGTGGAATATCCATGCTCATTTGTCTTTAAATTGTTGACTAACGATCCAAGGCGTCGTGATACTTCAGGCTTGACACCATTGGCAGCCGCTGTAAAACGAGGAAACATCGAAGAAGCTAAGGCCCTGATTGAAGGAGGCGCTCGAGCAGACGTTTGCGGTCCAACATTCGGTAGCCTTCCTCACCTTGCAGTCGCATTATCCTATGAAGGAATACATCAAATATTTCCATTGCTCAAACTTGTCATTGAGGCGGGAGCAGATGCCAACGCACCAGGCCCTGACCCAGACAAAGAGTCGTTGTTATGTATGGTAATAACTACACTCTGGCTTCCCAACTATCGTCATGCGATATGCCGCTATCTTGTTGAGGATGGGGGTGCAGATGTCAACATGAGAAGCCAGTCTGGCATGTATCCTATCATCGCTGCAACCGGAACCGCAGACAAGAAGTTGGTTCATTATCTAATACAACATGGTGCAAATGTCAATGTTTCTGATGACCAAGGCCTACGAGCAGTGCACTATGCAGTACCTTCGGCATCCAACAGAAGCCTTGGATCTCTCATTAAAGCGGGGGTTGATCTATTATCTCCAGATAATTATGGCCGAACACCTCTACACTTTGCGGCAAGCCTCTGTTATTGGGATTTCATTCGTATTTTTATCGACTTCCTTCCTGAAGGATATGATATCAATGTTCGAGATAACGACGGGTGGACACCGCTCATGTGGGCTTGCAAGAATAGCCGGTCAGAAGCGCTTAAAATCCAAATCCTTGTTCGAGATTACGGAGCAGATATCTGGCCGGTGAGCTACGATGGCAAATGGTCTGCCCTGAAGTTAGCCAACTTTACAGCCGGCGATCTGAAAGGACTAACGTTCCTGGCACCGCTGAAAGACCAGAGCGAAAAGATACTTCAAGATGGAAGCAAACAGATTTGGGATCCAGAATTTCATAAAATATCACCTGGAGATCACCACAATTTTAATAGTTGCAGCAGTTGCTATACTGTAAGTGATGCATTTCAACTTCAGAATGGTTGCTAACGGACTATTTTTACGAAGCTAACGCCAAGGCCCCTTTACAACTGCGTAGATTGTTCAGAACGGTTCTTCTTGTGCTTCAAGTGTTTTCCAAACCGCAAACTGATGCATATTAGTGATCATAGAATGGAGGAGCACGTTGAGCCTGAGCCCTCGGAGTGCTCGGACACTGACTCGGAATGTGAAATTTGATGAGGAAGCATGATTTATTGTATTTCACGTGTAGATAGATGGATTTAAGCACTCTACTAGTTATGAAATAGCGATACGGACAGAAATAGATCCCTTCTTGGTTTGAAGCACAATCAGATCATGATCATATGTGAGATCCTCAATAGTTGTCTCGTAAAGACGAGCTCGTGGAATAACCCGGAAAGCCATCAGAGCCGCCATGATGTATACCTCACAGTAGGCGAGACTTGCCAAATCGTTAGTACAGTCTTAGTATCAGAGCAGCAGATCAAAACTTACTTCTCGCCAATGCAAGCGCGGCTTCCCTTTCCAAACGAAATCAAGAACTTTTGCAGCTTGTAATTCGGCTTTCCATTATCCAACCAGCGCTCTGGTAAAAATTCATCGGGTTGAGGGAAAAGCTCCTCGTTCCAGTGATTGATCATAGAGGTCATTCCAATGGGTGTACCTCTGGGAATGACCCAACTGGTGTTACCGTCTTTGCTCTGGTAGACGAGGTCCTCTTCCCGGGCGATTCGGGCAGATCGATGAGATACACCGGGCATAACGCGTAGAGCTTCGTGGATGACAGCCCAAAGGTATGGGCGTTGTTCAAGGTCTGTCCACTTAAGGTTCTCCGGATCGATGCCATCTAGATCAGCCATGAGACGCTTGTAAATCTCAGGCTTGTCAAGAAGGAAGTATGTAATAACAGTGAGTGTGGCCTAAATTTCATTAGCCGGATATAAAAAAAACCAAGACAAATTTGACTTACAGCAGTGGTTTCAGTACCAGCGAGCAGAAAATTGAATCCCTCACCTGATAATCTATACAAAGACTTTTCCGATTCTGGCAGCGTCTTCGACTCAACAACTTGAGCAAACACGCGTCCACCGTCAGGATTCTTCAATGCAGCCTTGATATATCCAGGAATCACCACGTTCATTTGTCGCATAACAGCCTTGATATCCTCGCCAAGGTAATCGGACAAAAAGGGAAGAACCTGGGCCATCTTTCTCGCAAAAACGTTGTGCCTCATCATGTATGCGCTCTGGAAGAAAGACTTGACCCAAGTAGCCAGATTAGGCTCCCACCCTTCTTGAGCGATGAAGCCCATAGATTCACCAAAGGCATACTGCGAGATAATATCGGCGGTGAAACAGTTAAAAGCTTCCTTGACATCAAAAGGCTCGCCACCAGCATATTTTAGCATCTTGTCTACTGTCATTTGTGCAAAGTCTTGAACTTCACCCTCCAGTTTGAGCATTTGTGAGCGGGAAAAATACTTGGACAAGGCTCCTTTCCTCATTCGGTGGACTTCATGGTTGACTGTTGAGAAACCTGTTACTGAGACTGGACCAGCGCCTCCAGTGTTGAGTTGATGCTGCCATTTGTCGCGAACACGGCCAGGACCCGCGTAAATTTCGTCGGTGAAGTACGGGTCTGAACAGTGAAGTTCGTCGGGATTAATTCTGACAATTGGGCCTGTGTATGTCAGAAGCGATTGGATATAGTCATCCTTTTGTCTTACCGTAACGTTCATGCATATCGCGGATAACCTTTCCATATCGTCCTACTCGCCACCAGTCGTAGTAGGCCTCATAGAGATAGCTGGCAGCGGCAACTTTAGGCCCAGGGAAACGAGACAGGGGGTGGAAGGGTGAGATGTTGTATAGAGCTACAAGTACACGATAGAAGAACCAGACTCCGACCAGAGTAATTACGCTCTTGAAAGAGGCAATGCTCTTTACGTCGACCGTCTCCCAAGTAGAGAAATCCATGATGCACAAGATTTTGGGAAAAAGCAATGGGACAAATGATGTAACGGCCAGGTGAGCTTATAACACCGAGGCAATGGATATTTTGTTTAACCGATCAAATTTTATGCCCTACAAACCGTTGATATGGCGTACAATGTAACGTTTTTATCATAGGATCGGCTCTAAGTGGACGCTTTGAGGGATACATCCCGATAACCCCTGTGGACTTGTGGAGTTGGGATCCTTTTATTCCCCGCTCATGAAGATTTCTCTCACCATGACCATGGATCTGGGATGGGCGTTGAGAAAGCTCGGATCTGAACTGGGCTTGACACGTTGATTAGTGCTTATGGCCTCCGCTTCAACTTAGGGCAGTGTCCCGCCTTGACGAACAAGAAACAAGGGATTTAAAATGGCGGGTTTGAGAATTAGACCGGGACTATTATAGAAATGTATTTTTAATTCTAATTCTAGAAACTTAGATGCCATTCGATGTTGGCGGCTCTCGTTACCTTCACTGTGTGCATCTAGGTAGGTATTTTTATCTGATGCGTTTAGAGCTCGCAGAAAATCAACACTACATGGAAGAAAGGAAGAATATTATAGTGTTTTATGCCAACTTATCTGAATAGATACTCGGATATTTTTCCACCATTCAATTCCGACTTCCTGAATGATTCGCTACTCTGTTTGTGAGTCACTACAGAGTGGCGAGTTGAAAAGTATTTCTCTACCAGGGTCTTATCTATATCAACGGATGGAGACATTGGCATATTTTTATAGACTCTATTTATTATGAAGGTGAATTTTGGAAATGACGAATTCTAACATGTACTGAAGATGAAATATTCTGGCACTTTCCACAAGATGCGATAATTGTTTTTATCGAAATCGAAAACAGTGATTTTCCATCATCATTTCTAGTTTACTCTGCAATACCACGACCACACCAGAAACTTCAAAGAATACATCTTGACAATATCTCTTCTGTTGCTGTTTAGCTTTGTTTCAGCGTGTAATCGGCGAAGATGATGTAATATACACTTGTCTACTCACCTTGAGTTTTGGACAAGGGTTATATGGAACTGGCTCCAGCTAGGCCGATCTTGGTTCCAGTGTTAGCAAAGATACCGTTCTGACCTTGAGTAATAGTACCGAACATGCGGGATGATTGGTTACCTTCAGAATCATGTTGCTTTTACAACTAGGAGCATGACTTCGATATCACGACAGGAGGTTGTCAACTAAATATTTTGTTAATAACAGTAACCATTTGCTATAAGGAGTTAATCTAGCCCCAAAGCTGGCTCCTCAAGTGTAGCATGCTTATCAGCTTCCCAGAATATGATAAGAAAGAGCTAGTAGGCCAAGGTAGACATGATAAGAGCACGGCCATAAGAAGGTCCGAGTAAGTGACTCAGAGAGTGACACTGTCATCAACTATACTGCCATGGCAGGGTACATCAGCCACATGTCTCAACTCTTGGAGCTTTCCCGAGTCCACCAGTCCAGCTCAAACCGGAACAGTTGGCCCATCCCTTTGTCCATCCACCGCAAACGATGACTGTAGCAGGAGACATACCACCCATAAACTCAACCATCTCAGCATCCCTTACTTCATGAGGCCAGAGTGATTGATTCGGTTAGCGAAATAGCCAGAGGAAGATAACATCTACAATAGATAACCGAGAACAAAGCCTTTACAAAAGCCACGCCAGACCTAAGCTCTGCCAAAGCCGCCGCAGTCGTTGATCTGGGTCATGGCGCATCAATAAATAGATGCTAGGTATGTCGCACTGAACATAATATCATAGACTTGATGCATCTTCTTGTCTTTGTTCTCAATATTGAGAGCGTCTCTATTGTAGCGTTATTGTTGGTTCTGAGACTGGAGTCAATATGTCACTGTGACTCGCATAGCATATACCAGTCAAGCACTACTATCTATCTTTCTACCTTCTACCAATCGTGAAGGTATGTAAAATACTCGATTATAGCTTTGCCTTGGCCAGATGACTATGTAACAACTACCGCAAAGAACAACCGAAGAAGAAACCAATTTAAGCTTTATAAACTGACCTATTCCGTTTCAATCACGCATCTCGGTATTTGGAAACCCGACTCTCTTAACCAATAGTGGCGTCAGCACCGAGTCTTATCAGGTCTTATCAATATATTCCATCTAATTCTTGGCTACTGGAAACGCATGCCATACCCTTGTGGGCCTTTGCCGCCGACGCCTCGCGTGGTGATCTACGTCTCGACTCTTCGATAGCGGCGCAAAGAACAACCCGATCTGGTCTAACATCATTTTAGACCCAGACACGGCAAACCGGCACTAATTTTAAACCTTCAACCCCTTTCTCACATCCCTTTCCCACTTGCTAAATACATACTGACCGAGGTCAAGATAAACGAGATCGCGGGGTAAAGCCTTGAACTTCTCCAGGTTTGCAGCGACTAGTCTCAAGACTCTCCGCATTCCAATTTCCTGGGGTACCGGTTGATAGCAAGACCTCTGGGTATATAACATCAGAGGCTGAGCGTCTCGTTACAGGTTGCTAACTCTGATCAGGTTGACCGTTCTTACCACATCTGTGCTACACGACTTTTTTTTTGGTACAGTCATTTTGAACAAAGAATCACATCCACCAACATGGCGTCTCATCCAGAGATGTCTGCGCTACCCGCCAGCGATACAAAGCAGCCAACTCTTGATCATTCAGAAGATCAACCTCCAGCCGTACGCCATGTCGAAAACTCCGAATTCGAGGAAAGCCCCAAGGTCGCCTGGTCCACTATCCTGGCAGTCTTTGTAAGTTATTATGGATACAAGAATGATCTGACCAGGACTGACTTGAAGTTTCTTTGTAGTTCATGGGCCTGACTTACATTCCCGCGATCGCAACAGCATTTCTTATGCCGACTCAGATCCTCCAGCAAATCGGTATGGCTCTCGGAGACACAGAGAACATTGCTTGGATCCCTGGTGGTTGGTCCATCGGCGCAGCTGTTTCGTTCTCCGTAGCAGGAGGCCTGAGCGACGTCTTTGGTCGCCGATGGGTTCTTCTAAGTGGCCAGACTATCATCCTGGTCGGTGCAGTAAGTATTCGAACAATATGCTGAAGATGGAAATAATCTAACCTTGGAACTCAGATCGTTTGCGCTTTTGCTGAAACAACATTGCGAATTGTCACCGGAACTACTCTCGTGGGATTTGGTGCTGGCGTCATCATGGTATCTTATCCTGGCATTAGCGAGCTTCTCCCGAATAAGTACAGAGGAATCGGTATTGGATGGACCGAGTTCTGCATCACTATCCCATGGGGATCGCTAAGTGGCTTGATTGCAACACAACTCTACCTCAAGGCAACCTGGAGATGGTGTTACTACATCACCATCATGTATGCTGCTGTATGTCTGATCGGCACCTTCATCTGCTACTTCCCTCCGTCTCGTCCGCAGCACGACTTTGAGAAAACACGCTGGCAGCAACTGAAAGAGCTTGATTATATCGGATTATTGCTCTTTGCCACCGGACTTACTATATTCTTGATTGGCGTTACGTTCCTAGGCGCCGCTCATAGGTCCACGGTACTTGTGGCAACGACCATCTCGATAGGTGCTTGTATTTTCATCGCCGCCTTTATATATGACTTTACTATCCCGAAGAAGCCTCTCTTTCCCCTCAAGTTGTTCCGCATGTACAGGGAGTTCACAGTATATCTCGTGATCCTTTTTGTTTGTGGAATGATCTGGCAAGCAATGGTCACACTTGGTAACCAGGGCACTTTGTTCATGTTCACCAATGATCTTACTGAAATCGGCTACATCTCTATTCCCGCTAGTGTCTCGGGTATTATTGGAGGTTGGATCATGCCCACTTTGGTTCACAAGATCAAGCACATCCGGTACCAATTCCTGTTCGCCCTTCTCCTTCAAACGGCGTTCACCGCGTCATACGCTTCTGTGATTCCCCACAACAAGACCGGATGGATGCTCTTGCCCATGTTTGGTCAAGCCTGTTTCACCTGGCTTACAGTTTTGTCCTACGTCTCATCTGGCTTGCTGGTCCCGCAAGAGGAACTCGGAGTCTCAGCCGGACTGATGGGAACGTTCCGCAGTGCTGGTGGATCATTGGGCAACGCTATGTTCAGCACGATTGTCGCCTCTATCGTTAATCGTAAACTTGCTAACAACATTGCTGGCGCTGCTATCGGCGCGGGGTACTCTGCCAAAGACTTGCCATCTCTGATCCCTGCGGTCATCCAGAACGCGGTTGGTGTACCTTTCGCCATGGCCAAAGTGCCAGGGGTAACCGAGTCAGTTCTCCAAGCAACGACTGCCGCCTTTAAAAACACCTACGCCACAGCTTTCAGAACCGTATTCTTATCTACCATTCCGCTGGGCGTGGTAGCTATGATGGCAGCCGCCTTTATCCGCGATCCGAGCCATTTGCTTAATAATCATGTTGCCGTCCATCAAGAGAAGGAAGTTCTTGGAAAGAAGCATCAGGCACAAATGGCTGGAAAGGAGATTGATTAGTTTTTTCTTTCATTTTTGTGTCTTATCGCTTGCAAGCACCAGTTCAATTACCGAGATCCAATGTCAGTCGTATTTCTCAGGTTTTCAGTTTAGTAGATCTTGTAACGGTTGTCTGTCTAATATCAGGGTCCTCCTCGTCAGTGATACTCTCCATTTTCATGTGACTTTCGCGACACGTCATAAAACTGACCACAGGCCGATGTAATGTACTGATTCGTTTTCCCCACTGTGATTGAACGTCCAGATGAGTCAAAGACCACATCGATGGACGAGTCGGATATTTTGGCACAGCGTTGTGGGCCTGGCGCTGTTATGCCGGCAACCACATTAACATATCGTGAGAAACGACCTGACTCGTGTCCTCGAATACCGAGGAATAACTTCTGGCACGGACATTATGAAACTAGAAACCTACCATTCCAGCAACTAACACCCGCTATGATCATCCCGCTGACTAGTGGAGATGTCAGGAATTGATTCGTTTAGTCAAAAGTTCTGGTGTTGGTGGTCTAACCACTTATAGATAAACACGCGAGGTACCAGTCAAAGCACCCGGGCTTCGTCGCAAGTGGTGGAGTTAATAGTTAAGTGTTTGACGTAGGAACAAAGTTATCGAAACATTTGCCTCCCCGTACGTCAGAGTACTCTATTTGAAGTATTCCTCATAAAACCAAAAGCTTGGGCTTCGTTACCATTAGCTGCTCTACCTGCCAAATGTTGCATCACTCGTTTCTGCCTCCGTCCGTCAGCCGACTTTTGTGATGGATTCAAGACCCCACAAGAGAAAAAGAAAGCCCAGCTCTCATCTCGCTACCAAAGCTCAACAAGGTAACAGTGCCCCGGACCGAGGTTGATCACAGCTAAGCATCCAAAGTACTCTGTAGATCAAGAATAATTCCTTCTAGAACATACTTGCTACGGTTGTCAGAACTTTCCTGATTATATCAACTGTCCAGCTGTTTTCCCGCAAGGATCTTGTTTCAGCTTGAGTAATGCTATGTAGTAAACACAAATAGAAACACATGTTAGTCTTGATTTATAATCCGAGTAAACTTGCTAGAGCCACAATAACAACTCTTATCCACGTGGGTTGCTTTTCTGTTGCTATGACCTCGTTTCAGCTTGTCCGACGCTAAGAAACGAAGACCGACTAAAAATCGGAGAGAACCGAGAATGAGGATTTGCAGTATGTACGCTTACGGCGTTTTAGTTTACTAACCCCCAGTTTGTTTAGCACACGAGTGGGGATGAAACGGCATTGCATAGCCAGAATCGTATAGGCCAAGAAACAGCAGAGTCCCACGAGGCTCCTTTGCAATTTTGTAGAAAAAGCTAAAAGATAATGCCTATCAGGAAGTTATCTGCGAAGCTATAAGACTCTTGTATATCCCCGTGGGGACTAAGACACTTCTTCCTCATCCCAAGCCAGTTCGCACACATTTCATACATTCTTTCAACACTCCACAGGCCGGTCCTCTTATAAACAATTCCTCTCTTTCTCTCTACTTTCCATATTTATCCACTACACTGTGTAGCTAGTTTTACCAAATTACTTTCTTTCACACATTCAAAATGAAATTCTTTTCAGCTCTTTCCCTCATGGCCGGCATGGCGAGCGCTCTCCCTGCTGGGGATGTCAAGGTCCGCCAGCTTGGTAGCGGTCTTGGCAGTGGCCTCGGTAGTGGTCTTGAAAGCGGCCTCGGTGGCGGACTCAGTGGTGGAGGTCTAAGTGGTGGAGGACTTGGTGGAGGACTTGGTGGCCTTGGTGGCTCATCTACGCGCAATGACCTCGAGCAAGGCACTGCTGGTAGTTGTCCCAAGGCCATCTTCATCTTTGCCCGAGCCACTGGCGAGCCCGGTAACATGGCAAGTAATTCCTTTCACCTAACTGGGAACATTCTCACTAACAAACGCACAGGGCGCGTCTACAGGTCCTGCCGTGGCGAAAAAGCTCGAAGCCAAGTATGGAAACGATCAAGTCTGGGTCCAAGGTGTTGGTGGCCCATACAAGGCTGATGTGCAAGGAAACCTTATGCGTGACGGCTCTACCCCGGATGCTATCAATGAAGCCGTCCGCCTCTACAACATGGCCCACGAGAAGTGCCCCGACACTCCGGTCGTTACTGGTGGATACAGGTGAGATAAGAATAATTCTAGCTCGAAGGGTGTCTCCTTACTAACCATGATTGTCTTCTAGTCAGGGAACAGCCTTGGCCGCCGCTGCTATCTCCAAGCTCGAGCCAGAGGTTATGGACCAGGTCAAGGGCTGCGTTCTCTTCGGATACACAAAGAATGCCCAGAACAAGAAGGCTATTCCCAACTACCCGCAGGATCGCACTGCTATTTACTGCAACACGGGAGATGGTGTCTGCACTGGAACTTTGATGATCACTGCTCCTCACTTCATGTACCAAAGCGATGCTGCGGGTCCTGCTCCTGAGTTCCTGACCTCCAAGATTGGCTAAGCGCTGGGTAATGTTTCTGTTTCTGGATTCAAGGGTATTATTTAGATCTCGGTAGTTTTAACTTTGGGGACATCAGGGTATCAGAAAGATTGGACGCTAGAAGCACAAGAGACGAAATTAGTATGATGAATCCATGCCGATTAGATCAGAATCCTTAGAATGTATGTTTTTGTATCGTCAAGACTAGAGGCCAACTCTTGTGATTCCCAGCAGTGATAGTACATTTTAGTGGTCTGAAGATCTACAAACAGGGTCCTTGGTGATTACAATAGTTGTGACTCTGTACTGGGACCTGACAGTGACGAATTACTCATTGTATTATTCACGTTGCTTCGTTGTATTAAATCTATGTCTCTATTTCAAGAACTTGATCAAGTCCGCTTTGTCAAATTGTCATGATTCGATCCGGTTGAAGACCCATTAGAAATCCTGCAGAACGTTCGTCCTTTCCAATACACTTGAAACAGGCTCAAGCTTCGGCTGCTTCCTTTCAACCTCGGCTGTTTTCGAGGTGTGCATATTATGCTTAATGTCTTGGGAGTCGGAGAAAACATAATCTGAAACAAATGCCTTGGCTATTTAAAAAGATGGTGTGGAGTGACTGTCAGAGAAACGAGTCCGAGTCCTTGCCGCATTTGGAAATTCTCGCGAAGGATTAATATAAGAATCACAAAAGAAAAGTTACTTATCACAATGTACTCGCCGACCAATCGCAAGCGTGCCATAACCAATTGATCCTAGACGGAGAATTTCGTCACTGACCGAGGTTTGATGTTTCGCTTCAATCTATTCTCTTTTGTTTCCAAAGTAGTGTGAAGGTTTTGCGTAGATAACAAGGAGTTGAGCCCTGCTAGTCTGAATTACAAAGATATAAAGCCTTGGGTAACGGCCTACCTTGATACTGAACATTCTAAACATCAGTCGTTCATTCATTACTCCTCAACTATAGTCACAGTACCGACAGGCTCGATACAAGTCCTTCCTTTCTTCCTACCAAGTTCAACATGAAGTTCTCTACCCTGATTGCTACCTCTGGTGCCATTGCACCCGCCTTCGCTCTCCCTCAGTTTCTACCCACGGCTGGTGCCGAGTGGACTCCGCAAGAGTGGATTGCTCCGACTGCAAACGACTGTGAGTTCTTGCAACTATTTCAGGTCTAAATCATCTCCATGCTCCCCATATCTAACTTCTTCATAAAGCTCGTGGTCCTTGCCCCGGCCTCAACACGCTTGCCAACCATGGCTACCTTCCCCGTGACGGGAAGAACATCGATCTGACCAAACTTGCCGATGGAATGCTTGCCGGTTTCAACATTGAGAAGGGTGATGCTGTCCTTCTTTTTACACAGGCTATCAGGACAAGCCCCGACTATCCCAGGACCCGTACATTTGACCTGGCCGACCTTGGTCGTCACAATATCCTCGAGCACGACATTTCTATCAGGTATGTGGTCACTAAATCGTCGTTTTCTTCATGCATCAGTTCTGACCCATGCCGTGTAGTCGCTCTGACGCCTTCTTTGCTGACCCGAACCCATTCAACGAGACTGTTTGGGCTGAGACGCTCACATACTTCCCCGACGATATCATCACGGTCGACCAAGTTGCAAAGGCGCGAATGGGTCGTCTTGAGACTTCCAAGAAGACCAACCCTCAGCACTCATTGTCTGCATTGGCCGACGGCTTTAGCTGGGGTGAGATGGCTTCTTTCTTCGAGATCATGGCTGACGGCACTACCGGCACGGTAGAGAAGAAGTTTATCGAGTACTGGTTCAGTATGTTACCTTTCTTTTAATGATTTGTGATCTCTTCAAGCACGGCTAACAAAGACTTGTACTACAGAAAACGAGCGTCTGCCTACAGAGATTGGATGGCAGCGACGCACCACTACAATGCGTGGTATTGAGCGTATTGCTTTCACTAGAAAGCTCATGGAGGCTGCTGGCGTTTCGCGTCGTGATGTCACCAGTGATGCTTATGGTCGCCCGCTTGAACAGTAAATCCGGTACATTACGATGGCCACAGGTTAGATGTTGAAAGGGGTTGAATGTTGCTCAAGGGTATCTATGTGGCACATTTGTAGTTGCCTCTGAGCGGCATGGCTCATGTATATACAGTGGGTATCCTCCGTTTCTTATGATGATCTTTTGAAGGGAAAATAAATCAAGTGCTGTCCTGTTAGGCTTCAACATATCCTGCCATTATTTTGCGACTCCTCAGGTGACTATCCCTTGCTCGAGACCAGATTTTTAACTACCAAATCTCTCAATCTGCTGTTCTCTATAGTTTCCCTACATTGGGGCGGGTGTGTCGCGCGAAGAAGAATTCGGTACAAGCTGGGCGGGTGCAGAGTTCAAAGTGAAATGATCGTTCTTCTGGCCACTTGTTAACATCAGTTCTGCAGTCCAGGGCTTCGTGAATCTGGCTTCAGCATTAACCCATAACACTTTGAGCCTGGCATATAGTGTCAGTACTTACTTTCTTTTCAATGTTGTCCTCATATCAGCGCTTTAATACATCGTCCTCTTTGTTTCCAAGGGCTAGCCCGGCAACGTTGATGTTCTTTCTCAACGGCGACTCTGATGTAGGATTCCCCGCTTCCAAATAGTTAAATATGCTCTTGACATGAGGTCGCTGGGGGGGGGACCATATCTGAGCTTCCGAAGTAGGGTAGAGCGAACATCTGGCTGATCTTGGAGAAATGTTTCCCAGCCTGCCATATCCCCACGCAACCGGTAGGGATCGCCAAAGTGATCTGAAACAAAATCGAGGTAGAACCGTTTCAAGGTTGAATCCGATGTCGTGCTGCTGCACACATACCGCACATCCTCAACGCTGATAGAGATACGGAATGCCGCGTCTACGTGCTCTTTGAAGAGACAAGACAATGCGTAAACTTTGAATCCTGTGCAGAGGAGATAGTCGCCGAGAATCCAGCATTTTGCGTTTATGCTGGGGTGTTTCGGAAATGCGGAGCAATCGTAGCTCCCATAATGCATCCACTCGACGAACAGGCCGAAAACAGCGGGATCATGATCGGGCAGATTGATTTGGTTATTTTCTTTCCATAGGTAGGCTTTTTTGAGATAAGGCGAGTGAAATGAAATGAGGTTTGCTGAAAGAGACCACGTTTTGTCTTGTGAGGGTGTCGGACCAACCCGAACTTCAACTCCCCTTCCACGCAACCTATTTCTGTCAGTCTTCATTTGCCGCTGGTGACGAAATTTGGTAAACGTACAATTTCAGCGTCTTACTGTTCACAACATTCGTCGCGACGCTCTCCGAGCGCGGAGAATTCGGATTGAATATTTGGTAGTCGGCGAGTCTATGTTCCTCGATGCTGAAGTTGTCGAAGCCGTTTTGGACAACGAATGACTCGAAGGTCTCGGGATCGGGATCAGGACCGCTCCTTCCCAGGAATGCCGGGTGTTGTTTGACCAATTTACCCCAAGTGCCGGGGCGGGATGATTTGGTGTTTTGCATGGTAGGTCAGGTTGATTGAATTGAGTTGAGTTGTTACGGCGGGCCACAAGCCCAAAGGTGCAATTGTGGGTTTCTCACAGTGCTGACTCATCGGTTCAGTGGCTACACCAAGATCTCTGCACGTGACGCGTAACGGAAGGGACGTACTTGGAGCTGTTTAGATCTATAGGTTAGTAGGTACCTACCTGGTAAGTAGCTAACTATAAGATTCATGTTTATAGTAACAGGCACTGTAAAAGAACGATAGGTAATGTTGGAAATCCATATGGGAAAGCGGCATTGTAAGAATTTGGTGGTTCTTCATGGTATTCAAAGTGCAATGGGTACTGACTTTCTTGCTCGCTCTGCAGCTTCCAGTCACAGAAAGAAGAGTTCAAAGAGCTTATCCATAGTTGCAAAAAGATCATACAACCCTGATTTCAATTTAGAGTTTTTCTGGAAGATACTATCGAGAACCCATTCAATGTAAATATTTATGCATCCTTACGCGTGTCGGCCTACCGACCTGGAGCCAAGGAATTGTACGCGTATAGAGTGACCTCCAATTAATAACTGCGCATACTATACCACGAATCCTGTGAACTCCAATCAATGCCTGAACTATCTATCAGGGTATTCGTTCTTTGCAATATTCTCTTAGTGTTATTTATTTGCTTCAGTATGCAAGATTCTATTGTATAAGAAGCACAGTTTACCCAAGGAATTCCCTGGTTTCCCCTCTTTTTAGGAGCAAACCCTGTGATAATAGTGTGAGCAATATCGTCGGTTGTAACAGGAAACACATCTCCGAATATTGACCCAAGGGGCAAAAGAAAAAGCCTCACGCTATGCCTCTATTCAATCATACAGGTATAGCCGACATAGTTGCTAGTTGATCTGCAATATGAGACGTATCTTAAAGCTTACAAGCTGTATTTTACACTTTTAGCTATAGACAACGGCTCAACGGCAAAGGCAGTGGTGGGCCAGAAGCCTTTCGCTAAAAAAATGCTGACGGCTGATTCCAGCTTCATTCAAGAAATGATCGTCATCATAGAACTTGAAGCCTGTTTACGATTCGCTTCGACGTTTTGTCGGACCGATGGAATGGGTGCCAAGTTGCCGCCCAGTTCATTTTTTCGGCGAAAGACTCCCCCATCTCCCCATCTACCCTTGTTTACCCCAATACAAACCCACATCATTGACATCACTGTTCTCCGGATCAGCCAGACTTAGGTTAAGCACATGCGGGGAAATAACGCATTTCAATTCTTGGGGATGGTCAAGGATCAATGGTCTGATGTGTTCCTCGTTGTATATATAAAGGCAGCTTGCTACTACCAATATTTTACCAAGCAGCTCCATCTCATCTAAGAACATCATGAGACACAATCTATTGCCGGCCATTGTTGGTCTTTCCCAATTCGGCTCTCTGGCCAATGCCCAGTCTTCTGCCACAACAATCACTGTTCCCACTGGTACACCCATCTCTGGTGATTACAATGGCACCTATCGTCCCCAAGTTCACTTCTCACCACCTCAACATTTCATGAATGATCCAAATGGCATGTTTCGTGACGCTGACGGCCTGTGGCATTTGTACTATCAGTACAACCCTACAGCTGTCGTCGCTGGCAACCAACACTGGGGACATGCAACATCAAAGGACTTGTATCATTGGGTAAACCAGCCTATTGCCCTATTCCCACCAGAGGATGATACATTCGTCTTCTCTGGAAGTGTGGTTATCGACGAGAACAACACTTCTGGTTTCTTCCCGGATCAAGACAATGGCGTCGTTGCAATCTATGTAAGTACAAAGCCAGACAGACTCTCGCCCGATTGAAACTAACAATTGAGTAGACTCTATCATCACCAACAATCCAGGATCAAGCTATTGCGTACTCCCGAGACGGAGGTTACACCTTCGAACCTTACGAGGGAAACCCGGTTATCAACAGCACGTCTAACCAGTTTCGTGACCCCAAGGTCATTCGTTACAATGACTCGTGGATCATGGTGGTTGCATACCCTCAAGACTTTGCTATCGGCATCTTCGAATCTTCTGATCTGAAAGAGTGGACTCCCACCAGTAACTTTTCTCACCATGGCTTGCTCGGCCTGCAGTATGAGTGTCCCAACATGATTCCTATCCCATACATCGATGAAGATGGCGAGAGACAAGATGACATGTGGCTCATGGTGATCAGCATCAACCCAGGTGCTCCCCTAGGAGGTTCTGTCGCTGAGTACTTCCCTGGCCACTTTAACGGTACTCACTTCGAGGCTGTTGATGGCGCTGCAAGAATCGCAGATTTTGGAAAGGACAACTATGCCGGACAATGGTTCTACGGCCTTTCCGAAGATGAGAACCCTGTCTCCATCGCTTGGGCATCTAATTGGCAGTACACACAAATCGTCCCCACAGCAGATGAAGGCTGGCGAAGTGCCATGAGTCTTCCCCGTGAGAACTATTTGACCAAAGCAAAGCGCGTAGGCTGGAAACTAGTATCCAAGCCTTACGACCTCAGCACTGTTATGGGTCGTGAGCTTGCTTCCAACGACAGCTTTGGCAACTCAACACTTACTGTGGACTATTCCGATGTTGAATCTAACGCGATATACTGGGAAGTCAACGTAACCGGCATCCCAGACACTGGCGTCGCATCAACAGCATCGATGAATTTCACATTCCTGTCTCCTGTCAGCGGCGAAAGCATCAAGGCCGGCTACTATTTCGGTGGCGATTCAGTGTACTTCCTGGACCGTGGCAACACTCACGCCTTCGACAACATTTTCTTCACCGACAAAACGTCTCTTGCAAGCCTTGCGGCCAATTATGGCTCTTGGAATACCAGTGGTGTCATTGACCGGTCCATCTTCGAAGGTTTCCTCAATGGTGGTGTCGACAGCGTGACAAACACATTCTTCGCTACAGAGCCATTGACCCTCATGGTATTCAGCACAACCGATTTACCAGAGGATGTTAAAGTTAGCATTAGTGTTTATGCTTTGGAAAGTGCATGGCGAGAGTTGGAGGGCGATGACGGACTTGTGCATGGGAACACAACTTCTAGCGAAGACTAGAAAGTTCATGTCAAGCGACGAATTCGCCTCGTCGATCATTGTATATACTTTATCTTTATCTTTGTAAATGTCAATTTTTGCAGCCGACGTACTTTAAATCCCGTGAAATTGATAGCATAAATTCATTAAGTTACCTCACAATACACCGTAAACTGAATCGATTACCCTCCCAATCCTCCATACACAGCCATTAGAACCACACTCTCTCTTCTCAACTTTTGCGTTCATAACCCGACCTCCTTCAATCTCGAGGCTGAACCCTGCGCGGCCCTTGATAGTCTTGCCGTCTACTGTGCCATAGCCAGCCGCGAGGAAAAATTTCGTTATATCGGCGTTGTCCGAATCCTCAGCCTTTTTGGTGAACAGCTTCAGTGCCTCATTGGAAGGAACTAGAAAGACCACCTTTGAGTTATCTTTTCCGGCGAGCTTCGTATCAAGACGATCATAGAGAAAGCGTGGAGCATGCATTCGCAGTAGTTGTCTGGCGCGAAGGGTCTGGGGATCTACGGCCAATATGTCCTTCATTGTCTTGGAACGGGAGTACTTGATGGTTGGCAATGACTTTTGAGAAGGGGCATCCTCGCCAAAGTAGGTGAGCATAGGATCAAGGATGCTGTCGATCTTGTACACTACACCGTTCGAAGCAGGAATTCGAATCAGTCTGCCTCTTCTGTCTTTCAATAGCTTGGCTTGTGTGCCAGCACGCACAGCAGAGTCGGCCAAGCTCGTCATGCCCGTGTTGGTGGTGATGGCACCGTTTGTGCTAACGTCAATCGAGAAGCCCTCAATTGCTCTAATTGACTTGCCGTAGAGCTGTTGTGGACTGAATTTGCCAGGAAGGATGTGTGTACGTAGAAGGGCAGCCAGAAGAGGATAACCGGCTGGAGAGGTAAGCTTCTGTGCGAGACCTGGGACTTTGGCGATAGCTTCGTCGGTAGGAGCGAGGATAGTAAAGGCTTCATCCTTGTTGTTATCGTTAAAGCGCGCTTCAAACGCAGGTTCAGGAATTCCAGTGCCGTGCCCAGTTGAGGTGAAGAGTTTGTAGAAAGCAGTCAGGTCTTTGTGCTGTTCAAGCACAGTGATGACAGCATTTTTGCGGTTGACTTCGGCTGATGCTTGGACACAGAGTACAGAAGCGCACAGCGCGGCTTTCAAGAAGTTGACCATGTTTGAAACTGACGACTGGGTGATAATTGTTGTGTAGATAATATCATTATTTCTAACACCAGGTAGTATTTTATAGACATTCTATATTTGCGATTTTAACTGTTGTAACAACGTCGAATTTTTTTTGCATTAGAGAAATAAAATACGAGTTTCATATATCTTGGAGGCTTTTAATGCAGCGCTTTTTAGCGCCCTGAGCTCTTAAGAAGAGTTACTGTGCAGATTGAATATTAATTGCCTGGCTAAACTTTAATTCCACCCTGACCCGTAAGTTAATAAAAAAGACGCCTTGTTTCACTAACAAGTAAATTGCTCTGCTTAAATCAAGCCACTGACAATAGTTTAAGACTTTACTCTCTTCCAGCTCAATATGAAGTTGAACTGTGAGTCGAGCGGACCAGAGGACAGCCAGAGTTGTGGTGTTTTGACTGAGGCAAATTAGACCAAGTTCTTCATCACTGGCTCCGAGTATAGTGTGTACCTCGCTCCTGACGACTTGACATCGCCTTCCTTCGTGTCTATCAACATTTTCGTTGATCGAGCTCCGCCCTCAGCCTGTTTCATCCTGGTTGCATATAGCTACAACACTGTACACAGAAGACCACCCATCACTAAAAAACGATAATCAGCATTAAACGTTTTCCAAATTAGTTGCTGACTTACCACCAGCAACTGTACCTGCAGCTATCCCGTTCATAACACCACCAACGATCTCCTTGGTATACTCTTGAACCCTCTGGTGGTCCCTTCGACTTTTCTCAGCATCTTTCTGGGCCTTTAGAAGGACCTTCTGATGGGTTTTGGTACGACGTGCGACAAGTTGTTGCTGCTGCGGGTGATTTGCGAGACGAGCTACCTCCTTTTGAAGCGCATCACAAGAATCTTGCACGTCTCGCAACATCATCTCCTTGTTTCGAACTTCAGCTTCGAACTGGCTTCGTAGGTTGGAAAGTCGCTGCTCCAGCGATTTTGTCTCGGTTTGATGTAGATCTACCATGGTCTTGACCAACGTTTGGCGATCCTGCTCCGTCTGTTGGATTTCTTTATCCACTTCAGCCTTCAACTCTTGTAATTGATGACAATACTCCTTATCCGAGCCTGCCGAAGTTCTTTCTAACTCAGTAGTCAGTCGTTTGAGATGATTGTCATGTTCCAGGCGAGCTTTGTATAGATACACAGCTGCCGCTACCCCTGCGGTTGTTTCCCCTAGATTCTTTTTCTCATCAACGACCTCGCGTTGTAATTGAAGCACAACCGGCGAATGGCCTTCTAGTCTTCGGGCCAGGCTATCCACTATCCGTCGTCCGGAGCTTCTTTTGCCGTAGCCTCTTTCATAGTGTCGAAACATTGTTGCTCCTTTGGTGACAAGATCACCGAAGAACTCATTATTCGCCAAAAGTTCAAGTTCTCGCTGTTCAAGAATGGTCTTTTCGATAGAAGTTGGAGATTCAGGCCACATAGTGGTAACGATGGCAAGATTATTATTTAAAGCAAATCCGGAAACGGCTTTCAGGATTGTTAAGCTCCTTAAGTTTGATCCCGCCATTCTGTTGTTTGTGATAGGATATAATGTTATAATACCGCTGATCCGCACGCCGTTTGCATACGACGCACCGAGATAAGTTGCTAATATCTCTAGCGTATCAATATCAGAGCGAGTGGTGTCGTTAAAACCAGGAGTATCTATAAGAAAGATGCGTTGATCATGGCTGGCGTACTGGAAAACACCAATGGAGTTAGTGCTATTAATTAGTAAATTATTCTGCTGAATAAAAACCTTGATTTGCTAAGTCTTGAACGTGGAATAGACGCTGCTTTATTACTCACATGAATAAAGTCCATGGCCTACAACGACGCTATGGTCTGTGCAGTTTGAGATGAATGTGCTCTTGCCAGCTCCTGTAAGGCCCATAACAAGAAAGAACTTGTCTCCTGGCTCCGGCTGATTAAGGCCAAGAAATGTCTTGAAGGATTCAGCTTGATCGATCAGTGAGTCAGCACCAAAGCTGGGGGTACTCATGTCGAATGTTCCAATAGTTATTTATAAATTTTCGAGGGCTGATAGTGGGAAACCTTGAAACAAAAATAAGGGATATGCAAGATCTTGGCCAAAATGAAGGACAAATTGACCTCTGTCATTGTACAGCCCTAACTAAGAGTGCCTTGGGAGTGCCTTGGTAATAGTTAACATTCGAGGGGTTTTGTCGACGGCTGTGCAGTTGGCGCTGTCCACGAATGTGATCTGCAGTGTGTGATTCAACCAAGTTGTGCATATGCACGCTTGGTCACAAGCCCAGAATGGTCAGCCCGCACTTGATGACCCTTTGCCAAAAACGTAAAATCATCGCAAAACATGCTTGAAAATGAGGTATTAGGTACTTTCTAAATCTGAAGAACCTACGTCCCGTTACTTATCTTACTAGTATTGCATTTACTAAATCAGAGTCTAGATCTTTCTAGGTCTTGTGAACTCTACCCGCGCTCGGGTAAGCAAGGAAAGCCAGCTACATGCATTGACTGCAGGGAAATCAATAATGGCAAGGCGCAGCAATAGTGATGGTGTCGAAATATCTGGCACTCTTCTTGGCAGACTACTGGCTGATAACCCTACAGCTATGTACATAAGCAAAGATTTCGCCACATCGGTGTCATATATCTAGCCCAACCCAGTCTCCCAGTTAAACAGGTCATAAATACCTTCTCAACGAATGAACTTCCTGTCCTGTTTATGAGATTACGACACAAAGTAGTCCATGGCAGATCAGAAACGCTAGTATCAATTCAAATCGGAATCTACAAAGCCAGCCAGGCGCAAAACATGACAGACACTGGTGATAAACTCGGTTCAGTGGCAGCTGGTTCGATAAGTTCGGTTCCTAAGAGCTTTCGTAGCGGTCATGCCCCACGGTAAGGACTTCGTCTGGTATATACATCAATCATATTGTATTGCTAATTTACAAAGACCAAACGATGCCTTTATTGCCTTGATGGGTATAACTGGTTCAGGAAAGAGCTCATTTATATCGAAATGCACTGACAAGTCTGCTACAATTGGTCATGACATGATATCATGTGCGTTCACAGGTAACGTCTGAAAACTCCTAGGAAAATCGCACTAATGCATAGTAGGCACCTCTATCGTCGACGTCTACCCGTACGAGGTGACGTCCGACTTTACTGTGTATCTTATTGACACACCCGGATTCGATGACACTGGCAGAAGTGACACCGAAGTCCTCAGCGAAATTGCTGCTTGGCTGACAGACTCCTATAAACACGAAATTCGCCTTCATGGCATAATCTATCTCCACCGAATCTCTGATGTTCGGATGCAAGGCTCAGCTAAGAAGAACTTGGTCACATTTAAAGAGCTTTGTGGTGAGGATGCCCTCAAGAAGGTGGTTTTGGCAAGCACCATGTGGGATATGGTTCCTGTGGAGAAGGCTACCAAGCGGGAGCAAGAGCTCAAAGACACTCCAGAGTTCTGGGGCTGGATGCTTTCAAAAGGCAGTTCAGTTCATCGATACAACAACACGGCTGAATCTGCTAGAGAGATAATACTCTCGCTAACCGGCCATAACGCACCTATAGCGACTGATTTACAGAAACAGATGGTTGATGAAGGGAAACGCCTTGACGAGACTTCGGCCGGTCAAGGGCTCAAGAACGAGCTTCTCAAAGAGCGACTGAAATTGACAAAAGAACGCGAAGAGCTTCTTACTCTAATCAAAGCAGCAAAAGAGAAGCACGACGTTGATACAGAGGAGGCTCTTCAGGAAGAGAGTGACAGATACACTGTCTTAATAAAAAGGGCAGAAGACAGCGCCAAAGCTTTAAGGATAAGCATGGCAAATCTAATTTCCAAACGAGATTTGCGTATTGCAGAAATGACTAAAGAGATAAGAGAGGTCCAAAGTGAATACGAAACGAACTTTCGGCTGATGACAGTGGACAAGATAACGGTAGAGGATGAGATAATTGAGTTAAAAAACCAGCGAAATCTCCAACGACAAGGGAAGTCGAGATCCAAGTTATCGACCAGTACTCCAGACACTAAGCTAGAGCTACCTGGGCAACGTCCAGAAAGGGAGGAGGAAAGCATGCCTGCCACCAAGATCGGAATATATGTGTCTATGAGCAAGTCATTCTACGTTTTGCAAAGCCCCATGTGTTGGAGTTGGTAAGTCGTCCTGAAGCCCCACCGTACTAGATACGAGCTAATTACACGTTGCAAAGCAACGAAGTAGAGCTCCAGGAGTTCCAAGATGGGAAGCGAATGGAGCTGGGATGCTTAGGTGCCGTGAGCGACCAAAGGACAGCATGGATTGTTCGTTATGACAATAATGATTGGAGTAAGATCTTGAACAATCCGATACTATGAGAGAAAGACTAACGGCAAAAAGGGTGGTCTGTGGCCTTTGAGAGACATTATCCCGAGCTGGCCAAGCGTATAAAGTCTTATGGCCTCAATGCCGTTGAGATATGTGCACTTGGTCCTGGCGAACGTTACTACACCAGATGGAACGAGTTTCATAGCTACAGCTGTTCGACCAAATTCACCAAGACGGTTACCAGTATCGAAACCAATAGCTCTTTCGGTTCAGTCAAAGCGGTGTCTTTTGGATACGGCAGCTCGTTTCTGGTTTCTTACGGATTTGAAAGTGGCCACCTCGGCTGGACACATGACCTCCAGGGTCACTACCCAAGTCTCTATCGCTTTCTGAAAAGCCAGAAGAAGCTTGGAAACAAGATCAGTATACATGTAAGCTCTAAATGATACTGCAGTAATGTTCATGGCACTTATATCCTTTTAGGCGGCGACTCTTGACCCCTCTAGTAAGACAGACTATCTCGTTGTCTTCACTGATAATGACGGAAGGGACAGCAGCAAACTCAAGTACAAAATGCACTGTCGTAATAAGAATACCCGACAGGCAGTGCAGCACTGGTGGGAGGTAACCAAAGGGCGTCGACCACCTCGTGAAAAACGAGGTTGAAAGTTGAGCTATTGGTCCATAATTGTTCTCCCTTCAAGGATTATTGGGCATACTGGGTTCGCTCACACACTGGTCCCGACGTTGGTGTATTGATCCACGCAACGGATAACGTCCAGAATGGCTGCATGTTCGGGTTCAAGCGGAACCACGATTTTCAGGCAACTGGCAACGTGGATCATTAGGGACTCAGTCCCCTGGATAGGTTAAGAACGAGGAGAGACCTCGTGCAAGAGTGGATTGAAGCGTTCGAAGTGTTGATGCTGAAAGGGACTACTGGGTTGACAGCAGGTATGCTTCACGCTCAAGAGCCTTTGCCAGTGTGAGCTTTCGTCGACAAGGATGGCCCAAAACAAAGCCGTAATATGCTCTGAAACATCTAAAAATGTGTTCATGGAAGCGCTTGAAACCTTATAAGACCTAATCTAACATTCGTGGGCGGGAACCAGGGCAGGGTAGAGTCGCATCCTACAGCGCGACGTGTACTTCATTTGTTATGTTTGGTCACATATAGATGGTATTAATATGAAACACTAATCACCTAAAGTAAATGCCAAGTAGATTCGGTCACCTCCCACTAGAAGAATCCCACTACTAGCACGCTCTTGAATAAGTTAACTTGTTGTTTCAATGCTTCTTATTACTAAAACGATATCTACTCAACACACTAACTGACACTTTACATCATGACCTTCATACCCATAGCAGTCTTTCCTGCCATACCCTTCAGCTCAAAATGTTGAACCATCTTTGCTGAGCCTGAACCACCAGAAACATCGAGTACAGTTACGGCAGCCTCAGTGGTACCGTTACCGGGGGAAAGAGCGTAAATAAAGTTGCCAGCGGCAGCCAAGTCAATCAGACCAGGATCACCATTGCAGGTCAAGTCAAGCTCAGACACAACGCTGGCATCGTCAAGGCTCATCTCCACAACTCGGTTACGGCCGACGTCAGTGACAAATGCGGTCTTTGTGACATCGGAAATAGCTACCCAGCATGTCGCAGCCTGACCCTCAACTTCTCCAGTGGCCACGGTTGTTGCTTCGCATGTGTTGGCGTCGATATCGAGGATTGCGGCACCGAACGAAGCATCCGTGGCAAACACCTTGGAAGTGCCAGCAATGACTTGTGAACCGAAAAGCACAGCTGTTCCTTCGGGGGAGCTTCGAGCCTCGTTCTTGCTAACAGACATCACCCCATTGTTATTCTCGACGTTGAATGATGCCATAAAACCAGTGTTGTTGACAGCGGGGTCTCCCTTGACCATTGTGAACAGCATACTCTCATCGCCGGAGAAGAGAACTTGCGAAACAGTGTTTGTAGGTCCCATGGGTGGTGTGGTCTGTTGAAGATCGAATGGGCGTAGCTCGTCCATGGCGCTAAGTCCTTTGTTGGAGAAGCTGCTGCAGGAAACACCGGCTTTGGCACCGGTCATACCGACGCAAACGACATTGTTCTTTAAGGAAGCAGCCACGGTGTTGGGGAATTCGCCGGGGACGTCAACTGGCTTTCCGACCATCTCGAGTTTCGTAGGGTCACTGCGCGAGACAGTCAACATGCTGAGGGTGTTTGATCCGGCATTGACAGCGAAGATTTTCTGGGGGTAAATGATTAGAGAATGTTGGAAGAGTTGCGAAAAAGAATGTTAGACTTACATTGCCAGCAATTGTCAGTGAGGATTGAGCAACCAACGCGTCAGGTGTGGCAGGGTTGCCATCTGCATCCACAGCGATAGATCCCGCACCGCCAGTCACTGCAACTTGGCCCTTGGAAAGTGTGCCGTCCTTGCCTATTGGCAGTGCAAGGACACCGTTTGTCTCGTCGTTGGTGAGGATGTAGACAGCCTTGCCCATTGTGACTGCATTATTCATCTTTGGACGGCATGCTGGGTGGCTGCTGACTTGCTGTGTCAAACACAGCAGTGTAGGGAGAAGGATGGAAGTCGTTGTTGAAGAAAACATATTGAAGATAAAAAGATAGAATTCTGAAAGAATGTAGGAACAAGCAAAGATCAATAGCAGGCCGGCTGCTGAGAAAGTAAAACTGGTAAAGTGTGCTGAATTGAACTGGATTGAGTAAGAATATTTGGATGGAGATCAGGATTCATTCATTCTTATAGCAAATCCATTTCAAGATCTTGACATCAACCATGTTGACAATCTGAGATTCTAAGCGCCAGGTTCAAGTAATCGATATTTCCCTTTTAGGAAGCGTGTAATCACTTTGCAGCCCCAGTGCTTGTCGGAGTCTGGCTTCACCCCTGCATTAAACAAGTGCTCGAAGGGTAATCACACTTTCTTTATTGCGGTTCCAGCGCAACGTCGAACAGTTTTACCTGTTGTTTCAATGCAACGTCAGGGAGTTTTGCTAACCGCAACTGGGGGGACCCCAGAATAACCAACAGGTCCACCATAACGTTCAACAACTTGTGAAACTTTGCAGGGAAGGGTCGTTAATATTAATAGAGTTATGGTTAAGCGTATTGATTAAACCGAGGCGGAAGACTAGAGAGTGTGTACTTTCAAGTGAACATGCAATAAGAAATAATACTATGTGCCTAGGTGAAGACAATGCAAGAAATGGCTACCTATCTTCTGTCGGAGACATTGATGCGATTGGCTTGTCAGGATAACAGTGTATGAGACGTTTATGATAATATAGAACTGTTATTTGTGAATCACATCACGAGTTGGCATATATATAGTCTTGAGTTACTCTGATATCAACAACTGTGTTTACTTCATTCAGTCATTGTAATTTCTTCGTCATTAATGAAGAAACTAGCCGTGAGACAGGATGAATAAGCTCCATAAAGGCTAAACCCAATCTAGTAATCTTGATCTTCTCATCAGACCCTGGACCTAAAATTGTGGCAGAAGCCGACAAGCCGAAAGGCCAAGACAACCAACCAATTCATCGAGACTTAACTGAAACTTGGTCCCATCTAGCGCTCTCCTGCTCCGTTGTATCCAACAGACCCTGACTAAGATGACATTAAACTCTCAGGTGAAGTCTCGTCTTACCTCGATTGATTTTTAATCTTTTCTTCCTATTTTGCCATTCCCTGTCTACAAATTCGCTTGTATTAGAGACGCCATGAGTAAAAACATCTTTCGAATTTTTAATCCTGGGGGTCAGTCGCAATTGATGTAATCCCTGTCCAGTCTGTTAACGAGCTTGTACAGAACCCAAGGAAAATCCAGTGGAGAAGAGACGGGCCCAACTGCGACGAGCACAACAGTAAGAATTACCACTGAACTTTATCGGGATGCTGACGCGTGGGGCAGGACATATCGTAATCGCAAAGATAGATACACCAGAACATTAGAAGAAGAGCTCGCCAAATCGCGCTCCACGGAAGCAGAATTGACACGCGAATGCCAGCAACTACGTGCTGACCTCGAAAATGCGCTACAACAATTATCAAGGCAATGGATAGGTATGGCCATTGATGGCAGCAATCCCCCCTCAGAAAGCGTCGCTTTGTCAAGGACCACAGGGTCTACCAGCGGTGCCTCACCATTTCACTTCAGTGACCTCAGCAATCAACCAAGGGACACAATCCCATCGCCTCAAATGATATCACCAGAGTCATTTGGCGATTTTCAAGGAATAACCGAAAGCTTTCAGAGACCTCCCATCTTATTTGGCCAAGGAGGAGTCGCGTATAATTGTCGTATTAGCGATGTGGATCAAGTAACAGCAGGCATGGAGTTTGTGCTAAAGTAAGTGACTCTTTTACTCCATGGTATACCTCAAGTATCCCTGCTAAGATATCCGAAGGATTGAGGAGCCTTGTCTTGATCACTTGCACGGCGACCTGGACAAACCCTGCGAGCCTAGCAACCATGCCCTGACTGTTTCCGCTCAGCTGATAGCGGCATGCGATTATCCATCGCCTACCATCAGCTCGCCTCCACCAATATCAGCGACGTTCAATAGCCTCCCAAAGCAAATGCTTGAACGATTATTGAGTCTAGCGCCAGATTTATCGAGTGAAGGTGAAGTAACACCAATTCAGGCTTGGAGCATTATTCAAAGTCGGCCAGACTTTGGCGGTTTTGATACAAGAAGTCTGAGTGCTCTTGCTAGAAAACTGAAAAAGGCAGTAAAGTGTCACGGGTATGTCGCCCTAGTAAAGCTCCATGTGCGTGTGAAGTCACTGACAATCTACAGATTCGGTGCAGTTGTCAAAGAGTCTGTGTTTGAAGGTTTAGTGTATGAAACACTGATAGATGGAAGACTGTCTTGATGTTTTTAATTACGTGGGTTTACTTACTGAAGCGATAAAAGAAGTCTTTTGTTATCGTTCAACATGCCTAATGAATATATCAGTTTTTTGCCACTTTAACTTTGAAACATAAAGTCCACTGTTGAGATGTGAAATTCCTCAGTCTCCAATGAAATTCGCTTTTTGTGGTTTATTATCTATTACCAACAATAATCACAAAATCCTACCATGGATCTCTTGTAGTATATTATTTGTAGAATTAACTTCAAAAAAGGCAAAGCAGTATAGTTTCTATGGTGTTTTTATTTATCTCAATTAAATTGAGCGTGTGGACATGAATAGCAGCGTCAGGAATGCCAACAATAAACAACTCAAGGGTAGGTGATATGTGAGACAAAGGACAGAAACATTAGGAGAGTCAGGAGAATGTAAGCAGTCATGCTCCAATACTCTATGACTTTCCTTGAGTGAATGCCGTTCTCGGTCTTATGGCGTCTGTGTCATTGAATGGTGACTCTTTAAAATGATCTGGAGCGGCATCGGCATCATGACCCGCATCTACCACGTCAACCTTCAGGTTTGCAGGGGTTATCAGATGCATAGAGCTACCTTATCGAGGTTTGTGCAGCATCATCCACATGATTAGTTATGCATGTCCATAATCTATTCATAGTAAGAGGGGATTCTATTCCTCAGACCCAATTCAACTGATTTGAAGTTGTTTCTTCAATCAGCAAGTCACAACAGACTGTTCACGTGCATGACGGTAGTTGACAGTTCTACAGCTATAAATGAAGATATGTTGCAGGTCCAATTACTCTGGATCACATGCTTTAAATATAATTACCTTGATTGCATGTGTCTGTATTGCTTGCATCTTCCGACGCGACCGAGATAGAGACTAGACTAAAAACAACTGACGCGTACCTGGATTTGACCCCGCGCTGACGCAATGTCTTCAGGTACCAGACCCCACGTATGAAGATAAAGAACAGGAATAATCGACATGTCATAGAGGAGGATGACCTCCCCTGTTCATCAGGCTTGAGGGAATGTATCGGGCAAAGATGAGGTGGCAGTCAGATGAAGTGTCAATCAAGCCTGAAACGTCCCAACGCCCAAAGAGAAAAAAAGCCTAAAGGCGGTGAAGCCTTTGCCACATCATGTGTTGGCATTGGAAGTCGAGAGAAAACTACGGACTGAATAGAAATGCTGGATCATAGACTCACCTAGTCTATGTGTCAGACTACACTCCTTATTCTGTCATTCGACAAACAGTCCCGTTTATTTTCCTCACCGCCTAATCCATGCTCCAGTCAGCTTGTCTTTTACGGTTCTAATTGGTTCAAATCACTCAACGTGATTAGCTAATGGTGATACCAGGTCACTGGCATAATCCCTAGCTTTGAATCTACCGAGATACCTTTAAACACGCGATCTGCAACGAACCACTCAAGCTCGCCAAAGCAAAACAGATCTAACTACTACATTCGCTAGGTTCGTCGCTTCCTGGTCCTTGACTCGAAAGAATACCCTGGCAACTAACCTTTTTGTCTCAGAAACGCTTCAAACACAGGTCTCTTGAGACCAGATCGCCTCCTCACCTGATTGCCCCGCATCTCATCTGCATCTGCATCATCACCATGGGTGCAAACGACGGCAAGAAGTCGTCTCGACGGGCGAGAGTCAGTGAGGCAGCTGCTCGTATCCTCAGCCCTTCAAGTGCTGGAAAGGGCGGCGCCGCCATGCACCAGCTCTATGAAATCCCATTCGATGCTGAGGTTTTTCTTCAGGCCAAGGCCGCTCGGGCCAAGGCTCTGGGTGACGATAGCGAGAGTGGTGATGGCGATGATATCCCCGAGGCCGTCGAGTACGATTCTATTCCCACTGTCCATGCTCATCTCAAAGGGCTTGACAAGGTTTGCCGTGGCGCTGAGTGGACAAGGGCTTTTCAACGTTTCCTTGGGAGACTTCAACTGGGCTCCAGGAACGTCAGCGTCGTTTATGACACCAACCTCCGAAAGATGGGAATTGAGCCCCCAGAGGAAACCGAGTCTTGGGTTGACCAGAGCGAGCCAGCAAAGTTCGCTGGACATGTCTACAGATTCGTTGGTCGTCAGTGCAGATCCGCATCCTCGGACCGACATCTTTACATCCTCTACCATCCCGATGCAGAGTGGCACGCAGATTTGTACGAGCTGCTACAGGATAAGCCTCTTCCTAGCAACTTCCTTGGCTTCTCCGACAACCTCGATGCCCTCGTTGCCTACATCCGTTTCATCCGAAAGCGACTAGGACGACGCGCCAGCTCGGCCATGTTCCATATTCTCATTCCCAGCTCTCGACCCATCGCTATCCGAGATGCCCTTGAGTTCCCCGATATCGGTGACCTTGCTATTCATGGCGAGACTCACAACGGCAGCAACTATGTCTGGATGAATCTGCCTAGTTACGAAGACTACCCAGGGACTCTTCATTTGAGGCACGTCGAAAACGCTGTTCGTGAGGCCAGCCCATGGAAGACAACAGCCACAGTCAGCACATCCTTTGTTGGCTTGACAGCATCACTAGCCGGTGCAGCATACACCCTTCGAGTCAAGGGTGCACCTTTCCCGTCTCTCAAGACCTTCGGAGCAGCTGCAGTCGCAACCACCATCGCTAGAAGAGTGAAGGGTGCCGATTATTTCCCTCTAGCAGTTCTCGGAGCTGGTAGTCTTTGCACCACCCTGGTAGCATTTGCTGTAAACAGAGTTCTCAGCAAGAGAGCGCCACGCGTCATTGGCGGCACGGAAACACCAAGGGAGCCCAGGGAGGAGAAGGAAAAGGAGAAGGAGGATTCGGCCAGTGATCAGGACGAAGCTAAGGAGGAAGAGGAGGCCATTCCCGAGCCCGAAATCCCTGCGCCACCAGAAGAACCAGCCCCCAAGGTCAAAGACGACTCGGATGCCCATTCGCTGTTGAGCCAGACATCCGGCACGAAGAAGTCGTCAAGCAGCAAGAAGCACCGCCGAAGCGAGAGGGGCGAACGCAGTGAGCGAAGTGAGCGCAAGCGCAGTCACAAGTAAAAACTTGGTCGATGTGATATCGTTGGCAAGACAGAACAAGTAAAGTACACACGGATGGGTCTGGAACTTCTTTATGTGTATTCACGATTTCCATTTCGACAGTTTTTATCATCTTGATATAGTCTTCTTGCAGTCTTTTTGCTTGCTTTTCTCCTGATTGATGAGTTGCAAATAAAGTATTCAACGATAGTCCTTGATGTATTGATGAAACCTCTTCCGTGAATTCATACCATCGCAACTCTGGCTCCATCTGCCAGCCCCCTTAATGTTCCACGAGCTGGGGACTAGGCCTCCTTTGTTCGTGCGTTCAAGTATGTGGAGAATCGTAGTAAAAAGAGTTGCATTTATTGCTTGTAAGCTAAATAATTCTAACTAATGAGAACGGAACACCAATGCACTAAAGTAGTCATGCTTGTTGTAACTACAGTTACTGCCTATTGGCTGTATATTTTCAGTGACGTGGACACTAGATTTATGTAAGTGACTGGCCCTGATATAGAAAGTGTATGCGATTCTATGGCGAGGTTTATAACACTTTGACTTTTCCACACGAAAAAAGATATACCCTGTCGATCAAAAATTGACAGCCCTCTTGCCTTTAACCTCTGCAGTAGTAGATGGCGCAGAAGATTGTACTTCAGTCGCTAGCTGCTCCTCCGGGATAGGGGCCATGCGCCAGTAACAAGGAATCTCCCTCCAAGTGGTTTTGTAACACGTGGCGCCGCATCCATAGGCAGACTCAGAGTCCTGGGTCATACACCGTTTGTCTTGACCTCCAAAGCGGAAGTGGAGGCGTCTGTTATCCCAGTCGATACAGAACTCCTCCATGTGAGGTACGCCAGGGACCCTGCAGCCGGTGTTGGCGTTGACCCTGTAGGCACCGTAGTCCGTGTAGAACCAGCCATCGTAACTATTGCAGCTGGTATCTCCGCATTTAGTAAATATTTCCATGCGATCTGCCAGAGCAGTGGTTGCCAGGAAGGCAACAAGAGAGGTGAATTCGAAGCGCATTTTTGAAGTGTTTGTTGCGGAAGATAGTTTTGTACTTTTTCAGAGTTGAAGTGTTGTAGACGGGGGTAGACGTAGGTTAACAAAAGAACCAGATATCAGAATAATAAGATAGGAAGATCGATGGTATGTCTGGAGTTAGTATAACTAAGAGCAACAAGCAAGGACCTTTTATACGTCGACGAGTTGCATTTTCTGTCGGTCTGCTCCTAAAAGTATCATACAACACCCCGGTAATTAAGAATGAATTAGCCCTGTAGTAAGTTTGCTTCTGTGCAACTGAAGTCTAGTCAATCTGTCTGAGAGGAGGATAGTGCTTACTAGGAAATACCCATCGCCCAGTCTAGATTTACATTCTGCTAATTGTTTTTATGGAGAAATAAAGTCATGGAAGTGGGTCTTAACCGAGCCAGATCAGATATCTATTTACTCTATACCTTGCACATTCTATGCTCAGAACGATATTTAATGGAACTGCCGTATATTTATCATATAGAGACCCAATCAATATAATCATCCATATCAAATGTACCTTGCTTACACCGGGAGTGGGTCAATACCGAGTCTTGAACCTTATTTCTTACAACTTAAGGCCTTCTATGCTGGATTTCATCAGGCTTCCGGTACTAGCATACTATTATTTAACCGTAATTATTGTGCCTTTTTTTGAATCTCGGGTGAATGGGTATGCTATAAACTTCAGGAAATCTCTTGACAAGCTCATAGGCTCATGAGTTGTTGATGATAGTATCACGCAGTAGAATGATCGAAGGCCCTTTCATGCTTTGAATAGAGCTAAGTTGAAGACTGTGGCCTTGTAGTTGATATGTCTTGTGAATTCTCTTCAAATTCCAGGCCAGATGGATCCAGAACGTATCAAGCTTGAAGATGAGCTTGGGGCCTGGTAGGCCTGTCCAAGGTGTGTTTGTGACTGTCAAAGATATGTATCAATAACAGCAGACTGACGCGAACGATGTCTCTCCGTTCTCCCTGTAAAGTTTTTATAACCTTATCTCATTTGTCCTCTCGTGGTTGCCAAAGTATGAGATCACAGTCAGGTGAGCGGTTTATCACGAGAGCTGCTCCTGAGTCTTTACATGCAGAAAACAAGCATCACAATATGGCAACCTGCCCTCAGCAGACATATCACTAGGTTATCAAGTAAACGATAATGAATTTGGAAACGTTATAGAAAGCTGGGTACTCTGCTTTATAATGCCAGGTAACGAGTTACGCACGCCTCTGTCCTGTCGCCACCGCTGACCGTTGTGCAACAACTGTGTATGACCCCTCAGCTACCTCAATATCGACTTGGCGTTCGACTACAATCCCATTTGAAGGATCGTACCGTGGTTCTGGCGTTGTAATTAGTCCCTGACCTCCCTGCACAATCTGCTCTTGGCTTTCTGTAGTAGACTGAATACTAGTGATTGAGTGTGGGCCTTGTATCCTGGAGTTAGGCTTACGCGTTGACCAATATAGTTCATGGCTTTCAAGTTGACGTTGAACATGTTGCAAATGCCCGTTCTTCCCCCAAACGCTAGGGATAGAGGTCGCAGGCTTCGTAACGTTCCAAAAGCGACGTTTGAAAAGAGGCCTGATCATAGGCGCTTGGCCGACAAATATGCCTATACAATCCTCACGTAGAGACCACATGACTGATCCGCCGTGCATATCAAGCTATATAAAGAGATAATTAGTATAATCGTAATTGACACCAGGGTAGTGAATATGCTGACCTTGAATACAACAACAAATCGCAGGATTGCGGTAGACATGCAAAGGAATCCCAAACTAAATAAGAGGCACAGGCAGAACCTTTTTAAAGGGTTTGCTTGAATGCCAAGAACAACCTAAACCAAGTAAGCCGGTGTGATTTAAGTGATTGCAAAAACTCACTGGGATAGGAATCAATATGATACAAATGTCTGTACTGAGGTTGAAAGACAGGATCAGAATGAAAAAGGTCAAGTTTTGAGGGACGCATTGTGCTTTACATCCCGTTAGCCTAACCCCAGGTATTGAGATGGTCTCGACCTACGCCCAGGATCTGGCCAAACCTGCTATAATTGTTTGAATGGTCGACATGTCAGGGCTAGAGTCAAAATGATGATGACCAGAGACACCACCACTTGTGCCATTAAAGGCTTGACAAATCGTTCCGTCCACAGTCCTCGAACAACCCGCTTGTAAAGGCAAAGCATGTTGAACTTGAGTATCCAAAGGATGACAACATAGAGTATCAGGCTGACCAGGAACATTTGGGAGCCATATGCCCATTTCAAATGTTCCTTTTTATCCATGTTCTTCCGTTGCTCGAAGTTTAGATCGGAGGTATGTCGTCCTTTGGCATCTTGAATAAATATTCGTCCGAAGATGGCTGCCGCAGTCCAAAAGAACTAATCGATAATATTAGCTGGAAACTTTCTCAACGAGTCCATACATACTCCAACAAGTACAACAAGGTAGTCGTCCAAATTGTAGTTCTTATAACCCACGAGCTTGGTGCGGCAAAACACACGTGCGGCTATCATGGCAATGCCGACCGTATAAAGGAGCCATATTTCTATACTTTGCTGAGCTGCTGTGTTCATTGTAGAGCAATGGTAGAATAAGAGATGGGAAGGAAGAGAGTGGAAACATTGTTGATTGTCGATCTACTTTGTATTTTCTAGCCACTTATTTTGAGGCCACCCTGAAAGCCAAACCGATGGCTATCGGTGTTGCAGATATACAATATACCCCATTGACCTCCGAGCACGAGTTTCCGGGATTAATAGATCCGGCGTCTTAGAAATTACTCTGCACATGCTGAACTTCCTTTTTCCTAGACCGAAACGAGGCACTGATAGATCCTCTCTTTGCCCGCATAGTGGATACGCCAAGAGACTCGCAGCGCGTGTGCGTAAAGAATAAGCTTCCTCGATTACTAACAATGCATGTTGTGAAGGCCGATGTAATCTCAGCTTTTTGTGTAACTGCTTTGCCTCCTAATGAAAAATTCGAGCAGAGGAACGTTTGTGACACGATCATAGAGGGTTTCAAGCCGGTCAGCGTCTGAATCAACAACAGTGAACCGATGTAACGTTGAAGGCGTTATGAAACAAGGAACGAATCTGAAATGATACCACGACGAAGCGCCTCCCAACCATACAACAAACAACAATCCAAACATCCTGTCTTGATCATAATAAACACCCTCATTGATGGAACATATAGATAAGATAGACTAACAGTTCATATCATCTGAACCCTGAAACGACACAATTCACAATTTTGAGAAAGAAGATGGATTCATCTCGGTATGAGAATTCATGTTTCAATCATAATTGCCATACGTCATTTCTCACTTTCCCCCTCTCCTTTGCCTTGTTTCTTTTTCCCTGGCCGATAGGGAGTACCTATCTTTCCCTATTCGCGTCGCGGCTATACAAGCTAAGCCAAGCTTGTTACTTTTTCTGACCGTTAAATGCCAAGATTCGGTCAATCTAACTGGCTTGGAATAGTACTGCAAAGGTCAAAACTCCACAGATCTTTGCAGAAGAGGTAAGCAGGATTGTGTGTCTGCCTGGTGGGGGCGGTATTTCCTGCTGCGCCACTCCTTGTCTCACTTATCATTCATGGAGAACATGCGATATTCGAAATACTTTACCAATTTTCCCACTATCATTTGTTTAAAACTAGTTTCACTTCACAGTTATAATGACTACGGAAGGACAATCGCCCGAAGAGGTCAGCGGCCAAGCCGCATTTTGGATCCTCGCCTCATTGGCCGCAGCTGCAGTTGTCCTCCCTTCTACCAGCATTCGCATGACAGGTCGTGATCTTTTCGGCGGCAATATCGATCTAGTGCGATGTGTTCCAGGAGTTTCCTTGCTCGATGGAATCTGTGATCTAGTATTCCTGTCCATAAGCACCTACAGGGTCCTCAGAGAACCGAAGCCAGTGCAACGTGTACGGCGAGCTCTGCCAAAAGTCAGTGTCGTTGCAGCTAAGCTGATGCTGTCTATTTTCACGGTATTCCCTCAGACTATCAAGGCCTTCAGCTTGAAAGGTGTTCCAGCTACACAGTTCTGTGCCTTTGTCTTCTTTTTTGCTTCAACAACTAGACTCTTGATCGACCTGTGTGGCTTAGAACCCAAGGAACCTTTCACACCCCCAGATGCAGGAGGTAATGACCTCGACGTCATCATACTCCTCGTGCTACTATTTCAAGCTCCCTTTCAACTTTGGATTTGGCATAACATTATTATCTCTGTCAAGTTCCAGCTATCAGATGCTTTCTACCACGTATGCACATATTCCTCTCTTGTGTGCAGCTTGCTGCTCATAGTACAGGTACTTACCTGGTTGCTGTATGTGGCGTTGCGTCGACGATTCGATATCTCGGCTTCACCTTATGTTGTCCCCGTTCGAGCATTTTGGCTTTTCATCATTTCTCTGGCAGCAGTAAGAAGGCCGGATAGACATGAAGATCGTCAGTCAGAGTCGCAAGCTACAGTTCCACCAGTACCCGATAAGATGGATAAGTGGGTTCAGGCTGCGGGTTCGATGATCTGTGCAATTCTCTTCAGTATAATTGTGGCCAAGGCTTTAAACCTCATTGGCAAACTATTTGTTCCGCAAACCGAAACTACCGAGGCCAATGAAGCTATGACGGAAGCAGGAGAAGTCCGTCCAGTAGATGATCATCAACAGGATACAGAGGCCGTAAAAGAGGAAGAAAAGCCCCCAGTTGAACGATCAGGTAGCCGGTTGGGACGACTAGGCGTTACCGTCGATCGTTGGCTCGTGCGATTTCTCCTCATGGATACAACAGCTGATATCAGTATCACGCTGACGATCTTCAATCTGATCACCACAGTTATATACTACCTCGTATACTTTGATGGGACTGGAACGATCAATCCAGAATGGACAAGCGTACTGGGCTAGACTATCATAATTAGACTGGTCTAATGTACAAATCTTTATGTAGAAGGGTTTCCACTCATCCATCGTGTGAACTTTGAAAAAAGGAATCAGTTAATGACGGGCGAGGGATGTCGTTACACAGTGAACAAATGTGTTTGCTGAGTTGATTCGATCTAGATAAACCATTGCAAATAATCAACAGGTGTTGTGAATAAGCACTATGGAGTAATTGTGGATTGCTTGAAACACAAATTACTTAACGTCCTATGGCTTGGAAAAGACTGATTAAGAACTTCCAAACTGTTGCTGATGTTGATCACTAAATTCTCGGGAGGGGGTTATAAGTACTACCAAGCTCTAGAATTATAGCTTCTTGTACCAGACTAAGGATCACCTTACTCAACACAATAATTCAAACTCACCGTGCTAGAAGGATAGTTTGTCTCAGTAGAGACCATGGAATTTCACTTGATCGTTGATTCAGTAGTCCACTTCCGAAGCCATGGCGTGAATCACACTCAGATCGAAGTATAAGAGGCGTGTTAGTCCCTGGCCATTCTAAATCCTTCTTTTAGAATACTCGAAGCATCTTGTCGTGGTTTTATCAATACCATCAGTTCCCGAAATACAGTAACCTACTTCAAGCATATCATTCTGTAACATATAAATAAATGTGTCATCTCATACATACAAACAATGTCTGCGTTCGGTGTGGACGTTGGCTCTCTGGGGAGTGGGACATTAGAAGGTGCAGAACCGCACGATCTCGATCGCGGGACATCAACGACCGCTGCTCAGATGCCGAGTGCACTGAAAGCGAAGTGACCAAAGTACTAAATTGGCAGTATTGTTGGTCATGTGTTGAGGCATACAATGAGTGGTTGAGACGACGGCAACAGGTGTAGGGTGATGGCTAAAGGTTTTAGAGGGGTACCACTCATTTAGTCCAAGATAGAATAAACCTTATAATTAAGTTGTGTATCTTGAACTGAATAACTCATCAGCCGGATATAAATTTTTATATAGCTGTAAGTATAACAAAATGCGTCTTACCAGCCAACTTATGGCACTCTAAACCTTCGCAGCGACGACTTTGGCTCCTTCTGTCTTCGTTCCGCCAACGGGTTTGAACAGTCCACCGCCAGTTGACACGTAGAAAGTATCCCTATCTTTCTTTGTACGGCCAAATGCCACAGCAGTTGAGCCAGCAACTGTCATCTCGTTGACACCACCAACCACGATTCGCGACTTTCCAGACTTAGCATCCACGAATACAATAGAGTTATCCGAGTTACTCGCCGCGTAAATGTTCCCTTGCGAGTCAAATGCAAAGTCGTCGAGGAAGCCCACAAGCTTGGATAAGTCGGCAACAAGTTGTGGCTTGGACCCCTTGACTGGAAATCCAGCTCCTGTGATGGCCGTTCGGTAGATTTTGACGGCGTTGGAGTTGGAAAAGTAGAGGTAGTTATGGCGGATCTTGATTCCGTTGATGCCAAAGGCGTTGGCAGCGATTGGAGCCATCTCGTCGAACGTAAAGGCGGCGTCATCAAAGATACCTGTCGATATATCGAGACGACCAACGAAACCTTTCACTGAATCAGAGACAAGCACTGCATTGGGGGCTCCCGGAATTGCCTCTACGCCATTGAGGAAAGTGCTTGTCTCTGTCATATCGCTGATCTTCTTGACCTTGACCTTGGCTTGGTTCTTTTTATGGTGAAACTCCAGGGCAAAAGCTTTGAATGTACCTGGGATTAACTGACTAAGTCCCGTTGCGTTACTGCCGACAAAGATAAATGTCTCTGGCTTGCCAGGAATCGGAGGTAGCTCGGTGATACCCAGGATGCCTTGGATCGATGGAATCGTGACCAGTTCTTCTAGTCCTCCACGGCAGGATGATGGATCAATGACAGTGTAAACACTGGCTGTGGGCCAGAGTTCTGTAGCCAACAAGTCGCCATTGGAGCGGACAGCAATATTCTCAAGCCAAGTACCAAGGGATAATTGTCCGATTGTCTTGGCTGGGAGAGAGTGCGCCAGCCCCAAAACTGGAACGAAGCAAAGAGTAACTAATGACTTTAACATCCTGGCAGTTTGAGGGTTTGGTATGCAATTTAGAAGGATGAGTGAACAGGCGCCGTTCTAGAAACAGTAGTTGTGATGGCGTATTATATACCTATTATTGTGCCAGTCTGGTAATTATGCTTCAAGAACAACCAGAGATAACGCAATTCTCGTATAGTTACATTTACTATTAGTTTGTTACTTGATTAATGTGGGATCAGGCTGAATAATTTCAGGAATACAAGGCTTAGTGATGTTGTTTGGTGATTATTCAGGGACTTAGTCAGCCTGTTGTTGTCTGTTTAGTCAGTCTTATATCTGCTATGAGTGGGCTCACGATGCATGCCTCAAGGCAAGCGATAGTGTCGGGAACCACCCGGGGAGATTCATTAATTAAAAAAATCAATGCTATGAGTAAGTGATCTTACACATAATCAATTTCCCTGTCATGAAAAACCCTGGTTCCTTTGCCAGTACCTCTTCTTCGTTCCCCATATCTGGTAAGTTTCGAAGAGCCGTTTGCAGACTTTTCATCTTGCAGAGTACTGCAGAGTGGCAGATCGCGCTCTCTAAGATTGCGTACTCTGTAGCTCACAGCCTCATTGGGAGGTCAGTAAATTCCCAGCAAGCTGATTGGGATCATTGAGGCCAGCGCTGAAGAGGCACGACCCAGCAGTATGTGTCAAATACTACCCCGTTATCAATTCGATCCATCATGATCAGGGAACCCGGGAATCTGTTGTCAGTGGTATAGACTGTGAGATTTTGGCATCAAGGTCCGTTTTGGCAATATATTTCCAGGATCACACGTATCAATACGTCCAAACGTACATACGTTGTCGTAGGCAGCATTGACATGACGTTACCCGTTAACATTTTTTGAATCTCGTGTTCTTCACATAGATTATTGGCTCCCGTCAACAGGGTTTCGAACTCGCAATTAAGGTACTTGATGATCATTGAGTTGAGGTTATTCATCTCAAAATACAAATATGGTTAAGAGGCAGCAAGCCGAAAGTCACAGCAGGTATGCAAGCAGTTAGGCTACCCCGCCATCAGGATGGCCTGGGCGTAATAGGCATAGCTCGATGTAAAGGGAAATGGGCGTTACTGGATTTGTAAAATGGTGTCACAGCCCGCCCACTGTCTCCAGCATTTGCTATCTGATCTGGATGAGTTAACAAAGGTTAGGTATTATGGGCAAGTCTAACCTGTGGGAATCCATTGTAATTATTTCGAGTAAAATAGCACAGCACGAAGACTGGATTATAGAAGAGCTTGTTAGGAACCATAAGACACGCTTTCCCTAATTCAGAAGCTGGTTAATGTCTTACTTGCAATATGACGAAGGCTCCCAAAACACGCCCTGGAGGCGCGCCCTTCATCTGACCTTTGTCTTGTCAGATGACGTTGCGAATGGCTTGTACATTCAACCCAAGTCTGGGAACCAAGTCTATTATAAAGACCTGGAGAACTCTCAAAATTGTTTGCTATATACCGCTGCTACATTAATTGAAACACATAAAAGACGATGACTTCGACAGGCACAATCACAAATAAAATGCAATCGCCCAGTCCTGGCGTACTGACGCACCAGAGTGAGTCCATCGAAATGCCAATCATTGTTCCAGCCACGACAGACTATTCAAATGGCAACCCTTTAGTGGAGGATGAGGTTCCTGACCATGCGACAAGCGCCATTCCCGATGGTGGCTATGGCTGGACCATAGTAGCTTCCTGCTTCATTCTTCTATTCTGGATCAATGGTTACACTACAGCTTGGGGTGTCTTGCAAGCAGCCATTGTTCAATCACCTCGGTTGCATACAAACATCCGCACCATCACCTTCGTTGGCAGCTTATACATGGCATGCATGGTTGCTTTTGGCTTGGCCTCGGTCAGATTATCAAGGCAATTCGGCATCCGACTCACTAGTCTGACAGCGACTATACTCTTCGGCGCCGGCTTAATCATCACCAGTTTTACTCTAGAGCATCTCGCAGGCTTGTTCTGTGTAGCTGGACTACTTGTTGGCCTGTCAACATCGCTGTTGTACACAGCTACGAACACGCTACCCGTGCAATGGTTCAGCAGCAAACTCGGCACAGCAAACGGAATAGTCAAAGCAGGAGGTGGTGTGGGGGCCACAGTCCTCCCGTTGGCGACCCAAGCCATGATCAGCAAAGTCGGACTGCAATGGACTTTTAGAATTCTTGGTTTCTCTATCCTGGCAACAGGAATTCCCTCCGCATTGTTCCTGAAGGACTTTGTTCGCAACAGCTCGACGTCTCGATTTGACTGGTCACAATTGAAGAGCATGTCTTTCCTCACACTGGCTATGGCGGGAGCTGTTGGAGTGTTCGCCCTGTTCGTTCCTCCATTTTTTCTACCTGTCTTTGCTAGATCCATCGGCCTATCTGCCTCAACAGGTGCTGGATTAGTAGCAGGATTCGGTGCATCGACAGCAGTTGGACGATTTGCTGGAGGCTGGATTTGTGATAAGATTGGCGCTTTCAATGCGTTGGCTCTGGCAGCTTCGATCAACAGCGTGTCTATGCTAGCCATCTGGCCTGTCAGCTCGTCGTTGCCGCCACTTTTTGTCTTTGCAATCATCAACGGTTGTGCAAATGGGAGCTTTTTCGTGGCATTGCCGACAGCAGTGGCGACACTTGCTCCAGGATCCGCAGCAGCATCAATTAGCTTGATGACCTCTTTCTGGACTCCTGGATACTTGATGGGTGCGCCTATTGCTGGTATTCTGATTGACTCACAGCACGCATCAGAAGCATCTTCTATTGAGCCGTACAGAGCGGCTATTTTCTATGCAGCAGGTGTTGGATCTCTTGCTACTTTGCTTGTTATAGTTTCTCGAATGACTCTAAGTGGGAAGTTGATCAAAAGGTTGTAGATTGTCGTGGGACGATGCAACGATAATTCGAGCAATTTTAGTGAAGAGTCGAAAAGTCTAGAGTTGTGTTACTACAAACGCGTATCTACCTCTACTTCGAAACTGGGACGCGTTTCCATTAACAGTGTCGCAGACTATTCTAAATGTATATTAATTAACATTCAAATTTTTGACCAACGATAGGGTCACCGTTGCATAAACAGCCATGTAGTTTGTTTACTCGCGTCGCTAAATACAAAACATGGCGTTCTTACCCTGTACAATCACTCGGACGATAACATTAATGCGCTAATGAAAATTGTGTAGAGTGTGCCATGCACTACTTATTGAGTGCACCGAATAGTAGCACAACAATTCCGAAATTATAGACACCGGGTGCTGAAAAGAACAGAAAACTAGTCTGTCCAATACGACCAGAGACTCTCCTCACTCTTCAATTGATGAAAGTGAGATCGTCCAACTCGGCAGTTGGCAGTTGTCAAAGATAGCGCCTAGATAAAGTTACAGCCCCCTAATTTTGCCAATCAATGTGCATGACGTGGACATTGTCTAACCTGAACTGGCTACACGAGGCGCCTATCACCCTGAGCTGTGGCATATCCCCAGCTTACCATCTGGAGTTTGAATCCTTCTGATCCCTCGCTCTAAAACATATGGACAAGGCCGTTGGCTTTGTGCCTTGTCTGAGCCCCGTGGCCTGGCTAAAGACGGCGATCGTGGACGTCATTATCTTGGTACGTTGCTTTTTTTGGTAAAGCTACTGTCTACTTTTGCATGATCATGCGTTAGTGCTCACCCCGATGTTGCCGGACGGCCGGGCTGAAAGCTTGTTGGGTGACAGTACCTCGACCCTAACATATCAATCCCTGCCTATGTAACATGATTGAAACCAAACAAGATGTTTATATTAACCATGCCTCGCTGTGAAAATTTCAATTTTCTTCGGCATTCATACCACTACCAACAAGATGCTCTTTCGTTTCCTGGCCTTGTTGCCATTCCTGGCGGGAGTATTGGCCAAATCCAAAGTGCACGATGATACGTTCAAGCCTGACTACGTTCTAGAAGCTACTCTGGGTGATATTAAGATCAACTGCAAGTCAAGATCGTCGGTCACGTTCAACGGCACCTATCCCGGACCGACAATCTACCTGCAAGAGGAACAAACGACCTGGATTCGAGTCTACAATAAAATTCCTGACAACAACGTCACAGTTGTAAGCTTGCACGCATTTACAATTCTCTTCAAAGCTGACAACATAAGCATTGGCATGGTCTGAGTCAGCGAGCCGCACCCTTCTCTGACGGTACTCCCCTTGTGAGCCAATGGCCCATCCCAGCCGGGCAATTCTTCGACTATGAGATTAGGCCACAACTGGGAGACGCAGGATCTTACTTTTACCATTCGCATGTCGGCTTCCAGATCTTGACTGCTCATGGAGCTTTGATTGTCCGAGACGCCGTGAAGCCAGAGTATAAGTACGATGGAGACATCCCTCTTATCGTGGGAGACAACTACGCTGCTGAGGATGAAGTGATAGAAGAAGGCCTGCTGGCAGATCCATTCAAGTGGTCTGGAGAGCCTCAGGCTATAACTATCAATGGGAACAGTGGCAACAAGAGTTTCTATGATGCAACGGACTCGAGCTGTATGCCTCATGTCATTCACGTTGACCCAGGCAAAGTCTACCGACTTCGATTTATTAGCGCTACGGCGTTGTCTATGATCAAGCTGGGGATTGACGATCACGAAAATTTTACAGTGATTGAGGCTGACGGGTCTTATACAAAACCTGCTCATATCGATCATATTCAGGTTTCATCCGGTCAGCGCTTTAGTTATCTCATCAAAACCAAAACCTCGGAAGAGGCCTGTGGAGGTGACAAGTCGCAGTACTGGATCCGGTACGAAAGTCGCGATCGACCTCAAGTCATCAGTGGTTACGCTTTGCTCAAGTACCGGTGTGATGAGGGCCAACATCTCCCAAAATCACTTCCCAAGACCACACCTATCGAGCTGTCCAACAGTACTACTGACTACCTCGAATATGCTCTTGAGGGTTTATCAGAAAAGAACAACCGAGAATTCCCAAGGTTATCAGAGGTTACGAGAACTGTTACTATTCAAGTCAATCAGATTCTCACGACTGGTGCCTATGAGAATGGAACTTTGAATGGCACAGTAGCCTGGGCGTAAGTTACAATTGTGTACGATTATGTCAAACTTTACTAACAGAAGAATAGCCAAAATGGCCTACCTTGGAAAGAAAATGTCCAAGCTGAGCATCACCAAGTCCCGTATCTCATTCAGGTCTATGAGAATGGCACGACCCCCAACTATACCCTTGCCCTGGAACATCATGGATTTGATCCGGAAACCAAGGCATTTCCTGCCAAGGTCGGTGAAGTATTAGACATAGTCTGGGAGAACAACAACGGTCCTACAGGCGGCTGGGACTTCCATCCCATGCATGTCCATGGATACCATGTCTATGATCTAGGTGCTGGTAACGGTACCTACAACGCGACTGAGAATGAGGCACACTTCGACAATTTCACCCCTGTTCTCCGAGACTCGACAAATCTCTACAGATATGCGGTGAAGGGTGTTCCGCATCACACCGCCGGTTGGAGAGCTTGGCGAATTCGCATCACAGAAGAAAACATTGGTGCCTGGATGATGCATTGTCATATTGCACAGCATCAGGTCATGGGTATGGCCACCGTTTGGGTGTTTGGTGATGCAGATGAGATCCGTGGCAAGTTCCCTGCTCCGCCATATACTCAGGGATATCTAGACTATGGTGGAAGTGCTTATGGAAGTGAGGATAGTCAACCTTGGGTGAACCATTACTATAGTGATGGTGATGATTAGAATGTAATAAGAGATTTAGTTCACTACATATAAAACTAGTTACTCGCATTTCCTCATGGAATTCGTATCAACAACTCCAACTGCTTTGACTATGTTAAGCCGCCCTAGGGGTTACCCTATGTGATTATATGTACCATACTAATATCCATTACCCGGAACATAGAGGCTATATGAACATACTGGAACTTATAACCCTGTAACATCAAGTTTCATCAATGTAAGGACCCAGTAAGTCTACCAAGTCCTCAATACTTTGCTTTCCGTACCCAAATAACGATGTAAGTCGACTTAGCCAAGACATCTCTTTTTGCTGCGAGACAGCCGGAGGTAACAAGATCGAGTCGATGAGATGAATGACTCCATCCATGAGGATGATATCAGGTGTTGAGATTGAAACATAATCGTGGCTCTTGCCTTCAACCAGTTGGCCTTTTAAGACATTCAGATGCCACTTCTTATGAACCTTTCGACTCTCAACCTTCATACTGAGGTTACTGTGCAATGTCGGTAGATCAAACTGCAAGAGGTCTGGTTAGCCTTGAGTTCAATTGAGAATTCTGATTGTCTTTGCTCACCTGATGAGAGTCTTTCATCTCTGGTTGACTTAGATCCACCAATTTAGCTCCACCATGAGGCCAATAAGAGTCACTGAATAGTGTTTTGTTGGCCACGACATGGTATTTTAGTAGAGCTCGAAGATAAGGTCTACCTCCATGACTGAATAGGAACTTGTTTGCCGTTTTCCCAAGACGATCAAATGCAACATTGGTTGGGGCGAAGATCGTTTGAGATACGTGCGCGTTAGTGTCGTAAATACTTTCGGACAACTTCGATGCCTCTAGACCCCGTCGCAGTCTTGATAATTCTGGTCGGGTACGAAGAGCATGAGCAGTCGAGTTGGGGAGCTCCAATACAGTGTCAATATGATGAATAAACCCGTTGACGGCGATTGACTGCGATTTGTTCAATGGGAGCAGTCGAGCCGCCTGATTCAGTGTAAGCCCACTGTTGTCCTGCTGTACACTAATTCGCTGCTTATAAGTGAAGAATATGTCTCCATTGACAAAGGACGAAACTGTGCCCATTGTCGGAAGGCGCTCAGCTGGTATTGGCCCAGGCCCCATATGGCATCCAGCGATAAACAAGCCAAAGAATGGTGGCGGATCGGGTGGGAAATAGAACGAGTCAAAGGCCTCATTTACAGGGGCATATACAGTGAAGCGAGCCTGTGGTGCTGAGAGACCCCGGACGATGTCAGGCAATTTGCCCACAATCTCGACAAATTTGGAAACGCGGTCATCGTTACTCAAGACCTCCCAAACTGTGAGATTTGTCTCGTGATGAGCTTCATGTAGCGCTGGCGTGGGTGTAACTTGTGACGTGCTGTACCATTTGAGGACAAGGTACTGTATGAGTAGAGGGATTGATACAATGAAGGCAAGCGCTCGGAGCGCTCTCCATAACGAGGGTTTCTGCTTGGCCATTGTCACCGAAGGTTTGCCCACAGATTGTATAGCTTCGTACGACTGATATCGATGAGGGCATATAAAACATGGCAATCTACTGTTTGCCAAGCTCTTGAACCCGACCCTTCGGTCCGCAGCACGGGGTGGGGTATCGGGGCCCGATGCATGACCCCGAGATAAGCGTCGCTAACTCGGGATTGTAATCGCCACCCTCTGGTTGACTGCAGCACAATGCAATCCAAGATATACGAATATGCGGAGTAGCAACGAATTGAATAAGAAAAGTAGATCCTGAGATCAATACTTGCAGTTGGAGAAGTTTGCTCAATTTTTGATCTGATTCATCTGACAGCGCGAAAATATGCGTACTTCCCCACATCTAATATCGCTTTTGCTAACATGCGTCTTCTCAACACTCGTGGCCAGCGCCCTCGTGAAGAAGGACTGGACCATTACTTGGGAACCAGGAGCACCCAACGGCCAAGAGAGAAATATGATCAAGATCAATGGCCAATTTCCAGGGCCAACGATTCTCTGCGACGAAGATGATGACATTGAGGTCATGGTTCACAATAGAATGCCGTTCAATACTACTGTTCACTGGCATGGACTTGAGTAAGTCAGAAGAGTCATAGCGATATTGAGTATAGATGAGTTGACTGTATCAGGATGCTCGGCACACCTTGGTCAGATGGGACCCCAGGCATGTCCCAGAAGCCAATAGAGATGGGCCAAAGCTTCATCTATCGATTCAAAGCCTCGCCAGCAGGAACACATTGGTACCATTCTCACTCACGGGCTACTGTTCTTGATGGTCTTTACGGGCCAATCTTCATTAGGTGCGTTCGGAGCGAGTAGAAGCCACCGTAATTTATGCTGAGAAGTCCGCCAGGCGAAAGCCAGATACCCCTGCACCGTGGCATTTAATTAGCAAAGAACAGGATGATATCGATGCAATGAAGCGTGCAGTGGTCGATCCTAAACTGGTCATGGTGTCTGACTGGACCCGCTTCATGTCTTGGGAGTACATGGCTGCTGAGGAGAGCTCCGGAATGGCTATTTTGTAAGTTTCTAGTACCTAGAAGATGTCACGGCTCAACTAATCACTATTATAGCTGCTCAGATAGTATCCTTGTAAACGGAAAGGGTAGTCTGTATTGTCCAGATGTCGACATGTTGATTAACCACACCAGCACGTACATGAAGTACGGGCTGTATCCTCGACAAGTCAATGACAAGGGGTATGTGAAGTCAGATCTACCCAGTAATAAATAGCTGACAGTTCAAGGTGCTTTCCGTTTATGAGGTCGACTCAAGGCCCATATTTGACTACTGGAAAACCTGAGACGATCCCACTACACCTACAACACGGCTGCACACCAGCTGAAGGTGTCAACGAGACTATAGTCGTTGATCCAGCAGACAAATGGGTCAGCCTCAATTTTATCGGAGGTGCAACATTCAAGACCATCGTCTTTTCTGTTGACGAACATGACATGTGGGTGTACGAAGTTGACGGACACTACATCGTCCCACAGCGCGTCGATACAGTACACATGTATGCGGGAGAGCGATATGCCGTCATGATCAAGCTTGACAAACCAGCAAAAGACTATACTATCCGTATCGCAGACAGTGGTCTCACTCAAGTCATCTCAGCATTCGCTACACTTCGATACAAGGGAGGTGTTCAAGGCGGCGAGAGTCAGGGAGTGATTGACTACGGCGGCCAGAACAGCACCAAAGATGGAGTCATTACACTCGACCGCGATCATCTTCCCCCATATCCGCCAAATCCGCCAGCTCGCAAGGCAGATGCAATGCATGTGCTTTCAACGCATAGATGGAAAAGCGCTTGGCAGTATACCATGTCTGGACATGGGATGTACGAGGAAGACCGTAGCGCATATGGTCCTCTTCTGTATGATCCTCATTCAGCAGACGCTATGGATGAAGGTCTTGTCATTCGCACAAAGAATGGAAGCTGGGTTGATCTGGTGCTCCAGGTTGGCTCACTACCAGGTCAACCACAGGAATTCCCGCACATGATGCATAAGCATACGGGAAAGACATGGCAGATTGGTTCTGGGCTGGGAATTTGGAACTATTCCTCCGTTGAAGAAGCCATTGCTGCCGAGCCAGATAACTTTGATCTTGAAACCCCCAAGTGGAGGGATACTTTTGTAACCTCTTTTGATGGTTCCGCGTGGATCGTGCTGCGGTACCAGGTCACAAATCCTGGACCCTGGCTTTTCCACTGTCATATCGAAACACATTTGGCTGGTGGCATGGCTGTTGCGATTCTTGACGGTATCGACGTTTGGCCGCAGATTCCACCTGAGTACGGACCTGATCAGCGGGGCTTTATGCCTGGCACGCTGCCAGAATTGGAGAGTGGACGGCAACAGGGTTCAGTACAGAAGCAATGTCCATTACTAGCAGTCTCTCCTAGCGTTGGCCCCAAGAAGGATGCGGGGGAAAAGTCAGCCAGTGACTCGCGCTGGGAGGCTTTAATCCGGGGCTTGATTCAGGTTCTACAAGGGTGGCTTTCAGATGAAGCGAGTAGTAATTCTTCATAGTCTATCTAGTTAGTCAAAACAGAACGTTCCAAAACACCTTGTCATCATCATCATCATTTTTTTCTGGTACTTGTACCTCAAGATCCATTGTGTGTTTGTAGGCGGCTGTGCCGAGGAATTATTCCAAGTACAGGCAGCCACAAGTCAAGTAAGACGAGAGCTTTAGACTAACAAGATTGTTCCTTTATTTGACTCTATCAGCGCGCAAAGAACACTACAACAGCTGAAGTCAAAATGAACGATACATTTACCCGTAGTTTCTGCAATTGATATCTAGGTACCTATAAACATCTGTGTCCTACCATAACTACATGATACCTCGTTACTAATAACTCTTCGCCCTCATTCTATCTCCCAATCATTTACGCAACAAACATCTTAATCCATAGGTCCAAACCTCGCCTCCCGATCAGCGTTCATAGCAATGATGGCATCTCTCGCTCCTGGCCAAGTCTTTCGCTTGCCGGGGAACACACGGTAGGCATGGGGGCTGAGTAGACCGTCCATGAGAATGTTGCAAAACTTGCGATCGCGCAACCAAAAGTTCCATCCCTTCATAGTGTACCCGAGATGTTCTGGCAAACCAGAGCCGATTACTCGATCAACCCATTCCATCCACTCCGATGGTTTGACAATGGAAGGCGTAACAGGGCCCTTCTTAGCGAGATCAATGACCCAGGCATGCTGATCATCAACTTGTTTGTTCATCTCGGCTTGAGATGGGAAGCCTGAGGGATCTTTCCATAGCTGTGCGACTGCCATGCTGGCAAGGTCAAACATGAAGAAGGCGGGGTTCATAAAGGACAAATGACCGATAAAAGCGAGAGTCTTTGGGTGGTCGAGACTGAAGATATTTTGGTACAGTCTGGGAAGAGGACGACCCGTGAAGCCTCGAGACTTCTGCCAATCTGTGGTTGTGGCACGACACGGATCTGCGTCCATACCCACGACTGAGTAATCCACAGTGAAACCTGTACAAAACAGAATAGCGTCGACTTCATACTGTTGGCCATCGCTTGTCTCGACTGTGTTCTCATCGACAACACGAGCGAGTCCGTGTGTGCTGACGATAGAGCCCTTCTGTAAATATGGGATCAATTCGTCGTTGACAAGAGGACGTTGGTTGGTGATTGATGGGGCAGGGTCAAAGCGCCACTCCGGCTTGAGATCAAAGGTATTGTGAACAAGCTTTCCGATGACGCTATTCATTGTTTTCTCCCAGAGACTCGGTGTGTAGCGGTTCATCATGTTGAGCATCACATACTTGCGATAGGTTCGTACATGGTCTACCGGCTTGCCTTTGACCCATCTGGGTACCTGTATTTTGCAATTAGTTTCCCATTGCTTCACAGGAGTAGATTTAAAGTATTACTTACAATTATGGCACCGTGTCGGTGTGCTAGGTAGACCTGGTCAGCAATGGGAGCCAACTCAGTTGCCATGTCGGCTGCAGTGTTGCCGAAGCCCAGAATCATGACCTTTTTCCCGGCGAGTACCTCGGGACTGTTATAGTGTCAGAAAAGGATGCATTACCCAGGGCGACTCGACTTACTTCTTAAATGTCATGGAGTGTTCTACAAAACCTTTGAACTTTTCAATGCCCTCAATCTTAGGTCTGGAAGGTATCTGGTCTGCTCCCATAGCAAAAACAACCTTGTCGAACCACTCCATATGAGGCTCTGGAGATTCAGGCGTGGACAGGGACAGGCGCCATTTCTGCTGCTTCTCGTCATATCTAGCACCATGGAAGCTGGTGCGAAGTCGACAATGTTTTAAGAGTCCAAAGTGTTTGGCATAGTCTCGAAGGTATTTATCAATACCCTCAGCAGGAATAAAGTCGGGGCTGTCTGGGTAGAGTCAGTCCATGTGTCAATTAGCGATTACCCCCACTAACGCCAGTATACCTTTAGGGAATGGGAAATCTGTAAAGCATCCTCGCTGCTTCGAACCGTTAGAGAGTGTAGCTGTTCAAATTATTAGAATATCACTAAATATGGACGGGTAATAAATTCACTTCTCATCACAGTCAGCTTGTCTCCTTCGTCAAAATGCCAGAGACCTCCAACGTAGTCATTGCGATCGAGCCCCACCGCGTCGAAGCCTTCCTCTCGAAGATTCTTGAGGGTGACAAGGCCCAGTGCGCCCAGGCCTACGACAGCTACTGTAGGGGCAGCCATTTTCAGTGAAACAATAGGCTAGTTGGTCAGTGAGATTGGTAGTTTCGAGAAACTCAATTCAAGAAAGCCGACTGAACCGCAGTGATCAAGTAAAGATTAATGTGTTGTTTCTAGTCCATTATTTGACATTACATGTTGCCCATAGGTACACAAGGTAGTTCCTGCTGTTTCAATGATGCTTGCTCTGATGATTGATGACCGTCGCCTTTCGGGTCGGGGTCGGTCAGTATTTCGGGCTCGGGGATGATGGTACAGGGCCTAGTCCGAACCCCGTGGGTATCTGTCGGTGCGAGTACAATCCCAATTCAGATAACGAGTTGTTTTGGTGTTGCATAAAGTCTTGTCAGACAACACGCCATCCACTGAAAGATCCCTGTAGCCGTCATTTTTTACTGCCTTGGTCCCTATCTGAGCGCCTATCCAAGCCATAATAGCAGACATCAGTCGGCCTTCATCCAAGTCACACATAGCAACAATGGGTTCAATTTCAGCTTCTCCATCTCTCATCATTGAACTTGCAAGTGCTGTGTCCTCTGCAGCAAAGGATTTAGACACGAAATTACAGTCTCAAGGTCTTCCACAGCCATCCTTTGGAGCTGACGGTCCGACATATGTTGTTCCCAAGGATGCGCCTAAAGCAGCCCATGAAGCCCGTGTGGCAACCGCTGAAGCAGCCCTGAAGCTATTCAATCTTGTGTCTGGCCCCAGCGAACTTCTACCGAATATGACAGCCAGTGTATGTAGTAGCGCTTCCATTCTTGCTGACTCTCAGCTAAAGTAGCCGTGACAGTATCACACCATTTTTGCCCTTCAATGGCTGCATCATTTCGATGTTTTTTCTCGCATTCCTCTTGATGGTACGGTGTCATATGAGGCCCTCGCTACTGAAGCAAACGTACCTGAGTCTTTACTCAAGAGCGTCGCGCGCTTGGCAATGACAAGCAACATTTTGGCAGAACCAACTACCGGCCAAGTTGCGCACACAGCCAATTCTGCCATGTTTCTCAAGTTTCCTAATACACGCGACTGGGCATCATACATGTTCACTGCCTCGATTCCTACGGCTGCTGCCATGGTTGAGGCTACAGAAAAGTGGCCAGGAAGCGTAAAGAAGACTGAGACAGCATACAACGTCGCATTCGGTCATGATTTGCCCTTCTTTGATCATTTGTCCCAGAGCCCTGTCTTGACAAAGCAGTTTTCAGGATACATGAGAAGTGTGACTGATGGCCAGGGCATGGATCTCTCTCATCTCGTCAAGGGATTTGACTGGGCCAGCTTGCCGGAGAATGCCCTAATCGTTGATGTAAGTGACAGTAGCTCCATCCCTCATACCCTCCTAATAACGACTCACTAATTTTTATAGATTGGAGGCTCTACAGGTCATGCAAGCTACGCTCTGGCCGCTGCTTATCCACACTTGCGCTTCGAGGTACAAGACCTTGACGCCGTGGTCAACGGAGAAAAAGCTACCAAAGAACATGAAGAAGCGGCAAAGAAGCACGTACTAGGTACTGACTCTCAAGTTTCCTTCAAATCACACAATTTCTTCGAACCGCAGCCAACCAAGGACGCAACCGTTTACATGCTACGAATGATCATTCATGACTGGCCAGATGCCGAAGCCAGGACCATTCTAAGCAACCTTGTCCCAGCACTTGAGTCATCCAAGGCAACCCTCCTCATTATGGACACGGTTCTTCCGTCTCCCGGAAGTATCCCGTCGGTACGAGAGCGTGTCATAAGAACTCGCGACTTGACCATGCGTCAAGTTTTCAACGCCAAGGAGCGTGGTGTAGATGACTGGGAGGCGCTCTTACGTGAAGCGGATTCTAGGCTAACCTTGAAGAATGTGCGACAGCCGGAAGGAAGCAACATGTGCTTGTTGAACATTAGCTTACAGGATCATTAGTATTCTCTATTGGGGAGGAATGCTGTATCTCTATCTCAATTACCAACAATTTGTGTCTCGAAGTTCTTATTTATTGTTCACATTCGTGAGTTCACCAATATCACAGATAACGCTGTTGGTGGGTGCAGTGACACACCCACGGCATGCTTCGACTAGCGACATAATTAGACATTGCCTGCTCAGGCGCTTCACTATCCGTTCATACGCAATTCTACTTGTCTAAAGCGTTGTCGCCTGAGGATCTAATATTTACAATTGAACGTCAATGTGTTTCTTATTAATGACAGTGGAGTCTATGAACTCATCCTACGGGCGACTTTTAGTCCTTATCAACGACCTTGCCATTATTAACAAATTCTTCAAAATACCCAACAGTCATACTGATCCCGTCAGTCAAATAGTTCATACTCACTGTTACAATTAGAGGAAACTTACGTTGATCGCTTAGTGTCAGCGAAATTTACATGATCCGGCGCAACTTTTTCGAGGAAACGTGGATCCGCTTTCATACGCTGAAAGTCCGAGATATCCTTGAAGATGAACTGTACGATACAATCATAGTCAGATTGATGGGAGAACTGTGGATCGTAGAGCTGATACAGCATCGGGCGTGTCTCCTTTGTGTTGTGTGCCATGGTGTAGCGAACAATGCCATACTCCTCCATCAAAGGACTAACGAGTTTAGCATGGACTTTAGTCATGTGGTGTCTGTACTCTTCGTCACTGAGAGATGGCTTTTTGAAGGCCGTGATAGTCAAACAAATGAGGTTGTTCGGTTGACTGGAGCGAGTCATCCCCTCCGTAGTTTCTTGCGTATCACTGTGTGGCGACATGATGAATGATGATAATTGTTCTTTGAGATATAGGATTGGAGCTGACAGATAACCGCCAGCTCAGACTCCAGATAAACACAGAGGGATAGAGGGTTGTACATCCTCCATCAATCAGAACGGCATCAGCTCGAGAGCACGAGACTTGATCAATAACCCGAAGAACAAGAGATCGTTCCTCGGTACTGTCAGTATGCAGGACGCTTATGTCGGAGGTACCTGTACAGTCGTACCGAATCGCGAACATGCCCGACTGGTCATGCCCGACGAACCCCGACCGACTCGATCCGAATGCCGTCCAACCCCATACAGCTCTTACCAAGTCAAACGGATAATCTACCTGAAACTTGACAGTTTTGACCGATCAGCTGATCTCAGCCCCGAAGCATGTCAAATATGCTCATGTCTGTATGATCTTGTCTCATCAACATACCACTTTCTATAGATACTGCAGAGAGTTGCATCATCTCTCCAGTAACAGACTCTTTGTGTGTCAATTACGGTATCCTAGCTCAATCTCAGTTCATTCAACATGACTCCATCCGTGATGGAAGTTTTCGTCTTTGGGGACCAAAGCACTCGCTTTGCACCTCCACTGAGAGACCTGCTTCTCAAAGGCAACAGTCCATACTTGACACATTTTGTTGAACAGGTTCATGCTCTTCTCAGAAAAGAAATCTCATCCTTGCCAGTAACTCAGCGGAAGCTTTTCCCCAACTTTGCCGATATTCAAGAGCTCGTCTCCAAGTCAGATTGGGGCAGTGGTAATCCTGCTTTGGCAAGTGCTTTGGCATGCTTCTATCACCTCTGCAGTTTCATACAGTGAGTGGTATACCCAAGTACTTATCTACCTGTCCTAACCGTCCAGCTTCTACGATGGACAAGGACGCACCTTTCCTCCAGAGAATAGTCGCATTATTGGACTTTGCGTTGGATCGCTCGCTGCCGCTGCTGTCAGTTGCTCAAGGTCATTGAGTGAACTGGTATCAGCTGGCGTGGATGCCGTTCGCGTGGCGTTATATGTCGGATTGCGGGTATGGCGAACTACCTCGCTTTTCGATACACCAGAGAGACCCTCGGCTACTTGGTCTATAATCGTTCCTGAAACGGTGCTTCCAAGATCGTCAGCTCAAAACCAGTTGGATTCATTTAACAATGAGTTTGTAAGTAATAATTTGATATTGGTATACTCATAATAAGTGCTCATTGTGTTACAGGGACTTGCTCGATCATCTGTTCCTTACATCAGCTCAGTGGCACACCATAACATGACCATTAGTGGCCCGCCATCTGTTCTTGAAAAGTTCATTCACACGATATCATCATCGCCCAAAGAGTTTCTACCAGTCCCCATCTATGCTCCGTACCATGCCAGCCACCTTTACAGCCAGGACGATGTGGATGAGGTTCTCAATCTGGCTGCACCTTCTTTTGCATCAGAGTCCATCATTCCCCTCATTTCAGGCTGTTCTGGGGAAGAATTCCAGCCCCTGAGCTATACCGACCTCCTCCACTGCTGTGTGACTGACATGCTCATACAACCGCTAGACCTTACTAAGGTCTCGCAAGCAGTGGGCCGGGTCATGAGTAGCCCGTCATCTATACAGGCTATACTGAGACCTATAGCGACCAGCGTCTCTAACAGTATAGTCTCTTCTTTGGAGCCAACGCTAGCAGAAGGATGCGCCGTGGACAGCAGCATTAGTCCCTCGGCCTCGACAAGTCACTCATCAACAAAACAGCAGCCCGAGACATCAAGCAAGACCTCCAAGATCGCGATTGTTGCTATGTCCGGTCGCTTCCCAGATGCAGCTGACTTGAGTGAATTTTGGGATCTCCTCTACGAAGGTCGCGATGTTCATCGAAAAATACCTGAGGACCGGTTCAACGCAGAGCTCCATCACGATGCCGCTGGGCGGCGTAAGAATACCAGCAAGGTCATGAACGGTTGCTTCATCAAGGAGCCGGGCCTGTTCGACGCCAGGTTCTTCAACATGTCCCCGAAAGAAGCTGAACAGTCTGATCCTGGTCAGCGAATGGCGCTCGAAACAGCTTATGAGGCGCTTGAGATGGCTGGTATCGTGCCAGATAGAACGCCTTCAACTCAGAGGGATCGTGTAGGTGTGTTTTACGGCATGACTAGCGACGATTGGAGAGAGGTCAATAGCGGTCAGAATGTGGACACATATTTTATTCCTGGTTAGTTATTCGCTCGCACTTCGGTATGATGCTGATTCCAGACTCTAGGTGGCAATCGGGCATTTACTCCTGGCAGACTCAATTACTTCTTCAAGTTCAGTGGACCCAGCGCCAGCGTCGATACAGCTTGCTCCTCCAGTCTCGCTGCCCTGCACTTGGCGTGCAATGCCCTCTGGAAAAATGATTGTGATACAGCCATTGCGGGTGGGACAAATGTTATGACCAACCCTGACAACTTTGCTGGCTTGGACCGAGGCCACTTCTTGTCCAGGACCGGTAAGTCTCTTCCAAATTATTGCAAGCTCCTTTCTTGTTAGTTCCTTCACTAACTTTGATCCAGGTAACTGCAATACCTTTGATGACGGTGCAGATGGATACTGTCGTGCTGATGGCGTCGGAACTGTCATACTAAAGAGGCTCGATGATGCTGAAGCTGACAATGACCCTATTCTCGGGGTCATTCTGGGCGCTTATACAAACCACTCAGCCGAAGCGGTATCCATTACCCGGCCGCACGCCGGAGCTCAAGAGTACATCTTCTCCAAGCTCCTTCGTGAATCGGGCGTCGACCCCTACAACGTCAGCTACATCGAGATGCACGGGACAGGCACACAAGCAGGCGACGCAACCGAAATGACATCCGTCCTCAAGACCTTTGCTCCTACTAGTGGCCTCGGCGGTCGTTTACCTCATCAAACCCTTCACTTGGGTTCAGTCAAGGCGAACGTCGGACACGGTGAATCTGCGTCCGGTATTATTGCTCTGATCAAGACGCTGCTTATGATGCAGAAGAACATGATCCCGCCACATTGCGGTATCAAGACAAAGATCAATCACCATTTTCCCACGGATCTTACCCAGCGCAATGTCCATATCGCTAAAACGCCAACATCTTGGACAAGATCAGGACAACGAGATGAACGCATTGCTTTTGTCAACAACTTCTCTGCAGCTGGTGGAAATTCGGCTGTCCTAGTGCAAGATGCCCCTCAGCCATCGATGGTTGGAAATATCACAGACCCTCGTTCATTCCACGTTGTTACCATGTCTGCTAAATCAGCAGACTCTCTCAGAAGGAATCTCGTCAATCTGAAGGAGCTTGTAGAAGGCCAAGTTGACTCGGGCATCGACTTCCTCGGCAAGCTGTCCTATACGACCACTGCCAGGCGTATGCATCATCAATTCCGAACTTCAGTTACAGCACAGAATCGTGAACAGCTGCTTAAAGGCCTTGACTCCGCCATTCAGCGCCAGGACTTGAAGAGAGTTCCCGCTGCCGTGCCTCCTATCGGCTTTGTCTTTAGCGGTCAGGGCGCCCAGTACCGTGGCATGGGCAAGGAGTACTTCAAGAATTCCACTGTCTTCCGCTCGGAGATCATGTCCTACGACAACATCGCTCGAGCCCAGGGATTCCCTTCCATTCTCCCACTGATCTGCGGTGAGGTGGAAAGTGATTCGTTATCTCCTGTTGAGATCCAGCTTGGTTTAACGTGCTTACAGATGGCACTGGCCAAGCTATGGAGATCATTCGGCGTCGAGCCAAGCTTTGTTCTTGGACACAGCTTAGGTCACTATGCGGCTTTGCAAGTTGCTGGTGTTCTATCCGTCAATGACACCATTTACCTAACTGGCACGAGAGCACAGCTACTCGTCGATAAGTGCCAGGCAGGCAGCCACTCAATGCTGGCAGTGAGAGCATCCTTGCTGCAGATCCAACAGTTCTTGGATGCCAACATTCATGAGGTTGCGTGCGTGAATGGGCCACAAGAAGTCGTCATCAGCGGAAGAGTTGCCGACATTGACCAGCTGGTTGACCTATTGTCTGCCGACAACATCAAGGCGACACGCGTCAAGGTGCCATTTGCCTTCCATTCAGCCCAGGTTGACCCCATTCTCTCGGACTTGGATGCGGTGGCATCGCGCGTCACCTTTCACTCCCCACAGATTCCTGTTCTCTGTGCGCTTGATAGTTCTGTCATCAACCCTGGGAACCATGGTGTCATTGGCCCGCTTCATCTACAGCGTCATTGCCGCGAGACAGTCAATTTTGAGGGTGCTCTGCATGCTGCGGAGCGCGACAAGATCGTCAACAGGACGTCAACACTTTGGATCGAGATTGGGCCTCACGTTGTCTGCTCAGCCTTTCTCAAATCCAGTCTTGGCCAAGACACTATGACTATCCCATCGCTTCGGCGAAACGAGGATTGTTGGAAGGTCCTAGCTGATGGTCTGAGTAGTCTTTACAGTAACGGCCTGACAATTGACTGGAACGAGTTTCACCGTGACTTCAAAGCCTCTCACCAGGTTTTGCGCCTTCCTTCCTACAGCTGGGAGCACAAGAATTACTGGATACAATACAAGTACGATTGGTCTTTGACGAAAGGAGACCCTCCCGTCACTCCCAGCAGCTCAGTGGAGGCGGCCTCAGCTTTCACAACACCCTCGGTCCAAAAGATTCTACAGGAGACTTCACATGATCAATTGTTGACTATTGTTGCTGAAACAGACCTTGCGAGCCCTCAATTAGCAGAGGTTTCTCAAGGTCATCGGGTCAACGGCGTCAAAGTCTGCACATCTTCTCTGTATGCTGATGTTGGCTTGACACTGGGTAAATACATATTGGACAACTACCGCACCGATTTAGAAGGTTATGCGGTCGATGTTCACGGTATTGAGGTTCATAAGCCACTTCTTCTCAAAGAAGACTTGAGAGGAACACCTCTGTCTACGCCATTTCGGGTCGAAGTACGATACCCCATCCAAAGCACTACAGCGCTAATGAGTATTTCCACCACCGGTCCGAACGGTCAGCACATCAAGCACCTTGATTGCGAACTTCGACTCGAGCATCCATCACAGTGGGAAGCGGAGTGGGATCGCCAAGCGTACCTCATTAATCGCAGCGTCAACTACCTTCAACAACGATCAGCGCAAGGCTTGGACAGCATGTTGGCGACTGGAATGATCTACAAGGTGTTCTCATCTCTTGTCGACTATTGCGATGGCTTCAAGGGTCTACAGGAGGTTGTCTTGCATAGTCAAGAGCTCGAAGGTACAGCGAAAGTGCGCTTTCAAACTCCACAAGGAGGCTTCGTCTGTAACCCCATGTGGATTGACAGTTGTGGCCAGACTACAGGATTTCTTATGAACTGTCACCAAACTACACCCAATGACTACGTCTATGTTAATCATGGCTGGAAGTCTATGAAATTGGCCAAGGCGTTCCGCCAAGATGTCACGTATCGGACTTACATCCGGATGAGGCCTATCGATGGCACTAAGTTCGCTGGTGACTTGTATATCCTTGATGAGGATGACACTGTGGTTGGTGTCTATGGTGATATCACAGTGAGTTAGACGAACCATGCCAAATGACAACACTAACGCAATGAACAGTTCCAAGGCTTGCCACGTCGGGTTCTCAACACAGTCTTGCCTTCTGCCACCACGGTTCCAGTTGATGCTCCTACGGGTCGACGCGAGTTACCTCCATCAAGGATGGATGCGCCCCCCGCTAGAATTGGAGAAGTACCACCGACTTCAGCACCCACACAACCAGCTCTCTCGTTGCCATTCGCGGCCGACTCATCCATGAACACCCGATTGAGACCGCTTCTGCGCATTTTGTCAGAAGAGATTGGTCTCACTCTTGATGTTCTTTCTGATGATGAGCTCGACTTTGCGGACCATGGTGTCGACTCACTTCTCTCGTTGACCATCACTGGTCGCATGCGCGAGGAATTAGGTCTTGACGTTGAATCTTCGGCATTCTTGACCTGTCCCACGCTAGGCAGCTTCAAGACCTTCCTGGGTCTTTCAGAGCAGGACAACAAGAGCAGCTGTAGTAGTGATGGCAGTGGTAGGAGCAGTCCACCACCCGGTATCGAGTCTGGCGCCACTACACCACCGATGAGTGATGAGGAACAGGACAAAGCAGTCCGCAGTCATTCACTTCACCAGTTCCAGGCCACTTCCACCCTTCTACAGGGCATTCCCAGTAAAGCTCGCTCGACTCTGTTCCTACTGCCAGACGGTTCGGGCTCTGCTACATCCTACGCTTCCCTCCCTCCAATCTCTCCAGACGGAGACGTTGTTGTATACGGATTGAATTGCCCATGGCTAAAGGACGCCGGCTACCTCGTCGAGTTTGGACTCAAAGGTCTGACAGAGCTCTATGTCAACGAGATACTCCGTCGCAAGCCACGGGGGCCATACAACTTGGGAGGTTGGTCAGCCGGTGGCATTTGCGCCTATGAGGCTGCCCTGATCCTTACCAGATCAGGTCACGAAGTGCAACGCCTCATCTTACTCGACTCTCCCAACCCTGTTGGTCTTGAGAAGCTGCCCCCTCGCTTGTACGATTTTTTGAACTCGCAGAATGTCTTTGGATCGGACAACCCCCACAGCACTACAGGAACGAGTGCCAAAGCTCCAGAATGGCTTCTTGCACATTTCCTAGCCTTCATTGATGCTCTGGATGCTTATGTCGCTGTACCTTGGGACTCTGGTCTTGTTGTTGGTGATGGTTTGGCGTCACCACTCCCAGCACCACCGCAGACATATATGCTGTGGGCAGAAGACGGAGTGTGCAAGTGCCCAGATGACGCTCGTCCAGAGTACCGCGATGATGATCCACGTGAGATGCGATGGCTGTTGGAGAACAGAACAAACTTTGGTCCGAATGGTTGGGAGGCGCTACTTGGCGGCAAAGAGGGGCTATCCATGGAACGAATTTCGGAAGCGAACCATTTTACAATGTTGAAGAGAGGACGCAATGCGGAATATGTCTCACAGTTTTTATCTCGGGCATTGGATATTTAGTTATGGAGAAGTCGGTTTTCGTGCTTATGTTTGTTTCCTCTCAATTTAGATATTACTTGTCTTCCTTGAAATTCAGATAGCAATGAGATTATTTTATTTATTCACAATCTGTCTTTGAAATGATAACAATAACGGCTTAGAACACAAACATTGTCTATTGCCTTTGTTGTTTAGGCCTTATTTATGAACGACGAAAAGTAAAATGTCTCCTGATCCTCTCTCGCCCGTGCATCATGACCGTTTCCATCCAACAATTGCTGCCAAAAATCCCAGTCAACATCAACACCCTTCATCATACCAAGAATATCCTCCCCAGTCGTCATGCCCAAGTCCGCTTGTGATACGAGGTCATTCATCGCACCTGAATCACCAAGATATCCCGCTGGCATTTCCTGTGCCTGGAGTAAGCTCTGAGGCGTAACTGGTCCAGAGATGTCTGTGGTCGTGGAGGGCTGTTGTGATGATGCCCTGGCCAGTGTTGCTCGAGCATGGACAAGGTTGGTTATGCAAGATAACTCTGGAGGAACGGGAATTCCTCTCGTTCTAGCACTTGTAACTCTTTGATCCCATGCTTTGAGGGTAATATTACCCAGAGCCCAGTATAAAGGGTCTCCAGTATCTGAGATGAATGAGGGGTGGTGTTCGTACACTTGGTCGATCACCTTCCACGCAGTGTCAACTACTTGGCCTGCTGGACGACCAGACAAAGTACTGATCAAAAGGACGAATGTCTCGAATGGGAAGAAGTTGGCAATATGCCACAAGTAACATTGTAGCGCTGGAGTTGAATGCGATAGAATGTCATATCGTATAACTTCCAGGCTGTTTTCAAGCAACATATCAATTTGTTCAGCATTCAAATCAGAGGCCCTCTCAGGTCGATGAATGGGATGGTAAACTGAGAGCCTTAGCTGACAAATAGCAGATCGAGCGAGATATGCCGTCAAGAGGTTGAGTGGAAGTTCCTTGTCCATATTAACAAGATACCTGTCCTCAATATGACGCTCAAGCTCGTCGATAGCTTTGAAAAACTTGGCTTTGCCCGCGACCGACGATTCTGAATCGGAGCTGAGCAAACACTTTTGTTGAATCATCCACACGCCGATTTCAATGCGGACTTTGCAAAACAGCATATCCGTGGTGATGGGTGATGGCTGTGGTATTGTGCTTGCTGATGGCACAAGGTCAGCGTCGCTCAGATTAATTGGCTGCCGAGTATCTCCATAGAGTTGCATGTTTGGGTTCATGGATGCACCCGTCAATTGTGAAGCTCGGCCATCGAGTATCACAATCTGCCACCAAACTCTGCGGCGTAACTCAGCTTCAAATGGGGGCAGGTCTTTAAGTGAGCTTTCACGATGAAGGCCCATTCTCTGGCCCATACGTGTCGCAAGACCTGTCAGAAGCCATAGAATATCATGGTCACAGATATGACGCAGGGAAAGCTTAGAAATATCAGTATATCTTCAGGTATTTCTGTTGCCAAGGTTGGTACATACCAGGTAGAGAGTGAAGGCTTGAAGCACCCTCAGGTCTGTAGACCTCAAGAAATCGGCTTTGCTCAACGCTACTTCGGTTGCGTCACAGTATCGAGCCAGCAGGTCCTTTCTAGGCTCGCCAAACCTTGTGCGACATTCCGTATCCGTCAAAGACACAACAGAAACAAGGTAAATGGAGAATAATAGGGCCTCTGTAGTGCCGGGAGTTGATGCTGGTTCAGAAAAGGTTTCAAGGATGTCTTTTTGAACTGTTGGGCCATGGAGGATCTTGGTCAGAGGATGGACGTTGCTGATAAAGACCTGCCATAGTTGAAATGAGTGCACAGCTGAAGGATACACAACCGAAGTAGAATTTGACTTTTGATGGCCAAAGATGAGGTTTACTTCAGTTGAGGGCGTGTCAGTTCTTGTTCGTAGAGATTGACGCTCTGGATCTGGGCTAACGTCTCTGCCTTGCATCTGCCAGAACAACAAAATAAGCCACGTTTTTCAAATGACTCTGTTTGCTCAATGGTACTCACCTCATCACCCAAGGATTTCCACAATTTATTGCTACAAAATTGTTACCGAATGTCCGAAAAGAAACACAAATTGGCTTCTCATGTAATTACTTACTCTTCAACATAGCGACGCTGGTCTCCACTAACGATGACCTGCCCATCACCACTGGGAGTGCTTGTCTGCGCAGCTGCAAGTCGTCGATGATTCAAACGGGCATTTCGTGTGTGAGGTGGCGACAATCGCATGCGCACACAATCTTTACCCGTTCTGATACAGTACGCGCATGGGGTTTGGCCGTTGCATCTAATCTTTCGGTGCTGGCACGGAACGCATGAGTGTCCTCTAGTGATCTTCACTTCTGTCATGGTGGTTGATTTGGGGTAATTGCTTGTGGAAAAAGGATTGAAGGGATGGTGTTACCAGGAGCAGCCGCATAAGCCACTTTCTTTGTGGTGGTGGAATTATTTCCATCTGTCAGCGGATTGATTCCTCTGTCTGTGTAACTACTAGGTACGCTAATACCACACAAATGGCAATTGTCAGATCATTGTCAGGGGCATGCATGGACTACGCATGTCGACGCCACCAACAGCTAATCTCCATGACCGAGCCAGTAACGGGAGACTGATGTTCCCCCGCGCGGGACCGCTCCCAGGGCTGATGGAATCCTTCGGTCCCGAAGCTTAAATTTGGTGTGTTTATACCCGACCCGTCTCTTACAAGCACGGAGCGGGACCGCGCTGGAGGTGTTATTGACATTGAATCGTCTTCCGTCGCCGAGATGAGGTCTTCCGCTCCGTTGTTAATTTTCATCCCCCGTCCGGACAGTATCATGTCCCGGAATCACTCTGCAACATGTCTATATTTTAAGGCTCTTCTTCGACTGCCAATTCCTCAATTTTGTCATCCATCGACAACACCATTCGATCCTTATTCATCATCATCTAATACTCTCTCTTCCTCAACACCATGACAGATAACACCGACGTGGAGAAGCTCGACAGAGCAACCACGCCAACGCCTACGCCTAATGAAGCACCCTCAGCATCTGAACCCTCTGAATCCAAGCCTGAGGAAACAGAGGATGAGTCCAAGTACCCCCACGGTCTGAAACTGGCTGCCATCATTCTCTCCAATATGGTAGCCATGTTCCTCGTCGCTTTGGACCGCACAATCATTGCGACTGCCATCCCTCGCATTACCGATGACTTCAAAGCCCTTGGAGACATCAGTTGGTACGCCAGCGCTTACCTCATCACCAGCTCTGCTACACAGCTGCTTTGGGGTCGTATTTTTACCTTCTACCCGACCAAGACGGTCTACCTTGTTGCCATTTTCTTCTTTGAACTTGGTTCCCTTCTCTGTGGCGTGGCGCCCAACTCGGTTGCTTTCATTATCGGACGTGCCATTGCTGGTGCAGGTTCTGCAGGTATCTACTCTGGCTCTACCATCCTCATCACCACTGTCACGCCTCTTTCTAAACGTGCTGGATATGTGGGCATGATGGGGGCCGTTTTCGGCATTGCTTCGGTCATCGCGCCCTTGATCGGAGGTGCCTTCACTGATCACGTCACTTGGCGATGGTGTTTTTACATCAAGTAAGTCTCGATTCCCCTTCACATTTAGCCTAATTGACAAATACTAACTACCTCGTTTCTAGTCTTCCTGTTGGAGGAGCGGCTGTCGTCTGCCTCATCCTTCTCTTCCCGACGTTTCCCGTTAGCGAGCCCGTCTCAATCAAGCAGCAGATTAAGCAGCTCGATCCATGGGGAAACCTTGTCTTCCTCCCTGGAGTTATCTGCCTCATCCTCGCCCTCCAGTGGGGTGGTGAGAAGTACTCCTGGGACGAGGGTCGCATCATTGCACTTCTTGTACTGGCCTGTGTGCTTCTCATTGCCTTTGTTGGCATCCAGATCTGGCAACAAGAGAACGCCACCGTTCCACCTCGTTTGTTCAAGATCCGAAATGTCTGGCTCGGTACAATCTTTGCTTTCTGTCTTGGATCCGTTCTCATTGTTTTCTTGATTGCCCTGCCCATCTGGTTCCAAGGTATTCGAGGAACAGATGCCATCACCTCTGGTATTGACACACTCCCTCTCGTCCTGTCCCTCGTCTTTGGCGCAATCGTCTCTGGTGGTCTCATCAATGGCATCGGCTGGTTCAACCCCGTCTTCTTCTCATCAGTAATGTTCATGTCAGTCGGTGGCGGACTTATCACCACTTTCGTTGTTGACACGCCCAGCCGCACTTGGATCGGATATCAGATCATCCTCGGCCTTGGTATAGGCCAGGGCATGCAGCTTGCCAGCTTAGGAGCTCAGGTCGCTGTCAAGCAGAGCGATGTGCCTACGGGTGTGTCCCTCATGTTCTTTGCCCAGTCCCTTGGCGGTTCAATCCTTGTCTGCGTTGCCCAAGCCGTCTTCAACAATGACCTTCGATCTCGGCTCACTTCATTTGATGGCCTTGATGTTGCAAAGATCATTGGCGCTGGTGCCACCCAATTACGCCATGTCATTCCAGCTGATCGTCTTGCCGATGTGCTTGTTGAGTACAACGCAGCGCTTCGCAATTACTTCTACGTCGGTCTTGCAGCTGCTTGTTTTGCCGTTCTACCTTCACTAGGGATTGAGTGGAAGAATGTCAAGGGCCAGGAATTTGTACATTAGTTTCGTCACGAGCAGTTCTGTTTTGCAGATATGATAGAATACAACTTGAAGGTAATTCTGGTTATTTGGATAGGGATAAAGTGATTAGAAGATGGATTTAAGACTACCTACATAAAGTACACTGCTGTACTGTAATAAAAGCTCTCATGTATTTTAAACTTCGTTTGACTTTCTTTTCTTTTCCCTGTCATCGAAGTGAGCAACTTTCTATGTGTCGTATCTCATATAATGTCAGCCATTTTATGGCCGTATCGGAACTCATAGGTATCCATTGCACCAAAGTAAAATGGAGTAAATGTTGCAGATGTGTAATGAGCTTACCTTATCATGCACCAAGAGAGTTGAGCCATCTAGTGGGTAGCACAAGAGCTGGCCTCGCAAGTCTTGGGGTATAAAAATAATTAGTCCAAGAAGTATGGTCTAATTAGCATAAACTGATCTTATGATTTCGTCGTTGTGTTTCCAGTGGCTAATATTTTTTACCCTGAGGACCATTCACCAAGGTTACTAATATCGTGACTAAATCAAGGTTCGGGACATTATAAACTGACAGGTAATTTAAAAGTACGTGACCTATTGGCTGCAATGATGTGATTACTCCCAATCTAATATCTACCACAGTCGATCTCGCCAAGATGCACAGACAGTTCAGGCGGCTGGGATACGACCATGCACGAATCTAAAAACATTGTTGGGGTCAACCTCTTTCTTGACAGCCCTCAGTCGATCCCAATTCTCCCCGTAGCAATCCTTGGGGTCTTTGTCCGACTCGATGAAACTGACGTATGTGGATCCAATACTATCTCCCGTCGCTTCAATGCCGTCCACTAAATGATCTGCCCATGCGATAGCGACATCTTCATGCGTCGCTTCCTCAATGACGGCGTTGATATGGAACATGATGTGCGGGCGCCGGGTACCGAACGCAGATAGCGTATTTGGCTGGGCCGCCTTTCCGTGCAGGATCGTGCAGGTGATTGAGCAATCAGCCTTAACAGGCATCGACTCACAAGCGCCGATCAGCTGTCCGAGAGTTTCGCTGGTGAACTTGGAGATACTGATGTGCCGAGATGTTACGTTGACAGGGTTGCTGATAGCGCTGGAAATGCTGCGCTGGAAAGCCTCAAATGTCGCTATTTTCTCGTGTTAACATTCTCTCTGCCGTAGCTGATGGGTAGAATAGGTAAAGATCAGCAGGTTTGACTTACTTTCTTGGACGGTATCGACGATGCACGTGCCGAGATTCTTCAGCTTCTGTAGCCACTCCTCACTCTCAGGCCCAATTGTCTCTGCTTCAGGCCAGATGTAGGTCACAGCCATGCCAAGACCCCATTCGCCCTTGCTAAACCCTGCCTGTAAACAAAGTTTGTCGGGGACCCCAGAGTCTAGAAGGGCCTGTAAACGCAGCAACACGTCTGCAGTTTCTGGCCAAGGGTAAACGATAAAGCCAGCCTGGATTGTGGACATTGGATAAACCCGCACTTGAGTCTCAGCAATGACACCAAAGTTACCACCTCCACCACGTAGCGCCCATAGCAGCTCCGATTCCCCGTTGGCGTGAACAAGATCGCCGCTAGCTGTGACGATCTTGGCGCCTACAATGTTATCTACGCCTAGTCCGACATAGTCACCCAACGGGCCGTACCCTCCCCAAGACGCCCAAGACGTCCATCCAGCTTCACCCGCAAAGCCGTTTGAGGTGCAAAGGTTGTGCGACCCCAGAAAGCCAACAAGGTTTTTGCTGGTGATACCACCGCCGACACGTACTGTCTTCTTATCTGGGGCAAGCTCCTGCGTGTCCAACTCCCTCATGTCGATCGTGACAGAGTCGGCAACGCAACCGCGGCCAAAGACATCATGGCCGCCGCCACGAACCCCGAGCGGCACATCCAACCCCGAGACAGCTTTTACGATTGCCTGAACTTGAGTGACCGAAGTGGGTCGACAGATGGCAAGGGGTTGAGCAGTGATGAGCTTGTTGTAAACCCCACGAAGAGTCTCATAGTGAGGAGATGAGCGCGTGTAGATCTTAAGGTCTGGGATGACATCCGTCAGCTTAGTAAGTGCCGAGTTGCCGTGAGTCTGAGCATCTTGGGCTGGGTCGAATGGCATCATGACGTGCCGATACGGCGCAGCAGCAAAAGAAGACATGGCTTTGCGGGATGATATGATTGAGTAACGGCTGTGGAGTGATGATCTGATGACGGCGCTTCTAGTAGTGAGGTGAGCAAAAAAGAACCTCTTATTAACCATGACTGAGAAAGTTATACATCATTTCCCAAATGAGACCGATAAGGTGCCTTTTTGAGTCAATTGGTCGTGAGCTGTTAAGCCTCCCTTTCCTCCCGTCCCTACTTGCATATCCCGCTCTCGGGCTAGAGAATTCGGGGCTTGCATCGGACCGAAGGCACGACAGTAGAGAGACTACGGCCCGGCCCGGCTACTGAGTCCCCGAGAACGGACTACGGCGGTGTTACTAGAACGCCATGCAGCTGTAGCCTGATTGTTCAATTTTACCAGTTGACCTGGATTAGGTAGGCAGTTGTTATCTTTGCCAAAACAAAATATCCCATTTAAGTGCCGGTTCGAGTAATCACTATATACAAGGTTAGCTGAGATCCGTGTATGCATGTCGTCTGGAACTTTTGTTTTTTTACTGCTTTGGTGGCTTCGGTTAAGGTTAGGATTTGGCTCAGTTCGTCCCTCATGCAGTTTTCGTTCAGCTTAGCGAAAACTTAATCCTCTTTCGGGTTTCCATACAGGCACCGAGTTGTGGCAATAGCACGTGTCTGAAACATATGTTCTCGACTGTTTCACTGTTTATTCATTATTTTGAGGAGTCATGAATACATTCTTGTTTATCCACAGAGTATGTGACATTAATTTTCAAACTTAACATCAGACTATCAAGATCGTTGATTGTTTGGTTCGGCATAACGTAAACCTTACAGGTCAAACGTCAACACACATGTTTAATTATATGGGTCCTGATTACCCTCACGGCACCAGTTATCCGTCCTGCATATGACCGTGGCTACGTATAATCCTGCGGAAGCGGACTTATGTCCCTGAAACTACCTTCCTGAAGCAAACCTATCAATGTAGGTAATCGTATCATGACACAGGTGCATATCAACCCTGTCTTGAAGGAATCAATGCATGCTGTCATCTCAAACCCTGTGATGGTCGAATTCATCCCGCAAGTTATTGGTGACATGTATCATTTCCAACTCAAATGCAGTTCGCAGCTTCGTCTCTGCTAGCTAGCGTTTTTTTTTTTTCAGCTTACTCTAATTGTTACACCAGATCGTCCTGGAACAGCACCCTGTCTCCTCGATCCAGATCTGTGGCTAAACAGGTCCTTATGTATAAGAATGGTCTAGGTCCGTCTGAAATAAATCGACGATCTGCCAGGAACTAGGAAACTGCCACTCCAGCCTGCCATTGTCATAATTCCCAAGCACAAAATCTTGGCCGGATTGGCCCAAAACGTTCAGCATTCACCCTGTCATATCACATGCACCACTGTCTATCCACATGAGTTCCACAGACCCCCTTCTCCGCAGGGTAGAGAACTACCGCGAGAGTTGCGACAATTGTGCCAAGTCAAAAGTTCGTTGCGGCAAGGAACAACCTTGGTGCCAGAGATGTGAGCGGCGCGGCCAAGTCTGTAGCTATAGCCCTTCTCAGCGATCCAGAAAGAGGACCATAGACACTACTCACCCTGAAGGGGACCAACGGAATGGGACTCCACCATTTGCTGCAACCAGCAGCACGGCATCTGTAGCTGCAGTGAGCAATGGCTTCAGTACCTTGCTTAGCCATGCTGACGGCTGGGGCACTTGTCCTGACCTTGTCGAGCTGTTAACCAGCGGTAGTAGCTCTGAGTCTCTGACACCAGACAATACCAATTTGGTGTGGCTGTCGGACATGGAGTCAATCGCTGGTGATAGCAGTGTTGGCAAGAGTTTGGAGAGAATGGATGCTTTCGCATATTCCAACGGCCACACCACAGGTGCCTTATCAGCAGCAGGGATGGGCAGTGGTAGTGGATCTGGTACCGACAGCACGGGACGAAGTTCAACGTGCTCCGTCACCGACAGACAGCACTGCGAGGCTGATCTTATATCCGCATTGGCAAAGCCTGACCTTCCTTCCCTGTCATGCTGGGGTAACCCTACCGATTCCCAAAATCTCGGAACTATCCTCACAGCTAGTCGTGCAACACTAAAGTGCGTGACAACTGCCATGTCATGCACATGCACCCCGAATGACAACGTCGCATTGTTGGCCACAGCCGTGCTGTTGCGAATCTTATCCTGGTACCGCATCGTTCTGAAAAACTGCCGCGGTCCCAATGATGGCAGTGCAACACTCGACGATCACAACAGTCCTGTTCCATCCAATGATGGTAAGGAAACTAAGAGATCATTGTCACGGGATACAAATATGTCACAAGAGAGAATCGAGCCATCAAGTCTCATTATGCCGCCTATGACAATTGGAGCATATGAGCTAGATTCTGAGAACAGAGAGCGCATGATTGGACACATCATGCTCAGCGAGTTGAGTAAGATGGGGAACTTGCTGGGAGATTTCTCAAAGAAGTTCTGTGATCCTCAATCTACCACGTTGGGTAACGATAATAGAAGCCAGCTGTTTCTCGCTTTGGAAATGTTGATTCGGAACAAACACATGGCAACTGTTCTAGATGTACGAAAGAAACTCGAGGTGAAGTAGATAGATTCATAACTATACCCATAAAGAAGAGAAGTTAACTTAAAGATCAAATGGAGTACTGGTAGGAATATTTCCTCTGAGAGCTTTGGTGATTTTGCGTCCTTCTCACTGATACTTATAGTCTCTGATTTACCCTGTAGAATTATTCCAAATGATGAATGGTGTGGTATCGAGAGGATGAAACCTGCTTGACAATATGCCATTTCGTCCGTTCTGTCAGTGCTGCTACCCAATTTCCATATTCGGCTTAACCAACACCACCTTTTGTTTTCAAAAGAACGAGATATGACTGGATGTAGATCCTAAATGGGATAGAACTCAGCTGGAGCAGGGCAACATAATCAGTCACCGAGCCAGTAAACCACCTGCCGTGTCACCTTTGCCTTCGGCCAGGGAGCCTCTGACGCTCTTCGCTTTGACCCAACTGAGGTTTGTACTTCTATGGCGGCTAATAGAACAAAGTCTGCAAGAAAAGTCTGCAAAGGGCCAGCTAGACTACAGACAGATGCAACCCAGGTTTAAAGTGATATGGTAGGGGAAACAGACCTCGAACTGAACCGTGAGGGTGATCACCCTATCATGAGCCTGGCTAATGTCATTTCCTCTGTCAACATGTCCAAAACATAGGAGAAAGGGAGGAAAATAGGAAAATAAAGATGAAAATTGGAACAATTGTATTTGGTTGTACTGAGGAGGCCTATGCCAACATAAGCAAATACAATACGCTACATCAACAAGGTCTCTAGCTGTACCCAAAAGGTTGGGGGCCATCTTGTTTGGCCATTGACGCAGTAACTCTAAAAAGAAATGCCGTCGGAGTTTTTGCTTACTATGATTCAAGGCGGTGGCAATGGGGAAAAAAGAGTTCAAAAAAAAAACTATGTCTTTAATATATGTAACCTTGATCTATCTTAACAGATATCGCAAGCGTATATGATCGGTTACGTTCGTAATAATATATCCCTTGATTATACAGCAGCATGAGTCAATGCAGCACCTGGCTGACCATTGACACGTGCTCAATCTGCCGAAAGCCGCGTTGTAATGTCTTTAACAACGGCATCCTTTATCTTCTTGACTGACTCGTCACTGACTTGACCCTCTTGGATGAAGTTCACAATTCCCTCCAGCGTGTGAATGTCGTCGCGTAATTCAGTCAATTCGTTATCATATGTATCCATAAAGCCCTCGGTGGACTTGTTGAGAACTCCGAAGTCATCTTCCAAGGCAGTACATCGCTCTCGCATCTTGTCCATGCCCCTGACCAGCTCTTCGTTCTCTTGTCTCAATCTCTTGTTCTCCGTCTCCAAGGCCTCGATTTGTTCTCTGTCCCGACCTCTTGTCTCTTTTAAAGCCCGCAACTCGTCCCAAATAAGGGCGATATCACTGTCACGAGAAGACTGGCTGTCTTGTCGAGGGCGCTTCTTAGTGTGACTGCAATCGATCGGCGGCGGTGGCGGCGGGGACCCAGCTTCGTCGTAGGCGGGTGGTGGGAGTGCTGTTTGAGCCAAGAGATGGACGAGCTTGGCTCCGAGGCCGCCATACATACTAGCAAGGTTGTATCGGAGACTGCGAAAAGACTTCAGACGCCCATCGCTGGCGGCATCACTGATCGACTGGAGCGAAGGGGGTGCCGCCCGAGCCTCGACATAGATGGATAGAACGGTGGCATTGGAAAGATCACGTATCGCGTCAAGGACTACGCCTGAGTGTTTTCGGGCGGGAGATAGAGGCTCTAGTGCAGGAGTAGGAACAAGGACGTTGAGGTGGTGGTTCAAGGTAACGTTGAGGCAAAGAGCGGCAGATTCAAACTCTTGTTGTATTTTGATGAGCACCGTCGGGTTCTTGACCACGACCAAAGAGACAATGGATGAGGCGCATGCGCGTAATGTAACGGCCGTAGTGGTGTCTAATCCCTTGATCTTGACAGGAACGCTCAGTTCGAAGAAAGCACATGTCTTATCGAAGCGGAAGTTGAGTGTCACGGAGCTGACTTGAGGGTCTGGCTTAGCCAGAATATGCGTCGTGGTATCGGACTGCCATTGTATCACGGCCTTGGTGGAGTGTTGAATATCGAGATCGAGGCATGGTGAAGACGACATTCCTGCAACGATTAGGTGTGACGACAATCTGCGTGACTTACCTGCCTGCTACCTAGCCCCAGCCGCGGCCAAAGGAGGAACAGCTTCGCTGCCAGGCAACCCGTCAGTCTCCAGCGCGCTGCGAGACTAAGCAGGTCCCTTCTACAGACCCCGGTTGTTCCAGCAAAGGAGGCAAACGCGCTCGTTTGAAGGGTACAAGTCGGAATTTTAATGGTCTGTAGCGCGATTTACCGCCTCTTTGGACGCGGTTCGGGTGATGGTTCCGGTTCATGAAAAGGTTGTCAGATGATAATCGGAGAGGCGTGACGAGATAAGAACGACGAGGGGAGGATGATATAGGGCCTCATCGTGATGGTAAGATGTGCGAAGAGTCAGCGCCGCATCGCGTGAGAGAATGAATCTGGATGGAAATGAGGGTGGCTGATCAGACCAATAGGAATGAAGACAGATGACGGACTATAGTTATTCCGTCAGCCGCGCGAGGCTCTGAGGCCACAAGACATCGATTCACGAAGCGGGGCTTGCTTAGTAAGTAGCTTTTAACCACAATCGTCACATTTTGATTGGTCAATTTCCTTATCATACTTGAATCCCGAAATCAGAAGCAAACAAGTACGATTTCCAAATGAATGAAGAGTAAAAAGTTATAAGATTCTTTCCAATATGCTCTACTTTAGGAAAATAGCTACTAAGACTTTCCATACTGCTGGAAATAATGTAAAATAAATAGTAGTTAATTTACAGAGTACTTAATACTAGTAAAAAGCGGTTTCTAGTATAAATAGAAAATAATAACATTTTATAATTATTGATGAGAAGCTACCCTGAAGTTTAGAAACTCCAAGGTTGGGATACTACTGGAAAATGACGACGTCAGTGTAGAGGCGGGATAACATCGGGTAAACAAGTAGCGGGTCTTCAGATGCAATTAACTGTCTTTTACCACGCGTAGGTTGGTCACATAAAATGGGTTGCTATTTAAAGGTTGAAGGAATACCAAACCACTTTTAGTTCGTATATAGTCCAAAAGTGTGCTAACGTTTTCGTCTTATTTACTCGCGGTTCTCATGCCACGCTCTTAGTATTTCCCAGTCTTGCTACAGTCACCCAAACGCCCTTCAAAGCGACTCCACAGAACTACTGCTTGCCCTCCTTCTTTTCCGTCGCAACACTCTGATACATCGATGCAAACGCGGAGGCATCGGGACCCTTTGCCAAAAGCTCTTGGGGGTGCCCGAATTCTTGCAGCTTGCCCGCGTCAAGAACAACCACCATGTCAAAGTCATCAAGTGCAGACTGAAGCTTGTGAACGATGGAGATAACTGTGCGATTATTGAACCGCTCACGCACCAGACGCTGGACAAGCTCATCGACACGCGAGTCAACACTGCGTAGATATAACATTAGCATAAAGCTTACAGACACGACATGAAGGAAGCCGTGGGTACATACCTGCTTGTTGCTTCGTCAAGAACCACAATGGGCGATGGTCGTAGAATAGCGCGTCCGATGCAAAACAACTGCTTTTGACCATGCGACAGATGAAGGTCTTCAATCGACACTTCGAGGCCGCCACCATCGGTCACAATATCCCACAACTCGACCGCTTTCAACGCATCTTCAATTGCAGCATCCGTTAGTCCCCCAGCAGGGTCAGCATTCAACCTCACACTACTCCCATCAATGAGGAATGCGTCCTGGGGCACGCCAACAAGTCTGGTACGAATCTCTTCGCGAGGAATCGTGCTGATATCGAGGCCGTCTACCATGATGCGACCACCATGAAGGTCTATCATGCGAAAAAGGCATGAAACCATAGAACTCTTGCCACTGCAGGAAAATCCGATTAGCTAATGGAATGGTGAGAGATAATGAATGACATACCTTCCAGTCCTTCCACAAATTCCAATCTTTTGCCCGGATTCAATGGTCAGAGTTATATTCTTGAGGACATCTTCGGACTCCCTAGAAAAGTACAGATCAGCAAGCATTCTGGCAAGGTCAACCCCAGACTTACTTGTATCCTGCCGATACTTGATCAAACATGATTGTTCCTTTAGACGGCCAGACCGACGGCGGCTGCTCTTTTTCCTGCGGCTCATGCTCAGAAGCAGTGTCAGATGTAAAAGACTTGATCCTAGAAATTGCACCAATGTGCGTCTCCAAGGTTGTCCAAAAAGTCAGCAACAGCTTGAGGTGCTGACTGAATTGGATGATATTGACGAGAGCTACGCCGATCAATCCAGTTGACAGTACACCTCGCAGTTGTGTGACAAGGACCACTACCAAGACAGCGATGATAGTGACAATCATATCAAGAACAAGAGTAAGCCACCGCTGAACTGCATAGAGGAGGTAGAAGGGCTTCTGCGACCGGTCCAGGAGCCCATGGTGCTTTTTCTCAAGAGCATCGCGCCAACCAAAGGCGCGCAGCGTGGCTAGTCCAGTAACAGTCTCGGTGAAGAGGGCGTAGAGAGGACTTTTTGCTTCCAGATCCATGAATCGGAGCTGGCGAGACGTTCTTAGGTATGTATGCTGAACCACCCAAAGCGTCGCAAGGAGAAAGGGGAACGCAATGGCAGTATAGTACGATCCAACCGCGATCAAGATCATCTCGGCAATGCAAAGAACGAATGTGGCAAACGTATTGAGGGCTGAGAGGGGTAAGTCCATGTCAATGAGCTGAAGATCTTGACTGAAGCGGTTGATGGTGGTACCAGTGTCAGTGGTTGCGAAAAAGGACATAGGCGCATTAAGAACTGTCTTGAGTAGACTCTGGTGGAAGTTGTTACCCGACAGTGGTACCATGGTGACAATCATTTGCCAGGTGCTCAGTACCAAGAAAATGATAGATAATGCGCCTAGCATCGCGTAGATCCCCAGGTAGTAACCAAGTCGTGTAAACGGTTCTTTCGCATTGGCGGCAGCCCACCAGTTGAGCCAGATAGTAGGGAAAGACTGGCAGAATATGTAGGCACAAATGGCCAGCACAAAAATCAAAGTCGGGATCCAGCCGATAGCATGCATGTAGTACATGTAAATTGCCACATCTCCGCTGCGACGATTTGCACCGTCTTGTTTGCCCTCAGTGAGTTCCATGTCTAGCTCTGCCAATACGGCAGCTGAGGACTCAGGAACAGGAGAAAGCGTAGAATCAGGACCAGAACTAGGTACTTTGGACTGTGTACCAGTTGTAGACGCGGCGGAGCCAGATACGTAGTTGTCCAACTTGTCCAACTCATCAAAAGTCCCTTGGACACAGCCTGTTCCAGTACCATCAAGGCAAATGATGTGATCTGCATAGGGGAGGCGGTTGACTATGTCAAAGTTAGCTAGACCTAGGAGAAACTATCAGATATTGTACTTACCACGAGAAGAGACAATGATAACGGTTGTGTTCAAGTCTCGAAGGATACCATGACTCCCGAGAAGATTGTTGAAGACGGTATTCTCGGTATGAGCATCTAGGCCACTGAAAACATCATCAAGAATAATGGTGGACATCTGGGCGTACACTGCTCTCGCTAGACTGACTCGTTGGCTCTGGCCTCCACTGAGGACGATTCCCTTGCTTCCTATAGTACTGAGATCTCCCCGCGGTAATTGAGTCAGGTCTTGCTTCAGGGCACAAGCTTCCAATACTTTCTGGTACCATCGCTCGTCCGGGTGAGAGAAGGCGATAATACTATCTCGGACTGTGCCATTCATATGCCAAGGGGTTTGGTCGCAGTAGGCAACCTTGGAGTTTGATACATGTATAGATCCTTGCATGATTCCGACCTCCCCGAGCAATGCCTTAAGAAGAGTCGACTTGCCGCTCCCAACCGGCCCAACAATAAGCGTGAGTTTGCCCGAGGGGATCACAGCGTCAATGTTGCTAAGGGTTGGTTTTTCATTCTTGTCGTATCCAAAAGAGGCATTCCTGATGATGAATGCGTTACCATCCGGCGAATCCTTTAGCGGTTCAGTCTCCATAATCTTGGACTCTTGGATTGGAGAGACGGAGCGCTTTTCTTCGCTGCTTGAAATCTCAGAGACTAAGGCGTTCTCAATCGTACCGGCATCCTGCACTATCCTATCATCTACGTAGGCGTCTGTGTTTAGAAAAGATTGGATGCGGACAAAACTTCCAACTGACCCCATGAAAGAAGACAGTGAGGTAACGAAAGAAGCCAGAGGCTCTTGCAGGAGCGCGAATAGTGACAAGGATGTGAACATACGGTTCGTGTCCAGATTTCCTTTTCCTCCCTGAGATTGAGCTAGAAGACTATAGGTCATAAAGCTCAAAATGGGGGCGAAGATGGGAGCGAGGTAAGCTGCAGATATCAGAGTTAGTTGTTGAAATTGTAGAGGTCAACATAATCTCAAACACTTACCCAATACCATATTCCATATCAAAAGCCGACGGAATTTGCCTGAAATGTGCATTTCTTCCTCCCGCATGGCTTGGATGCGTGTTTCTAGTACTCGAGACAGTCCGCACATCTTGACGCCCTTCATGCTTCCTAGCATCTGAGACGTCACGGAGATCCTCCTCTCAATAGCCTCAAGCCATATGGCCTGACGAGCCATGACGAAGCTGACGGCAATGACGGATCCGACGATGGAAACTGATTGAACCATTAATCAAGATAACTCTCAAGAGTTGTGTGATAGAAACTTACAAATAGCTGCTCCAACAGGTATGAGACACGCTAGTCCAAGCTGGCGACCTAACAGATAGACTGCAATGACAATCTCAATCAAGTTTGCCCATACATCATGAGCCGTTCGCCATCCCGTATCAATCCTCTCAATGTCAGCGCTCATCAAAGTTAGGGCTGCCGTAGGGTTGGCAGCTGTGATGCTGAGATCTGTAGCCTTGTCATAAAGTATCGAGATGAGCTGGCCACGTGCCATGGTAGTGGCGCGGACAGTCAAGTGCTGGTACTGGCCCGTTGTCACCTGTCATATTATACGTTAGTGGGATCTTTTTCAGATTCATTGGAAAGATAGTCTTACAGCTAAACCAACAAAAACAAGAAACCAGGCCCCTATAAGGCCGTAGCCCTGGCTCGTATCATCAGAATTAGGATCTTTCTCAGCCCACGACAACGTTGCCGAGATGAGAAACGGCTGACAGAAAGTAAAGCCTATAAAACACAGGCGTGGGAAGATGATCGACAAGATAGGCCATTTCAGGGTTTTGAAAACAGTCAACAATAAATCATAATCTCCTTTCTTGGGTGCTAGTCAAGTATCAGCAATTTTCACTGCGCTAACATAACCAAAGAAGAAGGAAAACAAACCTGTAGCCCACGTTGTTTGAAGCATATTCTGAAGATAAGAAGACTTGAAATGCTTCTCCAGAGGGAATAGGCTTTCAATTTTCAGGTCGTGAGAATAGCCAACGCGGAAGAGAGGGAGCTGCCAAGAAAAGAGCCAATGTGAGAATACGCCACTTGTCACTTCTGAAGGCAGTTCACGGTACTCTGGACGTAAGAAGTCACGTTTCTCGATAGCTTCCACTGATAGCATCATGATCTTTACTACCGTTGAAATAAGGGCAGTGATGGCTGCAGGCCGATTGTAGCCTTGCAGCCAAAGTGTCCTCGTTCGGGTAGCATCGAAAAGAACAGAGAAAAGCAAAAACAGGTTGAGAACAGTCGAAGGTCGATACGAATAAACATGCTCGACATAGGACAGACCTAACAAGCTGATTGATGCAACAATTGATAAGGCGGCAGCTGGCAGAGAAGCTTTGGTAGTAACAGCTGGAGACTGAGTCCAGCAGATGAGAAAAGCGATCTGAGATGCCAATAGGAGCAAACACAAGATCTTTGAATTGTTACAATATGTAGCATAGAGTGATCCGAGGCCATCAACTTACAATCTTGCAATACAGCCAGTAACTATCTTCAACTTTGACGCTATTTTTGCGCAGGAGGTAGGATACTCGGAATGGGGCTGCCAGGAGCAGCAGGGCGGTGATCGGCACAACAAGTATAGATTCTTCAAACAACAACGTGAAGTCAAAGCCACCTCTACAGCCGTCTGCATATGGGCCAAAAGATCTATCACACGAGGAGGAATTCATGATCGTTGGTAGTAACGACAAACTCTCCTAGATCTGACCTTCCTGGTCGATCAAATCATTAAGATTCGTTTTGGCTGTCGTAACAAATCAAGTAACGTGGAAAATGAAGCAAATAACTACCCTGCAACTCGCTTGTAAGTTGCCCCAGTGAAATGGTGAGATCCAGGAAAAGAGGCGAGAAAGGAGAGGCGAGGAAACAAAGCTACACGAGCGAGACAAGTAACGTTGGGCACAAGAAAAAGAGTGTGATAGGTCTTCCCACTCTTGAAATCTCTGTTGGATTCTAATTCAGCGAATTATCCTTGCTTTGGATAATTAAAATCCTGATATGATCATCACCGCCTTACCTGATCTGATGTCGTACCTAATTGAGAGCGCTAAATACGGGACGGCACGAGACAGTTTATCCACATGGGGTAAAGATGTGCAGAGCTAGCAAAGCTGAAAAGTTTGTAGATGGTGCCGACCGAAAACGGTGGGCTTTTAGCTCCGCAGTACAACGCACCATCCATATCCTTGTTTATGGAGACTGGCCGGTTGTCCGGAGGCGATGCCGGTTCATTAAACTTTAGGGAAATTATGGCAGGTGTCACTACTAGTCGAAGTCTCAACATAGTCCAAGACGAACAGAGTCAAGGTCCCGAGTGCCAAGAAGACTGCATCAAATCACATAATAGAAGCAGTTTTATCCTCCAGGGTGCTTGTTGCAACCCCGGACTTTACTTATTTCGCCTAAATACTATATTGCGTTTCTACAAAGCAAAGACTGAATTTTCAACGTCAAGGAAACATAGCATCGTAACCCAACCAGGAATGATCGCCTCACTAGTGTTTGCTAAGCGCTTTGGGTTGAGGTGATAACAGAGAGACAAGCCAGGATATAATCCTTCTTTACCCTTTCTTGATCCGTGCGTTTAGAGATCTAACCCTTATGTAGTATGACTCCGGAGATCCTGCTCTGTGACAAAGTGAGAGAAGAGATGAGCGCACTCTACGCAAAGACTGATGATATTTTCAAATGGAAACCCACTTATGCAGCCGAGCTAGGAGGCCTTCGTATTGATCACGAAGTTGGTATTATCAAATCATCGTGCTACAACCAGAATCCACTCAAATTTCGCAACCCTCAAGAACTCCGATAGGAGGTGGTCCCACTATGGAAGCCTTGCTAAACTCTATCACTTTTATTCTCCTGCGTAAGTGGCTTGAGTGATGTACCTTGGCGGAGCTTTGTCGCGGCTCCGCAACTGCATCTCAGAACATGAGTCATTAACGTAATGCCAAGAATCACAAAAGTAGGCTTTATTGACCTGCGCAACCCACGCAGAGCAGCTGAATAACCGTGCCACTACCAGATGTAACTGTATCGAAGCGACAAGAAAAACATGCTATGGCAACGTTTCCAACAACTCCACTATGGAATGCAGGTCAATCATGTTATATGATCCATAGACCGTTTTAGGTTCTGCGTCTAAGTGGCAACCGGATGGGCCTCACTTATGGACCAATCGTTGTCCAATGCCCAGTGCTCGCTAGAGGCAAGGGTATCACTTTCTCAGTTCATGGGTATGATATGATTCCAATAAGGATTCATCTGTTGGTTGCATTCAAGTGAAAAATCTGTTCTGCCACTGCTAGCCAGCCTAGCCAGCCACCAAATACTTGTTTTGTTGAGCCAACCCTTAGACATAGTATTGCCATAGGCTCACGATATTGTGACCATATATTGGCAAAGGACGTCATATCAATGTAAATCTCTAGGCAAAATAGGACAAAACGGTTTAGCTGCATTAAGAAACCCTGCCAAGGAAAGACGTTATGAAGTTGGGCAAACTGAATAGTTCCTAGAGAATGTCTCCGCAAGCTAGTAAGCGGCCTGCAAACTGATAGAAATTTCTTCAACCTTAATTCTATCACCGCGTATGCCCAACCCATGCTCATATAATAGTGCGTAACAGTGGTTGAATTTCATTATCGTGGAGACATATGGTGTAATATTGCAAAACTGGTGGCTGGATCCGAGCTGTAGGATGTTACGGGGGTGAAATATACACAACAAAAGCAATGAAGCCAACGTCCCCTGGTTGGTTCACACTTTTCGTCCCTGCTACTGTAGTACATGTAAAGGAGTGGATAAGGGGTGGAGAAACCTGTTGCCTCAGCGCAAAAGGAGGAGATATTCTTAGGAACTCTTGTAGTAAACCAAGGTCTTGTTTCCTCGGCTGATACGCCACGCGTGTAATGAAACTAGATGCAAGGTTCTGTCCAGCTGAAAGCCAAGGTAGGTACTCGGAGTGACCTCTTCCATTGCACCCTGGACTTGCACTCGAATCGTGATTCTTTCCCGTATGACCAGACATCTGTAGCAAGGATATATCCGGCTTGTCGTCCGTTCGAACTGCGTTCCGCCGCGTCTTTTTGCAAAGTACAACATCAAGTCGAACTGTATCACGCCAAAGAACACTTCGAGATTACTATTTTGTAATTTACTACTCGCAAAGAAATCCTTTATCATATTTCCCCTTAATACCCTGCACAATGGCCCCATCTACCTGTGGCTGTGTCGACTTTGAGAGCCAGGCATTACCAGATATGGAGCCAACCATTTTTACTGCATCTGAAATGGGTCAGGAAGATCAGTTCACCATCTCAAGCATTTCCAGCCGCCTGGTACACGATGTCAATGAAGATCTAACCAAGCCGTGCAACATGTTTTGCATGGCATGGGCGATCCTCCTGGAACGTTTCACTGGGCTCGACCGTGTGTGCTTCGGGTTCCAGAGTGAGCACATGATTACCGAAGAATCGGAAAAATGCACAGACGGTGTTACATCTGCAATGCAGGTGCAAGTCGCTGCCGATCAAAGTCTTGATGACATTCTTGCTGGAAACGGGTTCACCTCGGTGACGGTACCAGAGACCAAGGCCAAAACACTCTTCAACACCACACTTTCCATCTGTAACTTGGACAGCCAGTCTATATGTGAAAATGGAGCCTATAATATCTATTCATGGTGCAAGGTTCACATGTTGGTCGACCCTGCCACTATGAAAACCTTGTTGTCATGGGATCCTGCTTTCATGACAAAAGAACAGGCAGAGACCATTAGCAACACCTACAACAAGGTATTCCAGGAGATTGCTACACAAAAGAAAGTTGTTGTCTCCACTCTCAACTGCTGCAGTGAACAAGATGAGCTGAAGATCCTGTATTGGAACGGGTCTCCATTGAGCAATGTACAGAAATGTATTCATCAAGCTGTATCAGAACAGGGAGCGCTAAGACCAGACGCAGAGGCAGTCTGCGCTTGGGATGGGAGTTTTTCTTATTCTCAGCTATTGACTCTGTCAGACCGTCTCGCCTTTCACTTGCAACAGTTAGGTGTCGGCGCCGAGGTCTTCGTACCTATTTGCTTCGACAAATCTAAATGGACCGTTGTTGCCATGCTGGCCATTCTCAAAGCTGGTGGCATATTCGTACCACTTGATCCGACCCAGCCGTTGATGCGCTTGCAAGGTCTGGCACACAAGGTAGATGCAAAGACTATCTTGTGTTCACCCCAACACGAAGAAATGTTGGAGACCATAGCATCAAAGGTGATCCCTGTCGATGCTCAGCTATTCGAGAGACTCGCAGAACAGACAGGCGAAGTCGACTGTGGTTTATGGAGCTCCGGAGCCTACATGATCTTCACCTCTGGAACCACTGGGGAGCCCAAGGGTGCCTTGATACAGCATGGTGCTTTGCTATCAAGCGCTCTTGCCCACGGGCCTGCGATGATGATGGACAGCAACACACGATCACTTCATTTCGCTGCATCGACCTTTGATGTGAGTATTACTGAGATCTTGACTTGCTTGATCCTGGGTGGTTGTGTTTGTATACCCAGCGAAGAGGCCCGCCTAAATGCCATTGAGGAAGCTATTACTCAGCTTCGAGTCAACTGGGCGCTATTGACACCGACGTTTGTCAAATTCATCAACCCTGTCAATGTCCCATCGTTGAAGACTCTTGTCACTGGTGGAGAAGCCATGACACAAGCTGTCATTCGATCATGGTCTCATATCAATCTGATCAACTGCTATGGCCCTGCAGAAACATCTGTTGTCTCACATGTTCATCGAGGAATGAGAGAAGGCAAGAACCCATTAAATATTGGTTATCAGGTCGGTATCCACTGCTGGATCGTTGATCGGTACAATCACAACCGTCTTATGCCAATCGGAGCTGTCGGCGAGCTCGTTATCGAAGGCCACACGCTTGCCCGGGAATACTACAAAGAGCCCGAGAAGACAAGTGAGGCATTCATTGTTGATCCTGAATGGACACTCAACCAGCCGCACCGTGGCAACCTGAGAAGAATGTACAAGACAGGTGACCTCGTCAGATATAATTCCGACGGCTCTTTTCACATTGCTGGACGAAAGGATTCACAGATCAAGTTTCATGGACAGCGAATTGAACTGGGCGAGATCGAGTACCACCTTAACGTCGGTATCGGTATCAAGCATGGCATGGTTGTTCTTCCCAAGGCAGGGTTCTGTGAAGGGAGACTACTTGCCATTGTTCAGCTAAATGATGCATTGGGCAACGATCTAGTACCAAACGGTCAGCCTTACAAGCTGGTTGATGGTCCCCTAGAACAGGTCGCACTTGCCAAAGTTGAAGAGACCAAGCAACTCCTCGCCAAAAGGCTGCCTTCATACATGATTCCTTCCACATGGCTTGCGGTTGAGTTCATTCCTCGCCTACAATCAGGAAAGCTCGACCGCAGGAAGACAGGGAAGTGGTTGGAGGACATGACCGAGGCTATCTACAGGAAACTCAACCCTGTAGCCATCGGTGACCTCCCGGAGACTTTGGCATTCTCCAACGAGACTGAGTCCCAGTTACACAACATCTGGGCTCATGTTCTCAATCTCAAAACAGAACAGCTTGGCCTCAGCCAGTCCTTCCTGAGTGTCGGTGGCGACTCTATCTCAGCAATGCAGGTTATGAGCGAGTGCAAGAAACGCGGCTTGGGATTGACTGTCTCTCACATCATCAGTTCCAAGTCCATCAGCGCCCTTGCTAGACATGTGAAGGATATTGAGAAGCCACAGCTACTCCAAGAGACCACTGAAACGCTCTTTGAGCTGTCGCCTATTCAGAAGCTCTATTTCTCAAGATCGAATCATGAGCAGGGCCACTACAACCAAAGCTTCCTTCTTCGCATGAGTCGGCATGTCGACGAACCCGCTATGCGCAGAGCTATTGAAGCTACCATACGGAGACACTCAATGCTTCGCGCTAGATTCAGCCAAGACTCTAGTGGCATCTGGCAGCAGAGAGTCACCGACGCCGTTGAGAGCTCCTTCCGGTTGCGATCCGTTCAATTGACCTCAAAGGAACAGCTTTGTGATGCACTTGTCGACAGCCAGACATGTCTTGACCATTCCAACGGCCTACTTCTCGCCGCCGACCTTATCAATGAAGAGGGCCAAGACCAACGTCTGTTCGTTGTCGCTCATCATCTAGTCATAGACCTTGTCTCTTGGAGGATTATCTTTCAAGAGTTAGAGGAGCTATTACTGCGACCTGAACTGAGTCCCGATATGGATAGACCCTTGCCTTTCCAGGCTTGGTGTAAGATGCAACAAGAGCATGCTAGTGCTCAGGCACCGGAGCGAGCACTTCCAATCCATGGAATCCCTGATGGGGACTCTGCCTATTGGGGAATGGAGGATACACCCAACGTTTATGGTCAGATGGTCTATGAAGGATTCGAAGTTGGATCTGCACAGACGTCTCTGTTATTATCAAAGTGCCATGATGCCTTGCGCACTGAGATCCCGGATGTTCTCATGGCGGCTATGGTCTACTCCTTTGGTCAGACATTCACTGACCGTCAAATTCCGGCAATCTTTGCTGAAGGGCATGGCCGAGAGCCTTGGGACCCATCCATTGACTTGTCCAACGTGGTTGGATGGTTCACAACCATTTACCCGGTCTTTGCTGGCTCTAAAGCATCTTCAACTCTTATCGACACCGTCAAAATGGTAAAGGATGGTCGACGTAAGATCCCTGATAGCGGAAGGCCTTACTTTGCTAGCCGCTGGTTGACACAGGACGGTGAGAGCGCTTTCTCTCGTCACTGGCCACTGGAGATCACGTTCAATTACCTTGGTCAATATCAGCAACTAGAACGTGAGGGTGCTCTGTTTACACCCATCGGAGATATCGCAGGAGAAGTCAGAAGTGCTACCGATGGCGCTGACGTAGGCTCTTCAACGACTTGCATTTCTCTCTTTGAGGTTTCCGCCGTCATCACAAGGGGAACGCTACGATTCTCATTTTTGTTCAACCGCAACATGAAGCACCAATCCAAGATTCGAAAGTGGATTGCTTCGTGCGAACAGAATATTGGCCTTCTGGTCGAGTCCCTAGCTATCATGCCACCAGAGCCAACATTGAGCGACTTTCCACTCGTATCCCTGACCTACGACCGCCTTCGCCTGTTGACACAAGAGAAGCTTCCTGAGGTTGATATTGAAGACATCAGCAAGGTCGAGGATATTTACCCTTGTTCACCAATGCAATCAGGGCTCTTGGTTAGCACGACAAAGGACAGCGCCGCATATGCTGCTTACACACTCCATGAAGTTAAGAGCAGGAGTGGCGGATCAGTCGATGTTATGAAGCTTGCCAATGCCTGGAAGCGTATGGTAGACTACCATCCTATGTTGAGAACAGTCTTCGTGGAGAGTGTGACTCTTGACGATTCTCTATTTGACCAAGTAGTTCTGAGAGAAGTTCAAGTCCCTCTCGTCATGTCCGAATCTGAGACAGATGATGAGGCGATCAGTACTCTGGACATGCCGCGACACCACAATGATTATTCTCAGCTACTACATGTGTTTGAGATTTGTAAGTCCAAGACGGGCAAGGTCTTTTGCAAGTTAGACATTAGTCATGTCATCATGGATGGGACTTCTCTATCTATTCTCTTTCGCGACCTCTCACTGGCCTACGCTGGCATACTTGGGTCTGACAAAGGTCCTCCCTACATTGAATACATCAGAAGCCTCCAATACCAGGATCTCCAGCATGGAATAGAGTATTGGAAGTCATATCTGATGGATATAGAACCTTGCCATTTCCCCGTTCTTGATGATGGTGAAGTGGCCGAGTCGAGGGAGATGAGGTACTCCAGAGTTCAGTTTGACGAGCTAGCCCAGCTACAGAGCTTGTGTGACGATCGGGGAGTTACCATCGTGAACGCCATCTATGCTGCTTGGGCGTTGGTACTGCGTCTGTACACTGCGTCAGAGGAAGTCTGTTTCGGCTATCTCACATCCGCTCGCGACTTGCCAATTCAGGGCATCGAGGATGTTGTTGGGCCTGTTATCAACATGGTTACATGCCGTGCCAACATTTCCAATTCGACAACTCTAGGTGATGTGATGGCTATCGTACAGAAGGACTTCCTGAACAGTCTGGAGTATCGCCACATTCCGCTTGCCCAAGTTCAACATGCCCTGAAGCTATCCGATACTGCTCTGTTCAACACGGCGTTATCGTACAGAAAGCTTCCACCCGCACTGAAGAATGCCCCAGATGTTGTGTTTGAAGAAGTTCGTCCGACTTATGATCCTGACGAGTACGATGTGTCTATCAACATTGAGGCTGGCGAGAACGACATGGCTGTTGACTTGATGTACTGGTCGGATACAATGTCAGACGGACAAGCTAAAAATGTTGCGAGCGCCTTTACCACGGCGCTCAGTAATATCCTGCACTATAGCGACCAACCGATTACCCAGCTCAACCACCTTGGTCCTCAACACCATCATCAAATCTCGCAGTGGAATCATATTATTCCTGAGGCTGCTGAAAGCTGCGTGCATGATCTGTTTAAAGAGCAGATGATCATTCGCCCTGAGGCTCCTGCAATTGCTTCATGGGACGCCGACTTTACCTATGCAGAGCTTGATACCGCCTCTACCAAGCTAGCTCATCATATCGCTGACCTGGGCGTTGGTTTGGAGAAATGTGTGCTGGTCTGTTTTGACAAATCAGCTTTTACAGTCGTCGCTATGTTGGCTGTTCTGAAGGCAGGTGGTGTGTGTGTTCCTCTAGATCCAGCCCACCCAGACGCCGCGATCAGACTACGCGCTGAGGATACAAACGCCTCAATTGCCGTTGTGTCCTCCTCAATGGCGTCTAGACTCAGTAATATAGTCGAGACGACAGTAATAGTGGACGCACACCTCCTCCAAACCATCTCAAAGACTACAATTCTCCCCCAGACTTATCCCCACAACGCGTGCTTCGTCATATACACTTCTGGAAGCACTGGCCGACCCAAGGGCGTTGTCTTGGAGCACAGAGGAATTGCCACTAATGCGAAGTACTCTGGACCAAAGCTTGGCTACAGCAAGGAATCAAGGGTGCTTCAATTCGCCTCTTATACTTTTGACAACAGTCTCTCTGAGATATTCACTACACTTGCTCTTGGAGGTTGCGTATGCGTGCCTTCAGAACACGAGAGATTCCATGACCTGGCTGGTGCCATCAACCGCTACAAGGTGACACTGGCTGACATCACCCCGACCGTTGCCTGTTTGATCAACCCGTTGGACGTTCCAACTTTGAAGACTTTGGCCCTGGGCGGCGAGGCCGTGACTCAGAAGTGTGTTGAGATATGGCGCGACTTCGTGTCTCTACAGTGTTGTTATGGACCATCCGAGTGCTCTGTCAACTCTACCCACTCTGGTGAAATCGCTCAACCGGGCAAGGCTACTAACATTGGTCGTGCTGTCGGCAGTGTCACTTGGATAGTCGACAGTACTGATCACAATAGCCTGGTACCGATTGGCTGCATTGGGGAGCTCCTCGTAGACGGTCCCATTGTCTCTCGTGGCTACCTCAATCTGCCGGAGAGGATGGCACAGTCTTTTGTGGCACCATCCTCTATCATTGGAGATGTCTGTCGCGATGGTAACTTGACTCGCAAGCTTTACAAGACTGGTGATCTAGTGCGCTATAACTCCGATGGCACACTTACATACCTCGGACGCAAGGATACCCAGGTGAAGCTTCATGGTCAGCGTATCGAACTGGAGGAGATTGAGCATCACCTTGAGAAAAGCCTCCCCCAGCACTGGACGTCTGCCGTCGAGCTCATCCAGTTTGAAGGCAAAAAATCTCTTGCCAGTTTTATCTGCGCTGACTCAGGTGCCATTCTAAATGACGGGACCGAAGGAAGCAGCGTATTGGCCATGGATGATTCTTTCAGATCGCTGGCCAAAGAATTGGAGATCAGCCTCTCGAATAGTATTCCTGCCTACATGATACCTTCTATCTGGTTTCCAGTTTCACAGATGCCCTTGACCTCGTCAGGAAAGTTGGACCGCCGAAGCCTTCGATCCCTAGTTCAATCAGTGCCTGCAGCACATATGACCTCTTACAAGTTGGCATTGAAGAGCGGAAGAGCCCCGTCCAGCGACATGGAGAAGCAATTGGCTGATATGTGGGCTCAAGTGCTAAACTTGGATGCGAACACTATTGGAGTTGAGGATCACTTCTTCAGGCTTGGGGGAGACTCTATCGCCGCGATGCAGTTGGTGACGCTTGCGAGAAAGTCAAACATCAATCTCACTGTCACTGGTGTCTTCCAGAAAGTATCTCTGCAAGACATGGCTCAATCGGCACTCCCATTATCCAGAGCTGCAGTCACAGCCGTCAAGCCGTTTTCGCTATTATCCAACGTGGCCTCAATGGATGCATTGGAAGAGGAGATCGGAGCTGCGGCTCGAATCAATGCCGGGGATGTACAAGACATTTACCCTTGTACTCCTATCCAAGAGGGTCTCATGGCTCTGTCAGCCAAGGACCCTGGAGCGTACGTCGCCCAATTTGTCTTCCAAATGCCGGATGGTACAGACATCGACATCTTCAAGACGGCATGGCGGCTCGTGATAGAAGCCGAAGGAAGTCTTCGGACCAGACTTGTACAGACGACCAACAACGGTATCTTGAATGTGGTCATGAAAGAGGATGTCCCTCAATGGAACACCTTTGGCAACCTCTTGGATGCCCAAGCTCTTCGATCCCAGCTTCTGTCGAGTAACGGCGGAAAGCTGACTGACTACGGAATTGTTGAAGATCAATCTGGTGTCTTATTCGTGTGGACTATTCATCATGCTCTCTACGATGGCTGGTGTCTGCCTCTTATCTTGGACAAGGTCAAGCAATGCTACGAGAACATCCAACAACCCGCACCTGAACCCATCGGCAGCGGCCCTAGCTACTCCAGGTTCATTCGGTATCTTACCGAGATTGACTCTAGCCAAGATGTCAAGTTCTGGGAGTCCTATCTCGCTGATATCGCTACACAACACTTTCCTCGCCTTTCTAATCCCGACTATAAGTCGAATGCGAGTGGTCTCATTATTCACAAGACTAGTTTCGACCATCACAACGATGGTATGAAGACTTCTGGATTGGGAATAACCACAGCCACAATGATCAGGTCGGCCTGGGCATTGGCAGTGTCGACCTATGCAGGATCAGACGATGTCATCTTTTGGGAAACCATGACAGGCCGTGATGCTCCCGTCGACGGTATTGAGGAGATGATAGGCGCCACACTGGCTACTGTTCCGACACGTATAATACTCGACCGCTCACAAAAGGTCTCTGACCTTCTCAGCTCCGTCCAAGCCCAGTCTGCAGTGGTCAGAACGCACCAATTTACAGGCATTCATCGTATCAAACGTATCAACAGTGATACTGCATTTGCTTGTGGCGCACAGAACCTTTTGGCCATCAACTATGGACCACGGAAGTCGACAGACGCATTTTGGTGTGACCAGACGAACGAGATGGCCGGGACCAACTTTTACTCTTACCCACTAATGCTGTCTTGTCACGTCGCAGATGGCGAGCTTGAGACTGTTGTTCATTTTGACCCCGAAGTTATTTGCGAGTCACAAATGCATCGCATCATGGATCAGTTCGCACTGATGTTGACAACGGTTACGTCCAGAGAGCTGATGGATAGGGAACTGAATGACCTCGAACTCATCAGTACACGGGATTACCAGTCGCTTTCTGAGATAAATAGTCAAGTGGTACCTGCATCCGAAACGCTTGTACACGATGTTATCAGAGCGACAGGAATACTACAATCGCAAGATAAGGTGGCCGTCTGCGCGTCGGATCAGAACCTTACGTACTCGGATCTGGATTCTCAATCGACACATCTCTCATCTGTCCTGATTGAAGCTGGCATTCGACCCAACACATTCGTTCCTTTCTGCATGGAGAAGTCATCTATGGTCGTTGTATCAATTCTAGCCATCTTGAAGTCCGGTGCTGCATTCGTGCCCTTGGACTATGCTCACCCTGACGCCCGTATCAGTGGCATCCTTACTGACGTCGAGGCCACAATTGTCCTAGCATCCCCTCAGTACGCCGAACGCCTGACCAGGCTAGGCCAGAAGGTCATCTCTGTATCCAAAGCTATGATGCAGGAGTCGGTACTACCACAGGGACATGACTTTTCTGTGTCTCCCGAGTCTCCAGCCTATTGCATTTTTACATCTGGCACGACTGGACGGCCCAAGGGGACGATCATCAATCACTCTGCCTTCTGCACTGGAGCGATGGCCCATGGAAACGCTATGGGAATGACTGAAACATCTAGAGTGTTGCAATTTGCTGCGCATACATTCGATGCAAGCATAATGGAAACTCTCAGTACCCTAATTCACGGTGGAACTGTTTGCGTACCTTCTGAGGAAGAACGTAGCAACGATATCGCAGGGTTTATTCGTCGCATGCGGGTCAATTGGGCTCTGTTGACACCCTCTGTAGCTCAGCTGATTGAGCCATATACTGTTCCTGAGCTCAAGACGCTGGTGCTTGGAGGTGAGGCTATGTCTCGTGTCCATATATCAACCTGGGCACCATTTGTCCACTTGATGAACGCCTATGGACCTAGTGAGACTTCAGTTGTCGCAACAGTTAACTCGAGCGTTGGGCAAGACTCTAGCCCAGCCAATATTGGTCGTGCTGTGGGAGGTCTTTGTTGGGTCGTCGACTCTACCAACCACGACAGACTTGTACCTATTGGCGTCGTTGGAGAACTTTTGGTGGAAGGGCCAATTCTCGCTCAAGGGTATCTCAAGAATCCGCAGAAGAATGCAGAGTCTTTTATCACCAACCCGCGATGGTGTGGCAAGTTTCCCAGTGAGACTGCAAGCGACAAGCGCAGATTCTACAGAACCGGTGATCTTGCCAAAATCAACAGAGATGGTTCTCTCGAGTTTCAAGGGCGAAAGGACAATCAAGTCAAGATTAACGGCCAAAGACTTGAGTTGTCGGAGATTGAACATCACCTGAGCGCAGACACGGCTGTTCAATCTTGTTTGGCATTTATCCCGAAGAGTGGACAGCTCAAACACCGCTTAGTCGCAATGCTTTCGCTGCACTCTACATTCAATTCAACAGCAGCTGATGAGATGCAACTTGTGATTGACTTTACGCCTTCTGAATTGACAGGTGTGCGTGACAGTCTCACCGGACATTTGGCCGCTTACATGATCCCATCTACGTGGATCATCGTCAATCACATTCCTCTCTTGCCATCTGGAAAGCTTGACCGGAGAAAGGCTGTTGACTGGGTTGAGGCACTGTCCCCCGAACAATACCAGATGGCTCTCTGTGCGCAAGAAGAGACCCAAGCATCTGGTCTAGACCGAGAAGCTACAACCATCGAGACTAAGCTTAGGGCTGCCTGGGCTAGGGTCTTAGGCATTGAGGTCGATAGCGTGTCATTTGCGCGATCATTCATTCAATCGGGAGGAGACTCAATCTCGGCGATGCAGCTGGTGGCGGTCTGCAGGTCTTCCAACATGTCGCTCTCAGTCAGCCAAATCATGCAAAGCAAGTCCATCATTGAGCTCGCATCGTTTGTTCAGGCTGTAGAGGATGTGAAACATGAGGATGAAGAAGAAGAAAATAAATCATTCCCTCTATCGCCCATCCAGAAGCTTTACTTTGAGCTCATGTGCTCTGAGTCTACTCGCTTCAACCAGAGCATGGTTCTGGAGACCACGCGGAAAGTCACACCTCATGATTTGTCGAATGCCTTGGAAACCATCGTCAAAACCCACAGCATGTTACGTGCTCGCTTCGCTGATACTGATGGGGTCTATTCTCAGCGTATAACTACCGACATTGACGGTTCCTATGCTTTCGAATCGCATGTGGGTGTGCATCAATGTCGCGCTTCTGAGTTGATTGAGAAGACTCAGACATCTTTGAACATCGTTGACGGACCATTACTCGCAGCGGCGAACATCGAGATAGAGGACTCCGACAAGCAAATCGTCTTTTTAGCAGCCCACCACCTTGTTGTTGATGTCGTCTCTTGGAACATTATTTTGCAAGATCTGGAAGGGTTGTTATCATCATCAGTCGCCAGTTTAGCCAAACCACTTTCGTTCCAGACATGGAACTTATTACAGCTCGAAGAAATCAGCAACGAAACACTAGATCGTGTTTTCCACGACGTTCCCATACCTGCGCAAGATCTCACCTACTGGGAAATGCAAGATGTGCCTAACCTCCATGGCGACACAATTACGGAGACAACAGAAATAGCTTCTGATGTGTCGCTTCGACTATTGAGTTCTTGCCATGAAGCATTCAACACGGATATTGTCGATGTCCTACTTGGTTCTTTGCTATTGTCATTTTATGAATCATTTCCCGGCCGGCTTTCCATGCCAACTATATTCAATGAGGGCCACGGCAGAGAGCCGAGAGATAACAAGCTAGATCTGTCGCGTACCATAGGGTGGTTCACAACCCTTTGTCCCATCTATCTACCCGAGTCCTTACCCGCAGAGCCGGATATTCTTGATATCATTTGTTGGGTCAGAGACTTCAGACAGCGAATTCCTGGCAAGGGTCGCCCTTATTTTGCTCATCAGATGCTGTCTGAGGCAGGCCACAACCACTCTCCAGAATGGCCTTTGGAACTAGCTTTCAACTTTCTCGGTCAAAGGCAGAAGACCGAATTGGAAGGGTCAGTCTTCAAGTCGCCTGACGGCATACTCGAGTCAGCAGCTTCACAGACTGATATTGGAATCGATGTGCCACGACTCGCACTGATCGAGATATCTGCCTCGTTCTGTAGGGATGTCTTGAGTTTCAGCTTCTCTTATAACAGAAAAATGAAACATCAGCATTGTGTTCCAGAGTGGATCGAGAATTTCTCGGACTCTCTCCAGACCGCTGTCGAGCGAATGTCCCAGGTCAAACCTGAACTTCGAGATCCCGACATCTCTCTCCTTCCGCTTGCATTCAGAGGTGCTTTCAAGGTCGACGCAAGACTTGCCGAGAAGGGTCTCTCTTTTAGGGGCGACGTCGAAGCTGTCTATCCTTGCTCTCCAGTTCAGATGGGTATTCTCTTTGCCCAGATCAGAAATCCCAAGTTCTATTCGTACTCCGTCACATTTGGGATTGACTGCGTCGAGCCAAGTCATTCTGTAGACGTGCATCGCCTTGCAGATGCATGGCAACGAGTTGTTCAGCGTCATTCAACTCTCCGAACTATTTTTGTTGACTCTCTATTGGAGGAGGGCGGCATCAACCAAGTAGTTCTGCGCAACCATTGCGCTGAAGTTTCCGTATTCGAATGCGCCGACGACGAGCGACTTCAAATGATGACTGAGCGCTTTTCACCAGAAATCATGAGTAGTAGGCCGCCTCACCATCTCAGCATCTTCAATAGCACAGAAGGAAAGGTTACCTGCCTTTTGGAGATGAGCCACGCCTTATCTGATGGAACGTCTATGCCAATTCTGTTCCGCGACCTGGCAAAGGCTTACGACGGATCTTTGGACTCGATAATTGTTTCGACCTACAGAGATTATGTCTCTCATCTACAAGTTCAGGGCCCTCATGACATCGAATACTGGCGTGAGTACTTGAATGATGTCGAACCATGCCACTTGCTGTCAGTGTCGAAACCCACACTCCCCAAGGTCTTGAGATATCTGGACCAGACCATCTCACATCCAGAAGACCTACAGGCATTCTGTACTGAGACAGGTGTCACATTATCCAACGTTCTACAGCTCACCTGGGCGTTGGTTCTGCAAGCCTATACAGGTCATGACGATGTCTGCTTCGGATATCTCGCTGCGGATAGAGATGTCCCTGTTCCAAATATCGACAACGCGATTGGAGTTTTTATCAACATGCTGGTTCTTCGAGTGCGCCTTGATGCGTCTAAAACAGTTGGAGACGCCCTTAGCATGGTTCAACGAGACCTTAGCGCTGCGATGGCACATAGAAATGTCTCACTTGCCGACATACAACGTGTGGCAGACTTACCCAACGAACCACTTTTCAACACTGCGTACTCCTTCCAACGAAGGTCCGTCGACAAGTCCATGCAAACCGGATCTGTCTCCTTTGACGTCAAGGACGCGCAGGACCCTAATGAGTATGACTTGACTGTCAACGTTGAAGTCTGGGAACAAACTGCAGAACTCCAACTATGTTACTGGACAGACAAAATATCTGATTCACAAGCCAGGAGCCTTGCCTCTACGTTTGACAAGGTCCTGACTTCAATCATCACGTGCGACTTATCGCTTCCTACCGATCAGCTCGATATTCTCAGTGACGACTGCATGCAACAATTGATGGGTTGGAACAACACCCAACCAGCGCTATTGGACCAATGCGTTCATCATGTATTCGAGCGAAATGTCCAGCGCCTTGCCCATGATACCACGGCCGTCGAAGCCTGGGATGCAATATTTACTTACAGTGAGGTTGATGTGGTATCTTCGCGACTGGCCCATCATTTAGTATCTCTTGGGGTCGTGCCAGAGATGTATGTGCCTCTCTGTTTCGAAAAGTCTGCATGGACACCAATCGCCATGCTTGCAGTTCTCAAGGCTGGCGCTGCCTTTGTTCCAATTGATCCCAATCACCCGCCTGAGCGAATCGAGTTCCTCGTCCGAAACATCAACGCTAAACTCATCCTATGCTCAAAATCCTTGGTGCACAAGTTCGACATGGACGTACCGATCCTTCCCATCAGTTTCGAGACTAGTTTTGAACTATCTTCCTTGCCAGCAACTCCGCCCTCTATCCCAGTTCAACCCGACAACGCGGCATACATTATCTTCACATCGGGGACGACCGGGGTACCCAAGGGCACTATCATTGATCATGGGGCCTTTACTACGGGAGGAACTGCTCATGCAGCAGCTATTAAAATGACGTCCGACTCTCGAGTCCTCCAATTTGCGTCGCACACGTTTGATGCCAGTATCATGGAGATTTTGACCACCTTTCTGGTAGGCGGATGTGTATGCATTCCTTCCGAGGAAGAGCGTATGAATGACCTAGCGGGTGCCATCTCGAAATATGATGTCAACTGGGCCTTACTTACACCATCTGTGGCAAAAGTTCTCAAGCCAGGTAGCGTTCCAGGCCTCAAAGTTCTTGTTACTGGCGGTGAAGCAATGACAACAGATCACATCACTAAGTGGTCAAGACACGCTGCGCTTATCAATGCCTATGGACCAAGCGAGGCTTCGGTCATCGCTGCATCCCACATAAAGGTTGACCAGCATGGAGAAGTCTTGAACGAAGAACCTGCCAACATCGGTCACGCTGTCGGCTGTCGAGTCTGGGTAGTCGATTCCCATAACCATAACCGCCTCATGCCTATTGGAAGTATTGGGGAGCTTCTTGTAGAAGGCCCTATTGTGGCACGGGGCTATCTGAGTAACGAAGTCAAGACAAGAGATGCTTTCATTGACTATCCGCCATGGCGTGCAAACATGAAGCTCTGTGGCGACCGGGTGGACCGGATGTACAAGACTGGCGATTTGGTCGCGTATAACTGGGACGGTTCTTTGAACTATTTCTCGCGCAAGGACACACAGATCAAGCTCAACGGACAACGCATTGAGCTTGGTGAGATCGAACACCATGTCAGGGCTAACTTGCCAACAAATGTTCAATCCGCTGTCGAACTGGTTATTCCTCAGGGCAGGACATCGACCAAGATGCTGGCCGCTTTCTTCACTATTGATGAGCATGTCAACGAGGAGGCTGTAAAGGAAGCGAACGACCCTCTCTTACCTATGTCGAGTGCTTACATGGAGATTGGCCAGTCACTTAAAACGTCGATCAAGATTGCCCTTCCGTCGCACATGGTACCAGCTATGTATGTTCCAGTAGCCAGGATGCCTTGGACATCAGCTGGAAAACTGGATCGCCCGAAACTGAGGGCCATCGTCCAGTCCATACTACCAAAGGATATTGGGTACTACAAGCTGGTTGGGGCTAGTAACAGCCGAGTTCCGACTACTGCGATACAGCGCAAGTTGCAGAAGATCTGGGCAAATATTTTGAACATCCCGACCAGCGCCATCAGTATTGATGACAGCTTTTTCAGACTTGGCGGTGATTCTATCAGCGCTATGAAGGTTGTGTCTGCCGCTAGGGTGGAGAATGTCTCCCTCACCGTTATGGACATACTCAAGAGCCCCACGTTGTCGGAGATGGCCGCGTGTTGTAGTCATTCTAAGCACACTACCATTGTGGATGTTGAGCCCTTTTCACTGTTGCCTGACGTCGAATCTCCCGCTTTGCTTCTCGATGAGATCGCCGAGTGTTGCGACATTCATACAAGTCAAATACAAGACTTGTACACTTGCAGTTCCCTCCAAGAAGGCCTCGTGGCAGCCTCAATGCAGCAAACCGGCGCCTACGTGGCCAGATACATCTTCAAGGTGCCATCGACTATCGACGTTGAGCGTCTCCAATTGGCATGGCAGAGGACTTCAGACCAAGTCGACATCTTGAGATCACGCATCGTAAACTCTCGATCCCTCAAGAGTTACCAAGTTATATTAGAACCCCATGCGATTGACTGGGAATACTATAGTAGCCTCGAAGTTGATGCTAGCCAGACCATGCCACTACCTGAACGAAACGGAGGGCGGTTGGCTAGGTATGCGATCGTTGGTTCTTCCGATTCTGACCTTCGTTACTTTGTATGGACAGTACACCACGCCCTTTACGATGCCTGGAGTATGCCATCTTTACTCAAGCTTGTTTCCCAGTTCTACCAAGAAGCGAGTAAGGAACAGCTCGTACCAGTTGTTCCATACGCCAACTTCGCCAGATACTTGATTGGCACCAATGCACAAGCTTCTGATGAGTTCTGGAGGGCAACGTTCCAAAACGCGTCAACCGTGTCTCACTTCCCGACCATCACTCCATCAGACGCTGAGTCATCCCATTCGTCGCTTCAATATACAATTCAGTGCAGAAAGGATGACATTGGCGCTGGTATTACTATCCCAACCATCATTCGTGGAGCTTGGGCGCTGCTTCTGGGAGCTCATACTGGGTCTGATGATGTTGCCTTCGGTGAGACATTGTCTGGTCGTGACATTGCTTTGGAGCATGTTGAAGATATCCTCGGCCCAACTCTTACGACAGTGCCCCGAAGGGTCCAAATTGATCGAGGTACCACAGTTGGCCACTTCCTGGACACCATTCATAAGAATTCAGTCGAAGTTATCCCCTACCAGCATGCCGGTCTTCAGCACATCAAGCGTCTCGGGGGATCAATTGCGGTTGCTAGCGACTTCAGAAACCTGCTTGTTATCCAGTCCAGCGATGAAGTAGCAGAACAACAAGACCTTCTACAGCCGCTCGATGAACAAGTGAACCACAAAAACTTCTTCACTTATCCACTGGTTGTTGAGTGCTCAGTTGAACTGAACAATTTGGTGCTGACCATTCACCACAACGAGACCGTCATGACAAGCTGGCGGGCAGAGCGTCTTGCTCACCAATTTGACGTGCTTGTTAAACAGCTCAGCCATCTATCCCAGGAGCCGAATCATAAGTTGGCTGAGATTCAGTTCTGCGACGAAGAGGATCTCCAGATAATCAAGGGCTGGAACAAGGGAACTCGAGATATTGCACATGATAGCATCTCCAGCCTTTTCTGGCAGGCAGTAGCTGCGCGCCATGATGCTACCGCTATCCGGGCTTGGGATGGTCATCTCACCTACGGTTCCTTAGCACAGCACGCTGGACGTCTTGCCAGGCGTCTTGTGCAGGAGGGCATCAGGCCCGAAACAATGGTACCCTGCTGTATGGACAAGTCTCTCTGGACTACCGTGGCGATGGTTGCTGTGATTCTTGCTGGTGGTGCCATTATCCCGTTGGATCCCGCTCATCCTCGTGCTCGACATGCAGAGATTGCCCGAGAATGCAAGGCCAACATTGCTCTATGTTCGCCACAGTACCAAGACCGATTTGGAGACGTTGCTAATACTGTTATTGCGGTCGACCAAGAGCTTTTCCATAAAGAGATTTGTCAAGAGCATGTCATTCCTGAAGACCTACCAACTGTGACAGAAAAGAACGCAGCCTTCGTTATTTACACTTCCGGCAGTACTGGTAAGGCAAAGGGTGTTGTCATTGAGCATGGCTCATTTGTGGCTAGTTCCAGAGCCTACACAGAACGCATGCATCTCGTGACTACCTCGAGAGTCTTCCACTTTACGTCATACGCTTTCGACATCGCTATGGGAGAGACATTTAGCACGCTCATTACGGGTGCATGTCTCTGTGTTCCCAGTGAAGAAATGAGGGTTACCGATTTGCCGGGTGCCATGAATACTCTCGAGGCTACGTGGGCCTTTCTGACCCCCTCACTGGCCAACATGCAGGATCCCTCCATGTTCAAGACCCTCCAAACACTTGTCTGTGGAGGTGAAGCCATGACATCAGAAACTATCAGCAAGTGGTCGCACAAGGTCAAGTTGATCAATGGCTATGGACCTGCTGAATGTACAGTGTATGCTGTCGCCAATTCCAATGTCGCTGAAGATCAAGATCCCTCCAACATCGGCCATGCTACGCAAGGTTGTCACACTTGGATCGTTGATACCAGAGATCACAATCAGCTTGTTCCTGTGGGTTGTGAAGGTGAACTGCTCATTAGTGGTCCCATCCTGTCTCGAGGTTACCTTAATGACAGCACAAAGACATCACAACTATTCATCGAAGAGCCGACATGGATGCATCACTTTGTCGACGAGAAGCACGAACGGCCAGTTCGTCTGTACAAGACAGGCGACATGGTCAGGTATCGACCAGATGGCGGTTTGACCTTTATTGGCCGCAAGGACAATCAGGTGAAGCTTCACGGTCAGCGCATGGAACTAGGCGAGATCGAAGCGTGTCTTGAGTCTGACTCACGGCTTCGCAATGCTCTGGTCGCACTACCGAAGTCTGGAATCTTCAAAGGCCGACTGGTGGCCGTTCTCTCATTCAAGAACCCCGACTGTCACAATCCGGGACTTGTTTCTTCACAATTTAGTCCAATTTCTGATTCTGCCATGGAGGTAGCTCGACTCAATATTCCTGACTTGCAGCACATTCTATCCGAGAACCTACCGCCTTACATGATGCCTTCGTCATGGCTCGTGGTTGATGCTATTCCCTTGTTGCTATCAGGGAAGCTTGACAGGACCAGTACTCAGGCATGGCTCGCTGAAATGGATACGGAAATGCCCGAATTTATTCTCACTCAACCAGACAGCCAGACTGCTGTCGATTCCGACACGACACTGGTTTGTCAACTTCTGAGACGCATCTGGGCCTCAGTTCTCCGCATTCCGCACGAAGCTACACTACCGAATCGCTCATTCATTTCCCTAGGTGGAGACTCCATCATGGCCATGCAAGTCATGTCTCGTTGTCGCGATCACTCCATTCAATTGACCATGCGAGACATCATGAGTGGCAAATCCATCATCGACTTAGTTGCCCTCATTGAGAAGGAAGATCGCGGGAGGCAGAATGGCATTCCCGACTATGAAGATGACAACAGTCAACCATTTGCGTTGTCACCGATCCAACAGCTATTCTTTAACAACAGTTCCAACAAGGACCGTGGAGACCGTTTCAACCAAAGCCAGCTCTTTTCGGTCAAGAAGTCCATTGAAGCATGTAATATCGCCAATGCCATTCATTCATTAGTGCAGAGACACCCAATGCTTCGTGCGCGATTCAGCAAGTCTGCGACTATTGGCCAGTGGTCTCAGCACATTGCCCCGGATACTGAAGATTCTTACAGTTTTCATTTCCACGAGGTCAGCGATGCCTCCCAAATCGCCCAATACATCGCTACCAGCCAAGAGAGTATCAATATCTCCGGTCCAGTATTTATTGTTGACCTGTTCAGAATGCCCGATGGCTTTCAACATGTCTCCATGATCGCTCACCATCTCGTTGTTGACGTCGTTTCCTGGATCAACATCGCTCAAGACCTCGAGACATTGCTTTCATCTTCAAGTTCAATGTCACCAAGGCCTCTATCGTTCCGAAGGTGGAATGCAGCACAGATTGAGCATGCCATATCAATGCAGAAGGGAAGCGAGGATCTACTGCCATTCACTTTGCGACCTGCAAATCTAGACTTCTGGGGTGTTTCAGACATCTCTAACAGCTATTCACAGGCCACTCAGCAATCATTTACTATCTCGGACACCGACACTGTCTCTCTTCTGTTAGAAGACGCACATCGAACACTCAGAACCGAACCTCTGGATCTTTTTATCTCAGCTCTGTTTATGTCATTTGGACAGTGCTTCCCAGACCGTGAGCTTCCAACATTGTTCAATGAAAGCCATGGCCGTGAACCGTGGGATGACTCGATTGACCTTTCCCAAACTGTCGGATGGTTCACCTCACTTTGTCCTATCGATGTATCACATCACAACGTCGACCCTACCGACACTATTGACTTTGTTCGTAAAGTCAAAGACTCGAGACGTGCCATACCCGACAACGGCCGCCCTTACTTCGCTCAACGTTATCTAGCCAATTCCACGAAACCGTCTCCAGACAGTCAGAAGCCAATGGAGATACTATTGAACTTTCTAGGCCGGTCGCAACAAATGGACGGGGACGAATCTCTTCTACGCCCGTTCAACCTCTCCATGAGCGAGGAAGAAATGGAATCTATGTCAGATGTTGGTCCTGAAACACGTCGCCTAGCTCTATTTGAGCTCTCCATTTCTATTCTCAGTGACGGCATTCATTTCAACTTCATGTACAACAAGAACATGCTACACCAAGATCTCATCAAGCAGTGGGTGACCACCTGCAAGGAGGTTCTCAGCGACATGGCAACAGAGCTCAGCGTCGCTCCATCCTGTCCCACTATCAGTGACTTTCCACTCATGTCCTTGGACTACACCAAACTTGACAGGCTGGTTGCCAAGTCTCTACCTACTGCTCATGTTCGTTTCGATGAGGTGGAAGACATGTATCCATGCTCACCTATGCAGATGGGTATACTTCTAAGTCAGCTTCTAGATCCCTCTCAATACTTGTTCCACACCATCCTTGAAGTGTCTGCCTTTAACAGCTCAACCATCAATTCTACAAAGCTTGCTCAGGCCTGCTCGGAAGTCATTGAGCGTCACGCCGCACTTCGAACTGTCTTCATCGAGAGTGTTCGCAGTGGAGGTTCCTTTGATCAGGTCGTTATACGTCCGGGCAAGCCTCGAATTCACATCGTCAAATGTCGAGAGATTGATGTCATGGCAAAGTTGAACGCCAGGTCACTCGCAAAGACCAACAAGAGACACGGAACGCCCATTCTTCCCTATCAGATCACAATATGCGAAACGACGCACGGCAAAGTTTTCCTCAAGCTTGAAATGAATCACGCTGTAACGGACGGTGCGTCCACGGCAATCATCGTTCGCGACATCTCCAGCGCATACGCCAATAGCCTCCACCCCACCAAGCCTCCATCATACAAGGAATACATCAGTTACATCTCGAAACAACCGACTGATTCGAGTTTGATGTACTGGAAGAGCTATCTGTCTGGAGCCAGGTACACCGAATTCCCATCCATGAACTCGGATCACATGGCAGGTCGGAGTCTAGGCTCCATTGCCGTCGAGTTTGACAGATTCTCAGAACTTCACTCACTTGGATCGGATACTGGTGTGACAATCTCAAACATGATCATGGTGGCGTGGGGACTCGTCCTTCGTAAATACACCGGTTCCCAAGATGTCTGCTTTGGGTATCTAGCTTCTGGTCGCGATGCTGACATCGATGGTGTTGATGAGATCGTCGGGCCATTGATCAACATGCTTGTCTTCCGCTTCCAATTCACCCACGGAATGCTTCTCAAGAGACTCTTCCTCGACACGCAAGAGGATTACGCCAACAGTCTTCCACATCAGCATTTCTCTCTTGGTCGTGTTAGTCATGAACTAGGACAATCGAAACGAGGTTTCTTCAACACGGCAGTGTCCATTCAAAATTCCGGTTCTTCAGGACACTCAGAAATCAGTGCTCTACAGTTTGAATCCGTGGATGCCTTCGATCCAAGTGAATATGCTGTTACGCTCAACGCAAACACCACTCGCGACGATGAAGGGATCGTGTTCCGATATTGGACCAACATCCTTTCCAATGCACAAGCTAAAGACCTTGCCATCGTCATGTCTGAGGTACTGAGCGATATCATCGATCACGGTGAGGAAGCTTTGTCACATCTGCGGGTTTCACGAAATTCGGCAATGCCTATCAATACCGCAGGGGTACTAGATGGATGGACCTTCCAGCACAGCCATACGAGCCGACAGGTTCAAACACCCACATCGACAATGAGTAGCTATTCTACAGGACCTAGTGCCACACTTTTCTCGCCATCTACATCTTGGGGTTCGTTGCCCCGAGACAAGGATCAGCTCTATATGAAGCTATCCACATTGTGGGAGCATCACCTTGATGTTGCATCAACTGACATCACATACGAGATGAGCTTTTTCGAGTGCGGTGGTGACTCTATCATTGCCATGGCCATGGTGGGAGATGCTAGAGATCAAGATCTGCCACTCACCGTGGCTGACATCTTCAAAAACCCGACCTTTGGCTCCATGCTGAATTGTCTCAGAGACAAGTCCTACAGAGACGCAGACATGGTTTCAAGTGATGGGAACACATCACTTTTAAGCTCAAAGAAGGAAGCCATCGCGATGGATCAACATGTCTATGAACCACTCTCTCTTCTATTCCAACAGAACGCTGAGCAGTTCGTCCGAGAGCATGTTTGTCCCGTTGTTGGAGTTTCCCGAGCCAGCATCACAGATGTCCTACCAACAACCGACTTCCAGTCTCAAGCCGTTGAGGGAAGCCTTCTTGAATCACGATGGATGCTGAATCATTTCTTCCTCGACGGTGCAGGGTCACTTGACATTGGCCTTTTACAAGAGAGTATCACAAATGTCATTGCCGCCTACGACATATTGCGTACCGTCTTCGTTCCATACCAAGAAACCTACTTGCAGGTCGTCCTCCGCCACGTTCAGTCCAAACTTATTCTCCATGATGTGGACGACATTGAGGAATTCACATCGGAGCTCGAATCAGATCACCTACGTCAAACTCCCAGGCCTGAGAAATCTTCTCTCCGCTTTATTCTTGCCCGACACAAATCCTCAGAACGACACAGGATCTTTGTCCGACTGTCTCACGCCCTTTATGACGGTGTTTGCTTCCCAACCATCCTTAACGCGTTGAAGGCATCCTACGAAGGCGAGCATATTGTCACGCCACCTTCGTATGCGACTTATATCCACGGCTTGTTTGGCAAGGCCAATTCTGACCAATACACCTACTGGAGATCCCTCCTCAAGAATTCCGTTCCTACAAACCTCGTTCCACGACAATGCGGCTCGATGCGCACAAGTCCTACGCAGTTAATGAAACGGACTGTGGCCACACCCTCGCTCGCTACTTTCAACATCACGACCGCTACTGTTGTCAAGGCCGCCTGGTCTATGGTTCTGGCCAAGAATACTGGGATGACCGACATTGTCTTTGGCCACCTCATTAGTGGGCGGAACTCACGCCATGTTCCTGGCATCGAAGCTATTGTCGGCCCTTGCCTCAATGTGGTTCCTGTACGCGTACAATTACAAGACTCTTGGACGGTGCTAGACCTTCTTCAACACATTCAGCACCAGCAAGTAGACAACATACCGTACGAATCACTTGGCTTCAGAGAAATCATCAAAGGCTGCACGAACTGGAACGACAATGGAGCAAACGGATTTTCTACTATTGTCCAGCATCAGAGCATGTCTCAAACTGGCAGCCTGGACATCGGACCAAACACGTACAAGGTTGGCGCGATCGCTTCTCAGGAAGACACGGCCGACTTTAGCGTTGTGACCACGCCACAGGACTCCGGCAACACTGAGGTCTGTTTCTTGTATCGCCAAGATGGAGCTGAAAGAATGAAGTTGGCTGAGCAATTGTTTAGTTGTCTTTGTACAACAATCACGGACTTCTCCACTAATGTTGAGGTACCGGTGACTGTTTAGTTTGGGTTTTGTTTTTGTTCAATGTTATTTCTTACATCTTGCAAGGTTTTAGTCATTTTTCTGTGATTTAATTGTATCTTTCAACTTGACCTAATTTCTATGGGGTTTGACAAGTTAGCATCACATTGAGGAATAATAAATGCATTCATGTTAAATTGATCGTCAATTAATCTTGCGTGATGCATGTGAATAAAAACTAATTGAACGGAAGTGAAGAGGCATTCGCAGTACAGGGTTAGCATGTGGCGCATGTTCCAGGCTTGCTCAGCATGTCTACGGCTAGTGAGACAGTTTGAACTGGTCTCTACAGGCCACGCCCCTGCCTGTAGCAAGAATATTTAGCGAAGTCTAGCCTGAGATGCTTTGACATTCTTCCCAATCATTTCCACCTTGACGCCCTTATTTGACCAGTCTTCAAGCTCAACTTCAATCTCTTCACGTGGAAGTAAAGTGAAATAATTGTCTGACAAGGTCAACGGAGCCACATCATTGCCAGCTTTATCCACGAGGTTGAACTGAATGAATACAGCCGGAACTGGGCTAGTGTTCTTTACTCGAATTTTCCACTTGCCAGAAGCTTTACCACCGGACGGCGCCAGAGTAACAGTTGCTCGGTCCATCTCATTTAATGCAGTAAAATTGGCGAACTGTTTGACGTCGGAGACGTACCATGTCGTGGATGCCCAGTCTACTATGTCGTTTTGTTTCGATAGCCAATACGCGTTGCGACTGAGCACCGCGTTGTTGTCGTCATCGACAAGGGTCAACCGAAGTACTGCGACATCTTCAATTTTCTTGATCGAGCTGCTAATATCGCCAACCTTTTGAGACTTGTTAGACTTTGTGGATAGGCGAAGAGTTTGGCGAGAGATCTGTTTTCCTTTCAGATCCACCAATTCAATGTGAACCGACCGAGGACCGGACTTTTTGAGTGAGCGGTTGACAACCCAGATAAAGTTGTTGAAGTAATCAAACGTTACGTGCTCGACACGAGTGGCGATCTTGGTGCCGAAATAAGTCCCAGCTGGATGGAGATAATAGTCGAATTGGTTCCAGTGAAGACTCGGCCAGGCATTGTTCAACATCCAGTAGATGAGACCTGTGGCTGGGCGGGAAGAGCTCCAATGACTGCCCCAGCCTTCAAATTCAGAGCGAATTGCTTCATAATCCATCATTTGCGCGCTAATGAGATAGTCGTCCAGAGATGTAGGTTTGCCGTACCGCTTGAACAGTGCCTTGTTGTAGATGGACCGATCGTGAAACTGAGAAGTATCCTGAGACATATGGTAGAGGCCTTTGTTCGGCTTCTTCCACAAATCCTCCATATCGTTATCTGTCAAGAATTTGACCAAACTTCCTTTGGTAGGCGTTCCAACACCTGCACCGAGCTCTGATCCGAATCCAAAAGATGATCCAAACCTCTTGGCTGTCGGTTCTCTATTAAACCAGTAGACTGGCGGAACCCAGTCATAAGGTCCTTCCATCTTCATCCCGGATGGACCAAGAAGCTTTGGGTGACCGCGCTTCGCAGCCGAGGATATGATGGGGACTTGCCATCCCGCATCGTGTAAGCCGTTCAGGTAGATTTTAGTGGCCCGGTCATCGGGCCAGTAATCACTTCCAACAAGAAAGGCGATGACACTTGGATGGGATTGCATGATTGCGGCTTCATGCCTCATTGAAGCGTTGACAGTTTGGTAGTCAGCGTCATGCCACTTAGGAGGAGGGTCCATGGACAAGTCGTGATTATAGGGCCAACTTTCCCATCGATCACAACATTCCCAACCTGCCATGAGCATAAGACCAAGTCTGTCAGCAATGCCGTAGAGCTCTGGCTGCTCCATTTTCCCCTCGAGTCGGATGGTGTTCATGCCCATGTCTAGAGTATAGCGTGCTATATGCTCGAAGCGGCGGGGATCCCACCGCAAGAACATGTCCGAAGTGTATCCACCACCTGTGATCTGGATGGGGTAGCCATTCACAAGAAACGTAGTGTCGTTGTGTGAGTTGAGCTCGGAAGTGACGGTTCGAATGCCAAAATTGGTGACAGGGCTTACATCCGAGGTGTCATGTCTGATAGAGTAAGTCAGTTGGGCAGAGTATAAAGGCTGTTCGCCCCAAGCGGCTGGCCACCAAACCTCTGGGTTCTTGATATTTGCGGAAAGCTCAACTGTGGTCGATTCCCCGACTCCAAGGCTCAGAGTCTTCGTTATTACCGTGAGGGTCTTTCCATTTGGAGACTTGATATTGGCTTTAGCCACGAACTTTATTGGCTTCTTTTTCAAGTTGCGAGCCTGAGCTTTGACAGTAATGACTGCGTGATGATCTTGATTATATTTGATAGGAGTATCCATGTTGACGAGTACGCCCACGGCGCCCATAAAGACGTCGCCCGTCCGTTTGATAGTGATGTCCCTCCACACTCCCGTCCCATTGTCAGGTGGATATGGATTCCAATCGACGAATCCGACGGCGAAGTCATATTGATAGTCTGTAGGATACACCTTGACTACAAGTGCATTTTCCTCCCCAACATGAGGCGTGATGTCGTATGTATGGCCGCCATAAGAACCGGACTGCGTGACATTATTGGCGACTTGCTTCCCATTGAGGAACAAGTCTGCAGCGGGGGTGATTCCGTTGGTTTCTAAGAAGTAATGGACATCTGGCGATTGATATCCACTTTTCAATTTGAATTGATTGCGATAAACCCATGGAACATGAAAGAGACTGTCGTCGAATTGTGCGAGATTGTCGGAGTACCAGAGACCATCATGACCGTCTAGTTCGTAGGTGCCTTGGGCCAGGAGACAGGCCATCAGGGTACACCGGGATACAGGTGCATGGTGCCAGGAAGAAGTATCAATGTTGGTTAAAGAAAGCGATGTGAGGTTTTCGGTGACTTTGCTTATCTGTTGGAAGTCCCAGTTAGGGATTGCATCCTTCTGACCAGATTCGGTAGCCAGTAGCTTTGAGTTCGTAGTGGCCACAGCCGTGCTAAAGAGCAATAGCAAGAAGACAATCATATTCTATTGACCACTCATCCAGTGATGTTCAACAGCTAGCGTGGTTTAAAAACAAGAAAGTAAGCAACCTGTCTCGTTGTCACGAATGTGCGTGTGCTTTTGATCTCTGGCCGCCAAGGTGTACCTAGATCATGTGCCACGTTACCTCAAAATAAATATGCTACGTTACTCCCACAGTCCTTGCATTTAGCTCGTCTGATATATGTACAAATTGGCAGGAGGAGCCTAAAAGAGGTGTTTTTCTCAATCGGAACACAGCATGAACGGAGAGGCTCCCCGCACTTCTATATAAGCGGGTGATGCGCTTCCAGACTTGGGTAGGATCAACAATACCGTGCTCGTGGCGGCGTTACGGTTTGACAGAGATTAGTTACATTATCGGAAGTGGCTGGATATATGCAGGTTTGTATAGTATTTATAATTCTTGAAATTGATCAGAATAATTGGCAGCGACTGATAATTCAGCTGGGCGCATGTCTCATATCCTGTTTTCTCTTCTGGTCCTGCAGGGTAATGGTGCTGAATTGCTAGTCTGTCTTTATCATTCTTCTTCTTCCATTTCCTGTATCATATTCATCAAACTACATTTACAGAAAGTTTAGTTTCTCCTAAGTATACATAGTTCAAACGGCTTCTGTGAACCTTACCCAAAGGCTGATACATGATTCATTGATCGCTCCTAAAAATAGTGATACTCTTCACATTAATCATGGCGCCCGCTTCAGCTTCCGCTCCCACTCGGAGCTTGTCCGATGTGCTGCTATCGATTAAACCACATCATTTAGCCAATGTTATCAGCCGCGAAAAGAATCATGAATATCGCAAGTACCGTCTCAAAGATGGTGTGTCGCGCCTCTGGCTTTACGAGACCTGCAGTGGTGGAGGAAGCTCTTCAATAACGTAAATTTTATTTTCACCCTCGTCCTAGGCAAAATAGTAATACTAACTTGTTAACTTCAGTCATATCGCCATAATCTCATCCTACACCCGCCATGAACCAGGCTCCGTGCCTACTGAACCAGCTGGTATTGGCAACGAAGTCTTCAACGCAGGACGCAAAGAGTCCAAGTACGGCTATCCTAGCCTCGAGCTCTACGAACTTGTGAATCCAGTCACTCTCAATGAGATGAAGACATGATGGGGAATGGGCGGTGCACCCATGTGTTGGCAATACGTGAAATCAGACTTGTGGGAGGACAGATGGGGTGAGCGAGAGGAGGAAAGGAGTGAAAAGGTGAACAAATGTTTTAAATGATACCCTGGGATTGTTTGGCGTTTTAACTATTATATTTGAGCACATAATAAGACTCATTTCTATTTCGTCTCTCTAGCCTTTAAGCATATTGTTGTTGCATTGCTAGTGGTGCTGATTCCTGAACTTGATGAGCCTGCAGCTTCAGACCCTTAAACTGCCTCGCAGGCAGCCTCATCTCAAACATCTGATCAATCTCAATCGCGCTTCGTCCCTTCATCTCAGGAACAAACAGCCATGTCAGAACAGCCCCAATGACTGAAGTTCCACAGAAGACAAAAGCAGTCTTTGCTCCGAGGGCTGCCTTGTCTCGACTAAACAGCATGGGTAACACGATAGCCAACGTGATAGAAAACCCCTTCTCAGCTATACTGGCCAATCCTTGAGTAAGTGATCGGAGTTGAAGCGAACTTGTTTCTCCCACGATAGCATAACCGGCAGGCCAGGCTCCCAGACCGCAAACGATGATGACAGACATCATGATACCGCCAGCAACCCAAGTGAGGGCCTCGCTGGACCAAAAACCAGTGATACCCATAGCTCCCCAGAGAATAGCGGCTACACCCATGGATGGAATGATCATATTGCGACGGCCAGTGCGCGAGAGAAGCCAGAAACCGATGGCATTGCCAAACATTCCTGCGACTACACCAGCAGCCATAAACACCAATGAAGGGGTACTCTCCATGCCCATACTTCGAAGGAAGAGGTTTGCGTTGGAAAGGAGCTCCATACCAAAAAGTGGGGGAAAGATGGAAGCTAGGCCTACGATCAGAGTTCTTCGGAGGTTTGTTCCCCGAAGACAGGACCAGTATGTCGCAGATGCAGTGTTAGCCTTCTCCTCCTCAATCGTAGCACGGATTCGTTCGAGTTGACTGAAAGGGTTGATCTTGGGTGCGTAGAGCCGAGTTGCTGATTTGATAGCGCGCTCTTCTTGTCCTGTTCTGATCAGGTGTGCTGGACTCTCAGGCATGAGGATAGAGAGAATAAGTGGCCCGACGGCGAGTATCCATTGCGATCCAAAAGCTCCAAGGTAGCCAGAATTTCCTTCAATACCGTTGATAGCAAGTGTGACGAGTAGACCGATGAGTTGACCGAGTAAAGTGAAGACAGGGAACAAGGCCATGGCCGATCCACGTAGAGCTGTCGGTGTGTTTTCTGAGACCCAAGTGACACAGACTCCCCTGATGATACCGACAGTAAATCCTTGGATAGTCAAACCAGCAGTAAGAAGCATACGCTTTGTGTCCAGAGGCTCGGGGATGTGGGAGAAGAACATGCAGGCAATGGCGACAGCTGAGACAAGAGTACCCATCATGAGTGTAAACTTTCGTCCAATTTTGTTTTGAAGCCAGCCTCCAAGTAGTGATCCGATTGCTGCACCAGCAGGTGGAAGGCCTAACCATAGAGAGAGCCAGTTACCAGGAGTGTCCATCTTGCCATGAATCATTTCTCCATAGTCTTTCAGGAAGCTATCTGTGCCGACGACCGCACCGACAATGACAAGATCGTAGCCCCATCCAACAATGGGAATGCTCATGGCCAAACAATAACCTGCAACCTTTGGGTACAGCTTGATAGCCTGTCGCAGAGGCATCTGGCCCTCATTGTCTTTGGAATTTTCGGTCTCCACTGAGGCTGACGCCGAATAGCCCAAGTCTTGTGTTTGAGAAGTGTATGGGTTGTAAGATGTGATGTCTTCTTCGTTTTGGGGGACCTGTTGCCATGATCTCGATGCTTCCATCTCATGGATACTCGGCTTGATAGGATCGCTATCGCGACGATCGTGATAACTCATTGTGGTGAATAGATTCGAAATAGTCGGAGAATTGTAAGAAACAAGCGAAATTAACCTGAACGTTGCACCGTACGGACTAAGGTTCAGATCGTGTAAAGATTAGAATTGTCTGATGATGTCTAAAAACGAAATTGGGAAAGGCGGATTGCTGGGGTATTAAATTATCATGCGCTCGCATTTTGCACCCTCGGACTTGAAAACTGCCCTACGGACCTCAAGAAAGGCAGAGTCGCAGTAAAGCCCCAGCGTGAATCCTTCCATCCTCGATGCAACCCTAAGGATTTCTGGACCAATTACAAAAGAGTATGTCTGGAAATGAAACAAGGATTGCTTATTTGCTGACAAGGCGCAGTCAAAGTGGAGGAGCCTAATCCTTGTCGCTAGCCCTACGGACCTCGGACTTGTGAAGAGGCTCGAGTGTTGTAAAGAATTGAATTGTCCGACACAATTACGGGGCACAATGATAAAAGAGAATGGATCTTTAATATCAAACAATTTTTTCCAAGTCCAACACTGAATATAGAAAAGAGAGATGGAATTGGTTTCTCCGGTTGAGCAGAAAGCAGAGATCTGCAAGTTGTGCTTAGATCTCTGGGTCAGCCCCCTCAAGTCACATTTGACGGACATAGTTCAAAAAACAAACAACAATTTTTTATATAAGCATAAATCAAGGATGACAGTTGGGGGCAAGTTAAGGGCAATTCTTTAAATGAGCGGCACTTTCAACTAGCTCGATCTATCTGCCGCACTAGCTACGGTAATTGTTATCCGTAGGACTAACAAGAACCTGCAGCTTACCCGTCGGACTTGGCTATCAGACGGACAAAGGAACCAAATTCTTATCTATAGCGATAGAGAGCCGGCCAATACACTATTGATTGATAGGGGTCTTGGCAGGGCTATGGACGGATATGTAAGGTCGTCGTAGCACTCAATACAACGAGAACCGCAGATACCACTCTACTAGTCCTCAATCCGTTGAGATCATCAGTAACAGCCCCATCACCTGCATAACTGCTCGATACATCCATACCAGCGTGGCACCAAGAGGTGTATTAGTATTAACGATGGACCCGAAACCAATCTGCCAGATCGTTACGCCTGTTGGCATGTTAGGCTATGGCTTTGACGAGAAGCTCATCCATCACGAGCTTAGTATCCTTACTTCTAATGGCATACCCACCGCCATGATCATGGACTCTGGATCTACCGATAGTGGGCCACAGAAATTGGCCCTTGGGTCTATGTCATGTCCTCGTTCAGCGTATGCTCAAGATCTGACTAAGCTACTTCGACTTGCTCATACCTTTCATGTGCCGCTGATTTTTAGCTCTTCTGGTGGTGATGGAACTGATGAGCATGTTCAAATCATGCAAGATATCATCAACGAAATCACAGAGGAAGAGGGAAATAGGTCAGTTATCAGAGACTGGATTGAAGTAAAGTGTTTTAACTCTGGGGTTCTAGTGACTACTCCTTCAACACCATTTCTTTATTTGCCAACATTGACAAGACAATGGTTCTTGAACGTTTCAAGCAGGGTCGTCTTACAGGATGTGGACCTTGCGTTCCTCCATCAGACGCAGCCGAAATCGAGTCTTCACTCCATATAGTTGCTCAAATAGGCCACGAACCTTTCCTCGACGCCATGAACGCCAATCCAGACTTCGACGTCATTATCGGTGGCCGAGCCTATGACCCGTCTCCATATGCTGCATACTGCGTACACCAACTTATGCGCCAAACAAATGACTTGAGCAACGAACAACTTCATTCTAGCTTGGGAGGGTTCCTGCACATGGGAAAGATCTTGGAGTGCGGAGGGCAATGCTCCACGCCAAAGTCTCACGGAGCTGTGGCCACTATATACGCAACGGGGCTATTCGATGTCAGGCCAACAGCCCCTGATTCAAAATGTAACCCTCTTTCCGTTGCGGCTCACACACTCTATGAGAACACGAGGCCCGATATCTTGAAGGGGCCTGGAGGTTCAATCCATCTTCAAGATTCCAAATATGAGCAATTATCTGATGGAAGGTCTGTTCGTGTCCGTGGCAGCAGATATCGCTCTTCAGAAGAGGACGGGTTGCCTTATCAATTCAAACTCGAAGCTGCCCGAATCGTTGGGTACAGATCTATGTTTATGGGTAGCATTAGAGACCGTGAGTCATGACATCCAGGCTATTGATGGAAATTCTGACTTGTGTATACAGACATCCTCATCCCTCAAATCGACAAGCTCCTCGCCCGTGTCAAGCTTTATGTAGCCCAGCAGCACACCGAATCTACAAGCCAGTGGAAGCTTGACTTTCACGTTTACGGAAAGGGCCAGTTTAGTCCCACGGGAGCTGGACAGCTCTTCATCGTTGGTGAAGCACTCGCTTCGACTCAAACGTTGGCGAATAGCATTGCGTCCAAGGCTAGAGTTGGGATGATTGTAAGTCTTTTTGGCACAAATTTGTGACACAGCTGACTTTTAAAAGCATGCACCGTACCCTGGACAGAAGGCTACAGCAGGAAACTTCGGGTTTGGACTGGGTGGACTTATGGAGGTTGAGATGGGCCCCTGTGCCGAGTTCTCTCTTTATCACCTGATGGACTTGGAGCCCGACGAACAACGTCTATTTCCAGTTGATAGTGACAAGTCCCAGACGCTTGAAGGGCCATTGTTACGAGGTACCGTTACCAGGATCGGCAAGGGATCTTCGAAACCCAGAAAAAACAACCCACTTGAGAAAACACCCAATATCAATCTGCATTCGCAGGGTGGTGAACATATTGCACCCACTCCGGGCCAACCTTTCCAGAATCCTGAGACACTATCAGATCTTTGTCGTGTTCTCCGCTCCAAGAATGCCGGCCCATACGAAATCACTATCGATGCCATGTTCTCCTCAAAAATCAACTACGATACTATAAAAGCCTCCGGCATTCTCTTGCCCAGCAATGTAGCCAAGGCGATTGGTATTGCCGAGGACGACATCGTCTGGATTGGGTTTTTTGATCCCGCCATGTCTTTCAAGGTAACAATTCCTAGAATCAGAATGGGTGTAAAGAAGTCCGCGGGTGGTTTCATGGAGAATGATATACACGGCTCGCAAGAGCATAACGGGCTTGCGAAGATGAAGCTGCCTGAGAACCTCTTCGTTCAGTAGCATATTCTTCAATGCAAGGAGATGGAGTTTGAATTGATTTTGTACTAGCTATGATTCTTCGATACTTGGCACGTTTAATGTCAATTATTGAAACATCATGTCTTTTTTTATCCGCTGGAATCTCATTTGAATACATTTTCACTTTTACAAAGATACGATGCTCGCCATTACTGCCGTTCAACTGCCAAGATAGCGTCCATTGTTTCAGAGAGGACGGACATTTCTTAGTCCGTTGCGTCCCTTGTCACTGGGTGGAGCTTCAATTAAGCTTGTCATTTGCTGTTTGTCAGATTGGGAGAATCTGCCGCTTAGAACGTAGACTGATGACAACATTCTAAGAAGTGACATTGATATCTCATTCTATCATCTTTCTTTGATATATAACTTCATGCGCAATGATGGTTATAAATAGCTTCGAAAGATGACTCAAAAATTGTCTGTATGTCACTGCTGACTTCTGCAGTATCATCACAGTCAGGATTCAGTTATGTATACTCTGTTGAGCAGGAATTATTCAAAATCAGGAATTCCCCAACCTTTGAGGTTTTACGAAGCATTCCAAATTAGGTTATTCATAATATCTTTGAGTATTTTTCTTGTATTCCTTACGCATGCAAATGATTTGATACTCGAGATACGGAAACTAAGCCCGGGAGAATAGCCCTTGCAAATTGGATTGTAGTCTCTAGGGAATGCCAACTCACTAGCATTTCCACGTATATGGAAGGGAAAAACAAGTTGACTTGTGTCCTGACGCTTTTGAGATAGTTGAAGGAAGAAACACCTCATAGATTACTGGAGATCGTTTCTTGTAAACAGTATCGGCTTATCCTTTACTTCCATGAGTCATCGTCCCAAAATAGGCAGAGGTCCTCGAAAATACCGCGCGGACAATGAAAAGTCCGCGACAATAAGGAATAAATGTCTACCTCCCCGACACAGATCAGTTACACAACACATTTGACTCAAAGGACATCATTCTCTATCTCAACATGGTTGTTCCACAAAGACAAACTCCCCCAATTGAGGAGCTACGCCGATTCTACGTCGGCAAGAATGTCAACGACGTTCCCAAACCCGCAGTTGTTCTTGACAAAGCTAGGATCGGCCGCCACTGCAAATCCATGTTGGACTCTGTTGATGCGCTAGGCCTGGGATTCCGTGCGCACGTCAAAACTCACAAGGTGACTCTCATGTCAGCACTCAGAGTCTCAGTACTAATTTGTGCAGACGATTGAAGCCGCTCGCCTTCAAATCGGTGAAGGAAACAGTGACGTAAAGCTCATCGTGTCCACACTAGTGGAGATTGACCATCTTCTACCTTTGCTCAAAGGCTACAGAGAATCAGGTCGTCGACTAGACATCCTTTACGGTTTGCCGCTTCCTCGCTCCCAGATCCCACGCTTGGCAGCCTTGGGCTCAGAGTTGGGCCCGGGCAGTATCTCTGTTCTAATTGACCATCCGTCGCAACTTCAATCCGTCAAAGCCTTTTCCCAGCATGCCAAATTTCCTGCAAGGGTGTTCTTGAAGGTGGACACAGGCTATCACCGTGCGGGACTACCGCCGTCTTCACTAAACAAGAATGGTCTGATTGAATCCCTTGCTCAGCTCGAGGCGAGTGGGGAGGCTGAGCTGTTAGGGTTGTACTCGCATAGTAGTCTTAGCTACAAGGACTCAACTGCGGAACAAGCCATGGCAAACTTGGAGGGTGAGATTCAAGGGTGTCTTGACGCAGTCAATGCTCAAGCGCACTTGTTCGCAAAGGACAAAGAGATTGTAATCAGTGTTGGTGCTTCCCCTCAAGTCACAGCTGCCGAGAACCTGGTTACATCGGACGGAGACCTATCACCGGCCGCTGAGTCGTTGCGAAAAGCTATCAAGACTGTTACAGCTGGCCAACCTGGAGGTTTGCAGACCAAGCTTGAGCTTCATGCCGGCGTATATTCCATTCTTGACATACAGCAAATCTCCACCAAGTCGAGAAGAAATCTGGGCTCGTACGAAGAAGAGATTGCCATTTCCGTCATTGCAGAAGTGTGCAGCGTATACAACGATAACGAACGAGCTCACCCGGAAGCTTTGGTAGCTGTTGGTACACTGGGTTTAGGTCGTGAGCCTTGTGCAGCTTACTCCGGTTGGGGAGTGGTGAGCCAAAAGTCTTATCAGGCTGGGACGAACGAATCGAGACGCTTGATCATCGACAGAATAAGCCAGGAGCATTCCATCGTGGCCTGGGAGCACGCCGAAGATGAGGAAGTTTCTAAGATACCGCTTGTGCCACTGGAAGTTGGACAAGATGTGATTATCTTTCCGAATCATGCTTGTGTTACAGGGGCTTTGTACGGATGGTATCTTGTTGTTGACTCGTCTGAAGGGGATGCCCAAAAGATTGTTGATGTCTGGATAAGAGGTAGTGGATGGTAGAGAGAAGCTAGATATAGTACCGTGAAATCTGAACTCAACCTAAGACCTTGGTGTCAATGAGCAGCAGTTTACTACAATGAATGTAAATTTAACGGCGCAGTTATTCAGATACCCTCATCTGCAATTTGAGAAAATAGAAACATTAACTAGAACCCCCATTCCTTGATCCACTTCTGCATTGCCACTACTATCTGAGGGATGCTCTGGGCCACCGGCGACAGCTTGAGGACTTGCTTCCAGATGGATTCGATCCAGCACAAGAGATCAAGACCAACCATGGTGTCATGTCCAAGATGCGAGCACTCTCCGAGCAATGCTCACCAGTCGTATTGCGTGGTTTTAGAGACACCAAGAAAAACCCCGTCTTTGTATCCAAGGCCAAGGAGATGGGGACTATTTTGCCTTGGAAGGAGGGTGATATAATAGTTGTCAAGGATCAAATGAATGATGCCTCGGACTCCAATGTTACGACAACGAATGAGGCGATGCCCATGCATTACGACGGCATGTTCAAACTTGCGAGAGTCAAGGATGAACAGGGTCGCGAGACAGTTACCTCCGACCCCCCCTTTCCTTCAATACTTCGTTTGTCAGGCAACTACAGGCAACAACCAGGGCTTCACCCTCTTTGCGTCGTCTCATCTCTTCTCCCGTTACCTCCGAGATAAGTACCCAATCGATGACCTTTGCAAGGTCAGGTGGACTTGCCACAGCGGTGGATATTTTGACCACCACGTACCTAGCTTGCCCTTGGTTGTGTCTCATGTAGTCGACGCCCGGCCCTGTATCCGCTGGCACGAGCCTTGGCCCAAGACAGAGACCAAGTATGGCGATGCTAGCATCACTATTGATATTGGCGATCAGGCACTTGTCAGCCTCGTGGACTCACTTCTGTATGATAAGCGTGCCAGTCTTCGATTTTCGTGGGAGGAGGGCGATGTTATGGTCAATAACAATATAGAAATGTTGCATACAAGGACTGCATTTGAACGTGGTGCTGCGCGAGAGCTGTGGAGAATCCATGTTGGTTAAGCAACAGCTACTTGGTTTATGTATTTTGTCTCAGGGTGGCAGTAAAAGTAGTTTGACATGATGGGAAGGTAGCAAAATTATCAGGTGAAATGTGACACAAAAACAAAGATTACTCTCATCACTGCAAAGAAAACGCTTTTTGATTTGGTGTGCCACAAGAGGAGAGCCCCCTAAGCCCCTCCAATAAAACTCAACTACTTGATGTCGGGAGGAAGACCAAAATGTGCTTGTAATGTTAATGGCTCTACCGTGTCTTTCTGTATGATAACGAGTGACTAGGGTGTGATTCTTTCCGAGAAGGTGAAACTATAATCACATTAACATATCCAATCATATTAGAGGCACCAAGTTTCAAATCAAGAGGGGTTCGGAACTGGTGTCGGAGACAAGTAACCGATTCCGCAGGGTTTGGCGTGTCCTTTATAGCGTATTTCATGAGTCGATGTGGCTTACATGTGAGATAGTTGGTGACGGAAACCTCGGAATGAGCTTCCGAGTAATACTTTATTACATATACAAGTTTGTACCCTTCTCTAGTGTTAAAGTTAAATGCTATCTTTCTGGATTCAACTACCGAGTTATTACAAGACATCGTTCTGCCAGAATATAAATATTTCTACGTGCTAATCTAACCGTACGGCAAATTTCCAAGCGATCCTCCCCGCTTCTCCTATTAGATCACATCACCTAAGCGCACAGATATCAATATGTCTAGAATTACCATTAATGGTGTTGGTGGACGCCAGATAAGTAGTAAGTCCCAATCCTATGCCAATGGTTGTTGTATGACCTAACAGGTGCTAGTACCAACGGGACTTTTTATCAACAATGAATTTGTCCCGGCAGAAGGCAATGTTACTGTGGAAATAGAAAACCCTTTCAACGGGCAGACGCTAGGGCATGTCTCAGCGGCCCAGGCTGCCGATGTAGACAAAGCTGTTGCAGCCGCCGAACAAGCTTTCAAGGGGGCCTGGAAGTCAACTCTACCAACGGTTCGAAGGAATCTGCTGAACCGTTTGGCTGACCTCATCGAAAGAGACGTCGAAGATTTAGCCTCGCTTGAGTCTGTTGATGCTGGTATCTTGTACCAGAATTCTAGCACAATTTTCGTCCCCCAAGCTGCGGAGACGCTTCGCTATTATGCTGGATGGGCTGATAAGATCGATGGTCAATCTTTGCATATTCCCCAGGGTATCTCATATTCACGTCGAGTCCCCATCGGTGTCTGTGCTGCCATTGTTCCCTGGAACGCACCGCTGTAAGTGTCCCTTCATCCACCATGTTTGACTGTTATTTCCTTGAGGCTGACTGATGATCGGATAGCATGATCACTGTTTGGAAGATTGCCGCTGCTCTAGCCACTGGGAATGTCCTCATCATCAAAACGCCCGAAGCTGCGCCATTATATGGCCAGAAGCTTGGTGAGCTAATTGCCGAAGCTGGTTTTCCCCCAGGTGTTGTCAGCATACTCTGTGGCCTAGGTACGGTAGCTGGTTCGGCCATCTCTGCACACCCGGCCATCCGTAAGGTCTCGTTCACGGGAAGTCCTGGGGTAGGCCGCCAGATTCTAGCTGCATCTGCAAAAACAAATCTCAAGAAGATCAGCCTGGAGCTCGGAGGCAAGGGCCCTAGCATTGTATTTGACGATGCCGACTTTGAGAATGCTCTGCAGTGGACAACAGCCGGCATTACCATTAACAATGGCCAGATATGTGCTGCAGGAAGCCGTATTTATGTTCAAGCTGATATCTACGACAAGTTTGTCAAGGCCTTTTCGGAACGAACCAAGGATGCCATTGCTGGTGACCCACTGTTGGCAGAAACTACAAAAGGTCCAGTCATTAATGGGGGACAAAAGAAGCGAATTATGGATTACATCAAGAAAGGCCAGGAGGAGAAAGTCCAAGTCTTGCACGGTGCAGATGATTCCAAGCTACCTGCTGAGGGTCACTTTGTACCTAACACTGCATTTGTGGACGTGGACCCGCAAGCGATTGTGATCCGAGAGGAAATCTTTGGTCCTGTTGCTTGTATTGCCAAGTTCAAGACCGAAGAGGAAGTTGTCAGGCTAGCCAACGATAGTTGCTTCGGACTTGCTTCTGCCGTGTTTACTGAAGACATCAACAAAGCAATTCGTTTGGGCGAGGAGCTCGAGAGTGGACAGGTTACCATTAATATGTGGGGGACTGTCAATGCAAACGTGGCTTTTGGTGGTTTCAAAGAGAGTGGATTTGGTCGCGATTTAGGCAAGGAGGCGATTGACGACTGGACACAGGCAAAATACATCCAGGTAATGGTCTCCAAGCTGTAGGAGGAGTACTGGAGGATATGGTCTATCCAAGCCCTCATATTTACGTTTTGAGCCGCGTTGAGAAATATAGCTTTGTTGATATCGGGGGTGTAGAGTTGCAGCTATGTTGAATGTTTAGTACACATGAGATTGTTGAAGATAACAAGGATTCACGCTTCTTCGCGGTAGGCAATAGTGCTCTAGCCGAAGTTAGTTAGTGTCATGTTTATGCAAGCGTGAGTCGGAACTGAAGTTTCCGAATTGTTCCACTATGACCCATTTCCGATGAGTTCGACACCCTAGAGATGTGGTTATTATCTTCCAACAATCCAGAAGAATTTATTGAATTCATGATATCAGCATATAAATGACAAAGAAAACAAGTTTCCGTCAGCAAACCCTAGTCATACAAGCAGTTGGATAATTATGTATTTATGCATAAACAGGAAGCCAAGTGACGTAGTGCACTGGAATTAATTAACCTGGTGCCGAGGTTCTCGGCGGATCTGAATCCGTATTCAAAACGTTTAAAGCTAATTCGCATTATTGACGCCAATTGCTCACTACTCAACCGTTGATATTCATTGTTTCCCTTTCCCTTGTATGAGCCCTTTGACTGCTCTCGGTCTGCATCTCACCGCATCAATCAGTACACTCAGTCTCCACAGCCTCATCCACCAAGCGAGTTCTCTCCGCAGTGCTTCTTAATAATGCCGTCCATCACATCGTCCATCATCGCATTCTATATCAAATGGATTCGACAAAGCAAGGTCATCATGGGAAGTCCGGAAAATATTCGCAATGCTCTTCACGAGGGTTATATCCGGCCACAGGACTTTCATCCACCCACAAACCTTGGATTCGACATCGTAATTGATCGCGTCGATGTACACGATTGGCCTCTGTACAAACTATCCGCGCATAAATCCTCAGCTGAAAATGAGCCGCGCAAAGCGCTTCTTTACGTCCATGGCGGTTCCTTCTTCCGGGAGATTGTTTCACAACATTGGAATCTCACGGCGCAGATTGCTCGCGAGACAGGTCTGGATGTTCTGATCCCTATTTATCCACTTGTGCCACGGCCAGGAGCTACCGCCCAGAAACTCGCGGCTGGTTTACTAGATATTTGCCGTTTGTTTGAGACTCCAGTTGTGAGCATAGCTGGAGATTCAGCTGGTGGCATGCTCGCTATGGTGGCTGCCCAGCAACTACGAGACACAGAGCCGGAACTCTTTGGCAAAGTCAAATCTTTAGTTCTCATTTCGCCAGTTGTTGACCTTGGGCTAGATCATCCAGAAGTTGTGCGTCTGGAACAGATCGACCCCTGGCTTGCCATTGATGGTCTCCGTGAAGTCATCATTCCAAGACTAGCGGCAGATCTCCCAATCAAAGATCCAATCGTCAGTCCTTTGTACGGCGGCATCGAAAACTTACCCCCGACACTTCTTTTGTGTGGCACCTGCGACATGCTCTGCGCTGACGCTCGGCGATTGAAGTCAAAGTTTACTGGCAAGGATATGAACGAGGCGTTGCCAGGAAGTGCTGAGACAGATCGATTTATGTATGTCGAGAAGGAGGATATGATTCATGTTTGGCCTCTCCTGCCGCATCCCGAAGGCGCTGAAGGACGGGAACTCATCATGCATTTCATAAATAAGTACTTGGAGAACTGATTTGGGTCTACCTAAATACGAGTTACATATTGACTTCTGCGTCAAACGTTATCTGTGATGTCTTCACAAATATTTTAGCGAGAAGAGTCCAATGTATTAATTATGCTAAGCCAGTTGCAAACGGCATTATCAGTCCTTAGACTGGAATATGGGTATGATGCGCACTGCTAGAGTTCAGATTGGCATTGCCACGCAGTATTTGCAGTCACCTGTCAAATCTCCGAAACCGCCTTTTCGCACTCGGATGCCAGACCAGACGATGCCAAATATCTAAAAGAAAAAAGAATCATAGTCTTTCAATATTTCGGCCATGTCTGGAGAACGAAAGATGGCAAGATCCTCACTAGTTAAGTCCATTTCATGTGGACCTGCAGCATCTGTGGTTGCAAATGGCCATACTCCATCAACTTTGGGGATACTTTCGAATGACCCGCCCTGTGCCGGGGAGCTTCCATCAGATTGATTGCCCGCAACTACAAGGTTTGTAGAGCCCTCATAATTGATCCAGATTGGCTGGGATGGCTTTGCAATAGATGTTGTTGGCGATGGAATTATTGTTTCTACCTGCGAATCTGTGGTTGCGCTGCTTCTTATTTGTTGCAATGGTGGTTGATGGACCGGTGCCCATGTGTTGAGTGAATTCGTGAGTAACTCCACTTGTTCTGACTGCCGAGTCTGTGCTGCCGGCTTGCTGGGTTCTGAATGCACAAATGTTGCTGTATCGTTTCTTTGTGAGGAGCCTTCCGATGTTGCGGCGTTCATTGTGTGAAGATATGAGGGTTTCAGGCTCTGGCCATTGGCTTCGAAGATTAGTTGTTGAATACCCTGAAGCTTATTTTTTAACCTTTCGGAAATTGGTGACCTTTTAGCCAGTTGCCCTATGAAGTCCATTGCCATGAAAACATCTGTCAGACACGACGAATGATGGGACGCCGCAGGTGAACACAGAACCAAGAGCAGTGATGACAGGGCAGTTTCTAGAAAGTGGTTGAAAGTCTTGTGCTGGGCATAATAGATGTCCGTTTCACGGGCGATTGAAAGAAGTACATGGATGGTACTCTGAGCAACCTCAACCATGGGGCGAGTTGTGGAAGGGTCAAGGGTATCTGTCTCCGACCTCGTAGCAAACTTGCGATGTATGACTATCCTCATTTGATTGGCTCTCAAATAGAGCAGCAACCGAAGCCTAAATTCACCTCTTGATTCTTTAGAAGGGTCGAAACTGTCCTGGGGGGCTTGGAATCGTAGTTTCACCGGCAAATTTTGTTGCCATTGCAAAACACGGAACTCGAGAAAGTCACGTGTCGACGTGGGTAACGCAGCGGAGGCCAATTGGTTAAATAATGACTTCCGGACATCTGAAGCGATGTTACAGTAAGAAATCATCTGGTTCAGATATGCTGAAGAGATGCTTTCGTCCTGTTCGATTGTCAGCTAGTCATCTTCTCATACGTTTGGACCTAACCAGTGGCACTGACATCCGGCTTCGACTTTCGGGTGATATCGGTATCTGAAACGGCAAACGGCAACCCTGTGCCAAAGCTCCATCTTCTGTCTAGAGTATAGACTGTCCAAAACAACTTGTCGTCGATGTCATTGTCGTAGCCATTGTTGTGTTCGCAATCAAATTCCTGTAGCAGTCGTAGAACCGTTCCTGTAGTTCTCCATGCCAGAATCTCTCGGTCGACGAGGAATGAATAAACAGCCTTCACGGCACGATCAGTATGCTGTATGTGGGTAGTTCGGGATGGGTCATGGATATAACGATGCTTACAGTGAGTAGTAATAGTACCATGGATTCACGACGGATGCGTCCAGTGTGAACTTGCACCAGAACGATTCCATGAAGCTCTTGAACAGCAGGATCAGCGACCTCAACTGCACTTGCATCCCTAATACAGGAGAGTATCGCAAGTACAAGAAATGCGATATCGGCGGCATATTGATAGTTAGAATTTGGAGATGGCCTTGGTGAAGCTGCGTTTTGTTTTGCTGCATCGATCTCGTTGAGAAGCTGATGTATGTTTAGAAGAGGATATTGAAGACCGACCTCTTCGTCCCAAAGCTGCAATACCGCCATCCAGGTCTCCATGTTGAAAGCTGCGAGGGCACCGCCCATGGAACCAACAGCCCTATATTCAATAGCTTGGCGAATCTGATCAACTCCCACAAAGTTGGAGGCAGGCTTTCCTGATGGCTTTCTTGATGCATCGTTCATGACAGAACCAAAGTTATTCTCGCCAAGGCGGATGGAATAATCATAGCTTTCGGGCCTCAAAGGTACTGAACTAGCGCCAGAGCAGTCACTCGAGACATCGTTCGCCAGGTCCCGTTGCTGACGCACAGGATTTGCTTTATCCGCGTCTGGTATTGAGCGAGAAATAGTTCTTTCATTTCAAATTAGTGAATCACAATTTTCTATCGATACAGGAAACGCGTAAGAAATGAGTCTCTGTTGCAAGATTAATACTTACGAGTCTCGACGGCCCGAACGGTATCGCGTCGTTCGTGGATAGGAACATGTTGTTTTATGCTCACGACATCTGTTACAGGGATCACCACCGCTGCATTTGCTCTTCCGTTTCCGACATGTATCGCTAAGACCCCGAGATCAGTATTTGACTGGCTAATAGGACGATGCATAGGTCACAAGACATTGCAATTCAGGGTTAATGTGCATACCAAGCCACAGTCGTATATGCAGGTCGCCGACTTCGCTGTTTTGTTGTCTCCATATAAGCAACAGGGGCTCCAGCAGTCATGGAAGTGGTTGAAGGAGAAGACACATAAGAATCGGAGCCAAGTCTAAGATGTCGGAATGAAAGGTTACACGGTATAAAGGAATGAAAATAAATTAGGCGGTATGGGGAACAAGGCCCAACGCGGGGTAGGAAGCTAACCAAGACACTATCCCTATATGGAAATGATTGGCATTGAGAATCAATAACTAATTCAATTAGCGATTGAAAATTACTGAAGCCGAAGCCCAGACTAAGACCCATTAGGTATCGACATTAGTTGTATAAAGCAAGGGAGAGAAAGCGCGACTCTTTAACTACCAGCACAGCGAGAACATGATAACTTTGTCCCCAATTAGCAAGAGAGGCACATGACAAAGAATAGTCAACTGTGCAGTCATTCGAATAGTACGTAATGTTTAAAACTTATTGAATGAGTCAGAGCATTTGTCATGAGATTTGTCCTGGTGAAATGTTTAATAATGGTGCAAGAACATTATATACATCAAACCTGCCTTCCATGATTCTATTCAAAGTGCCTGAAATTTTGTAGGGATGTCGGAAGAGTCGGTCGCTTGGGCGCTGATGTCAATGCTATCAAAAGTAGGTACCTTCGTATTAGCAAAGAGCGCAGATGAAGACAGTAGTGATAATAAATGAGATCTTACATTTCCTGGAAGCTATCGTCACTGAGACGACTCAATTCATACTCGGTTCCGTCAGGTAAAACAAGGACATCAGGCCTCTGACACCCGAGTTTGCCCTTTGATGACTCCCTTTTAGAAAACCCGGAATTCCAGTTGCAACCGGTGTATCGAACCCCAAAATCTGGGATGCAAATCCGAGAGTGTACTCCACCAAACTGTCCAGCCACGCGCTCGGTGCAGTTACCGCCTCCGTACCCTGTAACATTTACTGCGAATCCATCCCGGATATCTTGAATACCAATAGATTGGAAAGGACTGTCGGTCGTGTTAATGCCACAGCAAGTGTTTGCGCGCAGATTGAGGCAGCGTAAGTAGCTGCCGAAGCCCCCACCAATACCACTAGGACCTTTACAGTCGGGCGTCGTGTACAAGAAGGCATCTATAGCTGCAGCTACAGATACGAACGGAGCGAGTGCTGCGAGGTGTTTCATGATATGTAATGAGGTATAACGCAAAGCACTAAAGTGAAGGTTCTTGGAGGACCGGCATCGAAGATGCTGTTAAATATAGAGCTCAATGATATCGCCAAGAGGGGAATACTACTTCTTAAATATATTGTCCAGCTTCTAGAGTGATGTCAGGCCTCTTTTAGATAAGGTGCCATTCTCTGATAGCAGATGTATCGGTGCTTTCTCCATGCGGAGTGGTCGTATGATAGTTCTCCGTCGAATTATCACTGTTATACGCCTGTAAGCGACATAATATTGATAGGGAAAATGGATAAAATAGAGTTCACTGATCAAGGTTACATGCCGAGACGTGTGATATAGCCTAATGACATTAGATGCCAGGAGAAATCAGAATTGAAGGCAGATGCAGAGGGAGTGATGGTTATAAGGATAAATGATAAATAAACCAGTGAATTGACTATGTAGTGTCTTACGTCAAAGAACACATCTGCAATATGTTTATCGTGTTTCAATATCTATGTATGAAAGCCACTGCCTAGCAAAGTACAGGATCCTCCACTTAACTTCAAGTCTCTGGAGGATATAGGAAATAATGTTATGTATCGAAACCATGACGCTGCAATTGAGCAGTGAAGAGCTTCAGTGCAATGGTGTGCTTTACGTCTACACCTGATGATACGTCCTACCACTCGGATTTATCAATAAGACTTATCAGGAGCCAAGTAGCCTACTAAAGAAAATTGTATTATTGAGTGGACAAGTCCTGTGCCGCGCTCATTAGGCGGCAAAGACAAAATATGAGAAATCTGACCTAGGTAGGTTTCGGGACTTTCTCTATTGGTGACTTCTTTTTCCCCTTTTTCAAGCCATATAGCATTGTGAAACACGTGTATCTCAACAATGGCGGCATCAGTATAGCAAAAGTTAATTATATGAGAGACGACAGAGAAATTTCAAGCTTAGAAGATGATCAAAACTCGTGACACATCTTTTCAATTAAGAGTATTACTTGTTTTCACATAGCTTTCCAGAATGGGGTGTGATACACGTAATGATTCTCGGATTTCATGCCAATCTTGCATGTAATGTAGATCACTTGCTTCTACAAAAATGAATATTTGGTATAAACAGTAGCAAACAAAGAGATTCCAAGTACGAGGCCTCCCTTCAATCGTCACCTGATAAATCACCCCCGCATTTCCAATAGAGAAATCGCCGGAAAGTTTCTCACAAACTCGTCAGCCAAGAACCCCATAGGGTAAAATCAATCGCTGCCAAGCCAACTAGACGTAAAACTGGAATTTACAACGTATAAACTGGGATGCAATTTCGAAGGGCACTGTAGACCGAGTCTTGGCTGGCTTTCCTTGGGTTCTTAAAGCCCCAATAGTTCCTCCTTTTTTGGTCTAATGAATTCCTAAGGCCTGTCGAGGTTTTGTTAAAGTTACAGTAACTATGCCTACTGCCACAGAGTTTTTCGGCTTCAGTGCCCACAATCTAGGTCCTCTGACGACCACTTACACCGCACCATCCAGTTGCTCGACAGGAACAGATCGTCTCGCTTTTGTCAACGCCAGCGACCCTGTTAGAGCTCATGGTATTCCTACATGCGACGTCAAGCCATATGGTGATTGCCTCCCTAGTGGAAGTTCTTGGGAGTCTGTTGAGGGACAGACTACTGAGTTTGTGCAAGGACTATACGCTTATTACTCACCTGGCCTCGTTTGTCCTTCGGGTTGGCGTACTGTGGGAAGTCTGGCGCATGATGACGACGACGACAAAAAGGCTATAGCTTCAGGTGCCCTGGCAACTCCCAAATGGGATGAGCAGCCAGGACTCAGGGTCCTTCATGCAACTGAGTTCTGGCTAGGAGTCTTGGAACCTTCTGAAACTCTTGCATATTGCTGTCCTAGGTGAGTCAGTATACTACCCGAAGATTCAGGACGTGACTCTAACAGGGACAGTGATTATCAAGCAGATGCCTTTGGACTGTGCATCTCTACTCTCGGTCCAATCGAGTCCTACACCTATTCCGAGATGTGCCTCACGATTGGCAACGACTTTGTACCTATCAAGACCTGGGATGGCACTACCTTGTCAGATTATGAGCTGCTATCTATGGCATCTGGGACTGAAGAGCCCTGGACGACATTGGATGACCGCCTCTTGACTGTAACTGAAGTTCTGGAGTACTTAGCTATTGCGACATATGTACCTGCTGTGCCACTGGTATACAAAAAGTCTGATCTGGGAAAAGACGATGATAACAACGACAGCAGCGATGATGATGATGAAGATGGTAACAATGATGACGATGGAAATGATGATGATAATGCAGCTTCAGCTGCGACTTCTCTACAGGGAGCTGTGAGTGTGCTTGCCATGACCTTGGGACTACTTGCAGGAGCTGGCATGCTCCTGTAATGGTGCTTAGCAATACCAATCTGGATATTTTTACGTACGGTAGTTCTTCTGATCTATCGATGCTTTACCCTTGATATAATATACCCCTTTCTGCCTCTTACCCATCCTTATTAAAATGTATCAGTTATCTCAGCGACTAGTGACCCTGATGTGTGGGTTCCTATAGATCTTCCAACTGGAAGAATATCCAAAACAGTACTTTCAACCCCGCATCCATCCGCGTTCATGAATTGTCGATCATACACGGCTGAGGAGGTTCCCATAATTAGAAACGACAACAGCCGACATACAGCCCAAATGACGCGTCTTTGAGGGACAATGGATCTTGTATTTTTCACAAATACTACATCAATGTTATCTGTAGCAAGAGTTAAACAATCACGACGATCAGCTTGCGTAAGGGAGTTTCACATATCCATGTCATTGGATAAAATCTGGGGCTTCAATCGTCTCGTCAGCACTTGAAACGCCCAAATCCCTGGCTTCGCTTCTGTTGCGTCCGGCCTAGTTCACATCCGAGTTCCAGGTTACGATACTCCACCATAAAATTGAATCGCCAAGGGAAAGCTTAGCTGTAGATCTGTAGGATTTGAAACCGCCACACGTATTCTAGTTTTTTTTCTGGGGTAACATGATACTGCAAACGAATCAACCTTGGCGTTTATTGTCTCAGCAATGTTTACGAAGACAAGCTTCTCTGGGACGATCTATTTCGAGATTCATCTAAAGGTATAGCACCATAAAAAATGTGCTAGGGTGTCAAGTAGATATTTGCTATAAGAAGCCTACCATTCGATGCAGGTTCTTTATTTTCATCAACTCATCAAACCACACTTTGACTAAAAAGAATCGCTTGACGCGATATTTCCTTTCTTCCATTCGGCAATCAACCAGTTTTCCTACTGTTTTTATAAGTTAATATTGCCATTCTTCTTTCTCTTGCCTAAAGTTACTGCTGCGCGGTAGCTCTCATTTCTAGTATCTTCCTTCTTTTTAATCAATATGTTTTTTGCCAATGTCCTTGTCGGCGTCTTAGCCGCTCAAGCCGTATCGAACAATGGAGGGTCAAGCCCTGCGCAAGCCGGCAAGTACGCAGTAAGTATTCCAGTCCGTTTTGTCAGCACTCTTCTAACGAGATGCCAGGCCTTAATGGCTGCTGCAGCCCTGCCCGTCTCTGGTGCACCTTTGATGGGTCTCATTGAACCCAGAACGGTAAGTCTACTTCCGTAACTTTCTTTATTTCTCTTACTAATAGTCATCTAGCCCCATCACAAGAGAGGCCAAAACGCCCAAGGTGGTCAAGGGAGACAGAACGACGATCAAGACCAAGATGATCAAAACGACCAGGAGAACGACGACGACCAAGATGACGATAACGAACAAGGCGGTCAACAGAATAACAATGGTCAGAATAATCAAGATGGCAATGGTCAGGGCAACGATGACCAAGAAGATGGCCAGAACGATAACCAAGACAATGGTAATCAGAACGGAGCAGAGAATGGCAACCAGGGAAACAACCAGGGCAATGATCAAGGCAATGATCAGGGTAACGGAGGTCAACAAGGCGACAATGCCGGCAATTCTGCAACGGAGACTCTTATCACCGAAACCCAGACTGATGCCGCTGCTGTCGAGACGCAGACTGATGCTGCCAACGCCACACAGGATGCTGCTGCTACTGAAACAGCTGCTCTTACTGAGACTGGAGCTGCCAATGGGACGGCTGCCGCTACAACTACTGATGCCGCGGCCACAGCTGCCCCTACCGCTTGCAAGGCAAAGAACAACAATGGCAACAACAATGGCAACAACAATGGCAACAACAATGGCAACAACAATGGCAACAACAATGGCAACAACAATGGCAACAACAACGGTAACGGCAATGGTAACGGCAATGGCAACGGCAATAATGGCAATGGAAATGGTAATGGACAGGATAATGCCGATGATAACCAGAACGGTGATGACAACGAAAATGACAACGCTGGAGACGCCACTAACGATAACGGTAACAACGGCGATGCCGCTGGGGATGCCGCTGGTAACGACAACGCTGGTGGAAACAACGGAAATGGCGACAACAACGATGATGCTGCTCAAGGAGATAACGCAAACGACAATGGCGGCAACGCAGCAGACAAAGCTGGTAACGACAACAACGCCGACGGTAACAATGCAGCGGACGATGCTGCTCAAGGTGGTAACGACGCGGGCAACAATGACGACGACGCGTCAGAGGACGACGCCAAGGCAGGTGGTAATGCAAAGGACAATGCAGCCTGCAACGCTAAGCGCGGTATTCTCGGCGATATCCTTCAGAATCTGCAAGGAGGTGCTGCTGCTGGAGGTGATGCCGCAGCTGATTGCAATAACTAAAAGGACATTGCAACGTTTTAATGGATATCAAAGAATTTTAGAGGATCTTATGAACGGTGACAATTGGTCTGCTGGTACAAGACTGAGATCACGGTTCTTGATGGGTGCTGGACACCGACGGGCAGGCCCAGGATCGTACCAAGATTCTTCTATATACGTAATCACCATTTAATGATATAATTGACTTCCGAAAGCACACCATCACCACTGAATCCTCGTTTAGAATAATGCGATCATCGAAAGTACTGTGAAATAAAATTGTTTGGTTGTCTGTTTCTACTACTGCGTGGATATCCACAGTATAAAGTATTAAGAGTAAGTGAGCCATCCATGCCAAGCATTCCTCATGCGCTCGGCTCTATCCACAGTCAGGTAAGCCGAGTTAGCCAACCTCTGCTGCAGCTCCTTAAACTTGGCCGTTGGCGCGCCCTTCTCAAACAACATGTCCAGCTCAAGGTAAGAAAGGCCTTGAGTCTCTGGAAGACGGAAATAGCAGTACAAGAAACAAAGGAAAGCGGTGGCCGCATAAACAAAACATGACTTGCCCTGCATATTCCATGCTGTTGGGTTCAGCATCTGAGGGACGATCACATTATTGATGATCATGAAGATGTTGTAAACAACGCGCGCGAGAGCAATGGTTTTGACGCGCAGACGGGTAGAGGGAATCTCGGCAACGATGACATAGCATGTTGGACCGATGCTCAGATTGTAAAGAAAGGTTGTTGTGATGAGAATTGCTCCAAGTGACCAGTTGAGGCCCTTTTGACCGTCGAGGACCACAGATACAATACCACCAGCGGTGAGCATGACGACGGCAGCAGCGAGGCCAGTGAGATATAGTTTTCGACGACCGATGTGAGACAACAGGAACCAAGAGATGATACCTCCGACCAAAGCCATTCCATACATGCCAGTGGACAAGCTGAATGAATGAGAAGAGTCAAATCCAGCTTGTTCGAGGAAGTAAGGTGCATAGCCAGTTAGGATCCAACCGCAAAGAGCCTGGACAGACCAGACCATGCACGAGATCTCAGTACGGCGAAGGTTGGCGCCTTTGAACAGGTCCATGTAGCTTGAACCGCCGTAGTTGAGCTTACGTTCGATACGGTTGGTGTGTTCCATGACAGCAATGGTATCATCAATGTCAAGCTGGGATTGCTTGGTGAGACGCTGAAGAGCATGTCTGGCCTCAACCTTACGTTCACGGCGGATAAGCCACCCTAGTTTGTTTGTTAGACTGATGCTTGCCAAGTCAGAAAAGGAGTGTGAGCTTACAAGGACTCTCAGGAGCAAACATGATGCCAATAAGAAGAGGGATGGCAAAGGCCCATTGAAGGGCGAAGGGTAAACGGTAGGACCACTCAGAATCGTTGTGGACGAGGGATCGCAAGACACCAGTACCAAGCAGTTGACCGATGACCCAACACATGTTGACATTGCTGAGAAGACAGGCACGGATGGCTGATGGTACAACCTCGGCAGCATATGTGGCTGCCAGTGTTTGAATGACACCCCAAGAGATACCTTTAAGTGATAGTCAATAAGAGTAACCTTGGATGAAGAAAGAATTAAAGTGAAGATGAGGGTGAATACTTACCACAAAGAGCCTGAGAAGCAACCAGTACAGCAATGTTGTGTGCAAAGAAAGCCGGAAAGACGGCCATACACATCCAAGCAAGACTGATAAGCATCATCTTCTTGTACCCAATACTGTATGTGATCCATCCATGCAACAACAGACCAATGACTTCACAAGCAATGGCAGATACTTGCAATGCTGTCTGCCAAAGCGGTGAGATCTCGTAGATTGGCCCCGTTGGCGTCTCAAACAACTCGCCATAGCGTTCTCGAAAGGCAGGGAAAGCAACAAAGCCAGCAACAAGACTCTTGTCGTACCCCTCCATGACAACAGTGAGGAAAAGAAGTAGAGACCAGAAGATAGCTTTGGGGAATTGTTTACAGCAGCCTATGATGGTCATGTCCTTTTCATTATTAAGCGCACGACGCACTTTCTCGCCTGTGTCGTCGGAGCTGTGTGATCCACGAGGAAGCCATAATATCTCGACAGCATTCTTGTTGGGGTGGTTATCTGGAAGGTCGAAGGTGGTGGATGCATCTTGGACAGGGACTTGGTTTCCTTCTGGGTCGTGTACCTTTGTCTCGATTTCTGTGACACGAAGGATGGCTTTGGACTGGACAGGGAGGAGGACTATCTCGTCTTTACTACCATTGTCCGACGAGGTAGATTTCCCCGAACCGAACATGGTGACTGTAAAGAAAGACAGAAATTAAACGAGAGATAAAAAAGGAATGGATGCCATGTGGCGATTTAGATGATTAGTGTCATCCGATATGAGACTGTCAGATGCAGGTCCTGGTCCTGGTTGCATTTATCCCGCGGCCACGGACAGACATATATAGGATCGACAACACATGGACCCTCTCGGTTAGAACTTGGGATGACGGTGCGTCTTCTCATCTTTTGCATAAATCACCAGCTGGGGTAAATGACCCGTGCACCCCAGGTTGGTTCACCTCCATAGAAAATAAATAGCTTGCGACTATGCAGTGATACAACGGCCGTTCTTCGGCGCTGCTCTGTTTTCTCCATGGGCAGAAAGTGGATACTTTTATGAGAAACTGGAGAAAAAGAAAGGGTCGAACCAGAAAAGAATAACACTAGCTGGACATTTTCCCCAATGGGTTTGGTTCTTGCGGGGGAGCGTTTGAGGGGCAGAAGCGAAGAAGAAGATCAAAAACATCATTCCAGTTGTGTTACAACTTTGATGGGCATCAAGTCTTTGTTCCCTCAGGGGTTCTAGAAGCTTGGACAATGACGATCGCGCAAAGACAATGCGGCTCTTTTCTAAAGCTGTTTTCTTTTTTTACAACTGCCAGTCGATCTCCCTAACAAATGGCACGGACAGGGATCTGAAAGCATGGCACCATCTCTCAGGTTCAGTCAGCCAAGGTTTGTTACTACTGTACCGGGGACCCGGATCACCAAATCAAACTGTTCTAGATCCGATCCTTCGCGTCTTGTCACTCGGTTCCAAAGTCAATAGTAGCATCTTTAGTACATCCCACCTCCCTGTTCTGGAAATGTAAAATCCTTGAAACGGAATAATTTAGGTAACTGTCAAAGAGCCTCATTAAAGAAAAGAAGAGCTTTTACGGATAGTTCTCGTGTGCTTGTCTCACCATGTCCACAACTGATTTTGTATCCACTCCTCTCATCCCATGGGGAACTGGAATTGTGTGCGGGGATTGGCTCGGAAGAAAGGAGAGTCGATGAGTCTAGTTTAGTTTGGTTTTAGTGTGTTCCCCTATTACGTACTAACAGTCAAACACGATGGACTGACTTCTCTGTTGGACTTTCAGCCCCGAGAACAGAGCATCAGCAGGTCAACATTGTGTGGTGTGGCGTTTTGATTCCGCACGTTCTGGCTAAATAGGATTTTCGCCAGCCCCTGCTCGTCATGTAACCTCTAGCTGAAGAAGAAAGCTCAATTCCCTGCCATTTTACGTTACCCGAGGGAAGCCGTAACTCCACGTGATGCCGAGTAGTGATCCTCAAAGCTCTTTAAACTCCTTCTACGTCCTTCCCCGAGTCCAGAAGGGACGCAACTCCAGTCCGTTCTCCATTTTAGACATTCAGCCCTCGGAAAAGCGTCCCGGATCTGCTGAGGCCAAAGCAGGATGCTACACAGACCAGATTGAGTCATGACCTCCGTCTGGCATCTGGCATGCTTCTCCACCGTTGTTTAGCTTTTTAACCGAACCTGACCCCTGATCTGTCATCAATTAACGTGCTAACCGTCAAGGGATGTTATTTCCGAGGGACATTGGTCCAGAATCGGATTATGTCGGCTTTCTTGACTTAAACCCCCAGCACGATAACTGTCAACAGCTGAAATCATTGAGAATTCATCAGCCAAGAGATGATGTGCAATAGGTGCAGACCAAGCGCGTCGGCTAGTTGCTTAGTTTTGTCTTCGGCAAGTGTTCTCTCTTGGCTAATGCGAAGGTTTGGACTCTGAAACTGCCAAAACGGTCATGGCGGATGATTAACGCCATGTGTCTTTTCGGCGCGTCTCGGATTTAGGTTTAATAAGACATTTTTAAACATGCTTTTCCTGCAAAGGTCAAGACGCGACTTGTGTGCGCGTACCCTGCAGCTTGCAGCTGGAATGTGCATCGTGGTATTGAACCGAATTGAAGATTGACGCAGTTAGCTTGAATTGTATGAAAATAACATGTAAAAGAAACAGTGTTTTTATTCTTTTGTTTGGGTGTTAAATTCACGTGGAAGCGTCACGAGCTGGTGCGAAATATGCGTAGCATATGATTGCTGATTCAATTGGTGATGGCTTCATTGAAAGTTGCCACTCACCCAGTCCAGTTAGTTGGCATCCAAAACAGTAAATCATGCTGTAGGCACAATTATTGATTTGTATACATGTTCTTCTCAATATTCAATAGTAATAACAGACATATTGATTGATGTTTTTACAGATTTTCTATTATCACCGCGATTGATCGTCATTATGAGATAATAATTGGTATTGCGAGAAACATTGGACGCGACCTTGGATTCCCCGGATTTCGCTGTCAATAAATGATAACCGCTAGCAATTAAAATGACGTTGGCTAGTGAATTTTTTCGCGGAGGAGATTTATTCGGCCCTTCTTGTGAAATGTTGAGGGGAAATAAAGTTGGCGATGCTTTGCGGGCCCAGACGTGGGTTAACGGCCCTTTTATTGTGAAAATGAGGAGGCGGGTACTTTGACAGAATCCGGGGTTGAAACGGTGATGCATGATGCAGATATGAAGGTCAATATGAAAGAGAACAAAAAAAGCAAGTTTATTGTCGAGAGTCGTGATATTCAGTCACCAGTGGAGAGGAATATATCCCGCATTCCAGACATCATAGTTCAAAGTATGGATAGAATAAAGACCCGCATGAAAAGTCTTGCGACGATCTCTGATGGTGTTCGTTAAGAGTTCCGTAGTTGCGGTAGTTTAAGGGGTCACAATGTAACCCATACTATAAAAGAACTTGCGAAGCCAATCATAGCTCAACTGGTTATCCTGAGATTGCAACCTCGGTCACCATAACCGACAGCGATACATAGCACATTTATTCTTTTGTTAATGCGAATACGATACAACTTCTGAATATGAACAAAACAGAAACAAGGAATGTTTCGGGTTTACAGGAGAGACATGTTACTCTGCAAAGATGTGCTGAATAAATCGACGTGGCTGAATAAACTCATGTCCTTCATTGCACTACAGGAACGGCTTATTCATTGATAATTAATGTGCTACATAAAACGATATCTCCAACACACAAAACACCTAATTCTTCTGGGCCCATCATGCTGCAACCTTAAGAACACAACGGCCTGCAACCTGGCCAGTCGCTAACTTGTGCACCCACTCATCAAGATCCTCAAGCTTACCCTTTGACAGAATCGGCTATAGTCAATCAGTACACAGTCGATAACTTATAGACGAAGAACTTACGCGAACAAGACCTCTGGCTGTAAAGTCAAGAGCTTCCTCGACGTCCTTCAGACTTCCGGTGACACTCCCCACAATCTTCAACCTTCGCAGTGCGACAACCATCGGTGGCGCACCAGCAAGAACAGTAGGATCCTGAGGAAGTCCGACAGCAACAACTGTTCCGTTTGGACGGAGATAGTTTGGAGCTGATTCGTATGCTGCTCGGGTCGCAGCTGTGACAATGATGCCGTGAGCGCCGTGCCCAGTGAACTTGAGCACTTGGGTTGCGATGTCTTTGGTAGTCTTGAAGTCAATGAATACCTCGGCGCCGAGTTTGAGACACAAGTCGCGCTTCTCGTCGCCACCGTCGATGGCAATGACACGCATGCCCATTGCTTTCGCATATTGAATTGCGAAATGGCCGAGACCACCGCCTGCGCCAGGAATGACCAGCCACTGTCCTGGAGTGACTCCCGATCTAGTATCCGAGTTAGAACATGCTGAAAGCAAATGACATCCTCACTTACCTTTTACAAGCAGTATACGCGGTGACACCGCCACACATGATAGGTCCAGCCTCTTCATCAGAAACACCATCAGGTATCCTGGAAGAATATCGCCCATCTGCAACAACATACTCCTGGAATGTCCCCGGCACAGAGAACCCACTGTTTGTTTGACCTGGGCAATGAACCTCATCAGAGCCAACTCGGCAGAAATCGCACTCCCCACAAGTACTGGCAATCCACTTGACGCCAGCTCGATCACCAATCTTCCAGCGCTTCTCCATACCTTCACCCACGGCCACGACAGGGCCGGCTCCCTCGTGGCCGGCGATGCCGTCAGTGACGTCCTTCATACTGACGCCGAAATCACTCCATTCATCGTGGAGAAGAGATTTGTCTGAACCACAGAGGCCGGTCCAATTTACCTTAACGAGAATTTGGCCTGGGCCTGGTTTAGGTACGGGGACGGTCTTGACAGGAGCCTTTGCATCTGGGCCAGATCCTTGACGGACTGCTGCGCGTTGATGTGAGGGGATTTGTACAGACATGTTGAAGACGTAGTGATAACTGGGAATGTTGTCGAATAAAACTGGATTTAGATAAATGATAATATCATGGGGGAAGTTGGGATATTTATCCACGACCTCACGAGTAGCACAATGTAGATAGGTAACCGAGGCATCGTAGATTCGTTGAGACACGGAAAATGCATTGCCGCCACCCAGATCACATCATCCAATTATGCCTGAAATGTGAATTTGGAAACATTTATCTGCAAGTAAACAGCCAGTAATTGAGTACCCCGAGACCGAGGTACGGGTAACAGACATCCGGGAGACCACGAAGATTCCTATCAGGAAGAAGAAAGTAGGAATGGTAAAAGCAGGGATACAAACTGGGACGATTGAGAACGGACGAGTCAGACAGTCCGAAGTGGTCTGAGAACCCCTCATGATCCGTGGAATGACAGCGGAGAGAAAAGTCCTGACATGAAAGAGGGGACTTTGTGCTGATCATTTTGAGCCTATCTGCAGCTTTGACTCTACAAATGTCCGTTAGCCCGAGTTGTATACCCTTTTCTCTCTGCAAAACAAAACGTGGCTGTGGGTCCGGGTTACTAGTCAATATGGTTATCAGGCGTTGAATCGTCAGAACTTCAATCCTGAGTGGATGGAGGTCAAAGGAATGGCTCCATAACCACGTTATCTTTTCTCGACAGAATGCGGGGAAGTTGGACTGATGTCATTTCAGTCCAAGAGAATATCACCTGATGTTGATCTTAAGGAAAATTAGCGGCAAGAATGGCTTCTAGCTCCCTTTAAATCTCTGACTTGTTAGTTGATACGCTTTGAAGTCAAAGTTCTGCATCAACTTGGTCGATCTATGATTATAAGCTAACACGGCAAAGTCCTCGGCACCGTATATTCCGAGGAAGAGCAGGACTCAACATTGGTATCCCGAATTCAGTTACCGAACGTGGCAAACAAGCGAAAACCCTTCGTGCCTAGACCTAGTGGATGGTACTGGGTTGCTAAACAAGTCTCACGATGATGGAAAGCACCGTAGGTTTTGGTTTATTTTGATTAGCTGATGGATACATTCGAATTGATACCAAGTTCAAATACAACAGAATGCTGCGACTGATATGGGAGATCAATCGCTCCGAGTGTGTAAATAGTATGATTTGGGAAAATGACTTGTACTATATAGCTGAATCGAGGCCCTTCATGTGATTCGCATCATCTCTAACCATGGCAGCATGTCCTGCTGTCCCCTCTTTTCAATATCTTGCCTCCAAAGCCTCATGTGCCTTTGATTCAGTAGTCCTTCTGGATGACCTTTCTCCATAAGAATCTCAAGGATGGCTATATTATTGTGCTCCATAGCAATCTTTATCGCCTTTCGCACATTCTTCCCATTCCTTTCCGCACCAATATCAAACAGAAGCTTAACCATCTCCAAGTCCCCTCTGCTGGTAGCAAGCGGTAACGATATATCTCTCGGCTTTTCACTATTCACAAGTGTTTTGACATCCTCGTCTTCAAGGTCCTTGGGGGAGTGTGTTGGGCCAAGATGAAAGCCTAATTCAACGAGCCTTTTAACCAAGGGCATACAATCATCCAGAACGGCACGATGGATCCTTGCCGTTCCCCAAGAAGCCAAGGTATGTGCCGCGTAAGTGTCTCTGTACGAGGTCTTGGTCCACCAGATACCTTCTCTCTCAGTGAAACCTTCCATGATAGCATCGTAAACAACATCAAATACATCGACACTTTTCGTCTTGTCAAGTATCTTGCTCAGCTCAATAGCCGCAAGCTTTCGGCCGCTGTAGTCTGTGCGCCCTAGCCAATCTAGCTCATGTTGGAGTCCCGGAAGAATGATGCTGTATCTTGTCAACGAAGGACCGCAGGTGATTGCCAAGCGCAGCCATTTCACGCTTTCGAGTGTTTTTGATTCCGAGATAATCTCATGTCTGACAAAGTCTTGCTCGCGAGAGTCTCCGGAAAGGCTGTCTAGTAATATGATAGCACAATCCATCTTGTCTATTTGTACCATCATTCTAGCAGAGTTTGCGAGTCGGATGAGAGAACGTCCGCAGTCGGGCGGCCCAAAGCCGCGTTTTATATTGGCCCCGTTCCGGTCAACATGTGGGAGCCAGGGTGTAAAGGGTGCCAGCCGCTCAACCTCTTTATCATAAGTTTGGTCGTTGTTTTCATCATCGGCAAAGTGATCTGGACAAGTTACCGATTGTGCTTTGGCAAGTATTGTTCTCAGTATCTCAGAATTATCGCTATAAATTGCCACAGCGACTAGCCCATCACGCACAACAGCGCAAGTTTCGTCCAGGCATGTGGATGGTATGTTGTCATCCGACAGTGGGTCGCCGGCGAAGAAATCGTGTCGATTGTGAATGTAGCCGTGCTTTACTGCGACCTCGCAGACCACTTCGACTTCTTCCTCGATTGTGGTGTTACAAGACGTGTCACGGTCAAGTTTGTACTGCTTCATATGTTCTGCAACAGCTTTCAGTACAACATGGTCTCGAGTGGGAGGCTTCTGTCTGATTTTTCCCAAGGTCCGAGCTGTCAAGTATCTTACGCAAAACTCGCTGCTTGGAATGAAGTCGCGGTCTATTGAGTCCGTAAATAGTTCTGTATCGTCGTGGGAGTTCTCGGGGAGCGGTGAGTGCGCTCTAAAGTACCTCGGTAGTTCATCGTATTCACCATCTTCGGAGTCGTTGTAGCCATCGAGAAGACATGGGTAGGTATAACCCTCATCATCGTCGATCCTCTCATGAAACACTTTTGTGCCGCGTACGGGATCCCAATACACCGCATCTTGAAGTATGTCAGACTCAAAGATAGCTTCCATTCCCATTTGGTAAAAGTGTTTATTGATGAGACATAACTCAAACATCTCACAAATGGATAGGATATTTGCGCAGGCATGGAAGATGTGAAGCTTGATCTCAGTGGGCAAAGTTTCTAGTCGTTTGGGACTTTGGCTGCTGGTGGACGACATCCTTGGCGGGGTTTAGTGGCGTGATTAGCCGTTCTACCTTGTTCAAGTAGAGAAGGTCTTCCCAAGAGAATCGAGTTGAGGGGTAAGTTAACGACTGGATGTGTTTGTGCAAACAGACAATCAATGCAACCTGAAGTGTGTATTCATTTGAGACACGAAATCCTTCGGTTTCAGTGACTCAGCTGAGGAGGCGGTGCCCCCTGGTCACTCCACTGATAAACAAATTGCCTTATTTGATTGGTCAGAAAATAAGCTTGCGAGACTACGGGTACAGTAAAACAAAGATCATCATTCATGCTCACAAATCCTCATTCCTTAAACTTCCCCAACCCTTGGCCCTTTGCCTCACGATCCCCAAATCATCCATGTTCAAGAGACCAATCTCATTATCGATCAGCACACGCCAAGCTATATCCCTCACATTTGGCGGCTCAGAAGGTGTGTCCCAGTATCGAGCTAATAATCCGCGAGATTCTGCCTGCTCGATCTGTGTCGATGTCATATCTCTCTCTCTTTTTGGTAAAACATCGAGAGAGCTCTCATAATCAGATCTGAACAACTTTGCGTTTCGGAACCTTGTGGATGCAAAGTACGAGTTGGATTGGTTGAAGCGATATGTTGGAGGCTTGGTATCGAAATTATCTTCCATGGATACCAGACGTTCAAGTTTGGCGTCCCAGAAGATATCTCTATGTGTTGAGTTCATTCCTATAACGGATTCGAATGGCGCATTTCCGCTTACCACGACAGTAAGTGGGCGTGTGATTCTCGCCGTGCCATTCCAATAGGTGAGATAGTCTAGATCCCGCAAAGGCTGTAAATGCCGATCCAGCTCAGCGAAGGTCTTTGCTCCAGAAGACTTGAAGTCAATCAGCAGAGTCAATGTTTGCTTTGGAGCTTTGTCAAACAACCCTCTCCATTGACCTGTGAGTCCCTCATTCTGAGCCTTGATCATGCGCTGCAAAGGCTCTAGATACAATGATTCAAGCGTTTTCTTACTGCTAAGACCCAAGCTTGAGTGGCCAACGAGTAAGCTTGACCTTTTCAGATGAACATCTGCTTCGACACTGATGCATCCTGAGCCGAGAGCATCAAAGAGGGGAATATGACGCTCGTAGTCGTTGTGGGAGTGGATCGGGACAGGGTCGGCATTGCGAAGGAAGGACTGGTGGGCATCGTCCCAAAGTTCTGGGCTTTTATATGTGAGGCCGCTGAAGCGGATGTCGTATGGGTCGTTCGATACACGGATCAGACCTTTGCTAAGGTGTTGGATATAGATGAGTTCGCCAATACATCTACACGACAATTAGTCGGGGTGAGCGATATATGTGAGTGTATGAACACACAAGAAGAATAACAGGCCGGTGATGTATCTCAGCCAGTTCGTTCGTAGGTGATGCCGAAGGACCATCCTTCTGGAGGGACCTTTCCCAATATCATCAACCATTGCAGCTTCACATGAACTGGCAAGTCTGTAACCTGAAGCCATGGAGACTTTTGTGTACCACGAAACCATTCATTCGAGTTTTTGAAGTTGTTGAGGCCGTTGAGGGGAAGATTGTTAGTTATACGAGCAATAGCGCTAGTAGAAGTTCTAGACCGATGCTCGACTTGAGCACCGAATTAGGCCGACGGGGTCCCTATCGAAGGATCAATCAGGCAACTCTATTCGGCAAAGCGGCGCGGACCAACGACGCCTTTTACGCTTCGGCCAATTACGAGATGATCAACAATACGGTAAATGAGAAATTCTTCACAGCCACGACGATATGTTTCATGGAACGATTACGGGATCGACATATAATGAATGCGTGACGCAAGCTTGTTGCCAGACAAGTACTCAATAAAAGGGAAAACGTTCTTGTTTATTCGCATTCATGTGTGGAGCGTAGGATTGTTCCCAGGTGATCACAGTTCTAGATCGTCAACGAACAGGGGCACAGTTCCCGCCAAGTCGAAAACGAAGGATTCTTTGACTTCTTCCAACGAGCTGCGCCATAACCCTGCGTCAGCTCGGCTGGATTTTTGTCACCATGACTGACAATATAATTCTGCCTTCGGAAAGAATACGAAAAAGGCAATGGCCGGGAAGCTAGAGTTGCAAACCAACCGCAGCAAGTCGAACAACTCACAGGACCCGCATTGAATGCACAGGTAATTTTTGATCTGATACTCTGAAGACTGGAGGGTATAATAAGTAAGAACACTCGCTGGGTTCGAGGTGGTTTCATCATTGTTCCAATTCGTACGGATGAAGGTTCAAAAGACTACCCACACAGAAACGCAGACATACCTTTTTACATCTAAATCCAGCTGTAATATTAAATGATCAATTGCGTTAAAGAGGCTGCAGATACGTCCGTGTCACAGTATTCCTATGCTGTTAGTCGATGGCACAAGCTTTATTATTATACCGTCGGCGTTGGTCGTAGATATTGTACAACGGAATAAGGCCCTTGTCTAGCTGTGACTGAAAGGGCCACTGTCAACATGATAATGCGGCTCAGACGTTGCCACCAGGGCACCAAAAATATTAGCCGCCGGAGGCATAATAGACGAAATTAGCGAGTCAGTTTATGCTGTTTAGGCAACACTCTTTGTTAATTTAATTTGGCAGCCTAGAGCTTAAATGCTAGGGTGACAGGAAGTCTATTGGACGCTTTGATCACCTCATCAGCAGGAGCCCACACCTTCTGCCGCTGCTATAGCCATTCACGTACCTTCAGCCAATAGCTGACCTGTGCTGTCTCATATCATGGCCGTCCTCCTAGAGAATTGCGTGTGACAGACATACGTGACCAATGAATCGTAGTCGTTGCGACTTCTGAGGTCACCAACAGTGCAATCGTCTGAGCCATGTCAGTTTCAGTGGCCCGGTCGGCTTGGAGGGGCCTTTCAGCTGGACCTCAATCTCTACCACTCTGTGATACACATGTAGTTCTACTCATTATAAGTCTTTTGTCTTTATCAGGCACTAGCGATCTAGAATACAGAAAGCAACAGAGTCAATAGTCTTTGTATCATATCACAGTGGCACGTGCTTTATCATCTAGCCCTTCACTGTCATACTCTTTCATGTTACACAAACATGATGGTTCAACAAATGATAGCTATTTGTCTGTCGGCTGTAGAGCCACTCCAAGCTTCTTGCATGTTACAAAGGAAAATCATTTTGTTGGTCCACGTAGACAGGCCTTTTTACATTTCGACTGTAGGAGGCCGACCATTTCGGCCAACATGTCTGACTACCAACGATAACCCCTACCAACATCAGCTCTTTTCAAATTATCTCTCTACACATAAATACCGCACCATCCTGGTTATTAGTTCTCAAGCTGTCTACGTCAATAATACTCAACGAACTATTCCTTAACGTTTTCTACATGAGATAAGTATGGCAGAAAATCGACGGTAAGGCAACCCAGCTGCGTCAATAAATCGTCACTAACTTTTTAGAAATGGCCGGAAGGGCTTTACGTCGAACAATCAACCTCAATCATGTCCCCATTTTCTGCGAAATAGGTGTACATACGGTCAGAATTGCCGATTCCTACATGATACTTCAAGCACGCAGAGATCCGCCAGACCCAATCATACCAACGCCCCCAGCGCTCCTCGAGATGGAAAACTGCACCAGTGGAAGAAGCTCATCAAGCTGGGAGACTCGGGATCCAATTCGCCCGAGTTGAAGAACGTTGTTGTGGGCCAGTTCTTCCAACTCGGTTTAGAATTGTTGGACGGTGATATCGGCGCTGCACAAGAAGCCATCAAACTTCTTGCCAAAGATTCTGGCCTGACGTTTATCAAGGCGTTGACTGAACGGCATATCGCACAACCTGGAAATGCTAACAAGCTCACTCTGTGGGAGACCGAAGTCAGACCACTGTTTTCCCTTATCACACACCCCCGAGTTGTAGACTCAGCCGTTCTTGAACAGCAAGTCGCCGACTTGTTCAACTTTCTTCTTGGAGTTCAGGGTCGGCGAATGACCATATTGTTCAATTTCATTCTCCAGCTCATCGCTGAATTGACACGACCTACACAATGTACTTTACGACTTGGAATACTCGAGCTTTCACTTAACGTGCTTGCAAAGATAATCGATTGCAACACCAACAACATTGTCAATCCAGAATGTGGCAGGCTGGTCTCCGCATTTGCCCAGCTCTTGCATCACCACTCTAACGGCAAAGATAACTTCTCATTCGTGCAGGCGTCCAAGTATGTCGAGTACATGCAACAACGACTGGACACTGGCAAGGATATCCCCGAGATGATGTTCAACACTCATGCCCCACTATCGAGGGAAAGTTTCGTGCTCAAACGAAATGGGCCAGGCACACTCTCTGCTGACGGACGCCGCCATGACAATGACCACACCGACATCAGGAATATCCAAATCATGCCTACCTTCGATGAGATTGTATCTCCCCGCGCAGAGTACTTGCCAACCAAGTATCCTTCTGAATGGCATATCGGAGGAATCCGAGGCCGTCTAGATCGAGAGTTTCGACTCATTCGAGAGGATACAGTTGGACAGCTCCGAGACGTTGTGCGTGACATGCTGGAAGCGGCTCGAGACCCAAAGCGAGGCATTCTTCAAAAGTCAAAAACTATGAGAACTTACACTTACGAAAGCCCCATGCCCATTCATGTCAATTGGCATCGGATTGGAGGGCTAGAGATGGTTTTATCCTGCAAGCAACCCCCTGCCGTTAGCAAGCTGAACGCGAAAAAACGACGAGAGTGGTGGGGACATTCCAAGAGATTGCAAGCTGGCGCGCTTGTCTGTCTGTTCGATATCAAAGGTACAGTGATATTCTGCGTTGTGTCTGACACCACAATGAGATCGAGGGACGACAAAGAAGGCAGAACATTACAGAAGAAGGCCGAGGGTCAGGAGTCTAACGAAGAAGTCAGAACCCTGTCGGACGATGAGGCAGTTTTGTTTGTCAACCTGCGACTTGTGGATCCAACTGACACTGAGATATCGCATGCCATGCGATGGTACAAAAGCACCCGATCATCTCCGCGTCGATATCTTGTCGAGTTCCCAGGAGTGCTCCTTGACTCGTTCAAACACACCCTATCAGCTCTGCAAAAGATGCATGAGAAGCCTGACATTCCATTCAAGAAGTTGTTGGCGCCCAAGAACGACCCAGACTCCGATGTGGATGTCGGACTACCACAATATGCGAGAGTGCCAGGCTTTGCTTTCGACCTCGGCTGCCTTACCGCTGACAAATCCGCGCTTGCTATGAACCCTCGCTCGCCTCTTGCGCCCGAAACTCTGGCACTCAAAACCAGTCTCGATCCCACTCAGTCTGCTGCCCTATTGAACACCTTGACAAGAGAGTTGTCGCTTGTCCAAGGCCCTCCGGGAACGGGCAAAAGCTACACTGGAGAAAAGATCATCAAAGTTCTCTTGAACAGTAGAAAGAGAGCGAAGCTAGGTCCAATTCTTTGTGTCTGCTACACGAACCACGCTCTGGATCAGTTACTTGAACATCTCCTCGATGACGGAATCAAAAGCATCATTCGTATGGGGTCACGATCTAAGTCTGAGCAATTGGAGAATCTGAACTTACGTGCTGTTGCCAGAGAGACGTTCCTAACAAAGTCTGAAAAGGGTGGCCTGTGGGAAGCAGATCAACGAATCCGCCAACATGTCGAGGAGGGGCAGGAACTGCTGCAGGAGCTTGCCTCGTGCCAATCATGGACCTCCATCAAGGCCTTGCTGTCGTCCGAATACCCTCGACAATACGCAGAGATTTTTGGAGAAGACCGTGATGGGTGGAAAACAGTCATTCATCAGCCCGAAATGGCCATTCATCGTTGGCTTCAAGGCGGAAATCATGTTACAGGAAGCCGCCCTAGACGACTTGGACAGCTCAAGCTTGCTCCACTTCAAACTCTGACCAAGGAAGAACGGGTCACCCTCCATCGGCACTGGATCGAGTCAATCAGGGATCCAATCATAACCAAACTCGCAAGACTGGATCTAGAATATAAAAATGCCGTGCGACACAAAGACGAAATCCGTGGGGACATTGACCTGCGCTGTCTCAACGAGGCAGATATCGTCGGCGTAACCACGACAGGTTTGGCCAGGAACTTGACTCTCTTGCGAAAGTTGCGATGCAAGGTGATGCTTTGCGAAGAGGCGGGTGAGGTTCTCGAGGCCCATAATCTTACGGCCCTCCTCCCTTCCATAGAGCATGCCATACTGATTGGCGACCATCTGCAACTTCGCCCTCAGATACAGAACTACGATCTGCAAAGCACCAATCCACGTGGCAAGCAATTTTCCCTCGATGTTTCCTTGTTCGAGAGACTAGTTGAACCATCGCACGACACAGCGGTAAAGATACCTTACAGTGTGCTCGAGACACAAAGACGAATGCATCCTTCAATCGCTGAACTGGTCCGATCGACGTTGTATCCATCGCTGAAAGACTCACAGAACGTAGAAGACTATCCACAGGTAGTGGGTATGAGACGACGTCTATTCTGGTTCAACCATGATCAACCTGAAAATGCAAACGGTAACGACGAGTCAATGAGTACTTCCAGGTCCAACAACTTCGAAGTGGACATGACAGTTTCTCTTGTTTCTCACCTATCGCAGCAGGGGAAGTACGGAGCAGGGGACATCGCGGTCATCACACCATACCTAGGTCAGCTTCAACTCTTGCGTCGTAAGATGGAGTCCATGTTTGAGATTTGTGTCAACGATCGGGACGCGGACGAACTCGAGACTATTGAAGGGGAGGGTGGGGATGCTATTCTCCCAAACATTAGCCCCCTTCGAAAGACAACTCTCCTCAAGACTGTCAGAGTGGCGACCGTTGATAACTTTCAGGGTGAAGAAGCCAAAGTTATCGTGATCTCCATGGTTCGAAACAATCCTCAGAAGGAGTGTGGCTTCCTCAAGACCTCGAACCGTATCAACGTTCTGTTGTCCCGTGCGCAGCATGGCATGTACATCATTGGAAACACAAGCTCGTATGAGAGGGTACCTATGTGGAACCAAGTCATCAAAGTCCTGGCCGTCAATGAAAATGTTGGTGCGAAGCTGGAACTGCAGTGCCCCAGGCATCCGGAGACACCTATGCTGGTCTCACATCCCGAGCACTTTTCTCAAATGTCTCCCGAGGGTGGTTGTCGACTTGTTTGCGACAAGCGATTAACCTGCGGCCATCCCTGCAAGCGCAAGTGTCACTCAGACACCCTTCACCGCGCCGTCAAGTGCTTAGAAGCATGTCCACGATTGAAGCAAGGATGCAATCACGCTTGCCCCCTCAAATGCGGAGAGCCTTGTCAGAATAAATGTCTCGTTAGACTTGAGAAAACTGATGTACTGCTTCCGTGTGGACATCACCTTTCTTCTCCGAAATGCTGGGAAGCACAAAACCCAGCGTCTGTCCGATGTGTCAAGATGGTCACGAAGAAAGTCCCAGGATGTGGTCATGAAGTATACGTTAAGTGTTGTGAGGATGTCACCACGGATGACTTCAAGTGTCTTTCGCCATGTGGGAGCCATCGCACCTGTGGGCATACCTGCAAGACGCGTTGCTTCCAATGCAACACTCGCAAGGACGGGGAGATTATACAGAAAAATCATGGTATATGCACCCAACGCTGCGGTCGGAACTACTCGACTTGCCAACATAGCTGTGCTCAAAGTTGCCATGGTGATGCACCTTGTCAACCGTGCAAGGAACGATGCGAAGTCCGTTGCATTCACTCAAGATGCGACAAACCTTGCAGCGAACCTTGTGCTCCCTGTGCTGAGGCAACGTGCGCTTCAAGCTGTGTCCATTCTCAGTGTACTGCACCCTGTGCCGCCCCTTGCAACTGGGTGCCTTGTTCCTTGAGATGTGACAAGCTCCTCGACTGTGGGCATCAATGTAAGTAGCACCGATTTGGTATTGTAGTTTCCTTGCTAACTATTATAGGCCCATCAATCTGTGGAGAAGTCTGTCCTTCTTCCAAATTCTGCCAGATCTGCGCAACTGAAGATATCAAGTCTGTATGCGTCGACTTCATCATGATGACGGAATACCGAGACATTGATCTTGATGAAGAGCCTTGTGTATTCCCTAACTGTGGGCACTTCCTCGCTGTCTCTTCAATGGATGGTCAGATGGACATGGTAGCACACTACACACTCGATGCCGACGGTCTTCCCACACAGATTCTTCGGAGCTCTGAGCCTTTCTCTCTGGACGGTCAGGACATTAAGTCCTGTGCCACCTGTCGCGGGTCTCTCCGCAGTATCTCACGATACGGTCGAATTGTGCGCCGAGCTATGCTTGACGAGGCGACAAAGAAGTTCATCTCTTGTTCAAACGATGAGTATCGCTTATTGGCATCAGGACTTGTGAGTGAACAGGAACGCCTGGTCGCTATGAAACCTCCTGGGCTACTGGACCGCAACCCTGGGACAAATGCGAATTTGACTGTTTCAGGTTCGCGCCAAAGACAACTACAGATCCTGAAAGAGTTTGTTCGTACACGATATGATTCCATTCTCAGATTTCGGAAATATGTGGTATTCTATGCCGCCAAAGTGAGAAAGGAGGAACAACCTTTCCAGCGCGTCGCAAATCTTGTCAGGCACTCCAACCTTCATCGGGGTGGGCAGAATGAATTCCGATACGACCAGGCTGTCATCCAAGCAAAAGGGACCCTCCTCTCGGCAGCATTGCTTTTGAAATGCGACATATTAATTCTTTCCGACTTCTTTGGGCTCTTGGTCGGCGGGAAAGCAAAGTCTCCCACATCAGAAGTCCATCTCGACTTTTCGTGCTTCATGAGCGACTGCGATACCTTGATCAAAGATGCACAGGCTGCCCGATATCCACGAGAAGAGACCCAGGGTCACGTATTTTATGCTCAAATTTGCGCCTTCTCCCGTCAATGTGCCTCCAAACCCTCTGAACCCAATCAGCAGAATGGCCAGGCCTCGATATCTGTATCGACAGCCGTTCCTGACTCACTGGACCAGCTACGTGAGAAGGGTCTTGACCACATTTCAAAAGCAAGGAATCTCCTGGAGAAGAACCCATCATGTGCGTTCCTCGAGAAAGAGGTAGACGCTGCGGAAGAAGCTCTGAATGGTGGAGTTTATCGTCCTGTTACAGCCGAGGAGTTGAGACAAGTGTATGCTGCGTCTACGGGAGAGCTACGTGGAACGGGACATTGGTACACGCGTCGTAACGGGCACCCTTTTACTATCAACAATTGTGGTATGGCGATGCAGGAAGCAACGTGTCCAGAGTGTGGAGCTCCGATCGGTGGACGGGATCATGTGTCAGTCGAAGGTGTAAGGCATGCCACAGAGATTGAAGAGATTGCGAGAGGGATGGGAGGAGTGCATTTATAAAAGGATGCTGTAGTCTTTATTGGTAGCATCAATGTAGGTGTCGGGCTTTTTGGAAGCACTGAGCGTATCAGTATTTACTCCCAAGATAGCGCAAAGATAGTCATTCTTTGAATGTAAATTTTCAGATCAAGGGAGGGAACAGTGATTTCAAAGTATCAAAAGGCTTGACTGTATTTAATCTATGTGTAAAGAGTACTAGTACAAATAAGAACATTCTAAAAGACGTGATATCAAGCGCTATTACAACTTGGCCTTGAGGCCATTCTTTCGGAACAGCACATCCGATGCAGGATTAGAATCAAAGATAATATCGTTAACTGGGTTATCCTCCGAAGCACGACGGAACAGATCCTCGTACACCTTGCCATCAGATCGTCCCAGGGCACTGTCAAGCTGCCAGTCAGGGAACGACCACGCATCTACGAGACGCACAGCGTGGGGACGGATCTCATCCAGAAGGGAGAGTGTACGCTTTGTGCGTGCAAGCTGGATCTGGCGAACCGTTGTGGCAGCGCTGGTGAAGAACTCAGAAGCAGAGCTTTGAAGGTGGTGCAGGGCGAACAGCTCAAAGAGCTTGTGAAGAAGAGCCAGGGTGTTGGCATCGAGAGAGGCTTTTGTGGATTCCTCCTTGAGAGCCTCGTGGAAGTTCTTGACGACTTGGTACTGAGCATACGCAGTGGATAGGCGCCAGAAGTCGATCAGCAGGCTGTTCCAAGACTGCTTCTCCTCATCTCTGTGCTTAAGGGCCTCAAAGGTGAGGAAAGACACGCGCCAGGCGAAAGCGTCAACAAGATCCTGATCGCTGTCAAGAACATCAAAGGCAGCACCAATGTCTTGTCTTCGGATGAACTCCTTAAAGATACGAGAGATGCCGTTATCGGGTGCCTTTCCTGCGAGAACGGCGCGAGCCGACTTGAGGAGGTATCGGGCGACTTGCTGGGTAAGCATGTAGTTGTCACCCTCCCATGTAACAGTGGGAAGATAGTCGGCGTACCAGCTGCCAATGCCAGAGAAGGCAGAGTAGCCATGGCCACCACAAGCGCGACGACATACTTCAAGACCCTCAGCAGCGGTTGTAGAAGCAAAAGCCTTGAGGGAACAGGAGATGGCGTGCAGATCAGCCAAATGGTCGCTACCAGGGCTGAGCTCCTCAGGTCCGGGTCCACGCTTGTTGCTGTTTGCGTCGCTTGCGTCACGGCTCTGGGCCATGCGCTTCTGGTTTGCGTTGTAAAGGTTGATCATAGCGCGACCGGTGAAGTGAAGAGCATAAGATGATGCGAGCAAAGGCAGGAGACGGTGCTGCACCATGGTGTAGTTGAGGACCTGGTTCTCGCCCACCTCACCAGAGGCATCGCGGTCCTGGAACTGTCGTCGAACAGCACAGTATCTTGTAGCGATGGTGACACCGCGGGCAAGGACAGAGCCAGACTGGAAGACAATGGATGATCGAATAAAGGTCAAGGTTCCGTAGATAAGGGCTGGGTTTGAAGGCCGGATGTACTTTGATGTCTCGGGGTCAATGCCAGAGAAACGGTTCAGCATGTTGACGTGGGGGATCTTGACGTGGTTGAAAAGCAAGAAACCGTTGTCCATGGTGTTGTAACCGAACTTGGGACCGATATCCCCGACGTGGATGTTCTCAAGAGGCTCGTGGGTCTTCATGTCGCGAATTGGCACGACGAAGGGGTGAGGGCCATATGATTTGCCGTTAAGGATGAGCTGAGCGACAACGACAGCGTGGTTGGCTGCCTTGCCGAGAGAACCGATCCACCACTTTGAAGCAGTGAGATGAGGAGAGTGCAGAGTGAATGTCTTGTCCTCGGGGTTCCAGGTGGCAGTCGTCTCAAGACCTCTCACGTTAGATCCGTGACCCAACTCAGTTTGGGCGTAACATCCGATGATCTCATAATTTCTAGCTCTCTCAAGAAAGAGCTTGTGCTGGGCTGGTGTTCCCTGTTCTTCTAGAGTCTTCAAGAACATTGTCGCGTGGAGGCCATAAGGTGTAGGCTCGCTGATGAGATCGTTCGCAACATGATGTTCCTCCTCAGTCCAGTTGTGCTTGTCGCTTAGACGCTTCAGGTGCTTTCCTCTGGCGAGCGCAGCCTCGAGACGATCAGTGCGGCCACGGAAGTAGTTCTGTGACTTATCAAACACGGGGTCATCTTGGAGGATCTTGAGGATTTTGGCATTGCGCTGGAGGACTTCCTTTGTGAAGAGGAATGTAGCGAGTTGGTCGACGTTGATGTCTGATTGAGCGCGTTCCTTCGCGATGAGCTCAGATCCTTGAGGGCCTGAGGGAGTCAGGGCCTTGACCCAGTCTGGATTAGGAGGAGGCATTTTGTATGTGTGAATATGAGTTATTAGATATTACCCCAGATTATGAGATTTACCCCAGAGTTGATAAGTTCGCGGGGAGAAAGTGAAGAAAGGAGGTGTTGAACTTTATGGGGAATGGTTCGGCTGAGCGATGTCGGAAAATCGATGAGACTAAGACTCTCAAACCTCGGCTGTGTCTTGAAAGGTGGGTCATGGCGACGGCCTTTATCTTTTGGTGCCGAGGCACGTTAGTTATCATTATCAACGAGTCTTGACATGAACAACAGACCCAGAATCAGAAGTGAATCCAAGGGCTAAGTTGTAGATTATCATATGTCGTCTTTTCAATGACCGCTATCGGCATTTCCTAATACACTTTTGAATGCGGCACAACCGTTTCAGTACCGATTTGATTATCTGTCGGAGATGGAAGATTATTTTTGCGGGATGATCTGATAAGATAAGATGTAACGAGGTACGCGTCACTAAACACCGTCGGCATTTATTTCATGCCCGATTCCCCTGAGTATAGGGTGACCAAATTATTATTTTTAAATATCAATAACCATCTAAACCTCAACCATGACGGCGATGGGACATTTGAAAAGCGATCAGATATACCAGATAATATGTAGTGAATATACATTGATTCCTAGATTTTAGGCAACCACATTATCTCAGCCAATAGAATGATTTGTTGTTCAGCTCGTCAGCTTCAGAATCCAGACGTTGCACAACATTGTAAAACTGAGACAACTGACCATTTTTACAATAATCATCCGGCATCAACATGACTGACTCCCAACAGCCAGAAATCATTCTATACGACTTGGCTTGTACCAAAAACGTCTGTTTCTCTCCTGTAGTATGGAAGATTCGTCTCATGCTCAACTACAAGAAAGTCCCATACACGACTATTTTTCTCGAATTTCCTGACATCGCGCCGACTTTACAAGAGCTGTGAGTCTTGTTTGTCTCCAAAATTAATCTCTACTTACCTCTACACACCAGTGGTCTCGCCTCGCATCCGCCAAGCTCCAGGTCTCATGTGAACTATACAGTCCCCACGATCAAACATGTTCCTACAGGTACATTCCTCATGGACTCACCAGCCATCGCCAAGTTCTTGGAGACTACTTACCCCAACCCGCCTCTTACTCTTACATCCGAGCTTGGACAAGAGATTGAGGTCAGTGCTCGTAGCGCAATCGGCCCAGCATTGCGTGTCTCAATCACACCACGTGAACACCTCCTACTCTCACCTCGGTCGCAGGAATATTTCCGTGCCAAGAGTGAAATACTACTTGGCTGCAAGCTGGAAGATCTGAAGAATGAAGAAAAAGAAGAAAAAACTTGGGAAGGGGTCAAAGAGAAAATGAAGGAGCTGAGTGACTTGATGATGACAAACAAGGAAAACGGACCGTTTGTACTGGGAGATCGTCCTAGTTACACAGACTTTTTTATCGCGGCTTCACTCCAGTCGACGAGGACGATTGATGAGAGCGTGTTTCAGCGATGCGTGGCATATCCCGGTTTCAAGATGATTTATGAAGCTTGCCTGCCATGGATGGATAAAAGAGATTAGACTACTTAACAAGGCTTATATTGTTAATGAATGTAAGGTATTCTAAGAGACAGACTTATACTCTGTACAGGGACAGGCTAATATCGACTGGCTTGGCTGCCAAAGGGAAACCTGCCAGACCCACTCAAACACCCTCCCAAGATCGTGGAGATTGCCTGGGAGCGCGTTTGTAATGTACCAATGCCTTGGATAGTGTCCTTGATTCGAATGAGATGTCACAGTTCAGCACGGGGGATGATTGATGGGCAGTGTATTAATGGGTGCTCCCATCTTGGCCGCCCCAAAATTCCCGCAAGGCGATCAAACTTGGCAATGCCGAGCCTCGACGAACCAATCACACTCTATGGGATAATCTAGAGTATCTTGAATAGGTAGGGCTGAACCGAAGTGAACCCCGCAAGTTCAAGATAGCATTCGTCGGGTATCTATCTCTAGATCTTGCAGGTGCGGATAGTGCCTTGCTAACTACTGCTCCCCGCAATGTGGTTTGTGGGGTGTACTCTTACACGAGGCGTAATGGCTCGAAGGTCTTCATTGCGCGTTACCATCTCTCTATGAGAGAATCATTGCCATCTCTGTGGCTGCTAAAATGTGGTATGAAACTGTGCATGACCAAGTTTCAAGATGCAGGTTATGATGTTATGGCAATGAAGCAGAAGATTACGCATCATCACATGATCGCAGAGCCTTACCTGGAACGGAGGACGATCGAAACCCCTCTGAGGGATAATTGTTACAACGCATGACAAGAATGACTCGGTAATTTGCGGGATTATCAGTGTTCTCGACTGCATTATCTGTATGTGCTGGCAGGTCTAAAAGCTGACTTCCGATGCTTGAATAGCATTTAGAATCCTAGGCTTTTCATGGAAAGCAGGAAGTTATCGTATGCATGTTATTGACGAGAATAAAAAAAGGTTGCAACCCTTTCCGAAAATTATGCCGACACATCATCTCTTGTTATTTCTCGGCAAAGGTGGTACCTCGTACATAACCCGATAATCTAGGTGATGTTTAGTTTTCGCCATGCCGAGAAACTATTTATTTATTGTTCTTGGTATCAGTTCATGGTTGTGTTTGAGGTCTCATACGATATTAACGTGACAATCAGCCATCAGACGATGGTTCAAGAGTCTTATTTTTAACCTTGGACGTTAAGCTTAAATTATACCCCCAGAGACAAAAACCAGTAGTAGCTTACAGGACGGTTAGGGCGGAATCAGCAGACTTGGCAGTTAATGAGTCGATCGTTTGTGGGGGGTTTGGTCCCTAGCTTAGCGTGCTTGGCTTGAGAGGAGGCCGCCAGCGCCTCACTTTCAGGGCTAGAGGCCTCTAAAGCGTGAAAGAAGAAAGGTTACGACGAGGCCAATCCTGTTCTTGGCTCTCGCTATGATCTCATTTTGCTTGGCTTGGCGTCGGCTCATGATCAGAATTTGCTTCACGTGTGACGTTTGCAATGACCCCAAAAAGCCCACTTCTTGGTTTTTTTTGTGCCCTTGGAGGCGATATTATGAGTCTCAAGCCCTGATACAATAAGAGACCTGACTCTTTAGATACCATCAAGTTTACTTATTCTCTCAACTCAACTTAACTCAACTCAATCAACAACACATCACTTTACACTTTACCTGTCAGTCACATCAGCTATGGGTGTCAGAATCGCTACCTTGGAAGACATTCCCGCCTTGAAGGAGATTATTCTCAAGGGCCTGTCAGAGGATTCCGTCTTCAAGTACTGCTTCCCCTCAACTCGTTCAGAAACAGCATCAAATCACGTCGAGACTGTCCTCAAGAGAATCATTGACGCAGAAAACGTCAGCTGGCTCTGCTTTGTGGTTGATGCTCCCAAGACTCACGACCCTGTTTCCTTGGCCATCTGCCAAACCATCCACCAGAATGCCGATGGACAAAAGGGCGTTGCCGAGCAGGCTGAGCAAGGTACGTAACGTTAAATTGGGTGCCCCTCATCTCACCTCCACTACTACCCACAACCTGTGAAACCTTGATTTCTTCTTTTATTGGAGACTAAGCTAATTCTCGTATTTGTATTGCAGTCTTTGGTCTAGAAGCAGATGACAACCAGACAAAGACGATAAAGAGACTCTCTGCTCTCCAGCAAGGCATCACAGAAACACAGCAAAAGTACCTCGTTCGTCACACCGAGGTCATCTTTCTTCATGCCGTCATCACGCATCCTCACTGGATTCGCCAAGGTTTCGCCAAGACGCTCTCCAAGCAAACCCTGCAGGTTGCCCGCCAAAAGGGCGCCGTAGTAGTCGCTTTGGCTAGCCCCTTCACCGGCTACGTCTTCTACTCTGGTACCAGCTTTGCCAACTGCGGCCGCACGAAGGTTGAGACCGACAACGACATTGAGAACCTTGAACTCCAAATCATGGTTTGCACTCCTCCCAAGCCTCTCGAGCAGCGACGTAGCTCTCTCATGGACTACTTGGGCGGAGCTACTAAGAAGATGTCACCCGCTGGTAGCAGACGCGAGTCATACGACCAAGACGCTGCAGGCGCTCAAGAACAGAGGCGGAGCTCATTCCTTGACATGTTCGGTTTTGGCTCAAAGACACCTAACGATGTTGACAATGATGCCCGCAGAAAGTCCCACGCCTAGACTTGTTCCTATGGGACAAACACGATTCTTTATAGATTGGGATACGGAGTGTTTTCCTTTTTGTAATTACTTTCTACTATTATCCCAAGTACCTACGATCTTACGAACTTTGCCGACTGCAAATATATACCACTACTCATTTAGAACCCCGCACCCACTGTGGTTCATGCCCCATTATGCTTCACCGATTTTCATGTCTCACATCATGCATTTACAAATGCTCGCCAACGCACAATCAGCCAATTGACTGCATTAGGTCACCGGAATTAAGCGTAGTACAAGCCCTGAATACCAAGAGAATAATATGATATTTTCCTCGATTATCCAATTGCGCCACTCAAGGTGGTGAGACAGAATGAAAATTTTAAATTGACTCACTATATGTCAGACTTTTATCGTTTTAGCCCTGGAACAACAACGATTTATAGCATGTTCTAACGGTGATCAAATCAATCAACAACGGCATGCGTGAGGTGACTCAGAAGAGCCTAATACAGAGCATCCAATATATTCCGATTATCTTGAGCTAACTTTGGATTGGACGCCAACGAGAAGTTCATTCTTCGCGCTCCATTACCGTGGAGTGGCCTCTTTAGTTTGTTGTGAGTATCGAAGTGAAGATGGGTTCTTGTTTTGATATATGTCTCAACATCAATATTTGTCGCTTAACCACCTACAACTTCCAACAACGGAACAATGTATCTCTACTCAAGAGCTTTAGGCTCAGACTTACAAATATTCTCACCAACATCATCCTCTCATGTTGTCCGATGCAGTATAATGCTCTGCCATGCTGCCGCTCCAAACAGACAGGATTGTCTTCTCATACGATGGAAATGGAAAGGCTGCGCATAGGAGTGGGGATAATTGCCCTGAATAGTGGAAGCAGAAGAGATGTCTCTGCTGATATATTGCTGTATCTCCATTTTCTAGAACGACTTGAGAAGGCGGAATGGAAAGCTCTCTCATCTTCGACCGTCGCTATTGGCCAAAGTGACGTGACCCTTGGGAAATCGACTCTTGCTAGATGCGGTCCGGACTTGAAGATGAAGAGGTTGCTCGGAGCCTACACAGAACAAAGCGTGTCATAATCGCCACCAGAAAGACTGGAAGGATTGAACATCTCAGGATAGGTGGAGAGGACGTCTGATATAACTTCAATAGGCTCGGAAAGTTTCTCGGCCCCCGGTAAATTTAATGTCTCAGGGCAGGAAGGCGGAAGAAAAAAGAGGCTCCTGGCTCGCCCTTATACGAGATCGTACAAAAGTTCGTTCTCAGCATATGTCTCGATATTAAGCCGATTTAGACACAAGTTAGCTCAGTTGGTATGGACTTGGATCAACCACGTGGACCGTCGATCGTCATGAGCGGGGAAATCAAATGGTTAACACGATCAAAAAACCCGACGAGCTCCTCCAATGAAGATCCTGCCAAACCGGATTTGTTGCCAATATAGGAGAGTAGAATTCTAAGTTTATGGTTGTAGCTCGATAAGCCAAGTGATTCCGCGCCGCATGACTGCGACTGCCAGTCTAATCGAGTAACCTCTGCGAGCTAAGACACTATATAAAGAGATCTTGCCCCAGATACTTTTCTTTGTTCGCCGTATCAAATCAGTTCGCCAGGCTAATATTTGTTACTATTCGAAAGCATGCTTATCCTCATCGCTGGTATAACCGGAATGGTCGGGCAGCCGTTGGCCCGCGCCGCCATCGCTCAAGGCCATTCAGTCCGTGGTCTAAGCAGAAACGCGGATAAACTCGACCCAGAAATCTCCTCCAAGCTCGAGTCTTTCATCACTTGTAGAGACTATTTCGACTCAGAGTCTTATAAGAAGGGTGTCCAAGGAGTCGATGCCGTCATCGCTGCTTTGCCAGCTGTGCCAAGTATTATTGGAGCAGGCCAGTTATCTCTTCTGTTGGAGGCAGAGAAAGCAGGTGTCAAGGTATGGCCCCCAACTTCTCGACATGGATCTGTACTGACTAACCTGGAATTCAGGTTTTCCACGCCGCATCATGGAACTTTGATTGGACAAAGCTCAACATGGGTGACCATGAGACTTATGATGCTTACATGTCTTTCAAGCGTCTTGCTGAACTCTCGAGTGGGTTGAAACCCATTTACGGATTCTGCGGCTCTATCCTAGAATACATGTTTATCAACTGCAAGAAGGATGGACGCCGATCTGCTATCGACTCTGAGAGCAAGACAGTTACTTACTGTGGTACTGGTGAGGACAAGATGTCTTTGATCAGTGCTGACGACTTGGCAAAATATACACTGGCAGCGATAGCCGACCCGGAGATTATACAGAGGGGTGTTTATTACGTCGAGTCTTTCAGATGCACAGTTCCCGAGCTCGGTGAAATGTATGGAAAAGCACGAAATATCGACATCAAGAAGCAACCTGTTGGTGGTCGACCTGAGCTCGAAGGAATGCTGGCCCAGGCAAGACAGTTCATGAGTCCTTTGGAATCAAACAAGTATATCGATTTGGCCTACGCACTTGCGATCTTGGAGGGTGTGGCGCTTGCTGATCCCAGTGATTGCAAGGGGTGGGAAGAGACGATTACTCCCACGGGATTCGAGCAATGGCTGAACGAGCACCCTGAAGTCTAAGGTAAAGACAAGGTTTTGCAAGACCATGTGGAACATCTGGTCCAGTTTATATAGCTCAACGAAGATAGGAGGACAGGAATCACGTTTGCGGCTATGTATAGTACGTCACGAGTAAAGGATAGCCTTCAATTGATATAGTGAAATTGCACTGTTTGATAACTATCAACACCAGGATTTGCAAGTTCTCACTAGCAAGCATGTGCATGACAGGGTCTCAGCTTGGATCTTGCGCTTGGTATATCGACAAGTTACTGACTTCTTGTTTATGGTATCGCGACAAGATATATAGATAATGATAAATAACGCTTTGTTGGAAGCCTGGGCACTAAGTTGGTCTAGGTCGAGTGACTTCTGCTGTTTTCGTTGAAAATTATTACTATATCTACAGGATTTCCATTTAACTCTAATGTTCATTATCGACTACTTTCCACGTCCGATTCCGCTTTAGCAATCGACACAGTGACTTGTTTTGTCATCATAATCCCCCGATTCATATTATTCAACTCCGTCTCGCTGCCCGCTAGACTCTCTGAGCCCACTTCAACGACATGTCTCCGGGGTATCTTGTTTCCTCCCGGCCAATACATCGAACCTCTTGTTAATCCTGTTTTCCTGGACGGATTCCTTGAGCGATCGTCACTGCTCGTGGACATCGAGTTGGTCATCTTTCGGAGGAGAGGTCGGAGAGCTGTTAGGGCGACGATCATGACAGAGATGCAGATTTCGGCTGTGGCCCAGATATCTAAAAGGTTGTTAGTCAAAGCTGTGCCTGGGTTGAGGGATTGGAAAAAATTACAGATGGATATGTCATTGCTGACGTAGAGCATTGTGGCAAATCTGCCAATACTGACAGCGATGGTGATGATACCCATCCCGAAGACGACAGCTAGTCCGATCTTCTTTCGTGTTGATGTCATCAGGCCTTGCAACAGCGGAATAGGGAATACGAGATCTTTGAAGAACGTCAGAAGGACAAGACCAGGTGATGGGACTATGGAAACATACTGAGGACTTCCGTTATAAAGTTCAAAGACCAGTTCAACCTCATGAGAGTCATCGACGTGAAAACCGTGCACTTCTGATCACCTTCCGCCCTAGAAACCTGTTAGTGATCAGGACGAAGATGGTACATCGAGTGAATTACCAGTTAAGTGAAGGGTTAGGCCCACACCAGAAAGTATCACAAAGGATGGTGATAAACGCAAAGGCCACCGTTATACCAGTCAAGGCAAAAAGTAAACGCCTCATCATAGGATTTGTAACAGGCACGAGATTAAAGTAAAAGGCGATGATACTAAACTTTGGAAAGTAAATGCCCACGTCAAAGAAGTAGTTCGTCGCGAATCGGATCTAGAATAAGAACATCAGTTAACCCTTATAGACCAACGGCCAATCAACTGGTAAGGATCTCTCAAACCTTTTTGATAGGTATACTGTTACTCGCAAGTACAAAGTCATCCATGGCATGCATCCGGAATGTCAGGGTATCGCAGATAAGGAGACCCTGGCAGGATATCAAGCCGACGATCAACCAGTAGTCGGCTGCGTGTAAGCCAACGCCTCGGAGGAATATGCGGACATAGACACGACAGGCGACAAGGACATACGCGAGGACGAGGATTGTCCATTCAAATGCCTACGCCATGTCAGCAAGTTTGATTGTTTTTTTGTTACGGATATAAGTACCATGACGGCAGTGCTGGAAATCATCACTGCAAAGGGACGCAGCCTGCGAGTGCAGGCTCAAAATTAGAAAGGGTTACAGGGGAGGACGAAAGAAAATGAAGAACAAAGAGAAACAGAAACGCTGTCGGTAACCTGCAGAACACTCGATATATGGTGCACCACTTCGGTGGTTGCATGGACCCATCGGACAAGGTTAGCCGTCCGAGTCAAGGCAACCACAACCTTGTGCGAGTTTAAATTGTTAGCATCAACGAGACGTTATTTCCAGACCAAAAGCTTACGCGGGCGGCGCCACGATATGGCCTGCCCAGTCCAGTCTTAGGCTGGTGAGTAAAGGGGTTTTGAGGATGCGACCAAGGGAAATGAGAAGCACGAAGGATCGGACACTATGGGAAATAGCTTGACTTTGGGTTGAATCGTGGGAATACTGCACAGGGGATATTCAATATCTGGGACAGGAAGGTCGTCCGCGCGATCCGAAGCTCGATCAGGTTAATTAGGCCTTCCCAGCAGAGGAAAACAAAGGTTGCGATAGGCGAGAAGATGGTCAGTTTGGCAGTTGTATCCCAATCCAGTGTTCCATGCTTGTAGCGTGTTTTTTCACGAAACTCTATTTCGCTAGCGCCCAGCCTTTTTGTAAATGGGATGACAAGCGAAGCTAGGGGAGCAACCCGGGCTGCCAAGAAAGCATTATCGAAGCGCCAAAATTCCACTACCCAGGTATCAGTGGTCACGAAGACTTGAGATACGCAGGGACCGTTTATGCCAAGATCTATTCATCGTTCTGAGGTGGTAAATGCCATGTTGGGTAGTGTGTTCTAGGGTGAATACTACTGCAGCCATACTCACAAAAGGAAATAAATGATAAATGGAATTGAGTTGGCCGACTTGGCATTGCTAGCTGGTGGACATAAATCTTGACCCCTGTGCAAGCGTCGAAGCTCACCGTAGGCAGACCAAGAGTTTTGCAAGTGTTGAAGCTATTTAGTCGCCCGTGGCTGTTGTGACCGACCTTGGCAGTGTCTGACGAAGAGTGGCTGAGGTAAGACAATGAGATAAGAGACCAAATACATAACGGGGGCCTCATGGGCAATCAAACATCTGTCACACCGTCATATTCAGTTGATAAAAAGCCGAACCACTTGCAACATTGATTCCTTTAGCAGGATTGTATGTGCATCACTGATATATCTGGCTTCAAAATCGGGGTTTGAAAGGCTATCCAGCCTACATAATTCGGGAAAACCTCGCCTGAGCCTAATTAGCGACAGGCTTGAAAACGACCTAATGATTGGAGGGCGTTGTTTGTTAGTACAATGGTCTGATCTACTCAAGGGTGAAATGTCCGCTCGAGGCATGGCGGTTATACGAAAGCAAGAGACGAGACATTTGTTATCTCCACCAATACGCAGCAAGGTGACCGATGTACCGCTGTATCAGCCACCACAGTCGTTGGGTGAGGTAGTCAGCCGCTCCCTGGCGTCAATCGCTCTCCAGCACTCGACGCATTTGCGTCCGGACGCAAATGCGTTCAGCTTTGAGTGATACGGCTTTGTGTAAATGTAGTGTATAGAAAATAAAGCTTGGCCTTCTTAAAACCAGAACTCTTCCTAGATTGTCCATTCTCTGCTTTAATGCTCTGTTTAGCAATTTTGTTCCCTTTTTCCAGATCTTCTAGTCTCGACGACGACTTTGCCGAAACCTTTCGATTCGCGAACGCCCTTCCTGATCCCTGCCCGACACGATATATATATCCCGGCCTCGAAGATTGTGCCAGTATATCAGCTTCGTTGTCTTGGTGTTGCTACTCCAGATACTTGTGCCAGTTTTTCGAGCTCACGAGCCATCTTGTTGTTCTGCTGTTCCTCGTTCGCTGCTGTAGGCCCATGACCCAGCGACTCCAAGTGTCTCCTCATCTCTGCGATCTTCTCTGCAACTGTCGGAGCTGATATTCCTGAAGCCAAACGTCTCTGTACATCCGACTGTCCATCCCCGAACACATAACGTCGAAGTCTCGTGGGCCTGTCGGCCTCTACTACTCTGCCGGTCGTCATTTCTATTTCACCTCAGGCATCAGCCCCTTGCTCGAGCTCCCCCACCCTGTTTCAAGCCACTATCGTCGACTTTACCTTCTTTGTTAAGTTACTAGTCTTGTTTGTTTTCTTTTGTCGTTTCGTTTTTGAAGGTAGAGTAACAAACTTGGTGCGTGAAGATGAAGTTGTTTACCTCCTGACGTTGTTCGATCAATCTCATCCAACATGGGCCACGTCTACCACGATCAAAGCTACCTCCATCAGTCTGGCAGCCATTAATTACAGCATGCCGACATCGCAGGACTCATGCAGTCGCTATAGGTCCAATCTGGATGACGGTTCATTGGACCAAGACAGGTGGGAAATGTCCATCTCGACATTTCCCACCACCACCAGGCCAATGCCCGCCTCGACTTGCAGGTGAGGGGTAACCAGAATGCCTTGCAGTGTGGCTCACCGAATCTCCTGCATACACTGTTGTTTTCAACCCCGATGCAGTGATATATCACCAGGCTCTCAGCCAACTGCTAAAAATACTGTGATTTCTACTGGCCAAGGCATTTCGAGCTAAGACAACAACGAATAAGACCGACGTCTACCTACAATCTAGAAAATTGTTCCAACAAGAATCCCAACGGCGGACGTGTTCGAGCCCAATGGACGTCATCTGTGTTTTCTTCGAAGAGTCTCGGAGGTCCGACCGCCAGGTGCATTCACGTAGAGGGAGTTGAAATATGTGTTTCCTCCTGCTTTTTCTTTCCATGCATCGTCGTCTACTCATATATCGCAAATAAACTATTTTATTCTTTTGATTCGCAGCGGCAGTAACCTCGATATCTGGGGAAATGGTAGCAGCCCCAGCACTAAACGTCGCAATCATTGCCCCAGCTCACCACCATGAGTGCTTTGCCAGAATCAGTGACCTCATATCGAATCGCCTGCATATTCTTTCAATCTTACGCGGACCCTCACCTTGTTCCTGAAGCATGCCGTACTGGCGAGGCAGACTGGAGGCATTTTCGGTGCGCAACATCGTCCTTTATCCTCTGCATCTATTATTCTAACCACATCTATTGTGCAACAGTGAACACATGAGGAAGAAACATGTCTGCAAATGCGGCAATAACTGCGAAACACCCATGCACTTCTCAGCCAACCGCATCGACAATATCCTCAAATTGCGCAAGAAGGAAGGTGATCCATATGACATGGTATGGACTGAGATGTATCGACTCGCCCATCCCGACGCCATTCATATACCAGCCCCATACATCCCGACATTCAATCAGGCTCTGGCCGTTGTGCGTAACCCCACGGAGAGTTTCATGAAGAGATTGGTCCTTGACTTTGCTAGCCAAGGCGGAACAAGTCAGGAGGAAGCGACCAAGAACGTGCGTGCCTTTTACAAGTACCTGCCAGTCTTCTATGATACCCTTAGCAGAATTGGCCCACATCCTGCCAAAAACATTGTGGCTCAGGCAGCCAGCCTTGAGAGCCTCCCAAGTACTTCCGCATCAACAGCCCATGAGGGCCCACTTCAGCTTCCAACACCTGCTGCAGATTGTGTTCCTACCCACGCGTTTACACCGGATCCAGAAGGCCTTTTAACAGATAAATGGAGGGTGGGTGAGACATCAACGGACGAACAGGAGCATATGAATTTCTTAGAGAAAGAATGCGATGGCTATTTTACTTAGCATTACTGGACATATATACATGGAACTCTGGCAATTAGTGGACCAAATGCATACTACGCTTCTCTCACTCATGGCTGATGAGCTTTGTGTGCATATGTAGATAATCTTTCCAACTAAATCCTCTTATTTGCAGTGATGTTCTTTCTCTAGATATTGCTAATCTCTCGAAGCCTCTTCACCCCAAACATAGTCATGGTCAAGCAATGGTTCCCATACACCCATAGCGAAGTTTACAACGGGATTAAATGAATCATCGTTAAGATTCCATGATGGCCCATCGATAGGGAACCCGTGATTTAGTGCTGTTTGCCATGAAGAATCACTTGTATCTACCTCTGAGTGCATGCTATCCGACCCAAGACTGAACAAATGTGTCGGACCCTGAGTGGCAGAATCAAGGTGAGATAAAGGCGTCCATAAATCGTTGGGTTCATCTTTGACCGTGTTGCAAACTTGAGGCGAGCTCTGTCCCATTGTATACCGCCCAGTAACTTCATGCCATGATTCCTTAATAGTGGTTGTGGTTAGCTGTGTGTCTTCTGATATCATAGTCGTCTTTTGGTCGTGTAAAGCTGACAATGTCTTGTTGAAAGCGGACATAACACCAGGCATTACGAGATCCATCAATCCCATGTTTGTTAAGGCCTCTAGTGGTAATGTTTCTTTTAGATTCTTCTGAAACATTTCTTCCGCAGTAGTCTCAGAGGGGCTTGTTAGCCCTTTCTCCTCCAGCTCGTAGTCTGTTATAATATTAGTTGATTCATCGTTTGCCTGTTTTGGAATTCTGCAACTAACAAGGACTTGGAACTTGAGTTTCGTGTGGAAAAATAATTTTATACACGGTATACCATTTATCCATCTCCGTCACAGGAGTAGTAGATTTCTTTCGCTGTTTTAACAGCTGCATCATCCCCTTGTCAACCCGAGGCGGAGCTGACGGTCTATCCCGAACTTCGCATGCCACCGTGTTTCGTCGGTGTTCATCTAAATCTGAATCGTTTTCGAAGTCGGTAAAGCACCTTGCACATTGAAATTCCGGGGCCCCATGCTTCCGAAATATATGCTCTCTGGTTTCATCAAAGTTAGTAGGATAAACATGGAAGTAAGTTAGACCTCAGCTTCCTTACTTGACTCGTTGGACGTTGATCCATCCCGGCCCGCAACACGACCGTTCGCCGATAAACTTAGTAGGGTTGTGCTTGAAGAAGGGACAAGCAAACCTCGGGTTTGTCTTCTCGTTCTCAAGACGTCGCTTTTTGTGAGGGTTTCTGCCACTTGATCCGTCATCGCCATCGCCTTCTGGGAGTTCTTCCGTGGTCGCGGATCTTTTCTTACTGGAGCGAATAGGCCAAGTCGACGGTCTTTGGAGTTGTTGGGCATCTTCCTTGTTATTCTTTCGTCCTTCTCCAGAGTTACTTCCTGTGTTTTGGGTACCCTCTGCACAGTGTTGTCCCTGGTTGACGTTTCTGGTCGTCGCATTAGACAACCACCAACCCTCGGAACTAGAGCTCTCCACCCATTTGATCCTCGACTGGAGGGGTACATTCTGCTGACATATGAACGATAGGCAAGGAAACAGTCGAACCGACAGACGTTGTCTGTCCTCAGGAAGCCTTTCAACACTTCGCATCGCCAACCAAATATGTATGTAGTTGGTGGCAAATCCTCCATATCTGATCTTCCATGCCTGGCTCCTCGCTCTTTGCATCGTGCCTTGAACCCCAATAGTCAAGATAATTTTCCCTTTCGTAATACCAACAGTTCGCAAAAGATGGACATGAATTAGGTGATAGGGAGATTCACAGAGAATATATATGTCATTTTTGTCTAGGACGATCAATTGACAGATATGAGGAATGCAGCTAGGAACTGTATCGCACAGTGTTATCTGTATTACCCAGCTGCACTCCTCATATCTGGCAATAGATCTTTCCAGATAAAAATCACGTATATATTCTCTGTGAATATTCCTATCACTTGAGACTGCCTTAAGCGCACGGGAACAATTTGTGTCGCGGTAGTCGCCTGTTGAATCAAGGTAACAAGAATAAAAATCGTCTAGGGCGCGAAACGGCAGGAAATCATTAATCATACTCAACGCATGATGATCCATGTGAACAAGGATAGCGAATATTTCCAGCATTTCGTTTCCGTAATCCAATCCACTGTGGTGTATCGGCGGCATTTGTAACTGAGACTCATCACCATGTAAGGCTTCGATCCAACTGTCTTGAATGAAGCGTAGGGTCGTGTGTTCATCTCGATAGTCTTCGTCGTCAAGTAAGAGGGAGAGTTGAAAGGGTTTGCGTGGCTTTTCATCAAGAGAGCCTCTCCAAAAGGTGCGACCGTGTCGCGGAGTATCGGGCATTTGTAGCATAATACCGAACGCTATAGAGCTGTCAAGGTTTCAAATACAGATGTCTCGAAAGATTACTGGATTTATGATGATCACCAAACTTTGGACTAGCCAGAAACAGAAGCAAAGTTTGCGTTGCTTCTCGTGATTGCCGATGATGTAGGTGAAAGAAACAACGTGGCGGGGATGAGTATTTTTGAGTGTCCATGTCATATTCAAGGTGGCGCCTATTGGCCAAATAAGGCTACCGCTCTGCAGCCTCGTGTTTCTGTGGAAGAAAGATACTGCCTGGCCGATTGAAAATTCTAGAATCTCGTTGAGCAACAAGTTTGAGGCGAACTTTTGTAACGTGAAGTAGCATGGATAAATAAATTAAAGTAAATAAGACACATCTTATTATAGTTACCAGCTCCATCGCCCAACAAGAGCACTCAACAGCATTAGCACTAGCACCGTTCTTATTACAATGTTCTATATGCTGTACCCATTTCTTCCAGTAGTTATTAGACAGCTGTCATCAATACCTGACCAACTCATTTCAGATTATAGGTACATCTCGATTTCAGTTCTCCAAGTACCTAGTCAAAGTTTCGAGTACAACGACAGGCGACAAGCAGCAACATGACATGAGAGCAATAGAAGAAACAACCAAATAAGTGTGTTTTATCACATTCAAATTTCTTTACACATTAGTAGATTTAATACTACAGAATGGCATGGCAGCCTGTACTGCCATGGATGTTTCTCAGCCTCTCGTGTTAAGAACCTGACGCGGCAGCATGTTCTAGTGAATCTTGATTCATCTCTACAAGGGGACTCTGGGTTTACAACTACAGTGCTATGTACTAAAATCGGCCCTAGAATTTGGTGATTGATAGTATGTAGATTCCTATAATTTATATTGTGCCTCCCAACCAGGTCAGTACTTACTTACATCTAGATAAACCTCAGTTCAATGTTAGTGCGTAGCAGGATCAACAACTGTGCGCTGGAGCGACTGTCATCATCGTGATATCGGGACATTGACTTTTTATATCCAAATGATATGGTTCGTTTGTGAATAGTGCCAGGCACGTCTAATTTCCATCGGCTTTTCGTCTTACGGGCGATTGTCATCGTGGAAATGTGCACATTCCCCCAGTCTTTGTATCTGCACTGCAGCACACTACTCAATGCAGGAACACGTAATAAATCGCAAATGCGCTGAATAGGGATGAGTAAGCTTTACCGTAGCTAGCGACCGTGTAGTGTAAGCCTTGGGCTCTAATAGGCGTCTAGGAATTTTATTACCAAAGACTAGTCTACATGACAATGTGAATAAGGAATTGGCACAAAAGCTGCACCAAGTATAGAATCATACTTGATATTACTACCTTGTGCTTGGATATTATTTTCCAACAAACTTCACAGGGCAAATATAGCCTGGATTCATGTTTAGCCATTATTTTAGTCGTGTCCATGTTAATGAAGACGAAGAAATGTGGAACCAACAAGTACCTGGTCTAGGTAGTAGGGTAGGCAGAGACCTAAATTTATTTGGTTACACTGTTTTCCAAACCGGAGAAGCAATACCACACTCAACAGTTTCATCATTCATCTTTATTGTTACATAAAACAGCCGAGGCAATTCAAAGCGCCTTTTGTAGTTCGTGTGGTGTTTATTGTGGACGTCGGAAGTCTGCAGGAATTCCGGAGCACTATAGAACTTAGTACATGATTTCCTAGGGTCTCACTGAGAGTCCCGCATTTCGGGTCTAGCATAAGTGCCTTCCTTATCTTGACACACTTGACTAGCGGAATCACTCAAAAGTGCAGGGGACCCCAGAGTGGCCGGCCTGTTTTTTAGTCGACCACTTTTCCACCTTTACTATGACACTGCATAACTAAACCCAACTGTACCTGATTATCATCTGTCTTTTCCCTCCCATGACTTTGATCCATGTGTCGTCATGGAAATCAACCCCAAGCGATCAACAGCTGAATCATTAGAATTATCTAATCGACGCAGCAAACGCGCCAAATACGCGCCGATAGCATGGTACACGCGTCATACAGATTGGATTGGGCTTAAACTGACATTATCAGTGATACGTGCAAGAAACGGAAATTGAAATGTGTAAGAGAAGAAGGCGAGCACGTCTGTAGGAGATGCGCTGCGAATAACGCTGAGTGCGTCTTTGCTACTCCTGCCACTACTCACTCATCAAATGAAAATAATGACCGTTCGACAAGACGGTCAACACTGGAGCCACAGTTCGTCAAATCATGTCTTAGTTGCTTAGGAAAACCCAAAGGCTAATCAAATTGGTAGACCAGATCTTACATCTCTGAATCAACAAGTTGCTGCCCTTCAAAACCAAGTCAGCGCCTTAACAACAGCTCTGCACGACGTATCTCAGCGTCTTCCTCAACTCACTGATCCATCTACCACAACATCTATGTCGCAGGGCCACGCATCGACATACAGACAAGAACTTCGAAATGTCAGAAATGAGCCCAGAGAACCACAATTTGTTGGTCCGATGCGATCCGCCTACAGCTTCCAAATTGCCGAGAATTCTCTTTCGGGCATGGGTATCGAGCGCTGCCCGGGTACCGCCATGAGTCTGTCTGCTTCCCCATCAGATTCAGCGCCAGATATTGAAAGTGACCGTGGATCCCTCCCATTGAGAGATGTTGATGTTCTTTCGAGTTTGGGTGCAGGGGAGATAAAGCGACTTCTAGAACTGTATCGCGAAGAAGTTGCAACTGTATATCCATTTATCGAAATGGAAAGCCTGTCTCGCAATGTCACATCAGTCCTTGATTCTCCTGAAGAAAATACGCTCAAGGAAATACAAGCTATCAAATTAGCTGTCGGTACAGCTCTGGCAATCGAAGCCCAAGGGCAGAACAACCTTAGCAAAAGACTCGTAGACGAAGTCGAGCCTGTGATATGCAGTGTTTCAGGCGAAGCATTTATCGATATTCAAGAACTTCAACTGATGATGATGCTGGTGCGTATTCCACTCTCAGTATGCCTCCGACTAACATATGTCAGAGCATTTACTGGTTCTTCTGCGGAGAAGAACTTCTAGCCTGGAGGGCCATTGGCAGTGCCGGAAGAGAATCTATTGAAGCTGGACTACATCGTCGGGCCTCACTTCTGGAGAACTTCAAGGACCCCCAGGAACGGGATTTGGCTTTGCGATGTTTTTGGTGCGTTTATATCCTTGACCGGAGGTGGAGTTATGGTACAAGTTTGTCTTTTGGAATTTCGGATCGCGACATTGATCCCCAACTGCCAGATCCGGTATGTCTCCCTCGCGTTATATCGTCTTACAGAAGGTACCATATGCTGATAAACTGTCCAGACCCACCATCCCTATCTTATGTGTATGGTCTCCTACGCTCGGTTATGTTCCAAAGTCTGGGAAGAATTGCCCCTCGACTCATCACCTCTCTCCATCCCGAAAGACAAAGTGGATTTGTTTGACTTCCTAACTCAGAAATGGATGCATTCCATACCTCATAACTTACAACTCATCTTTCCGCGCCTTTCTCAAGCACCACAACAGCAGCCCCGAACATTACAACGTTTACGAACCCTCCTCTATTTAAGAGGCAATCATATACGGAGTCTAGTTTTGCGACATCACGTTATGAGTACCGCCAACTTACGCGCCGATCTGCAGGGTGCACAGCTCGTGGTTAGTCTAGCTCAGGATACTATCCAAGTACTGGTGCACCTGAATGAGACAAGTGATATATATACTCGTCAGAAGCCGACATTCAATTATTTTCTCACTGCTGCTTTGGCGTCTATATTACTAGCGGTATGTAACGCACCAGACGTATTTGCAAACCGCTGCAGACAAGACTTTCGAGATGCCGTAAAATTGCTAGAGAACATCTCACAGCAAGGACAAGTAAGTCGAAGACTTTGGAGGTCGATCCGAGGGACAATCAACCGTGCTTTATCGTTGGATACGTCTCTTGTATCAAGTGGGAATGCAGTTGTGGCGAGAACTCTTGAGAATGAAGCTCATTCTGGGGCGCAGAAGGATACTGGACATCACCATGAGGACACTTCTACGGGCACTCTTGACCTCGGTGATTTTATATCCGATAGATTCGGTCTGGAGACCGATTTGTTGAATTTATTCAGCGCTTTTGAGGAAGACAGTCTGCTCAAGGGATCTATGACACATGGAGGACTAGATGGTCAAACTGGGATTGGGCTGGACGGAGATTTGAGTAGATTTAATGGCATGATGTAAGTCAGGATATCACGTGTATCTACCAAGGAAATTTTAAGTCGATAACAGAGGCGTAATTGTGTATTCAGGGGTTACTGATTCATAATAAACTACCATTGACAGGGACAATCTTAATATACCGAATCCCGAGCACCATCCAGAACAGCCATGTCAACATTTGGTACTTGATACTTCTTCTTTCCCCAGATAACATAATACAATCCCCCCAGGAGTATCCAGCCAGCCATGACAACAGTCGAGTAATTCATGTTCTGTGCTGTAACGGGCATGACGGAAGGGAAAGCACTAAACACCACAACAACTATGATCCAAATCAAGCTAATGACGTTGAGCATAGGACCTGCAACACGTCCAAGCCTGAAGGGACCAAAAGCATTGACAGATTGAAGACGCTTTCTGGAAAACAGCATAGCGATGATGGGGAATGCATAACTACTATACATCCCGATGATGGCCATGGACAAGATTGCATTGAAGGCAGTCGTGTTACCAAGGTAAATAAAGCCAAGCAACATTTGCAGCACGACCGTCACAACAACGGCATAGACGGGGACTTCGTACCGCTGATTGACTTTGCTGAGCTGCTTGTCAAACGGAGTAGATCTGTCCCGTGCAAAGGCCCACAGTGTTCGCGACGTCGACGTAGTACCCGCGACGGTAGCAGCCCCGGCGACGAGTATGATCAACAGGGATAGAAGGGTAGTGCCGACCTCGCTCTTTGTTGCGTCGAGGAAAATTTGCATGAAGGGATATCCCGTGCGGGTTGTGACAAGGGTCTCTAGAGGACCGGCGGAATAAAGAAGGATGATCGCGTACACCAATCCAAGGAAACCGTTAATGCCGACACTACCTACCATCGCGATTGGAACGTTGCGGCTTGCGTGGGGCATTTCTTCGGCCAGATGGCATGCAGCGTCGTATCTGGACAGGGTCAGTTCTTGTTTTCCGAGTTACGCGGAGTAGACATACCCTAGGAAAGGATAAACAGTACTCAAAAGGCCAACTAGCCACGAGACACCATCGTCGCTCCAGCCACTTTGATTGGTGACCTCCTTGAATACGAAAGAAGAAGTGTTCTTAGGCGCCATCACACCGAGAACGACAACAACTATGACAAAGCCAAGGACATGGATAATGCCTGATCGATTCAATTAGCATCGACATTGCCCCTGGAAGTACAAATACGTACCAGACACGTAGTTATGCCAAGGTAGAGTTCTGTGACCCCAGACATTGAGCACAAGGGCATATATCAAGACAGCCCAGTAGAATAGAAGGCCCTGCCATCGCTCTGGTATATATGAAGAATCGTTGATGATGATAAGTGATTGTGTTTCGAGACCGGCTGCAAAGGCTGCGGAGGCAGTCAAGACTACCTGGCCGCCTATGCTGACCCAGCCGGTCATGAAGGATGCGGAGGAGCAAATCGAGGAGGGGGCGAGGGCTGCTACCCAGTGGTATTGTCCTGGGCAATTGAATTAGCAGGGTATATTGAAACGAGAAGAATGGGGATGTACCTCCTGCAGTAGGATATATAGAAGCTATCTCACTAAGAGAAGCAGCAACACATAGCGAAAAGATGGTCGACAGAATACTTGATTATGTGTAAGTATGATTCCATCAAGGAGGCATTGAAAGGGCATACTAGTTGTAGAAAACACAAGGCGCTCCTCCGTTGACCAAAGCGGTAGCAACGACAGTTGATAGAGCCTCCCAAGTGGCCCCAAGACAAAGACAAAGTGCAATCAAAGAGACCAGAGAATATTGTCTTCTCAGTTCCTGCTCATGTCCAAGCTGTGCAAGGCGCAGGGCGTCTTCGCTCGCAGAAGGCGCGTCAGTAAGACTTCCAGTACCTTTATCCATGACTTGTTTCTCCAGGATATCTGCTTCGTTTTTCGACATTGTAGGTTAATAAGTCGATATATTATTTCTCATCAAAGTGTGTTGGTCTGTTAATGTATCTCGGAAATGTTGTGACTCGAGAGGACTTGTCAGTTAATAAATAAAGCAATACTGATAAGGATATGCTTGTAATTAGAGTTTGTGATTCCCTGTAACCTGCTTAACTCGTAGCAGACCCGCCTAAACGAAACCTGTCGGTTGAAGCAATGTCGAGGAGGTTGTAACTTGCAATGTTTGAGTATTAGGAATCAAATGCAATCCCCACGACTCTGTAGCACCCCAACGTCAAGTAATACGCTATCTCGGAATCGCTCATTGCGACCACATCACTAGTTCATGTACGGATATAGCTTCGTCAGAGTGTAGCATAGCGGCGATAAGAATATGTACTGTTCCCTGGATAGCGCGGCACGTTTCCGATAACAGATCTCGAGTCAGTGGGCACATACGCACTAGACAGGGGGTTTATCAAAACATGGGGTAGCACAGTTGCGACTCCGTACCCTAAAACTTAAAGACATGGTCCCATGTTCCGAGCTCAATTCCGCCATGGTGACTCGGAATCCTTCATTCCGAGGGCCAAGAGGGAGTATTTTAACAACCAAGGACAAGACAATCTTTCATTGTTGTTTATATAACGATTCCGACACATAAAGCTTTATACCCTACTCCAATCATTGTTTTTATCCAATTATATTCCTGCTTCTATCTTCTAGATCATCATGCCTATTCCACATCCGTTGTCCGCATTAAGCGCAATTGAGACGAACCTTGCGAGAGATATTGTTAAACAGGCGCACCCTGGCGCCTTGCTTTATTTCAGACAGTCCTATCTTTTCGAGCCGCCAAAGGAGGAAGTTCTCAAGTTCTTGGAACTAGAGCACTCTCACTCTCTGCATTCTTCATCCCCGCGACCTGATCGTTGTGCTCAGGTCTTTTACGACATCATTGGTGGTGAATCCAAGACACAGTACTATGAGTCCGTGGTTGACCTTACAAAGAGGACCATTGTCGAGCAACAGGTCGTTAGTCCCGAGCATCAATCTAGTTTGACAATGTAAGCCATTCCCCAAGTTGCGTTTTTGGTACAGGCCGCTAACATTAATAGCTACGAATTTGAAGATGTCGTTAAGGCAGTTGGTGAATCAGAGCTCTTCAAGGAGAAGCTAGCAAAGATCAAGCTCCCACCGGGCTTTGAGCCTGTCATCGAGCCCTGGCCCTATGGCGCGCCAGATCTCGAGGATGGAAACACGCGTTTCTTCCAGGCCCTTGTTTTTGCGCGTGATACTAAGAACGGACACCCCGACTCTAACTTTTACGCCTATCCTGTTCCTCTCATTCCAGTTATGGATGCAAGGACCAAAAAGATCGTCCGCGTCGAAGAGCCAGCTACAGGAGGCAAAGGTGATAGTCTTACGGACAAGACCCATGCGCCGGGTCTTCTGGATCATTGCCAGCCAGCAGAGTATATTCCCGAACTTGTGTCTGGAGGTACCCGGACGGATGTAAAACCTTTGATGATTGTGCAGCCTCAAGGCCCAAGCTTTTCTGTCTCGGATGGAAACCTTATCCAGTGGCAGAAATGGCGCATGAGGGTCACTTTCAACCCTCGTGAGGGTGCAGTTATTCACGATATCCGCTATGATGGGCGTCCTGTCTTGTACAGATTGAGTATCAGCGATATGGTAAGTTATACTTGAGACGAATACTGCAAGATTGCTAACCATAAATAGACTGTTCCTTATGCTGATCCCCGACCACCTTATCATCGCAAGCAGGCGTTTGACTTTGGCGACGGAGGTCTCGGACACTGCGTCAACAGTTTGGCTCTCGGCTGTGACTGTCTAGGAGTTATCAAGGTATGTCATCTCTTAGATCCAAGACAAAACCCAATACTCACAATCTCGCTAGTACTTCGATGGTGTCCTCATCGACTCAGATGGAACAGCTTCAGATACTAAGAACATGATTTGTCTTCACGAGCAAGACAACGGCATCAACTGGAAACACACCGACTGGCGCACTGGCCGCGCCGTTGTTACCCGCCGACGCGAATTGGTTATCCAATTCATCATCACACTCGCTAACTACGAGTACATCTTCAACTACAAGTTTGACCAAGCTGCGGGTATCGTCGTGGAAGCTCGCGCAACAGGCATCGTGTCAGTTGTGAATATTGATCCTGGCAAGACAAGCGATTGGGGAAATGTCGTCAGCCCTGGCGCGTTAGCTCAAAATCACCAACATGTTTTCTGTGTCAGAATTGATCCTTCTATCGATGGCACGGAGAACACTGTCGTGCAGGAAGAAAGTCTTCCATTGAGAATGGACAAGCGGACAAATCCACAGGGCAACTTGTATGAGGTTTGCCAGACACAGATCACCACATCTCAGGGCCTTGACGCAGCCCCTTTCAACAACAGAGTCTTCAAGGTCCAAAACCTGAACAAGCGAAACCCTGTATCTGGAAAGCCAGTCGGTTACAAGATCACTCCCCCACCTACCCAACTCCTGCTTGCCGACCCCAACAGTGTGCAAGCCAAACGCGCACTCTTTGCAAAGCATCACATGTGGGTAACAAAGTACAAAGACCACGAGCTCTACGCGGGAGGTCGCTACACTTTGCAATCTAAGATTGAAGTCGGGGGTGTCAGCGACGCAGCTGATCGGTGCGATGATGTGCTGAATCAGGATATTGTCTTGTGGAGTGTCTTTGGACTTACGCATAATCCACGAAGCGAGGATTGGCCAGTCATGCCGGTTGAGATGCTTCAGTTGCATATCAGCCCTTCGGACTTTTTCACAAGGAACCCGGCGATTGACGTGCCGAGTGACAAGGATGTGGGATCAAAATTAACATCAGGATGCTGCAAGCAGGAGGGGCCAAAGTTGTAAATTATCTTTATGTAAAATTATCTGTTGCTGTATAGAATGAAAATCTTTTCACATCGAGAACTTAGCAATGCATAGTATCGATATTACGTACCTGTGTTACCACGCCCTGTGACAACATCTGAGCCTCTTCGCATCAGGTTTCAATAAATTAACTTCACGTTTAGTTTCAAGATCGGAATCGGCAACTCGGAATCGTTTGAGGATACGACTGAGGCCTGCTGCCCCTATGATCTCCCCTAGCCCTGGCTGCCCACTACACAAAATTTCCGTATATGGGGAAATCTTGTAGCAGATAGTATTACGCACTTTAATCTAAAGCGACGATCACCAGCATCCCTTGATCATTGGATCTCCACCTTCCAAGCCTGTGTCAACATGGACCAGCAAGCATAAGTTCTTATGTAATAATGTTGTAGTGGCGGTTAACAAATGTAGGAATAAACTCTAACCGTATTCCAAGTCAGCAAGGATAAGTCTACATCGTGGTATTATAGTGTCACGGCTAGGCAATAACCGAATCACATTAGATCGTCCATATCTTTGCTATCTGGGATCAAGATACGTTATCTGTTCCGCCCGAAACCGAGATTGAAACCTCGCCCTTATCTACCTGCTCGGAATGTGATGCTCGGAAGGGTTCCGACGTTGTGCACATCACATATACGTACGCGAAGAACAACACTACAACCATTGCGACAGTCTGTCTCATACAGAAAAGCCTGAATCAATAATAACGTTAGCTCCTGTGACAGACTCCGATTTAAGAAGGAGAATGATCTGATCAGCCACATCCTGTCAACTATTAGCATTTGTTTCCGAAGTGGCGAGGTGACATACGTCAACCTGGGTGATTCGCTTGAGGAGAGTCTTTTCTCTTGCCTCATCAATCTTTGACTGTGGAAAACCTGCGATCCAGTTCTGCCACTATTAGCTATTACTTGTACATCATGGGGGTCACTGGCCTCCCTACTGTTTCCATAAATCCCGGAGACACTGCGTTTACACGGATTGATGGCGCCATAACCATAGCTAAAGACTTTGCCAGATGAATTTGGGCAGCTTTCGTGACCGAGTAAGCCTAGGGTATTTGTAAATTTGGCATGTCTCAAAACATCTACAGAGAAGTAGGGACTCACAATTGAACTTCCACTGGGCTTGACTCCAGCAACAGACGAAGTCATAACAAAAGACCCATTTGCCTTATCGAGATATTCCTTCGCAGCATGACAAAGAAACAGATGTGACTTGACGTTGGCCGCATAACATTTATCCCAAACCTCTTCATCGACATTATCGTCAAGATCAGAAAAGTTCGCGAATTGGGTCCAGCCGGCGTTTGACACCACACCGTCAAGCTTGCCCATAGCAGCAACGGTTTCGGCTACCAAGCGCTGAATTTCGGATCTCTTAGTGACGTCGGCTTGAATTGCGATGGACTTGGGAAAGGGATCTTGTTTCCTTGACAATTCTTGGAGTTGAGAAAGCGCACTGTCAGCACGGTCTTTGTTGGAGGCGTAGTTTATCACGACATTTGCACCGAGTTCGACGAGTTTGGTGGCTACACTGAGACCAAGCCCAGACGTGCCTGCTGTAACCAGAATGACTGAGCCTTGAATGATGAATGGCATTTTTTATCAGGGGATGATCGCGTTTGAACTGTCTGTTGGTACGGTTGAGGTCTGCTCATGCAATGGTGAGGAGTCCAGATCTCCGCAATACCGAAGTCGGGTCTAATTTTGGAATGCGAAGATACATTGTTCACGAAAGAAAATGGTCACTATCGCTTAAATTGCTTACACTGAGTCAATCATAGAAGTATCGATCAGTATTGAGAATTTCTAGATAATATACTATAGCAGCAGTTCAGAATACACACGTTCTAGAGAACAATGATGATGCGAGTATCTCCAATGACGCTATATCCGTTCGATTCCCGAACTCTCGGCTCTGAACTCTCTGGAGCCGAGACTACCCACTCACTGTCGATCCTTACCGCCAACCGGTTCCGATTTCTCCTCTATCCATTTGACACAGCTTTGCATCATCATGGACGCGACGCCGCGAAAAGCGCAACACGACAAACGTCGGCGCCAGCAACGAAAAGCATGTGATATTTGTCGTCGTCGCAAAGTCCGCTGCGACATTGTTGACCGACCTTCGGGGCCTTGCTCAGTCTGTGAAAAATCAGGCTTGGAATGCCGGTAAGTCTCGGGTACCACGGCTCCGAGATCATTGGCTCACCGTGTGTCTGTAAAAAGAGGGAGCATAGTGTTAATATTTAATAGATCAAAATGGACGGATGAAAGAAGAAGTTCGGTATTATCGAGACATTCCTTGCAGGACAGAACAAGAAGTCAATCGCCACGGATATCTCATCCGGATCCGGACCCCGGAGCCGTACAAGGTCGGAACACCAACGTCGATACTCATTTATCTACTATCGGACCCGATCAGGAATCATCCCAACAACAACAACAACAAGACAAGAGACAAAATGCTCCCCAGTCGGATGGCCAAGAGAAACTCGCCCGAGAAGGTTTAGCCCGTTTCTTCAAGCACGGTATCGGTGCAGCAGCATGGGCTGTCTTTGCCTCTACCAAGAGCTTTCGTATTGCCTACGTTGGAACAGCTGTATCAAATCTGGTGCATCTCGTTGACTTGCACAAGTCCTTCAGACAGCCGTATTCTTCCATTCTAGGAGACATTTCGGGACCGACAGGACCGGATACACATGGCTCATTTGCGGATTCTGCGGCCGATGGAAGCTCAACTAGTGATAGGACAGGTGGTGGGAAGCCATTGCACTACCCATATCCTCCTATCCGGCAGGTAAACTCTTGGAAGCCGACACCGAGCTCGTGGGGTATGTCGCAGGACCTGGTCACGGAAGTCTCATCTTTTCCTGCTCAAGAGGTTCGCGATGCTCTGGTCACAGCATACTTTGAGCATATTCACCCTTTTCTCCCCATTGTGTCGAAGCCAGAGTTCCTTGCTAGGTACCGCACTCCTGATAACCCGCCACCACTACTCCTCTTCCAATCAGTTCTTATGGCAGGTGCTCACGCATGCTCTCATCCCCTCGTTGCAAATGACCGTCATGCTGTGCAGAACATCCTCTTCCGAAGAGCAAGCATGCTATATCACATGCGCCATGAATCAGACAGGATGCATCTCCTACAAGCCGCAGCGTTGTTTACATGGCACATCGGTGATGGGGACACAGTCGCGGGGGGGCCGTGGTATTGGGCTGGCATAGCAGTACGTATAGGAACAGGTCTTGGAGCGCACAGAAAGAGTTCACAGCTTCCGGCGGCTGAAATGGCTCAATATCGACGCTGTTGGTGGTCTGCTTTCTTCTGTGAGGTTTTCTCTGCTTTGGAAACGGGAAGGCCGTGTGCGGTGAGAGCAGAAGATATCGATCAACAACCACTCCGGCAAGAGGACATGGCTGATACAGCGACTACCGATCCTTCAATGGTTGAGACTCCAGGCGTAAACCCAGATTTCCTAAACCATCTCGTCGACCTGGCTTACATTGGCTTAGACGTCATTGCCCTCAACGCGCCTGCAAGAGATCGTATGATAGACATTTCATCAATCGATGCACGTCTCGGTCTCTGGTCCCTAAGATCAGGTATATCTACCGTAGCAGAAGATGACGACTCGTGGACGTGCCATCTACGCATGCACTACAACCTCCTCCTCCTCCATCTCCATCGCAACCTCCCGTCTCCCAGCTCCTCGTCAATATGTTCCGCCGCCGCCCAAGCAATTGTAACATCACTCGAAAAGCTTTCTGCTCGGGATGAACTTTGTCAATGCCACTTTACATCCGTCAGTGCTGTGACAGCGGCGGGCATTCAATTTGCAGGAGAAATACGCGCGGCAGTGACATCACAAACCTTTTTGGTGGCTATTAACGCGTTGGAGAGGTTATCGAGACTTTTGCGATGCACTATCTTACTTGCAAGACATTGGCCCAATGCCGAGGCTGTGCATAGTGTCTTTGAGGAACTCCATCGCGAATATGAGACGCTAGTTTCGCAGCGGCTACAGGGTGAGCAGGTCATGGTTCCTGAGAGTCCGCCGGATTGGAACCGGCTGCTTGGAGCAGAGGGTGTGCATCAGTTTAATAGCTTTACATCGGATCAGGACTGGATGAATATCAATAGCTGGACTGACTTGCTGTGAAAGCAAACATATCTTGTTGTTGTCTTCGAAAACTTGGTTAACTCAACATGAACCCATTTCACATAAGTACATAACAAATGTTCAATCGTATTGTCTATCTCCATATCATCTAGGCTCTTACATCATCCATTTACCATTGTCGTCTCGAGTCATCGGCGAAACCGTCATTTGCCCGAGTCTCGCCGAAAACCGGAGTGACGTATTTAGAAAGGGGGAGCAGCAACTTCAGAGTCATGTTATCGGCCCTGTTTCACGGACTCGTAAGACCGTGGTCCCAGCGATTACGATCCAAGCATCAGAAGAAATTCTCGTCTGATTCTGGAAAAGTTTCCTGACCAAACCCCTGTTACCACTTTATTGCCTAATGCTTAATCCTTGTCGACGGGCATCGAAGGTTCTAGCCCGGCTTGGGCCGTAGTTGTGGACACCATCCATACAATAAACTATCACGAAGATGATTATGGTGATGGCAATGAATTAATATTATGTATGTCTAAATCTAAAGACAGTTGGTCTAGTCCTTGTAACCTTTTGTCTATCCTGTATCCCATGGTATCTCTAAACGCAAAACCCATTACTCCATCTCAAACAAAACTTTTAGTGGTCATCGGCATCCTCATCCTTTCCAGGATGCATGATATCTCGTACAAACACAGCTCTAATATTAAAGAAAATAACAATGAAAAACGTGATGACAAGGAGAATGCTCATAGCACTTCCAGTCCAGAGAAGGCCTTCAGAATTGAACGCTGTCCCGATAGAAATGGTAGCAAGTGCAAATCCAGTGTTGGGAAAGACCATAGGCCACCAACCCAGATGGAAGGCTTTAGGTGGAGATGAAATGACTGCGACGGCGGCGATAAAGAACCACCACAAACTCAATGCCCAGAGGAACACGGCGCATAGAAGCGCGACAGTGCGGACAGTTTCGACATTAAGAGCCAAGTCATCAATACCAGAGATGGTCTTTGGCCAAGCATTGGCCATACCAATGAGAGCCAAGGCTGTGAAGGATGGTGGACCGACGTTCATGAACAAAGCAGTGCGGTGTTCACGGTTGGGAAGACCGGATTGCATGAGTCGACCGATCATGTGAGCGTACATCATCATTGACACGCAAAAGCCCAGTCCTTGACAAGTCAGACCAGCAAAGATAATAGGCAGAGGGTTAAGATGCGTCTGTGTGTCGAGGATAACTGTCGCTACTGTTCCAGCTAGCATGACGGGAAAGATGGGTAACAACCAGCCAGGCATCATAGCCTGTAAGCTAAAGCTATGTCCTGCAAAGAGAAAAGAGTATTGCCAGATAGCTAATACGAATGTGGCAATGACATAGATCCAGAAGATGGTTTGTGTTGCCCAAGAGTATGAAGGGTCGTCGTTAGGAATGGCATAGCGCTGAGTGCTAGTGATCAAGGAAGCAATGGCGAGAAAGAAGGTAGGAAAGAAGAAACCTTCCCGATGATGTGTAAGTGATCGTGTCAAGTCACCACGATTGAACGAAAACCGAAGAATCATGCCAATGCAACAGAGGGTAAAGATTAGGAGGTTGATGCTGTACAGCACTGTACCAATTATCCTCAACCCAGGGAATTGATGAGGTTGTACATGAATAAGCAACGACAACCCACCTGCACTCATTGGAAGGACATACCAGGCCCATGTGAAATGATGCAGTCTTTGTCGTAGTGACAGTGGTTGTTGCTGTTGTTGTGGTGTGTCATCGTCGCTGCTGGTGTCATTGCTGCCCTTTTCGGGGTCTGGGGTTGGCTGAGATAAAGCTGTTTTAGCAGCATGATGTTTTAAAAAGGCCTTTGGGTCATTTTCATGAGTGGGAGGTGGTGGCGATGGGGCGGAGAAGTCGATAGAGTTACGCCTTGTGGGTGAATTGGAATCTACCCAAGTGGTATTGAGATCTCGAAACTGATCCATTTTGGGGAGTCTAAACGATGGAAGGCTTGCAGGCTAATGGATGATGCAATGACTGATTTGAGTACCTGTAAAACTATTGAAACGAGAGTAGCGGCATGGCTTATTTATAAAAGCCAGGGCTTGAATGTTCCATCGATAAGTTATCAATGCTCAGTCAAACCGACCCATTCTCGTAGTCAAAAGGGGCGATTGCAAGATAGTTTCGACCCAAACTTATCAAAATCTCGTGATAAAACCGTGACTCGAGTCGAAGCGAAGCTTCCATTCCCTGCCCGAAAGCGGGCTCTGTTCCACTGTAAATGCCGTGGCTTTGAGGCTCATCGGGTGCTAACTACAGGGGGCGGACGCTAATTCTTCGTAGAAGGATTAGCGCTGTCTTTGGTGGCCGGATTTGTAAGTCCTGGAAGTGAGTTGACATTTACTGACAGGCTATTCCTGGACATGAACATGATGCTGTGGCTCGCGGAATGTGAATCCGGTGCGCCGGTTCCCGGTAGCTAACTCATCGGACCAGCATGAAGCAAGGGAGAAGAGATAAGGCCGAGCCTCAAAAACTTAAACAGGTTTTCGCCACAAGCACGTCCATAATAAGAGATTGAGAGAGGCCTCACCACGACGACACGACAACGCGACAACACGTTATTCTCATAAATACTTAGAACACACACCGACTCTTCTTTTACTTTATTATAGTATCAGTTAACCGTCTCTCTGGTCAACAAGATAAAGCAACACTGGTACAAAAGACCAGGCCTGTATCAAAAGTGGACTGTCTTTTCGGTGTCTGTTCCCTTTCGCCACCCAACAACCAAGACGCTACTTTCAAGCCCAACTTCCCAGGATCTTAAATGAGTTACCAGGCCTGCGGGAATGATCGGGTTGCGTTTGAGCCTCAAGCGCGTCTGCGCCATTCCTCTCAAACATCATGTCTCAAATTTAAAGATTTTTCGCTTCCTATTAACGCCCAATGCCAGGATTGTAGTGGGGACTTATAATTAAAGTACTTGATAAGATAATCTTTAAGCTGCAAGATCAACTTTTTTGCTTCCTTCGTTGGGCTGATGTTTTATCTATTGGGAGAATTTTTGTCGTTTTAACCCTTGTTGTCTTGATTAGTAGACAGGGGCTGTAATGAAGGGATATCGCTTTGTTATGCATGCTTGTTCGTGTCTTGTGTCTGACCTTGGTCAACAATAATGGACACGATCAATGATCGAGTCATGCTCTCCCCTGTTGGATTGATCGTTGTCTTCGATTTTCGATGATTAGCCTTGTATGCAAACTTTTCACAATGCTAAGGTTACTGACCAAGATAAACGACTTTGCGTATTCAACCGACCCTTTACCAGGCCCTGTATCCCTGGCAACATGAATCCTAAAATCGTTATCAAGCGAAAAGTCTCTTCTTTCGACCTTCTGGATGGCCTTACATCTCGTGGGTAAGTGAGATAACACCATTTTCATGATTTATCGCGTTTATAGTCTTCATGCGCAAACAAATTAGCCTTGAAGTTAAAAGCAGTAAGTATCAATTCAAGTACATCGAAAGGAGTCGGGCATAGGTTTAAAGCCGGAAGAAAAAGAGGCGAAACACATTGATTTCGTGAGCGAGTCGAAGGGCCTTTTGAACTTTCTAGACACGTTCCATGCCATACAGACAACGGTCATATGTCCAGCCAGTTTCTTTATTTGTCATGACACATTTGTGTCCATCACTCCCTCAAACTTCCTACAGTCAAATAATAAAGGAATTTTTATTCCGTGCGGCTTCTCTCGGAGAGTTACGCAATTAACATCAAGGAACTACCGCGTACAAGAGTGCTGTGTACCGCTCTGCCTTGAATGCAGTCGAGACTAAGTTTGTTGATGGTACGGTGCTAGTCTAATATTGTACGTTACTGTTCGATATCTTAGTATCCCCTACTTATTCTAAGATATACAGCTGATTGCTCTACCCTCACTAAGCTCAAGGACTTATTTTAGGGGATATCACAGTACGTTGAAAACGCCAATACACCCCCGAAAGCCCTTCAATTTACAAATAACCACTGGGCTTCGAAACGATCTCCATCATCGGCGCACATATACTGACGTATCGATATCGTACTGACTCGGCTTCATAGAAGCCGTTTTGATAAGGTTGGTGCGACAACTATTAGGTTTGTCAGGCGACAATGGACAGCATACTCGCCAACAAACCACCCAGGGTTCCCAATTCAGCTACGCGTCTAGACCAGTAACTATTGTGGCTGGCTTTTGTCAACTACACGTGACAACCCGTTGTACGTATGCCCTGTTATTCCCTCAATCATCTTACTTTCCACATCATGTCCGATATTTAGGATAATTCCACATCATCGGCATTCATTATCATGGCGGCACAACAAGAAATAGATCCTCGGGCATTTTTCAAAGACGGACGTTTCTCGCAAACCTTCCACCTCCCAGCAGATCCATCTGATGATCGTGGGACAGCTATTCAGGTCAAATACGCCGACTACGGCTATCGCAATCCCTCTAACCCCCAAGAGGAAAATGTTCTTCTCTTCTTCGCACCGCTCTGCGCATCGCGCATCATCCATTGTGCGAAAGACGAGCTAGCCAAGAAGCACCATGTACGCATCGTGGTAATGGACCGGCCAGGCTTTGGTGGGACGGATCCTGTCAAGTTGGAAAAGCGCGCCGTTATATGTCGAAGTATGCCGTGCCGTTACTCTCTTTCATCCTGCGGCTTGACGAAGTAGTCGCTAACAAAGAATAGAAATGACACTGGCTCTCTTGAAGCATCTTGAGATTGGCAAAGTGTCTGTTGCATGTCATAGCGGAGGAACAGTGTACGCTCTCGACATGCTGCTTCACCATCCCGAGATACTCCATCCCGGGCGCTCATATATGGCCATCGGTGCGCCTTGGGTCTTACCATCGAGGTCAAATATCTGGTCCATGTCGTTTGTCAAAGCATTACCTGTAGGCATGATGGCACAGGCAGACAAAGCCATTGGGTTTTTCAACAATACTCTAGGTCCAGCGTTCACCTCTTCTGTTGGTTTCAGTCAGTTGTTCACAACGCCAACTCCACTCGGTCCTGAAGGAGATTCCGAATTCGCCAAGTTCGAGGAGTCGCTAGAGCCTCATCTTTTCAAAATCGTTCATGCGGAGAGTATTGAAGGGTTCTCGGACGAATCCCTGCTTCTTATGCAAAAGATAAATGGAATATCTGGATTTGGCGACTGGCTTGACTACGACGATCTGGTTCCAAAGTTGGTGAGTGTGCTGCGAGAATCTGGCCGACAATTAACTATCGATGTTTTCTACGCCGAGACAGATTCTATGATAGGTGCGCCTGAGACGGCAGGGCCACAATGGATGAATGCTTGCTGGAAGGGAGAACAAGTTGGCGATACCATCAGTTACAATGCAAAGACTATCAAGGGGGCTGATCACAACACTATATGGAGCATTCGACGAGGTGTCCCGGAAGAGGTCTTCAAGAAACTGAGTCAATGACTTCTTTCAACTTAATGCTAAATGATACTGCTACAGGCCTGATCTCTGTTTATAGCTTTGCTGCAATGTTGACATGTACAGCTTTAATGTTTGAATACGCCGCGAGGCCAGCCTCTCCGAGCTCCCGGCCAATGCCACTTTGCTTCACTCCACCAAAGGGAATTCTCCAGTCACTGTCATTGCTTGAGTTGACCCAGACCATGCCTGCCTCGATCTTCTTGGCTACTTGATGCGCCCTCGTAAGGTTTGTTGTGAAAAGCGCGCTTCCAAGTCCAAATTGCGTATCATTAGCCAAGTGGATAGCCTCATCTTCAGAAGAGAATTTAGTCACAACCACAAATGGACCAAAGACCTCTTCCTGGAAAACACGCATCTTGGGTGTAACATCTGTGAAGACAGTCGGTTCGACAAAGTAGCCCTTTCCATCGCCAACCTTGAATGGTTGGCCACCGAGAGCAAGTTTGGCACCTTCTTTCTTACCAACATCAACGAAGGACAATATTCTTTCATATTGGGCCTTGGTGACTTGGGGACCTTGGAAGGTACTCTCCTCAAAGGGATCGCCGACCTTGGAGATGTTCTTGACTTGGGCTCTGAAAGCATCCATGAACTTGTCGTAGATACCTTCTTGGACGAGGATACGACTTGTGGCAGTACACACCTGACCCTGGTTGTACATGATACCAGCATGAGCCCAGTACGCAGCCAAGTCAACATCAGCATCATCGAAGACGAGAAGTGGGCTCTTGCCACCAGTCTCTAAAGTGATGTTCTTCAGATTGCTGCTGGCCATCTTCATGATTGAGCGTGCTGTAGGTGTAGAACCGGTAAAGGCAATCTTATCGACATCCATATGTGAGGCAAGGGCGGCACCGGCGACGGTTCCAAGACCGTTGACAATATTTACGACACCAGGTGGAAAGCCTGCTTGGACAATAAGGTTGGCGAGGTAGAGGATGGAAAGAGGTGTTTGTTCTGCGGGTTTGAGGATCACAGCGTTACCGCAAGCCAGAGCTGGGCCAAGCTTCCAAGCTGCCATCGCGAGTGGGAAGTTCCATCTATCAACATTGTCAGTAATTAGTCTCTAGTAATGGAAAGGATATTGCTTCACTTACGGAATGATCTGTCCACAAACACCAATTGGTTCACGGATGGTATATCCAAACTTGTCACCTGTCGTCTCGATGACTTGTCCAAACACCTTATCGGCAAAGCCACCATAGTATCTCAATGTCTCAGCGACTTCAGTCACGTCATCATTCAGAGCGACAGAGTAGGGCTTTCCGTTATCCCAAGTCTCGATTGTAGCGAGAATCTCCTTGTTCTCTTCCACAAGAGTAGCAAGACGGCTGAGCAGTTTACCACGCTCAGTGCCTGGGAGGTCTCGCCATGCTGGGTTGCGAAGGGCACGGCGGGCGGCGCGAACGGCTTTGTCCACATCTTCGGACGAACCGGCGTACACGGATGTGATTTCTTGCTCGTTGCTGCAACTGTTAGTAATGGCTTGGTTACCGATAAGTGATAGGGAAACTTACGTTGGGTTTATGGAAGAGATCTTTTCGCCATTGGACGACTTGACCCATTCATTGTTGATGAACAATCCAGTGGGTTGCTTGTAAGTTCGCCCATTGGGGGCAGTAAGTTGGATGTCTAGACTCATTGTGGAGGTATGTATTGATGGGCTGAGATTCTGGAGAAATCTGCTGAGGAGGAAGTCATCCTTGTATGGATTATAATACTCCAGTTATTTGTTGGTATATGCGGCTGCGGAACAACGGGCTAACGGCGAGTGACTCTTTACTGCGGACTTGGGGTTTCATCGTGATGATCCCCCAGACGCAAAAAATGAAAAGTATCGCCCAGTTTCGGACTAGTGGAACGCTATACCCAGCCGGGTCCGATGTGGGGAGGCTTGGAGATACCCTGTATCAACATCAATATGTCTTCTCTTTGCCATATTAAGCAGTCATTCGGCAAAGAATGAAACAGAATTCGGGTAATAGAATGCAATGAGGATACCATCAAAGTGTTCTACCATCCTTTAGGCCGTATGCTGCAAGTATGTATCCCTGTTAGCAGTATGTCAAACTGTAAATCGTATGATAGTTGCGGTTCCGTGCAAAATGTTACCTCAATTTGGGTTTTTGTTCTCAAGGGTCGCTCTATTCCCAAACTGGCAGCAAGATAGGACAAAAAGAAAGTGTAATTTAAATAGAGGGATCTTCGCATGTACAATCTCAATTCTTCGTCATTTAACTAGCAACCAAATGTTTACTACACAACAACTGTCACAGCCACCTATTTACCCTCAACCGCGAATGTCTCTCACTGACCACTGGCCTCACCCACCTGGTGCGGGTGCGGGTGCGGGTGCGGACCCGTGGTATCCGTCTTACCGACGATGTCGACATAGTTGGCCCTCTCGGCTCTCTGTGCATAGATAATGTTCCCTTGCGCCTCCTCAGTCTCCAGATAAGTGATTCGGCCCTTGACGACCCAGAAAACAAGCGTGATAACAAGCATGATGCCAAAAACAGCAATGGCGTAGTTCATGTCGGCCACTGCGGGGTTGGGTGCGGAAGGAAAGAAAAAGAAGACAGTGGTCACTGTGCAGTAGACAACTCCGACCCAGTTGATCACTGACCCGAAACGCCCGAGGCCGAATTCGCCCGGTGGGAGCTTGTCTCGGCCAACGAGGAGAAGAGTCAGAATGGGCATGCCATACGAAACGGTGAGTGCGATGGTGCTGACGCTGAGAATGGCTTCAAGCACAGTCGAGGCAAAAGTATAGAGAATGCCGATGAGTGCCATGACGGCACCTTGAAGCCACAAGGCTCGCACAGGGACTTTCCAGTAGTCATCGACGCGCGCAAAGTAGCCACTGAAGGGAATACCACCGTCTCGAGCAAAACCCCATGTCAATCGAGAAGACGTAGTAACGATTCCAATACCCTGTCCAAAACCGTTGACAATGAACAGCACCAGAAGGACCGTTCCGCCCTGGAGACCAACAGTTTCCTTGAGGAGATCCATAAAAGCAAGACCAGTAGACGGGTTGAGATAGATGTCTGAGTTTACCATGCAGAAGAGACAGACGACCATAAAGATGAAACCAGTAATGGCTCCCATGGTAATCGAGAGCCAGATGATTCTTGGAATGTTCGTTCGGGGTGAGGGAATTTCTTCGACAAGATGGATGGCTGCATCGAAAGCTGTGAGACCGTAGGCTGCTTGCACAAGACCGATAAACCAGGTTACACCATCGGGCCAACCAGTCTGGTTGATCCATTTTCCAAACACAAAGCCCGCAGACTGGAAAGCTAAATCTTCCTTGACGCCGACGGAAATCAGCATCGCCATGCTGATAATAACGAAGAGACTGGCGAAGGAAATGCCCACAAAGTTGTTAAACCACGGGAGAATGACATCCTTGCGACATGCCACAACATTGAAAAGTGTCATGACAATAGTAACACCAACATAGACTAGAAACAAAACCCAGCCTTTATCAGCACCTGTCCAGTCTGGCTTGAAGAGAATCTTCATCTTGAGCAGAAACTCAGACATGAAGGCAATCTGAGACGCAGACAAAGTGATCCAGCCAGTCATGTTGATCCACGCGCAAAGATACGAAGTGAATCTACCAGCAGGAGTAGGCCATAGTCTCGAAATCCAATAGGCCTGTCCCATCGCGGTGGGCATGCTGCTGCACATCTCTCCCAGTGACACGGCGACACAGATGTTACATGCAAAGACAAGCACAAGACCCCAGAGGATGGCGATGGGACCTCCAGCTGTCAAACCGCTGTCGATTCCCTGTGCAAAGGTTGACCACGTGCCTAGTACCGAGAAGGCAAGAGCAAGCATGCTCCACATGCTGAACTTGCGCGTGAGGCTCTGGTCATGGCCAAAATTGGCAAGATCTTCTGCATCGCGAATGGCTTGGGGGGTTGAAGGTTGGCGCTTGAGCGCAGAGTTTGTCTCGACGTCGTTGGTCATGGCCGCGTCTGACAATGACCGCGTCGAGATAGAGATTGAAATGACGTAAGTGAGGAGGAATGAAAGGCGACGGGCAGCCTTGTGAAGGTGAAAATGCGAGTTAGACGATTTTGCGACTCAAATGAAGTGGTACAAAGGAGGGGAAAGGGAAATAAAGAGTGAGCGCCGCTGCTTATATCGAATTTACCTCAGCTTGGCTCGCCGACGAACGGACCAAGGGGTTTGATGAGCTACAAAGACGTAGGTAGACTGATAGAGAGATATTGGGGTAGAGAGCTGAACAGATTAGGTATCTCGTAGTGACCTGGGCCGGGCTGTGTGACAACCCGAGAATAACACGGATAGTACTGTATAGAGTGTGTCTAGTTCAAACAACCTTCTGTAAAGAGCGTAGACTACCTAACTAAAACCCCAATTGTGCTACTCCATCACTGAAGATGAGGAGGGACACGAAGAAAAACCTGGTAGGAAAAGGGCGCATTTGGATTAGTTTGGGCAGAGATAAGGGTGTCACTGTTATCTCTGACCCTGGTTCATTCTGCCCTGCCCTGAAAAATGAAAACTCTTCAGTACGTCATTACTGTCAGTGCCCGTTCCTGGCGTGTATTCTATCGCGACAAGACGAGTTTCGCAACGCGACAAAGACATGAATCCTTCTGGAGTCTGTAACTCATGCAGCCACAGGGAACAACGATTGATCTGCGGGGAAGAAAACCTTCCCCATGGGGAATTCCGATTGACGATTGAGCGATGGCATTCCATTACGTGATGAGTAGGAGTTGCGATGCCAGTCAGATCATGGTTTGTTCCCCGTTGCAATCTTAGGTAATTCAGCGACTTCCAGTAACTGACCGGGCCGGTCGTATCGAAGTGAGACGACATCTTGAACAGCTTGTGGCAAAGAGCATGGGACCCTGCTCGGTTATCTCGGTGCATTTAACTTCTTATCGTCTGTTACCAAAACCTTCAAAATATTACCCCTAAAGGGTTTAGCTTCACATAAGCAAGTTACAGGGTACGAAAGCTGAGAAACAGCTACTGCAAACAGTTAGACAGACACAAAATGAGGGGAAGCTCTGGTCTAATTGGCTCTGCAGGGTGTCAAGTGACAGAGCCTCCTCCAGGTCACGCAGATGCAGGGCGAAACGAGGCAAACGTGATGGTTCCAATAACACGTTCAGTCTGCTAGATAACAGCAAGATAAGGTATTTGGCGGGTCACCCCTCATTTGGAAACTTTGTTCAATTCAATGCCTCTCTTCGGATAGCTTCAGTATAGCGTGTTTAACTGCCGGGGATGGAGACGGCAAAAATGTAATTGTATTGCGCTTTTGGGGTAACAGACTGCAAAACCAAGTCAGATCTGATCTCGGCTAACTTTCCATAGCGCGGCCCCGTAGTCTCAATGTCTCGTTTCCTGTGCCCGTCTTACTTACAGTCCAGCGGAGTCAATGTAAGGCGGAGAGTGGAGATGGGGAGCGGAGCGGTGTCATGGAACAGCGGCGCTACAGTGGACTCTTTCCCTCTTCTTTGTTCTGTACCGTTTGTACTTGCATCGTCTATAAGAAGCTGTCATCCTCAATCAAAGTTATTGTTTCTGTCCAAGATCAACAAAGACTGTCTCACTTACCGACTCTAAGCTTCAACACATACCCAACAACATAACACCAATTAAGACTTGCAACACTTGCAACCCTTGTATTGCATCTACCGTATGGCACAGTCGCTTAGTCCAGACAACATTCATCATGATTCCAGACACCTCTTCTATCGCCGGCTACACCATCTTCCGGGAAGAGCCCAACGACGCCGCTCCAGATCTGTCTCAAATTGAGCATACTCATCCTCTTGGTAATTCACCTTTTAATCTCTTCTACTTAATTGACTGCTTACAATTACAGATCCTCTTTCAATTGATGAGATCCGTGCCGCAACAAAACTCATCCGTGATTATGCAAGCCCCAAGACTCTCAAGTTCAACTGTCTCACCCTTCGAGAGCCCAAAAAGGCCGAGTATGCTGCCTTCAAGGCCCGCACCGGCCCTCGCCCTGCTCGTCGCGCTTTCGCAATTGTGATTGAGCGCGGAACCGGCCAGGTTGCGGAAGTCATTGCCAACATTCGCGAGGGCAAGGTCGAAGAGTGGAAGCCTGTCACTGACGTTGGTCCTACCCTGACTCTTGAGGATCTTGATGTTTGCGAACGCATTGCCCGCAAGGACCCCCGAGTCATTCGAGCTTGTGAGGAGCTTGGAATCACCGATATGGAGAAGATCTTTATCGATGCTTGGGCTATCGGATTTGATGACCGTTGGGGTTATGAGAGACGTCTCCAGCAGGGCTTGGTCTATTACCGTGCTTCACCCAACGACAACCAGTACGCTCACCCTCTCGACTTTTCCGTCGTTCTCGACACCGAGAAGGAAGAGGTTCTCGCTGTGGATGTTCGTCTCGTCAACGGCGAGCGAACCAAGATTCCTCTTACTTCTCACAACTACATGCCCGAGTTCATTGGCGAGAACTACATTGATGGCACTCTCAAGCCCATCAACATCACACAGCCCCAGGGCGTGTCTTTCCGCATGCGTGGCAACGAGATCTCCTGGGCGGGCTACAAGATGCACATTGGCTTCAACTACCGCGAAGGTATTGTCCTGTCGGATGTCCGCATGGAAGACCACCACGAGCACCGCGAGCGCACTCTCTTCAACAGAATCAGTGTTGTCGAGATGGTCGTTCCCTACGGCAACCCCGATCCCCCTCACCACCGCAAGCACGCCTTCGATGTCGGTGAGTATGGAACTGGTCTCATGACCAACTCTCTGAAGCTGGGATGTGATTGTAAGGGAGCTATTCACTATCTCGATGCCGTCATGGCCACTGGCGAGGGTGATCCCGCTGTCATCAAGAATGCCATCTGCATCCACGAAGAAGACAACGGTCTTTTGTACAAGCACACCGACTACCGCGACGGCAGCGTTATCTCCGCCCGTGATCGCAAGCTTATCATTTCGCAAATCATCACAGCTGCCAACTACGAATACGGCTTCTACCACACCTTTACACTCGATGGAACATACAAGCTTGAGATCAAGCTTACTGGCATGTTGAACACCTACTGCATGCACCCTTCCGAGACAGCTGCTCCCTACGGCACTGAAGTGGCCCCCACTATCAACGCGCACAACCACCAGCACATCTTCTCTCTCCGTGTCGACCCTGAAGTCGACGGTCCCAACAACACTATTGTTCAAAATGATGCTCTTCCCTCAGAAGAAGAAGTTGGATCTCCTCAGAACCCCTACGGAAACGGCTTCTACTGCAAGAACACACCATACAAGACTGCCAAGGACGCATCTTCAAATTACTGCCACGAGACAAGTCGCTCTTGGGCTATCACAAATCCCAGCAGCATCAACCCTTCCGCCAAGAAGCCCGTCGCCTACAAAATTCTCAACAACAATTGTCCCGGCCTTTTGGCCAAGCCTGGCAGTGTAGTCTACAACCGTGCTGCTTTTGCGCGCAAGAGTCTCTGGGTGACGCCTTACAAGGACTACGAGATCTTCCCCGCTGGTGACTACGTCTGTCAGTCAACGGGTATTGAGAACCACCCTCACAACAGCAACATCATTGACTGGGTGAATCGAGACGAGCCTATCGAGAACACAGATGTCGTCTGCTATATCCAGTTTGGATTGACACATTTCCCACGAACTGAGGATTTCCCTGTCATGCCTGCTGAGCCCGTTAGTGTTATGCTGCGAGCATCAAATTTCTACCAGAAGAACCCTGGTTTGTGGGTTCCCCCTTCAGCACTCTGTGTTGATGCTGCCTCGAAGGATGCTTTCGCTGAGAAGAAGGAAGAGCCTGCTTCTTGCTGTGCCAGCAAGAGCGTGCCTAAGCTTTAGAGACGAGGATGGTTAATGAGTTTGATGTGAGGTTAAAATTGGATTAGCATTGATTGTTTGGAGTCTTAGTTTTGCATTATTAAGTAGCAAGTTATAATACCAAATATTGGATCAGTATCTAAATTGATGCAAATTGTTAAATATCTTCTCTCGAATCACCATATGGTTATGCTTGTCTGTGGTGTTATAAGCAGCCATTACGACCGCAATGCCTGTATAAAATATGAAGAAGCACCTAACAAGCTAGAAATAACTAGCCACGTCGTCCACCACGATGGAAGTACTTGATGTTTTTCTCATCAACCATCCGGTACTCTAAATCGTCCCAGTTAATAAAAACACTCCTCCACCAAAACATAAACTGCCAATCAGGGAACATGATGGTATTTCTGCCTGATTTCTCATCAATGAACCAAGAGGTGCACCCTGTAGCCCATACCAATCCCTTTGCCTTTTCTTGAACATCATGTACATCCTGTTGTTCGGCTGCAGTTGTGATTTCGACGATGTCTACCTTGCCTACAAGGACAGGCCGAATGGCGCTCAAAGTAAAGTTGAATTGGCATTCGGTGGTGTATATAACCGAGAGATGACCGCTGAGCGTATTTGGACCCATCATGATGAAGAAGTTCGGAAAGCCCGAGAGACAGGTTCCGAAGTATGATGAGGCTGCCCCGTCACTGATTCGATTCCACTGCACATGTCAATATCTGGTTAGTACGTATGTGGAAAAGACTGACATGTTCGTTGATGGTGATTCCATCTTTCCCATATATCTTCATTGGAAACAATGGTGTCTGAGTCTCAAATCCATGAGCAAGGACAATTGCATCAGCAGCCACAAACTTCCCGGATTTTGTTCTGACACCCTTCGACTCGATGTTCTGTATAGGGTCATTGTACACCAGCTCGACGTTGTCTCGGTGCAAACAAGCAAGATAGTCAGTATCATTTACCCTCCTCTTACAACCTATCTCAGTCTTTGGGATCAGGAAGTCAAGGTATCTATCAGGCGCCGTCTTTCGTATGTACTCAACCGTTTCCTCTGTCCATTTTCCTCGCGTCTTGAGCCCGTTGGTGACATGGAAACCTGCAAAATCCCTCTCTTTCTGATAATACAGCCAAGCACGATAGATGCGCATAGCAAGAGGAACCCATCGCATGGTCCACTTGAAGATAGTCGAGTAAGTAGGGTTTGGACGCTCGGATAGCCAGTGTGCTTGTCTTGCAAATTGTGTTACTTTTCTGACAGCTGTATCACCAGAGCTAATAACTGGGAGGACTTGGGTTGCGCTGCAGCCATTGCCTATGATGATCAGCGGTCGAAACTCATTGTTTAGAACATACTCACCTATGACAACAACGTCTTTATTGTGCCAATTGAAAGAATGATCCCACTTTGCTGTATGAAATAAACGTCCCTCGAAATCAGATGCACCAGGAATATCGCACTCCTTGGGAATAGACAGCGCACCAACGGCCGAGACAAGGACCTTTGCGCGACGTGTACTGACTTCGGATGTTCCAAGATCTCGAATAGAAACTTCCCAAATACCAGTCCGCTCATCCCATCTGGCAGACTCAACGATCGAATTAAGTCTCACGTGTCTGCCAATATCATACTTGTTTGCAACGTCTCTAAAGTAAGCCTCGATCTCAGGCTGCGAAGCATATTTCTGTGACCAATTGGGATTGAGAGCGAAGGAGTAAGAATAGAAATGCGAGGGCACCTGGTTTACATCGTCAAATGAAGTTTCCCTCATGCATGGGTTCACTCACATCACATCCACAGCCTGGGTAACTGTTGACATTCCACGTTCCGGCAATGGCAGAGCTCTTTTCGATAATCCCAAAGTTTCTAGTCCCAAATTTTTGAACGAGTTGGACGCCGAGACCAATGCCTGACATTCCGGCTCCGATAATGAGGACATCTGTCTGGGCCATGATGATTCGTAAAGAAGTAATGAGATGTGCGATACACACTATAACGAATATTCATTCAGCTCAGTAGAGTGACTATATTTATACGCTGAAGTGTAGTCTTACCATCATATCAATCCATCTCCTCGACTTTCCCTGTGTCGTGATCATTGTTCGCAGCCATTACATCGACGACTTTCCACAACTCAAAACAGTAATCAAGCCGAGGTGATACAAGTACGTCACTTTCCTCAGCAATCCAGGAAATCTCGGCCGAAAGGGTATCACATAAACTTCGGCTTTCGAAACAACGAGATAAGCCGACAACAACAAGCGGGGGTTCCATTCGCGTGGGGTACCGTATGCAATGAACCAGGGCAAAATGGTGGCGTGAGAGGGGAAACGGGAACAACTCAGACATTCAAAGTCACTTGACTACCGCCAGTTACTGAATTTGGTAACCCGCACATGTATTGATGCCACTACAACATGCAAGGGATGTATCATAATTAGTGACAGGAAGTGAAGCGAAAGGGCATCTTGCCCGCAGCAACGTTGACAAAAACAGTTGAAGAGACAGAGACGGTTTGACGATTCACAAATTCCGTATTCGGCATCGTCCTATCAAACTAACAGGCTTTAAATTACAACTTGTAGCCCCAAATGTCCTTCTCACCAAGCCAATGCCAAACATTCGCATCCCCTTCCTCCCAATTACTGGTTGAGAATCCCTTGGTAGGATCCTTAAAATCCGGCCCCGGATCATTGAAAACCTGAACTTGGCGGGTATTATCTTTCCCAACCTCCAATACAGTACCTCCAAGATGCTTTTCGCTCTCCATACATTCCAGCATCGCCACTGCACATTCGTAAGGTGTGACCCACGCGTCCTGCGCCTCGTTCACGTACTTAATCTTTTCTGTGTCTTCCGTCCATAGAGGCGTGCGCACCACACCGGGAGCAACTGCGTTAACTCGTATACCGACTTGTTCAAGATTTGCTAGACATCGAACAAAGCCTGTGATTCCGAATTTGCTCGCACCATACATGGGTGCTCTGAAGACAGGGATTTGAGCGGCGATAGAAGAAATGTGGATAACTCGCTTTGGATTCTCAAGTGATGCCTTTTCCCCGGGACCATGCAACCAGTAGGAAACAGCCATTTGAGTGGCCCGAATGGGATGGGTGAGGTTAATATCGAGCAGCTTGTAACCATCACCTTCAAGATCATCTTGGCTCTCAGGAGATCCTGGCGGATGCCAGAAGTGGGACCAGGTAGGCTCGTAGACACCTGCACCAGGACAGACGATGTCAAAGTCACCGAATTCTTTGATAGTAATTCTAAAAGCGTTCGCCAGATCTTTCCAGGATGTTACGTCTGTTTTGACAAAGACTGCCCGTGGTGAGGAGGATGACGAGTATTGAGACACTAGATCTTGGGCTTCTGGTCGAAGGGAGAGATCTGCGATGGCAACATTGCAGTTCTTAGAGAGGAGAATTTTAGCGAATTCATAGTTGATTCCTTGACATGTGTTAGTCTCTTGTCTTTACAGTTGCCTCAATGCACTAACCTGAACCGGCTCCAGTGATAATGGCAGTTTTGCCAGACACAGAGAATGACTTGTTGGGTTGAGAGGTCATCATTGAATGAAGTAAAACAAAAATGATAAAGATGTCCTAGTCGATTTGTAGTCTTTGAATGATGATAATGAGTGTAGTTAAGATTATATATAGTATCGGAAGTGATCCCGGCATCAGCCAACGTCAGCTTCCTCTTTATGCCCCGCTTATCAATCTGTCACATCTTGTCTATACGTAGTACTCGTGTGTGTGTATCTCCACAGTTCCCCTCCTCGCCTTGATGACTTCATTAGAACTAGCTCCCTCGGCTTCATTTCCTCTCCAAAACATCACAATTTACCCACTGACGACACACCTGAACCGAGTGGACCTGATATACTTCTCGCCTCAACAACCTCATTTTTTCTAGTCGCATTTCTCGCTTGACTTTCTCAACTCAGAAAGTAATGCGCTCTTTTTCAGGCTGGTAAGATCTCCCTCGCCACGCCAACAACAAATAAGCTGATTGAGGTTCCCAGTGAAACGTGCAGAAGCAGGAAATTGAAGTGCGATGAAGTCAAGCCAATTTGTGGGGCCTGTACCAAGTCTTCACGGTCATGCAGCTACTCCAGAAGATCAGTGTTTCGACCGTTCCAGAGTTATGGCGTGAAAAACAAGAATGACGACCTGAGCTTTGGTTCAGGAGATAGTCAACATGTTTTTGATGACGATCATGTATGGCTTAAAGTTCCCGAAGAGCGTATGTCTGATTTTGTTGACTTAAGCTTATGCTTGCGCTTATGAGGACTTTCTAGTTCACTTCGTTTACATCGAGGATCCATATACTGAGCAGGACGACACGATAATTGATGCCACTATCTCTGGAGAAGAAACCTCTGAAACAACATATCCAGTATCCGTATTGTGGAGGCATCAGGATTCTCCAATCATTAATGGCAAATCGTATTCCGAAGACTCTGTTCCACAAGAGACGCGTAATTATGACAAGCATGCTGTTGATTCAAGACTGGCAACGCTTCATCTCATCAAACATTACAAACAAGGTCCCGGCACTTGGTGAGTTCTCTGCATAAAATTACACATCTCAAAGTCTAACCATATAAGGTTCGACATATTTGATACTGGTTGTTACTTTTCTGGAAAAGTCCCCGTCAAAGCCGCTTCGAGTCCCCTCCTCAAATCTGCCATTTGCGCCATTTCTGCGAAGCATTTATACCGTCTCAGGAAGAACAAGTCCCAATCACCCCTTAACCCGATACCCCGAGACACAATCTGGTCGTCTTATGACTGGCACTATGAATCTGCCAAGCACTATGACGAAGCCATCAATCATTTGAGAAGCGCAGTGGATTTACAGACTTATGAGAATGACCTCAGTGAGAAAGAGGATATGCTAGCGGCTGTTGCGATTCTATGTATCTATGAGCTTATGGATGCACCTGGAACGGCATGGAGAGCACACTTGAGTGCCTTACCGCTGTTCAAGTCGACAGAAGATCCTTCGAATCTTCCCTCACCGATAGTCATTCCCAGAACCGCCATCCAAGGGCCTATTCTCTGGAGTTTGGCGAGGCAAGATTTACTATGCGCATGTAAGACTAGCCTTGCCACTTTATCATGTTTTATATCTCACAAGTATTAGTTATCAGCCAAACACAGACACGGCTCGACTTGAAGGACGTCCGTCTCTGGCAAAATGCAGGTCTTGCCACTACTGAAGATGGTACTCTGATGCCCTTCAGCCCGCTGTGCTCGGCAGACATTCGGACCTCAGCCGACATAGAAGAAGACACCAAAAGTAACGAGTTGACCTGGTTAATAGGTAAGCTTTCGAATCATCTCACATCGGGCGACGCCATCAATCCTACAGACTATGCACTGCCGCATGGTCAGCGGCCTACAATTGGGGTGACTCAGGAGCGTCTACTCGAGCGCTGGGAGATGTTGATGTCAGAATTCAAAAAATGGCACGACAGCCTTCCTCGGACGTTTATACCATATGCCCGAACACCATACCCATTGAGAGACTTGCCCTCACAATCATGCTTTACTACTTTCGATCAGGTATGGTACGAGTTGCCGATTTGCGCTGCTACTATGCAAAACTACCACATGGCAATGATACTACTCCTCGTGAATCAACCACAAGAATCCACATTTATCCGCTCAACTGTCTCAGCGCGGTTAAATTCGTACAGAAAGATCCAAAAGGATGTACGCTATTACGCAAAGGAGATATGTGGAATCAGTCTCGCTGATCCAAGTGATCCGGTGAGAGCCAATTCTGTACAGGCACTTTTTGTCGCAGGACAAGTCTTCCATGAAAAGGAAGAGCAACACGCAGTTTTGAAGCTGTTGGAAGATGTAGAGAGGGATTTAGGATGGACGACGAGGTTTCACAGGGCAAAACTGGTTGACGAGTGGCCGAAAGACTTTTAGCTGTATGTGAAATGCAGCTCTACGTGGTAATAGTAGAATTAGCTTTCTGAAGATAAGACTTAGAATTGAAATTATTGATAAAGAACAGGTCTAAGTGATCCTAGGAATGATTCTGTAGTATAAAGTAGATCAAGTATGGAACTTCAAACTCGCAACCATGGGCGTTGTTCGTCCATATCAGTCTCCACGAATTGCTCCGTTGCAGTCTCGAGTCAAGGTAACGTCATCGAGAAGGATAGTGAGGTCATCGTACTCTCCAGAACAATCAATTTTGAATGAGATAGCGACTCCTACAACAGAAGTGCCTCCGCTGGACCAGGTCTCACTCTCCGAATTCCAACCTGAACGTTCATAAGGATTAGCGGCCGGAAGCGCGTCGCTACCGATCTTGGGTTGGATGGTACAACTAAATCCTTGGAGCCCAACTACGGTAGGTACAGACCATCGATAAGATAATCTATAATCGCCATCTAGGGTGGGCAAATTCTGGGCGATCTGATTGGAACCCTGACCATACTGAAACCCAAAGGACCTATGCTGGGTATTAGCGTCTATCACCAATACTACTTCAAGCATCATCGGGGATCTTACACAGCATTGGGAGCGGAATGAGCGCCATTATCAGTCAGGCTTCCACTGCTCGTCCAAGGCGAAAGATCGTTGTTGTCGTCGAAGCCTGGGTTGGAAACAACTTGAGTTTCGACACAGTTTGGTGCTTCGGAAGTCGTGGTGCTTGCAGCAAGCGTGGTTGGTGTGACTTCATCCAGGACAGTCGATGTAGTCTCAGCCACAGCCGTGGGGGTAGTCTCGATCAAGGTCGTCAACGTTGTAGACTCAGACACGGGTAAAACAATCGACGAGGTCTCACTATCGGCCAAGCTTGTGGCAGTAGTGGGCCGACAAGGGCCGGCTTCGGCTCCGAGGAACATAGCGGCAGCCGCCACAGCGAGAATGGATCGAGAAACCATCTTCGAGAAGGACGATTTTAAACGAATGGAAGCGACTAAAGTATCGCGAGTCAAGTAAACACAAGAGGTTGCAAGAACAAATCCATGTTTTCGCAGTCTATGGTCCCCTATTTAATTGTTTGTTAAATTGTCAGAACGGTTTGGGGCTGAACTAGCTCCACGCTAATGTCAATAGTTTGGCAGACTATTGATTCCAGGGTTGCATTCTGTATTTTATTTTTATTTTGACAGCACGCAAGGTTGCTAACTAATCGCAGGATGGGAAAGGTCTTGTAGAGGTGTGACAAGCCGATAAGATAGGGGAAAAGGTAAGGGCTCGTTGCTAGTAGTCAAGGTAAAGTTCAGTATGTAGACGTCCGATGTCAAGCCTTATAAATCATTCAACTGTATTTCGTGTCCTTTTTACTACTGTATCCTCTATTTGGTGTGGTTTTTAAAGATCATACTCAAGCCCTGAAGCTCTTTGTATAGATGCCGTCTCAGCGCGTTCCTACCCTTCTATCTTTGTTTTGGAGGATGTAATACAGAGTGCCATCATCTCACTCCCTCATGTGATTTGGGATTATACTATCATCAAGCTGTTCTGATCAATTTTTCGTGACTTCCTCCAGGTAAAAGCCGCCTCCTTCATACTCAACACAACTTCCAAAAACTGCACCTCTACCAGTTATCTCGTCAAGGTAACTAAAGTATGCGGTTTCTTCTGATCCCTCTAGGATCCAGTAGCCAATAGTTATCTCGCCATCTCCAAGAACGCCGTATGGCCGATCTGGATAGTTATCCTGATATGGAAGCTTTACAGTACTCAAATTGCCATTGTCATCTCTCCAGATCTGCCTGTATGAGCCCCATTCTATCCTTGTTTCGATACCATCTTTATACTCCACCTTTGCGTCGCAGAGTGCAAAGTCGAAAAGGTCGCTGTGTAATGCAAATGAGCATTCGACTAGATGTGTCATCCGCCGTACAAATGGATCCAGGCGGTTCAAGATTATGCCCGTATGATTAAAGTGGTCGCCCCCAAATAGTTCATGATAGTCGTCCAAGGGAAGATATACGTAAAGTCGACGAAGGTTGGGGAATTGGGACAGTGAGACGAAATCCAACAATTGGTCGAAACTGTATACGTCCAGATCCTCCCAGAATTTCCTCGAATCGGGCGTTCTGCAGGATCGTATTGGCCAGGTGACCTCAAGTGAGGTCACTAGCTCAAGCCTTTGGTGTAATAGTAATTTCGGGAGATGCTTGAGCACGCATGTATCTTCCAATATTAAAGTGTTGGTGGAGTAGAGTATATCTATAGTTTCGATATAACTAGAGATTTTCATTAGTGCGGGTAGTGGAAAGGTAGTAAGTGATGGGACATCTTAATTTTGACGACAGGACAGCAGCCAGCCCATTACTCCTATGTGGCATGCTGACGGACCATCTTGACGTCTCCAGGCTTCACAAATTTCTGCACTCCCACCATTCCGGCATTAGTCAGCACATGGGCCCTGAGAGCCACCTCGTGTCATGGGTCATAGTTTCCCAGAATCACTAGGATGAACGCGATGGCATCTTGAGCCCCACCATCGCCAATTTTTGTGGCTGTGTCTCGTCCACTAGGCGTTTGATACGACGTTTTGCTCTGTTGTCATCATCTAGAGGTCCGCGAGCAATGTCTCAATGAAGATTCTGAGAAGGCTCACGAGGGACATCAGGATAGTCGCATTCGATAAACAGGTGAAGACGTGTATCACCAAATGTCAGGCGAAGGATGTCTCTTCGAATATTAGGTGGAACTTTGAACCAGAAGGAAGACCCTTGGTAACGTGGTGTCGGTGCTGAATTAGCCCCAGACTCAGAAGACAGGTCTGGCGTTAGGGCGCGAGGTCGTGGACTAGGCAATACAGGAAGCTTCTTAAGCTGAGCCGACCAATACTCGTTCCAACTCCGCTCCCGAGTGTCAGAATCGCAAGGTGAGCTAGGACTAAAGGCCATTTTGGGAGGGTTATACGGCAGTGCGAGATAATGTTAGATCAAAGATTGAAAGAGTATGTTGAGATTAAGTAACGTAACGTTAAACTGGCATTGACTGTTGTTTTGGGTTGTTTCATAGTAATTGTTCACCAGCCTACACAATCAAACAATAACCGAGCGCTAAAAGTGGAGTTACAGTGTCCATCGTGTTGAAACAACCTCAGCGCTTATCAAGTACAGCAACAATTCAGCCTGGTAGACTGGCTAGACCACTTTCAAGAAATTGCAGTTGCTTTGAGAGGCATTAGTTTAAACATCAAACTCTACATTGAATTGAACAGGTGGGCGGATCGCAAATGAATAGATTGGAAAGGACCAGTTGGAAATATCAGTGCTCTCTTGGGCCACATAATCTCAGAGACTGATCCGATATGTGTTTCTGTTGAGCACCAGATCAGTGGCGCTTATTATGCAACCTGCCTCGCTGGATCTGGATCAATGACGGCTTCGGCAATGTAAGAAGGAAAATATACTATCTTAGTCGTACTTATCTTCATGTTCGGCATTTTGCACAAGTAATATGGAGTGTAGACTTCATCATCAGAGAAAGGCATTGTTACTCGGCTTGATTGCTTCGTTGGGGGAACAGAATTTTGTTGCCTAATTTTAGTCATTTTAGTTACATTCGCCTTGATGCCCGTTTACGAATCAGCATTGTAACGCCAAACTCAATATCGGAACCCACTATCTCCCATTTTATGTACTCGTCGGGCCTCATTTCAGAGATGCATCTCATAACGGCATTCTTTCCGATGTCCCCGGACTTTGAATTATCTGCATAAATACCAACAAAGTTCAAGCATATTTAACCACCATCAAACTTCTTTATCAATCATGAGCACATCAACGCTTGGGACACGACTCAAAGGCAAAGTCTGCATCGTGACAGGCTCCTCCTCTGGGCTCGGCCGCTCAATAGCACTAGGCTACTCACATGAAGGAGCCTTGCTTGTCTGCGCAGATCTGCAACAGGATGCACGGGCACAACTGAATGGCGAAGAAGAGATAAGCACCGATGAACTAATCAGACATAGGGGTGGCAAAGCCATTTTTGTGCAGACGGATGTTAGCAAACGTACTGCTGTGGAGGAACTCGTCACTAGAACAGTCATTCAGTTTGGCCGAGTGGATGTGTAAGTTGTCACACTCATGCTGCGGTGAGAATGCAGACATGTTGACAGGGTACAGATTGGTCAACAATGCGGGCATCTCGATCGAGGCAGGCAAGACACCATGCCGAATTCACGAAACTCCAGAGGAGTGGTGGGACTTGACCATGGCTGTCAACCTAAAATCAATCTTCTTGGCCAGCAAGTATGCTATTGCTCAAATGCTGAAGCAGGAGAGAAATGAATCTGGTGATCGGGGGTGGATCATCAATATCTCATCCATCTTTGGTGTAGTTGGGGGATACACCATCCGTAAGTACACCCTGAGACGAAGGTAGTGGCTAGCTAATGGGCCAGCTTCCTATGCCGCTTCCAAAGGAGCAGTGTCAAACCTCACTCGGTCTGTCGCGTTGGACTATGCAAAAGACGGTATCCACTGCAACGCCATCTGCCCTGGTTGTATGTTTGCCTTCTCTTGTGTAAGGCTATTTACTAATGAGCCGTGTAGACACCGAGACAGCCATCTTTGCTGACACCATTAAGATGCACGACAAGGAAAGCATTCGAGCGAAGCACCCACTGCATGGAACAGGTACACCACAGGACCTTGTGGGGGCAGCCATCTTCCTCGCGAGCCAAGAGGCAAGATGGATCACTGGGGTATGTCTGCCGGTTGATGGAGGATTCACAGCGCAGTAAAAGCCACAAGTTAAGACAGATCTGGTAATCTAGGCTCACGATTTGAAGACAATCCATTCAATTTATCTGTATTCAAAAACTATAAAATATCCATTATGATCCTTCGCAATAAATACCATAATTCCATCTCTTATGTAAATCAGATGTGTCCATATACCCATATACTCTTGTTACAAATATCGCGTCGCTCGTCTCATCTTTTGAAAAACCGTTCTACATGCTATACCCGCTTGCTACTCAAACAGCCCCAAAGATCCAAAACAGATATACCACCCAGACTCAATGAAAAGTGACAAACGAGTGTTGAAAGGAAAGTTGACAAAGGAAATGATTTCAAATGAATGCCGGCCTTGACTGTTCTTGGTATAGAGAGATACAGTACAAGATCGTGTTGTGTTGACTTGGCCCATCTTTATATCAAGAGTAGGTCAAAGTCATGTTGTGTTTTTTTGTTGAACATGGCCAATCTCTGACAGAGATGGATAATTAGGCCATGTCGTGATGTGTTGTTAAATGTTGTGTTGTAATGGTTGTTGTTATAATTAGATGTCGGTTCTCTCAATGTGGAGGACATCCTTGAGCCATTCAACTAGTCACGAATCCGCAGATCCGTCAGACCGAGACCCCGACCTCGAAACAGCCGAGTCAAGGTTTCGCCTGCGTACGATAGAGCTCCTGTAAACTGTTAGTAAATAATCATTATGCGATTCATCAAAGGAGTTCAACTTACAGTCCCTTTTCCCGAGGATCCCTCACGATGACAAGCTCTTGTGCCCGCTTGGGATCCTTGATAGACTTCCTTCCCTTGGAGCTCGCTCTGGGAGCACCGCCACCGTTGTTGATCTGAGCCACCAGTGCGGCAATCTGAGTCTCGAGAGAGTTCACCTTGGATGCAGCAGCCTTCTGAGCCTTCTTGGCATCGTCAAGCTTCTTCATAAGATTGTTGTTCTCGGTCCTCAGTGCGTTGAGAATCACAGCCTCACGCTCAGCGGTCTCGAGCTTCTTGTTCAGCTCGTCTCGTTCGGCGATGAGAGCGGCGATCTGCTCCTCAGCGGCAGTTAGCCTGGTCTTGAGATCGTCGCGGTCGGTAGTGACCTCATCGGCCTTCTGCTGGAGGGCGGTAGCCTCTTCTTGCAGCGTGGTGAGCTTCTGGGTAATCTCATCACGCTCGGCAGTGAGCATGTCAACGCTAAGTTGAAGACGACCTGCGTTCTCAGCCGTGGCTTCGAACTTGATAGTGAGGTCGTCGTGCTTTGTTGTCATGGCAGTAACAGCTTCTTCGGCAGTAGTGAGTTTCTCCTTGAGCTCAGTGTTCTCCACTTCTAAGGCTGGGGGAGCAGGCGCTGCTTCAGGCTCGGGGGCTGCTGGCTCAGGAGTTGGATCCGCAGCCGTCTCCTCAACTGTAATCTCAACCTTTTCCTCGACAGCCACTTCGGCCTCGGGTTGAGCTTCTACGCGCTCAAGCTCGGGTGCAGGGGCAGCTTCGATCTCAGGTTCAGGAGCAGGGTCGCCCTCTGGTGCGGGAGGAGAGTCAGCAGGAGGACCCTCTCCTTCAGGTACTGTCGTCTCCTCCTCAACAATGATGACGTCCTCGACAATAGTCTCGGGTACATCCTCAACAGAAGCAGGCTCCGGCACCTTGACAGGCTCAGCCTTCTCTGTTGCTTCCGAGGCCACACTGGTCACGTCGCTGACGCTGCTCATAGAGCTACCGATTGACGAGATAGAGCTCGACACAACGCTACCAGCATCGGATCTCAGGGCCATGTTCTCGGACCTCAAGCCCGAGACCTCCACAGATAATCTCAGCACTTGCGCTGACTGATCATCCTGGGTGTGTATCATGCCTCTCATCTGGTCTCTCAATCCATCTCTCTCACCATGGAGCTGCTCGTACTTCTTCTTGAGCTTCTTCCTCTTGCTCTCCACCTCCTCCATGTCCTTGACCACGGCCTCCTTCTCCTTGGCGATGGAATCGATCTGGGACTTGAGGGCTCCATTCTCTGAGTCAAGGCCAGCAATTTGGGCTTCCTTGCTCTCAGTGTCCTTTGCCCAGGCTTCCTTGTCCTTCATCAGATCGTCGATAGTGGCCTGGAGTGTCGTGACTTGCACCTCGAGAGCCTTCTTGTCGGTCTCAAGCCCGGTGAGCTGTTCCTGGAGTCTCGTCTTGTCGCCTGTGAGATCATTGATCTGCTGCTGAAGGTTCTTCTTGTCCTCCTCGAGGCCCAGCTTGTCCTTGCTGAGAGACTCAACCTGGTTCTTGGAGTTCTCACTCTCCAGCTGGTAGCGGTCACGAGCCACTGTCAGCTCTCCCAGCTCCTTGGACTTGTCAACGAGGTCCTGCTCCATGTTGCTAACGCGGAACTGCATAGACTCCTGGGAGATCTCCATGGTGGCGATGCGAGCAACATAAGCGGTCTCCTGAGACTTGCGGATAGCCTTGATGTCCTCGAGCTCACGCTCCAAGTTGATAGACTTGGCCTCGAACTTGTTGTTGTTCTGGGTCACTTCCAGGCTGTTCTTCTTGAGGTCTTCGTAGTTCCTCTCGAGAGCAGCCTTGAGCTCGCGATGCTTGATGAGATGTTCCTCAAGCTCCTTGACCCTGTTGCTGAAGGCAGCCTCGGTCTTGATAAGCTCATCTCGCTCAAGAGTAAGCTTGGAGACAATCATGTCGCGCTCCTTCTGAGCCTGGTTGATGATCTGATCCTTCTCTCTCTTGACCTGCTCGATAGCCTGATCCCGTTCCTTTTGGAGCTTGGCAATAGCCGAGTCACGCTCCTTCTTGGACTTGGAAATAGCCATGTCGAGATCTTTCTTGGCCTTCTCGGCAGTGTGGTCACGCTCTCTCTGGAGTTTGTCGACAACAGAGTCACGCTCACGCTTGATACGAGAGACCATCTCATCGCGCTCACGCTGAAGTCGCTGCAACTCTTGGTCGCGCTCCTTCTTGGACTTGGAGATGGTGGAATCGAGATCCTTCTGAGCCTGCTCCACAGCCTGGTCGCGTTCTCGCTTGAACTTGTCGACATTCTTGATGGCTTGATCACGCTCATACTTGAACCTGTCGAGCACGTGATCACGATCCTTCTTGACCTTGTCAATTGAGATGTCGCGGTCCTTCTCAAATCGCTCCAGGGTGCGACGCTGCTCATCAAGTCGCGTCCTCGTCCTCTCAAGTAGACGGGTCTGCTCCTCAAACTCAGTAACAAGTCTGTCCCGTGTAGCTTGGGCCTTGTTCCTCTCTTCTCGGAGCTCATCCTTGTCGGTCTGCATGTTGGAGAGTCTGTACCGAGCGTCACTGAGGTCCTTGTGAGTCTCCTTTTGCTTCTCCTTGAGCGTCTTAAGCTCCTTGCGGAGGCTCTCGAGCTCAGCAGACATGGTCTCTTCCAGGTCATGGCGTGAGCGGGCCCTTGGTCGGGAAGGGGGACGCTCAGGCTGGGGAAGTTGACGCTCCTCTGGGATACGTTGAGGAGTAGGGACAGACTGGGGTTGTTGAGGAATGAGAGGCTGTTGGAAGGTTGGTTGCACGACAGGCTGCACAATGGGAGGGCTGATGGGCTGAGCAGTGTACATGACGGGTTGCGCTGGAATGAGAGGCTGCTGAGGAATGAGAGGCTGCTGAGTCATCATTGGCTGACCAGCAGGGTGCTGAGTGTAGGTGGACGACGACGAAGTAGTAGTCGTGGTAGCATGAATAACAGCACCATTCTGTGGTTGAGTGATGGTTTGCTGTGTGCTCTGCTGCTGAGGTTGCTGAGTAGTGATCTGCTGTTGTTGTTGCTGTGCTGGTTGCTGTGGGATGAGAGGCTGCTGTTGTTGGGCGGTAGGCTCAATATGAATGTGGAATGTTCTACCGCGGCTTCGTGATCGCTCCTTGGTCCTCTCCTGCTGGCGCTCAACCTGTCGTCCAGATGTTCTCTCAAGCTGGCTGTCTGTCTCAAACTCAACTCGCTTCTCAGTAGGACGTGACTGCTGTGTTGAAAGGGCACCTGTCTGTCGCACAATGGAACGAGATCGGGTAGGTGTCTTAGAGTAGTCATCCTCACTTTCACTCATGACGGTGGTGGCCCTTGTGGAGACGGAGACGTTGGATGAACTTCCCCATCCTAGTTCAGAGGCAGAGTCCCAGTTCTCATCGGACATGTATGAGGCTCTGGGTGAGGGCTCTGGTGATCGTGTGTCATGGCTGGATCTGAAACGAAGCTGAGGTGGTTGGAACATGAAGCCTGGTCCAGAGTGTTGTCGTCGGTTCACGGGTGGTGGTGGTGACACTGAGGAGACGTCACTGGCTGAAGAGACGGTAGAGACCTCTGATGGTGCTGTGGTGGCTTCTGAGACGGTGGATAGGCCATCATCGTCTGGTCGACGAGTTGATGGTGGACGGGAGACTGATCGGTTTCGTGTGAGGGCAGTCGAGCTGGTCCTTGGGTTCCTTGTGTTCTCGTCTGACGAGTTCCTGGGTGGGTTGCCCCGGATTGTGAGGGCCATGGCAGTCTCCTGCTGGCGTTGCTGTTCATATTGTGACATTGGGTCGAAAGGCCGACGTGATGGGGCCGGCTTTGTAGCCGTCTTCTGTGATGATTTCCTCATATTGAAATGAGACTGTTCTGTGATGTGTTGTGTGTGTAGATGTGTTGAAGGGAATTATTCGGTGACGGAGAGTGAGTTTCTCTCTTTGTCTCGGTCGTGTGTATATTCTTTCTGTAGTTTCGTGGGGTTCGTGGGCACTATACTGAGACGGTACGGTACCAGGGTCCGTGTGTGATATGATCGACGGGCGGTGAAGAGGGTCGAGGGTGGACTAGATAGATAAATGAAAATAAGAAATAGAGGACACAAGAGGCCTCGCAATCAATTGATTAATGGTTTGTGTTGAGCTATCTCTAGAGAGAAGAAAAAGAGGAAGAAAGAAAAAGGGAAGAGAAATTCAGCTCGGGCTGGAAATAAGGTGTATAGCCGCCAGTTTTGTTCGAGGCACCTCGAAACCTCTTTTTTGCCTTGGATCTACAAGAGCCGGGGTGGAAGAGCCCGAGCCAAGCCAAGCCCAACCCAATTCCAACAAGGGTTATCAGTGACTTTGGCCCACTACCAACCACATTGGAAAATATCACATTGGATTGGGCACGGGCAGGCCTGGTCTGGCCTGCAGTTGAACAGCTGGACCAATAACTACCAAATCGGCTGTGCCCATGACGAGAGAAGCATGATCCTTGGACGGTAGAACGGGAGAGAAAGGGAAAAAAGAGGCCCTAGTCTATTTTGGTATGTGAGAAAGGTGACCCGACATGCTGCAAGGGCTCGATTGGCCTCATGGGCCATGTACATATGGATAATGGACCCCCCAGAGTCAGCGGGGTGAGGCTACTGCACAGGTGAAGCTTTGACAGTTGACAAAAAGAGTCTAAGACTTGGACTGTCTGGCCATGTGGACAGGTGTGGTTGAAGGGAATCATTCCCCGGGTAGTGACCCCTCTGCAGGGGAATGGGGATCCCGGCACCTCCGCTGTCGAAACAAGGCCGAAGTGGAAGACGTCTGTGCAGGTGCTAGAGGAGCAAGAGGAGCCTCGTTCACCGGAGGACTAAGCGATAACCTCTGTTCTGCACAAGAGGGGAGAAAAGAGGATAAAAAGAAATGCACGACTCCATACCGCTGTGTGTCTTACGTGTACAACAAAGCACGACCAAAATCACGAGAGAGCACGTACATACGTTATGCGTTACATTTGTGCCACTGAAAATTCGCTTATTTTTGCCCTATTTCTTTTTTTGTGTCCTTTTTCTTTTCCATTTTGTGTCTTTTTCGTGATATTCTTGTTCTTGTTCCCTGTCTCTTGTCTACTGACCTTCTATCTGTCCATCCTTCTCCCCCACAAAACTCAATTTCATCATGCCCAATCGTTAAAATCAAGGCATCCAGTCAAAATCACAAAAAAGATCAGCAGCTTGGGCTCCTAGGCTTACAGGGGGAGTCCCTGTAGTTTTTGAGGCCATTTTAGGCGTTTATGTCGGGTCGGGCTGCAACGTTTATGTGGGGGTTTCCGATTCGTTCGAGAAGGGTCATATTTATGGGTAAAAGTTCCTAGTCTAGTCACTGGCTGTAGCTGGGGGAGGAGAAGAAACCGACAGTTCAGTGAGGCAAAGTACAAAAGGAAATGCTTGGATAGTAGACAGCGTACGTTTTGAGGACACGAGGGTTATGAGTAATAAATAGTGATGAGTTGGATTGAGGCTTTTTCTGACTCATTGCATAACCCAGCTCAGCCCAACTCATTGTGGCTGGCCAAGAAATGGTCTCATCCATGGCCGCCTGACAAAAAACTGAGGCTATTCGCGTTTGAGCAGTGGAAACGCTGATCACCGCCAACTACCGTATCGCTATCAATCAATCTCGGCGCTTCAACCACCAGACCCCGTTTGCGGGGTTTCAGATCGACTATGCCCAACCTCCTCTGAACCCTTAACCAAGACTTTGGTATCCGTAGTTTTCCATCAAAAATGCTTGACTATCCCTTTGTGTTGCCATATCCATGAAACTGCCGTGGCCTCGAATGTTGTTGTTCTTTGAGGCGGCGCAGGATATCCATAGTAAGCTGAGGTGTTGTCGGCATTACTCATTGCCTGCCAGCTATCAATTGAAAATACATACCTTGCCACAAAGACAGCACAAAGGCTCTGGCGGCAACGAATTTCAAGCGTATTCCTTGTCCGTGTGGGACCCAAGTATGGAATTGTCTGGCTTATCCATGTTTCGATGGCAAACGGAAACCCAAGCAAAGCCTGACAAGAAGCATTCGATTCTAGATTCATCGAGACAATCGACAATCAACAATTCATCTCGTGGTCAATGCATGGCCTAGTGTACATCAAACTCCATAACATGATCCGCAAAGATCGTGTACCTACCTACAATTGTTCCTTCGATAAGCGCTGCAAATGCAAAGCGTGGCCTCGATCTCATCAAAATTCCTTCCTATGTTACGCGTGTGCATAAAATCATTTTGTTGCCTAGCCTACTGTAATGTAATGTAAGGTCCATCACAGTCACAATGCATTTCCTCATATGATTTTGCACAGAATACATAGACCCAAAAGTCCGCCTTTTTTTTTTGAGGCCAACCAGTCCTGGACCTGGTCTTGTCTCGCCTTGTTAAATGGGACAGATGACTAAGATTGGATATCCAAACGAAAGAAGACATGCACAGTTGATATATGATAGGTTCGAATGAATTTTTCGCCTCGATGTTGTTGTTGCAGGCTGTGAATATGCCACGCATCAGAAACAGCAGATAAAAAGAAATGAGGCGATTGTTGAAATAAAACAGATAGACGCTCATCAGATTATGTGCAGTTGCAGAATTTCAAGTAAAAGACACGAATCAGTTATTGCCACTAGAACTAACAAGCACATCAGGCTGAACCAACAGCTACCCCAGAAACAACACTTCCCGTCGTCGTAGGCCCCTTGTATCCTTTCCTTGCACTCGCAAACCACCAAACACTAACTAAAAATGTCAAACCTCCCCAAATCACGCATGTGTAATTCATACTCTGTGGTGTGGTGGGCAAGGAATAAGGAAAGCAGTAGATGACACTCCAGATAAGAAGATAAGCACAAGCAATACCGTTGACAATAAAGCCCCAAATCCCATGCATTCTAAAAGGTCCGTATGTGATATTCTTGCGTCCGCTGAGTAGGTTAGGCAGGATGCAACAAAGGAATGAACAACTGCAGAGCAGGATAAATGTTCCCACAAAGGCATTGAAAGCTGTTGTGCTTCCTACGTAAATGGCACCTAGGACAGATACCAAAACCGCCGTGGCGATGGTGGACCAGAGAGGCATGTCAAGAGATTCTTGGACATGGCCGAATACTGCCGGGAAAGGAGTCGCGCCATCACGGGCAAGAGCCCAGAGCGTTCGTCCGCAAGTGATGTATAGTCCGACGACTGTCAAGGCAATGCAAATCATAACCAATGACAACAAGCCCGTAGCACCAGCCGCAGAGCCAGTTGCTTGACGATAAATCTCGGCAATGGGATACGCAGATTCGAAAAGCGCGTCGTAGTCGTTGATGGCGTACATGATGGCGATGAGATAGCAAAGTCCAGTGATAAAGCCAGTCGCCACTTGAAACAGAATGGCAATGGGAACATTGCGGCTGGGGTTGGGGATCTCCTCAGCTAACTGCGTTGTAGCATGGACTGATCCAACACTATACGCGCCATTGAGCATACCCGCCACGAAGACAAAGCCATCCGGATATCCAATATCAGCTGTCCAGTCTTTCCACACAAATGCCGAGCTCGCATGCGGCGGACGACCTCCAGTACCAGGCATAGCCGTGACTGTGATGACTGTGATGATGAAGCCAGCGAGGATAATGAAAACACCGAATTTGTTCAAAGCTGGCATGGCACTATTCCACAAACAAACTGCTGCACACGAAAGCCAGGTCGTGATGATATACGTGATGAACACATGCCACGACTCAGCCACGAACCCATCATGGTTCAAAGCATACATCTGCACGAGCGTGTTCGCAAGGATACTCGACATACTAGCGCATCCGAGACACCAAGCGAGATAATTCCACCACCCCGCGTAAAATCCTAGAACGCGTCCCCATCGTGGACCTGGGGTAACAGACGCCCAGTGATATACGCCAGCGGATGAAGGGATCGCACTTGCGAGTTCTGCGACACTGGCGGCTACGGTCCAGTAAAAGATGGACACGGCGATGAATTCGTATAAGACACCAGGCGGGCCGCCGTTGAAGATAGCGACAAGGATGGAGCCGCCAATCGCGGGCCAGACATTGCCGACGACGAGACCGACGCCTGCAAGGGAGAGGAGGGTGAAGTTTTGAGGTAGCTCCTGGACGTGACCGGAGGCGTTGATAGGTGTGGTTTGGGTGACGGACTTGGTGTCGTGATTATCGTCATCTCTTTTGGACGAGTCCATCTTGCGTGTGTCGTCCATTGAATCAATTGATCTGGAGAAGCAGAGACAATTGAGAACAAGATGGGAGATGGACCATCTTTAAGTCTCAACCACGCGTCCCGAGACTTTGGTATTGACGCTTCTTTAGTTTGCCCCCGGACACATTGTCGCATGTTCTTTCCAAAAGGGGTTTGGATTCCATCCCCAATCTGCGGAGATAGGCCATGTTTCGTATTTCCCCGAGGGGTTGTATCTTTAGCACCTGATTGTCTGGAACGCTAGACCAGGCAGCTTATCTAGCTGTCGGCTGTAGATTCCCAATGAGTTGATGGTGTTCGGATTTCGGCAGATGGAAAGGGAAAATGATGATAACAAATTTGTTTTATAGACATGCATACAGCAATATTTGAGGTGAGTTCGTCACAGGTAGATCGTTAGCATCATCACATAACTGTCACGTGTCGCTCGTTATCGTCGATAAGATATCAAGTGGAACTGGAACCGGAGATTCTAGACCAATTCTAATCTCGTCAAGGGCCAATCGTGCGGGGTAATTTCTCTTAGTCATGGCATTTCAGTTTCAACAGTCCCGGGTAGGTTCGCGAGTTTTGGCAGGCTATCTTGAATCACCCATTGCGATATATAATGTATGATAAGTTGTGAGAGAAAAGTACAGAATTTTATTTATAAATAGATTCATGATTATCTAAGCTGGTCGAATCAGTAGGTATACTGAAGTACAGTTTATAACATGACAAGAAGAGAAATACTGCTCCGACATCCATTACTCATTCCTGTTTACTGCATGTTGATAGGGTCGTGAATAGGATCAACACCCTGAGCTGAACCGATGCGAGCCTCAAACCAAAAACGAAGTCTCTCAACCAAGGCTCTGTCAGCCATGAATCGTGCAAATTCAGCTGGGTTGGTAGCAGTCTCATTGGCAAGATCAGGGTAGCCCTGGGGAGTAGGCATGTCGCGGCGAACGGACCAAGTACCCATAGCCTTCTGGTACTCGGGGCTGAGGATGAAGCTGTGAAGGAGCTTTGCTCCCTCGGGGTGAGGCGCGTCCTTGAGGATGCCCGCAGTCTGCGCCCAAGACACATACTTGCCGCTCTTGGGATGCGCAAACTTCATAGGCTCGGCATTCTGAAAGCCTCCACCAGCAGCGAAGTAGGCGGCTTGAGTGTAGTTGCTGCCTTTAACAATAGTTGAGGGCGCGGCGGTACCACGGATCCATCGAGGGTTCTGCTTGAGGAGACCTTCAAACCAAGAAACTCCGTACTGTTGCATGCTAGAGAATTGTTAGTTCACATCAATGCATATGTGTCGTCAGTATACTCACATCAGATGATAAGCGAAGAGAACAGCATCGTCGTCGTTGGGATAGGTAAGGACAAGCTTGTTCTTCAACTCAGGTCGGAGAAAATCGGGGTACTCGGCGAGTGGCTTGATTCCTGGAAGTTTCTGGCTGTTCCACCCGAAGGCCCAAGAGTAGATATAGACACCGTACCAATAAGCTGTGTTATCCTTGTATGCGTCATCGATCTCATCAAATCCCTTGGGTGCGTAGTTGAGCAATGCACCTTGTTGAGCCCAACGGGGGTAGTCGTGCAATGTCTGGAGAATGACACTGTCGACGTAGACAGCTTTTCCACCAGCAGCAAGCTGTTGGTCCAACCTGGCGTCGTGATATTTGGATAGATCAACGGTGACATTGAGTTCCATGCCGGGGAAGCGCTTTTCAAAGGCTGCCTTCAGGCCACTCTGTCGGTTGACTGAATCTCCGCCGTGCCAGAGGGTGACTACGCCTCCCTCTTTGAGCGCTGCTTGGTGAATCTCATCAAGTGACCGAGTTTCAGTTTCGACTTTGGCATTGAAACCAAGAAGCTGGTCGTAGCCCAAGGCGGAAGTAGCCAAGTAGGCAATGGACAACAAAGAAGACCGCATTTGTGCTGATAGGGAAGGGCGTACAAGATGAGATGGAGGTGAGGACTGTCCTGCTTTCTTCCAAGGACTATGATTGTAGTTGATGCATTATGATTTATACAAAGAAGCAACTCGGCGATAAGGTGGGATTATCAGAATGTTACATAATGTTGCATTAACAATCCCGCGCGGGTAACACGCACGTTAACAGGTCCTTAATAATAGGTTTCTTCACGGCAAAGCAGAACATAAGGTTTGTCCCCGCAACAAGCATGGGTTTGATTCGCCATAACAGTCGAGTCGCAGCATGTTCCTTGAAATGTCGTGTTATTAACACTACATACTACGAGTCAGGCAAATCCTGGTTATTACCAAATGGGATGCCGAACTATCTGCCAAGCTCCGAATAGATATGGAAGGAAGGTATGCGGTTTCTAGAATGGGGATGTCATGTTGGAAAGTAGTTGACAAATTTTCTTATCCGCGGGTAGTAAATTAGAGTTTTTACGAAAACTTCCCGTCCGAACGCCAAGCGAGAGTTCCCGTTCGGCTTCTGAAACGATGTGAGTCTACTTGAGGCAGACGGAGCCTTGTTGCGATTGGCTCCAAATATAGTTATCACCAGATGAAATACCTAGGGCTTCCTGCTTATGGGCAAGAACCACAACATGTACTTTACCACGTCTTTCGAGTACTGGGAAATTGAACATCCATCAGTAGCGTGCTGTCAAAAAGAGGCATGGGTAAGGTAAGTTGCTATTATCAATCTAGCTGAAGATGTCCTATGCTTGGATAAGTCATTATACAGACTTCATCTCACGTTTCATTGAGTCTAGATAATATAGGGAAGGGATTGGCACGGCAAACCCGATGGACAGGCCTGAGCCCCTGACGCTACTGGTGGTGCTTAATTTCCTAGACACTGACGGTTGTACTTGGCGATTGGCCATTTCGGGAATGCTCTACGTGTCGCTGAAAAAAAATGGATTGATAAGATCATCTTGCGAATTACAGCCGTCCGATATTTTATGCAAGATACGTCGGATCCTGATGAAGGCCATGGGTGCGACTTTGTTGGGGGGATAGATGCATTCCTGTATGATCATTTCATGACAGATACTCGTGAGTAGTAAGTACATGGAGACAACAAACTGTAAGCTTGAGAGAAAAACCAAATAGCATAACCTGAATAACTACATCTCTTCTGCTGCCAAGGCAATTCTTCTTCTGATACTCTGAGGCGATCTCGTATCTTATCTTCTGTATCTTATCGTTATCTTATCATACTGATCGATGATAAGAGCTCTTATCGGTCTGGCTCTAACAATAGCATCAATCGATATAGATCAAGATCTATATCACAATGTGTCGCGCATGAGTTGTGTATCTGCTAATTTAACGTTAGTATGATCTGATAATATCAAGATTCTCAGATCATGCACAGAATAGAAACGCAGGTAATGAAGCAGAACCACAAAATATGTGTTTTCGTATCGTTGGAACCGCTAGTAAGTATTACCCATAGGAGCAGTAGCCCAATCAGACTCGAATCTATGCCATCCTCCGTACTCAGGCTCACTCCCCATGTAAAGACTATGAACAACCATATCATACTGTCCATCTGAGGGTGTCTTGCCACCGCAAACATTTCCACCCATGGCAACATTCAAAAGAATATTCATGTCCCTCATGGGCCTCGTCCCTTCAGGAATGTCCCCCTTCATGACGGGTCTGCCATCAATGTACCAGATCATTCTACCCTGACCAGCGTGTCCACCTGACTGAAGCCACGCCAGGTCATACCGCACAGGCCGATGCTGCATGTCGGGAATCTTGGTGCCAAGGACGCGATGCTTGTCCGGCTCATGATGGTGTCCCCAGTGGAGACACGAGTGGTTCTCCATATCGCCGTTCCACGTCTCCGCTATGTCGACTTCTCCATCAGTGGGCCAGGAAAAGGGCTCCTGCGGAAGAAGCCAGAATGCAGGCCAGATACCTGTCGCGCATGGCGAAGTGAGCCAGGCGGTGAGGACGCCTTGATCGCGAGAGAGCGTCTGGCGACTCACGAGTCGAGCAGAGGTATACCGCTTCTCATGATCAGACTCTGCATTGTTTGCAATGGCACGTAAAACAAGCTTTCCATCTGGAGTACTACAACGATGATGAGTTATCGATAGATTTCCAGATTAGGTCATGTGCTGATAAACTCACTGGAAGGCGTTTTGTTGATCGGCGGTGTAGTACTGTAGCTCCTGATTACCCCAGCCATCCGGGCCGTTACCGATCTTTGCGTCCCACTCAGAGGAAACGGGTGCGTCGGGGCGGAATTGGGGCTGCCAGTAGACGTGTCCTTGCTGCTGGTTCTGGCCCATGGGCTGTTGGCCTTGGGGAGGAGGAGGCGGTGGGGGGTAATGTTGCTGATTCTGACTCTGGTTCTGAGCTTGTGGCTCACCGACTAGATTTTCGAATTCATTCTTGAGGCGCTTGAGATGGTCTTTCCACGGCATGATGAAGTTATTAGCGACGAATATCGGTCAAAGAGGTTAGGGAATACGTCAAGGTGTATTTACGTGATGTATATGTAAAAGAAGGGAGAGAATTGTTCAAGTCTACGACTTGGCATGACGTCACGAGCTTGCGTGGTTGAGTGGCTGGAGCTTTAGCCAAGTCTCAACATTGGGTATCAAGGTTGACAACTATCTCAAATGAAGCTATACAGACAAAGCAATTATAGGCTGCATCGTATTCATTAATTGCTGTCAATTACATCCAACACCTCAACAGGTCAGCACGACAGTTCAGAGATGTTATATAATCATCGAATGTTTTGAGAATCATCATGCGTATATCTTAATAAATCTTGGAAGATGATAAGAGGGAATAGTTTCAAGATATATTCGGGCCTTATCTATGGTGGTTGATTGAATGGAAAGACCGGTGTATCTTGGGCCAAGATGTTGCCTGATGTGCGATCTGGATCGGATTAGGATCCATTGAAATTTCCCTGTTTCGGCAGACGCCGTTGCCAATCATCAGATGGTTTTTAATAGTACCTGGAAGTTACCCTGTAGAAGGCGTGAGTGAGGTAAACTGCCAGAACCGTCTGCGTATCACTTGGTGAGAGTATCGTATAATGAGAGACAGAAATTGAACGATAAGTCATGGCCGAGACAGGATATGTGGTAAAATAATGTATCAGAGATCAAACAATATTGGAATGCTGTTTCGACTTGTTTGGACGCGTCTTCAACCAAATATTTTAGTGGACAGTTTTAGTGGTTGAGACGCGTTAGCTGGCCTGACTCTCCCTGATCATCAACCGCGTAAGACGGCTTCTTATCGGCAATCGAGTAAGAAAAATTAAATGAAAAAATAGACGAGTTTCAATCATCAGAACATCTCATGTTGTCGCCCACAAAAAACCACAAGATATAAACGATCTGGATCTCCTTATGGCCCGATTTTGAGCTTGATTGAGCCTCCGGAAGTACCCGACCAGGGGTTCCGGGCCATTTTCATGGCACCACCAAGCGGCCTCGAAACACCGCTACACCACGCCATGGGCACTGAGATCAACAATGCAAGATACGAGACAGATGATATATAAGATATGTACAGAATCTCACTTTAACAAGATTCATAAGTACTAATATCTACAGTAATATCTACTATATCAATTGATTTGTTCCTCACTTGTCTTGAGAAACAAGAACAAACCCTTGGCATAATATCATCCAATATGCAACCTATCCTAAGAGCCATGCCTGTCGAAAAGTGAGCCTCAAATCTCCACCCATCACCAGCCACACACTAACAAATCTCCAGGATTGTCCCTCTTCTCTTGACAGTTGGCAGCGCCACAGTCGTTGTTGGTGGTGTTCGCACAACGCTCAAGCCACAGACACAATCACGGTCTTTTGATAGAAGACTTGCTTCATACAGCACAGCACAAAGTGAAAAGGTATGTTGCTTAAGTATCTTACTGTTTGAAATATCATCATTAACAGATTTTATAGACTATGACGACAATGATTTACAGCACTTGGCTAGAAGATTAGACAAAGCCATTGGTACAGAAATGCAGGCGTTTCAGACCACCACATCGAAATCACGACACTTAATGCACATTCACGAACAAACACATACACATATCTAAAGTACTTGCTGGCAAGATCAACTTCTTAAGCAAGACCAGTACACTACAACTATTACACTACGGCCTGGATTAGAAAAAGTTACATAAACTAGCGAATGATAGAATTATGGGCAAGGATCCCACTTGAACCTTTCAACGTTTTAATTTGAGTGATGATGCATATTTGGCCATTCGTATGAGAATACCATAAAGACTTATCTATGAGATCGACAGGTATGAGTCACTGGTCTCATTTCACACACAGACAAGTGCTTAAACTGCTTGAGGTAATTGCCGAGTCTCAGCCGCAGCGGAATTGAGGCGCTCAAAGGAAATGACAGCCAAAGTAGTGCGTTTCAGGTGCAAAGACAAGCAATTAATCTCATGGTTCCTTTTTTCCGCTATGGATCATATCAACTGCCGAATGAAACATGATTTGACAGTTTCGCAATCTCAATCTACCACACTCAGATTATTTGGGCGTTTGTTATATTTCGTGCACACAAGATACAAGAATTGCCATGACCACGATGAAGAATAGGAACGTGATTAGTCTCAGAAAATAAAGGGATAATGAATAATTTAACTAAAATCTTCCCATATCTGTAAGCTCAACGATAAACGTGCGAACCACTTTGGAGGCTTGCAGCTGATCCCCAAGCTCATCGTAGCTCCAACGCCCAACCCGCAAACGACTCTACCGTAAATTAGTGGCGCTTCAGCTTTCGCCTATTGCCATGTTGACTACCGAATCAGATCCTTTTCTAACATCACAGGGCTGAGATAGCATTCCGCGTGATACTCTAACAAGTCAAATGTGATTGGACATTTCGTGCCTCGCGTCGAAGAAGCAATTTCGTCGTTTGCTTTGGGCATGTCTGCGCGCTGATCACGACGCTAGCATCAGGCACTCAAGCCATAGTCTGATGATTGTGGAAAGTAACTGGCCCTTGGGCTGAATGGTGTTGTGTCTGAAAGCAGGATAACAACCAGTCTTTTCCTCCATGTTTTCAGTCTGTCAGACATCCAACTGCCACTGAACCTTCACCTTGTCACTCCTTTAATACCGATTTTCTTTACTCGTATTCACAATGGCTACCCCAGCTCAAACAAATACCCAGAACAACGGTCCTATCGACCACAACGACCTCAATGAGTGGAAGGGTCGTTTCAACGACGTCCTCGCTCGTCCCAGCGAACATGTCAACTCCAAGTCTCCCGAGACATCTCAGCCTTGGCAGAACAGTTTCTTCGGTTGTTTCAGCCCTATTAGCCTCTGTGCCATCACATGCTGTGTTCCCTGCGTGACATTTGGCAAGACACATCATCGTCTTCAAAAGAACAACAACCTTGAAGGTTACGAGCCAGTAAACACTTCTGTATGTTTTTCCACAGAACAAAACGTTTCGATTATGATATACTGACAAGTCTGCAGTGTCTTATGTTCTGGGCTTCTACCTGTGTTGGTCTACACTGGATCCCTCTAGCCCTTCAACGCGCCAACCTTCGTGAGAAGCATAACCTTCAAGGCAGCTGTCTTGTCGATCTTGCTACTGCGTGTTGCTGTGGATGCTGTGACTTGATCCAGCAGGATAAGGAGGCTGAGTATCGCGAGGCTCAGAGTGTTGCTACTGGAGAAGGATACAAGGCTAATGAGGGCATGAACATGCCTGCCTGAGCTACTGGACAATGTTGAATGAGTCGAGAGTCAATTGCTATTTGAGCTGTATGTTCAACACGAGAGATACCCGATGGTCACAATAATAAGTATTGCCAATTGCAATACACCATCACGGTCAGGCGAGAATGAATCAGAGTAATTATTTACAGTTTGTCAAAGAAACAGAGTTATTCCTTTCTTTAGAATTTTCTTAACCGAACCTAGAGGCAGTCAAGGTATAGACATTACCGAATCACAAAATTCATTAGAGTTTGGAGTGCCATACAAAGTTCAACTTGATGCTCGGTGAAAACGTATTGGGGTGAATCTTATCTTATCAGATGACAAAAGCCCCACCCAAAATGAACTCTGTGAAAATTCAGCAAATTAGCTTGTGCCCCCCTTAATTATCGCAACTACACTAGTCTTCTTTCAGTCACCGCATCAGCGTGCAACATCAGAACAACATCAGTCATATCCCCTTGTCGACACAGAACAAGACTGCTCACAATCTCACTTTATACTATCATCATTTAGAGAAATACAAACAGCCACTATGGATATCGCTCCGGATCAATTCCAGGATGCGGCGCTACAATACCTAGTAAATCCTCTGGATGCTACTCAAATATCAGATGGTATAGACGGTTCAAGTCACGGTATGACCTCCTCACTCAACCCCCGAAACAGTTATTGACTGTGATCAGATAACCGCCCACCGATTCCGGGTGAAAGCTGCGAGATCTACACTTTCGTTGATGAAACAATCGTCCCTTCAACACCACCAAAGTCTCACCCATATCTACTCGTCAACATTGGTTCAGGAGTATCCTTCTTTCAGGTCACAGAAAACAATCAGTGCCAACGTATTTCAGGCTCTTCATTTGGTGGTTCAGCACTATGCGGTCTGCTTCTCTTGCTCACCAGATCGCGTACCTACGAAGACATGCTGGAGCAAGCAGAAAAGGGCAACAACGCAAACGTCGATAAACTGATCGGAGACATTTACGGAATGGACTACAACAGAATCGGCATGAAGATGACGGCTGTTGCATCGACATTCTGCAAGGCTTTCAGTTTGGAGCATAGACCTGACGCTGAGGTAGAGGCTCAGAATGATGAGAACCCTGCGGACATTAAATCTTTTTCTGATGCTGATATTTGCCATTCTTTGGTTTTTGCTGTCTTCAACAATATTGGTCAACTTGCCACGCTGCATAGTCGTATCCATGGTAATCCGGATATCTACTTTACTGGACCTTATGTTCAAAACTGTCAACTACTTATCAGGACGTTGTGCATCGCAGTACGTTATTACTCCCAGGGCGAGAAGAAGGCACATGTTGTGGTAAATCAAGGGCAAGCTGCAGATTTGAGCACATAAAGTGGGGAGACATCTGGAAATAGCCAGCATGAGCATGCATTTACAGTTACTCTATAATACCACCGAGTTTTTATGTTGAATTTTGACCAACAACGTGACTTGAGCCGATTTGAGTTAATATACGGGCGATGGCTTTAGGCAGGATGCATCCATCGTTTAGGTAAAAAAGACCACTGCGGGCTGAAGGCCGAAGGTGAATTTATAAGATTTCAACATTCCCAGCCTCCCCAAGATATAAAAAAGGAGTCTCCATACCTGTCCTTTTGCTTTCTGCCATCCTACTTTCCATCTTGCACACCATCAACAAAAACGGATGCAAACCTTTTCTTCTCTGCTCCTGAAGCAGATGATGCCAATCCAGTGATTGACGAGAGTTACTCGACGGTGTCTTCTGACAACCAACCCCAACAGCAGTCATGGCAGTGGCCAGGCCAGGTACACAGCAACTATTTACCGTCCGCGAATTCCGACATCCTATGTCAACAGTCGTCTTCGAGTGGGAGCTCTGTACAGGGGCCTCACACCGTTCAATAGCCAACCGGCAAGACTCAAATGGACGTCCGAGTACCTCGAATCGATCAGATGAGTTACAAATCAGTCCTCACCGTCAGTGAACGATGGATTTCTCGACAAACCGTTTTCACAGGGCAATGGACTCGGTCGTGATATTTCTGCTCAGGGACAGAATGACAATCCTTTCTTCCAGTGGTGTGGTCAACTGATCGAGCCGAATCCCTCGCAATACCTCGGTTGCGCCGATTCCTTCCACCCCTTCGCCAAAAGCCACGAAGATTACTGGCTGACCAGAGATATTTGCCGAAAATTGGGCGACTTTCAAACCGGTAAGCCTCTCGCGGTATTTTGTCTGATCTGCCACGAACCTCTTCCTAGATTTGCTGTCCGATGCGGATACTGCACTGATTTCCGACAAAAGCAGCCCCCAGATACATTGGAATCACGTTCATGTATCATCTGCAAGGGTGACACTTCGTCCTGGTAAAGCATTTTCTGCAAGCATCATTCGAAGCAGAGGGCCATATTTAACCCTGGTGAGAAGAGAGCCCTCGTATAGGCAGGCATCTGCAACCTATGTTGGCGATAGGATGCAACACCGGGAACGCGATACCGGACCTGCAAAGACTGTAGAGAGTTACGAGCGGAAAAATATCGCCGTTGCGAGACACGTATCGCATGTGAATCAGCTATATATCCTTTTGCAAATACACTAAATCAGAATTCGCATCCTGCCGGTAATGAATCAGGTAGAGATAATTTCTTGAAGTATAAATAGATCTGTTTTATACGTAAATCTCTTCTCCCTTCTGCAACTACCTACCGTAATCTATAAATGAGATCTGTAATTGCAAACTATCTAAAAGACAACTCCTCGCCACTTGAACCATGGATTCTTCACGTCTATACTATAGATACGGCTACTACTCGAATGCTGATACCCGACCTCCTCCTGTTGAGAACTTTGATGACTCTGTCGATGTGGCACAAAGTTCTGGATACGACCAAAGACGAGACTTTGTGCCTTCTCCTGTAGAAGGCTATGGTAGCAACTCACGACAAGACAATCCCTTTGCTCCACGCACTAGTGCTGGAGCTGATACTGATTTGCGTTCCACGCAGGAATATGGTGGAAGAGAATATCTTCCGAATCTTCCGAATCGTTCCACAGAAAGCTACAACATCAACACGGAATCTGACAATCCCTTCCTTCCACAATGGTCCAGCGCCGGAGGTAGTGCTCAGTTCCACTCCACACAAGTATATGATGAGTATGGCGATCCATCCTACTCGCCTGTCCAAGACTATAGAGAGAGATCTAGATACGACCAAACGGAGAGTTTCCAGAGTCGTTCCCGATACCGTACGATTTATCCTCAGACAACCACAACAGAAGTACATAAGTGAGTCCAGTGATGGAAAAGACGATTCTAAATATTTATAGGCTTATGCACCACAAGTATTTGATAACACTTTTGCATTTGACACCTCTAGTTCTCCGCTTCGCAACATCCCGACTCTTGGCTATGAGTTTGAATATCGTACCAACGAGATATCTTACAATCCGTTTGCTTCTTCAGCCTCAACAGCCCAGTCTCACTACTTACAAGCTCCTTACTACCAGGGTGTTTCTGCAGGACCTTCTTACAATCAGGGCCTTTGTTCTCAAAGCCTAGGCTCCAAGTATCATGACCACCGTCAGTATGGGGGCTCGTACGACAAGACACAGCAAGATCGCCAGAACCAGAATCAGTATACTCCCAAAGGATCACGCGCTGTCACACTTTTTTGTGTGAATTGTAAACTCCTGACAGAAGAGACAGCCGTCCGTTGCGGTCCTTGTAACGAGACGCATCAGCGAAACATTGTCGAGGGCACGGCTTCGTTGGAAACTCGGTATTGCATTATATGCCGTGTGCACATTTCTGGATTGGACATCACCTGCAAAGACCATCGCGGCCAAAAGCGCATCAACGTCAAGCAAAAACGTCTTCTTGCAGAGAATGGGGACTTGTGTCGTGACTGTTTCTCATGTGAAGCAAAGACAGGCAAAAATCGGTGCGAAATGTGCAGTTTGTCATATGGCATAGCGAATTTTGAACGGCGCCGCGGGCTTATAAGTAGGGGGCTCTGTTTAAGGTGTGGGAGAAACCCTTCGATTTCTGGGATTCAATCTTGTGAGGTGTGCCATGAGAAGAAGCGCCAGGAGGCCCGACGGCATCATCTGTCAAAGAGAGGTTCAAGGGCGTCTCATAAGCAAACCGCACCGCAATAACTTTAACCAATACATTAAAAATATGGGATAGCAGCTAGACAATTAATAAGATTCAAATAAAAACACGGCCTTTGCTTTCTTTATTGTGATGGCGATGTATAATCTATCTAGTCCATGCCAACTTCAGCAAGAGATTGCCGTCTTGGATCCACCGACCGAAGGATTGCCCAGATGTGACTCATATCCTGTTCTGTGGCAATCTCTGGTATATGGGCTGACCAAAGAGTAGGAGAGGATGTGATACTACCACGAGTAAGAATCTCTATCATCTCAAAGTCCAACTGAGAAACAGCCCATTTTAAAGCGTTTTGTGACGGTTCATCCACAGTCACACCATCTCCCACCAAGAGCTTAACTAGCGATGTGTCACGGGCCTTTACACCTTCCAAGACCTCCTTGCGAGCCAGCAAGCTATCTTCAATCAGTTCGCAATTGGATAGAAGTGTAAAGAAGGCTAGTCGCGTATTACTTGGGTAACGAGATATTAACTCAAAAGCTTGGTGACGGATGTTGAAAAAGATTTGGCTTGAGCCTGAATAAGCCATCACGATTGCTGTAGCTTGAAAATTTTCCAATCTGAGTGTGCTCAGTAGTAATGAGGCAGAGACTAGTTCCGGACGATTTGCCAAGAGCAGGAGGAGGAATGATACAGACAATGTCCCACCGCTTGTGGCCCTGAGAATCTCTCGATGGAGGCATTCCTTCCAGGCGCCAGTACCCATGGAGTCAGGAGCTGATAACAATAGTTCTATTAACTCCAAATTACCAGCTCGGATGTGCTGGTCTATCGTCTCCTCGTCACTCAACACAACAGCTCCAAAGCTGAGGAGTAGCTTCATCGCCCGTAACGAAGATTTGGACAACGCGATGCCAAGTGCTCTGTCCAAAACGGCCTGGCTGACTTTGAGTTGACATATGAGGTGGATGTAGTTAATGTTGTCAAGCGACACAACTCTGTCCAACCACGTCATTCCGACCATAGTTGTTTCGAACTGGACAATGTCCGAGCTCAGACGCTTGCTTCTAAATTTCCTCTCGAGTGATTGGTCATGAAGATGTCCCCAAAGTTCATCCATCGAAGATAGACGAGCTTGCATCAACAACGCCTGGGCGACTCCGGTGGGAGGAAGCATAGGCTGGCTTAGCAGTGCGTCAAAGGCTCTGGCAAGTTCATGCTTTGCGAAAGTCCAATTCAAAGTATTGCACACTGCGGCCTTTTGTGATCTCGTGCGGAAATGGTGCCACACCTGGCTTTCAGGAGGTTTGTAGTTGGGAGAGCATTTTCGTGTTTGAACAAGGAGGCTGTGTGCTTTGTCGCGATTTGGGAGGTCGGAGTGAAGGAAATCTTGGTCTGCGGGTATGGTGAGATGGGAAAGACGTAGAGGAGGATTGAGGTTGGCTTTAGAAAGAAACCATTCTACACGGGGTTCGTTGGCCATCTTTATTAAGATTGGTGGTAGTGAAGTTGTAAGTACGAATGAAAATGTTAACGACTATTTGTATCATACATATATACATGCTTCCCGGCCGTTCTAACGAAAAATGGTATAAGTGGCAAGGTGTAGGACACAAAGGCGTGTACTTGCATCCCGACTGAGTCTTGAGGGCTCACTTTGTAGTTAATGCAATAGAGACCAATCAAAGGGCTGACCAGGATGTCAAAAAAACAGTTGGGTGTTGGAACGAGTCAGATCATGTCGGGCAAACCGAGACGTAAGCAGAACAGGCACTTCATTCCGGCTTTCAATTGGTGGCCTTTAGGCATTCACTGGTGATTCGGCGTATGGTATCGGGTGGTAGGTATTGGTCAAGTGTAAAAGAATAAATTTGACGACGCCCAACTACGGTGGCATAATCGTTATTGTGTCAAAGCACATACGTGGAATTTCTCTCGAACTCGTCACTGTCTTATTCTCAAGACGAAGAATGACATACAGCACGTAACATGGAAGAGAAACCTGCATAATCTTGAATCGATATAGAGTGTCTTGAAGGATACAGATAAACGTCTGCGCAGAAATAAAAGGCTAGAGTGTCTTCGGGACACCGAGCTCCTGCAGTGCATTAATAGGCCCAATACGTATCCAATTGTCAATCTCCTCCTGGGTCGCAACAGCAATAACTCCTATCATGCTAATCGAATTAGCCCCAGCCTCTTTATTGACAGCCGCTCGACGTCGCGGGAGCACAATCATCCATTGATTCGTGACCAACATGTTATGTGGGATTGCAGCTCCTGTTGGCAGACTGTCGGCATGCTCAGATAGACCTTTTCCCACGTCCGTGGCCTTTTCTAGAAGTTTGTTGTAAGTGTCCAACAAATCATTTGGTTGGGGTGATGGAGATTCGAAGCGATGATAAAACCACTGGAATGGGACGTCGGGCTCTACAACATCCCCGTTGTCTATGAAAGCTGCGAAACTGTCTTGGGGTTTTGGTATCAATTGCATGTGCTTGTGCAGTCGACTACATCCCCCATCTTGTCCACAATTGAAGAAGGCAACATAATCATCACCCAGGTCGGTCAAGACATTGCTCAAAGCTTGCCAGTCGTTCTGGTCTAGTGGGCTATATTGACGCTTGTTTCCGTCCGAAGTGAGTAGCATGAGATGCGGTCTTGCGAAACAAAACTTGTTGGCAGCTAAAAAATGAGACCTGCCAACGTCACAAATCTCATAGCCAACGGTATTGATGTCGCTCCCATCTCGCTCTTGTACAGTTGCTATCTCACCTGGCTTTTCGGCTTTGCCAGGGTTCACTTGTAAGGTAGGCTTTCTTGCGAGAGCAGATGTAAGGATGAATTGAAACTGCGAGGCGACATGTCAGTGCTAAACTCCTGTTGTATTCCCAGCCATTGACTTAAAGTCCTTACCTTGAGACCTTTGTCATCATATTCGATAATTCGTTGTTGTTCGTCGAAAAAGACCAGGTTCTTCTCGATTAACGAATTGAACTTGGACAACACAACTGAGCCACTCATTGTGCAGTTGTTGGCGCCGATGTCACAGCTACGGTAAAGCTCGTCAAGTAATTTGTGAACTTGACAGATGACTGACTGACGTTATCGAAGATGATGCCTGTTAAGTGCAAGGCTCCCCAGCAAAACACCAGGGATCATGGCTTTGTCAAGTGAATGATGTAGTTTACATTAGCCGATGCTTAGCCGCTTGGAGGGATAACAGTGGAGACTGTATCGGCAACATAGCAGAAAACACGTTGCATTAGATCGAAGGCGTCTGTTGGCTATCAACTTCCTACCATATACTATCAAAGAAGTACACTATCATCAAAACAAAACGTCGATAAAGAATCATATAGATATCGATGTTAATCTCTTTTGTCACACATAAATATGTTTGACGTGATTCTATCTGTCAATGGTATATGAACATGGGTCGGATAAATACGAGCAAATGATACTTAACCACTTGGGAAGCGGTCTGGATATATTTTTCCAGTGTAGATGAATGGTGGCCCAACAAATGACTGGAAATTGCCGAGTCCTCCAATATCCCACCATGAAAGGATTCTGGAGGAACGAAAGTTTTGTTTAAAGCTAGCACTACCGTCAAAATCCAAATCGTGGAAAATTAAGTGTAACATTGACACGCAACATTGAACCAGGGTTCATGTTCTAGCTCGTCAAGTACGACACCGCAAATGGTGCCACGAACTGATGATCCTGGTCACAAACTTTGCTAGCCTTGAGCGATTTAAGACATCGTCATCACCCGTACTTGACAGCAGATAACAATCACCTTGTTTAGTGTCTTCATCGCACATCATTTCTCTGTCTGTCCCCGGAACCGTCGTCCACAAAACTGGTATTTCTCACTAATCATGCGCTGGACGTCTGCTTTAGTCGTCACTGCCGCCACCTTCACAAACAGTGTTGTGACGGCAAGCGAGAACAGTCAGAATGAAGTCCCTTCTATTCGGTCATATTTTTACGTGGGAGGAGGGTATGTTAGCGATGGTGCGGATGGGGAGATATTCCGTGATCAGATGTATGTCGAACGGCTATCACCAGCTGGAGGTGCAAAGAAGGAAACACCTATTGTTCTCATCCACGGCCAAGCTCAAACGGGCACAGTAAGAATACCATCTTTTTAAATAGCCTCAGCTGACAACTAGCAGAACTTCTTGAACAAGCCTGATGGCGGACGCGGGTGGGCATCCCAGTTCATAAGTCAAGGCTACGAAGTCTATATCGTTGATCAGACCTTCCGAGGCAGATCAGCGTGGTCTCCTGCCTATGGTGCCCCAAAGCCCTCGACATACTCAGCTGAAATCATCGAGCAGCGCTTTACAGCCGCACAAGACTTTAACTTGTGGCCACAGGCAAAGAAGCATACACAATGGCCAGGCACCGGACTTCGCGGAGATTCGGTTTTCGATGCCTTCTATAGCTCGAATGTGCAGTTTATTAACAATGCCACCTACCAACAGGAAACTGTTCAAACTGCTGGAGCTGCTCTTCTTGACAGAATCGGCAAGCCTGTTGTCCTTTTGGGTCATAGTCAGGGCGGCATGATGCCGATTCTCATTGCGGATGCTCGTCCTGAGCTTGCCAAGGGTTTAGTACTCCTCGAGCCATCAGGTCCGCCATTTAGAGATGCAGTATTTGGTAACAAAACCGCTCGAGCGTGGGGATTGAGTGATATCAGTCTTACCTATAGTCCAGCGGTTACTGATCCTTCGACCGAACTCATTAAAGAGGTGCAGCCAATGCGAGGGAAAGACTTCGTCGAGTGTATTCTCCAAGCTGAAGAGCCTGCTCCACGTCGTCTTATTAACTTGGAAAAGAAGCCTATCCTTGTCATAACTGGTGAGGCTTCGTACCATATGCCTTATGACTATTGCACAGCCAAGTATCTCAAACAGGCTGGCTGCTCAAAGACCAAGCATGTTGAGCTTGAAGAGGAAGGCATTCATGGCAATGGGCACATGCTATTCATGGAGAAGAATAGCGATAAGATCCAAGTCCTTGTGGAGAAATGGATCCGAGCAACATGAACATCTACGTAATAAATGGTGGAAGCCATTTAGTACCGCAGCTGTCAATGGGAAAGGTTGGACATGCATTTTATGTTAAACTTCAACTCCATAATCAATTCTTGACATAAACATCTCTAGCCACAAATTCAATCTTGCTCTCTGGGCCATACCTACCATAAACCTCCTGACACGGACCCCAAACTTTGCGACTAAATAATGTTTCCGTGTTAGACCAACGGGTTCCAGCTTGAGGATACCAGATGGACGGTCGGAAGAATAGAGACTTTAGCCACATAACCTCCCATTTGTCACTGGTCTGAACCCATCAAAGCTTGTAGAGGTCAATGGCGAACCCGGAACTGTCATATGGCGCTTAAGTGAGAAGAAGCATACCTCAGCCATAAGATATTGAACTTTTATTGACATGAATGATTTTAGTTTCAGCTGTATCATTTGTAGTATATAATCATAGATTGAGACGCGTATCATTCTAAAATGTTATGACCATATGTATTGATAATTTATCTTGACAATCTACTTTTCATTATTAGATATCGTTTTCGACACCTTGCTTTAGGCACGCATCTACAATCCACAACTCTATGATACTCATAAGATGGAAGAGAAAGTAATTCCTTATTGTATACTGTGTATATGCACGTATCTAATTATGGCTATCAACTAAACGCTGCAGTACTGCAGGAACATTGAATGCCAAGAAAGAGTAGGAGACACAACTAGTCGTATTGGCCTATCATCACACCCTCCCCCAAAGTGCAAATGATAAAGAAATAACTAAAAGCAAGGGTAGGCTGAGCGCCCCCAGTCTTCGTGCCTTCATTTATTTCTATCCCTTCTTCAACTCAATTACTGCCAGTTTCAGTTCACATCTGATGCGATAGTCTAGCTTTTACTATGGTGTCTTCGTTATGTACCATCCGGAGTTCAGGTGAACGAGGGCTGAACGCCCTATCTTCCATTCCAGTCAATATAAACCGTCTCTTCGTGCGACAAGATGTTACTCCAGCTATTTGTTACGATGACTGCAGTGAGTATGACATACAACTGCCTTCGAAACCGCCATTTCACTGAATCGTCTTTTCGCATAGATAATGCATACAAAATTGCACAATCTGTTGGAAAGAGCCCAAAACTATGTGGTTCAAATTCTTTGTTCAATACTTCCTATGGATATTGCATACAATGCATAGAGGAGAATGAAAATAGCACCAAAAACACAGAACAACACTATGTATCACCGCAATTCGCCCAATTCCTTGAATACTGCGATGGCCTTAGGGAATTACCTACAGTTACACCAACAGCTTGCGAAGCTTGTAATGTGGTTAGCACTATGGATTACCTTGGCAGGCCCGTGGTCTACACTCTCGGCCCCCAGTCTATCACAGAAACTCTGGAAGATAAGCTTAATCGATATCACTAGGAGTACTCAGCTAAAATGGAATCAAGTTAACAGCGCACTAACTTCGGGGACTCCTTCTCCATCCCTTGCTCCGAAGTTAGATGGTAAGCTGCACAATCCATTTCAATAACTCAACTAATTAGTATCTGAGTCAGACTCTGAGTCGGGGCCAGATATCGCCAAAATAGTCGGACCTGTTGTTCCCTCGGTCGTGCTGTTAATATTACTAAGCTTTCTTGGCCTCCGTTGGTTCTAACGAAGGCAAGCACGCAGAGCCGCCATAGGTCCTGCAGCCAATGAAGAAGAACCGAAGGAAAACAAGCCACAGCTACACTCTGGTTGCATTACACGCCCGAGGTTCGAACTGGAAGGGTCTACACTTATGGTACCTAATGGCACTAGCCATAAGAAGGACAAAGCAGAAATGTCTGCAAACGAACCAGAAGCACACGAGATGTCAACAGATAAGAAGATCTTGAGAAAGCCGGTTAGTACCCAGAACACTAGTGGTACATGGCTGTCAAAGGATCGGCAAGATAGCAATAGCTTGGATGAGTAAGAGATAACTCTACTCTGAAATTTTCTATGCGGCTTATCACGGCATGGTGGCTGATACTCTATTGTCGTTAACCGAAGCTACTTCAGGGGTCACAATCGAGATGTCCCACACTCTACCGCCAGGAATTCAGATTGATAATGAGTAGTGTATCTGAGGGGGTGGTAGTACATATGTATCAGTAAGCCGTCATGTTGAGTATGCGATACGTAGGTTGAGATGCGGATTTCTTCGTGGCTTGACTGTTGAATCCCACGCTTATTTGGCCCGATGACATGTTCCTTTTATACCACTCTGCCAGCCCAAAGCTTCCGACTCACTTGCAATATCGCTGGCCGTTGCAGCAGTCCAACATGAATCAGCCGAATTGTGAGCAAAGGCATAACAGGATGAGCTATCCTCACACAGTTGGGCACATTCGCTGAAAACCAGCTTGCCCTGATACCCTCCGCGTATACCTATATAGTGGTCTTCCTGGATTCTGATTGAACCGACACATTCGTATGGCTCATCAGTAGCGGCTGTGGTTGTTGCAGCAACCTCTAACGTGGTTTCGCTCGCGCCGAGTAATGTCACGATAGTAGCCAAAGTCGTATCGGAAAAGAAATCAGTCACGGAATTGCCTGTCGACTCGAATGTGGCAGTCTCGGTGGAGAAGAAGGTGGTATCGGTAGTTGTCTCGGAGCCGACCTGAGTAGAATAGATCATTTCAGTCTCCTCCTCATTAGTCGTGTCGGTGGTCGATGCTCCAGTTGTAGAAAATGTAAGTGTTACAATTGAAGGGACAGATGATGAGTAAGAGGCGCTAACTCCCGTGGTTTGTGCTGTCGAGCTTCCAGGTTTGCAAGGCCCAGCCACAGCCATGCCTGCAACAGCAAAAAGGACAAGGTTGGTTTTGATCATATTGACAACCAGTGTAATGAGCGACTGAAGTTGAATCTGGGTAGAGAATGAAAGAAACACAAGGTATTTCTACCACTGTTGGTTATTTATTTATCATTTTGTATCCCAGGTGTCGAACTGTTAGTAAACCCCTTCATCTTAATTAACCCAATAGTTATCAGGTTAGCGATCGATAGTGTTCAAATGGCGCAGCCATCGACAATTAATACTAGATAGCTTCATATCAGTGGATATTAATTTGGCGGCTGAATCCAAGACCTAGTGAAGTGATCTTGTATATAAAATAACGGCCGGTCCAGACCATGAAGTTACTGAAAGAAATTCGATTAGTGTGCATGGGTCGTCAATAGCTGCAAAATGAAGCAAATCAGTGGCAGCCACAGAATGCAGGAGGCAATGCAGCGTACGCTTTAATTATCAATCTACTGCCGTTCTCCTTGTCTCTTCCGTCAATTCCTTTACGCATCATCAGTTGTTTGAGCTTGATGACATAGAGTCTGTGGGGTGTCCAGATTACCCTCCATCAATTTGAAGTGTCGTTCCAGATCGAAGGGCGGGGTAAAGTGATGAAGCGACATATAACAATGAGGTTTTATTGATTCCTTGGAAGAACACCTGCTTATTCCGGAACTGAAGGGGTGATCAAAACTCTCCTTTGGGCTGACTTGCCAAGGATTCTCGCGGCTATTCTTAGTCTTGGTGATAACCCCGCTTGGAGTAACATTCCGTCTAAGGTGACCAACCCCAAGAGAAGAGTACCTGAGTCGAATTCTATCGCCTGATCATGTCGATCACAGTCTATTTACTAAATACAAGTTTTGAGAATGCAACCTTACACGGAAACATACCTTTTGCTCGGCATTGAAGACCTACATTCACATGGAAGTTTGTAGTCACAGCGTGAGGCATCAATGACTGCAGACATGCCATATTCCTTAAATAACCAGAGAATGGCCTCCGGTACATCTTGGCCAGCCCATCCCACATCTTAATATCTCTAGTCTTTTGTTACGGACAGGACGACATGGCTTCCGTTCGATCTTTGGGCGTATTGGCCTTGGCCCTTGGTGCCACAGCTGTCCCATATAATACCTTTGATGGCCCTGGATTCCCAGCTTGTCAAGATGTTGCCGCAGTTCACGATGCTTCAAGCGTCAAGGACATTCAAAGCATCGTCCAAAATGCCGTCAAAGCAGGCCAGAGGGTTCGAGCTTCAGGAAAAGCCCACATGTGGTATGATACGATGTGCTCCGATGATCCCAATACTGTCATAGTTCGTACAGAGAAGGTTAACAACATATACGATCTTGATATGGAGGCCGGAACCGTCATGATTGAAGCTGGTGTAACATTCTTACAGTTGGCCGAATACCTACACGACCGTGGGGCTTCTGCAGGATACACGCTTGTCAACTGGAACATCACTTTGGCTGGCTGTGTCGCCATGGGTGCCCATCGATCATCTATCCGTGAGGATTCCATGGTCGCAGCCGGCGTTTTGTCAATGGATATCATTGACGGCACTGGTAAGCTTCGACACTTGGAGCGTGACGACAGCGACGAGTGGCTCGCTGCTTCGACTTCTTTGGGCCTTTTGGGTGTCATCGTCAGAATGAAAATTAAGATCTATCCCGACTTCAAAGTCTACGCCGACCAGAAAACGCAAGTGCCCTCCATCTTTGTCATGTGACGTTCGAATTCTAATCTCGTATAGCTTGGACGAGGGTGATGTGCTAAACGGCGACGTCTATGGTATGATAGCCCCGTATGCTACGGCAAATCTTTGGGTAAGTGCTTGCTTCCATGAGCTTGAATACCAAATGTGATCTAAACAGTAGCAGTGGTGGCCTCACAAGAAGAAATTCCACTGGCGATACTACGACGTCATTCCAGCCAACCAAAGCGACCAAGAGGGCTTCCAAAACACATTCTCGATTACCAAAATTGAAGCCGATGCTATATCAGCTCTGTGGAACACCGGGAAAGGAGTTTCGCTGTCAAATCTTCTTGCTGAAGAGATTCTGTTTGGACAGTGGGAGAATCCTAACTTTAGAGAAAAGACAACCAACGAGCCCATCAAGAAATGGCCTGTTTATGGATGGAACTATGATGTGCTCATAGGTGGTCTGTATCCCGATCAGCGACCGGTATGGGAATATGGCATTCACGGCTACACCTTGGAACTCGCATTTCCTGTTACCCAAGCCAATGCAATGCTTAAGAGGGTGCGCCAGCTCTTCGACAATGAGGCCAAGAAACTCAAGTTTATGGCGTCTACGTATAGGAGTGGAATCAACATCAAGTTTGGAAGGCCGTATTTTGACCTGCTTGGCCAGGTGACCTACGGCACATCTGATGGTGCCGACTGGGAAAAGGGTGTTATCATGTTGGACTTCCCATCTTACAAACCGAGTATTGGTGATGGGCTCCGATACAATGAACCATTTTGTATGTTGACCAGATGTCTTGACTTGCTATCTGAGGCTAACAAAGGACACAGATCACAAACTCGCAGAAACGTTGATTGACGAATTTCCCTGTCGCCCCCACTGGACCAAGAATACACGAGAGGTATTCGAACGTTCCGCCAAGAATTTGGACCCTGATGTAAGATATTTGTCACTCTACCGGAGGAAGAAGCTAATAGGTTCCACGTAGCATATCTCTCGATTCAAAGCAGTCAGGGAAAAGTTTGACCCGGAAGGTATCTTCCGCAGTGTCGTGGGCGAAGCCATTGGTGTATACTGAGCATCCCGTGGCACGTATGAGTTGTTCCCTTTATTTCTCCCCAATTTTGTTGACTCCATAAGCCACTCTCGATTAATTTCGGTTGTACCGGACTATTTCTGCCATTTTCACCTGCTCTCACTCCCAATAGTATCACATGATAGCAGAGAATCAGAGAGACTTCAGGAGCGTCGTTCGAGGTCTGGTTCTGTGTGTATCATTATCAACACTCATTTTTATATCGTAAATACAATTTTGAATCAATCTCAGCTATTGTCATTTGTTGAAAAGGTAGGGGTCAAAAGATGAGGCCTCCACTGGACCCTGCATGACTCTGCCTTGTCCCACTTAAAACGTCATATGTGTCTTCACCGCCTTAATACTAATTTATAGTCCTTATGACGATCGCCCAAGAATTGGGTAACTTGAAACCAAACATATTCCTCTCTGTTGTTTCATTCCAAATTCACATCAAACAATCTCAAGACGACATCAATACAACCTCACAACCCAAAATGTCATCTCCCGAGTCTCAACCCGCCGTGGAAGGTGATGAGTATGAGAAGACGCTTCTGCAGCTACGATGTTTCGACACAATGTTTCTGGTCGACGATTCTGAGAACATGCAGCCTTACTGGCCCGAGATCAAGAACTTGATCGAGCGAATTGCACCCATCTGCGCCAAACACGATCCCGATGGAGTTGATCTGTACTTTGTCAACCACCGACCTGGAGGCGTCCTAGCTAAATTGCCTGGAGTTCAGTCCATCCGAAAGTCCGGCTACACACACATTGGTGGCTTTGCTGGCAGCATGCTCTTGACCAGCAAGGGAAAGCAAGTCGGCGCCATCTTCGACAAGGTCAAGCCAGCTGGAAAGTGCAACATGGGTGCCAGACTCGGCGGCTTGCTTAAGTGGTACTGCGACAAGTTCACAGGCGGAGAGGAGAAGGCTGCTCTCAACATCATCGTCCTTACAGCCGGTTCGTTCGACGACGATATCAAGACTCCTCTGATTCAAGCCGCCAGGACTCTGGACGAGGCCAAGGCCCCCATTCATCAAGCTGGAGTCCAGTTGTTCCGTCTGGGCGGTCCGGATCTGGTGCGACAAAAGACCCTCCAACATCTTGACGATGAACTGCACAAGGAGGCCGGAACACGAGACATTGTCGACACAGTGACTTGGAGTGGCCATGGAACTTCCATGTCGGACGATGAGCTGCTCAAGATTGTGCTGGGCGCAGTCATCAAGAAGATCGATATTCGTGCCTCTGAGTTGCACCTGGACGAGGCAGCTACAACGACACGTGCTGACCGAGACTACGATGAAGGAAATGTAATCTAGTTGATCTTTTCTCATGTCATCGCCTGTATTATGGGCAATTTGAACACATATACCTGGACTACTAATATCAAATTAATTGGATGTCAACTACAACTACACGCATTTTTGAGTCACCCTGAAGATAAAATTTGTATCATGTTGAAATTGTGAAAATTAGCCACGATAATCCAGAGCTGAACGGCAGTCTCACTACGCATATAACAACATAAGCTAAGGGCATTGTTGTTCCTCTAGTAACGTTACTTACGGAGCTTGAATCCTTTCAGAGTACGGTAAAAGACTCACACCGACGTTGGGTAAGACGACTCATGCAGGAGTATAGCAGGTTTTGATACACCAACCACAACGGTGCTTTCGAGCATGATTCCACCAGGTCCGAAAAGCCTCGTATAGGCTGAGATATAGGGAAAGTAGCGGCACTTTGTCGACAGGCAACTATGTTCTAAGTGGACTGTGCCGCATGCTAAGGTAGTATTTTCCACTCAGGTTTGTTGTCCGTGGACCATTAAACTCAGCTATCGGGGAGGACAGGAAGTGAAAATCTTACAATGCTATTTAAAATCTACAATGAATTAGTGCGCTGTAGTAGGATATAGTTACCAAATGTATATTGATATATTGAAGACTTGAGAGACCAAGATCGCTCATCATCGTCACTTTGTATCGCTTGACGAAGGGACCACACGATTTTCAATACCCCTGCTGAGTAGCCCTACAGCGGGTGGCTTAGACGCTAACAGAGGATCCTCCGCATGGTAGCTAGTAAGATTTTGGAAAGGTGCAACAACGCATCTGGATAACTTCAGAATGGTTCGGCTTCACGGTAACGTCCCAATCGCTCAAATAGGCAATCACCGGGACTGTTAAACTAAACACCCTCGAACGAATCACTACGTGACCTGACTATTCGATCGGAAGAATTTTACAAACGAGGAAAGCCCGAGTAGGGCACAGTCGTGGTGGCCTATTCTGCCTTACAAGGCTAGGAGTGCACGATGGTTGCGAAGGGGGCATCAAAATATATATATAGTGTCTGAAGTCTCAAGAAAAATGCATTCTCCTCATCAACTCAATTAGTCATCCACGACAACAAGGACCCTTTTCCTCATCCAATTCAGTCAAAACCAATACCCATCACAATGAAATTTTCTACTATTACGTCACTATTTCTTGCCAATGCTGGCCTTGCTCTCGCTGCTCCCAGCAAGACATTAGTCAAGGCTACTGCTATTGAAGCAACGACAGGTGACAATGGTATCACCACACCCCTTCCCATTCAGCCCGGAATGGTCGACAACTGCGACCTCTTTCACTTAGTCAAGAAAGATACAGGCTGTCTCCAGGTCGCGACCCAGTACGGAATCACCTTTGAGCAATTCAAGGAGTGGAACCCCACTGTTGGTGACGATTGTTCTACTCTCTGGGCCGACGCCAACGTTTGTGTTCGTACTATTGGATACGTATACCCAGTTTCAGTTGCTTGCTTTGGCAGCCGAGATGTCCTGCCCTGGGGCAAGAACAAGGCTGCCGCGCTCACTGCAGCGCATGATTGGTGCTATACTAAGACCACTACTGGCTTTTACGACATCTATGAGACCAGGACTGGATGCATTAACGCACCTTCGGGAGGGGGAAAGTTTGTGTTTGAGATATCCACCAAGCATGGAAGAAGAGTCGGCCTTACTAGCTCCAAGTGCGAGAAGTTCCTCGACCTCGGTATTAATGGTTGTCCTGAGGGAGCTCAGACAAATACAGAGGGCTGGTCCATGGAGTAAGTTATTCCTATCTTGATATTTTATGTGAACTCCAGCTAATCATTGCTTTAGGACTACCTTTGAGACTGGAAAGTGCAAGGCTTGAGTTCCCTTAGGTATAAGATAGATGGAGTCGAAATATTCTTGTAGTGGATATAAAAATCTCTATACAGTATGTAGGAACACGGATCGGACACATCTATGACATTGGCTAGACTGTCGAGGAAATTGGCCAAGACTATCAGAGACCGCGGGTTAATATCGGATTCATGTACATAGTTATACACGGCAAATCTCTCAAACTATTCTCTATCTCAAAGTATCTACTTATAACAGACAAATTTGGTTACCAACATCCCTTTTCTTTTGCTCGGCCAAGACACTATGGACAACAACAGCAAACTTTGACCGAAACCACGTCAATAGAAACATTTTTGTGTTTCTTTGAAGCCTTCAGAGACGAGGCCATGGCCAGTAGCTCCTCATACTGCGATTCCTCTCCATCCACGACCTCCAGCTCCTTGATCGGAACACATTTTGTCGCTCTGACCAGTACCTCGGGGTATTCGAGTTGTCTTCTTAGCGACCTTTTCCGTTTGACTATATCCGCCATCTTTGAATCTATTTCTAGGACAGCGAGATAGACGTGTGAGATAATAGGTCGAAGCGAAAGGATGTATGATAAGATTTCGTTATCATATTCATCGTTTTCCACAGCGACAGATATACGAGAAAAACTACTCCAAGGAGCAAACCATTCTTCGCAGGGACTCTTGATGTCGATGTGCAATATGTCCGTCTGTGGATTAAAGTATCCAAGATCTCCAACCCCAGCACACTGACAAAATGCGAAGTTTTTGAACGTCTCCAACGCTACATTCCTAGATTCTTTACAGATGCTGAGTGCTTTGGGTGGTTTTGGCGATATGATGTGAGTCTTGGCAGCAGTACTTCTCCCACAACAGCGTCTGTAGACTGCTTTGTGAATTCGAGGTCCTGGAAGAGTGTGTTTCCAGATAAGACGACGCAGTTCTGGGGGGAAATCAAACAATGGCAAGGACTGGGTCTGTGACGTTTCTTGGAGGTGTGGTTGGGTGGCAATAGATGCCATCGCTACTTAGACAGTGAATGTTTTTGCTGCAAGAAAAGAGGCTGAAACTCGAAAATGGAACAGATATTGAAAAAGGTATAGTTAGGCATTAGCGAAATACCATCACGTGCTGCCTAGTGCTTACTTTGTTCTATGCACGCTCACCTCTGGCGAAATGCTTCATGGTGGATGAAATGGCCCTGGTAAATATGCCGCGGGTTTAAAAACACAACGAAACCAAGTAATGGACGTGATTTGATTGGGGTCTCCTTTGTGTATTTGCCGCACGAGGGCCTTATACTTGAGAATAAGATTGCTTCATTAAACTTTACCTAACGATGAAGTCAGTATTAGACTTTGAAAATCATAAATAACTACAAAAATAACAAACTTAATCTCTCCCGCAGTAGAACCAAAGAACTCAGCAGCTGCATAGAAACAAGCAATAAGGAGATCACCCGGTCAGCTGTTGCTTCATAGACTCAGTATTGAACATGCTATAAACTATGCCAAGTCTATGTGGGAACCTGTATTCTTTCGAACCATTACAAGGGACTGCTACGAGCATAATGATAATACTTGTACCATCCACGAAAGATTGCTCCCAGCGCTGGAAAAGGCGGATAATGAACTTCGCGTCTTGAATTTGCGCTTCCAGTCTATCAAGAACGACACGCGTCCGTAAATGGCTATTGAAACGCTGCAGGAGATAGTACCAAATCATGTCGTCGACATTCTGTACGCATCGAATACCAATATAAGTATTTAGTCTAAGTTCTAGTCTTATTGAAAACGAGGTCTAAATCAAGGTTAATGGTTGTTCTCATCCTCTGTCTGAACTTGTTGCTCAGACAATCGTGGATTCCTCAACGCCAAAGCAAAAATAATCATGGGAATACAGACACAAATTCCTGCTATGCAAAGTAGTCGCTGAACAGAACTGTAGCTGTTGATAATGGCATCTCGAATCTCGGTTCCTACTGGATAATCGGGAATGATGGAGAAGGGGTTGTTGTAGATTGCCTTTGCGAGTCCTTCGTCAGGTTGAAAAGCAAGGTTGCGCTTTAGAGACTTGTAGAGAGTCTGCGTCCAGATAGCTCCCGACAGGCAAGTGCCGAATGCACTTCCAATGTTGTAAAATGATAAGTAAAGGCCTGTCAGGATAGCGACATGTTCGCGCGATGCCGAAGCCTGGATGGATGCTTGGGTCGGATAAGCGAAGAAACCACCAGCGACACCGAGTAGGATCTGCGCTGCGATTATTCCGTCCTTTGACGACACAGATGCACCGCCGGGATACATGATCAAAACTCCAAAAGCGACCATGAAAAGCAGTGTTCCGCCAACAATGATAAACTTAAGTCGACGGATCTTGAAGATAACGAGACCAGCGACTACTCCAGTGATGACTCCAAAGAATGAGAAGAAGGATAAGATGCGGGTGGCGTTCTCGATGGAAAAGTCAAATGCTACAATCAGAATCGTGTATAAATAGTTTCCCTGTGTGCACCAGGCGAGGTTGAGTAAACTTCGTACGGCCAAGGCAGACCAGACGCCTCGGTCGCGGAGGAGATGGAATGGGACAAGAGGATGTTTCGCGCCTCGCTGCTCCCAAGTGATGAAGCAGACCATAAGGGAGAATCCTAGGACCAGCGGAAGAATTATGTACCAGCTGCGCCAGTGACTAGCTGTTCCTCCTGCAACGGTCAAAGGCGCAAGGATGAGTGAGAATGCAGTAACGAGAAGAACAAGACCGATGACATCAAGTTGATGGAAAAGATCTGCCCTTCCCTTCTTGGTCTTGAGAGAAAGAATTGCGATTTCCTCGCTTTCTTTTCCTTCAGATTCCCAGGTTCGCCTTTCGAGGAAGTAAAGGCATGATAGAAGGGGAAGTGAAGCGATGGGATAAATGATAGCCCACATGCCGAGTCCCCATCTCCAGCTTGTCGATCCCAGCACGGCTGAGGTGATGTTCCCGCTGATCCATGTGTTGATCAAGAATGGAATTGCAGGTAGATAGCTGAAGAATACTCTTGCGCGCATAGACGAAAAATCGGCGATAAGAACTTCCAGTAGGAGAACAATGCATGTATATCCCGTCTGGTAAATTATACTGCCCGTACAAAACACCTCCACGCTCTGAGCGGTTGACTCGATCGCGATACCCAGTGTGTACAGCACGGTCGAAATGGCGATAACTTCAAAGCGTCCAAAGACATCTGCTATTTTTGCAGCGCTGGGTTGAACTGCGACTGCGATGACATTGCGCAAGACATTGATGGTTGACAAGTAAGAGTGCAGATCGAAGCTGGAAGTTGCATAAGATTGGTAAGCGAGTCGCGTTTGACTCTCGAGACCGTATGCATATCCGACGAGGAAGATGCCGATAAAAAGCCAGACGCGATGTGTTGTTGTAATGTTACGGGATACGATTTCCATACGCGCTACGCCAGCGGATAGACGTTTTGGGTTTGCTGGTCGAGATGGAGTCGTATCGGGGTCTATATCGGTGATAGTGCTTGGGCCAGGTACCCCTAAAAGAGGCGCTGTTTCTGTTGACGCCATGATGTCTCATTCATATGAGTATTGTTGATATTACTTGAACAAAGAAAGACAGAATGTGTCAAAGATGAAAAAGATGAAGAAATTTATGAAACACGACGACAGGGGTCATATGATTTGCTAAGATAATTCACGCATCGTCACAAGTATCCCTGTCAGGTGCGTTGGATGCCTGAAAGAGGATCAGATAATGTGACCTGACCTGATAGTCTACAGACCTTGTGACACGGCAATGCATGATGACAAAGCGGGAACGGAAATCTGATAAGATTAAATGATCCAATGGCGCCGGATCTAACCGTTGCTTAAGTGGAGACTTTAATATCTGACGTTGTAATCACGGAATTCATCGGTAATAAAGCCGAGGCTTAGTATGATTGTCATGATATATATCCATTCCTATAGAACGACTCTCATAAGTCGAGATAGGCAAAAATATCTGTATCCAGCCATGGCTCAAAAATCCAAGTCTTCTACCAAGAATGCCTGAACTGTCATGTCTGTGATACTAACCAATCTCACTAGACATGGACACGATCTACTTACACAATCATTGTTTGAACTTGCTCTCACATGCGGCATGCTTCATTTTGGGGGTTGAGTCACTACGCATGCCATTGATTCAAGTCTCACTCAGTCTAAGTCAAAACTCCTGGTACAAGTACATGGTTTTATTTTTATTTGAGTAGTGAACGGACGTTTGTCTATCCTAGCCAGATCTTGACATCGAGCGAGCTTCCTGTTTCCATCAATATTGAGTATACTCAGCGATGACAAAGATGATCTAAAGGTCTTCGTCACGTTCTTTGCGGCAGCAAGTCCAACACGCGTAGTCATCATCCCCCTACTTTCGTTAGCAATTGTTCGTTTTGTCTTTCTCAAGGTTTTGCCTACCATCTTTGATGCCTCCTAAGCCACTTGTTAGCAATATGAATCAGATGTATCGATTGGGTTTCACTTACCCATCCCTCAGGGCACTTGGGCTCCTCGGGCCAGCAAACCTTGAGGCAAACCGGGTAGGTGTTGACCCCCTTGAAGGGCTTGGAGGTCGATCCGTAGTTGGGGGCTCCGGAGACTTGAATTCGAACACTAAGTTGATTCGATGTCAGTGACTGAAGACTTCTCATGAGATGAGACTATGAACGTGGACATTGGATAGAACTTCGAGATGACATACGTGATCTCCTCACCATCGGCCTTTGTTCCCTTGACGGCGTACCAAGGCATGGCGGCGATGCTCTGGGCAAAAAGAGTAGTAGCGAGGATGGAGAACTTCATGTTGGTTGTTAAGAGTAGTTTTTGTATTGTTGGTGGTAATTAAGTGAAATGATGATGAGGAGTGATGGATCGTGACTTGATGCATCGGGGGATCATGCTGACTTTATAGGCTGAACTTGTATGCTCACAACGATAAGTTTTCGCGTCAATGACATCAGGGAAAACAATAATGATCGAGTTCTCAGAGTCACCCAGTGTCAATGTCTTGGGTGATCGAACAGATGCGGACGGAAATGGCATCGCGGTGTTGATAGTCGTAGCTGAGACAGTCAAAGAGGGGGACGTAGCACAGCCTGAGAACTCTACCCATATCTTCTCAGTCCACCAGATAGAACTCCTTGCTTTGGAGATATTAAGACATACACAGAGGCGGGTGAGACGGAACATTGCAGAGTGCTGTCCTTGGTCTCCGACATGACTTTCTAAAAAGTCTTCGTGCATGTTGAGACCAAGGCCATATCTGTTTTAAGGCAATACAAAAGTGTGATTATATGAGTGTCATTGACGTTCAGAAGCACTCGGTTTGTCTTACATGAGCGGCATGTCTCTGTATCCCTTGTCCCAAACAGAAATCCTGCAGTTACTATATCACGGCTCGAGAACACAAGCGTGTCGAAACTCAAGGGTTTCCTCCACTATTGGCCGGCTCAGATGTCGCAGAACCCCCGCAGCTTGCGTAACCTTGCCTCGATAATGCCGGCGTGTTCCCCGACTTCCGAGACAACGATCAAATGCAATGTAGATCCTTAATCCTGTGCCGTGTCTTAGATCTCTCAGCCGCGGCCCGCCTAGTCCATAAATCTGTGGCTTTGGACACCCCCTGATTCATATGGATTCTCTATGATGAGCGAGTCTTACATCTGCATACATGACTGGGCGAACGATCGACTTCGGGGTTATGATGTTGTAATGTCTTAAACGTGCTAGGAACAAACAGCACAAACGCCAATCCAAGTTGGAACAAAGTTACAAGTCTACGTACTTCTTCTATCAGATCCCCTACGTAGATGCCTGTTCCCAACGCTTCTGCAACCGACCGAGCACCATGTTCACATATCCCACGTCTGTTACATCCGGCACGTTCCTCAACGTGACACTATCCTCCCTTGACAAGTCTGTGAGATAATCAAGAGGTCCAGTCTCCGCCTTCGTAGACGCCTTGTTTCCGTATTTACTCTCGAACCAATCCAGAAGCTTGATGGGGGGGTTCTTGGAAGGATCTCTATCAGAGTCGCGTAGACGTTGCATCCATTCGCTTGTGGGAAGGGTTTCGAACTTGAAGCCTGCTTCCCTCATGGACGGAAGCATTTGGTTCGCCCAGTGGAATCGGATAGGATTGAGGATGTGGTAGACCAGATCCGCTCTGGAGGAACGGTTTGTGGTCGGGGTAGCGGCTAGGTTGGACAGGTCAAGGATTGCCGATGCTGCAAGGTCTACCGGTAGCCAAGTCATTTCCTAACACATGTCAGTCACAGTTTCAGTGTTGTCTCAGTGTGAAGCTTACCTCGTTTAGCGCCGGCAGAGCACCAAGTGTAACAGCAGTCTGAATCATCAAAGGAATGCCCTCGGTAGTATTCCACTCCCCGACCTTGGTGTCTCCCACCAGCTGTCCCAGTCTCAAAACTCTCGCTACTGCTCCTGCCTTGCACGCATTACCCGTAATATGCTCAGCAACGTACTTCGATCTCGCATACCCGGTGTGTTGCGCATGTGCCGGCGACGGAACAAGTGTTTCGAGGACTTGGCCCGGTCTGGGTGTCCCTCCCGCCGACGAAACAGAAGAGCAGAAGAAGAAGCGAGCAGGTTGAGGTGTTTGAACAGATAGACTTAGTTGTATAAGGTTGTGAACAGCCTTGATGTGTTGGTCTTCGAAGCTCTGAACCGAGATATTGAAGTTTACGGCCCATGCACTGTGGATGATGGTCGTAAGCTTGTTCTGTAGTTCGGCCAGATTGGATTCGCTCAGGCCAAGATCTGGACGACTGAGGTCGCAAGGCAATGCGAGCACTTTACCACGTTGCTCATCATCCAGTGACAGACCACGGGCTTCGAGAGACTTGTCCAGTCTCTCGGTGGCTGCGTGGTCACTAGGCGCCCGGATCAAGGCCCATACAGCTCCAACATGAGGTTGGGCTGTTAGCTGAGCAAGTGCATGAGCACCCAATGCACCAGTAACACCAGTAAGTAACTAAACAGATTAGCTTCACATGTTTATAATTGTCAATCTCAAACTTACCACAAGCTCCTTCTGAGGCTGAGGCGCAGATCCGGCGACGTGAGGTCTAAAAGAAGAGTACTTCTCAACCAAGTCCTCCATAATCTTCAACTGATCTTTCGTCTCATCACCAGCACCACTCCTTAGTCTCTCGAGGTGACTAGCAAGCAGCTTGACGTTACCCGTTTCGTAGAGAACATTCTGTCCGAGTTCGGATTGGTTGCCACCGAGGTCAATCTCGCGCTTGATGAGACTCCACATCTGGATGCATTGTAGACTATCAACGCCCGAAGCGAAGAAGTCTGCCTCTGAGGATTCGAGTTCCACGCCGCATTTGACCTTGAGTTGTTCGAGAAGGTAGTCTTCCAACTCTTTGCCCTCGATAGTCAATGAGCCAGCTTGATCATCCTGGCCTTCGTATCGACTATACGCAGCCTCGATTTCGTTTTCGAACTGGCGGTATGTAGGAACTCGAATGAAAGTACCCTTATCAGTTCGAGGGTAAGATACCTCAGCAGGTACAATGACCACCAGTTCCTTAGGAATTCTCGAGAAAGACTCTGCCCGCGAGTTGGCGTCTTCAACTGAAGGCCAGATGGCGTCGAGGTACTCATCATCAGACATATCGGCGACACGATCAGCCTTGACGATCAAGATACCAGGATATGTCCTGCCATCTCCGAATACAATAGCTTCCTTGACAATTTCCTCTTGGCGAATACGACCCTCAATTGGAATGGGAAGGACCTTTTCGCCGTTGATGAGAGTAAATCGGTCATCCAATCGGCAGGCGAATTTCCATAGTGTCGGTCTTGTGGGGTGTTGCGTGAAGAGATCGCGTGTGCGGAATGATCCAGGTGGGTTGTCAGAGTTGGTGGTACTCTTTGATGGAAGTCCATCTAGTGCTACACACTCAAACAAACCAGGGGCAACTTCGTCGAAAATGGTGTATGGTTCAGCTGGGGGTAGAATTCGGATATAGTTCCACGCCTTGTCACCTTCTGGGCGTTGAGAAGTAGCAAGTCTGCCGGTCTCAGTCCTACAAGCTATTAGCAAAAGCACGTTCCGAGAGTTTGATTTACTCACGCTCCGTAGTTACCACAAAGGTTAACACCCGCTTCAACAAGACGATCACCAAGATCATCCGGACATCCACTTCCCGCATAAAGAACAACCTTCATATCCGCCAGCATCCTTATTCCCTCTTCGCTCTCAGCGAGCAGCTTGATGACATAAGGCACGCAATGGAAGATCTCAGGCTTGGTTGCTTTGAGCTGCGCCATAACAGATTCTCTTGTAATAGGGAGACCATAGTTTGTGAGGTAAATCTGCTTGCCTGAGTAAATTGATCGGAACACCTCGTAGAAACCATGGCTGTGGAAGAAAGGTGATGTGAGGAAACCACGCATGTTCATATGCACAGCAAAAGCACCAATGCAACTTGAGTTGGTGAGGTAGATTGGCTTGGGTAGTCCTGTTGAGCCGGAAGAGTGAATGATAACTGCTACCTTTCGTGACTCGGTTTCGGGGTTGTAATCTCGTAAGAAGCGTGGTGCATCCTGCCTGTACAAGTCTGCATTTTGCAACATGGGCAGTATCTCTAGTTGGCGGTTTTGTTGAACTTGTTCAAGAACGGGGTGGAAAGTTGGCGTTGTTAGAATGACGTTGCAACTTGCCAGGTCGAGAAGCTGAGTGATGGCAGGGCAAGCCAAACGTGTTGAGATGAGAAACGCTGAGTATCCAAGACGATTTAATGCGATGATTTGAACAACAATGTGAATACCGGATTGGCCAAGCATTCCAACTACGGGTGCTTTTTCAAGTGTTGAATCCTGAATTGTCAGGACATCGTCTTTTGGAGGTTAGGAATAGTGCTTACCACAGGCTTGAGACCAATGCTCTGGAATTTTGCAACAGCCGCATCAGCATATCTATCTAAATCGATAGCGCTGTGCTCCTTAAAATCATCAACGCCAGTTTCTGGCGCTCCTATTAAGGTTGCATCTCCTAATTCTGCAGCGCGTCGTCTGATCATCTCATCAAGAGTGAACATCTTGGCCTGAGAAGGCTGCTGGAAAGCAGGCTTGGATGCCTCAACAGCATTTGAATCGTGTCTGATAGTCATTTTGGTTAATAATTTGTTATAGTCTTCAGAGGGAAAAGGCATAGTTGTGACTAGTAGTTGAGGAGATATATATCTTTGCTATTGACGGATATCATGGACTCCACTTTGGTCAAGGTCGTCGCATCGCGAGACGGAAAAGCGACTTGCCCCTCAGTTTCGGATAAGGACTCGACCAAATACTGTATCGGAAAAGTTCCGCCAATGCGGGGAGATGTGCGAAATACCATTGCCAAGGTATCCGGTTTGGGGTTTCCGATGATATTTTGTTCTTATACCTATTCCCGAGCCGTTGATTCGGTAATTTGACCGGCTATCTCTTAATATCCCCGCGATGCTGCAAGACATTCAGCGAGATGTCATGGTAATTGGAACGATCCATCGGCAGTAATATCCATCTAAGGCTTCATAGACCTCCTCGCCACCCAAAACTGCGCATTATATGCGCTCTTTGTCAAAGCCCTGTCATCAAACCCATACGCCGCCTCCATTGACCTTATTGTTCTTTCCTCAAACGTCTTCTTTCCACAACTCTCATCTGTTTCAAGAAACTCGAAACCCAAAGCTTCACTAACCACCAAAACCTCCTCCAAACTCAACTGCACAAACGGCCCGGTTCCATAAAGCAACGGCCCCAGGTTGATCCAGTGACCACCTGGTTTCAGAACCTTTTTGATCGTGTCAAGGTAACTCATTAGGTTGCGTGCTGTGTCGATGAAGAAGTACGTGACTACAACATCGTATTCACCTGGTGTGGAGAAAACAGCTGTGAAATCGCCTTCGATTAAGACTACGGATGTAGAATTGAGGGATACGTCGGGAAAAGATAGAGGGCGAACCATGTTGGACTGGGTGGCGTGGTGAGACCAACTATCGACGAAAGGGTGAAAGGAGTGTGAGTTTTGAGAACGGTTAGCTTCGAGGAAGCGATATGCTACATTCATATACATGGACCATTCGTTGATGGTCACATCGAAACCTATCATGGTTAGCAAGAGAAGCATAGAGATTGTGAGATATTCAGCATACCCCCAAGTCTTGCAATATCATGTCCCAATCTTCCTAGACCGGCACCAGGAATAAGGACTTTCACAGGCTTATCCCCTTCTCTTTCGGGGAACAAGCTCTCTAGCGTATTGGTCAGACATGAAAATGTCTCTTTCCTCTCAGATTCGCCTGTCTCGGTCCAGTCACGAACATAGTGTTTCAAAGATTGAGAGACTGAAATTTTGTCGGCAAATCTTCCCGATGCTTCAAGACCATTCATGTGCTTGTCTAGTTCATCTTGTCCAATGTTGTAGAAGTTCATTGCATGCTGTACGATATCATTACAAAGTTCTTGATTCTTCTTGAGAAGATTATCAATTCGGGTGAACTTCTTGGAGTATTCAACTGAGTGTTCTAGTAACTATACTAGGGTTAGTATCTGACCTACCAGCAGGTGAGAATTGACTTACAGACTTTTGAGCTCTCGAAACGTGTTTATAAAGCCCTTGTAGTCGATCGAGCTCAAGTTTCTGTCGCTCATAGTATCTGTTATATCCATATAAGGCATCCAAGAGTCGGTGCCTCGGATGGTGGGCATTCCAGTTCCCCCATCCTCTCGCCATAGCCTTGTTCAACTTCTTGTAGGCGTCGGCATGGCGAGGTGTGTTTGGTGCACCAGAGATTTGATCCAGAGAAACAACAGTATTATCCAGGGAGCCAGGCTGTGAATGTCGAAGGGTTAGTTGACCGTTTCGTGGTGACATGGTCCTTCGTAGTAGCGTCAAGCTGAAGATGAGAAGGACTGAGAGACAAACCAGGTTGGGAATAGAGGCAAAGTCGAATTTTGCGACGTCATCAACCTTGATGCTCTGGTCTGCAGTGGTGGATAATGGTCCGAAAAGGAGCCCTGTCAGGGCGATGAAGCGTAATCTCATGGTTGAGACTCAGCTGAAAGGAGAGGATGTCGGTGAATGAGGCAGACAGATCCAATAGTGGCAAGGTAGTCCACCAAGTCAACGATTAGATGTAATATTCAGAGGATATCCAATCATTTAAGGAACCTTTTTATTTTGTAGTCCAGGGATTAAAGCTTCCTATTTTGTTTCCTTCTCCGTGGTAGTGTTGTGGATAAAGTCAGACTACGCCGACAGGCAGGACCAGACCAAGCAAGGGCTGATGGAATTTGATAGTAGTGGAGCCTCAGTGGAGGAGGCTCCAGTTTTTAAGGTGAGGACCTTGATGGACATGCCAAGCAACATCCATGGATCAACTTTAGACAAAGGACAAGACACGACAAACGAATTGACTTTTTGAGACAAGACAATAGTTACAATATTCATCGATATATCATTCAGAATAACTAATCTAGTAGAATGAGTAGAGTCAATACTCTTCTTCAAGACCTTGAGTCCCTCTCCAAGTGCCATCAACACCAATACCCACCCTCATAAATCATCTCGACACTTCATATAAGCTAACATTCAAGGTTAATTCATGTCCCCGTAGTACTTGATCTCCTAATCCCTGTCCGCCTCTTCTAGTCTTGACCTGCCCATCACTGGTAAGCTCTCTGTTTTACTTGGCAGACATACAGCCTACCTAATCTGTTCAGGCACGCGCCGCAACAATTGTTTATAAATTCCACTCCCTTGCATTTTCTTTTCCCTCATCTTCATCTTCTTCAACTCTGGGTCTGTTGTAAACACTCGTTTCTTACAAACATAACCACCCAAGATGAAGACCACCACTTTCGCTGTCGCCCTTCTCGGCTTCTTCCCCGCCATCTTTGCCCAGGAGACTCTTGCTCCCTCTCCTACCGAGTCTGTCGGATGTGAGCCTCACGGAGACCACTGTATGTTTCCTTTCCCAATTGTTTCCTTGGATTAGTACCTAATTTAGTGATCTAGGGCACTGCGACGGTGCCAGGTCCACTCTTGCGACTGAGGCCAAGGCTACCACCGACGCTGAGCACGATGACGACCATGATCATGACCACGATACCACTGGAACAGGGTCTCTTGCTCCTTCTCCCACCGAGTCTACCGGTTGCGAACCTCATGGTGACCACTGGCACTGCGAGGCTGCCAAGACTGGTTCCGAGGCCAAGGCTACCGATGATCACGACCACGACGACCATGACCACGACGATGAGGACCACACCCACTCTGCTGGTGCGACCAAGTCTCTCTCTCCTTCGCCCACAGAGTCAATCGGCTGTGAGCCGCACGGCGACCACTGTATGTATTCTTCGTTGCTATCCTCTTGTACTTTCATTAACTGGTGTTCCAGGGCATTGCGACGGTCCTGCTACCGCTGCAGCTACTGCGGCCACTGCCTCTGACTCAGCCTCTGCCACCGAGAGCGACTCTGCCGCTGTCACCGACAACGCTGCAGGTGTTCAGATGATTCCTCTCGCAGGACTTGTCGCCGCTGCTGTCCTTGCTCTGTAAAGTATCTTGAGCCTTAGATTGGAGAATCTAGGATGGTCTTATGTGTCGGCTTCCTGGACGCAACGCAGTGGAGGATAGAAAAGACACGATTTGATGCACAATTTTGTTTCTATTATGTACTAGATCAACTATAGATGGATGATCTTTAATTATGACTTTATTTGACATGCTTTGAACGTTGTCGTGTGTCCCTGTTCTTGAATGGTGATGCTCGATTGAGTCACCAGGATATGAGTCTAGTATTACAAGACAATTTACTGCAACAAGATCCGTCTCGGTAATAATTGACAGCTGAGCCTCACCCAAACATTGTTTCGCAATTCATCTACACGTAGGTTTCACAACCATATAGCACCCACGAGACTCTCACATGGACAGCCCCGTCGCACTCAAATTATCCATAAACATAACCTTGTTTTCTCCCGTACCCTACATCCACACTACTCGCCACTGACATATTCACCTAACAACATCTCTATCCAGTAGAATAAGCCCGAAATAAACCGTCTAGAAAATCTCTCACTCGTGCGGGTCGCGGTGGTGGTGTTGTGTCCATCAAGGTTCTCACCACCGACACTCATCAACCAAGTGGAGAGTGATCATGTCAGACAACAAGGGTCGAGTACCTGGAAGAGAGAACAAACAACTGCATACGACCGTTCCAACCTTGTTTATAAGCTTGCTTTGGTTCGTTTCTGCTAGTGTCGAATCGGATCTCGTCGTCGATGCAGCTCATCCTCCGGATCAACCGTCTTGGCTTAGCTACCTGGGTTGGCCGATCAGGGTTTACATTCGTTGCATTTACTGCAGACTCTTCTATATGTAATATTTATTGGATTCTTTGGCCCAGAGAAGGGCTATCCAGGTCATCGGCCCCACGGTTCACAAGCCTGCCAAGCAGCCGAACAAGAGTTTCACTGACAAACGAGGACCTTGATGTTCGCTCAGCTCACCTCGGCCGATTAATTCTTTTTCCCCCCACGCGGATATGATTTCTTACTTACTACTGTGCCTACTTGATTCACAGCACCATGAGGAGTACATAATACTCTGTCATCCTCCAAGCCTCCCCCTTGATCAGTCACAGCTGCATGCCATCGTCGACATCAACGCCCACCATGACTCGTGTCAAGACTTTCTTCGAGAGCCGTAAGGCCACTGTCCTCGCCGGTGCTCTTCTTTTCGTCGTAGCTGTCTCGGCGACTGCTCCTGGGGCTGCTGTCAAGAGACAAGCGACAAAGACGGGCATGAACTTTGAGTCTTTGACGGGTTGTCATATGCATGGGCCTACCCAGTAAGACCGTCTATACCTCAGTTACTCTGATACACCTTCCATGCTAACAAAGGCAGGTTCTGTATGGCTGGTTCGGATGAGTATCAGATCGTCGCAGATTCGGAGGCCACAGCTACTCAAGATCCTCCATCTTCGTACACTGACTGCCACAATCATGGTTCAGACACGTGCGTCGCCCATCACTCTTTCCCAGCGCCATTATGACTGACTTGGTCTAGATACTGCATGAACCCCAGTGGCGGAGAAGTCCAAGTCCTAGGCGAAAACGCCAGTCCGACCCAAACAGCCGCCAAAGAGACTGGCTCTGCAAAGGCCGAAGAGATCACTGCCGTGTCCAACTGCCACATGCACGAGGCATCTCTGTAAGTCGCTGCCTTTTAACTCCAAGGGATCTCAGAATTAATACTAGAAACAGGTACTGCATGGGTCCTAGCTCTTCAGAGTACTACGTCCAGACCACCATCACTAACACGGAGGAGTATCCAGCTCAGCTCACCAGCTGCCACAGCCATGGCGAAGAGACGTAGGTACTTACTACCAATACAATGAGCCAGGCTGACTGTTTAGGTACTGCATGTCGGACGATGGTGAAGCGCCCATCCTAGCCGCTGAGGACGTCGAGTCTGGAGAAGCAAGCCCCGACGAGGAACACTGCCATTTCCACGCCGGTGTAGAGTTCGTCTCTCTCCCTTCTCGTCACTCCCCGCATCACTAACACTCTATAGACACTGCGTCGGCGGTAGCCACGGCTCAGAAGGTGGTTCACGATCATGCACCCGTACCGACAGAGACTATAAGATCGGCATTCGAATCGGCATGCTCTTTGTCGTCCTTGTCGCTTCATCCCTCGGTGTTTACGGTCCCATCCTGCTGTCGCGCTTCACACCCGTACAATCCAACATCATCCTCACTATTCTCAAGCAATTCGGTACTGGAGTTATCATCTCTACTGCCTTTGTCCACGTATGACTCCTTCACTGTTGTGAAAAGCAATAACTAACATGATCCAGTTATTCACCCACGCACAAATGATGTTTGGCAACGAATGTCTCGGCGAACTCCTTTACGAAGCTACCACTGCCGCTATCGTGATGGCCGGCCTCTTCATCTCCTTTTTAATCGAGTTCATTGTCCATCGCGCCATGCGATGGCAGGCGAGCAAGAAATCTGACACTGAGTCTACATCGCTCTCTCCCAAGGCTGTGGAGAAGGCTGAGATGGCCAACATTAGTATTATGGAGGCTGGTATCATCTTCCACTCTCTCCGTAAGTTTTCCACAGCTCCCCCATTGTTGCTCGACTAACGTTACTAGTCATTGGTATCACCCTCGTTGTGGCTGGCGACTCCTTCTTCATCACTTTGTCCATCGTGATCATCTTCCACCAACTCTTCGAAGGTATCGCCCTGGGCACAAGAATCGCCTCTCTGGGCTACGGCCAAATGCCTCTCGCTCTAGGCCACACTCACTCACACTCCCCCACTCCCTCGGTGGAACGAACCGGAACATCCACTGTGCCTCTCTGGAAGAAGCTTGTTCTCGCTTCTGGTTTCGCAATCATCACACCTATCGGAATGGCTATTGGCATTGGCGTTCTCAACGTCTTCAACGGCAACGATCCTTCTACACTCATCGCCATCGGTACTCTGGATGCGTTCTCCGCTGGTATCCTTGTTTGGGTCGGTCTCGTAGAGATGTGGGCGCAGGATTGGATGATGGGTGGTGAGCTCAGCGATGCTGGTCCTGTGACTACTGCTCTCGCCATGCTTGGTTTGATCTGCGGTATGGTCTTGATGAGTCTGCTTGGAAAGTGGGCTTAGACTATCGATCATTAGTCGACTAACAGGGGAAGACAAAAAGCTGAATGATTTTGAGATGCGATCATGGTGACATCCATCGCGTGTTTGTCAAATGGTGAATCATTATATTAGACATAGATTAGCATGGTATAGATTTTCACACTTTGATGAACACAAGTCAATTGAACCCAGCCTACCATACAAGTATTAAACGAGCAACCCGGTTTAGTGAGTAGACTAACAGAAGCGTTCACCTTCAAGCTTAGAGATACAAAATAAACAGCCTAAGAAGACTGACTCAAGTAGCATAATCTGACCTACTAATTTCGGCTCTTATGCTCCCAGCGGCCAAATTGTCTGGTACTTTGAGGCTGGGTAGTCAATTCCTGATCCAAACACCAAGAGCCTAGCTCAACTTCTGACGCGCATCCTGGATCCTCTTGGACAAACTTCCAATATTAAAGAAGATTCCAATGACAGTCTCACTCACCCATCTAGGCAAGCAGCTCAAAATCCACACCTTGGTTGCCATGCCACCAGCATAGTACCAATCCGGAGTTCCTCCAATCAAGCCACCCAAGTAGCCCTCACCCTTCAAAGCGGCCGTGACTAGCTTCTTAGCATATGTTTCCGTTGGCATGGTCGCCGTGCGCTGACTAAATGTCAAGCGCTGCTGGAAGAAGTCCTCGACAGGCTTGTACAACGAGTTCTGAGGAAGAGACCTGTGGGTGCGACTGGCAATGTTGGAGCGCACGGTACCAGTGACAGCGTTCATGACACGAACGTTGAAAGGCTTCAGCTCGAGTCGAAGCGCTCGAGACCATACGTTGATGGCGCCCTTGGAGGAGGAGTAGATGGCACCAAAGATGTAGGGTACCAAGGTTGATGTGCTGGAAATGTTGATGATGAGACCACGTGCTTCGATGAGCAGAGGCGCAAAAATTTGAACCATGGACATGGGGCCGAAGACATTGACTTCGTATGTGGCGCGAACATCGTCAAGGTCCATGTCCAGAGCGGGGATGGTATGAGTTCGACCACTGGAAGGTTTAGCTAGAGGATCAATTGGTGGGAGAGGAGACATACGCATTATTGACAAGGATATCAAGACGACCTCCGGTCAATTCAGCAACCTGTTCTTTGCATGCTTCAATGCTCTTGGGGTCTGTGACTTCGAGAGGGAAGCAGCTCATGCCAGGGCCCTCAAGATCCTTGATCATGTCGGTGTTTCGCACCGTCGCAATGACATGACAGCCTTGAACACATTAGATACAATACTCAATCTTCTCCTGTAAAAACTGACCTTGGCGGTTAAACTCTTTGGCGAGAGAATGTCCAATGCCTCCAGGCGAACATCTGCCCTCATCAGTATCTGTCCACCCAACAGTTTTTTTCTGCGCTTGGGTCTTCTTACCCTGTAATGAGGACGAAAATCTTTTTCTCGGCCATCTTACTAAAGATCAAGGATATGCCACGAGTGTTCAGTTATTGAAACTTGGATGAATGACTGCTTAAATCTGCGATTCAAGACAGTTGAAGCTCAATGAGGAGAATATATACATTCACAAGATAACCCATGGCCAGTCCGCGGGGGACCGACCGAGGCTCGTTGAATGTGCACTAGCCACATTTAGCCACAAGTCACATTCTACAGAACAGTACGGCAATGGTTTTTGAGTTTGTTGATGTCTGTAGATGTCTGTAGCTTTTAATAAAACGCGCGTTTCTATTACCCCTATTCCTTGAATCAACAAAGGTCACAGAGTGCCATGTTTAACTGAAATGGCTATCAATTGTTTGAAAGAAGAAGATTGTCAGCCAGCCGAGTGGGCAAACAACTGTCTTAAGTAGGTATCTGCCCCCTGCCTGGAGTCAGAACGTGCTGAGCCCCGTCTCTGGCAAGGCATACAGCGTTACTTCTTCGTTGGTTGCTAAACAGTCAGTTGGCCGGTTAGAACCAACAAATATGTGACTTCCATGAGGCTGATGGGATAAGCTGGTCCAATGAGAATCCGATATGACGGGGGGCCATTCTCGTATGTCATGTAATCACCCGGTATAAGTTGAAGTTGTGCTGTTGTGAAGCACAACTCTAGACGAGTCGATAAACGTTGATGAAACTTGGTGGAAAACTTTAGAAGCAAGGTGGAAGAGAGAAATAATGGAGTGAAAAAGAGGAAGGAAAAGGAAAGGCGGCAAGGCAAGAGCAGCACGCATGGGTTCCCTCGTCACCAACACACCAAACAGACGTCCCATGAAAAGGCAAAATTGAAAGAAATTGAAATATGTACGCTAAATGCAACCCGATGATGATGTACAATAGATATACACTCATCCCAAAACTCCGAGGCCATTACCTCAATCTAGTTATCCAATCCAACCCATTCTATCATTAAATCCAACCCATTTTACCGGTGCATCTCTCCGTTTGGTCGATACGGCGTCCCAGGTTGTGTCTGAGGTGAAACCATAGCAGTATCCCCAGCTGAAGAGCCCAATCCTGCTCTGCTGAGCTCATCACTACCACGGTGATGAAGATCAACAGGCGTTGATCCAGGCATCTCAACAGCTCCCGAAGAAGTACCGTCCATCTCGAATATAGGAGCCGGCGCAGCTACAAGGTTGTCGGGCGGTAGTTCGACGGGACCCGCGTGCTGCTTCGGTTGTGCGTAGTATCCTGATGCGTTGGGGTCGGGTGTCTGCCATCCTGACGTAGGTGTAGTGCCCCACGCGGGTTTGGGCTCTCCAGGATGGTAGGGTGAGTTGTTGGTTTCGTAGTTGGGGAGCATTGGGTGCGATTCTTCGACGTTCTTCTTGCGACGGTGTAGCCAGAGCCAGATGACTAAACCGACGATTGCCGCACCTCCTGCTGCTGCACCAACGCCCACACCGATCGTCGCACCTGTCGACAGTCCCGTGTCCGCATCTGCATTTGAAGCATCGGTTGTCGAAGCAGCAGCCGTGTCGGACGCGGTAGAAGCGGTATCAGTCGCTGAAGCAGTCGCTGAAGCAGTCGCTGAAGCAGTCGCAGTCGTTCCTGTGGCGCTCGTAGTCGTCTCTCCATCATGGGCAGCCTGCTGAAAGTCCGTTTTCGAGGTCTTCATTGGTGTCTGGGAGTTGTTACAAGCCTCCACCATCATATCGTACGTCTCGTCAATGTCGTTAGGCGACTCTTGTCCAATGCAGCGCGCTGAGCCAAGGATGAAGTCATTATTGTAATTGCCCAAACCACACAGGCAGTAATTGAGCTCCTTTGAGTCGGCGCCGGTGCATGAGGCGTCGTCAGCGTTCTTCTCAAGGCATTTTTGTGCACCTTTCGGGTAGAAGCTAAAATCGTTCTGAAGAGCCAATGAAGGTGTGAGGAGAAGCGCCAATGTAAACCATCGCGACACCATGATGAAAAGAAACGTTTAATTCGATTGATGGTTAACGATGGTGGAAAAGAGTGACAGTGCAGTGGTGGTTGTTGTTGTTGGAAATCGACCCCTTTGCTGACGGACCAAGCAAACAGTTGTGTCGGTCGGTAAATCCGGTTTCAGCTATCCAGCCACGAAACGAGACGAATCAATCGGTAAAAGGTCGATCATGCAAATCACCATTAAAAATCGACAAAAAAATCCACCTCTTAACAAAAGCGAATGACTGGGGGAAAAGCGAGTGATGTTGGTTGATTATTAGGTAGTGAGTTGTTGTTGATGACGGAGCGTATCTAAAGAGAAAAGGAAACAAGAAACAAAAAAGAGGGAAAAAAAGCAAGAAACACTTTGGGGGGGTTTAATGAATTATTAGTGGCCGACTACGGCTATAGTATAGCGAAGATGACGGAATAGCAGTAATCGCACTGCGTGTCACCAGCAAAATCTAATTTAATTACTTGGACGATCCTTTCGTCAGCACCAGTCCTTAAAAGTTATAGACAAGATGTAACCAAGTGGAGTGAGTCCCATCAGGATCGACCATGGCGCAGCAATAAATCGGCCAAAGCACAACCTGATTGGATCTTGCATGTGGCTGGGCATTGTAGGGTAAGATTGAGATCAAAAAAACATGTTGAGATGCAAATAAACATTCTGCCTCACAGGAAGAGATACGATCATATAACTAACATGTAGCAAGGATGGATACATTTTGAACCATATAATCACCACAGCCCTACAGTTCAACAAGGCTTAGCAGGAACACTCGCATATATTATTCTCCGAAGAATGTTATTGTTGCCTCCCTAGACTTCATCTCTTGTCCAAGTCCGGCTTTCACACCGTAACCAGGATATGGCCTGACCACTCTGCAATGCTGTCAACACATAATGCACAGACTCAATCATCTAGATTAAGGGTATCATTAATTCATTATTATTCTCCAACTTTAAATAAACAAGTCCCATATCTCACATCATCATGAACCGTAAATCCTGTCCCCAATCATTTCTCACAATCGTCCAAACACCTTGGCAAAAATCTCTCTCGCTTTCAAGAGATTCAACAAACATAGCCTCTCGTTATCCAAATGCGCAGAGTCACTAGACTGCCCACAAGGAAGATGAGCTGCTGGGGCTCCGAATTCCTTCTCTAAGAAGCGGATCGCAGGGATGGATCCACCTTCGCGGATATAAAGTGGTTTGCGCGGCTTACCCATCTTGGTCTTGACGGAAAGGATCTCTTCCTCCTTAGACTTGTCTGCGCTGCCTGTTTCATCGGGTGTGGCTTCTCCAGATGCAGCAGACGTCTCGAAGCAGTCCTCCCACGTTTCCAATATGGCCTTTTCCAAGGTTTGGAAGATGGCATTGGTAGGATCACCAAGCCACGGCTCAGCTCTGTTGTCCACGTTGATGGTGAGTTTGTTTTGCGACTCGAGCTGCGAGAATTCTTCCTCGAGGAATTTCGTAAGTGCTTCAATCACCACGTCCACCTCCTGGCCTGGTACCACTCGAAGACTGATGTGAGAGCTGGCGTGACTGCTGACTAGACTGCCGTCAGGACCCGATACCTTGTAACGGTGGAGTGTCAGATTGGGTTCGCGCCAGCGCGCCATAAGCGACTGCTTCAGCCTCTCCTCGGGGCCCTTTTCGGGATTGCTGCGGATCAAAATCCTGGCAATATCATCGTAGCGGGCCTCTTCTTCTGGTGTAATTGGAAGGATGCCATCGTAAAAGCCGGGAATCTGCACCTTGTTGCCAGGTCCCTTGAGTTTGCCAAGGATCTGTGTCAGGTCGGAGAGAGGCTCATTCATCATGTAGGAGCCATCCACACCTGAGTGGATATCTGGACGAGGCGCATCAACACAGACAGTTGTATGTAAAACACCACGAAGACCATAAGTCAGACATGGAACTTCGTCGTCGAGCCAATAACTATTGGCGAGTAGGATGTAGTCCACCTCACCAATGAGCTCCTTGTTCTTCTTCACAGCCTCTTCAAAGCCAAGCGACCCAAACTCTTCCTCACCTTCAATCAAAAAGACAACGTCGTTCTCCAACTGTTGGTTCTCCATCAGATCAGTCACTGCATATAGGGCAGCGATGATAGGGCCCTTATTGTCGCTGACTCCACGACCGTACAAGTAGCCATTGGTTCCCTGCATGGTGAATGGATCTGTCTCCCATTTTCCCTTGCGGCTATCGGCGGCGACAACATCATAGTGACCATAGAAGAGAATTCGTTTGCGGGTTTCGGCGGCCTCCTTCTTGGCAGAAAACCGAGCGTAGACGACTGGGTTGTGGTGCTTCTCAGTGCTAAGCAACTCAACGTGTCCGCCGAGCCGCTTGAATAGCGCACCAAGGTATGTAGCTCCCTTGCGACAATCCTCCGCAAACTCAGGCCGGGAAGAGACAGTCTTGTATGATACGAAGTCCCGTAGCGATGATAGCAGGAGGTTATCTGAATCCTGCGAGACTTCCTTCTCTTTGGTGCCACACTTGTCGGTGTCGATGGACCAGATAGAGATGTTATCGTCATTCGCGCCCGTGATAAAGTACTGCTTGTTTTTGTAGTTGGTCACAGCTGATGCAAGTACTTTGCCCTGGTGAGCCTCCCATCGAAGGAGACACTGGTATTTCTGGGGAACAGCACCGGAGGCGGCATGCTGGTATTTTCCGTAGTGGGTTGTGCTGTATTTCTACAAAGAGTCAGTACGACAAGAAGGACGGATATCAAGGGGTACTCACGCTGGCCCAACCGTTAGTTGCGGCAGTCCACAAATATCCCCAACCCATTTGGATTGACATGATATCACAGTCATGCGCTTTGATGACTCTCAATCGCTGCGCTGTATCAAGATCCCATAGCTCAACAATGCCATCAAGCTTGCCAGCGTACAAAAACGAGCTGTCAAGCGCCATTGACAGAACAGACTCGCCATCATCGACACCCAATGTCATGATCTCTTGTATACCACCACCAAGCTCCTCGTCATCCTCGACCGTGTGCCCCAAACTCCAAAGCTTGATTGTACCATCGCCCGCACCGGATATCAAAACGTCATCATCAGTACCAACGTCAACTGTCGGCCCCTTGGCCATGAGCATGCAGTATACGTAGCCGTAGTGCGCAAAGTTCTTGACGCAGCCGGCGTGCATCTCGAGGACATTATGGGCTTTAGGAATCAATCCCCATCGATCATCGTTACGTCGGGGTGTACTCGCGCCACCGCCGACAGCTTTGGAGTCGAAGAAGCGGTGGTTTCGGCGGTCGGGGTGCTGTTGGGATTCGGGAGACACGCGGGCTGTAACGTCGTTGAGGCCGACCCATTGAATAGTAGCGTTTTGTGCACCGATGTATAGTGTCTCGTGTTGAGGACTATACGCTGTGCAGAAGATGTCGCCGACGTCGTAGGAACCGTAAATTTCGTAGAGTCGAGTCAGGGTCTTGGGGTCCCAGACGTTGATGATGGGATCACCAGCGCTAGAGAACAAAAGCGAGGCATCAGGCGATAGCGAGAGGGAGAGAATGCTCCTCTTGTGCGCTTGGACACGGCGAACTTGTCTGAATGTTTCGAGAGACCATGCTACTATTTCACCATCTTGTGTACCGGCGTAAATGGTTTCGTGCTGTGGACTAACGGCGAGAGCGAGAACGGTGCTTGTGTGGGATAGCGAGTGGACGAGGTCGGGGCTCGTGGCAGGGTCTTCAGCAGCTTCGAGGGGTGAGAGAATTGGAGACGCTGGACCGGGCGACATTGTCGGTGATACCGTCCGTGAAGGCATGCTGAGGGATTCTGAGGGAGCGGTTGTTAGATGGGAGGTGGAAGACAATGTTAATAGAAAGAGAGGGGCAGAAACAAGGGTCCTGTTGTTAGTGTTGCTGTGAAGGAGGGTCGACCAACAGATGGTCTGATTGAATGTCAAGGTTCACTTGAATACAAGAAGCATAGGATATGTTATGATCAAGTGCAAAAAATAAAACGTGGTGTTGAAGTTGAGACAAGGGTAGAGTCAACGAGCGGTAGCTTCAGTGCCGAGACCGCTCACAAATTTGGGCCCCAGTATGACGCGATCGCGCCAGGTCTTAGTCCAGGGTCCATTCCTTGAGGTTCCTCGCAGTAACACGAGAGAACAGACTGAGACGAAAAAGTTGGGTGAGAAAGTTGGGACATATTGATTGAGCCCTTGCAATTGACAATACAAGCACTGTGATTCTTCTTTGCAAGCTGGGTTGTTTTCCAAATCACCGGCCGATGGTGGAGGGAGGGATACGCCACAGCCTTCTGTCATATAGGCATTCTCATTGGCTGTAAGTATACCACTTGGTCCAGCCTTATAACACAGCTGCGCCACAGTAAAAGGGAGGCTGCCCGGCACTAGCCTTCGGAGACTTATTGAAGAGCATTTGTAAGTCAACCCAACATTGTCTTTTCTGATGGGGGAAGGATACAGAGTATCAGATGGGATGAACTAGAAGGAGAATGAGAGGTGTTGAGTATCGTACAAATGAACTTGTAATTGCTTGGCGTTACACTTATTCGGCGATCCAAACTCAATCGCCGTCTCAAGTTCTGATGAAAAGACACATCAAAAACAACACGGTTGGGATGATCCTGGAAGAGAAGAAGGAAAAGTTGTGAGCTCACCATAGTCGGAAGTAATTGTCTCTCCAGATAATCGCTTCTCATTCATCAATATCTTTGCACATCCCTCACAGCCATCTCCATTCGACAATGAAGAGTCAGAATACATGGCCAAGTTGACGCGATCAATAAAGTAAGGATAGGTGATAATTGTATTAAAGAAAGGAAGTTGATAAAGAAGAGAACAAAGTTGGATAGTAAAGTATAAACATCCAAGTAAAAGATAAGACATCCATCCCCTTATCCCCAACACACACGCCCGTTGTGTACTTGTCTGCATCACGGGACCTAGCCATACTGTTCCCCGTCAGCCCTGTATAACCCAAAGAGAGAAACGTGTACACAGAGAAAAAACATAAAACGACGATGCAAGATCAAAGACATTGGGGCTCACCGATAGTTTAAGCCACCCCTGAATATGTAAAGTGATCTGCTGTTAGTACTGGCGATATCGGGGGACCGGGCTGCCGGGGAGCTGAATTTGGTGGAGATGCATTGGATGCCATGGAGGGTCACAGTGACCGATGCATCGGGTTTGGAGGATCCTTGCCGTAGATTGTCACTGTTGAGGCTTGGCTGGTGATGTATGTTTATGTTTAGTTTTTATTGTTTTTTTTTTCTAAATTGGTATTTGTCTTGATACTCTTCTGTGACCACTTCATTCATATTGTCTTCCTCTTAAGCTCCAGCGCTCAATATTTTAGGTTTGTGTGACGCCCTACATCAATTAATGCCCAGTCGAGTCTGGGGCTGAACCACCAGCCGCTTCTGCATCGCATCATACCGCAACCTTCTGACGCCCATTTGCTAACCAGTAGCATAGTAGCATAGTATGTTTTCTTACCAAACAATGTCTCACTATTGGAAAGTTTCAGCCATCTGTCTAGGTGACCAGGCTGTAGTAAAGCAGATTGCTTTTCTCTTCTCCATCCAATTATCGCCTGAAAAGGCAACCCAATTTGGCCTCCCCACTCGTCCGTTTGTAAGCTTGAGGGAAGCATCATCAATCGCAATGCTCGCCAACGCCTTGATGCAGTTGAAGAGTTTCGTCTTGCCAAGGAATTAATCCATTCTCTTCGTTTGCCGTCGTAGGATGGAATGCGATGCACTCAGGATGTGCCGCAAGTCTCTCTTCGTCTTCTTGTAAAAGCCTTTTGACCCTGTAGTTGACGGCAGTATGAGAGATCCGCTGAAGCGTGTGCATCCCTTCAAAGCTGGGACCTAAGGAGTTGAACAATGACAAATTGGATGTGCTCTTTCAGCAGCTCCCAGGCGACATTGAAGAATAAATTCTTGCCGAGCACAAAATACCGTGGCGGAGATGTAATGTACACTCTTCTCTCCTGACGTTGCCGATGGACGTGACAGTTCACGTTGTCACCGATGATAACAAGAGTACCACCCTGGCGATGCTGCGTGGATGCTGCGGCGATGTGTAGGGACATTCAAAAGACTGAAAGGTGCCGCAACCTTGTAAAAACAAGATTATCATAACAGTCATGCCAAACAAATAGTCATGCCAAACAAATAATCATGCCAGCTGTGACACTGATTACAAGACCATTTAAACAAGAGACAGGGCAAGTCTTTCTTCAAATTCTCGGATAGAGGCAGTAAGTTCATCCCCTTACCACGCGAACGTAAGTTTCCTCTCTGCCCTCGGTTTGTGTCGTCGGTAGTTTCGCAGGTCATCAAAGCGTGGCGAGTTGTGGTATAGATCGAGTGCCATTTGGAATCACAGAACTGCAGGCGATGACTTTCGTCAAAGCTCCAACATCTCCTCGATGATACCTCCATACAAGTGCTTGAGTCTGGCCATGAGGGCGACCCTAACAGTGTCGACAAGGGAGCTTTTAGTTGTGGGACAAGAACATAGAATACGTCCTGGAGCAGCCTTCAAGTCTCCGCCTTCTCGGCGTCGGTCATTCTCTCTTGAGCCGCCTTGTCTGTCCAGAGATGAAAAGCCCCATCAGCAAGTTCCATACTTCTGGTGGGTGCCGTGACGAGAATTAGTCCCGCTCGACGCAAAGGTCTTGGATATGGTGTGGTGAATCGGCAAGATGTGACAAATCGAGCAACAGAGACAACTCCTTTTCTTGATGCTCCATCAACAGCGACTTTCAAGACTGTCTTGGCTAGCACATACATCTCATGAGAAAATTAACTTGGCTGATCCTCATTGTGAAGCATTCAAGGCGGTTGGCCTCCTTCCTAGCCTTGCTTCCACAATAGGCAGGTCGAAGCCCTTGGTTCCAATCGTCCACTCAGTGCTTTTGCAAAGGAGCCAGAATGATCCGACAATACTACTCTGTGGACGTTGAAGACTTTTCTTCTCTACTCAAGCAGCGACGATGGCAGGATGGACAGCTGTGGTGTACCGTTGATGTTTTCGAAATCGTGTGCCTTGCTCAAAACGATTTGAATCTATCGGTTGTGCTTTCTAAAGGCAGAAATGATAGTTGCGCTGTACTCAGGCGAATGATGGAATACTTTCCATATCTCGCATAGGTAGCTTTGGAAATGGCGTTGTATCCTTGGGATAAAGCTGCTCCTTCCCAGTGTCGGTCATTTTCTGACTCTCAATATCGGTGTAGAGGCGAATAGCCTCATACAAGTGCTTCATGTGATTGCTCGGGGACATCATCATGATCATGCGCATTCCCGCCTGGTGAGAAGGTTTGAGAAGTCCGGCAATTCTGTGTCCTGAGTCTTCGGGTAGTCTACAACCGCAAGTCAAGCCTCGTCTTTAGGGCATCAGTGTTGCCGTTGCAAAGATAAAAATACTATCAGCCCGAGATTGGCACATAGATATCTCGTATCTTGCGTTTGAACAGGAGACGTTCCTGTATCAATCCTTCTAGAGAACCAGGTCTCAAGCCTAATTGATGATGAAATCAACACTCTTGGATGGGATTCGCGTTGGTAGCTTTGCTGTTGTGGAGGGCCAGGAAGGCCGTGACCATAGAATATACAACCCTCCTCCGGCCACGATTAGTGTGAAATTGAGAGCACTGGCACGGCCCTGTGACGAGATGTGTTGTGTACACTCCAGGGCCGATGCAATGGAACCCGATTCCGTCGGGTTTGACAAGGCCACATGGAAATTTGACAGGTTTGTAGACCAAGAAACCCACTAGACGCTGAAGGTCAAATTCGGAGAGGTATTTAGTCAGTCCGTCAGCGAGTTTGAACGTAAAGAAGATACGCAGCGATCGTTAATGACTCAATCAAGGTAAGGTCCTCGGCTACAATGTGTGAGATCAGCTTCAGTCTGGCGAAGAGGGTACAGAGAGAAGTCATAGACGTACGTATGACGAGAGGCCGTATAGTTATTAGAGCTGGAGGGATCTATGATGACTTATGATGGCAAGAGATTCAACTACGCTCGAGCGAGATGATTCTCAGTGAGGCAGGAGATTGTCATCCATGGAAAGCGTGTTGGGCAGATCTCGTTGAAGTAATCGGGCGGAGGAACATGCCATTGCTCTGAAGAAGTTCCAGTTGGCCCACTCGTCGTGATAAAGCAGGCTCGCGATTCGACTGACCAAGGGAAACCAGGTTCACAGTCCAAGACGGCCGCCTTTCGAGCGCCGGCGACTGGTTGGCGATGAGCCATGATTGCAGTCGGGTGTCTGACTTGGGTCCCATACTTGTTTCCGTAGTTGGAGATCGATGCCTTGATCGTGCTATCAACGACAAGGTCGAAGAATATCCAATTCGAATTGCAGGATGGCTTGGGGACTTTTATAATAGCCTGAGTAGCCAATGATATCCGATGTAGGCGTTGCAATGTTTGCAGGACTGCAACGACCGCAAAGAACTCAGATAGTAGTTCAAGAGCAGCCCCAGTAAGAAGACGCCTTGCCCATATTCTTAGACAGAATCGCGGCGATGAAGTCACTCCTCCTCAGCGCCATCAATCACCTTGCTCAACTCATCCAAATTGTCTCTGCCAGCCGCCAATAGTTCAGAATGACCAAGGTTAATAAAACGCAGCATACAGTTGTACGCCTTTGGCTCCGTTGAAGCCACGGTATCTGCTTGAAAATTGATGCTAATAAGGCAACATCACGTGTATAACAGCAAACAGATAAACGTTATGTCGTTGCACGTTAAGCCTTTGGTAGACAAGCCATGAGCTTGTGAGCCTGTTTTGGTGACTTAGGCTTTAAAACTTATGCTCCCTGATTCTTTGGCGCCCAGCTAGAATCACCAATCCTCTCGGCCGAAGCCAAACAGTTGGCGCCCCTCTTTGGAGGAACGGGCGTGCTGAAAGATAGCGATGCCTTTGCGCTCTCCTCGTGCTCCGATGCTTCATGGCCCTTTGCCTCTCGCCAGGCTTTGTACTCTTGCGAGAGACCGTTTCGAACGTCGCTGGGGTCCCAAACACGGGTGGTACACGACACACAATGCGCTGTGAGCTCGCAGTATGTATAAGAAATGATTAGAAACGCCAGGGCTACCTTCATCATACTCGCTGTGTCTATTCGTCATCTTGGTCAGCAGCTTCAGTCTTGGCCTCCTCGAGCTTGTCCTCATGTAAAACGCAGATTAAACGTGACTGCAGTGTGATCAGTGGCAAAGATATCTTGGGAAACGACCAATAGTCAACGGCCGGTCGCACTGGTGACTCTTTGGTTGCATGATGGCGACAAAATGGGCGATGTAACCTGAAACAGTGTTAGAATATGTGGCATTCTTGATAACCATCAACCACCAGATTCATCGTCAGCCATGCCACTGAAGCCATGCTTTAAGATATCACAGGCATCATGTTGACATTGAATGGGAACGATGAGGTTCATGTCCATGGAGGGATGTCTGTTTGTAGAGGATATTAGGCATGAAATACGACACGTAGTACATCTCAACTTACATAATGCTATGCGTAGCAATAATACGCTTGACATTGGCATGAAGGTTATGTATGGGAGGAGGAATATCCCTGGCCATAGAACCCACTCATGTCTCGATCATGCATTATATGGGACTCAAGAGAACTCCTGACAGATTATTGTTAGTGGCAGTCGACGTATCCGAAATCCCAAAAGACTTACTGTCATCGTCCATTCATATCTTAGCTCTCTGTTGTGGTAGTTCTCCAAGAGACTTCATAAACTTCTGGGTAGGTGGCCTTGATTGAAAAGTATGCTGAACTAGGTCCCGAACACGATTACACATAATGAACAAAGCTGGAGGGGGGTTCAATCTGCTGTACCATGTAGCAGGCGGGTGCGGTCCACGTCAAAGTGTAAAAGGGTTAGAAATGAGGGGACGATTAATAGAAACCCAGCCAGAGGCCTAAGATTTGTTCGGAGAGCAAGGTCGGGAGCGCGGAGAGTTCGATTGGGTTTATGGAAGGGATTGTCGTAACTATGTGTTCGACTCTGCATATCCCTTGACTGCCCGATGTAGCTGACTTGTTGCAATGTCTCGGGGCGGACAATAGAATAAGTAGGCGATGATAAACGTAGCGGCCGCGTTGGATGTGTTGAATTATCAAGTAACCAGTTTGGTGATGGAGGCGATGTTGAACTTGACGTTATTGCCGAGTTTGGTAGGAGGCCATACGATGAGCCATCCCCACGTTCAACAAACTATTGAACTATGTTAGCAGAAGCAAGTCAATGTATCTTCTATCAGTGCTAACCACATACTCAATGCTAATGATGGCCGAACATGTCGGGCGACCATTGGTGCTGATGATGATGCTGTGTTTGTCAAGGTAACGGCCGCTGTTGTAACTAAATCAGGCCAAAGTTCCCAGTGTCATGATCAGCTCGATTAAGCAATATTTTTTGGCGTTCGTCACGAAACTCCAGGGGATGTTGGAAGATTGGCATTGTAGAAATTTGCCTGCATTCATAGCATGGGAATGTGCCAGATGAATAGGTATAAAAGACTGGGAAGGTGAAGGGTCTTGCCACGCGAAGGTGTGGGAAGGGGAAGACTCATGGACAGAGTGGCTTAGGGGGAACACTCCATAAGATTGAGGGGATATATAAAGAGTGCAGCTTGCACAGCACATAGACATAATTCATAAATTAGTGCAGTGTTGATGGTGATGGTGATGAAAAAAGAAAGAAAATGAAAAGTCAAAAGTTGGGAAAGAGAAAGGTCATTATGCCAACTCCAACACCCTTGATGACTTATCATCCTCTACAGCTTCACGTCATCTTGTCAAGTCAAAAGATCAATCTCAGCCAATACTTCTCTCATTACAAACGAAGATGCATGAGAATCTACTGTATTGAGTCATGATTGACAGTCTGGTCAACACGGGTATGCAGCATCACGACGACTCTGCAGTCAACCAGACCACAACACCATAGATCTATCGACATCTGTATCCCAGCTTCGGAATCTAGGGAGCTTTGGCTCTGCAACTCGCATTTGCCAGGAACTTCATTGGACTGTGAAAGCAAGTTCCCGTGTATTCTTCACTAGCAGCAAAACAACCACCTCAAGACCGAATACGAGACCAAGACAAGTCCAAACAATAGCATCATCATCGAGAGACGCCGAAGCTTCATATCTTTTGTCCTACCTTTCTCTTCCCCTATCGAGCTCGAACCTATCGGCATCAAAGCCTAACGGCAAAAGTACACCCAACCTAGCGAGATGCATATCTCACAGACCACATCAACACACAGTATCCGAACCTTCAACGGGAAAAAGCGCAAATACGAGACTGAGTTGGTCAAACCGGAATCTCGATCAAATTGTGAAAACTTCAATTGTCTTGTGAGAAGACTTGATCATACGCCCTCAAATCTACCCACTCTTCCTCTCACACCCCACAAGTCCACACCACAGATCAGTTTTGATCTGAGATCAACTACGCAAGACTCATGCTTCAGGTAGAAACCCATGCATCCCATGTCTAGATGATGGCGAATCTCATATTGAAGATGCACGTCAGATCTGAGATCAGTATGCACGTTGAATATCAGATCCAGGTACATGAAGCACGTCAGTAGCATGGGCATAATCACCTCATTGAACATCACAATAGACATGCAAAGCACAATCAAAAAGGGCCATTTCAGCCCAATGCATTGATCGCTACATAAAAAAAAAGCCTAACCTCTAGGTAGGGAGTAGTAAACAAAAATGCCGTCCCAAACTAATAATTCCCATGCAAACAGCTCCGTCATCTGTCTTCCGTGCGTCATGCAATAAGTAAGAACGAGAAAAATCTACTCAAGCGCGTGCAAGAGTCCATCCAATCCATGTCGGTAATTCATTTCCATTTCCGTTTTCATTCGTCTTCTCAAATGTCCCCAACTTCTTTCGTAGTATCGTGATAAAATAAAAACGCGAGGTGTAAGGGAATAAATCGCTGGTGGGAAGGGCTTCCTTCTTTGCCAATCCATGATCTGTAGAAAAAAGAGAAAATCCAAATGTTTATCTCGTCTTTAGGGATGTAAAGTCTTGTTCATCCAGTCTTTAAAATTGCGCCAGAGTAATATGCAAGATAAAAGAAAATATGTGAAAGCGATGATCCAAAAAAGAGTATTGAGATGCCAGTCTAAGCCATGACCATAGACCGCTCTTTCTTTTCCTTACTCTTGAAAAGAGCCTTGAGCATGTTGCTGTTGGTGCGGTTGGGCTTGGGCCGCAACGTCACCTCGGAGGCGTCGTCTCGTCGACTGCTACTTCGGCTATCGATGGATCTCGTCTCTGTCTTGTCGGTGCGCTTGCTCCTTGATGAGCGGTGACTGCGCTCACTGTCTGCGATGCTCTCGGTGTATCTACTCTTGGTGTCGTCGTCGCGACGGCTTCGGGAACTGCGATGGCTGCCTTCGGTGCGGTGAGACTTGGAGCTTCGGTGGCTGTCGTGGGTCTTGCTTGTCTTGGTTGTTCTTGTGCTACGGCGGGACTTGGTGTCAAAGTCATCGCCCATACCATAAGCGGTAGGTGTAATGAGTTCCATGTCGACGCTCTCTGTTACGGAGCCTGCTGGGATACCTCTCATCCAGGTCTCGATTGAACTCAGATCATCATCAAGGATGAGAGCCTCATCCACGCCGCCATGTTCGGAAGGAGAATACTCGCTCTGTGTGCGCATGGGCGCAGGTCGGTTCATGGGCACACCCTCGTAACCCAAAGCCTCGCGCGCCGCCTTGGCCTCTGCCATTCTTTGGAAAATCTTCCATCCTCCAAAGCAAATGACTGTGACACCAGCAGCGATACTCGTGCCGATCAAGAATTGCGGTGACGATAGGAGCCCAAAGACAGCGGGTGATCCACTCTTGAGGAGGGTCAGGAAGGCTGGTGATGTTTTCTTGACAATCTTGGACAGCTCAGCAAGGGTGAGCGCAACGGCCGCGGCGTGGTCTGGGTTCTTCTGAAGCTCGGCCATGGTGTGCGTGGCAGAATGGTGGATACACTTGGCTTCGGTAAGGAGGCCCTCGACGCGGTGAACAAGTCCCATGGCCTGCTTCTCATCGAATTGCTGTGGGTCCAGATCGGTGCGATCCTTCAGATCGGGAGGGACGCTACCATAGGCGAGGTCCATGTCGATTTCCTTGCGCGGCTTTGTCGCCTGGACAAGCTCTCCGGTCGATCGGTTTCGGGGAACCATGGCATCGCCGTAGGCTGAGGGAGCCATGGAACGAGGAGACAAGGCATAGTTCATGTTTTGGGCGTAAGGGTCCTTGTATGTCATCTGTGTAGGGGCTCTGCTGGGGGCTGTAGCCGAAATCTCGGTGTGTCTCTCGAGATTGTCGAGGGTCAAGGCCTTGCGGCTGCGGACGTCAAAGTCGTCTCGAGGATGGCGCGAGTGGACGCTTCGCGATCTGCGACTGCGTTGCGAGCCGGCTTCGCTAGGAGCGGCGCGAGGAGGGTAATAACGGGAGCGGTCATCGTCGATTAAATTTGATCGTCCTTCAGTGTCAAAGGTTTTTGATCGGTGGAGGGACTGGCCGGCCTTGATCTCGGCCTTCTTGTCCTTGTAGGTGCCTTGGGCTTCCTTGAAGATTGTGAAGAGTTGCTTGCCCTGAGAAGTGTTAGCATGGGGAAGAATGAAGGCGTTGAGGAATACGAACGGTCTTGATGATTTTGCCGGAATTGTTGACAACGGTGATTGTCTGTTCGAGCGCCATGATGGGCGGCTGTGTATTCAGAGGCGTTTGAAGTAACAACGGGATAAAGAGCTAGAGCGGGGGATATCGGGTATAAATGTTGGAGGGAGGAGACCAGCTCTCTCTGTGTTTGTGTGTTGGTAATGCGTGTCTCTGAGTTGCAGTGGTGAGACAGAGGAGACGAGAAGGGAGTAGAGCAGTATTTGTCTTGTCGTCGCGATGCGAATGGGTTTGACCGCAACAGCAGATGGAGCTGATTAGGTTCAAGTAGGAACAGGCTTGGCCTGTCTTGAACGATACGATCCGATCAGGGACTGGGATACCCCTTAACAATTTCGATCCAAATAACAGGCAATAAAGAAAAACAAGAGGCCAGGCGAAAAGGAAGCACGGTAGAATAAATGATTCACACACGCTTGGTCCCGGTCCCGCGGTGAAGGATGGATGAGCTGTAGAGAGAGATCCGCAGTGGGGAAGAGTAAGAGGAGGGGAGGGGGGGTAAGAGAAGAGTCAATTAGACCGGGCAAGGTCGGTCAGTTTTTGTCCACTGAAAGAGGCAACCAAGAGCCTGTATTTACAGCGGCCTCCAGGGCTGTGGCGTCAAATGGACAACTCTAGGTAGGCGGTGGCACCGGGGAACAAGAAGAGTACAGCCAAGCCGGACAACTCAGTGGAGATGATTTGAAATATCAAGAGAAAAAAAAAAGGGGACTGGACTTTGCTAGGATCAGAAACAGATAGTGAGCTGGAGGGGGATAAGAGGGAAAAAAGTGGTGAATATGCTGGGAGGCGGTGGATTTGTCGGTGAGGAAAAATCGGAGGCTTTTTTCTCATGTACCAACAAGGAATCCCAGTGTTTGATGAAGACGATAGAATAGAAGAATCAGAAAAGAAATCAGAAAAGATAATACAAAGATTTAATTAATAAATCTACAGACACTCAAGGTTGCATTATCACACACACTTTCTCTTCAGCTTTAGGTTCTCAAAGGCGGTAATTCGATCTGTGAGATATGGGGATGGGTTGGATTGGGCTGGGCCAGCTGGCCAGACAAGACATGACAATTGGATGGCACGACTCAATGAGAGTGATTCTCAGGTACAGTAGCTGTAAGCGAACAGACCCGGAAATGTGACAAGCATGCACGATGATGAAGGTGGTCAATACATTTGGGTAGCAGTTTCTATCCCGCATATAACACGCAGCTGCATTGCATAAGATACAATGACCGATGACCTTTGTCTACCTCACGGAGAGTATACATAGTACATAGTATAGCACATGTTCTACATCCTAGATAGAGTCAATGAGATTCATCAACCTGAAGATGCTAGAGTATCAAATCGTCTCACCACCAAACCTCCATCCATCTTCTGGAATACATGCCGATTGGCCCCATTTCCTCTTCGTCAGGCGCCTGTGCATTTAGCACTTTTCTCAAAAGAGTAAAGTCACAATCAACCCAATGAGCAGGGATATCCTTGTTTTTTGTTCCAAAAGAGCCAGCGCTTCCAAGCCCGCCATCGCGCCAATTCGCTTCGCACATGTGGTTCATCCAGCATCCTATCAAACCATGACAAGGCGATGTCGAGACAAATGCTACCTACGTAGGAGACATCGACCAAGGGGGAAATCAGGAGAACCCGGTAAAAAGAACACGCGAAGAAGAATAAAACAGATGGCTGGAAAGATTAGAGAGAGGCGGGGGGGACATGATGGTTCCATTCCGGCATGTATCAATGGGGATGTTTATCCGTGACACGTTAATGCTGTCGATCCCGTGATTTTTAGAGGCTTTTTTCTTCCAGGATATTCCCTCTTTGTGACGGAGTCTCGTTGGTCTCGGTCGTGGTCGGTCATGGTCATGGGCTTGAGTGTGAGCATAATGATAGACAGCGCTAAAGCAAAGGTCAAGCCCGATTTGATGCTAAGCCACACTTGGCTTCGCTGGCCAAGTGTGGCTTGAGTTTGTTCGCCCCTCTTTCAGCTGTTGTTGTCACGGTCTAGACGAATAAACACAAGCTACATGGTAAAGGATGAGTCTATTCGTTGTCATTCTCTCAAGTATTCGTCACGGCCACATAAGTATCGTGGCAGAGCTACTCTATGAGACTGGCGAGGCATTACTCATCTGTAGACTTAGTCCATCTTGCCTCTGGTATGCCTACCCGGAAGTTACTGGAATAGTTGACTTCTAAGCCTAAATATAAAGAAACAATTAACTAATACAAGCACCTATCTAGAGTGGCATGTTGACTATTTCGTCCATCAGCAGTCAACATACGAGGCCAACCTGCCGGCTTCAAATCTAGACCTGTCGATCTAACGTGATATCTCTCTTATCTGAATAATACCGCGTCCCTGCCCAAACCTCACACACACAGACACACGGGAACCCCATCACGCAATAAGACCAAAAACGGTAAGACATTATCTTCCTCGGGATTGAAGCAGACGATGCCATGTGGCAGATGCTGGTCAAGACGTTTGGATCCAAAAAAGCAAACATTAGTTGCCGAAGGTTGATCAGCGGTCTTGGCCTCACCCTAGACCATAAACGAGTTGACGAACAGGTTTGAGTTTGAGGGGAGGGCCTCAAAGATGTGATGTTGTTTGATGATTTATCCACTCATTTTGAACAACTGACTCTATTAATACGACGTTGTTTCCGTGAGTCAGTTTCTGCTGGTGAGATTAAAGTGACTGTCTTAGTTTGAGGCTGTTAGGCTGAGATTCTTGTAGTCCAATGTCGGGGTCTCCAAGATTCCCCCGCAAGCTTGGCGGGTACCTGAGGTTGATAATTCCGAGATGAACCGAGTCATCGAAGAGTCTTTTGACGATTGAGTATCTCTTGAGGTTGTTGATGTTGCTGGAATTGAGCTCAACTAGTTACAGATGTTGATGCCCTATAGCATAACGTTTACCTCGGTTCGATTCACTGTCACTCGCGAAGCTCAGTAAGCCCAGTCTCATGCATGGGTAACAGAAAAATTGGTCTCTGAGCTTCGGGGTACAAAAATAAATGACCAAATATGTCTGCTCTAGGTGTCATAAACTGACCTACTAATTTCGTCTCCTATGGTCCCAGTGTACAATTTTCTAATACCCGAGGCCCTGTGTCCTCTTGTATAGCCAAGCCCAATTCATCTCTAAGCCTCCAAAGGCTGTAATATTAATTACAATTCCATTTGAATAAGAGAAAGTCTTAGTTCCTCAACTTACAACAACAAAATAAACTATAAGCCGGCGTCATCCCGATTCTCCGATTCTCCACACAATATCCCGCATTGGCAGTTACAGTACTGTACAGTCAGTACTTTCGTGAAACGCCATAGTTAAACATCACATCATCATAGATTCTGTCTGTCACCAAAAAGAATAGACAAAGAAAAAGAAAGAGATAGACATAGACCATCAAAATGTCTTCAATATCAACCCTCTGCGATTCCCTCCAGACCTCAACAGTCCACGTCGTCGATGGCCTCCGCAGCTTCGTCACGTCCTACCCGCAAGCGCGTCTGGACCTGGCCTCCTTGTCGCGCGAGCTCGCAGAGCTGCAGATGGTGGCGAGGCTACTTCACCACAACGCTAAAGCTCTCGACGCCGACTCTGACCTGAAATTGCCTGCGAGATTGGACGATGCGCTCAAAGGTGTCGTCAGTGAGGCTGGCGAATTGATCGAGGAGGCTGAGGATGCCTTGGATCTTGACAAGGAGGAGGAGAGGACACAGAGTTGGCTAGAGCATACCGCTGAACGGCTGTCGGCTTTTGCAAAACTACTGGAGAGTCTGAGAAGTTCCATGAGTCTAGGTTTGGATTGTGTGTTATTGTGAGTTATTCCATTACTACCTTATGCCATCTTCACTCACATGTCTCAGAGTTATCAATGCTCAACCTCATGATGGACAGAGAGAACTTCCCGGTTACAGCAGTTCTCAAATCCTCCAAGAAGCATCCACTCTACGCTCAAAATACCTCGGAGAGTCAGACAGCGAAGACTACCGCGTTGAAAGCCAACGAACCATCATCACTGAATTCCTTGAGGCTGTTCACGACTTTATCTCAGAGAGCTCCTCCGCTATACCTCCTCCTCCACCAGCCGACGATGAAGAGGGCAGAGATGTCAGCAACAGCAACAGCAGTTTCGCCAACCCTGAGTAAGTCCATCATTGTTCCATTCTAGGTTTCTTATACTTACTCACATCTCAGAACAATTGCTTCATCTCCTCACTCAGAGACAAACGAACCTCCCATCCCAGACTACAATGCCATCGGTATAACATCCACAACACCCCTTCGCATCTCTCTTCGCCACCTCGCCAAGAAAGAACTCTCCAACCATGAAGTTATCGAAACAGCCTACCTCTCGCGCCATGGCGCCTGCACATTCGCCACCCAGACTCTCGAGTCCCCCACACGCTTCTACGACATGAAGGTCAATCAGGTATCATGCCTTCAGAACCAGCACGGCGTGAGCATGATCTTCTCTCGAAACGGCCGCCAGTGGGCGTATCTCAGCGAAGAAGATGGCAAGGGTCTCAACGCAGCCAACCACGACGGGATCAACTTCAAGAAGCCCGTTATCTATCTAGGTGATTACATCAACGGACGCAAAGTCCCTGTCGCGAAGTGGCCCGGTGCGAAACCGCTGGCGTTTTCGAATGATGGGAACTGGCTTGCTGTGGGAAGTACAAAGGGTCGTGTAGGCCTCGTGGACTGCAGCGTCAACATTAACAGAGCATCCGTCGTTATACCTTGTCATCTGGACGAGGTTACACATGCCGTCTTTACACCCGACAGCAAGCTTCTCATCACTCAATCGCGCGATGGCACGATCCGTATAACAAACGTCAAAACGCGCGCCTCAATCGCCAAGTTGGAAACAGACACATGGAAGAAGCCTCTGTTCCTTGGAACGTCTCCCGACGGAGAAATCATTGTGGCAGTTTGGGGCGACACCATTTTTCACTGGAACCACGGCACGGCAGCGCTCGAGTCGTATAATCTCAGCGGACGAAGAACGCGCGAGGGTTGGCCTGTTGCTGTATCCGCTGACTGTCGTTTCCTGTGCTGTCGGACAGATGACGGTGTGGATGTGAGCGATTTGTATTCTGGGCGAGTGCTGTATACTATCAAGTTCCAGAGCGGGTTTGTGACTGCGGCGTCGTTCAGTTGGGATGGAAAATATTTGATTCTTGGAAAAGCGGCGTCTTGTATGGGATTGAAGGTTGGGACATCGACTTTGGATGTGTGGGAGCTTGTATTCTAGGCGTCTAAAACGGTCGTGCTTGTAAGAGTCAAGTTGTATTGTATACTCTAAAGACAAAAGGATGAACCAAAAGCCATAAGGATGAAAGTCCAAACGACCAAGTCAAGCAGGACTTACACATCACTCAACCTCTTTCCACCTTGCCTCAAGCATGCGCACCCTCATCACCGGCTCACCACTCATAACCTCAGCCGCCTTCTCTCTCGCCTGTCTATCGTATGTATATCCTTGAAGCACGTACTCATTCTCATGTCCATACCCAGCATACGCATTTCCAACCGTGTATGTATGTCCCACCGTCACATCATGCGTCTGTCCCATACTCTTGTAAAAGGTACCCTGCGTACCCAACATCTGTGCCTGCATCGCAGCTATCTTTTGCTGGTTTAGGATTTGCTCGCATTGCATAATTGTCTGCGTGTAGACAATGTGTCGTTGCTCCGCCATTTCGAGGAATTTTTGCAGGTCACCTGTTGTGCAAGTCTCGCTGTATAGATTCCTCATGCGAGGTGAGAAGAGATCGCACATGCGTTCCTTGTCAGGTTCTCTTTGGCCTGTGAGTGAGAATCGGGGTTCCAGAGCTGTCCCTTTGGCAAAGGAGGCATAGCAATCCTCGCAGATGGCTACGACTCCCCATCCCCACCAACGTCTGTTCTTGCTGAACTTGATCCGTGGGCATTGTTCAACAGAGCCCCATTGCGCAGCCCAGTCGAGGAAAATCCTGCCATCTCCCCAGTTCCTGGCATTGGCGTATGTCTCCAGAGCTTTGAACGCGCGTGGATGTCCCAGATTGAAGCCGCACATGTACACGCCATCCTGTGTGACATCTGTGTCTCTCATAAACCACCTCGATCCTCCAACTGGCTTCACGATACCCTCGTAACATGCAGCGCAGATACCCCACGAAGCGTCGTTAATGGGCGTATACCAAACACCGCCCCTGATGCCCTGACTGCTACAGAACGGATACTTGTCTATCTCCTTCACCGCGTTCCAAAAGAGACTTCTGTCCTCATCGTCCATGGCTTGGTGCATGAGAATGACATGGTTCAGTTGGCCCAGATTGCACCTCGTGCCGAAATCACCTCCAATGATTTGGTTCCATTTTTCCTCGTCTTCTGAAGCCAGGAAGTAATCATGGTAACACGCTCCGCAAGCCTGCAGTCCCTCTGGTCCAGATTTAGGCTTGTACCACGTATATTGGCTAGCCTTGACAACGTTGAGTTTTGGACAATCCGGTAGTTGCGCCCTGTCATTGAACTGTCGACAGAACTCACCCCATTTATTCTCTTTAGCATATTCCATGAACTTGCGCTTGAGGAACCACACGCTCAAATCACAATAAGCGCCTCCTTGACTATCTTGGAGACGATAGTACTTGGCAAAGGAGGATGTAATAAGACCATCCTCAAAGCAGGCCTGGCAGATGGTCCCGTTGGGTATGTCATCCGCTTTGTACCACAACTCACCCTCAACGGCATTCTGCTCCCTGCAGTCTTTGATGGTGATTCTTTTATGCATAAACTCGATAAGCTGGTCCAGGCTTCCAGAATTGACCGCCGCAGGGAAGAGATTGTCTTTGACTCGTCTGCTGCTGAACCGACATTTCCGCTTTTCACCATCATCGTAAAAGGTCTTTATAAACGAGTTGCAGAACTTAGTATCGTATATGTGATCAACGTAGCAACGGGCGCAGATGACGAATTCGGGAACTGAAGCGTGATAGAACCAGTGTTGGGGGGACGAAGTCAGAGCTCCTGAGCATTCGGCTCCTGGCTTTGCACCGCATGGATGCCGAAGTGCGGGTTCGGGCGTTCTCACACGAGGGGGAGGTTTCTGTTGGCGAGGACTTGGAACTGGGCGAGGCGAATCTGGCTGCTGCCGAGGGGAGGTATATCCAGAGGAAGGAGATGGTGGGTGGAAAGAATTCCTTAGTTTATGCGACCGAGATTCAGGACTCGGTAAATTATATGGGTTTCTTCTTCCTTGATCTACCTGATCTTGTACCTTGGATGTTGGTTTTGTCTGTGAACTTGATGGCTGAGGACTGTAGGTCGCCTGTTGAGAATTCTGACTAGCACCCGGTCTCTGATGTTGGGCCGTGGACAGGATAGGAGGAGGGCCAGGCGGCGGCGGAGGAGGAGGTGGTGGAGGAGGCGGTACATGAACCTGAGGACTCACTTGTTGAGGAACCTGACTGGCACTTCTCTGACGTTGGGTCTTGTTCAGAACAGGAGGAGGGCCAGGCGGTGGAGGAGGCGGAGGAGGCGGAGGAGGCGGTACTTGACCCTGGGGACTCTGAGGCGAGAGAGACTCCTTCTGTCCCGAGTAATGATAAGGAGTCGACCTTCTAGGACTCATACTTCCACTTCCACTTCCAGCTGTAGAGACAGGTCTCCTCGGCAAAGGCGGTGCAACATCCTCTGTGCTAATTCTCGGCGGTAGGGGCGGTCTCTCTTCATCATCCTCCCTATTCTGCTGTTGCTGTCTCTGTCGTTTAATCTCATCAAACAACCTCTGCTGCTCCTTCACAAGTTCCTCTTCACCCAACTTCAAATTTCTCGCCTCCTCTGCCCTCAACCTCTCCAATTCTTTATTATGATCAATATTCATATTTGCCATTTGCTCTTCCGCCTGCCTCATTTGTGCTTGGTACTCGGCTTTGTACTGTGCCGCGAGTCGTTCGGCTTCGCGCCATTGCGTTTCGAGGTGTTGTGTTTGTGTCTTTGCTTGCTCGGCTTGGGCTTGGAATTTGGCCAGGTCGGCGTAGTATTGTGTCCTGCGATCTGTTGTTCCTGGTGATTGTGAAGGTGTTTGGTTTGGCTGTGAGCTCATGGGACTGTATGGTGATGGCGGTGGTGGATATTGCGGACTCTGATGTTGTCCATAATGAGGTGACTGACTCTGGTACTGCGGGCTTCGAGGTTGTTGATAAGTCGCTTGTCCATACTGCTGTTGTTGCCAACCTGGTGATGAAGCATTCGGCCCAACCCGCCCATGCCCAGAACCTCTCTTCTCTTTTCTCTGCTGTTGGTCCGCAAATTGCTGCTGCCTCTCTCTCTCCAACTTCATCTCTTTCCTGTACTCCTCCGTCGCCTTATCCACGAAGTCTTTGAGCCACGCCATGGCAACAAACACAAGATAATTTGTTGGATAGTCCGAAGTGAGGAGGGGTCTTTGTTTGTTGTTTGCCTAAATACGTGTAAGAATGGCGGGTGGGTAATAAATGATAAGCCGCATGTTCGCTGGCAGTCGAAATGATCTGACCAATCTGAGAAGTCGTTAGACGAGTGACTCCATTCTCTCGATTTCCGATGCAACGATGCAATATCTTTATTGTACTCTTGGTTATCGTCCTCTTAATCGTGGTTTCTGAGCATCGCCTTTAATTGTAATCCCTGCATTCAGCTCGGCATGGTCGGGACTTGGCACATGTTTAACACCGGATATTGCTACACCATAATTTTGATCTAAACAATAAGCTTATTTATCGTAAAGCTTGACAGAAACCTCATGTATACATCGTGATATAGGTACCTAGTGGACAACAGAAAAGTTGGCCAAGGTTACCTAGAGACGAAATTAGTTGGTCAGTTTATGTTTCTTAGACTATAGTTTTTAGACTACTTATTTTTGTACCCTAAGACTTAGGAGGCCATCACCATCACATTCACAATCCGAAACTATCAAGCATGTAAAAAGTTGATTCCACCTGACTGTAATGCTAGGCCCCTAAAAACATGGCTTTTGTTCATCCTCCAGGCTCAACACAAGACACTACTAACATTTCTGTCTATCCGTCTGAGCCTGATGATACCGGACCAACTTTAGTTCTGAGAGAGAAAAAAAAACAATAGGTATATGCTCCCATCCGCCAAATAATAACAAGTTCGAACGCCTTTCCTCCCAGTCATGCTTGTACCTCGTAAACTATGTGTGTTGTTTATGCATAATGTTCGACGCCTCAACGCCAGTTGGTTTCATTAGTCGTCTCCATAGACTGACAAATCGCGTGTAAGCCCATATAACTGATATTTGTTCCATCATCCATACGTAACGTTATATCTCACGCTTCTTCCTCAATCATGGCCCGGACCTCGGGTTCATTGAGAAGAATGCGCTTGCCCAGTTCCTCTGGGGGTTTGCCATCTCGGACAGCTCCAAAGTCAAGAATCTGCATCGTGTTAGTAATTGTGCTTGTTTATGCTTGATTCATCAACATACCTCAACATATGTTAGCTGGTCTCGCTGAACGGCAGCTACACAACGTCGCTCGTCAAACTTGACTTGCCAAACACCGCTGAGATCACTCAGCAAGTCTTGCACGCATTCGCCAGTTCGGACATCCCACATTTTGACTGTCTTTTCACTGCCACTAATGACCTTGCGGCCATCGTGCTGGAAACAGGTAATGGCCCCAGTATGCGCCATAAGCGTATTACGGCACTTCCCATTCTCTGGGTCCCAGATACGAAGAGTGGAATCGGCCGCTGCTGATACCAAACGCTCGTCGCGCAAGTCCAACAACCCGACAAGGAGACTATGCCCTTCGAGCGTATACAGACATGCGCCTGTTGCAAGATCCCAAATCTTGACCAATGAGTCCATAGAGCCGGATATGCAACGGTTACGCTCATGGTCCAGAACCACAGAGTATACCTTTTGAGTATGGCCATGGAGGACGTGCAGTGCCTCACCAGTGCTGATACGCCAAACACGGACGGTGCTGTCATAAGATCCACTGACCAAGGTATCGCCGTAGGCCGAAATAGCCCGAACGGAATGAGTATGTCCAGCCAACACTCGAATGAAGTAAGGGCAGTCCGACTCGTGAGCTGGGGGGCCGGTCTGGATGTAGCGACGGGAGCCGACCTCGGGGAGGCGCCAAACTCTGAGCTGACTGTCTCTGGAACCAGTAATGATGAGAGGCTTCTCGGGCTGCATGATAGCCTGTCCGCCGGAGTCTCTACCAGTCTCGGTGGGCATCAGAATTTGCAGACAACGAACAGTGCTAGTATGTCCGTAAAATACCTGCTGGCAGAGTCCACGCTCAATGTCCCAAACACGGACAGACCTGTCAGTTGAACCCGAAACAAGCATGTTGCCCTCGTACTGCAGCGCCCAGACACCACCCTCATGACCTTCAAGCTTCTTGCGGAGCTTGCCCGTCTTGGTGTCGTAAATATGAATGAGGGTATCGTCGCTGCCAGTGATGATCTTGTCCTCGTCAAACTGAAGACACGTAATAACGTGACGAGGATGAGCTGCAAAGGCGACGTGGCCGGGTTTTACCTCGCCGCTGGTCCAGCTCTTGCGGATCATGTGGTGGCGGCGGTATAGTGACTTGTAGAGATGAAACTCGCGGAGACTTGGCAGTCCAAGCTGAGGGTCGGGAACAGCATTGATGGCAGCACTTGCAGCAGACAGCGGTCCCTCCGATGGGTGCTGTCTGACTTCAGGCTGCGACTTGCTTTCCTCGCGAGTCACGGCCTCCTGAGCACTTGCACGTCGCTTGGATCGCTCGGCAGCCGAATAGGTGTTGAGCGCTCGCTTTCGCTTAGAAGCCCGGGATTTTGAGGCTGTGTCTTGTCGAAGGGTTCGGGTGAGCTCGTGCTCGGTCGAGGTCAGGCGGCTTCGCATGCTCAAATCCTTCTCGTAACCAGAAGCGCCAACAGGGTCTTGCCATCCCCAGCCCTGAACGGAGGCCTTGTTAAGCTCACCAGGGGGGAGCCTGTAGCCATCACGGTCAAATAATTCCTTCCAGCCGGTCTCATTGCGGTCAACGAGATTGCGCCAGTGCTTGGAGACCTGAGCAGCTCGGCAGAGGTCCCGGTGGTCGAGATGGGACAGAACAGTGTACCCGAGCTCTAGAGGTAGCTGTCGAAGGAAATCGCACTTGAGGGCAGGGTTGACAGCGTTAGCGACAACTCGGAGAGTAGGTCGAGGACATCGGCGAAGGAACTGATACATCATGAATGTCTTCATTTCGGTCTTCATCGAGTCGAAAGCCTCGAGCAGAGTTTGGGTATCGACAACGTGGGGAGATCCACCAGACCGAGCAAGCGCGTAGTCATCCTGGGAATGACCAGCAGGGACTAATGCGGTCGAAAGATCATCTTCTGTCAGTTGTGATTCCTCGACCCAGCGAGAGGGGTCCGAGTTTGATGTCTGGAAATTGGACTGGCCTTCATCTTCGGTGTCGGCGGTATGTAACTGAGCGGCTGCTAAAGTAGGAGACAGTCTAGGACTAGGAAGACTAGCATCTTGGGCAGCAACGACATCGATACTGGGTCTGGGGTTAAAGGGACGAACAGACTGCTGCAGGGATCCATCAATGTCTGCAAATGGTTCTGCATCAGCGTCGGTAATTGGTGGAGTAGCAACGTTACTGCTGAAGACGGTGTGGGAATCACTTTCAACAGGGCTGGTGGCTTCGTAATGGGGGCTAACAGCGGACGAAGATGCTTCGGGGGAGTGTTGTCGTTCGTGGTGTGACGAACGTCGACGAGCTGATCGGTCAGATGAGCCAACAACTTCTGAGGTATCAGGGGTAGCAAGGAATCCAGAAGGCGCTCTAGGTGGCCTCTCTCCTTCTCGTCGACTTGACCCATGAGCGATAGAACGACGAAGCTTGTCCGAAACAGCGTTAAGTGGGTTTGATCGAGGCAATCGTCGAAGGTTAGATGTGGCTGCGGATTCGGGAGAGTCTGTAGGGCTGGCTCTTGAGGCCCGGGAGCGTCGGGGATAGCCTTCTGAAGGAGATTGTGATCGGTGCTTAGGCACTCGGACGAGGGTATTCGATTCTTGAGGGGATTCGGCTTTGATTCGGCCCTGGGTGGAATGACCGTTGCTATATGACATCTGGGAACGTTAGTCTTTATTTGTTGTCATGATGGCCACATCATGCATGCATGACCGTTGCGCGAACTTACTTGGGTGTCGTTGGGCTCATCCTCGGCTTCGTCGTCGGTCTCGAGCGCACCAGGCATATTGTAAGAGAACTCGATTAGTTCTGGGGGAGTGGGCTTCATGGCAAGAGGGTATTCTTTTGTATCGAGGTTTTCGAGGGGCACAGGATCCCTAACAAAGACGTGGGGAAACTTGCGTGTGAGACGAGTAGTGGTCGTAACAGTCTTAGTCTCGACGCACTCGCTAACCTCGAGCTGGAATCGACGAGATCGCTGGCTCTGGCTACCTTCGGAGATGTTTACAGAGACTGTTTGCGAGGGTTTGGGATGACGAGGCTCGAGAGCCTGACTAGTCGCGGGTGACGGTGTCATGGTTCGTTGTGATGTTTGTGTAGTTGTGTTCGTCCAGGCTATTGAAGATGTTGCCTGGTCAAAAAAAGGTGGACAAGTTCGGTTGAAGCAACCAGAGGCCGATTATCAAACCCAGAATCCACAACGATGAGGGAAGTGAATCTGAAGAACCGACCAGCCAGGGACGGGACAATCAACGCGATGGTTACGCCAGATCACGCATGTATCCGTAAGCGGCAGAAGCGATCAATGAGGCTCTTTGACTCGATCGAGAAAGAAGATTGAGGAGTCGGATGTGTACGGTCGTGCTGGGAATATACGGACGATAGCAGGCGTATATCGACGGACCGAACCGCGAAGAGGTTTCGAGTAATGGCTTCCCCGGGAACTGCACGCTCAAGGTTCGAAACACCGTAAATCGAACCGTCGTTGCGAGGGCGAAGGAGGGAACGGCTGTAAGGCAGTTCGTCGAGCAAAAGACGCGTGCGAGTGTGGACTCGGCGTGCAAAGGCAAGGGGAGGCCTGTATACAAGGGAGTGTGGCGAGTTGGGGCGGGAATAAAGAGAGGAGAGAAAACGAGATATTGATTAGTAGGAAAAAAGGAAACAGCAATACAAAGAAAGAAAAACAAGGCCAACAAGAAAAGGGGCGGAAAATGGATGTCGTAGAAGGGTGTTTTGCCTGTCTGCTTCTTTTTCCTTGGACACCCTTTTTCCTTCGTTTTCTTCTCGAAGGGCTCCGTTTGCTGACGAGGCTTTGGTGAGAGAGAAGATATGGTTGTGCAGGCTGATGTGACGGAGGAGTAGTTGGTGTCTGCTTCTCGGGCCAAGGTAGAGGTGGACTCTCCATTATTAGAGCTAGTCTATTTCAGGTATGGCGCTGTATTAAATCAGTTGGCCCAGGGCTCCTCCCCATGGAGGGTATCAGAAAAATTGACCGCTGGACGTAAAGAAGACGAAATTAGTAGGCCACTTTATGCTCCTAACAGTACGTTTCCTAGACTACTTATTTTTATACCCTAAAGCTTAGGAGTCCATTATTTCTGGTACCCAGTAGCTCCTTCTTACAATCCAACAAGGTCTAGCCTGATCGCTACCTGAGAATGATTGGACGAAGGCTTGAAGTACGTACATCCTTGGGGAAGGGGAAACATGACACGGGGACAGAGTGCTGTACATCTCCACACGCTTCCATTGTATGGGGTTTTTGGTGAGCGGCTGTGGAAAAGTGTACTTGTTATGCAATGCAATGCTGGGCATGAACTGAACTGCAACCCTATCACAGCTAAACTAGATTGTTTGGACAAAAGGTCAAAGGCTCATTTTACAGGTTGACTCTGTTGACAAGTGTGCATTAGGTACCGGAAAGTACCTGACCTGACCTGACCTGACCTGGCATGGTCTGTGTCTTGTCACCCGGCTACCCTCTAGTTATACTCCAGCTGCGGATACGTCCGTGACCGACCGACGCGCGAAAGCTGGAATTCAAGACAGGTTTTAACCGCTCAGTCAGCCTGCTTAGTCCGATGTCAAGCCTCGTTGATTCTCAACCCGGATTTTCATGACCTAAATCGAGGACATGCGGTCGTGCACGTCTTGGAACAGAATCCTTCAAGAAACAAGGCACATATCCCTCACGTGATCTGTTCCCATTTCTTATCGGTTCCGGCGTCGGCGAAAGTGAAGCCTATTTTGCCTTGCACTATAATTACTTGATGGAGTATCCGTACCTAGTAGTATTGAGATGCCACACGGAGGCATGAGACATAACACCCTATAAGTGCATTTAATTACATTTTATAGTTGCTATGCTATCATTGGCTTGTTATTCCCGAAAAGGGAGGAATACATTTTACGTTTAAATCAAAGGGAATATTCAGATAGTCTAGAGTATAAATAATTCACTATCTATCTCTATTGCCATTATGTATGCATTACCGTTTATGCCATAACTATTATGTTTGTTATTTCTCCAAGTAGTTCACCCTTGGCAGAATAACTATCCCTTCCCCTCACAACTACTGACCTATCATCTCCCCTTTCCCACTCAAACTCTTCTCCCTTCAGAACCAGACTTCACCGCATTCTCGACTAGAGTCCACTAACGAGACTCTTTTGCCACATGGGTTGAAAAGAGAGAAAAATCATTTCCAAACTCACGTGTATTCTCCCCGTCTGATCGGTGCCGATAAAGTTTCACTTAGTCAGCCAAATCAAAAAGGCAGTGCCATCGCCATCGGCATACCCGATACCAGGATTTCCACGTCCAGGTCAACACCGATGCGGGGGTGTTCCGATCGGGGGCTTGGGTTGGCTGATATGGCGGATTTCTTGAGTGTAGGATTGCACCAACTAGACTAAAGAGGAATGTGATTGCTATGTGAAAGTGTAAGGCTTTGCTATGATTTAGGTCACTTCTCTAGGGTAATCAGTATTGAATCATTACAGTGCTGTTATTGTCATGATATTTGAGGCCTATTTCCCCCAAAGAACGCTGACATACTTTTGTACTTCCAAAGACTACATAAGTCGTTATCGTGGTATCTAAAATCCCATCGCTAAACACACCATTCCCAAACGTGCCCCCTAATCAAGTAGATCATCCAGCTTTTTAAACATATTTACCCAAAGCTCAAGATATGTAAACTGGCATACGACTCCCAAGCAACTCACTCTTACTCAACTGTACGTCCAACTTGTTAAAATCATGCAGCATTAGCCAGCATATCATGCGGAATATCAACGTGCACCAGACATCATCATGCGACACCTCCTGCTCATACAAAGCGGCCTCTAGCCTTCTTGGCACCTCGCTCGTCAGTGAATAAGCCTCGCTCACGGCGCTGCCGGGTCTGCTGGACATAGATGGACGGCCGTTCGACATGGTGTTGAGAGGTATGTTTTCCACGCTTGTTTGTAGACGAGGTGCCGGCATGGGCGGCGGGGGAGACGAGCCTCGTTCCATACCGCGCGTACTACTTGCCTGAGTCCTACCCGTGCCTGCTCTTCGGAAACCGTGACCCGGAGGTGCTCCGACAATACTCGTTCGTCGATTTGTTGAGTGGGTAGCGCGAGGGACAACCTTTTCGCGGATGACATGAAAGTAAACTTCCATGAATTTATGCTGTCTTTCATCCGGACTGGCTTCGTGCATATCTTCAAACCCAAGCGGCGTCACTCTAGGTTGTCCATCTGGCCTAGGGTGCGCTGTTGCCGGGCTCCATTCAGCATGTAAAGATTGCGCATCGGATGAGCGATCTTCTCCGTCGTTGAGAAGACGCAGGACCTCTTGGATATGCGACCGGAGGACATCCTGGACCATCTCTCGACGCTTCTGTTGGATCTCGGTCTCATGAACCCTGATGCCCATCTGCTCAGCAAAGGGGGTGATGACACCGGCAGGTTCCTTGGCCGTCAGGATTTGGTCACAATCATCAATTGCTTCATGAAGTGCTTTGAGCATCATCATCCTTCCAGCCATGTTGCTATCCTTGTGATTCAGAATTTTTTCGATGTGTTTCTTGCTCTTTTCAAGAATGACCGGGTTTCGACGCGCTCCTGACAGTGATACGCCAACAAGTTCGGAGTAAGCCTCCATCACCTTGACTAGGGATACCGACTGCTTGTCCCAGCGATCCGACGTCGGGTTGGGAATATGTGTAAACATGCTGTCCTTGATGTGAAACGTGCGACTCAGCATACCAAGGATCTCGAACGATACTGAAACGTGTTAATGGATGCGATATCGAAGAGGGAAATGAACATACCAGGAAACAAATGGGAGGTGTGCTTGCCAGTATCCTGGAAAGCACGAACAGCATTTGTATTACATCCAATTTTAATCAGAGTCTGCGAGATCTCGCCACGAGTTGCTAATTGGAGGAAAGCTAAGTTTTCAGGGTCATCTTCTGGGAATTGAAGACGTCGCTGGTCCAATGTCACGCTGTAAATGGTAGACACGTAGCCAAAGCACAACTCTTTGACTTGATCCACAGGAATCACTCGATTGTGCTCGAAGCGACTTCTTCCGTAGATGCTAAAGGTGAACATCAAACCAAGATCAGCGACCTTCTCTCCCAGGACCATGAAGCCATTGCCCTCAGCGCGGTAGCGGTCACGTCTGCGGTCGAACTCTTTCCAGTAAACACCCAGAGCAGCCAGCATCTCGATTAGATGGCATATCGTTGTTGTCGCATATGGGCGAAGGACTGTTGCAGGCATCGTATCCCAGCTTTTCCGTTTGCGTTGAAGAGCCACTGTCATTGTATGTGCCTCGTACAAACCCGGAGGCTCTGTGGGAAGATCAGACTTTTGCTCCTGGGCATTGGGTGGCCCGATTTGTTTGTGCATCTCTCCATATTGGGTCTTCTGCCACTTCTCCGAATCGTGTTCCATGCGTTGCACAGCGCTGAGTAGGAGTGTCCAGGAAGCTCGTTCATTGTCGGCAGTGTGAATGCGCTCTCGTCTCGTCTTTGCCGCATACTCTTCTCGAAAGTTGATGCTCAACTCAGACCATGTATTATCGAGACTCTGTTCGCTGCCGTCCAGGAAGTAAATCTCGGCTCCTTGGATGGGACCGTTCCTGTTATCTGGGGGTGAAACGAAGATGACGGGAGCTTCAAACTCAACCTCGAAACGAAGCTCGTCCCATGAGAAACGGCGGGTTTTTGTGAGGGCCCATTTCCCCATTACTTTCTCGTTACATTGAGCGTATCCTGCGGCAGAGGCGTAGTATTGCTGCATAACCTGCATGAAAGTGGCTGCGAGAGCGACCAAAGACACGAGGAGAGCCACAACGGCCACGATGACTTCGGGGTCTGCTTCGGCCATGTTGGTGGATATTCTGTGTTCGTTCGTTCGATTCGTTCGTCTAGTGTCTTAGGTGGTGGCGTCGCGTAGTGGACTAGACAAGGCCGTCGCTAGCTGGAGAGACACGGCGTCAAGGGTCGATGATCTGAAGCCGTAGAAGCGAGTGGAGATTAAAGATGCGACGGGAGAGGTTTGAAGCAACTTGAAAAGCAGTCCCTTTCGTTTGTAAACCAAAACCCGCGTGGTGAATCCTTTAGGTTGGCGCCATGTTTGCCTGCGGATAGAGAGAAAAGAGGGATCCAAAGGTGAAAGGAGAGGATTGAGCTCCAGACGCAGAGCCTCGTTTGAACTTGTTAATTCGCATCTTCCTACGTACAGGGGGAGGGCGTACAAGGCTCTCAAGTCCGGGGTTTAATTGGAGCGATGGCTTAATGAGGTGGGTTTTTGGCTGAAGATGGTCAAGGATATGGAAACATTGGGGGCGGCCGCTTTCAGGGCTGTAGCAGGCCTCAATCAGGGAGGGGATTGAAAGGATTGAATGCCTGGGTAAAGGGGGTTATTCCAGGAATATTATAAAAAGGTTTATATCATCAAATAGAGCAACGAATTAATCCAGCCATAAGAAGAGGAAGGTTTTGGTAGGAATGACGTTGTGGTTGATGCATAGTAGTTAACCTTAACCCTATAGCTTAGCGGATGTCGCGTTGGAACGGTTGGTGGGCTGGGGGCTGGGCACGGGCGCTAGGGCCGTCCAAGGCTTAGGGTAGCAATAGCATCAGGGTAGCACCTCAAAGCTTCATCTCCCGTCCTGTGTTCCTCTCAACATCCAATATCAGCGCAACGATATTGCTCAAAGAAACAACATCACCCTCTCTATCATAACTAATCACCTCGACATCGTATCTCCCATTCTTGATAATTTTGGCTTCAATCCTGATCCTCAACCACTCGTCTCCCTTGTCTGGCAAAGCTTTCTTGACATCTAGACTCAACGATACCGTTGGCATCCAAAAGATCTTGTCAAACGCAAAACGGTCCTTTGGAGTCGGTGCTTCGATATCTGTTGGTCGGAATCCCTCAATCATAAGGGAAGGGGCTACGTCGGCGAGATACCCGAGCATCCATGTCTTCCAGCGTTCACCGTTGGACATACGCAGCCAGAGGTCCCATGACGCAGGTGACGTTGTCTTGTTCTTGGGACTATAGAATTCAACATGTTGCATCATGGGCACCATGTCCATAACTATCATATGTAATCTCTCCCAGTTTGGGTCCTTCTCGTCTGCAAGCTTGCTCAAGTTCACTGGAGGCGGTGGCTGACGAAGCTCAAAGCCTGTAGACAAGGTGAGACCGCTTTTAGCCTCCACCCGATTGTTAGTGACATACGCCGCGATTTTTTTCTTGGATTTTGTAGTTATCCACGGTTTCTGTGTTAGGAGTCCCTCTTGATATAGCGTGATGTGAACGATTGACAAGGCGCGACCTCTTCGGACTTCTTCGACTACAAGAACAGCTGGTCCAACATGTGTTGCGTTCAGAAAATGCCAATGCGCTGCGAATGTGTCGGGCTGGTTTCCAGATGTAAGGAAAATGCGCGCAGCGCGAAGAAACATGGCAGATATGTATCCTCCATGTGGGACTGTAGTTGTTAGTGAGTTGAGGTCCTGCGTGAACAAGACCAACATACCCGTTCCAACAGCATAAGACTCGGCGAGATTGACTGTAAATGTAGTCTCATTTTGCTGTGCGACTTGTGATTCTACCTCTAACGATGGATAATCTGACATTCTGAATATTGATTATTTGCTGTTTTACGGATGGTGGTACAGCGTAAGTTGGATAGAACGCTGACGTTGGCATCTTTGAACCTCAGACTTGAGCCGAGGCTGACAGGGGTCTGCAATGATGATGGCTGAACATCAACACATTGCATGTTGCTCTTGATTGAATGCATTAGTGGGCATGTACGACATGTGCGCAACCGGCCTGCTTGAAGCCACTTAATTACTTCTGATTGCCTACCAACCTCTTTGACCCGCAAAGTCGGGAATGGTATTGATGATGAACTAAGTGCAACCAACTGTTTTCACCCCTTTCTCCTCGAATTCTTAACAAGGCATGTTTGCTATTAGTGGCAGAAGTTATATCGCTGTTACTGATCCCGTGTAGGTAATGACAAAAAAGTTTATCTGCTGGATTCTAGGGTATAAATAACGAATGGCCAAGGAACCCCAGTTCAATCAAACATGAACTGATCGATTGATTAGCCTTTGTCTCATGTTTTTAACTCTGAGGTCAGACAGTCTCGGTTGGTGGTAACTTCAGACTTAGGCGAGGTGGCTTACTAAGATCATGACGCGGTCCCCTGTTGCATCATGTCTCGTGTTTCAAAGGAGGCAACCTGATCTCGTTCTCTTCCCTCCCTTTTTCTTTCCATATCATTTCCATCAGAATAATATTACCCACTATCAGCTACAATCATGTCTCGATTCTCTCGCTATGATACCGACGAGGAACGTCTCCCAGAAGGAATGCAGAGAGTAGGCTACGATGCTGACAGCCAGGTCTATACGTTCCGCGACGCCGACGGAAGTTACTGGGAGAGCGCGCCCGGCAACCAATATGGTCATCTCACCAAGGTTGGCGAAGCGCGTCCCGAAGGCCAAGAATCCGAGTCTTTCCTTGTGACGAACCCGCAGTATCAACAACCCAAGATGTCTTGGTTTACTGATATGAAGCCCTTCCTCAACTTCCTCATGCTCATCACCCTGTCGCTGCTTCTTCTCTTCTGGTTCCTCGGCCACAAGTCTTCTCCCGAGGAGCGCATCCCCATCCCGGACTGTCCAGAGGGTACAATCGCATATGGAGTTAAGCAGGACGATACATGCTATGATATTGCCAAGAAGGCGGGCGTGAGCGTGGATGATATCTTGAAGAAGAATAAGGATCTTGACTGCGATGCGCTCATGATCGGTGATCGTATTTGTGTGCCTGGCAAGAAGAGCATCGATTGAGAGAGTCGTACCATGTTTCGTGGGATGGCGTACAGAGCATTGCTGGGTAAGACCTGACCGGCAGATGATGGTGTACGGCTATTGAGCTATCAAGACTAAACTGAGTGACCTTGGAACTGGTCTTTGCCTACCTAGACGGAGCTACTTATAAGTAGGCCATCCGTTGCCCATGCTATGGGGCACCATAACGTCGAGTGTGGTCAGTTCTGACTTATTGTGCGGCTTTCATAGCAACAATATTGCAAGCAAGTGCTATTCAATGGATGTTTATCGACTCCTGAACCAGTATTTGGATATCTCTGTCCAATTGTTTGGTAGTGAAGCGTCGAATGCTTCGGGAGCGTCTCTATCGGCCAGCCAACGTCATCCGGGGCCTATTAATGCCCACTCATTGGGTGCCATCTGTGTCATCATGCGCGTTGCTAGTGCAGCTCTCGACCGACGTGTGCCAACGAGCCAAGTCTTGGCCTCTAGCGTTGCGTTGCATTGCGTTGCATTTATCCGATATCTTGAGCGATCCGTGACTGTCTCTTGGAGACGAGCAGAAGAGGATTCAAGAGGTTGGTAATGATGAGCATCAATAATGTTTGAAATGGATAAAAGAAACAGAATCAACTTCAACAGCTTCCTATCTATTATCACGTCAAGGGCGGTCAAGTTTGAGATTCTCTTCGGTCACATTTTAGCCCGACAAGGAAATCATCACAAAAAAAAGGCCCCGCGCTAGAGTGGAATAGAAGAAAAAAACGAGGGGCAACATCAGACCCTTGGAAGCTTTGGCCGCTGCCTACCAACCAGCATCGAAGGTAGCAGGAGCGGGGCACATGGAATTTTTTTCTCTTCCTCTACTAATTTCGACTCGACCCGAGGACCCCAAAATAATTTAAAAAATTCAGACGCGGGTCCCTGGAGGTTTATTTTTCTCTTTCTCTTCATCCAACTATAAACCTTCGGGTTCTTTTCTTTTTCCTCTTTTTTCTTTTCCTCTCTTTCTACGTCGTTCAACCTTTCGACTTAGAAATTAATCATGGATAAGGGGAAGCTTGCTCAGCTCCTTGAAGGGAGCCAGGTCCGTAAGTTTTTGCCTATTGATCTACGTCAACACATTCACCAGATGCAAGATTTGTTCTGCTTTGTGTGTTGCCTCTCGCTACACAAACTCTGAAGCTAACCTCACCTTTCTTTAGCCAACACTGAGCAGGTTAAGGCTGTCACAGCCGAGCTCCAAAAGAACTTCTACACAAAACCCGAGTCGCTTCTCGCCCTCGTCGAGATCTCCCTCACACATGGAGATGCCGGTGTTCGACAGCTCGCCTCGGTCCAGGCTCTCCGTCTGATCCCCAAGTTCTGGGAGAAGACCGCCCAGGACCAGCGCCAGCTTGCCCGCAACCACCTTTTGGAGGGTGTCCTCAAGGAGTCCTCCGCTGGTGTCCGCCACTCTCTCGCCCGTCTCATCGCCGGCATTGTCAGCTCTGATATGGAGAACGGTGAGGGTGAGGACTTCCTCAAGCACATCCTCCCTCTCAGCAACAACGACAATGTTATTGCCCGTGAGGTTGGCTCATTCCTCCTCTACGCCATCCTCGAGGAGGACCCCACACACTTCTCCGACAACACACACGATCTTCTCAAGCTCTTCCAGTCCCGCATTGAGGATCCCCAGAGCAAGGAGGTTCGCATCAACATCGTTCGTGCTATTGGTGCCATCCTCATGATCATCGAGCCCGAGGAGGACGAGGTTGCCCTCAAGGCCATGCAGGGTTTCGTTCCCAGCCTGGTCAACATCCTCAAGGCCACAGTTGAGGCTGAGGACGAGGAGAGCTACAAGATCGTCTTTGAGGTCTTCCACTCTTTCATCGCATACGACTCTTCCCTACTTGCTGTCCACCTCCGAGATCTTCTCTCCTTCATGATTGAGCTCGGTGGAAACGTCAACGCTGAGGAGGATGCCCGATCTCAGGCTCTTGCTTTCCTCATTCAGTGCGTTCGTTACCGACGCATGAAGATCCAGGGTATGAAGGATATGGCTGCTGAGCTCATGGTCAAGGCCATGCACATCGTCACCGAGCTTGACCCCGAGGACGACGAGGAGGACCTTTCTCCTGCCCGCACTGCCATCAGCCTTATCGACACTCTGTCCAACGAGCTTCCTCCCCGACAGGCTATTGTTCCTCTCCTGGAGCAATTCCCCCACTTCGCTGGCAACAACGACCCCAAGTACCGTATGGCTGCTATGCTCGCTCTTGGTAACGCTGCTGAGGGTGCTCCCGACTTCATCTCTACACAGCTCCAGCCTCTTCTCCCTGCCATCATCTCTCTTCTCGAGGATGCCGACACCCGAGTCCGACACGCCTCTCTTGTCGGTCTGATCCACCTTGCCGAGGAGATGGCCGATGAGATGTCCTCTCACCACGAGCAGATCATCTCTTCTGTTCTCAAGAACCTCGAGGCTGCTTCTCAGGGTCCCTCAGACAAGAGCAACGTCAGCATCATTCGCTGCGCTTGTGGTGCCCTTGACACCTTCGGTGACGGTATTGACACCAAGATCATGGCTCAGTACGGTCCCAACCTGATCGGCCCCATGGTCCGTCTTCTCGACCATGAGGACTTTGGCGTCAAGGCTGCTGCTGCTTCCGCCATTGGCGCTATTGCTTCTTCCATGGAGAAGTCTTTCGAGCCTTACTTCAAGGACGTCATGACCTCTCTTGGCAAGTTCGTCTCTATCAAGGAGGGCGAGGAGTCTCTTGACCTCCGAAGCTCCACCTGTGACAGCTTGGGCCGCATCGCTATGGCCGTCGGTTCTGAAGCTTTCCAGCCTTACGTCATGGACCTAATGTCCGCCAGCGAGGAGGCTCTCAGCCTCGACAACCCCCGCCTCAAGGAGACCAGCTTCATCTTGTGGTCTAACCTGTCCAAGGTCTACCATGAGCAGTTCGACCACTTCCTTCCTGGTGTCTTCAAGGGTCTCTTCTCTTCTCTCGAGCTTGAAGAGGAGGAGATTGAGATCCCTGGTGTTGACGCCAGCCAACTTGGCGACGGTTCTATCGTTGTCGGCGGTAAGCGTGTTAAGGTCAAGGCTCCCGAGAATGGGGACGATGCCACCATCGCCAACGGTGGTGACGATGACTGGGATGACATTGAGGACCTCGATGACCTCGATGATCTCGGTGCTGTGACCGCTGTCGCCCTTGAGCAGGAGATCGCTCTCGACGTTCTTGGTGACGTTATTTCCAACTCTTGCAACAGCGCCAACCTCGAGACCTACGTCGAGCAGACGATCGAGAAGGTTTCTCCCTTCACTGAGCACACATACGAGGGATGCCGAAAGACCGCTGTCTCCACCCTCTGGCGCACATACGCCCGTGTCTTCCAGGTCTGGGAGGAGAGTTCCGGTATCAAGTGGGAGGCTGGTCTCCCTGCCAAGCACACACCTCCTAACTCGCTCATCTCCATGGGCCAGGCTCTTGAGAAGGCCACCATGACCATCTGGTCTGATGACAGCGAACGGTTAGTACTACCCCTCTGTTCTTTCTTTTCTGCCAATATGATGAATACCTTGCGTTATACCCAGCTCACTCAGAGGCAAAATGCCGTTGCTGAGAACACGTCTAATCTACTTCTGATTCATGGCACTGTTACTTCTTTTTCTCGTATTCTTGACTTGAAATCATCTGCTAACAGTCTTATAGCACCGTTATCACCGACATCAACCGCAACATTGCCGCCACCCTCAAGGCTTGCGGTCCTGCCATACTCACTTGCAAGGACGGTTT